GCATGCGATTCTCAGGCTTGGCTGGCGTTGGGAAACGGTCCATGCTCGAACCGTAGCACCGCACCGAGTCTCTAACACACCCTGATGCATCCGTACCAGAGGTCCTGGTGACTCCCGAGCAGTTTGCGCAGATCTTTGCCGACGATATCGACTCCCCGCTCTCGCAGCAGTTTGTGCCGCTCATCTCGCAGTCCATCCGTCAGCAGTGCCAGTCGTATTTGGAGGAAGACAGCAGCCCAGGCATGGGACAAAATCCGCCTGCCCCCGTCCATCCCTTTCCGGAGGGGCCGACAATGAGCCTGGAGGACATCCGCATCATCATTAAGGTACGTTGCAACAATCACTGGCCTTCACATTTGCCTTTGCGGGTCCAACCGTGACGACCTTGCCGCCCACGAGAGAACCCTGGCTGGCGACGCTAACTTTACGGTTGCTCTCTCGGCGATGCTTTGTAGCTCGATGTCAATGTTGGAACTTTCCACCTACACGACCAGTTTGAATGGCCGCTCTTTGCTCCCAACGCACCCAGCCCCGAAGAGTTTGCTCACCAGCTGTCGCTGGACCTCGGGTTCCCTCAAGAATACATCTCGGTGATTGCCCACGAGATCCGGCAGCAGCTATGCCTGGCCCGAATCAACTTTGAAGAGTCTGCACACGTTGGTCCTGTGGTCGGAGCGGCCCCGGCTGCAACGGGCCCTGTGCCAGGCATCACTCCACCCCATCTCAGCGTCCTGGGACCACAGGGATCGGCGCTGAATGCAAGTTACCAGTCTGAGCACATTCAAGAAGGTGATTGGATCCAGTCCGAGTCCAGCGAAAAGGGCGGCCGAGAGAAATCCAAGAGGTAAGTGCCTATCTCGCACACGTGCAGCCATTTGTCGTCGAGCGGTGGTTCTGTCGAGTACTTCGCGCTGGGACGCGCAAATGCGGCTCCGGTAGCTGGAACTCGTGCAGGATCGGCTTGAGCGAAACTTGCGTGAAAAACAACAACAACACGGTGCTGCCCTTGGCGCCATCTGGTGCGCTGTATGCAGCCGAACGGAGCTGGGGACGCTCGCAGGTCGCAGTGCCTGATGCGAGTCGCCCGTGGTGTCGCGCTTTCCGTTTGAAATGGATGGGGGGGGGAATACTTTCCCACACACATGAGGCCGCATTCCGCAGTGTGCTCGTGGTTCTTTGATTTAGCACGCGGGGAACTGTCCCGACACGAACTCTTGGTGTCTAATTGATTCCTTGATTCCTTGGTCTACCAGGAAGCGAAACCGGCAAGGCGCATCCTACAGCTCCCAAAGTCTCAACCTGAGCGGCAACCCTTCCCACTCGGGGATGTCTCAAAATGCCGCGAGTATCCACTGGCAGCACGGAGGCCCCGCGGGTGGAACCAGCAACAGCAGCAGCGGCTCCAACTCCCGCACGATGATGCCTCCGAGTCACCCTTCCCGTATTCCATACCGCAACTACACACCGACGGCCGAGGAGCAGGCAACCTTTTCTCAGTTTGCATACGGCGCCGGTGGGGTCTATCTGGGCGGGCCCCAGACACCGACGCAGTCGCAGACACAGGCGCAGACACCAACGCAGTCACACCACCCTAATCCATACCAGAACCAACTGCAGCTTCCGTTTCAGTCCACACACTACTCGTCACAGTTTGGCGGGGCAAATGTGCCACAGCAGCAACAGCAGCAACAACAGCAACAGCATCCTGCACACCTCTCCATGCACTTTGCCAACAGCGGACCCGGCAGCAGCTGCAGCACCGACAACCAGGGCAGCGGCTCAACCATCGGCGCTCATATGCAGCACAATCACATGTCGAGTGCCTCACAAAAGAAAGAGAAGCGCAAGCAGCGCGATCCCCCCATCATTGACACGGAGCTGGTCGCGAAACAAGTCGAGTTGATGCAACAGAGCGCCGACCTGTTGAACAATCCCGGTGGCGGAGAACTCATCAACACTGCAAACGGAAACATCATCGATCTCTCGGATTCTCGAGGCATCAGCCCTCCCAAGAAGCACAGGGGGTTTGGTGCCAGTGCCAACATGTTCAATGCCGACGGAAGCATCGATGTTGGCGGTATGTCGAGGGTGGTGCTGTTGCGCAGGAGCCAGGGCCGACTCACAATCATGGGTCTGGCTGCGTCCCGCTATACTTTCATTCTCCAACTCCCCGGCTTTGACGCCAAAATGCTGTTGCTTGAGAGTCTGTCCACGTCATAGGCCATCTTCATCGCAATCGCTGATGACATCGCGCTCTCCCTCTCTCTGCAGAGTTTCGGCTCGTTTGGCGATGCTCGTGGTGCCTGCTCAGTGGCCGCTACACACCCACCCTCCGCAAGGGACCTCTCGGCTCGAAAACCCTTTGCAATGCCTGTGGAATCTGGTACTCGAAGCATGGATCCCTGCCTCAGGATCGATACCAAGAAAACGCAGACTGTGTATAGGGACGCTGCTTTCTTTTCCAAATCGCCATCGCTCGTTGCCGCTGCGGCTGCTCCCTTCACTGTTACGGTATCGACCGACGGCATACGTGCTCTCGACGCCTCGTATGCAACACTGTGGTTTACTTTCGCTTCTTTGATTTTGCTCATGCATGATGCATGGCATTCCCCCCCCTTCAACCATTCTGTCAAACTCTCTCTCTCTCGTTGCACTGGGTTTGCCTGCAATCTCCCTCCTTTCCACCCTCATGCGCCATGCGTTCATTTCGTTCTATTTTCTTTCCCTTCATACACGCTCACTTGCTTGTTCGGTTCGGTTCCATCACTCTCACCTGCTTGCTCTTTGCTTCTCATTTCTCTCTTTGACTACTTCTCTGGATCTGTCCCCCCCCATCACCGAGAATGCGCTTCATAGTTGCCGTGACGACTTGGTGGCCAGTCAATGCACCCCGATTAGAGCCCGCCTGGCTGTTATCAAACCAGGCTAGATCTGATATAGATTCATGTTTTACAAGAGCGCTGTATGGCTGCGGCACTGAACGTATGGTCACGCTGTTTATGGACGAGCCAATGTCCTTGGATAGGATCTCGACGGGGGGGGGCACTTTGATATGCCGCTGACCCACTGTCCTCGCAGCGATCTGCAGTCGTCAATCGGCAATGGCTTGATCAAAGTACACGGGTACCCAACGCCGATGTTCGCCACCGAGACCCCTCCATTCCAAAGCGACGATGCACCCATCTGGACCAACGCCCGAAGCGAGGATCGAGTCCGCACCAGACACGTTGTCTTTTGACGAGGCTGTTTCCCACACAGCCTCCATAGCCTCCACAGCCTTCGCAGCTTTCACAACTCTCACGAGGCTCGCACTTGCTTTCATTACATATTTCGCTCCTCAGTATTCCGGATTGCTCCAGTTCGATGAATATGCCTCCCTTTCGGGCCTGTCCTCTTCCTCACTTCCTCCCGATCCACTCACCCAAAGCCCCATCTACCGCTTCCTTCGCATCGTGGGCTCAACCTATCGATATCACTGCCACTGTTCTGTCATTGTCGCTGTCAGTATTTCTGAATACTGCACAGACACTACCTTTGCTTTCTCTGGATGTGATCGCTGCACTGTGGCATCTGACTGCTAGCTGTAACCCTTGCAAGGAGCAACAAAACAAATCTAGGACACCTGGGTTTCCATAATCGTTGTTTCCATAACGATTGTTCCCGTAATGGACTGCGGCCGCCCCTCCCGAGACGCAGGCTTTCAAGGCCTGTCCATGCAACTGTGAACAGAACTGTTCCGTTTTTCTTTTTTTTTGGCTGGGTAGACTATCAGGTCGATTCTCACAGGCGCTGACGCTCTCGGGACCTGCCCTGGCCTGCAGCACAGAATATGCGGCGGGCTGCATTTCGCCGCCCTCGTCGGGCCCTCGTCTGGCTCTCGTCTGGCCCTGGTCTCTGCTGGCTGGCGCGCCTGGCTTCCCCAACACGCCGAATCTCGGCTGGTCGGTTTGCCGAGATCTCCCATCTGGCCGCGCAGCCGAGCACTCTTCCCTTCCAAGCCAGCACGCACTGTCTCGGCGATAGCACCAGCAGCATCCAAAGCTCTCCTCCGATCTCGTTTTCATTAGCCGTTCGGTCACTTGATCTGCTCTCATCGCACACAGTCGACTCAACATTGGATCGCACCGACAATATCCTTCGTCTGCGCCGCCGCTGCCTCCGCCTTTGATCCCAGCGCACAAGCTTCTTTTGGAGAATTTTTTTTTGTCTGCTCCATTCTTTGACCCATCCGCTGTTGACTTTGTCGCCTCACAACCCATCGTTCGACTTTTCAATTGCTCCGAATATCCCTTGATTGTCCCCCCACTGCCTCCACACACTCGAAACATCACCACCATGATCAACATCCAGGAAGAGCACACCCGCAGCGCCTCGAGCCCAACTACTACCCCTCCTCTGCCTCGCTCCAATGGCGAGCAGCCGAAAGACTCAAAGCCCGCCGCGCCTCAGGCATCGATCGACATCCCGCCCAACGAGCTTCCCCAGGGACACGACCCAAGAATCGGCCTTGTCAACGGCAGCGTCTCGCTCCCGGTCGCCCAGCAGCAGCAGCAGCAGCAGCATCACCATCACCACCATGGCTACCATGATATTGTCTGTGCACATCTATACCATCATGGTTTCTCTCAGGGTCGCTATCACGACCTTGTTTTGCGTTTCGAGTGTCCCCCCACCGACGATCGGACTCTGGCGCTTGATCGTGCGGCCCTGGCGGCTGCAAACTTCAAGCTCCACCGCATTGTGGCCTCGAGGAGCCCCTTCCTTTCGGCACGTCTGGAAGCTTGCGAACAAGAAAGGTAATGTCGCCTGCCGAGCGCTGGATCCGCGTGTCGGTTAATTGGGCTGCTATGATCTTTGTGGCTGCGATCGGGCCGTGCTCACGACTTGCCACATTGATTTGGCTGTGCCCATGGCTCCAGCATTGTCTGTCAGGAGAGTGGTCGTTGGAGCAAAGGGTAGACTGGATCGGATTCCAGCCATTCTGGCATTCACACACATTCTCCCAGCCGATCCGGCCAATCTATCAGTGCTTGCTGCAGCAAGCAGATGCTGCTAGTCTAGAAACTCCCCCGTTGGAGCAGCATCCAGGTGCAGTGACTGATGGCTCCATTCTCTTTCTCTGATCAGATATTCGCTTCCGCTGACAATGACGGTTGAGCTGTCGGACCCCAACCTCACCGTCGAGGGCATCACGATCGCACTCGGGCATCTCTACGCCGGATATGCCCAGAGCCAAATGATGGGCCACTCATCTCGCATGCTGCGGTCGCTCCTGTCGGCCACACAGCTGCTCCAACTGTGGGATCTGCAGAACATGGTGTGCGAGTGCATCAAGAACGACATGTCTCGAGAGACGGTGCTGGACTACTGTCGGTTTGTAAGCCAGCTGCCTGATGGCACTGGATATGGCCTGGCCAACCAGAAGATCCGCGACTTTGTCTACCGCTTCCTCACCAAGGGCATCGTGCGAGAGCTGGTAGACGAGCTCAACTCTCCTATCTGGGGCAACCGTGGCGGAGAAGGCTACAAGGGGCTTGTCCGGATGTTCTCCAATCTGCCCTTTGAGTGGCTCAAGAAGGTGGTCGAGAGCGAGCATTTTGAAGTCCCCAGCGATATGGAGAGGTACGTCGCGCTGGTGCAGTGTTCTGGGCCGATATGATCCCGGCGGCGAGCGGTGCGGAAGCTGGACATTGGCAACGAGGCCCATATGACCAAAGTGATTGCTCGGGTGGCCCGGCGTGGTATCCTCGAGTTTTGCCAAGATTCAGAAGAATCGGGATTGAGTGGGTAATGGGAGGGTGACTGGTGCACGAACATTGCGAGATTGGCAAAGTGCTAGGGCAACCGCGGATCGAGTACCAATGCCAACTCCATCTGCTGCAGATACACTTTTGCCAAGGACGTGATCGGTCTGAGGTCCCAGCGACGCAAGGGAAGCGCAAGCGGACATGCAGCAGGTGAAGAGAACGTGCTGTTGTCCTTTGGCAGCGGCAAGACCCGGGGCAGCGAGGTTACGATCGTGCGGAAGGCGCAAAGCAAGAGCCGCCTGGCCGAGTCGGGACGAAGCAGCGTCGGGAGCCACAGCAACGGCGCCGAGCGCAAGGTGTGGAAGGCACAGGCTCTGTGATGCCGCCCGCTGATAGACCGCAACAGACGATGGCGGGTCTGGGTTTGTTGAATGATGCCGGAAGGCCGGCAGGTCTGAATCGATGCGCGCTCGAGACGACTTGCAACTCGAAGGCTTGTGCTCTGGCTGGGATTAGCGTCTGAGCCGGACGGCACCAATACGACGGAACAAACGGCGTCGCAGGGACTTCGCGTCCTGGCAATAGCCTCCGCCTGAGCACTGTCGCAGATCCGTGGGGGCTCATGGATACCATGGGCCAATCCTGCTCCGAGGACATTGATGTATCGTCCTGGAGGTGCCCTTTGGATCGTGAATAGACACGTTCACAGAGCCATGCAGCACCGCCTCTATCTATCGACATCGCGGATACCGTCGATGATTCCTCCAGGTATCCAGAGCAGCTTCATCCACCAAGACAGGGGCACATACATGGGGTGGGTGAGCCTGGTAGGCAGTCACCGAAAGCGTGCCAGCAACCGTGCCGTTGATGCCATGTGGCGAAGTTGTGATGGAGAAGGTGGCGAAGTGTCTGGATATACGAGGAGTGATGTGGGGCGATGTGACGAAGGACAGATTGCCAGAGATTGCGATGGATATGTGTGGGGTGGGTGGAGTGCTATGGGTTGCGCAATGGATGGAGCGGATGGAGTGGGAACAGGGGGCTGAGTCTGGCCGCCCTGAGGCGGAAATGTGCAAGGCCCGGCCCAGCACAGGATGACAGAACGGCAAATCAGAACGGCAAATCCGGTCACCCACAGAGCAGATGGCCACGAGTATGGGCCGCGTGCAGCGATGGATCCGGGGGAAGAGGGCGAAAAAAAGACATTTGGCGCGCACGGTGCCGAAGCCGACGGGACACATGCAAAGTGCAAGGAGATGCAAGATGCAAGGAAGTGCAACGGAAGTGCAAGGAAGTGCAACGGAATGCAAGGAAGCGCAGCAAAGGCCAAGGAGACGCAAACAGACACAGCAGCCCCGCGGAGTTCGCAAGACGCATTTGCACATCCGTTTACATTTCGGCCAACCATTTCGGTCAACCATTTCGGTCAACCATTTCGGTCAGCCATTTCGGTCAACCATTTCGGTCAGCCATTTCGGCCAGCCGGGCTGAAAACGCAACAGACACAAGGAGCGCAGACACAGGCCCGCTTGTCTTTTCCCGGCCGCCTTGCTGGCCAACCACGGGTGCGCCACGTCCGCGCTCCTATCGCCGTCGTTGTCGTCCGCGCCAGGCCGAGGCGGGCTCGCTTGGACCGAAGAGAACTCCTCTGGTCGCCGTCTCAGCCAACTGTTGTATCCGTCGCCTTGGTCGTCGTTGCATCGTTATTTGATACCACTAACGCTCCACGTAACAACCGCAGCTGCAACCGCAGCAACAGCGCTTCAGTATCCGTTGCCGCGCCTCTCCCGCCTCGCCTCGCCTCCGCTGCCCGCCACTGCCACCGAGGCTTTCTCGTCCTGCCCTCCAGACCACTCCCGTCGTTGCATCGGCTCTGTTGTCCACCTCGGCCTATTTTAGCCCAGCCAGTGTCCTCGGGCCTCACTCGCTCTCATCCTCGATCTCCCCAGGCCGACTTCTTTGTTCGTCCGATCCCATCCTGTCTTCTCCGACCCCCCATCATCGGTCTTGCACTCCTGTCGCCGCTAACATGATCACCCCCGCCGTTAATCCACGAGACAAACAACCTGTGGGCTCTCCAGCCGTGGCCTTCACCCCTGCCATCAATCCCATGTCCTCGACTCTCTCGCCGGCTTACACCCCAAACATGGCCTCACGCCCAACCCCCATGCTCGCCTACGAGCTCGAGCGCCTCAACTTCAACAGCCCGGCTCTGCCACCCACTGTGAACCTCGAGGAGACCTTTGATCCGCGCGACCAGGCCAGCTCCACCATGGCCGCTCTCGGTCTTCCCGGCTCGTTCAACTCCCAGTTCGTTGGGCATCCATCGGCCTTCAGCTCGATGGCTGCGTTGGAGTCGCCGCTATACCCCTTCGTGCAGAGCCCCGCTGTCGTGCAAGCGCCGCCCATAGGCACTCCATATTCGACTATGAATGTCCCGTTTCCTCACTTCTCGCCGGCACTGCCGCCCGCCGATCACTCGCTCCTCAACCCCTCGACCGACCTGCAAGCATCGCTGCTCCACAGCCCCCATATCCTGCTCAGTCCCTCGGCCGGCACCTCGTATTTGCAGCCGAGCCCATATCTGCAGCCAGCTGCAGCTGCGGCTGCGACCTTGTCGGCCCCAGAGACTCTGGCCTCGACCTTTACCCTGCCACAGGACCCGAGTTTTGCCCAGTCCAACTTTTTCGACGCCCTTGACGACCCGCTGCTCATGCCAGGGCCAGCCCAATTTGTCAGCCAGCCTCAGGACGACCTCGACTTGCAGGCCTTTCAACAGCAGCCACTGCAGCTCCAACAACCACAACAACAGCAGTTCCAGCAGCAGCAGCAGCAGCAGTTCCACATTCAAGAGCAGCTCCACTTCCCACAGTCGCAATTCTATGGCGTCGGCACCCTCCAGTCGCTGCCTCAGATCATCGCCACCATGCCCGACGATGCCAATTCTGCGATCATGTTCACTCCACGAATCAGCGTGCTGTCACCGGACCTGTCTGCAATCAGCCCGCACATTTCGATGATGAACCAACAGCTCCCGCTCACTATTACGTCGCAGACGCCGCTGAGTGTGCTGTCGCCTGCCCTGCTTTCCGTCATCCATACGCCGATCCAGCCCTCTCCCATCGACTCTGGTGAGAATCTGTGACTTTTACTATAACGATCAGACGCCGTTGCTCTAGCTGCGTCTCCGGTCGTGTATGCATCTGCAATGTCTGGTCGAGCATGCATGAATAGGAAGGTGCTTTGTGAATCTAATCTCTCCGCTCGACTCGGCTTCGGCATCCATCGACCGTGTTTCCCTGCTAGAATGGTCGTATGCGGGCTCCAGCGCCTCACCGTCCCTGCTGGTCTCTGAAGAGCTCGATGCCGGCTTTGATTCAACGGAGCTGGGTGATGAGGAACTCGATTCGCCTTTGCTTGAAGATGGCGCTGCGTCTGCAACCACAACAAAGGCCAAGCGACACGCATGCACCTATCCCGGCTGTAACAAATCCTTCACCAGGATGAACAACCTGAAGAGCCACATCGACGGTGCTCACGAACGTAAGGGACTGCTGCTCAGCGATTCTGCCTATGCATTTGCTCTGCCCCCCCCCCTCCTGATGCGATCTGTCTATCAGCATAGCCCGCTGAGCGCCATGGCCATGGACTTGCACCGTCGCCACTCCTGCGTTGCTGTCTCACTGCCTCATGATTTAACGCCTTTCTGCCGCGTCGTCCTCGATTCTTTCGTCGACTCGTCGAATCCACTGCGCCAATCTTGATCTGCCACAGATGTCCGCAAGTATACGTGCCCTGGATGCAACACATCCTTTGTTCGCCAACAGGACATGGCGCGACACCGGAAGCAAAACTGCCGGCAGCTCCGCCAGTCCAGCACGGTTGCTGCTGCTGCTGCCGGAGGATCGTCGCCAATAGCGCGCTATGTGTGCGAGGACTGCGGCCGCAGGTTTTGTCGACAGGTACGAAAGCCGGTCTGGTGATGCGCGACGGTCGCATGTGGTGGCTCGACGCTTCAGTGTCCCTAGCGCCTGCATGAGATATAGATGGCAATGGTCAGTCTCCTTGGAGAGGCATGTCCTGATGTCGAGGTCCTTCGGATGGTTGCTTTTGGGTGTCTGCGGCTCTGCGATCTTCCTCTGACACCCATGCTGTCGTGGCCTTGTTTTTGCACAGGACGCTGTCCCACGCCACAAGAGAAAAAACTGCCCACGCCTCAAAGAACACCGTGCCGATGCGCCGGCGCAGGACGACGATCAGTCTATCGACCATCTGGTCAACCATCCCACCGACTACCTCCAGCAGTAGTCACATGCTGACTCGATCGGTCGCTGCACTTGTCCTCTTTGGCTGTCACACACATCAGTTTATTTCATATATGGTTACATGGCTCGTTTCTTTCGGACTTGTGTCCCCCCCTTTTATTGCCGATGCCGACGAAGCCGCCGTAGCTTATCATCCCGCACATTTTGTGTCTGTGCTGTGTTTATTTGTCGGCGCAGCGTATGGCCGTCCTTTCTTGCTCTCTTTCATTCATTTCGTCGTTCGTTCACTCATTCATTTCGTTTCGCTGTTCGTTCGTTCCGTATTGTTATCGTATGTTCTCGTTTCTTTCATATTTTGTACCTCTTGTTGCCCCCCCCCATCTTTCTCTCCGTTCATCTTCCTCTCTTTGTATTTCCATGTATAGATTCGATTTGGAGCGATTACGCCCATGGATGAGGAAGGCTTCACGGCTCCTTCCCCCCCCTCCTCTGTTTATTTGTAATCTTTGATCATCTATTTTGGGCTTTCCGGGAGGAGATCTCCATTCCAATTGGAAATGTACAATCTATCCAAAAGAAAGTGGAAGTGGAAGCACAGGGCCAAGGAAACGGAGAGGGTGAGGGGAGAGAGAGTTCACTGCTCCTTTGAGCTCAGCATCATCCAGTCGGGACAGGAAGAGGCGAGAACATGGCCAAGGCACGGGCAACAGGGCTTCGCAGGTATACTTGTCAAGCTTTTGGTGCGTCTCCCTGGTCCCGGTTTCCCCAATGCGAATGACCACGACTGCTTTCGAGATCCTCGTTCGATGCTGCGGATACTGTATATTTTGAAGTTACATCATTTTGTACATATCCCCTTGGGCTGGCCAAGACGAGCGATGTGCTGCCTTTTCCGCTCGATCGGTACTCTCCTTTGGTCCCCGCAGCGCCAATACATAGACATGATTAAGTAGCCATAGACGATCCCGTGCTAGCGGAGCGAGTTGGTTAATGGGTCATCGGCGGTCACCAACTTGCCCGGTGGCTCAAGGAGCTTTTGGCCGGGCTTGATCGGGAAACACTTCCAGAACTAACAATATAGGAACAGAGCAGAGGAGAGAGATTAACGTATGCACGGCGATTGATAGCCGGCAGGGAAGGGAGAGACGATCGGCAAACAGTTGCAGGCTCAGTTCACACCACCGACGGTGTTGCGCCATCCTCTGCTCCCTTCCCCTCACGCCCACCTTGAGGTTCTCATCGCTCGCTGCCGTCACTACTGTTTGGCCGTCCGGGCTGAGCGCCATGTGGATCGGTCGTTCCTTGTGTCCAGGCATTGTGCCGACCTGTTCCATCGACGGATAGCTCCACAGAATAAGTTGGTTCTCGTCGCGGTATTGGGCCGAGATGAGCTCTCGATACGACTTTGACCAGAGCACGGCGCAGACTGAGTTATGAAAGTGTAACGAAGATCGATCAAAGATTTAGCTAGCAGCCCACATCCGCATCTCCCTTGTCGCCTCGTGCACCATGCTACAGTGTTCCCGCACTTCCATATTTCTGACGGGGCTACTGGCAGACTTTACCTTGTGAGCCCGTGTGAACTTTCTTCACGCATGTTCCGGTATCGGTATTCCAGAACCGAATACATCGATCGTCAAGACCTCCGCCTGTCTCACACGCAACGATCGAAGGACGAGTCAGTTGGCGGCAGCGAGGAAGGCAGGGCTGTTGATCAAGCAGTCACTACCGCTCCACTTGTTCGTCACCGCTCTCGCCCACTCAAGCCAAGATCATACTTGAGACCGTCGTCAGTCCCGCCGTACACCCTTAGCCAAGCATCAACACCAGTGTTAACTATACCTGTAGCTAGCAGATTGTATTGCCATGGGCACCAGGCTATCGCTCGGACAGCTGCTGAGTGCCCTGCAAGCTCGAGCTTTGGGCTGCTTCTGCCAATCTCCCACAGAAACACTCGGTTGTCGTTTCCGCCGCTGGCCAGGAGCCTGCCTTGAGGACACCATCGCAAGCCCACCACCCGGTCCGTGTGGGCGCCTCCAAAAGTTTGGATCCACTGACCGATCGAGTTCTTGCCGTTGTAGTTGAGGATCTTGCCGGAGCGGTCGCCCAGAGATACAACTCCTTGCCGATTCCATGAGATGGCGCAGACCGGGTATGACTGCTGGCAGCTGAACAGCTTGCCCATGTATCCGCTTCCTGGAGTGACGTCGTAGATGGTGCAGAGGCCGCTCAGGGTTCCCACGGCGACCTTGGTGCCGTCGACGGAGAAGGCGCAGGAAGAGATATGATCGTCGCGGTTTCGTTGGCTCTGAAGTGTGTCGACCTGGCCGGTTGACTTGAGATCAGTTCAGGGTGAGGCGAGTGGGGGGGGCGTGAGTACGAGGTGAATGGGGGGAAGGAGCAGTAAATACCATTAGAACAGGACAATCATCGACATGCAGTGAGTACAGAAGGTCGTTGACGGATAGTCTGTGCGCCATATTGGAGCACCGAAAGAGGATATCCGATCAAACAAGGCGGTTGCTTGCATCCAATGCAGCCACAGGGTCCGAGTCCGTGAAAGAGAAAATGGCCTCGCCTTCAATGAGGCCGGATCGTCGCTCACTGCACGGCGAGGTAAACTCACGTCCGTCCATAGATAGCAGGTTTCGGCGAGACCAACAGCAAGGCAGCCAGAGGACGACCTTTTCATCAGGAGGACACCGGATGGGCGGGGGAGGGTGAGATTAAGTCAGTCACGATGGCGGGCTGTCCGCTGGACGATACAGCACCCTCGAAGAGTTCTCGACTTTGGCGATTTGCATACAGGAACACTCGACATAGAATGAAAGCATATGCAGTTGATGCCACTGGCCATCTGCTGGTCGTTTCCATAGATTCGACCACCACCAGAGCCTCCCTCGCCCTCCGAACTCAAATACCCGGTTCGAGCACTGATGTTATCGTCATGGGCACACGCGACACTATGCTCTCACCAGTCGAGCACGTTGTAGTAAAAGTCGTTCATGAGATTCGGAGCATCCAAGACCCTCTCTGGCGACTGCGGAATGGGTGGGCGCTTCCTGGGCGATGAGCTCGGCAGTCTTGCTGCCAGGGACTCGAAGAAAGAAGCGTGGACCGGCCGACCCCCCAAAGCGTTTGGAACGGGCAAGTCAAAATCCAGAACCGGCCTGTCCAGCCGGAGTCCTGTGGCTTCTGCGACGATATCATCGTGGCTCTGGATGTCGGGCTCTCGCGCTGTTCCCACGGTTGGGGCTGTCGCTGCTCGGCCCCACGTTCGACTAGTGCGTGGGCGGACTGGAGTCGATGGCGATGGACGTGGATGGGAAGATGCTGAGCTCCGTGATCGGAGAGAGGGTGGGGTCTGAGGAATGGGCTGGTAGAGACGGATCTCGGATGGGGCTGGCGATCGTAGATGGCTCGAGAGCGTCGTGGGGTACTGGGCCGATAGAAAGGGAGCGACAAGGGCCGAGGCCGACACTGTGGGGCTCCCGGTCCCAGCACCGGCATCGCTCGATGTCTCGCCCGATGGCGAGCTCGCTGAGGCCGAGCTCTCAATGTGTCCGTATGGATGACTGAAGGCAAATTTGGATGAGGGCGATACCGGGTTTGGGATAAAGCGATCGGGTTGGAAGCCGGGCTTGACTCGCCGGCCGAACAGCTCAAGGATGGAGCGCTGGCTCTTGGGGCCTGGAGGGGCTCGGGACAGGTCGAGAGTGCGAATGCGAGTGCCTTCAACGGGCGGTGGGGTTGCTGGAGAGAGCCGAGGCTGCGGGGGACTGGATGGCGGGGGACTGGGCGGAGCTTCGTCAGCATCGGATCTATCGAGTCGTCTGCGCTTGCTCGGCGGCGAGCTGTCCATGGTCGGATTGCGCTGATGGCCAGCTGGCTGGCTGTGATTGTCGTCGGAATGAAGAGTTCTGCGAAAACCTGATGCTCTGGGTGGGATGCTTGAGGGGGGGGGAGGAATGGCGATGATGGACGCAGATCGATACACATATATCCTGCGGCGAAGGGTGCGAGCTGAAGGGGCCTATCACGACACTGCCCTTGGGTGTCAAGGGGAGGTGTCATCAGCCCACCAGCGGCGCTGATTGGGCGAGATTCTTGGCCTGAGAGTGGAAACTGAGAGTGGCTGGGGGCACCTGATTGTCCCCTGGCACATCCAGCTGAAGGAATATGGTTCTCACAAGTCCCGTATCGATAAGGGACGACCCCCCACACGCCTGACTGCATGGTATTGCCACGACTCCAAACCCAGCAGCCCAAGTCGATCGCTCCCCTGTCTCAGCGATTGATGCCTGCCTTAGTATCCATTCACACAGCTCCCCAGGAAACACGCGCAGACGCTTAATGTGGTGGAGAGGGTTGCTCAAATCGCCGGCCCGGTCTTATCCAACCTCACGATGGAGACGGATCGACCATCGTCTCCATCGCCGGGCAGGCTGAGGATTTATTCCGGTTCTCCATCCTGGCTACCATTTGAACAGATCAGGCGTCCCGGGGTGGCAGAGTCCTGTGGCAATCAAGCCCTGGTGGGCTTGGCACTAACAGGGTTTGCACCGCGAGAGAATTGCTGATCTGTCCGTCAACATACAAGAGCAAGAGGAACTACCTAGGGCCTACTTTGAGATATGGAGCTGACTCAGAGTGGCTGGCGCTGAAGCAGGACTTGACTTGCTCACTGGTATGGGTAAGCCGAGGATGAAGAGTTTGGGCAAGGACCGGACAAGAAGGGGTGGTGTTTCGTTTGGTTTGGTTTGGTTTGGTTTGGTTTGGTGCTGTTGCAAGCGGGTGCCGAAACAGCGTCGGCGGCAATCACATCATCTGCGCGCCGGTGGCTGGGACGTTGGCGAGCTCGACGGAGGAAGGGACGGCTCCGTAGCCGCTAAAGTCGAAGCAGCAGTCACAGTTCGAGACGGAGGAGGCTGGCGAGAGGGCGGAGAAGGATGATTGATCAGTATGAGCAAGGTCGCACTCAGTCAGCACAGTTACGAAAGGCAGCAGGGTGCCTTCCAAGCGGCGCTGATACATACCATATCCGTCGGACTCCGCCTCAGAGGGGACGGAGCCAATGGCTGGGAGGAACAGCCCGGTTTCGTCGAGTGGGAGCGAATAGCAATTGGCTTCCATCTTGGCGAGGGTGCTGTCGTCAGCAAAGGTGGCGTAGAGCTCGTTGAAGGGCGAGGCGGGAAAAAAGCTCTGGGCGGGAAAGGGCAGACCTTCGGTTGGTCGAGGACCGACGGGGAGAAAGTTCATAGCGCCTTGCTGTTCGAGCGGGGACAGGACCGGCGTAGGAAGCAGCGGCAAAACAGAGTTCCAGGCAAGGGTCGCGTCGGATTCGGCCGGAGATGCCTGGCGCGAAGGGACGACCGAGTCGGCGGTGTAGAAGAAAACTTGATCGCTTCCGGACAGAATGGGCGTCCAGGGGTACATAGGAGGAAAGGCGGAGGCGAGGGGATAGAGGGGAGGGGTGAGCTGCTGGAACTGAGAAACCGGGGTGGTGACCAGGCCAGTGACACGCTGAGTCTCGATATCCAAGAAGGGAACCGAAGGAGAGGGCGTAACCGCGGGAGAAATGTTGAATGCAGGAGGGACCGTGGCCGCAGGGATATGAGCGGCGGTGGCGGTGGTGGCTTCGATGTGATTGTGCTGAGCCCGCGGGAGCTTGCGATCATAAGGCTTCGCCCTGTGGAGCGACGGGCACGGTTCCACGGGAGCAGGAGCCAGAACATGAGCAGGAGCAGCGGGACCAGAGGCAGAGGCACTGCTCTTGGGCAGCAGGGCGCGAGCCGAGCAGGTCGAGAACTGCTTCATGTAGTGGTTGTTCTTATGACGGCCGCGGGGCATGATGGTAATAGCGGTGGAAGTGTGTACAGAGGGAGAGGCGATGCAGATGATGGGGGGAGAGTGAATGAATACAGAAGCGAATCCCGAAGCGATGCAGTCGAAGTTGGGAGTGGAGTCCGGGAGCAGAGTCCGGAGGATGGGATGTAGCAACGGATTACGCAATGGGAACAAGAGTTGGATCGAGAATGGAAACGCGGTTGGACGATGGGCTCAAGGTATCGGGATATACTCGAGAATCAGCGTGTGGGCAGAGTGGCTGGGCTCGGCAGTTTCACGGTTGCGAGCAGTGTGCCCGGGAGGGACGAATGGGAGAGGAGCGATCACGGAGACACCGAAGCGACAGAGCACTTGGCGAAAGGGACTGGAGGATCAGACGGGAGGGGCGCCTGGGTGCAGCGTCAGCGAGGCAGGAGCTGGAAAGGCGAATGTTTGGAAGGGCTGAAGCAGCGTGGGGCTGGTTGCTTCGAATGTCAAATGTCGCTGCAAATTTTCAACAGGAGGGCAATGAAAAGCTGAATGTCGGTAAGAGGTTTAACCATAGTACGTGCAGATGGTCGAAGTGGGCAGATCGGATAGGAAGGGCGGTGGAAGGTTGGCCAGCAGTTCCCGGGAGCAGGGCGGAATTTATACGAGCGCGGGTGACGAAGGCCGATCCGGACGGGCGGTCGCCCAAAGGAAAAAACTCTCCGCGAGCGGGCGAGACGGCTCTCGGCGGGCTCTCGGCGGGCTCTCGGCAGGCTTCTCGGTCGCGGGGCCCGGCCAATCACGCACGGCCGCCGCCACGTCCTGGTGACCCGGACGGGCCTGGGAATGTGCTGGGAGTGTGCTGGGAATGTGCTGGGCAAAGGCCTCTGTGCTGCCCAGCCTTTCCTCTTCGTCCGTCTCGGTGGCGGTCCTCGGCGCGCCGCTGCCGCCCTCGCCACCGTCCTCGCCGCCGCCCCGCACCGAGCGAGAGCGCCGCCGAGGAGCCTCTCGGCGGCTGAAGAAAAGTCTGTCCCACCGCCGCGGGCCTCGCTGGCGTCTCGCTGGCGGCGAGAGCGGGCGAGATGCCCGCTGCTGACGTAACGGCGACACACAAGCCACGCCCGCCCACCCGCCAGCCGAGGCGCGTCTGTCCCAGGCTTCCATTTTCGGATCGTGCGCGAACGCAGCGGCGGCAAGGGCGACTGGGCGATTCGGCCCTCCACCAATCCCGTGCTGTACAACCCGTTAGCTTTGGTCGTGGGACAGGGTGCGTGCGGTTGCACCAGACGACCACGCCAGCCGCGCTGCGATTGTGGGTGTTGTGCGGGTGTTGTGCAGGTGTTGTGGGTGTTGTGCGTCCGGCGGCGCTGCGGTGCCCTCAGCGCGACACAAGCGGCGCACGTCGCAAGGGCTGCACAGTGGGTCCGCGCAACTGGGTCTGCATTATGTTGTCTGCAATGTTGTATGTTGTCGATAGAGAATGAGCATCTTGCCATATGCTGCGCCCATCCCACACATCCCGCATTCGCATATCTAGCTGCAGCGCCGACTGCCTGCCGTCGGCTCCAGGGGCATCGTCCAACAGTCCACAGGCCGACCACGCCACACCCTTCGCGCTGATTCGCCACAATTCATCCACAATAACAGCGGCGCTGTGTCGTGCTGTGCCAGGACCGTTGCACATGGATCCTTCCTTGTGACTCTGCCCACTCGCCAGCAAAGAGTCGATTCCCCTAATCTCGACCCTGCAACAGGTGACAGTCCCGAATTCCACCCAATCAGTGACCTGACTGACCCGCGGATTTGTACCGGGCGCCAGGCCGCGTCGACTTGGCAACGGGAGGGGAAAGACGACGCGGACGGCTGCGAAGGTCGCCATGGCAATCATCGCCAAGTCAAGGACCTAGCCGGCCGCCATGGGCCCTGTTGGGTGCAATCCGCCTGCCGCAGTGCACCAGCAACACCAAGTGCGTGGAGCTGGCCAGTCCAAACCGCAATCGAGACCCACGTCAACCACGCCGCTGTTGATGGTGGTGGTGGTCGCGGACAACCGAATGGATCATGTGTGTATATTCACGGCTCATGAGCCGCTGTCAGAAACAACGCAGAGACAAGTTGGAAACATACAGACACCCGCCGGATATCGGCTGGAGGGTGGGAGGGGGGAATGCCATGCTGAACGGACCTGGCTGCATCTGCCCGCCGTCGCTGGGGAGGTACTTCTCGCTGCCGCCGGCGAGGTACCATTTTTTGCTGTCCTATGCCGTGATCGAGTCAGAGCAGGCAGAACAGGGCCAAACAGCAGAGCTCGGCATAGCTGCCAGCGGGCCTGTTCCTTTCACAGGTTGGCAGATTCGACGACGGGAACAACGGCATCTTCACCATGGCTCGGCTCTTCCACGGGCGGCGGATGCTCAGGCTTGGCCTCGATAGCGGGCTCTGCCAGTGTCGAAACCTCGATGGCGGGCCCAGAACCCGCACCGACAAGAGCTGGCGGCTCCTGATCCTCGTCCGCTCGCCCGCTCCCATGTGCCGGTACTAGGCTGGCTGACTGGGGTGGGTCTGCAACAGCGGCGCCGAAATTCGCGGTGTCTTCGGCTGAAGGGCCTGCTGAAGAAGGACCTGCCGAAGGGCCAGCGGCTGCGGGATCGGCCGCTGTACCGTCTGTGGGGGCCGAGGACTCGCCCTCGATCTGCGCCAGCGCCTGTTGCTGTTCATCCTCGGCCCTTTGTTGGTCTTGGATGCTGCGCCGGATGGCCTCCATAAGCATGAGATCATCCAGATCGGCGCCAATGGCTCGCATCACTGAACAAGCATGAAGGTTGCATGGGGTCAGCGGCCAGGCGGCGATTTTCCTCCAATCGAAAATCGCTCAACCACCATCCCCGCTTCACTTCGCTTTGAGTCCCAGAGACTAATTGCCATGGAGCGACCGCCACCCGACTGACCATCAAACCGCGGACTGCGGTGCTCGCGCTGGCCTCGCTGGCTTGCCCGGGCCTCTTCCATCGACTGGGACCAAGTTGTTGCGATCGTGTTGATGGATTCGGGGTTGGCAAGAAGCTGGTCTCTGCGAGACCGTGATTTTGACCGATGCACGGACAGTATGAGTGGCAAGTCCGTCAAGCAGGCTGTGTCGGAACCTCTGCCGACCGGGCACTGCACGCCAACAGTATCGAGCTGCTGCGTTTGATCCCACGATCGACATGCCACGCTCAATGCTTCGGCATCTGCGCCAGAGCCGCCACGATACGTACTGAAGCTGGAGTAGCCGCTGTGAGTGCATTGCCGACCGCATTCTCCGCTCGCGGGCTATTCGCTCCATCGCTTGCTGCTGCTGCTTTTCTCTCCAATTCGGTCGGATGTCGTCTGTGTTTTGAAGCGCATTTGCAAAGAGACGCAGGGGCATTAGCGTATTGCCAAACACACCCGGTTCACAACGACGCAAGTGAGCCACGTTCGACGCTCGTGGTTGTGATTGTGGCAAGGTGCCTGATGCGTCCACGGATTGTAGCATCGGACATAGTGCGACACCCCATGGCCAATGCCTCCCGTTCTGTCCATCTCCGGTGCTGGCTCGCTCGTGCTGCTGATAGGCTTGTCTGGTGCTCTCGGCAGAGGTCATTTGTGTGTGTCCATGCCCTCGGTTGTGCCTTCACAAGGACCCTGCGCTACCATGTCCCGCAGATAACATCCGTCTTGCTTTCGTCCCCTGATGTAGCCGGACAAAGGCCGAGTCTGGCGTCGCTCCTTCATAGACACGCTGGCAATCTCGCCACGCATCGTAAGATGGGCGCCATGATGGCAAATGTACATCGCATTACCACAAATCTCACCTGATGTGACAACGCCCTTGGACAGATGGCTGGTACTGGGCCGTCGTTTGGGCGTCGACGGAGGCGTCAGCGAGTCATGCGAGGCTGCCTCATGAATCTCGTTTCCGCCAGCACTCCTGCTGCTGTGTGGCGTTGCGACTGTGATGCCGTAGCGGGTGTTGAATCCAGGGGAGCCGGGCGGGTCGTAGACGACTCCGAAGGGGGCCATCACGCAGTAAGGGCACGACGCCGGCTCCCACGTCGTCTCGGGTCGTTGGATTTGAACAAAGCACTCGGTGCAGATGGGCTGGTCGCAGCAGCGGGTAAAGTTCATGTTGCGCGGATAGTACTGACAAGGTGGCCAGGAGCGGCACAATCCCGGCCGATGACGGTGTCGGTGTCGGTTCGCATAATGAGGATTCAGCGGGACAGAGAACGGAGCAAGAAACGCGTGAGGGATCAGGACTTGCTGCAGATCCGCACGGGTGTCGAGCCGGCTTACCAGAAAGCATATTGGACATTCAAAGGCGTCCTTGTAGATTTCTTTCATGATATGCTCGGCCTGTGAGGCGGCATCGGCTGACGGACTCGACTTTGTGTGCGACGCCGTTGCCGACATCTTGAGGTTCTGCAGAGAAGCCGACTTTTGCACACGCTGGGCCAGCAACGAGCTGGAGCCGTGGCGGCCGGCCGATGAGTTTTCCTCCCGCCGCATGGGGACCGAGTGGCGACTGAAATGGAGGTGAAACTGTGAATCGGATAGATCCTCGAGGCCCTTGTAGAAAGGAGAGAGCCGTCTGGCTTGGATCAGGCTCTGCACCACCTTGATGTCATAGTCTTGGGGCGCCGTTGAGTAGATGCCATGGGGCACCAGCTCCTTTCATTCGGAATCATGTTGCATGGTGACATCGAGATGGTGAGCCGACAATATCACACCGACCCACCGCACGCACACCCATCGTGGTCACTCGTCCGGGGCGACCGGCTATCTCTGCCCCTCTCCGTAGGACCGAAGGACACGAGGCCAGACTGATCGGGTCATATGCCGGGGTCCTTGATGCCAAGATTAATGCGCTGCGGGTTGGGCATCGCCTTGCAGGCCGCCTGACGGACCGGCCTGCTTTCGCCCGAGGAGCATGACCCTCCCTGTTGAGCATCGGCGGCCGCTGAGGGTCGCACTCGGGCCTTGGGCCAAGACACATTCGGGAGGAGCAGCCAGTGCAAGGGCGTGAAAGAGGGAGAAAGCCTCGCCGCCACTGGACAACCAATGCTGCCGGTACCGTTGACGGATGCCACTGGATGGTGGCCAGGCCACGCTTACCCCTCCATCGACAATCTTGGCTGGGTCGCTGAGCTTGGCTGACGTGTTGCCCATGGTGGATTCGGCGAGGGTGCTGGCAAAGCAGGCCCTTCGGCAGGCGACGGGGAGGGAGAGGCGAGGCGAGCGGGAGGAGCGTCAGGGCTGCTCGACGGCGGCAGAAGTCCCGGACAGAGGAGGGCGGGGCTGCTGGCCGCGTGACGATTTGGCGAGAGCATGCGAGAGCATGCCGAGACGGCCCTCGCCCCTCGCCCGTGGCGTCATGGCCCCTGGCTTGGCGCCTGGTCGCTGGGCGGTGTGGTGGATGGTCCTGGTTGCCGGGTGGTGTGCTAGGCGGCCCTGGGCTCTGGACGGTCTTGTTCGCGGTTATTCTCGTTATTCCTACATATCGAATCTATTCCATCCATGCATACAGGCCTTTCCCATCGTATTACCACTGTCCCGAACACAACCAATATCGTTGACACAGCGGTGCTTTATTCCGCTTGCACAACACATGCAACGATGCAAGACAGGAGGCGAGCCAGCCATCACATCTTGCGAGACACTGGGTCATCCGTCAGCTTGAGTGGCTTGAATTGTTCTTGTATCCTCCGACCCCGCGGCTTGGCGATCCAGCGCTTCTGCTTTTGATCGTAGTGGTACATGCCCTTGTAGATGTACATACTCGGTGATTTCCAGTGGCGATATTCTTGCTCCAGAAGCGCTTCGGTGTTGTACGGGCGGAACGTCGAGCATCCGTCAAGCTCAACATGCACAAGTGGAAAGATGTGCTCGTCCTTGAAGCGCCATGGAGACTTGCATATCCACGTCAGAGTGGTGTTGCCGTGTCCAAAGCCGTCCCAGGTGGTAATGTTCTCAGGAATTACTGCTGTAATGTCGATGAAATACCCGCTGGCAGTGTCGATAACGCGGGCATCGATCATGTTGAGACAGTCTTTGACAATCGTGCGATTGACAAAATGCGGATTGATGTCGAGCAGGGCCGTGTCTGAGATCATGGTTTTGTTGAAGGGGATCAGCTTGACAAACTCCTCCAGCCGCATCTGGACGTCAATGTCGTCGTCAAAGGTCTGGATCTTCTTTCCCCAGTACCACCCCAGAAGCGTTCCATGGGCAATCCAGGCCTCAATGCCGTGCTTCGAGGTGAACTCTGTCCAGGCCTTGAAGAGGGCGCGGAGTCGCTCGAGGCGATACGTGCTCTCTTCCTGGATATTGACGATGCGGACCATGTTGCTTGTTTTGGTTGTATCAAAGCGCGCATCGACGTGAAGCTTGAATGGGGCTTCGTGAAAATACTTGAACTCTGGGAGCTGTATTTCGCCGCTCATGATGGCCGTCAGGTTGATGTCTGGGTGCTGCAGCTGTTGCCGGTTACCGTCGACTGAGGAACTGACATTGACCTCGACAGACTGATTGTCCAGATTTACGGACTCGAGCGGCTTCCTTATGATCCATCGAATACAGAGAATCAGGATAAATTCCAGAACCAGTAGACCAACAAAGTAACGTTGTGACCTCGAGATTTTGAACATCAGAAGAATTGAAGGGCAGAGGTACTGGGCTGCGTGCTTGTTTGTGAGGCGATAATGGCGAGAGTCCGGGATGAGAGATTTGCTTGCCAGGCGACCAGATAATCGAGCGAGCAGGGACGAAGTAATCACTTGGTGGTCTGAGTGCAGTATCTGTGATAGTGGAAAGCGTGGAAGCGAGTGAGGTTTAGGCGGGCGAAGGGAAACGCATAGCGGATTCAAGGGATTTCACATACCAAATCATATATCGATCCCGCGGATTAGTGTCGATAGCGTAGGCGTTCTAAATCAGCAAAGACGAGAGAAATGGACCCGTAGTGATATGGTGGGCTATCCGAAATGAGGAGAATATCGATGCAGAAGCGGGGGAATCTTCGAGGGTTGATATAGCTGCCTCTGCACGACCAGCAAGGGGAATGGAAGGAAGCGAATTGGGTTGCCGATGCTGACGTGGACCAGCGTCGTCACTGGTTTCCACAATCTCGGTGGCGGCTGCGAGAAGGCAGCCCACACCGGCGAGACGAACGTTCTATTATTCTCGGTGTGGATAGGTGGGTCTTGAAGAGAATCGCTGGGGGTAGAACAGCACTGCTGGGGGACAGGCTGAGGCGTTCGATCCGGGCCCGGACATATTGTCTGCTGCGTTGTCGAGAGAAACAGCGACGAATGGGGTCCGGATTGTCGGTGGTGATGGCAGACAATAGGAAGATGTGTCAGGACTGCCAGCACAGCCGGAATACGCAAGCATTACAAGCGCAACATTCCCCAAAGCATCAGGTCAGCCCGAGGCGAGCGCCGACGCCCGGCTAGGGCCGCTACCCAGAGCGCATTGTTGTGGCGGACAATGTGTTGATCGAGGAGTGCAATCAACGGTAGGCTCTGGCGGTGGCTGACCAGCAATGAGGAGCGGAGATGCCAGCACCGCAGACCATATGTTCAGAGAATCTCCCCAATCAGTCTGCCAGCCGGCCGATTCCCAGCCGGGCCGAGCCATCGCGGACACCAATCGCAGCAAATCGTGCGGAGCGGTTTTGTCGTCGGCGCTTGGGAAGACTTTGGACGAGCTGCCTGCAATCGGCATTCCGGCGGATTCCCAGCGAGACAATAGACTTTTGGGCTGGTTGCGAGTCAGGTTCCCGACACGATCGATGCCGCATGTTGCGCACGGAGCGATACTGGTGCCAGGCAAGCGTTCCCACCAGCCCGCACTAAACGGAACGAATGAAACGAAACGAGACATCCATTTCTGAGCGCAGGGGGTGGCTTTTCTCTCGGTTCTGAATACATATCTCAGTATGGCCGAACAATGTGTCCTACGAGACCGGCACTGTGCTCCCCAAACCAACAGCTGGCCGTGGTTGATGCGAGGGATACTCAGGGACACCACTGCCCCGTTTCGTTCTGCACATGCTGCAAACAATGGTGTATTGACAAAAACTATCCCATAACACAGGCGGTTATGGTCATTTACTGGAGGAGCTGGCTGATGGCCTTGCCAAAGGCATGACCTGAGCTCGGGTTCTGGCCAGTCACCAGCTGTCCATCGACGACAACATGCTCGCCCCAGAGTGCGCCAGCCTTCTCGTAGATACCGCCGTGCTTGACGAGCTCGTCTTCCAGCAGATAGGGCATGGCCGCCGTCAGCGCTGTTGTTGAAATAGTGAGGAGCACTGGGATTAGTACTCGCTGTATGGGGTCGGCCAGCAACTTGGATCACCCAAGCTCGGCCAGCGCAGCGACAGACTTACAAACGGCATCCTCCTCGGCGTTGCTGAAGGCTGTGAGCTTCTTGCCGTTGACCAGATAGCTGCCGTTCGAGAGCTTGACGTTGATCAGGGCAGCAGGGCCATGGCAGATCGCGCCAACGACTCCACCCCGCTCGTAGACGCCGGAGATGATCCGAGCCGACTCGGCATCATAGGCCAGGTCAAAGACGGGACCATGGCCACCGGGGACAACGACAGCGTCGTAGTCGGCCACGTTGATGGTGGAGAGCTGAACGGTGTTGTTGACGGCCGCCTGGGCGACAGGATCGACGAGGAACTTTGCGCACTCGGGATCAGCCTTGAAAGCATCGGCGCTTCCGGGGTCCATCGGGGTCGCGCCGCCCTTGGGCGAGGCCCAGGTGATCTTGTGGTGGGCCAGGACATAGTAAGGATGAGCGACCTGCGGGATGGAGGTGCGCACGGCAGCAGCGAGTCGATGGGGGCGAGGCAATGACGGAGAGCAGATTGCGATGTTAGCGACTGCCGCCAGTCATGAGTCGCGTTGAGCGGTCTATGGTGCGAGAGCGATCGACGATCTCCGAACCCGGACAAACGATGGATAAGATCACGGCAGCCGCTATGATCAAAACATGGCGATCTCATCTTGTGCCAGAGCCAGCGAGGGCGGCGCCGGCAACATCGATCGGCCCAGACGACCAGAAACAAAGCTGCACGACGCGCCGATCGCCAGGAAAACCAGAGCGAGCGCGATGGCCAACGGCACAGCACATACCTCGGGGAGATACCAGCCGGTCTTGTGGCCGGTGGAGCCGAGCTCGGAGTGCGAAGTGAGGACGAAGAGGATGTTCTTGGCCATGGTGGTGGGCAGTGGGGCTGGAGATGATCAGATGCCGATGGGGTTGTGTGCGGTGCCTCGCTGTCGATCCGCCGCGGCGGGATTTTTATCCAGGAAGGCTGACAAATGGCGCGTGGAGGGGCGGCTCTGATCTCCTTGCCTGGGCGATCCTCCAGGTTCTTCGATTCGCATAATCCCTTGCCGGCCCGCCGGCCCATTTCATCCGGCAAGGATCGCCATGCGGGATGAATCGTCCAGGATCATCCGTCGATCCCGCGAAGCAATGCGGGGTACTGCGGCGTGCGAAATGCCGCCGGGAGCCCCTCGACCAGATGACAAACCACGGCCGTGTGCCGAGATTTGAAATGACTGCATCTGGGACGACGCACTGGTGGTCGCCGGCTCCTCTGGAATGGACTCGCTGACCTGGAGTGGAGTGGAATGAAGTGGACTTGGTGCCCTGGAGTGGAATGGAATGGACTTGGTGCTCTGAAACAGTATGACCCGCTGAGTGCTGGGCGAGCTCGTGGTCCAATCGCGGCACCGAATCCAAACCTGTGCTGCGCATGGATGCATCCGACTCGAATGCGTGCACCGCGCCAGTGGATGCGCAGCGGCTCTGTGTCTCGACGCGCAGTGCCGCGCCACATAAACGCGCACATGATGCGCGCAGCTGCGTCACACAGTGTCCGGCAGCGCGTCGCAGCCACAGACCGTGCAGCGTCCATACAGCCGCGCGACACAGCGACACAGCAGCGCGCTCCGGGCGCGTGTTCCTTTCCCCTCGTCTGCTGTCCCTGTCGCGCTCGATGCTCGAGTGGTGCGGCGAGCGGCTGGTCGCGGGCGGCGTGCTCGTCGCGGTCTCGGCGCTGGCTCGCCCATGGCGTCTCTCGCCGCGTGTCTCGCGTGCTCTCGCTGTGTCCTCGGCGCATCCTCGACTGGCCCTCGGCGCGCTCTCGGCCTTCTCGCACCACGTTCCATGCCCGCCATGCCCTCGGTGTGCTCTCGGTGCCATCTCGGTGCCATCTCGTCTCTGGCTGTCTCCTTTGGCTGTGTCCTTTGGCCCCAGCCGCCTTTCCCTTCCAGTCTTTCCTGTCTTCGTCCAAGCTCTCCAGCCGCTTCCTCCTTCCTCCTCAGGGCTCTGCCTTTGTTGCCGCCGACGCTTTCCTCCCGCTGCTATATAACTCCGTGCTCTTCCTCTCCTCCAGCAGCCCCTCATGGCCACGGCTACCATCGACTTGATGGCCATGGACCTGTCCCTGGAGACCACCGCAGAGCAAATGACCTTCCTGACCGGCGGCGACGACACCCCCTCGCTGCATTCGGAGACTCCCCCCGACTCGCCCGAGCTCCAGGTCGGCCCGGTGCTGCCGCTGTCGCCTCCGGCGTCGTTCGAGGAGGTCTTGAGCCAGAACCGCGAGTGGCAATCGCAGCCCCCGTATCCAACTCCACCCCAGTCCTTCATTGCCCCCAAGCCGTCACCGCCTGTCAAACGGCCTGGCTTCCCGCTCCGACACGATGGCAAGCTGGACCTGGCAGCGCTGCCGTCGGCCATCATCGAGGCCATCGTTGCCCAGCTGCCGTCGCTCGTCGACAAGAAGAACTGTCTGCTGGTGTGCAGGACATGGTCCAAGGGGGCCTCCAAGGCCATCTACCGCCGACCCCATCTCCCCACGATCCGCCACTTCCAGGATCTTGTCTACACTCTCCTGCGCCCAAACCTGAGTCACCCGTACTCGCGGTGGGTCGAGGAGTTTGTCATCCGCAAGGAGCTTGACGAGGACTTGTTCATGGGCGACATCGACGTGGCCCTGCAGCTCTTCTATAACCTCCAGGCTTTTCACATGGAATATTCGATCTCGGCCTCCAACGTCCTCGTCCAGTCCCTCGCCGACCACAACCGCAATCTCCGCTGCATCAACTTGCGCGGCTGTCCCGTATCCGATTCGTATATCCTGGAGCTGTGCCAGAGCTGCCCCAAGCTTCGAACCATCAACCTGGCCGACACTAACTGCACTGCCTTTGTCCTCAAGCACATCATCGACCACTGCGCCTGGATCCAGTCGATTGACCTCGAAAACTGCCACAAGACCAGCATGCCGCTGGAGTTTGATCCGCGAGAGTCGTTCACCCGGCCGCTGCAGCACCTGAATGCCACGAACAGCGGCATTTCAGACCATGTCTTGCGTTTTGTGGCTCTGCGATGCCCCGACATTGTCTCGGCAAACCTGGAGGGCTGTCTGGGTCTCTCGGATGACTCGTTGATTCGACTGATTCAGACAAGCTGTGGACTCAAGTACCTGAATGTTGCCTTTGTCAACCAGCTCACCGATCTCACTGCCATTGCCATCGGCTTCCATTCGTTCGACATCCAAGTCGTTATGTTCTCTGGCTGCGATCTGATCTCGCCCGTGGGTGTCCAGATGCTTGTCCAGCGTTGCGCCAATCTGAAGGAGCTGATTCTTCACGGCTGCGCTGGCATCCTCAACACCTATATCCGAGAATACAGCTCCCGCCTCCACGACATCGACTGCAGCATCCGCGGTCCTTCGATCAAGTGGCTCGCAGGACACAACACCCTCAAAGCCAAGGATGCTCCCGTCAAGGAAATGAAGTCGGAGATGGTCCAGACCGAGTTTGTGGACACCTCGGCCCTGGTGCCGAAGGAGCAATTTGGTAAGTCGCCAACCTGTATCAGGGCACGGACGAAACGGGCGAGGAAAGAAGATGGGCCTGCACTGTTGGCGCGCCGAGGTCTGTGTTGGAGTCGTCATATATGCAGCCCTGATCGATTCTTACCCTCGTCTCGTCGCCGTACCTTCGGCTGGGCCCTTTCTATCCCTTGCAGATGCCTCTGAGATTCTGCTCAAGTTTGCAGAGGCTGCGGCCAGCGGCAAATGGGTTCCGCAGAGCCGCCTTGGCGCTGCGGGAGCCAAGTCAATTGGCACTGCCGGCGACAAGGCTGCTCCCACCGAGAGCGGTGCCTGGGGAAGCGGTCCCCCTCCTCCAGGATGGAACCCCGCCTGGGCCAGCTATGGCAACCCTGCTCCTGGTGAGCGCCGGCTTGAGCGCGAGTCCAACGAGTCTCTGGCATCGTCCGTCAGCTCGACGGCATCCCGATTCCGCTCCAAGATCCCGGGTCTCTCACGCATCCCTACTCCGCCGGCCTCGCCAGATCGACGCTCCGTCGCCAGCAGCGTTGGAAGCACCCCCAGTACCAGCGCACCAAGCGTCACGTCATCGACTGTGTCGCGGCTGCCCACCAGCATGGGCGGCTCCAAGCTCAAGACTCCAACGCGCCTGCCCCTCTCCAAGACGACGCCTACTGCTCGTGCCCCCCTCTCCTTGATTCAGCAAAAGAAATTCGGCAGCTCTCCGGCCTCAAGCGGCCTCGCAACTCCATCCAAAACGAGCACCGGATCTTCGACGCCAAGGACGCTGTCCAAGAGAACCAGCAGCGGCCCTGCGCCTACGCCTTCCAAAACCTCGACCCCTGCGACGCCGAGCTCGGCCTACAAACCCCGCCAGTTCAAAAAGTTCAATGACGACGAATTCGCCTCTCCTCCACGCTCGGTCGCTCGTCTGAATGACTCCAAGCCCAGCACGGGCTCATTGAGCCGCACGCGCAGCACCAGCAGTGGATCCAAGTCGACCAGCCTTGCTGGCGCCTCTTCGTTCTCGTCATCGGCGTCGCCATCATCATCGCTGAGCACCCGCTCGCGAAGCAGCAACAACGACGCTGCTGAATCTACCTCCAATACCCCTGGACTCAAGAGAGTCAAGAGCGGAACACTCAGATCCGTCTCGACCTCAGTCTCGTCTTCGCGGACCTCCAGCACTTCGTCCACCCCTGTCACCCCACAGTCGCCGTCCACTCCCTCCAAAGCCGCTACCAGCAATCTCCCTGCCGTCACTCCAAAGTCGCGTATGACGGGCCTGAAGCTTCCGACCCCGGTCAAGAAAATCTCGACCGTCATATAGCCGCACGCTGCAGCCCATGGGCTGAGCCCTGTTCAGTGTCGTGCCTTGCCTTTACTCATGCGTCTACTCATGCGTCTACTCAGTCAGCACTATCGCCCAGCGAGCTAGCTTGCAACGCTTAATTTTGCTTTCCTGTTTGTTCCCTGATCACCGCCTTACTACTACATCTCACAAACGAGTCCTTCCACCGTTGTTTTGTCGCTCGGCGTGGCCGGTCTAATTTTGCTGTTTCCAGTTGATACGCCTGGCTAGATTCATGTCTTTGTAGAGGCCACATCTCCAAATCTATCGCTCCCCCCCCCTCGTCACTTCCACCTCCACCTCCACCTCCACTTCCACTTCTACTTTTACTTCCACCTCCACTTCCATATCCTCCATGCCCAAAGCTGGAACTGTAAAGTCAATCGAGACAGCTCGGCTCAGTAGCTGCGGAGCGTCTCATTCCATCTGTTTGATCGTTTTGCTTTTGTTTTGTCTGTTCATTAGTCGGTTCATTCCTTTGCTGACAGCGCACCCAACACGAAATGGGAGACCCCCTGTTCGAGTCAGGGTTGTCGCTTTATTCTGAATACACACCCATCCACCATGGCGATTTGCAGCTGACATCGTCGGCCGAGTCCATCGCAGCATTCAATCCACCTGCCTGTCCAGTATGCCCCCATGTGATCTACCCCTGTGATCTACCCATGTGATCTGCCCCTGTGATCTACCCCACGTGCATCGCCCATGCTCACCGGCAACCAGACCCAGGCTCTCTTGGCCGTCGCACGATTGTCCAGCACCCATTCCAGGAGTCACCCTCCAGCGGTTTTGATGTACTCATCATCATCATGGCAACCCAGCCACCGACCCTCGTCCCGGCTACTCTTCCTGTTCCGCTCGCCTTGAACAGCGCCGAGCCTCGGCGGACTCGCACCCTGAGCGTAGCCGACACAGACTTCAGCAAGGTCAAGGAAGAGTCAGGCGCGTCCAAATCGCAGATCGAGGTAGGTGGGATGCGTTCTCGGACCCGCAAGGAAGGACTGCATTGGCCGAGCTACGCCTACAGATCGAACTTCCGCATGGAGTATTGTGAGCGTGACAAGCAGCCAACGGCCAAGGAGGACGCTGACATCTATGTTTCAATGGGGCCTGGCTCTGGGCCGCATCATTCTGATATCGAAAGCACGCTGAGCGACAATACAAGGAGTTTGTTGGCATCAGGCGCATCCAGAACCAGCCGCATCTGTTATTCGGCGGGGAAGCTGCTGCTGGAAGCCTGAGCGAAATCGAGCAGACGGCAGAGCTGATCTTCCGGGCCAAGAGTGAGCTTTTGAAGGCAAAATCGCAGCTGGCCAAGGAGAACGCCGACAGGGTGAGCAAATCCCCAATTTTGGGCTTGGCTAGGATGCGTGTAGCGTCGATGTGCGCTTCCGCGGTTCACGGAGATACGAATGAAGCATGCTCAAATGGAGCATTACCGCTGCAATTTGTTTATGCAATTATCCGCCACGGATGCGACGCACTTGGTCGTTGAATGCGATACACTCGATGCATTTGGTCATCGATGGCTACTCGAACCGTTCAAGGCCAAGCGCGAGACAGAAAGGGACACCTTGCTCAAGAAGAAAGTAAAGGAGACCAAGCAGACGTACTTCTTCAAGTCCAATCTTCTGAAAGGTCAGTGTCTTTTGTTCAGCCCCATTATCATCCATATTCCCCGTTGCACTCGCTGGCCCGATATGCTTGATATATACAGCCGCTGCCTCACTTGCGGCGACGCGTCCTTGATTCTCACTCGGCTTGACGTCCTCGACCCATCCAGCTGGACCCTCGTGCGAATACCACTTTCTATCCGTTTTTGGGTTTCCGGTCCACGTTGAGCTCCTCGAGGACTTCATATACTTGGTCTTCACTCACAGCAGCTTCATAGGTTGGAATGCTTCTACAGCTGCCTTCGACGGAATAAGTGCTTGCCCATCATGCTGCAACTGAGCCAACGCGTTCTGTCCATTGACTGCGTCGTCATCTGCTCATATTCAGAGGTCTGGACATGTGAGTGCGGCAAGCCCGACAAGAAAATCAAGCTGTGGTACTTGATCCAACTTCCTATTGATGTCATGACGGCGGTTTGCAAACTGGAGACCGAGCCAGTTGGCAGATTGCTTGTCCGCAAGACTACAGTGACCGAAGCTGTCGGAGGCTCGATGGAGAGCGGGTCAGCAGAGGGTGATCCGAGCCAGCAAAGCTCATCCTTGGCCAATCTACTCTTGGCACAACATCAACATCAACAAAAGAGCGTCCTCCACGACAACAAATCAAAATCCATCGAAAGATTCTTTGTGGGATGCCGCTCTGGCCAAGGCATAATTGTCTCGATCAATGTTGCTTACAACAAGGAATTAAGCGTATTGGTATGGACCGCCACTCTCCTCCTTCCAGATTGAGCGAGCTCGATTGCCGTGAATTTGGTCATCAATTTCACTGGATCGGATGGTATCTTGCGGATCCATTTCCGTGTTTTGTTTCCACTCTCATTTCCGCCTCTATTCTACCGATTTGATGATGTCCTGACGTTTTTATGCATGCTCCCCTGCATTCTCACCGGCTCGTACCTGCTCCTTAACAAAATGGCGCCATCAGATGGTTGATCACAGCCTCGAGGCCGTCCGGCGACTCTCCGTACACTCTATCAAGTCTGTAGTCCACTGCTCAGCAACACAGCAGATCGTCATGATCGTCTCGCATGTGGGGCCAGATCATGTCGTGGCTGCCTTCGATTATGGACTGAAGGACGTGTGGCAGTGTCGATCGGAGGCACTGCGAGCTATCGCCAACGAGAAGCAAACCAAAGTGATATCGCAAGAGACGTTTGATTATCCCTGCAGCGACAAAGACAAGCAGTCGGCACGGCCAGGTGAGATTGCACAGGGCGATGATGACTTTGAGGTTTGATGCTCTGGAGACCCGCTCTGACTCGTGCTTATCCTCTGATCAAACTTAGAGTACATTGTGACCGCCATGTGCGCTGACGAAGCAAATAAGAGCATCTTATTGGCTGTCAAGGGCGGTACACTACTTCGAATTGCTTACGAGCGGAAGAAGCTCAACACCGATACCGACGACTCAGACCCAACCCTAAGCCAGTTCAAGTGCGATATCTTCATATCGTGGGCTCTGGATGTACGCATGTGCCTCCGCAGGTTCATCGTGTTTATGAATACCCCGGGACTTGTGGATTAATATCGCACCTGGGGGAACACACTTTCGTGTGTCAGAAGGCAGCAGTGTCGAATGCGGCTGCGTGCTCCTCATATCCCCCGCCTGTGCATACTGGCGATGCATGACAACCGGGCTCGCCCTAACTCTGCCCCATAACACTTGCGCCTCCTTGAACAGATCCAGCCTGCGCGCACAACCGAGTTCAAGGACCTCGCAAGTAAAAAGAAGGCGAATGCACAGCCTATCAATGTCAGTGCTTCTTGGTCTGCCTCATCCGCACAATCCCGGTAAACCAACGGAGTACATGATCTGCTCATCCCTGATTCCATTTTGATCGGCTCGACACTGCTTCTCCCGTACAGATTACATCGGTGTGCTGTTTTGTAAACTCCACCACAAATGTGTCGGGCCTTCTGATTGCCTGTGACGACGGTTCGGTTCGACATCACTCCGTTAGCGTTACGGGGCTACCAGAGTATGTCGGCAAGAGCCTGAAACGTTCTGAGCAGGAGGAAGGTATCGGAAGCATGAGAGGCGACGCTGCTTACCCGATCATCGTCAATGCTGGGACCGACATGCAGTTTATAATGATATTTTGCAACGGTAAGTCCACCGAAACCTATCCGCTGTGCAAGCAGCATCAGCCGCTTGGTGGTGATGCATTTACTATCAATAACACTTGATGGTGTATCCAGGCATGCTCTATATCTACGACATTGCTGAAGTCGAGCCCATGGTCGAGCTGGGTATTCTCTTGGATCGCAGCTCCAAGCTCTCAAGCGACGTCAAGACCCGGCGGCTGAGGCGAATGAGCATCCTCCACGAGAAAAAGGGTTGGATCGTCCTGATCGCTGGCAAGGGATGGAGCATCGTCAACATCGAGGGTCTGTTTGGATGGCGAAACATCATGAAGATGGAGTACAAATCGCCAAAATCGCGAAAGGGCCAACGCTCCAGAGCATCCGCCAAGCACATAGGACAGCAGGATAGCGTGGCAACCCAAGAGGGCACTGAAGGCGGCGAGACCGTCTCGGCCCTGGATAGTGAGAGCGGCTCGAGCAGCGAGGAGGATTCGGAGACTGGCGATGACACTGCGTCTGTGATTCCGGGAGACGGAGAGGATGTGAGCAAAGAGTGATAAGGTTATAAATTCTCGCTGCCCAGTGTTCAGCACCCAAGGAATCGGTGCGCTTTAATCCAGGATCTCCTGTCGCCAAGGCGAGGCGCGGGCAGATAAGCATCAATGGTCTGGAGATCGATCATTGTTGCTCACAAGGTGATGGAGATATGTTGGCAATGCGGTACACAATATGTCCCAGGATTCGCAATCGAATGCTAGGGCGCCTAGAAAGTCTGTCGATGGCCCATTGGATGCCTGCCTGTCCACGCGGTTGATTTGCGCACTGCGACGAAGTTATGCTCTGCATTGGCGTCGTGATCCCATCCTGTCGGGGGCAGCGACATCCGGTCCAAAAGGACGATTCCCCCTTTTCATTTTGTGAACATAGGTTTATTCAGTATCCGGGCACAGCATCGCATCTTGAATCATCTTGAAATTCACATACTTCTTAAAGCATGAGAGTCCTGGTTGTGTGGAGGCGGCATTCAGGCGCGAGAGTTCGCGGCACCAGGGATGCTCAGCTTCCCTGGCTCAGCATCGCTTGTTGGTGGAATCAGCTGGGTAGGTTTGCCTTCGACACTGTTTGCCACTTCCATATGCCGGGAGCCCCGGGATGCTCGCGAGCCTCGCGATAGTCGGCTAAGGAGGTTGTTGACAGAATGGTATTTGTGAAGCAAGAGCTCCATGGTTTTGGAAAGCAAGCCAAAGACCAGTACGATTGCACAACTTCCTGCCGAAACTATAGCAATCGCTGACCATCCGATCTGAGCCGAAAGGTAGATTTGTAAAACCAGTTGTGGGAGATCTTGGCAAACCTCATACATGATTCCCAGAAACTGCACATGCGACAAAGTTCGCGCGCGGCGAAGATGCCGTGGGCATTACGGTTAGAGTCAGCGGCTTGATGATCAGCATGTCGACAAGCCAGTGCACTGGGATCTCTGGAGGAGGAGAGAGGCCTCCGATTCACTCTCGAATCGCGAAGATAACACAAGCATCATTGCTGTCATTCTCCCATATGTGACCAAGCACTCAGTTTCGACATCGACTCTGGCGAACCCACCTTGATGTTCTTCCTGAACGCCTTTTTGAGCGGTGCATTGTATCGATCCATCATCATGATATTGGAAGTCAGGATCAAAATAATGTTTGGGTTCAAGGACGACAGGAGTGTAAAGGCTTGAACAGTAAACGGGGAGTGGTTGTAGTATTCCTCAAAGTCCTCCTGTAAACAAGCCATCATCAGCAGCGATACAATGCAACACAGCAGCGATATAATGCGACACGGCAGCGATAAAATGCAATTTAACGACGACAGAGCGGAGCATCAAGGATCAAGGCCGTGGTTCGTTCGTCCGACATTCCGGCTGTCGATCTTCAAGTTGGTCCGCAAGTGTACCACGATCCATGGAACGATGTACACCTTTCTCTCCAGCAGTGTCTCCAAACTCACCAGCTTCCTTGCGTTTCGAATGGTGATGATAATTCCAATCAAGGACATAAAAGTGGGAGCCGCAAGGGTGGTAATACCAACAATAAAATACCAATCTTCCTTCACCGAACCACTAAATCCAGCATATCTAGATTGGAATCGCAACACAGAGTCGGTGTGGGTGATCCGTGTCGAGAGAGATTGAGCACGATCGAGGAAAAAACCGTTTATGTGTTGGACGCGAGCTATCCATCTCGGAATGCCGTCAGTAACCAAAAGTCAGCCAGTAGACCTACCGAACCCAGAACATTATATCAGCCATTGCTTTGAGCAAGGTGATCCCGATGGTAAAGACAAAGGTGTTGTGTCCATACGGATTCTTGTGTCGCAGGTACAAATACACTGTCACCAGTGCCACAGCGTCGGCGCCCATGAACGCGAAGAGCGGGATCTCGAATACATCTTCACTGACGCCACAGTTTGATCCTGTCCACCCGTGATCACAGTAACACTGCGAAAACTCGCAATATCCATGGTTGGAGCAGTCGTTATCGCAGTTCCGAAACCAAATCCACTTGCTCCACGAATTGTTGTTCTACAACGGCCACAAGTTAGTTCGATCGTCGGTACAGATACTGGGCACACAGCTCCCTCTGGCGTCCAAGGAACAGATTGGCAATAATGTGCCCAGCAATCGGCCACAGTTGCTCGCGCTGACACATCTTAACCGGTGTTCCTCGGGGACAGGAGTGAAATCGGTGGAGTCACAGCATATTACACGGCCCTACCTCTTGCACCCAGCGACAGGCAGCATCGCGATCGCTCATGTTTTCGTACTGATTCCAGCTGATGACATTGGTAATGTCGTCGGTGGTCAGGGATATCTGGCGGAAGAACCAGTAGAGCTCTTGACTAGTCGTTCTCAGGTTGGCGTTGATTAGCTTCTGAACGACGATTTGGCTATCTGTTGTTGAGCGAACGGTTACGCACATACGTCGATACCGTCTCGAAAGGCATTCAAAGTGTAGTTGATGGCGTAACCAGCTGTTTCTCATTGGGATACTCACAGTCAGCGCAGTTGACATCACAGACCCCGGCGACGAGTGTTGGCAAAGAAACGCGCTCGAACTTGAATCTAAAGCCATATCCAAATCATTAGCAGCAATTTCCGAGCGCAGCACTGATATTGAACGCCTCAAGAATATCCAGATAGACTGACCAAACGACATGGCCGTTTACCCATCAACAAACAATGTTTGGTGACCCCAAGAGCTACAAACAGCAAGCCAACTGGCGCCGTATACCGCCACTCACAAACGGCAATATGGAGCCCTTTCTACTTACCGGGAATCCGAATAAACACTATAATAGTTGAAAAATGCATGAGGAACATAGAGTGCGAATAGCGCCGGGATGTTGTGGCTCGTCAGAACCGTCACGGCATTTATGAGGTTGGCTTCGCTCTGAGCCCACTGTATATCCAGAGAAAGGGCGTTCGAGTCGATGTGCTGCTGATGGGCACCTGCCCACGATGGATCGATGGCAACCAGGGTTCCGTTTCCGCCACTGTCGGCATGCCACGGTGCCCAACCCGCGGGGAGGCTGGGTAAGAGCGATACAAGGTTTTGCGGAACAGCATAGCGGTACGCGCTGTGGTTGGCTTTGAGCCCCCGATAGGAAGCCAGCTCAGGATAGAGGTCGAGGGCGAATTTTTGCGTGAACCAGCCGACTTGAGTCAGAACCCCGGAGGGGCCTGTATGCGTATTGTGCGGATATGGACAATCATGAGCAATCGATTGGAATCGCGTGGAGGGAGGGTGCATGCAGTCGAGGCAGATGGAGGAGACAATCGCGCTATCGAGCATGGCAGTCGTCCAAGAGCCGCATGGGTCAAAAGTGCTTGTTGCTGGGGAAATGGTTGGTGCTTGTCGATCGGGGCACCTCTCCCGATTCACGCTCAATCGACATCAGCGCCGAATCGATCGCGGGGGGAGGAGGCGACCTGAACACAGCCTTATCCATATGAGTGCCGGTTGAGCGAGCACACCTACCAGCATCTTCGATGGTTCGGTCAGCGCCGGTACTTCTGTTTTGAAGAATCTGCTGACGGATGGGACTGGCATCCACCCAGACCTCTGTTGGGTCGGAGCAGAGCGAGTGTGAGAACAATCCACCACAATCGACTGAAATATCAGCAATGCCCTTGGCAAATAGCAACCCCAAGAACGCGACGCTCGCCGCTCCTACGCATCCAGCTCCCAACATGGACGGGTGCGGCAGCAACTTGGTCAGTGCAGCGACTGCCATTGCAGCAAAGGTACCTAGCGAGGCCATAACCGTCCCATTGGACAGACCATCCCAGTTGTAGACCGAACACGATGGGCATGTCACCATCGAGACGCTGTATCCCAAGACTTCTTCAAGGATGATCTTGATGATGTAGTTGGTGATGTTGCCGGAGGCCCAGTCGTAGTCGTCCAGGGTAACGTTTCCGTAGAAATGGCTTGGCTTGGTGTGGTTCAGACACGACCCTTGGCCCGTGTTGGCTGCAGTGTTGGTGCCCGTGGCCAGGGCCGTCGACATGAATAACGCAAGGAATAGGAGCTCCCGTAACGACAACTTTGGCCGAGAACCCATGGCGACGTTCGACTCCGAGCCACAGGCCGTCCAAAGCATTGGGTTGACAAAGCGTCCGAGAGAGAGAGAGAGAGAGAGAGAGTACAGGCAGCGGACGAGTGCCAAAGCTGATGCCTACCCTCGCAAAGTACCAAGGAGGGCACGGAATATATCTGATGTCGGTTTTTTCGCAATGTCATCCTCACCGACATGATTCGCCTGATTGGGAAGTGGAGGATCCTACGTCGGTCGCCCGGCAAGCAGATTCCCACGTGTCTCAACGGCCATCGGCCATCCGCTTGCCCGAGTCAGAGGGGCTTGCATTGGAAGTTCTTTCCGGGAACCGGCATCCCATCGTTTGCGCTGGCCGAGTCAGATGCTGTGACGATTCTCAGGAACATCCAGGCGCAGATATAGCCACCGAAACAACACGTCTGCTTTCGAGGCTGCAGTCGCGAACATGACACCGAAATCGAGCGGAGACAGGTAATCTCGGTTGCCCGCACGCAAGTGCGAATGAAGAGCGCTACCTGCGTGAAGAGGGTAGCCAGTGCAGCACACACAACTGAGACCCCAAAAATCGAGCCCAAGGCGTTGCCGAGAGTCGCCTTTCGGCCTGCCATCCGATCGCACTTGTGCCTCTCGCGTTTGATGGGGATGCTGTCGATAGAAGGCTGTCGCAGACAATCCAGGCATTGCCCATCTTCCTCGACTGACTTGTGCCACTCGTTTTCGTAAGAAAGTCTTTGGAAAACGCATATCAAGGGCCTCCTGAGCCCAGGACCCCCGAGTGCTTTCCCGTCCTTCAGCAACACAGCGATCGACCTTGTCCAGCTCGATCTCTCGTGCGAAACCATGGCCGAGAAAATGACTTTCCTCACGGGCGGCATCAACCCCGGTGATGGTCTCGAGTCCTTTCTCGATTCAGAGACGCCTCCCGAAAGCCTCGGAATCTTTATGAGCGATCCTCAGCTCAGCAGCGAACCAAGCATTGCGGAGAGCAGCAGGGTCGAGGACTCATCGGAGCCAAGCGACTGTGTGGACAGTGCTGTCCAAAGCGCTTCTCGTCCTCACCCGCAACACGTCCTGCAGCAAGCGCTGGCCTTGGAAAGTATGCACCCCTCTCTTCCTCGGAGGTATCATGGAAAGGTTCCAGAGATCACGTTGCACGGACCACCGAGCAATGCAGCCGAGTCTATCGAGGGTCTTTCTCACGGAAGCTCCGAAACCAGCAAAGCAGCGCCGATCGACCCCAGCGAAACGATGCTATCGCAGGGGATAGGAATGGGCTCGCCCATGGTGTACTCGGCAGAGAACGAGCACTCGAGCTCCAATGCCTATACTCCCGTCGCAGACGATCCCGACATCAGCGCACTCGACACTGAGGACCCAAGCCAGCTGCCTCGATCAATTCTCAATGGCAAGCCCTGCCCGAATGGAGCTCTCCCGCACATGTTCTCTTCTCAGCCAGTCTCCCAGAACCAGCCACAGCGACAATCGGACATGGCACGACGGACTCCTCCCAAAACAACACAGCATCAATCATTCGGTTCGGTATCTCGGCGGTCGTCTGGGGAAGCGCTTGAGGATTGGATTGTGCCATCATCGCCGCTGGCTGGACCAGTTGCTGCCGTCACCGCAGCGACCCTCGACCGACACATCATCCGTCTCATCACTCATTGGTACGTGAGCCCAAAGCCCATACCAGGACATTCAGCCCAGAGTCGGTCGAGCTGCAGCACTCGATGGCACCCCAACCCCGTCCACCTGATGACGATCTCCAAACACTGGTCGCTGCCTGTGATTGAACAGGTGTACGAAAGTATATGTCTCGATGGCGAGCGGCCCCTCAGTATGCTGATTGGCACGCTTCTTGAGGGGCAGTCGTATGCGCCGTATGCTAAATTGGTCAAGAGCCTCTACGTCGCCCGACCGCTCGCCGAGAAAGTCTTGGCTGGAGACCTCGATATCGTCTTGCAGCTGCTTTTCAACCTCGAGCAGTTCAAGATCGATGCTGCTCTCTCGACAACCAACATTCTTGTGCAGTCTCTGGGAGACCACGGCAGGCAGCTGCGATCGGTGGCACTGAGCGGATCGCCGGTGACCGATGCCTCGATTCTCGTGCTGATCCAGTCCTGCAAGCAGCTGCAACACTTGGAACTGGGCGATACACTCTGTACTTGCGGCGTCCTTGACCTTGTTGTGTCTCACGGGCCTTCGATCCAGAACCTTGATTTGCGGAGAGCGTTGGCGGCATCGAGACCCTTGACTTGGAATCCGCAAGCCGGGGCGCAGATACACAACCGGACACCGGTGTCGCTTGCAAAGTTGGATCTGACTCAGTCCAAGACGACAAACGAGCTCATATGGTTCTCGATTCCGATGTGCCGGCATCTGGTCTGGGTCCAGATTTCGGGATGCACCGAGCTTGGCGATGAATCTGTTATTCAAATTGTCAAGGCTTGTCGGCTGCTGGCCTATCTGGACTGCAGCTCCGTTGCAATTACAGATCTGGCGCTACTAGCCATCGGGATGTACTCGACAAAGCTCAGACTACTAAGGTGCAGTTGCTGCAGCAGCATCACCGCCGAAGGCGTTCGGTTTGCCGTCACTGGATGTCCGATCATCGAGGAGCTGGATCTGGACGACTGCCCAGCGGTCCAAGAATCGTTCGTGTCCGAGTACAGCCTGGATCGGAGCGAAGGTCGATGTCGAATCATGGGTGACTCAATCAAATGGCTGGCCCGATACTTTAGAGTATTGAAGAAGAAAGAGCAAGATGACATTGCCGAGGAGCTTGTTCCTGGGGTTTCCGATATGGAGTACTCGCAGCACCCCGGGAGCCGCGCACACAGCCAGAGTCGACTCGAGGCCGAGCCGAGTTTGTATCGGAGCCAGCAGATAGCCAACGAACAGAGTGCCTCGGCTGGCCAAAGCTATGGCAGTCTGGGAGGTTGGTACCCAAAGCCAAACTCGCTCGTGTTTGCAGTTGTCGGGTGTGGACCGATCGATGGACTTGGCGCAGTTGGAAGCAGAAACTATTCGATGAATAGTATCGGCACAACTGGGCAGCCGATCGCAACAACCGCGCTGATACGATTTGGTCTTGTGACAGATTCTCCAAGCAAGGTGGCATTACGAAAGTCGTCTCTGGATGGAGCCGTGCAAACCAGTTCCAAGGGCGACCAGGAGTCGATGCCTCGAGATAAACTGCGAGCTTCGTCGGTATCGGCGCTGGGAGGCAGCGACACTGCCCGGCCGATCTCGTTCATGAGTCATCGCAACACACCGTCCTCCAGCCGTGTATCGATTCATGCAACCAGCTTGACCGAGGGCACGTACGAACGCAGCGCCAAACCCTCGGTGCAATCGAATCCGCCGTTGCGGCTGCAAACCGGCCACGGCCCGTCCAAGCCGTCGACGGCACCTCTTTCAGGATCGGCAGCCAATGCGCTGGACCCGCGCATGGCCAGCCCTGTGCTTTCACCATCAGGCTCGACGCACCAGATGGCTTCAAGACTTCCCACGCTCTCGGGTTCGGGACTTCCAAAGCCTACGCGGCGATTGTCCAACGCAGCAGTGTCGAGACCCGAGTCTCCAACCGGATCGTCCGTCCCGTCACAGGCCAGCTCGCCACGAATGGGACCTTCGCATAAGCCGCGGGGATTCAGAAAGTTCAACGATGATGCCTCGGGCTTATAGTAACCTTCGAGAGCTGTCTCTGGCACTTGTATATGCTCTACAAGACACTCAAGTCCTGTGAACAGAGCCTGCTTTGAGGCCGCAGTACTGTGCTCCTAGGCGCTATGAATGCATATCGACGGCTTGGTTCGAAGACACGAGCCGCTTCGCCTAATCCGGTGTCTAATGTCAGCGACATTCATGATGATGCGGTTGCTGAGGCATTGCTTCTGAACAGGGTGTATTCATCCGTTCGCGCAATAAATACGGCAAGAGGAGAGGTGGCGCGTTATCGACAGCGTTGCAACCACAGACCCACAGAGGTCGCAGCCGCGCGCTTCAGTGACCCAAGTTAGCATAGGGTCCGTAGAAGCTCTGCAGGCCAACGACCCAGGAAAAAAAAATATGGAGCCACGACGATCGGATTGGCTTAGGCAGATAGCCCGGGAGCCTTGGCATCGCTCTTGAGGGCATAGATGAGCTGCCTCATTCTGGTGGTGTCTCGTCCCTTGGTCACGTTCGTCTTGGTCTTGTCATCGGTGGACTTTTTGTCCTTCAGCTTGGCAGGATTGGATGAGGTGTTGCTGACAGCGGCCGAAGTTTCGATGAGCTTGACGGCGCGTTCCTGGGATAAGAAGCGGAGGCGTAGCGACGATTCCAATAAGTAAAGACAGCGTTGATCCCGAGGCCATAGAAACGACAAGAGATTCACGCATTGTCCAGGACGGAGCGTAGAGCCGCGCTCCTCGGGTGCCGGCAGGCGAATGGACGTTTGTGATCCGATATCGATAAAGACTGCTCAAGACCCATGGCTGGACCACCAATAGCGATGGAGATCATCCAAAGCACAGGCGGGGAACATAGCTCCGCCACTGGAAGTAAAGAGTCGAATGCTCGGGGGCGCCGTGCCTCGCCGTAGTGCCTATCAGCCTGCATCGCTCATACGCCTGCTTTGAGGTTGACACCGTGCGGATCAGAAGATACCGTACCCAGACACTTCCGTTTGTTGCCAGTTTTTGTTGCGCCTCAAGCAGTGCTGACTCGGCTTCCTTGTTCTTCAGCACACCCTTGGCCTTCTTGTCGTTGTATTCGGCATAGAAGCGCTCCAGCGACTCCTTGGCGGCCTTGAGCTTCAGCTCGTGCTTGGTCTGGGCCTTGGCATCGCGCTCGGCAATTTTCGCACTGAACTCTTCACGCCATTGACTGAGAGCCGACGTCGATCAGAAAGTGTGGCGGGCGAGCGTAGAGTCGCGGGAATCATAGTGAGCGGCCAAGAGACTCAGTGGCTGTGAGCATGTTAAATTCAACGGCAGATGGTAGGGCACCTACCGGATGACTTCAGGCTCAACTTCGGGCAGCTTGGACACAAGCGAGGGAGTGCTGGTGCCGAACGACAGCCCAGCAGCGGTAGTATCAAAGGCGCCCGAGTCGGCAACAGGAGGGAAGCTGCTTTCGAAGGAGGTGGGGGCAAGCTGGAAGCATCAAGGTTGAATATGGGGTTAGCACTTGGCAGCGGCTCCGCATCGGCTTGGCAGCAAATGGTGATGGGAGGAAGCCCAGAGAGGAAAGGCGCGCAGCAAGGTCGATGGACCGAGGAGTAGCGCCGCGACGAAGCCGGGAGGTTCAAGCCGCCGCTGGATAGAACGACAGCGGCAGACGAAATATCCAAAATCCGGGATGCAGAAGACGAGCGGGCAACAAGTCTGTGCACGACAGAGCATCTACCTCGCTGGGTTGAGAGGCGAAGGCGTCGAATCCGGTGTTGTCTTGAGCAGGAACAGGAGCAAACAGATCCGAGCTGCCCTGGGGAGCGGGAGCAGCTGAAGCGAACAAGTTCGAGGTGGACGGCGGAGCAGCAACCGGGGCCGAGGCGAAGATGTCGGCCGACGCCGTCTCAACAGGTGCGGCCATGGGGTTGCCAAAGAGGGCGGCATCGTTTCCCAGGATGGCTTGCTCACGCGCAAGGAAGTCGGCTGTGGGGTCGGAGGGGTCGGCGAAGAAGTCGGCGGCGCCCGAGTTGGAGGGCGCGGGGGCTGTGAAGTCTCCGAATTCAGACATGGCGAGTGTGGGTGCAGTTGGTCGGGAGGCAGGAGTGGACGGCTGGATGATGGACGACGGACGGCAGCGGCGATGAGGGGAGAGAGTCCGGGGCTGACGAGGTTGATGTGGGGCAAAGGCCGAGAACGACAGGGGCAACACTATGAAAAAAATTCTTGTTAAAAAAATGGGCGAGAACGAAAAAACGCGCTCTCGGAGCCACCTCGGTCGGCGAGAAGAGCAGTCTCTGGCGAGAGACCCCCGAGGGAAGGCGAGAAGCCTCTCGCCGTCACACGCACACACACTTTGCACAAGGGAGTCAAACACCTCCCATCGACCATCCCAAGAGGGATGGCAACCCCGAAGTGGACTGCCCAGAATATGGGCGACCCGGCATCCACTGTCGAAATGCACAAGGAACAGTGCGAGATACTTACAGTCTATCCAGAAATAAACGGGACAGTCACTTTCTGGCTTCTGAAGCCCGCTGACTGACTGTAGGCCCAGCGGGTAGGCCATGGCATTGCACTCCTGTCTTCGTTGGCAATCGAGTGGTTTTGGTTGGTTTGGGAAGCATGGTCTTTAATACACCCGGCCGATCTCCTGTGGCGATGATCGACTGGCATACCGAGATCATGTTCCTTGAGGCATTGATGTCTCGATCCCACAGCGTATGGCAGCTTGCACAGCTCCGGACAAAGTGTAGTTTCTCGATATCAAGATGCTCGGGTGACTCAAGTCGCTTGAATTCCCGACAATGTGAGCACACCTGGGATGTGTTGAACTCGTTCACCGAGCACACATGGATCTTGGAGACGGATCGGTCTGGTGGGCGTCTCTGGTGGTGGTGGAACTGCTCAAAGTACTTGGCGAACCTGAGTCTCCTGGGACTGGAAGCATATCCCTTCCCCTGTTTCCACGAGGCATTCCCAAAGGCAATCACCACTTCGGTCTCCCTTGGTGCCTGGTCGATGAATTGCTTGCACATCTCGTGGACAGTGCGCTGTCGCTTGCTGTGGAGATCGAGTCGCTTGAATCGCCGTCGCCGGGTCAGGCTGAAGTACAGCTGCTTGTCCAGCATGTCTCCATCGAACACATGGCGAATGTATCGCAAGAAAGAAGGCACTCCAGGGATCTTGGGACTTGGTGTGGTGCTCATCCATTGCTGCAGACCAAGGATCTTGTGGGTGCTCTGGATCCACTTGGTCGCCTGGGTGGTGCCACATCGATGCTGGTACTCCTTGTTGGAGAACGACACGATCTTCTCGTTGGCACGCTGTGCCTTGGTCACCTTGACACCGTCTTGCTCCTGGATGGATGGTTGACCGGGTGCCCGAATGACAGCGGTGAAGATCGATCCCACACCAGGGTCGATCCCAATCCATGTGGTCCGAGAGTCGTCAATGGGACCGACCCTGGTCTGGATCCTCTGCTCGGGAGTGAGTGCGCTCGCCTTGTCCACGGTTTTTGGCTTGGCATCAGGGTCCTTCTTCTTCAGGATCTTGTACCTGAGCGTGGTGATCGAGCACCCGGCCCCATCGGTGGTGATCTCGCAGCCAAAGAGCTGCTTTCCCTCCTTCCTGGCACCAAAGAGTCTCGACTCCAGCTTGAAGTTGGTCTGCCAGAAGATCTCTTGTTTTGTGGTGTCATTGACCTTGGTCTTCAGGTCGTCCCACTTGAGACCAGTGCCAGTCTGGTATCCAAGGATCTCCCACAATGCTTTGGTGTCGAGCTTGATGTACTTGGCTCGGGCATCGCAGAGCGGGACCAAGGTGCACTGTGCTCGAGGGGCCTTGAGTCTCTTCTTGGTCTGGGCAAGCCGGTCGGCCAGTCGCTTGATCCGCTTCGTGTTGACAGTGATCTGCTTGCACACCTCCTCGTGCTGGGTCTGGAGTGCGTTGTATTGATCCGACTGCCTACGTTCGATGGGTTGACACATCTCCTCGTTCAGCCGTCCGCGCTCTCCTTTCAGATCATCGGTATCCCTCACGAGCCTGGGAATGATCATCTTCTGAAAGACCACCATGAAGAGGGCCTCCTTCAGGTGGGTCAGGCGAGAGACCTCACTGGCCAGAATTGGTACGACTTTGTACAGGTCCTGGTGGCTTTCGTACCGAAACTCATACAACTGGTCGGCATGGTGGGCGAAGGATTTTCTCAGATCAACGAGGAGTGTCTTGGAGAGGGGATTCTCCATCAGCTTGACACAATCGTCGACGTGTGTGTGTCGTTTGACATCCTTCGGAGCAACCAGGACCAGACTGCAGTATTGACGGAGGAGAGACCAGTATCGATCCACGATGTGGGTCTCGCAGTTGACTGCATAGGTCTTGACAGCCAAGCCAAGGACCTGTGAGCCAGTACCCTTTGGGAGGGACACAGGAGGCAGGATACACGTCTCACTCCATGCGCTTCGATACATCTCATAGGTGTCGATGATGTGCCTGTCTTCTTGGGTCGTGCCTTTCTTGACACTAGTCATTCCTGTCTGCACCATGTTGAAACACTTTCGAATAAACGAGGGGTCTTTCGACGACACAGTGGGGAGAGTGATGCCCTCGTCCAAGCACCGCCTGAGATGCAGCTCCAGGAGACGAGATGCTTCGAACTGGACTTGAGTCATGGCTCGGACAGTCTCCTCGATCTTGTCGTGCAAGGCATCGTTCTTGATGATGGCATCGAGGGTGCACTTGACGATCGAGTACTCGGCCTTGGCATACTCGTTGGGGCCACAGTCAGGCAAGGTAGAGCTCCAGAGTGGGTTCTTCTTGGTACACAATGAACTGTTGCTTCTGGCATGACCCTCTTCCCCGCACGTGGCACATACAGGGACCTTGGGTGCTTGGCTGACCATTTCAGCGACCGAGGCAGGGCTGCTGTCGACTCTGGCTGTACACTTCTTGGTGAAGGGTTTGACATGGTTGGTCAGGCCACAGGCACGACACGATTTGATGGTGAACTTCTTGGCCACAGGAGAGTCATTGGGTGATCCCGGGTCGGGATCGGGGGGTGTCTTTCGTTTGTGGGGAGCCATCTGGCGAGAAAATAGCAGCGATGGCTGGTTCTTGTCAGGAACGGAGCTGGACTTTGGCACCAGACAGCTGATGGTAGTCGAACGGACGGTCGTAGGACGAAGGGGAGTGTATTCAATAGGCTAAGGGCAGGATACAAGAGGCAAGGTGAGGTGCTGGTTCTGAGGCCACAGCACCTCGTTTATATCTCTAAACGCCGTCCTTGTTCGCCGCAGATTTTTCTTCTACTACAAGGGAGATTGGTTATCTGCGACGGGGGGAGATTAGATCCGAACGTTTCCCTCGCCCGCCGGGAGGTTTCATGTCAGTGCCTTACCCAACATTGCACATCAAGGAAACAGGACACGGGTTGGGGCGCCCATGAAACCATCCACCGGGCGTGGGAACGCGGTTCATGACAGTTCTGCCCTTGGGGAAGAAAAATTTTCCTCAAATCCAGCGCATTTTGGGCTGGCAGAGATGCTCACAGTGGCGTCCTTGATCCAGATCCAGAAACGCATCGCTCGCTCAATCAGTCGTGGGAAGACATCTTGTCAAGGTGAGTCTTGCCTGATAGCCAAACGATCATGTCATCTCGCTGACACACAGCCACGCTTGACTAGGTTTCCAACCAGAGAGATTCAGATGGTGGTGGTTCTTGTCCGCAATCGGAGTGGAGCTTCCAACAATGATACAATTGGTCATTCCTCCACACCAATCGCCCACCACCACCGTCAATCGGCTCAAGGTGATACCAAATGCCGTCAACCGACCATGGCCGGATTCCAACTTTTGCTGCATCTTGGTCTACAGCGTGTATTCATATTCGAGATGAGCAGCCGCGAGGGGGCCGGAAAAAATTGAGGGGCGAAAAGAAGAGCCAGGGCGGGTGTGTGTGTGCGGCCGGATGCATCCGCATTCGATCCAGGCGCATGCCGAGGCGCAAAAGGGCTTCTCCGGGAATCGAACCCGGGACCACTCGCACCCTAAGCGAGTATGCTACCACTGTACCAAGAAGCCCAACATTGAGTGGAGTCGGTGGCCCAAAACCCGTCCCATAGCCTCAGTTCAATATTGCTTACATTCGCGCAGCCCAGTTTGCTGGCTCCTTCGCTCCCCTCTCTGCCCAACACACTCTTGTCTGCCCAGCAAACTCTTGCCGCCGTCTCCCCAGCACCCCTGACCCAGCCGATGCTCATCCGAAGGCGGCTGCTTCTGCTGCTGCTGCTTGCGCTGCTGCTCGTCGCCACCGTCGGCGGCCCCCTGTTTTTGTCATCGCCTGTCGGCACCGCTCTCAGCCGACAGCGAGCACTCGCACTACAACATGCCCTGCACCACAAGGATTCGTGCTCGCCCAAGAAGCCGTTTGCCGTGATAGTGACCGCAATCCGCCCGAGTCTCCGGCTGCCGAGCCGATACGAAGCCGTCTCCATCGCAAACAAGAGGCAGTACTGCTGTCGGCAAGGCTGTGATCTCATTGTTGTCCGCAGCCAGAACTCGAGCTCGGCCAACCCGGCCTGGGCCAAAATCGAGGAGCTCCAACGCCAGTTCGCCAAGTACGAGTGGATCTGGGTCATCGACCTCGATGCATACATCATGAACAAGTCCATAGGATTCGAAGAGATCGTCGGTGTCCACGGCACAAATAGAGAAATCATCATCGCCCAAGACTATCCGGCTTTTGTGGTCAACGCTGGCTCGTTCTTCGTCCACAGCTCTCCCTACACAATACGATTTGTCGAGGAGTGGTTCCGGCACCACCAAGAGCGGATTCATCTCTTCGAGCAAGCCGTCTTTGCTTCGCTCTTTACCCGAAACTACATGGATATCCAGGACCGAACGGCCTTGGTGCCCCTGCGAACAATCAACTCGTACTGCCCAGAGCATTTGATTCCGGATTTCCGCTACCAGCCTGGAGACTTTGTCGTACACTTTCCTGGACAGTGCAAAGGGCGGCAGCATGAATTCGTGAACCGGCATTTCGACAGCATCATCCGCTAGACCTGGACCTGTGGGCTTGTGGGTCGGTTGGTGTCGCTCCCAAGATGCATCGGCCGGGATCGCCCGGACCGGGGACAGTCTCCATTCCAGAATGCGGGAGGCAATCGATTGCCTAAGATGTTGGCCTTGGTGGCCGCAATACACATGTCCATCGGCATCCAGTGTCCGAGGGTCTATCGGTGCTGCGAATGGGCTCTTGCGGGCGATCCTGACAATCCTCCGTCCATCGAGTTTGCCCCCGCACTTTCACTCAAGCCCGCATCTGCCCACAAATCCACACCAGCACTGCATTCAGACACAAGCCGGACTCGATCGCTGGAGACACTATGCCTCATTGGCTCCGCTTTCCCCTGGACCCTTCCATCGATCGGTGGCCAGTGTGAGTGGCAATCAACTCGGCGATGATTGCGACGCTGTCTCGACTGACAGTTGTTTTGCCGCACCAGGCTGGCCGAGATTCTCGCCGAATGCTCGACTGCCGAACGTCTCCGCATCCACCGCTGGCTGTGGCAAAACGGCAACAGCGCCATCAGCTATCCCACCGAAGTCGTGCCGGACGAAATATTCGCCCGTATCTTCGAATACGTCGATCTGACGGCCCTGGGTCGTGTTGAGCAGGTAGATGCCAACCACACTGCACATTGCAGCACTTGGCCGGACAGGACCGAATCTCTCGCAGATCCAGATGGATCCGCTTTTACGTTGGTACCTATCCATGGAGCAGCCTTGACTGTCGTCCGGTCGAGGCTAAGACCAGTCCTTCCGTAGGTTTGCAGACGCTGGAGAGCCCTGGTCAGCATCCGCCATTGGGTTCAGATCCACCATGGCCTAGTACTAGTGCCGTCCCCAGGCCCCACAGATCCACAGCCCGGCCAAAGCTTGGCGGGATGGAAGGACAGATGCAAGCGTTTGCTCGAGCAAGAGAAGCGGTGGCAGGGAGCCCTCGCGACGACACACCGGAAACTGCACTCGGATCGGATCGGCGGATTGCGGTTCTATTGCTTGGGCAGCGAATGCCGAGTTATCAGCAGCAGCTACGATCGTACCATCCAGATGCGGTGTTTGAGCGACAACAGCCGCCTGTGGGAGATCGAGGGACCCACCGTGAGCTGCCTCGAAGTCGATCAGGACCAAAGCCTTCTCGCTGCGGGATCGTTCAACAGGTTTGCGAATAGAGAGCCACTTTGCTTCCGTTGGCGATCGTGGGAACTGAGTGGGTCGCACTGCCGATTCGAAGAGGGCAGCCGGTCAATAGCAGGAGGTTGCAGGCGAGATCACTGAATACCCGCACCAACTTATCACAGATCCCTGTCGCTGTACTCGATGACAAGCAAAAGCCTCTGTTGGGTCGCCGAGGATCTGCTTTCCGCAGTGACGTCGTTGGCTTTTTGCGGAGCATACATCTATGCTGGCCTTGCCAATGGATTGCTGCTTTTGCTGGATGCGAGAAATGGCAGGAGCCTTGCAAGCTGGGTGATCCATGATGGGAAGGTGAGCATCACTGTCGCTGTCGCTTTTGGTCAACGATATCATACCAACTCTGGCCCGACTGCAGATAGTCAAGGTCCTATCCTTCAAGACATTATCAAGAGTACGGCCAGTCGAACCTCCGGATGACACAGTGCAGCCCCCATCGGTCTGGCTGCTGGTCACGGCATCTGTAGACGGATCGTGCAAATTGTGGGATACCACCGATACAGGCGGAATCGAGTTGGCTCGGCTCATATCCAACCCCGGACCGGTGCTTGACATCCGTAAATGTGGCAGTACTCTCTTGATAGGCTGCCCACTACTGGGAATATTCGCCCATGTTCTTTCACAGAGAAGCGAGGACTGCCAGTCCTGGATACCCCTCGACACACTGCGATATTTCGATGTGGTCGGCAACATGATCATCACTGTTGATGCAGACGAAACGGTGCTCTGGCATAGGCGATGCTGTCGCAGACTCTTGACCTTGCCCGCGCCGTCCGACATAACTGGGCTCTACTCAGTGAATGAGAGCTGCTTTGTAACCACACACGGCGATGGTAGGATCGCCGTGTATCAATGTATTCGTGGCGAGCGCTGTGGGGGATAACAGAGAACAATTCTTCAGAGATACGAATGACTCAAACAGTCAAAACAGCATCCGTTGTGAACCACCGGGATATATTCCTCCGTTGTTCTCAAGTGCGCTCCAGAGTTGCGGTTGGTGCTGCATGGGCTGTCGGGTTCTCATCATGATCGGATAGGATGGCCACATCCTGACGTAGTTCTGCCATGCGTTGAATGGTTGCCTTGATCACTTTGATCGCCTCGTTGCTTCAGTTGCCTTGCTCACTCTATGACCCAATGGACCCGGGGTAGGGACAAGCACTAGGGCAGGTGCATCAACTGTCGCTGGCAGCTGGGCATGATCAGAACCAATGATCAGCACGTATGCAGAGAGATGACTAGAGAGACAAGGCCATCTCTAGCCGCTGCCTGGAGACTGGTTCCGCTATGCTCGGCCTTCCACTCACCTCTCCAGCGCCTCAGACAGTCTCGAGACCTGCTCCTCCGCCACGGTGCAGCGAACCAGGAGCCGAGCTCGCTCGTTTTCCAGCTCGCGCTGGCTGTTCAACATGAATTCCTTCAGCTCCTTCTTCAAGCGCGCCAGTTCTTCGCTGGAGCCATCCTTTGTGATATTTGCCATGTCAGTCGGAAACGTAAGCACCGGCCTGGAACCTGTTTTTCCCGCACCGGAGAAGCCCCGACCTTATGTGCTTTTGCACTCTTCTCGCTGTTCCCTGCGCGAGATGCAATCTCGTGCTCAGGCCTGTCGGTGGTCTGGGAGGCACTGTCGTTAGTCACAGAGCGTTTCGTATCGTACTTCATGTGGATCATGTACCTTGGGTGCTCGCTCCGTTCCGGCTTCTTCATCGGCCTGATGCCTTGGTTTGGCCTTGCTTGCCTCCGGCTTCTATCGGATCGAGCGCTCGCAGTTACCACACGAACTGTGGACGTAGCTCACGCAAAATGCCGCCAACATACCTTGGCCCTGAGCTCCTGAAGTTGCTGGAGCAGATACTTCTCGTTTTGCATATATGTCCCTATGATTTCCTTGAACATTCTTTCCACCATCGCCTGAAGGGTCTTGTGCGGCCTGCCTGAGACTGCATTGCCGGTGAGATCAACCGCTGCGCACATGCAAGTTCACCGGCCCAAGAGACTCACTTTCTTGGCTACCAGCCTCATTTGTTAATCGGCTGATGACTGGGTCGACGGGACAGACTTGGTAAGTGTGGCTTTCAAATCAAAGCGACGAGAAAGCCGTTGCACTTACGCTCCTCGACACTCCGACGGTACTCGGCTCTTTGGGCATTAAGCTAAATATGACGGTGCTTAGTGCGGCCTCGTTGCAATCGAGTGTCGACCAGCGGTTGCTTGTAAGATGGTGGCTTTCGATAAAGTGCTGCAGTACCTTTTTTTCCAGATCTGTGTGCCGTTTTCGCCACTCTTCTTCGGACTTGCTGAGCTTCTTGATCAATGTTTCGTTCCTGCTGATTTCTTCATTCAGGCTTTCTCTCTTGGCATTGAGCTGCTGGACTTCCGCAGCAAGCACCTTGCGAGCCTCTTCGTGCGCCTGGCTTTGGACGCCGCAGCTTTCTTTCAAGGCCGCAATCTCCACTTCATATTGCTGCCTTTGTTCCAGCTGTCGGTTTGGTGTGGGCGCTTTGAGATGACATCACTGGATCGGACGTGCAGTTGACAGGAGGTGCCTTACCATCTTGCGCTCGCGATCGTTGCTTTCTCGCTCCAGAGCAATCAGCCGCCGTTCAAGTTCGATTCGACTTCCGCTTTCCTCCGACCTGCGTGATGCACCATGTTTGCGTCAGGACTACAAGCCCTCGGTGAGTCTTTGAGAGCCTCAAGTGTGTCGCATCTCGTGCTTGCCTCGATTTCTCCAGATCAAGCTTGATCTTCTTCAATTCACTGCTAGCCTCAAATCCCCGAAGCTCCAGTGTCTCCAGCTTCTTCTGGAGATACTCGTTGCTGCTCATGTCGATGCACATGACAGAGTTAGTTTCTGTACAGCTCTGTCCAGCCAAGCTTCGAGCCACTCGTATCCCGTACTTACTGCTTGGCCAGGCGTGCTATTTCCGCCAGCTTCTCTTCCTTTTCTTTCAGCAGGGCATTCTATCATTTCTCGGGGTTGAGTGCGCGTCTGTACCTCGCTCCCTTTTGCTCTCTCTGTGTGTGTGCTGCGGAGTTACATATTCGATCGCAGTGCTTACTTTGGCATTCACCAGATTGAGAATCTCGACTCGCAATTCATCCATTTGGCTGCATTTCTTTTTGTTGTCCCCCTGGGTTGAAATCTGAAGGCCACGAAGTACCTCCAGCTGATGGCGAGTCTGTAGCCGCGGGCTGTGTGTAAGACATCAGGCATGCAGCGTAGCGCAGTGACCTGCACTCCGATCCTTGCCCGGAGGAATCCCACAGTGCCGCGCAGATATCACCTCTTCGGCTTGACTTTCCAGCAGACTCAGGTTTCTCTTGAGCGTCACGTTTTCTTCTCGAGCCGTTCTCAGTTTTGCTTGTTCGCTTTGAAGCTCCGATGTCAGTGCAGTCACCTTGGTATCAACCTATGAATCATGTGCGAGTCATCAGGACGCAGCGAGGCATTTGTATCCTGGGGGCGTTATCGCTGGAAAGATCATTCACTTCCAGGATCCGTATGCATACCTCGCCTGACGTCGTACTCAGCTTCATTGTGATCTTTGAGTTTTCAATTTGAGAGTCGATCAGAGTAGCCTCGGTCTTGAGCTTCTCTTCTTCCAGCACAGTCACCTTTTCCTCCAGCGAATGCTTTGCGGCGGACAGCTTCTCTATCCTGGAAACAGCATCAATCGGGAAGTGACTGGTCTCGTTGTTGAGAAGCATAACGCCCTCATGCTGGCGCAGCGACGCACCTCTCGTTGTATTCTGCGAGGCGTGCCTTGAGCTTTTCGTAGTCGTCTTGGAGACTTGTCAGCAGGCGAGTGGACTGCAGTACCCGTCTGCTCATATCTAAACGAGGACGAACGTGGTCACCAGCCGAAAGAGTGGTGGCTCGATGCTGCATCATGCCTACCTTCCGAATTAGCAGACTCCTCTGGTCGTTGAAGGAGGTGTATCTCGCTGCTGGTGAGTTCATCGGCTTCTCGTAGCCGAATCTGGGTTGGCACGGAGTCAGTAGATTCTCGGACACAACGATGCGATAGCAGGGGCAGCACATACTCGATAGCGCCGCAGCAGATTGAGAGCGCAGTTGTCCATCTTGATGGGATAGTTGACGATTCGATGGATCATTTCGCTCGTGCTCAAGATGGCCATAGACTGAAGCACCGGATCGGTTGGATTCAGGTGAGCAAGGTAGGCCACAAAAGTGTTTCCGCCAAGTATTTCGGACATGAGCTGTGTGCTGACGGCTTGCCGGCAGTCGAACGTTGGGCTCTGGAAAACAACAACGAGGCGCTGCTGAGTAGTGCACTCTATGTTCGTCCACAACGTCGTCTTGCACTTGCCCCTGGCCAGAGATACTGTCTGTGCCCTAACGAGATATCAGTTCCGGGGCCTCGAGTGCCGGGTTATAGCTTACCGCCGTGATACTGCAGTGCTTCATGGCCTTCCATAGCGACATGATTGTCCGGCTGGCGAACACGCCTAGTGCAGCGTAGACGGTCAGGGAGCAGGACATTGGGCTGTCTCGAGTCTGATCTGCGTGGATTTGCACCCGCAAGGCTCCGCACTAACCAGATCGCATCACAGACTTTGTTGGCTCCTCGAGGAGATGCTCGAGCCCACACAGATCAACGAATGTAAAATGTGTTACTTCTGCAGCAAAGCATTCTCCCTGTGAATGGATTGCAAAGAAGTGTGTGGTATCCAGAGTGTGGTGTGAGAGGAGATTGAGCAGCCTTGTCGCATATAGCCAAGCGGCCTTGCCTTGGCTTCAGCAGCCTGGGAGTTGTGTGCGCTGACGATGGCAAAAACGATGGCCCGCTCCGAAATTTGGTCGCTCATCTCGCCGCTCCGATTCTGGTAGGCCTGTTGCATAGGAGCTCCTTAGTCGGGGGCATGTCGTAGAGCGAGAACCAATCCAAGCTTCGAACAGGGATGCTGCTTCACCTGAAAGCACAGCTCGCCCATCTCTGCGGCGTTGCTGATGGAGCGATGACTCAGTCCGCGCACGACAAAGCCTCTATTGACGTCTTCTTCGACCCCGAGGTTGTCCCTGGAGGGATCGATCAGGTCCTTGACGAGTTCGCCATAGAGCTCGAAGAATGTGGCGACGATACAATGCCGAGTCAAGGTCAATATCATATTATGCAATGTGCAAAATACCGCTGAGGATATGCGTAGAAAGGATATTGAACGGTCAGCAGTATCTGCCTTCCGGATCGCTCAAGGTCGGCTTGCTGGCCGGCGACCCAGGCCACACACTGTTGGATCAGCCCGCCTCCTGCAAAGGGTCGAGGGTGCAGCTGCCAAACGTTAGCGGCCGCTTGGCTTGCTACGATCCCGCTGTGGATCATGTGGGATATCACGGCAGATAGCCACTTGACTTGCCTTTGTCACCTCCGACAAGTGAGAAAGTCTTTCCGCTGCCCGAGTTTCCGACGCACACCAGGGCCACGTTGAAGCCATCCAACCACTTTTCGATGAGCGGACGCGCGGTGCTCCTGAAGACATCTTCGTTGGATGCGTTGGCTTCGTAGATTTGGTCGAAGCTGAAGACTCGTCTGGAAATGGAGCTGGCGAGTGCAATCGCCGGTAGTCGCTCTGGTGAGTTGCGATGACGGAGTCGGCACTTCAGAGGCATCCGTTCGATAGAGCGTGCGGCCGAGGGCCATCAGCACACCTGTCGGCTTTGTTCTGGTTTATGGAGACGAGCCCGGTCTCGCGATCGGCATAAAAGTCCAGTCCTGGTGAATTGGAGGCCTCGCGGACTGGTCCGCGCTTGCTTTGCAGCGGCTTAATCCTGAGGGCGACGTGCGGGGTGAATCCCATGGTATCCAGAGCCTGCAGCGGGAGAGTGAGGTGAGCAGAAGCCGCGCTGCTCGGCTCGGCTCATCCAGACGCAAAGACTGGGCGATCGGCATCATCCAATCATCCTGTGATGGAGGTGCAGTGCTTTCTGGTCTTGGTGCGACTCGGTTGATCCCGATCAACGCCATGATCCCAGCGCAGACAACAGCACAGAGAACAGTATGGCTGTGGTGAGTTACTCGGAGATGTCGACCATGTATATTCAAGACAAGCTGGCCATTGACGGCTGATGGTAGCCGGAGCGGCCACCGTGAATCAGAGCAGGACCTCCGAGGGGTGCCGCCCACCCAGGCTCAGCAACAGCGAAGCTCGACCAGAAACGCCCGGGACAACCCGGTTTCGGTTGGAAGAGCTGTGCTGACTGCCGGAGGAGGGAGCGTCGGGGCTTGTTTCCTCGTCCGTGATGGGTCTTGGGTGGATTTAGAAGGTCTGACGAGCAAATCGGGGGCAACGATATGATCAGTGTCCGTTGTTGCACGGCTCGGGTTGGTTGACAGCTTCCTCTTGTCCAAATCCTGCCCCGAGACGATTGGATCCGATCGGAACTCGGCCACTCAAGCTATATGCTGTGGCAAACGCACGGCTTACCCAATCATTCTCAAGCTCGGCCGCCCACTTGAACTTTTCTCTAAGGGTTTTGTTGAAAATCTTTTCTAGAGGAACATCGTATCTCTTGGCCCATGCCACCGATATTCTTGGATCGATGTAGTTGATTTTGGACGTGCCGAGGGCAGTGGTCATGTTTTCATCCTAAAGCAGATCAACTCTCCCGATTAGAACCCTGTCAAGACCACCACCACAACCACGGACACAGCCACCACCACAACCACGGACACAAACTCATGTACAGATGCGGATACGATGGAGGGAGGGGGCGGCGGCTTGTCCAGGCGGCAAGCATGGCGTCGCTGAGATGCAACCGGTCGCTGTTCCCCTTCCAGCGGCCAGATGCCTCACGGTCCTACCTTCTCTGTCATCTGTAGTTTGGTATTTTTGATCTTTTCATTGAGCATCTCAATCTTTTTCTCGAGCTTCTCCGAGGTCAGTGGCACTTTCTTGGGCAGCTTGATTTCCTCCAACAGCTCCAGGCCATCCGCTTTGCGCTTTTCGTTTTCTTTCTCTAGCTTTTTCTTCAGGTTCTCTTCTTCCTTCACAGCAACCTGCTTCCTGTATTCTTCAATCCAGTCATCGTCGAGGTCGCTCTCATCCTGGGCGAGCTCTGGTCGCTTCTTTTTCAGCGAAGGCTCGAGCTTCAGCAGTTCTTGTCGAGTCTCTCTCAGTTCCAGCTTGTATGCGCGAATCTAGCGGTGCGTGAGGGTTGATGGATAGTTAATAAGAAGGGCCGGGCGGATGCGCGCCTGTCTGGAGGGCCGAGTCAGGGGGGCGGTCGAGGGATGTGTGGGCTGTCCGGTAGTCAGGTTTCTTGATTGGCGAAGGGCCTCATGATGCTGAATACAGTTCTCGCGACTCAGAGGAGCAGAGACAGTGGGGCTATTTGGTTTGGCTCAGGATTACCTTGTCGCGAATACGGCCGAGCTGCGAGTCCGCGGCTTTGGGTCGGGCCCGTTGATGGTTGCAGAGGATGGCGACCTGCCGGTTTGCACGATTGTAAGCCAGCACTTTCTCCATGACACTTCCATCCTTTGGTGTTTTGCGTAGCTCCTCTTGGAATGTATATGATGCATTGTAGGTACGGAAGACCTTGGCTGTGAGGCCCTTCATGTACTTGTTCAAATGCTTGTTCAAAATGCCCGTCTGGGGATCAAGAACAGGCACAATTGTCGTTAGAGAAAGGCTTGGTGACGCCAGTCCTCTTGGATCGGGGTATGTGTCTGCAACTCTCTGGAATAGGGACTTACATTCAAACGATCAAAGAGGGGATCGCCGGGCTTTTTCGGATCGCGCTTGAAGATCTTGAGGTTCTTGAAGACTTGCTCGTCTACTTCAACCTCGTTGTAGTAGCGGATCGAGTCTTTACCCAAAAAGTCAAAGATGACTGTCCTGGGAGGCTTGAGCGATACGTGCTCGAATCGGAGCGAGCAACAGCCGACCGTGTCCGCTTCGTCATCGCTCTTCTCATTGCCGGCACGCAAGGCAAACCGATCGATCAGATAGAGGGCCGTGGCCTTTTGTCGCTCGGCCGTGACCTTGTTCTTAAGCCCTGCACGGTAATCCTTGCGGATCCTGTCGATGTGTCGCTAGCCACGGTCGTAAAAGCATATCATGTGAGCAGTTGCTCGAGCCTGGGCCGAGCTTGCGATTGCTGTGGTGAGCAGTGACATGCGCCCTCTGATCAAGACTCCGCCCCGATGGCTTGCCACGGCCATCCAAGCCTTACCTTGAGCTCGCGAGCCTTCTCGAACTTCTTTAGATCGCTCTGGCCCTTAAGAGAAGAGCTCGCCGCAAAGAAGACGTACTTGGTGCTGTCGTTGACGTTTTCTTTCCACATAGCAAGCCAAGTGACGGTGTTGTCGTGAATGACGGCGCCCCATTTATGACCGGCGGGTGGCTCGGGGACTTTGACACCCTCGCCAATGTTGATCGTGACTTGCTCAGGCACCACTCGGCGCTACAAAGCCCGCAAAGAGAGAGCGGCAAATGTAAGCATGAGTATGCGTGGGATGCGACGCGGCAGGTCTCAACTGGGTGCCAGCGCGACACGATGGACTCGACACGATGGATTCGGCACGATGGACTCGACATCAACGGGTATCACCCCGACATGACTGGTGATGCTTTGGAACATGGGGCCGCCCAGATGAGCTGCAAGTCAGTACCTTCAATTTGCCAGTCTTGGGGTGCTTGCCTCTACCGCGGAAGAGATTCGGAGGCTCGATACGGAAGTTACCGACTTGTTCGCGCCGACCATCGAGCTGTGCCCAGCCGTAATGCTCGTCAATCTTGAGCTTGGCATCTTTGACGGCCTACAAAGAATGAGCCGGTTCGTGAGGATGATGCTGAGTGTATACGGCTTGTAGACGGATTCAGATGGCCGACGATGGACAAACCTGCTTCTCATCCTTGGTCATCGTCTTCTTAGCTTCCTTCTGCCTCTGCAAGTGGTCATATATCCGCGAGAAATCACATTTGCTGAACACTTTGATGGGCGAAGGCTGACAACACAACACCATGCGCTTTAGTACAACCACTTTGGCACTGCCGCCGTTCCCGAAAGACAGCGGAAAGAGAAGAAGCGACTCATCCTGGTGGCCACGCGTTTACCTTCTTTTGCTTCGAGAGCACATCCAAGAAGTCGCTGAAAAAGTTGCTCTGGAACGTTTCGTTTTTCTCATGGTCGGTGCCAATGACACCGGCATAGAATGTCGCTACTTCTTCGGCTTCGGGTTCGAGGATAAGCTCCTTGCCTGAGTTGGATCGAAATACAGGCACGGTCAGTTGGAAAGCCGAGGTTCGAATACGATATTTGTGCAGGCATTGCTTGGTATGGTCCTGAGCCCTGGCAGAGCGCAGCTGGAGTACGGCACGTCCACGACGCCATCCAGAAGGAGGCCAAAGCACAACGAGAAACAATATGATCGACTCGGACTCAATGTCGGGCGGCATATGTCTGCCTCGGCTTACCGTCGTAGATAAGCGGGACCCCATGCGGCTCGTAGGGCGGGGGGAACCATGGGCCGTTGTGTTCCAGCGTGGTCCACTTGACACTGTTATCGAACTGGACCTGGGTTTCTTCATCCTCGGTTTCTTCGTCATCATCGGGCTCCTCTTCTTCTTCACTCTCCACTTTCGTCTTGGCGGCTTTATTCTGGAGAGGGGAAGCGGGGCATTATGAACTGGACCGATGCTCAGGAATACTCGTCGAATACGTGGGAACTGAGTGCTAAGAGCGACGCCATTTTCCCAAACAACCTACCGTTTTCGCCCGTTTCTTCTGCCGAGGGCGGAGAAATCGGCACCAGGAGATATGAGTCTGCTGCTAGACGAATCGGTCGCATTCCGACCCCAAGATGGCAATCGAAGCAGCTGCATACGAACCAGAGGCTTGTCTTCATCTTCATCTTCGGTGGCTTCGGAGTCGGTCTCTTCTTTGACTTCCTTCTTTGGTTTTTTGGATTTGCCAGCCTGTTTATCCAAAATCGATAAGGATTGATGGATTAACGGACGTATGATCAGCGAATATATGATCAAGAGGTTCAATCGACAAAGAGCGAGCGAGTGCGGGTGCAAGTAAAGGAGGGCAACTCGGTCGCTCTGAGGCACAGACATATAGCCCCTTCTTTGGAAACTGCTGCTATGCGAGGCAGACCGTTCGAGAAACCAACAGCTGCGAGTGCCAACGAACATATGCCGGCGCGATCGGAGGTCGCTGGCGGCTTTGGGACACTGTTGAGTTTCTTACCGGTGAGCTACTGCCTCCATTCTCGCTCTTGATTTTGGATTTGTTGCCTGCGGGTCTGCGACGCTTGGCCTAGATCAGAGGAGAGTCGTTGGGCCCAAAGCCGGTGTGGTGGGATGGAATGGAGGGTGTTATCGACGGTGAGCTGCACCCGCGTCTGGTTGGCCGTGGCCCGATTATGCCCCGTGGGCGCGGGCGAGTATTTCTTTCGAGAGGAAGTGGTCGCAACGGGGCCGTGGGATTCACTACTCACCAAAGGGACGTCCTCGTCATCGTCGTCGTCCCGGGTCTTGACCTCGGTCTTGACAGGCTTGGAGCTGCCGGTCTCGGACATGGCCTCGACTTTGGGCCTGCGATCGCCCGAACCGGTCACGCCGTTGGACTCGGAGCCCTGGTGCTTGCGTTTGTGATCCTTGCGCTCGGACAAGGCCACGTCGTCGCTGTCTGACATCTGGTTCTCAGCGGCTCTGGCCCGTGGGGCAGCGTATCAATATGCCCCTCTAAGATCAGGGCGTGCGAGGTGCGTCTGGTGGGTGGCTTCTGAATGCGAAGGAGCACAGCGGGTCGGGCTGCTCGCGGCTGGCTCGGAGCTGCTCGAGGGGAAGCGCACAGCCAGATCGGAAACGCTCTTGGGAGATCGGCGAACGGGATGGGGTGCCAACGGGGCAAAAAAGACGGACGCGGGTGGTGTGCGGCCAGTGCAGCCGGCTCGAATGCGCCGGACCGGATCGAGCCGGACAGGCCACGTGGGCAACCATGGCACAGATTTAGCGAAGCAGCTGGTCTGGGACGGCGATGCTCCATGGTGATGATGGCCTGCGGCTCGTCAGCACAGGCGCTGGGGTGTTTACAGCAGGGGCCGCCACTCTCGTCTCGCACTCAGCTTGGGCACAGGCTATTTCTCGAAACACACTGACTGTATTTGCAGAGAGCGTATAGGCCATGCGAGAGTCAAAAAATTAGATTGTCGCTGCTATGTACTGGTGGGGGGGAGGGGAGGGGAATGGAGGGCAAGATCGGCGGGTAGTGCCTGGATTGCGGTGCTAGACCTCGGCAGCGAGAGGCGGGGCAGGAGCGTCGTTCGTGCTTTCCTTGACGGCGCTCGGGTGAGAATCAGAGGGGGCAATCGCCTCGACTGGTGTAGCGACAGCCGTCGCAACGGCGGCAGGATCGGCGGGGGCGGCGTCGTCTGTCGAGTTGGCCACAGCGATCGGCTTTGCCGTCGTCTCGCTGGAATCTACCAGGCTCGTTGCCACTGTATCGACCGGGACATCGGCATCGGGGCTCGTGGTGGCAGCCGCTGGCGCCTCGGCAGCGGGGATCGATCCGTTTGCTTCAGCGTGCTCGGACTTGGCGGTTGCAGCTTCGTGACTGTCTGTTGAGACGACGGGCTCGACCGAAGCCATTGCGATCACAGGTGTGGCATCTCCGTTGTGATGATGCTCGTCGCTTGGAATGAGCAGCTTCCACCGATGCAGTTGCTCCTTGCTGTGTGCGTATGGGGAACATCGCCATACAACGTTAGCGACGCTATAGCAGCAACCAGACCGCCGCGCTGTCAACGAGAGGAGGCAAGCTGGCGTGTTGGCACATACAATCGGTCCATGAGCTTGTAAACGTCGCTTTCCAACTGGAGTGCCGATAATTTCTTCATAACCTTGCCAATCTTGCTCTCCTGGAAAATCAAAACGACAGCAGCGTCAGCGGCAGTCTGGTTGTCAGTCCCCCTGGCCCGCGCCGAGATTCGGTGTCGATGCCGCTCGGCTCCAAGCTCACGCACCTTGAGCTTGTCTATGGTCATTTCCGACTCTTCGATTTCCTTCATCCACTTGTCGGCCTTTTCGAAATCTTCAGACTACAACCAAGAGCCGCGTTGGTCAGGCAGCTCCCACGACGCGGAAATCCGAACAGCCCCGCATTCCAGCGTCATCTTTCCACCGCTGAAGAATCGCGCCAGCAACGCGAAGCCCAGACAGCGAGCAGCACCCCCTGCTGCCAATGTTCTGTCATCGTCAGCCAGGGCACCAACACAACATGGAGCTCATGTGTGGACGAAGAGAAAAGCGAATCTGATGCGTACCTGGCGGTCAGCTTTTGTGAGGAAACGCTGTGCCTTTGCTCTCAGCTTCTGGATGCGATCGCCCTTCTCTAGAGCCACGACAAAAGTCGCAAGAAACGAGCCAGGCGAGGGTTAGATCGTTGCTCACAAACTCTGCTAACTGCCGCGGCAAGGGTCGCAAGCGACGAAGATAGACGGCGCGATATCCGGGCTAGACAGAGCAGACACATACTCTTATCCTTTTTGTCGTCGTCGTGATGGTGCGATGATTTGTGCTTGGTCTCCGATTCGTTTCCCGAGTGAGAATCGTGCTGGTCATCCTCATGGGCAGGCTTCTTTGCGTCGCTCTCGTGGCGGTGGTGGTTGTTCTCCTTCTCGGCGGTCTTGACCTGGACAGCAGGCACCCCATCCCGCAGTCAGCAACATGAAAATGACTGGACTGTGCTCAGAATCGCCAGATCGCCAGATCGAATCCGGTGCGACCGGAAAGGCCGATGCGGCCATCGCAGAGCAGCTACCTTTTTGGCTGGCTCGTCCGCCTCGTCGTCGGTGTACTCCATGGCCCTCTTCTTAGCTTCCTTCTTGGCGGCGACGCCGGGATCGCTTGCGCGACGCTTCTTCCTGGACTGCTTTTCCTCCTCCTCTTCGACCTCGTCGTCAACTTTGCTCTTGGTGTGAGCCATGGTGGCTCTCCGCTTCTTTGTTGTGTCCTTTCGCGAGGACTTGGACTTTGCCAGGATTTCCTGATCGACATCGTCTTCGTGGGAAGACTCGTCATCGTTGCGGCTGACCATCGGTGGCGGATTCAGGGCCGCTTGAACGGCCTTGACGAATTTGATGGTTTTTGACTTTTTTTCGAATTCGGAGCGGTGGTCTTTGAAAGGCTTGATTGCATCGGCAGTCTGCCATGAGCTATTCACGGAGTGCGGAGAATCAGTTCAAGTCAGAAAAACGCTCACGGACGTCAGACTAACTCGCCTCCAGACCAGTACGGCCACTTCTCTGCCCAACCACGCCAGAGCGGGCGATGAGGGAGATTGGCAAAACGCGCCGGAGGCAGAAAGAGCGAGGGCGAGGGCGAGGGCGAGGGCGAGGGCGTATGGATCGCTCGTTGGCGCATGGCAGAGACTAGCCCCATTGAAACAAGCTGCGACGGAGCACTCACTAGTCATTCGAAACGAAAAAATGAACAATCTGAGATTGTTTGTTGAGCGGCTTGGCTCGTCGAACGTCGACAGTCACATCACTTTCGCTCACAATCTAGTAAAAGGCGAAAAGAAGGAATGACGATCAGTCTGGAATGAAGATAGAACAAGCACGAGGGCACCGACGCACCAGGTACGCTTTCGTCGGTCTACCCTGAGGCATGTGGCGAGTGCGGTGCTGGTGCCGTGTCAGTCACAAGACGCCCCAAATGCACATCCGGCAAACTCGAAAGGAGCCATATGGTCGGTGTCGTTTGAGCGCGTCGGTCTCCTTTCAGCGCATATCAACGGGGCGTCGCCAATATCCACCCGGATCGGCTTTGGCCCACCCTGCGAGTCCCGAGCGGACTGATCGGCAGCTGGGGGCTCAGACGGATTGACGCCACCGGGTCTCTGGAAGGAGGGGACTCGCGCTCGCGCAACGAACCGAGGAGCAGGATGGCGGACGAGAGAGAAGGGGGGAAGAGGCTTCGGGAGAAACGCCACAGTTGGGAGAATGAGGCGAGCGAGCCGAAGCCGGCGCCGAGACGGTACGTACCCTTCCAGGCCACCACGGATAGCCCTTGACTTTTGCCCAGACGATCTCTCCAACCGCGAACGGAAACGCCATCGGACCGGCAGCGCCGGTGGGATCGGCTTCGACGATCGCACTCTCGGATTCGGCCGGAGCGGGCGTGGGCGCAGAGGGCTCGGGGTTGATCATCTTGGTGGCAGATCCGGAATCTGCTTCAACAGGCTGTCGCGGCGGCAGCACGGATGGCGAGGGCAGATGGCGCGGTTAGAGGCATTTCCGGGCATCGATGATCGAGAGGAGAGGAGAGCACGGCAGAGGAAAGGCCGATCGCGGGTCAGGTTGAACCGGCCGGACGGACGATGATTTGATCTGCCCGCGTGGATGCAGCCAAGGCAGACGTTGGCAACGTCGGGCAGCGGCTCGTGGTGGTGCTGTCGTCTTGTGATCCATGCGTGATGGCCCTATGGGTCGACAGGAAGCCCTCCCAGTCCGATCCCTGGGCGGCGATGACGCAGAACGAAGGGACGCCGGCGAAACGGCGGCGCTGGCGACGAAATGCGCACGCACCTGGCTGGTATCGAGGGAAAGCAGCTTGGCCAGACTCTGGGGTTGAACGACGCTTGCGCAGGGGTCTAATATACAGGACGGCCGGCTCGCTGGCGGGATGGCAGGGAGTCGCAGGCCGCAGCGAGATGGAGGGCAGCTTGGGCAGGAACGGGAAGAGGGAGGGCGAGCGCCCGCCGAGCTGGCTTTTGAGGGGGGGCTCGGAGATTGGCCGCGAGGGTTAGGGCTGCATGCCGCCCTCCCCGCGACCCCAGAGGCAGCCGCGCGGGCAGGGCGCCGGGGGCGTGCCGCGGGGGCGCGCCGCGGTGGCGAGGGCCTTCTCGCCAGGCGGGAGGCCGCCGAGAAGACAGCGAGGGGCGCCAGGCGTCTCGCCCACAAAGCGCACTTGTCCTGTGCCCGACGGCGAGATCCTCCCTTTCTCTCTCTCTCCTCCACGCAATTCCTTTGGTTGTTCTTGTGACAGTCCCGGAAACCTACAATTGCAGATATGGCCCCCGCTCAGCAACCCGCCGCCGCCGTCGTCCAGACCAACGCCCAGAAGAAGGCCAAGAAGTCCATCGGTAGGATGGATGGATGGATGGATGGATGAGTGGATGATGGGTGATGGGTGAGCGACGGATTGCCAAAGCCGGACCAGACCGACCCGACAGGCTCGGTCGCGCGATGGAACAGCCTCGGGCACACGCATACACACACCTCGACGCTGGGTCCGGTGAGGCGGATCCGCTGCCGCCCGGTGGACACGGCACATTCGATATCGGGGCTGTCGGCCATCGCCTCGATGATTCCTGGATGTCGGCTATGCATCGGAAATGCAGGATGCGTCTGGATTCGGCCTTTCGATCATGAGCTGGTCGTGTGCCTCCGACTCGGCGTCCTTTCGACCTGGATATCGCATCTGACCCACCAATGCGCTTCCCCCCCCCCAGAGAGCATCAACTCTCGCCTGGCTCTTGTTATGAAGAGTGGCAAGTACGTCCTCGGCTACAAGTCCACCCTCAAGACTCTCCGCAACGGCAAGGGTAAATGTCGCCTTTGCTCCGTTGTGCCGTCGTTGACGGTGCTGTCTGTACCCTGATGTAATCAAACGTGAACACGGCCGAGCGGTCGCCAATCGCTCGGTCCGGTCACGCAGTTTATCCATCTGCGGTCGACTCTTTGCCATCCGCCCTCGTGGCGGAGACAAGATGCGGCCTGGATGACGAACCCGAAGCGGAGATGCCCTGGCATCAGAGATGCTTCAGAACCACTTTTTTTACCTTAGCTGTGTACTGTCTCGTTCCTGCCCCGCAGCCAAGCTTGTCATCATGTCTGGCAACACCCCTGCTCTCCGCAAGTCTGAGCTCGAGTACTACGCCATGCTCTCCAAGACCTCCGTCCACCACTACAACGGCAGTGAGTATACCATCTCGTCCGCGCACGCTGTCTCCTCCCAGCACCTTTGCCATTGTGGGTGGGGTCTATCGTCGCTACATGTGGTCTGATCCAGCCGACCCCGGTTTTTCCCAGACAACATCGAGCTGGGTACTGCCTGCGGTAAGTACTTCCGCGTTGGCACCCTCTCCATCATCGATGCCGGCGACTCCGATATCATCTCCAAGCCCACCGAGAACTAAGCAGTTCATCAAGACGTTGCTTCTCCCGGCTCGGATCGGATCGGATCGGACGTGGCCCTGTAGTGCTACCGGATGGCGTTCATGCCAAGGGAATGTGAATACATTGCTGTTGGAGCCGACTAGAGCTTTATTCTTTATTCTTGTTACTTTGCATACATAACTGGATATGGGTAAAGGGTCGGGGTGGCAGCGGCGGGGGGGACCGATGGAGAATCGCGAACGACTGAACACAACCACATATGCCGAGAATCGGGTTGGGTGCTGAGGGATGTATTGACTGACAGATGGACACTGAGGAATGAGTGGCTTGCTACGGGTCTATGTCTCGGTTGTTTGCAGGATCGCACAGGCCGTCTTGGCGGCTCTATCGTCTTAGTTTCTGGAGGAGTTTCTGTCGGTGTTCGTGGCCGAGACCCTTGGTCCAGTATCGCAGTATCGGCAGGTCATTGACACCCGCTCCGATGGCCGCCAGGAACCCAGAGAGCTTTTGCATGTCTTCGGCTCGCCCGAGCCGCACAAAGCAGTAGAAGAGCTTGGTTTTGCTACCAGGGCACGAACAGCGGCGGTTCGGTGCGAGAATGCGGGTGATGGGAATTACGCAAGCGTCAGGGACCATGAAGATCCGGGGTTGCCTGACTCCTGGCCGACACCGACACCGACACCGACAGAATTCTGTCTCAAGCCCCAGGCCCTTTCGGCAGGTGTCACTTACTTGATCCAGGCCTCCTTTGTAAACACAATGTGGTTCCGGATTGCGTGGTCGCTCATGTTGTTCTGTGATGAGATCAGGATGGGCTCCAGATCGCCAAGGACTCCAATCGCGACCTTCCCGCGGGCGGTTGTGGGAGGCATTTCGCCAGATATGAGGTCGCATTCATAGTCGCCGATCAAATTGGTGCTTCCGCGTCCACGCTTGGGCTTCAGCTCTGGATGGATGAATTGATGGCGTCAGCTACAACCTGCTTGGCAACGATGGCGCCAATTGATTCGTGACAATCGTGAATCAAAGGCGGCTGTTGTTCCTCGGCAGCGCGATCGAGGGACTCGAGCGGCCGCCTGCTGTGTGCTCGGTATCTCCTACCTAGCTCAACAATGTGGTTGCGCTCGATATTCGGCGGAATGCCGACCCGTCTGGGCATCCCCAGTAGATTGTACTTCCACGATTCTTCGTACTCGGCCGAGTAATCCAGTCGCGACGCACACGCCGAGGGAAGGAATTCCTGGACACAGCAAGAGCCGTGGGATATATACAGGGTCAGCTTTGTTCAGGACGGAACCACACGCCCTACCCCGACACAGAAGCCGGGATTGCATACAAAGGGGGCGATCGCTGCTCAGACTCACCTGTAGTAGACTGAAAATCGACGATACCATCGTTGGATTGTCTCCACGGATGACGATCTGGTTCCCCGTCATCAGGTTGTAGAGCAATTTGATAAAGTTGGACGAGCCCAGCAGCTCTTGGAACTGAACAATCGTCAGGGCACTCTGGTCTTCAAACAGCTTGAGCAGCGTCGGCGGGATGGACTGTGTGCTGCTTCTGGCATGACCGTCGCCCCTGTTGGCGGTCTTGTCACGATACTCTCCCGCTCGTCCAGGGAGGATCGGGGCTATTGCCGCTTGCGGCTTGACAGGATACTCGGTCTCGATTGCCGAGTCGCTTGCGTTGACGTCGTTCCGATTGGAGGCTTGAGACTGCGGCGTCGATGACCGCGAGAGGTTGGCCTCTGTCTCAGCATCGCCGGTCAGTCGTCCCATTTCCCGCAGGACGCGCGGATCCAGATCCGATATCATATTTGAGTCGAACGTACCAATCTGCCAAGTGGTGAAGTCCGACCAGAGATAAGTCACGCATCGGGATATCGGATTCGAAAACAGTGCGCTAGAACATTGGTTCAAGGTGTCTCTGGGGGTGGTAGGAGCGCAAACTATCCCGCTTGCGCACGGTCTCGCCACTTTAGAACCTGCGTGCGAGGCTTACCAGCTCACGGCCTTCGGCAAGCGCTTCAAAAACTCGCCTATGGAAGGCTTTCAGAAGCCAGCTGTTATGGAGATGCAGGTACGCAAAAAGATCCTGGCGAGAGGGACGGGCGAGCGGGTGAGTAAGTGGCGGAGCGCCGTTGACGATGGCTTGCCAATCTGCGTTCGCGAGACCCCATGCCAAGCGGGGAGAAACTAGGTGACCATGGTAGAACAGCGGATGCTCCTGGGTGCAGGGATTTGCCCGGTACCCGGTCTCTCTTCCTGACGCATATGCAATCTCATACCGGCTTGTCGAGAAGCTCTGTCAAGATCCGGAGAGGCTGGTTGGCCCGCCTTCGGAACACGATTTCTGACAACGTGGTTTGCCCGTCAGCGAGAGGGGTGGGAAGGCTTTAGTCCAGTGCGTCGTACTATTGCAACCACACCACCGGCTCCCGAAACTCCATCGCCTCTCGGCGAGCAAGCCCATCTGACCCTGCTACCATGGCACAATGTGGTACCTCCAGACGACGGGCTAAACGAGTTGGACCGGAAGGACGACGAAAGCAACTGCTGCTGATAGCTGTGTTGAGCGACGGCATCAGAAGACAGTCGCTCTCGGCTGAAGGTGACCTCGGCTTGAGCCTGCATCTCGGCGGCCATCATTCGGAACTTGTTGGAGATGAACGGCCACGACGATGTCAGGAATGTGTAGTCCCGGTGCAGCAGGAGAAAGGTATAACATCGATAGAAGCCTCGGGCTTGGCTGTCACGAATCTTGAACATGTAGCTCAGGACATATCCATTGGTGCTGTCACCAAACATGATGGGCCCCTCCTTTCCCGGATGCTGCTCGATGCTTAGGCTGGTAGAGCGATGGCGATCCGACACATTGGCATCCAGGATTCGGCCGATATCGTAGCCGAGAGAGTCGCGGTTCCATTGGAGACGATATCGAGTCCGATCGGATGGAATTGAGTCGCATCACGGCCGCATCGCGATTCCATCACAGTTGCATCACAGAGGGATATGCCGGAGCCACACCAGGGTTGATCCAGATGGACGGCGGCATAATAGTCAAGATGGAGACGGAGATTAGTGCAAGCCGGCCGGCAGAGCGTTGGGGCTACACCCGGTCGATGCAATGCGATGATACCGAGCTGGACCCGATCGCAGAGGTGGGCACAGCAAAGAGCCGAACATGACCCCTGCCCAGTGGCAATGAACCGAGGACTCCAGCGGCAAGCGATCGCAGCGATCGCAGCGACGCCACTGACGATCTGGCCACAAAGCGCATACCTGCGAACGCATGCCTGCCGTACCGACGCATACGTCTTTGCATAGTAAGGATTCCGGCCCGTGAAGAAGGCCGTCTGAGAGCGCTCATCGACCGAGACGTATCCCTTAGCTTCGCCAGGGGCTGCCTGTGGCCGCGGAACCGATGGCGCCAGGGAAGCAGGGAGTGGTATGCTCTCAAAGGTTGCGAGACAGCCTGGACATGAGCTCGTGGGTATCGGCGAGGGCGGGCTCGTCGAGGGCGAGAGCGGCGTTGAGTTGGCAGCGGCGCCGGAAGTGGAGATGGATGGCGTAGTGGAGCTTTGGGTGGCGAGTGGGTATGGATGCGTCGAGGACATGCCACTGGTTGGGATCGGGGTGCAGGCGGTGCCGATGGAGGGCTGGCTCGAGCGAGGCAGCCCAGACGAAGCCGATGCAGCAGCAACGGCGGCCAGCCGATGCAGGTCGGTCAAAGGGGGCGCCTCTGCAGGAGCCGAGAGCGGCGGCGAAAGCGGATTTGCGGAAGACGGCACCGACGATTCGCAGGGGACGGGGACCATTTGGGTGCAGAGCACGATGGCGGGGCCATGCAGCTCACAGAAGGTCGTGAGAGCAACACACCCCAGAGGGGCGGCAGTGTTGGGATCGGCGGAGGCCATTTGCGGGGCGGGAGGTGGGTGAAGAAAGCAGGACGGCGAGCAGGAGGAAAGGGCCGGCTGCAACACCGCTGATGGGCAAGGCCGCTCGCAGCGCCGGGTCAAGGAGAAGAGGGCGTCCTGTGCAAGGCCGGGCAAGGAGGGCCGTCCGAGGGCAGAGGCGAATCCGATGCCGTGGCCGCCAAGTCGCTCTCTCTGTCTCGCCCGCAGACCTGCCCGGGCGACGATCGTCCATCCAGGCGGCACAATTTTTTTTTCTCGCGGGATCGATAGGCACTGGGCGCCAGTCTGGTGATGCCTGGGCGGCATGGGGGCCGACGGCGACGGTGCGGCGGGCCGGTGGGGCCGCTGCTTGTCCCGGGGCTGCGTGCGGGCTGTTGTTGTTCAGCAATGTCGTCAGTCGGCCGGACTCTCGAGATTGCTGCTGTTCACTCATGTTGCCAGGCCGTGCGGGCGTCCATGTCGGTCTCGGCGTCCATGTTGTCAGCCTGGTGGATTCACCCATGCCGCATGCTGTTCACCGTGTTGCGATTCCAACAGCCGCGCCGGCCTTGGGCCGCTGCACAATCAACCAGCACGCCCTGGTGTCCCTCTCGCCGCCGCCTCGCACGAGTGAGCCGCTCTTTGGCTTGGTTGTCTGCAGCTCGCAGACCCGGGGCGTTGGACAGCCGCCGCCTGCAAAATACGACTGAGAGCGGCCACCTGTGTCCGTGGGAAAGGCTGTGGGTGCTTGTCCTTTGCAGGCCCCAGCGCCGGGCCGGGAATATCACTTGGCTTTGCTCCCCATCGTCAGACCGCGTGGTCGGCAGCGAGAGACAGCCGCGGGCAAAGGGCGAAGGGGCGAAAGGGCGGGATGGGCAGGACGGGCGAAAGGGCGAAAGGGCTGCTTGCTCAAGGCTCGCAGGGCACTGTCTGCCGAAATTATGCCGATTGATTGCATGATGTATCGACTGCCTGGCTGAGCGAGGTTGATCAGAATCTCATTCTTGCGATGGACTCGACTGCAGAGATGGAGCTGCATGGGATGGACTCGGTGTGGGATGAGTTCACCCACTTGGTCGTTCTTGACCGAGTGTGATGCGATCCAGCTATGACGTGCTTTGTCCGAAGCAGATGATGTCCTTCGGCATGCTGTATGCCCCAGTAGCGCCCAGGTTTCCTCTGCCTATCGACCAGCTCGCCTCCATTCATGCGGTCGTCCATGTCCAGTTAGAAACTCGGGTCTGTGCGGGTGTTGGTTGTGGTGATGCGCTTCAGCAGCCTTGTTCTGCCGTCCCGACGATCCGGCCGATCAGCATACAGCTCGGGGATATAGCCAGCGTTTTCGCCGCTGGCGATGCGGCCGCCGTCCGAATCGAGGGCATTCCCCCAGCTCACGATAATAGGATCGCTTTCGCGCCGGGTGATGAATATGCCGTTTTCGCGCCTGGTTGTGGCCGCAGCGGGGGTGCTGCTGGGCTGGCTGGGATCTGGGCTCGCAGGGTGCTCTTCGCCATCGGACGCCTCTGGGTCGTGGTGGAGCCCCAGGGCGCTGTCTGTATCTGACTCTGCCGTGGGGTCTTCGAATCGAGCGGGGTCGTATGGCGGCTGTAGTGCCTCCAGACTCTTACGGCTCTTGGCTGCCTCAGGTTCGCTGGCACTCCTTGTCCGTTGACGAGCGCTTCGGGTTCTTGGCGGATGACGATGCGTCTCGGTCGACTCGTATTTCGGCTGTTTGTGGGATGTCGATTTGCGCGCCGATCTCGTTACCGCGGATTGCTCCGAATCCGACAGCGGGAGGACCCTGCAGCGACTGATATCAAAGTTCGAGAATGAGACCAGCACTCCCTCTGCTGCAGGAAACCCGTTCATACCGCACTGCTCCAACCTTTGCTGCTTCGTATTCCGAGCTCACCGCCATGCTTGGAGTGCCTCCCCAACGTACCTCTGCGATTTTCCGGCGCATTGCTGTCGCTCTGCATCGGCATACTGCTTCAAGGTGGACAGATAGACCTTGCCTTGCTATCGATGCGGTCCAGGTCGTTCGGACGAGATTCAGCAAGGCACCCACCGGCACCCAGAGCACCGAGCATGAATCCATGTCCGGCAGCAGCCGCCCACAGACACAGTTCTGCTGCCGGGCGAAGGACCCCCCCCTGTAAGTGCATCGTCACCCACCTGCTTTCGGACAATCTCGTCGAGCTCGCCTTTGCGGAAAAAGAGCCGAAGCTTCTTTGCAAGCTCGTCCCCGGTCGCAGGTGTCTTTGGATGCATCGAGTCGTCCTTGGTGAAGTACCGCTCATGCAAGTGGTACGGTTCGTCCGGGACGAGTGAGTAATGCCCTGTCAGAGTTGCGTCATCACAGCAACCGCAGTTCGATAGCCCGTTACTTCTCCCGACAGGTATTTGACTCTCACCGCGCCGGGCGCCATTGCAAGTGTGCATAGATTTTGGCTCGGATGCAGCGGATGGCTTGCACCTTCGCTCACAGCGGGCACTTCATCCCCTCCCTCACAGCGTTGATGCATGAGACATACGTTCTGCCGGCAGGTCTTCGAGACAGAGATCGTCAAATGACAGAGCTGACCGTGTCAACTTCTGGCCCGAGTGCAGATGGCAGCGCTTGTGCCGCATCAGGGACTGTGCTGGATTCCACAGGGTGTCGAGGGCAAGTAAGCTCCAGCATCATCTCGATCGGCGTCGGGAACTGGCCGGGCCTTGTATTGACCTGGCATCCAAGCGGGTGTCGCCCAGACTCCTCGCTAAGGTCTCTGTAACGCTGCACCTGTCGCTTTTGTGGAGTTCAATCACAAAGAAAAATGAAACCGGCTGGCAGTACACACCTATGATGTGATCCAGCAGCTCGCCATATGCTTCCTTCTTGTTGGCTGCCCGCTGTCGCAGTCGCTCACGGAGGCCATCGTCGAATCGGCGTATCTGGCCTTGCCTTCGTGAATTATGGGCTTCCGATCGTGTGGATTCAAGCTCGGCCTGCGTCTATCAGGAAGCCGGGAGAACCTGTCAGTCCAAGAGCGCCTCGTCACTCATCGCCCGCCAAATGGGTGAGATTCGCCACGGCGCTGCAAACGACGAGTCGTACATAGGCATCCAACGATGGGGCAGGCCTGTGTGGGCTGTCTGATCTCTCGACGTGGACGTCATCCAGTCCATGGATCAGCATCCCCGATTCACCCCCATCGCCTGAGCCGCACACGGATGGCGGAGTATGATGCGTGATCTGGATGTGTGCCGTGGTTGGTCCGTTGACGACCAGGTTGACGCCCTTCTGCTTTTGCACCGGGATAGAGGACGACGATGCTGCCGAGTAGATGGTGGTGGTGGATCTGTGAGATGCCCTGGAGAAGGCGGTGCTGTTGCTGGCGGAGGTGCGGGCCAGCGACACCCGTGAGAAGCGGGAGGCCCGAGAGACCACGGAGCTTCTCGACGGTGGGCGGCTGGGGATGCGCTGCTGAGAGGCGTTCGTGGAGGCCATCGCGACAGAGCCAGCCGGCTCGCTGACGATACACCAAGACCAGTCGAGTCGCAGAAGCTAGGCAATACCCGCCTGAGCCGAACTGATGGACCGCGCGGGATCGGCCTGGATTTTTGCTTGGCTTGTCCCCTGCACAAACGCCGACGCTTGCTGGTGCCTTGTCTGCTCGCCATCCAGGGGCGGCGCGCAGCGACACGTGCTCGCCGCTGCGCAACCCTAACCTTCTTGGCAGCGCAGCAGGTGGCAGTGCCATGTTGGGTGGCTTGCAGACGAACAGACCCAGCCGCCAGCGTCCTGCTCTCGCCATCGACCACTCTGCCATCGACCACTCTGCCATCGACCGGCTCTGCCAGAACTGCCAGAACTGCCAACATGTCATCCTATCTCGACCGGGTCAACTCCAACCGCAACGCCGAGGAGAACCACCCGCTCAACTTCCTCCCGTCCGCCATCCGCAACGTCGTGTCCGCCATCGTCCCGGACTCGATCGAGCACACCGTCGGCTCCTGGGTCGAGTATGAGCGCATCCACCAGGAGGTCCAAGCCGAGATCGATGGCAAGCACCCAGCGCATCCCGAGCTGCTCAAGTCGGCCACAGTCTCGTACGTATCCGGTGCGCTGCACGTTATGGTTCGGCGCCGCCGCTCCGCTTGCCCGAGTCCGAGTCCAAATCCAAGCTCCTGCCCCAGGAGCTGTGGTCATAATGGCGCTTACCAGATATTTTGTGGGACCGGCGTTTGCTGCACCACTTCAAACAGCCACGAAAACTCTATCCCGGAGGAGGAGCAAGAGTTCCGGCGCGAGCGCAAGGCCTTCATGAAGGATGCCTTTGCCAGGTTCATCGGTGTTTCTCCGGAGGAAGTCCACGTTGACGACATTCCCGTCATTGCCGTCACAGGAAGCGGCGGCGGTTTCAAGGCCATGATCGGTACCACAGGTAGGAACAGGCATGGGGGCACAGATCGCCCAGATTGAGACGCTGCAGACCAAAGACCGAGGCTCCGTCTGGTGCCGGTGCTGTCGAGATGTTGGCACACAGGGGTGCTGTTCGGTGGGCTTTGGTGGCTCTCCCGTCCCGGCCGCACTGACCAAGAGAGTCGCTTGGCATCTCCCAAACCCCCGAAGGATATCTCAAGGGCATGCACGACTCGGGACTGTTCGACTGTGTCATGTACATGGCCGGTGAGTACATTAGTGCCGTCTGTCGCCATGGAGTCGCGCACCCTCATGTTCAATACGGTGCATTTCTTGCGTCTCTCGTCCATGGTTGTATGTTCTGTCGACCCGGCAACAAGCTCCCTTTTGCTCATCGCTGCCACTTTCGCTCGCCGCAAAAAGGTGTCAGTGGGTCCTGTTGGACACTCTCCAACTTTTACACCGCTGCCCGCTGCTCAGTGCCGGCACTCTTGGAACACTACAAGCAAGCATTGGTACCCCATCCGGCCAGCCCTATCCACATCCCAAACATCCTCTCAAAGGACATCCGCCACCGCGTGCGTCTCGCCTTTGACGGCATGACCATCAAGCGCATTTCCCAGCTTCCTCGCGGCGTGGTCGACACCTACGGCTGTCTCATGAACTGCCACTTCCAAGGCGACTATTGGGAAGGTGCCTGGGAGCCTGACCACTTCCGACTCAGCCGCCACGCAAAGTACCTCAAGGGCGGCAAGGCCCCGATGCCCATTTACACCTGCATTCGACACGAGCGGCCCTGGGCACGCAAATTCGACCCCGACCTTCCGCGCGAGGAGTGGGAGCAGCTACAGAAGCAGTACGAAAGCAACGAGGATAAGAACCATCTGGCCGGCTCCAAGGAGCACGCGCACAACGAATCTGCTTGGTGGCAATGGTTCGAAATCACGCCCTTCCAGGTGGGCTGCGACGAGCTCCATGGTAAGCTGTTCCCAGATTGAAACCTCGCATCAAGCGATACGCATGTCCGACCGCACCAAATGAATGTTCACCTCCCAAACACATCGATTTGCTTCTGCTCGTTGATCAGGCTGGGTTCCGACCTGGGCGTTTGGGCGACGGTTCGTCAACGATGTGTCTGTGGAGAACCTTCCCGAGCAGAACTTTTCACTCGTCGTCGGGTAAGTTCGCCCAGCTCGAAGTCTTGTGTCGAGCCCGACATGGCTTGGGAGATATCCTCGCCGGCCTGTGCGCCATCCTGGCCTGTGCTGCAGCGGCTCACGCAAATTCGCATATGCTGCTTCCTCCTCCCATGTCCATCCGGCAGCCTGACCGGAAGCGCCATGTGTGCGCCCTTCACTACCACGGTCCAGACTTTCCAGCGCAGTGAGACAACCTCGCACTTCCAGGAGAAGATGAAGGAGTTCCTGGGCACTGTGAGTAGCCTGTCGTTTGTCACACGCACTTTCAGATGTTGTGCTGGGTTACCAGCTGGCTCCAGGCTGTGTATTGCGTTTCGCTTACCTGTCGGTGTTAATTTCTCTCTCCGGGCACTATCGCTCTTGCCCTGAATGCATGTGGTATCGCTGTGCACGCGACCCATGCTGCATGGTTGCCGATGTGTTTCCAACTAACCGGTTTCTATCGTTGCTTTGCTCTGCACCGCGATGTTCCCGCCTTCAGCTCATTCAACCGGATGCCAACCCACTTGTAAAGCAGTTGCTTGCCATTCATCCGTTCCACTCGTCCTACAACTGTGAGTACCCTGACTTTGATGCACTGTTTGCATCGGCCTACGGGAGTGGGCTTCTGTGGCTAAGCTTTTGTGTTCTATCGTCATCTCACCCGGCTCTTGGCCATCAAATCAGGGAACTTCCTTTACGAGGATACACCCGAGAAAACGCCGCCTGGCGTCCGAAACTCCAAGCGTATCCAGCTGATCGATGCCGGTATGTGTTTCTTGAGGGCGGTATCGCATCTGAGCCTAGACCCACTTGCACTCGCAAGACTGAGTCTGCACTCTTTGGCTGCTTCTCTGCTTAGGTGCGGACAACAACCAGCCTCTCTATCCGCTCACACGCCTCGGCCGCGACGTTGATGTTGCGTTCGTTTTCGACTCGAGCGTCGACGTTGAGCGAAACATGTAAGTCAGTCCCCTGCTTTTGCAGCTCGTGTGAGGCCCATACTCGGATCGCCGGCGCGGGAAAGAATGCTATCGGAGGTAGTCGGCGTGTGATCATGTTCGCTTGTCTACTTTCTCTCCTGTCTCGACGCTGTCTTCGGCGCGATCCACCACGCGGCGCTGATGCTGAGCCTCGTTTGAACCCTTTACAGCGTGACTCCCGATGTCGAAACGTTCGCCAAGCGAAAGGGATTGAGTGTCACCCTTCGCAGCCCCCCACCAGCACCCCAGGAATCGCTGCCCGCGAATGTGCCCAAGCCAAAGAACACGGCAGAGTCGCTCCGCCAAAAATACGAGAACCGCTACTGCCAGGTCTATCAGCTGGATCCCATCGATCCTGCAGGCACGCACCCGGAGTATGGCAACCCACTTGCCAGCAAGGGCTTCCAGATGCTCTACATGCCGATTCTGCCCAACCCAGAGGTGCCCGAGTTCGAGCCCAACAGCTTTGGGTTTGGCCAGCTGCAGTACACCTCAGAACAGGTTTGTTGGATGCCTTGCTTCTCGTTTGAGCCGTTGCACGGTGCTGTCGTTGAGCATCACAGGGCGTCCACGATCAGCGGCAGTTGACACTGAACACATCCTATGCGCTGCGTTTAGGTCCAAGATCTCGCCAAATGTGCCTCTCTCAACTGGAAGCAAGAAGAGGCCCGTATCCGCGAGGTTTTGCGTTCCGTCTGGCAGGAGAAGCGCCGGGCCAGACTTGCCGCGCATTGAGCCGTCGGGCCTGTCCTGGTTGGCTGCATCCGTGCCCCCTCCCCTCCTCTGGGGCGGTACACGCTATATTCGAGTCTATCGATGGCGGTCTTGCCGAGAACTTGCTTTCTAATTTGACCCCTCACTGAGCTCTGAGGTTTGAATACACATCCGTCCTGAGGTCGATGTGTCGGGCTACGCGAGAATGCTGGAGAACACAAACCCAGAGCGCCCTGTCTTGTCTGCGGAGGCAAGCAATCGTGTCCCCCTAACGCTGTCTGCTGAGGATGCGTTATATTTTGGACTGGTGTGCACCAAACGGTCTATGCGAAAACATCTTTGAACGGATCCTCGGGCATTTTTGTCTTTTGCTTCTTTTCGGCCAGGGCTTCGCTGGCCATTGCTCGTGCCTTGTACTCGATCGACTTGTCGATTCTCTCCAGGCGACGGACCTGTCGACGGACAATGCGATCGGTATGTGTGTCAGCAGCCAGACCGCCGGCAGGCACCAGATAGGACCAGCATCTACCCATCCAAGCATCCACTTTGCTCTCATTGACAATTTCTCCCCGCCCACGGTCGATGAATATATATACTCACATGGTTGGGCGAGACAAAGTGCGGGTTTTCGTAGAGGGTTGCTCCTCCAAAGCTGCGATCAAAGATTCGCATGATACTCAAGCTGAAACGGGGGCCGATCTCGGCGAGGGTGATTTCCTTGTCCTTGCCCTTGCCTTTGACAGCCTCCTTCTCGACGACCTATTCAGTTGCAAGAAAGTCAGCGACGGCTCATTCGTGCGGACAGAGCGGCTGCATTCCTCATTGTGGCTGATCGCCTATCACCCAAAAGGCACAGAGACCATCGCCATATGCGCGGACGGGTGTCGGCAGCCGTGCCAGGTGCAGAGCTCATGCGATCCACTGCGAACGCACCTGGAAGTTTCGGAACCAGATTCGGTTGTCGGCAATGGAGAAGCTCAGGACATGGTCGATGAATGGCTTGATCTTCCGCGAAGACTTTGGCGTTCCAAAGATTTGGGTGAACATCTCCTTTAGCAGCTGGAAGTGCGGCGCACTGTCAAAGTTGCTGTCAAAGGACAGGATCGGCCGCGAGCCCTTGAGGCAGTTGCCGGTCATGCGGAGCTCGTCCATGGTGTGGACGTTCTGGACGTTGAACTTGACACTCGGTCCGTTGGGGGTCTTGGACATCCACATGTACAGATCGGTGTGTTTGCGGACCTCGAAGAATATGCAGTTGTTGCAGTTGGCGAGTTCGGCGAGTTCGTTCAGCTCATCCAGGTTGGACTTTGAGTCAAACTTGCTGTCTATGCATGTTGAGCGCGATGGTCAGGAGGCGGCGATGCCCGATAAACATCCATGAGAGGTCGTTGACATAGAGTGCAACAGAGCCACGAGTTGATTGATAGCGTCAGTACTCCGGCATCAGAGGACGTCAGCCGGCAACGCTGTCCGAGTCCAGACAGCAAGTGGAGTCAGACAGCAACAGCCTCTGGACGAAGCATCGCCGGATCATGGCGCCGACACAGCCATCTCTCGACTGGCAGACTGACAGACTGACCTTTCTTTGAGTGCGGCATCAGCACATTCAAGTCATTCATCAGGTGCCGGAATCTGTCCGATGATGACGCCGGTCGTTTGAGAATGCGATACAGAAAGCAAGGCCATTTTTGACCGGCGAGCACACATCTGATTGCCCCGGGCCGCGCTGGCGCCATCGGATGCTCATTCAGTATATGAACGCGCTGCGATCGCTCACCTGTGGGTGATGCCGCGCGAGGAGAGGATAAGCACTCGCTGGCGGATCTTGGCTGGGCCCTGGCTTGCGCCAGTATCGGCATCATCGCCGTCATCCAGGCCCTCATTGTCCTCATCGCCGTCCTCTTGCTCCTGCTCCTGCTCGTCTTCATCGTAGCGCCGCATCAGAAGCATCTTGCGGCCCAGCTCGAGAACCTCTTCGTCCGAATGCTCCCCGGCAGACTCCTCTACATCTTCGTCGTCATCCAGATCGGAGCCGCCGCCGGTCTCGACGGTGACAATCTCTTTCTTTTTTCGGTGGGCTTCGAGCTCGCTGTGCGACGGCTGCTTTCGCTTGGGTGCCATGACTGCTGTTTGGGGAGGCTACCGGTCCTGGTGTCAGATGCGCGATATGGTTCGGGTGGTGCGGCCTGGGTGGTGTGGTCGGGGGTGTCGTCGCGGCTGGGTGCTGCTGTTGCTGGCTCCGATCGCCAAAAAAAAGTAATTAATATGCGGCTCGAGCCGGCCAAGCCGGATGCAGCCGGCTGCGGCTGGCGAGCCACGTGTGACGCATGCCATGTCAGCCGTCGCTGGGCGATCTGGATGCGCGACGGGGAGCAGGCCGACCGCCATCTTGGCTCTGGTCTCGCTGGTTCTGTCGATTCTGTCGATTCTGTCGATTCTGTCGATTCTGTCGATTCTGTCGATTAGGTAGTGTATCCGCACCAGGGTACGGCGGGCCTATGGAATCATCCCGGCACATGCTGCATTCACAGTGTTATCTTGCCAGCCCCACTCGATTGTGGGCCCATCTGGATCGAATAGCCGCCGAAACGGCTCATCCGCCCATATCTGACATATCTCCCACCGCATTGGTTTGTCCATCTGCATATCTTGCGCGCAGGCATACTGTTCATTCATTCCCTGTCCAAATACTGTCCTGTTGCACTTGGCAGTTGCTCCAGAATCTTATCATCCCCGAGATCCGCACACATAGAACAGCTCCAACACCACACCGATGCGATTGATCCACATTGCCCGGGCCGCTCGGCGGCCCCTTTTCCTGTTGTCAGCCGGGCGCTGCTCGCTATCTGCAGCAAGCTTGTCCTCTATCCGACTGCACTCCACCGCCGTGCCCTTGGTTGACAAGAGCGCGCCCCTCGGGACTCTGCGCGAGTGGTCCTCGCAGTTCTACTCCTCGCCAGGCTTTTCACGAACCCACAGCTGCGGAGAGCTGTCTCCTGAGCACGATGGCCAATCGGTGGCTCTGAGTGGCTGGGCATTGAATTCGCGCAAGATCGGATCGGACTTGACGTTTCTGCCTCTCCGCGACGCACACGGCACCGTCCAGCTGGTGCACCAAATCTCGCTGGACTCTCCCTCTGAAAAAGACCTGTTCATCCGCGAGACCCTGCTCTCGCTGACACCCGAGTCTGTCATCTCCATCAAAGGCATCGTAAGGCGTCGCCCGGAGGCGGCCGTCCAGGGCGGCTCGCCGCTGGGCTCCATCGAGGTCTCGGTGACGGATCTCAAGGTTCTGAACAGAGCCTGTCCACTCCCATTCTCGACAGTCTCCAAGGCCCTGATCCCGAACGAAGAGGCCCGCCTCAAGTATCGCTATGTCGATCTCCGGCGCCCCAAGCTGCAGGACAACATCCGCAAACGATCGCGTGCCGCCCGCGCCGCCCGCGACTTCCTGTATGCCCACGACTTTGTCGAGGTCGAGACTCCGTATCTCTTCAAAAGCACCCCCGAGGGTGCTCGTGAGTTTCTGGTTCCCACCCGCACCAAGGGCAAGTTCTATGCTCTGCCGCAGTCGCCGCAGCAGTACAAGCAGGTCCTCATGTCTGCTTCGGTGGACCGATATTTCCAGATCGCTCGCTGCTTCCGCGATGAGTCGCTCGGCGCCGATCGCCAACCCGAGTTCACCCAGATCGATATCGAAATGTCGTTTATCGAGATGAACGACATCATGAAGTTGCTCGAGTCTCTGGCTGCGACCATCTGGAAAGAAGTGCTCGGCGTCGACATCCGACTGCCCGTGCCTCGCATGACCTACGCCGAAGCCATGCGTCGCTTTGGATCCGACAAGCCTGACATCCGCTTTGACATGGAGATTCAGCCGCTTATCGACTCCATCGACTCGGGCCATATGGTCGAGGGCCTGGTCGTCAAGCAGGCACACAAACACCTCAACACGAAACAGCTTCAGTCTCTCCGCGATACCGTTCTACAAGAAAACTTTGTCCATCTTGGAGGCTTCCCCAAGAGCCAGGATCTACTCTTTGTCAAGATCACTAACGACAACCTCCAAAGCTGGCCACAGAAGATACGGTTTCTCTCCGGCCATCCTGAGGCCGCTGCCAAGTTGGGTGGCGTGGAGCCGGGGGATTTGGTTGTCCTCAACTACCGCAAACAGGGCTATCTTGGCCCACACACCATCATGGGCCGGACGCGACTACATCTTTCCAAGGCCCTGATAGCCGCTGGTGCTCTGGACATCGATCCGTCGCGTGCTCTTTCATTCCTGTGGGTCCACGATTTCCCGCTCTTCACACCCACTGCCGACATCGATACTGCCTCTGGCGAGCTTGCCCTCGAGGCAACGCATCACCCCTTCACCGCACCCAACCCTGAAGATCTGCACCTCCTCCCAAGCGATCCGCTTTCTGTCCGAGGTCTGCATTATGACTTTGTCCTCAATGGCCAGGAAATCGGTGGCGGCTCCATCCGCGCTCACGACCCCCGCCTCCAGAACTATATCTTTTCGGAGATCCTCAAGATTCCCTCCGAGAAAGTCCAGACGGACTTTGGCCACCTGCTCGATGCGCTGCAGTTTGGCTGCCCACCACATGGTGGCTTTGCCTTTGGCTTTGACAGACTCATGGCCATTCTGTGTGGAGCCCCGAGTATCCGCGACGTGATCGCCTTTCCCAAACTAGCCGGCGGCGATCTCTTCGTCGACAGCCCCAACAGCGTGAGCAATGAGCGACTCAAGGAGTATCACATCCAGATCGAAGCCAGCAACAACGTCTGAGCAAGTCAGGTATCCCGGCACGGCTACAATGCGTGCAACATGAAACGGAAGCACCTGCGCTTGTCGCTTCTATTTTTGAGTGGAATACACATCTGTCCATCTCGTGGAAGCAGGGGCCATAGACACGCAGGAGCCGTGATCATTCAAACCACGACGGAAACGCCTCGACGACTGACTGGCAACGGCGGCGATGTGATGCCGCAGCGGGACCATGCCGCAGTGCGACCTCATTGAGAGATGCTGAGATTGTGCTCATCCTGGGATATATCTGCTGCTTCGCGCTCTGGTCCTTTGATGGTTATCTGATCCTGTACTGCACCTCAAAGTTGCTTTGGGTGGTGGGTTTCAATCAATGTCGACGGCTCGCGCCTTGCCCGAATATCGGGAGAGCGACTTTCCTGGAAGTTGCGCATTTCATGTTTGTCGTGTTAAGATCGCCCCATGATCGCTTTGCAGTGGTGTTTCACTGTGCATCCAAGCCTCTTGGTCACAACGCAGGCTGCAGTAGGTGCCGCCTTGCCCATCAACTTACTCGGTGCCAAATACTCGGCGCTTTGACCCAGCGAGGCGCTGTCCAAGTTTTGGATTGACTCCGTAAGCGCCGTCGAGATCTGGTTGAGCTCTTCCCGTCTCCGTTCCATGGCTCCGAGAATGTCATCATTGCCCATCGCAGCGCTTGAGAGTTGGTACTCCTGGATGGATGGATCGGAATCGCATCGAGTTCAGTCCGCCATCGGCAGTCTCAGCGTCTTCTCAGCTTGATAATAGATAGTTTCGGTCAGTGCGGGACAGAACGACGTACCATTGCTTTCGGTGCAGCGAGCGGAGGGTCTGCCGCATCAAACGTCCAAACCACGGCCGGTTGGTGATATCCAAAACTTATAAACAGCATGAGATGGTCATGCGGATGAAACTGCAGGTCGTCAATGGGAAACTGGAGCCCCAACCGTCTGTAAACGGTGACAATGGCCCCGGTATCGCAGCGCCATACTGTTGCCTGTCCGTCCTCGCCACCGGCAGCAACGAATGTCCCACACGGCGAAAACGAAGCTCGCCAAAAGTGGTTTGCATATCCGCTGTGATCGCCTGTGGAGCGCGGTCCGCTCTTGGGCGGCGAGTACGAGGCGTCAAGTTGCTTGTCCTGGAGGACCGTAAGCAGCCTGTAGATACGCGAGTCGACTAGATGGATTGTGCCGTTGCTGTATCGTATCAACAGCTTTCTGAAGTTTGGGTGGAGTTTCAGACACGTTACGGAGGCGTCCTGAGATGCGGCGAATGTGGTGTGTATATGTCCTGGAGTCGTTAGTGCCAACAGCAGCCAAGAGTGCCCCAGCACTGCTTCACTGCAATCGTCAGGGAGGCTCGCTCATCCAGCCCTTGGTGCCCAAATCCACAAAGAACTCGTCTCGTCGGTAGATACCTGAAGTGGCGAGAGCGTCTTGATGCAATCGTATGCGACTTCTCCGCGTCGTAGCCCTGGGATCTCACAGCTCCAGACTTTGACGACCCCGGAGCCGTCGCCGGAATACATCTTGCGGCCTTCCTCACCAAAGACGATGCTGTTAACTCGCGACGAGTGACCGCTAAGTGTCAACATCGGTCCGCCTTCAAGCGAGATTGGCTGGCTTCCGAGCAACTGATAGGGCTCGTATTGCCAAAAGCGAATGCGCCCATCGAAGCACCCTGTAACTATGAGCCTGTTCATGCGCGGGCGGATGGCCCAACGTTAGTCACGACCATGTGTGCTTGTGCCTCCCCCCTCCTCCATCCGCATACTCAAGAGACCGAGGAGGCTGGGATCTGAGTCACTGATGGGCAAACTGGTGAATGCGATGCGGACTTAAGACAGGAAACGTGCCTTGGGTTCAGAGCCATGGGATGGAATACCGCAGTGTAGACGTAGGCCGGATGCAATATCACGGACTTTTGGCGCACGCTCCCGTCGCCTCCAAAGAACCAGACGCGAACAGTGCCGTCGGAGGATGCGCTGATGAGCTCGCTGCAGTGTCAAGACGGCCGGAGAGTGAGCATCAAATCCATAACAGTCGCTTGCTTGGCTGCAAGCAGATGACTTTTGGGGAATGCATATGCTATCATGAAGCCAACGCCTGAGAGCGTACTCATCCTCGCTCGCCCAGCTGAGAGAATAGACGAGATCTTGGTGTCCTTCAAGAGTCGCCACTCGGTCACCCGTGAGGACATCATAGACCTTGATCGGATAGCTGCTTGTAGACACACAGGCGATGGCCACGTATATGCCGCCGTTGGAGAAGGAGCATGCAAACGAGCCGCTGCATTGGGACCAACGAAAGATGCAGTATAATAGATCGTCAGCCCACACGATGGAGGCTCAGGCTCAGCATCTAGTGGCGTTCACTCTATCACCTCTCGTCGCTGCTCAATCGATATCGCAGCCGGGTAGGCAGCAAGAACCTTTGTCCTGGTTCTCGTCTCCACTTTGGCTGTCGTTCAGCGGTGGTTGGGTTAGGGCAAAGTATTTGTTGAGTAGCCGAAGGCAGGTAAAAGAAGTAGTGTCCTGTGGTCTTAGATTCACTTCGATCGACGATTCTGCGATCCAAGTAGCCAACTCACCGCATTGGACAGTGCCAGAAGACTCTTCATCATTGGATCCATGATCTTTTTCTTCTCGGAATACTCATCGAGCATCTGGAATGCACGTGCTGCATTAGGAGCGTCAGCGACCCGCATCTCTACCCTTCAGCACCGCACACACGTACCTGCTCCAGTGTCATCTTTCCGATCTCGATATCCGTGGGAAGGTTGGCTCGCCGGATCACTTGACGACGCCTCGGGGGCACATGAGCTTTGACGGTCACGTATCTACAGCGAATGAAGCCAAGTAAGATGAGAGATTGGATTTGACCCAAGTCGCCGATCCGCAGAGAGGGCCGTGGGCTCGCCAGATAGCAGGGCACTCGACGAGCGCGCGACAAGAAATACTAACAGTGTCGAAGGGTATTTTTCTTTTTCCATCTGCCAGTAGTAGTACGCATTCGGGATGTTGTCTTGCTCCGGAGGCTCGTTCTTGATTTTTGGGTACCGATACATCTGCAGGCGGGCCTGAGAGTCGTTCAGCCAGAGACGCAACGAGCCGATTGTTCAAGGTTCAGAGCGACATATTCCCATGACCGAAGGGTCATCCGTTCTTTGGCAATCCGCACAATCCATACCATCTGCTCGGTATTTGCATTGCCAGCATGGCCGACCAGCTTCAAGAATGCCCACGCTATCCGGTGCCATCCGTCATGCGTTCTGTTTAGCCGATGCAGCAGAGTACGAGGCCGGTCAGTTGACACAGACAAGGTATATCCCAGGGCCCAACCCTCGCTGATACCGATTTGCCACTCTGCTGACGGACAGAGCATACTTTTGAGCCAGTGCACTGTTCGTTGTAAAGTCAAGGACCTCAAACAGCATCATCGTAGAGGGTTTCAGGATCGACAGGTATTCGACGTCGACAACAATTTCTTCCTCCCACAGTGGTGTGACCTTGCGTCCCTGGAGTTTGTATGGCTGCAGTTCCAGCATGTGGGCAGATCACCCCGGCACACCGATGAAGAGGCAAGTCAATACCCGAGTTCCACACGCAGCAGCGATTGTTCTGCGCTCGATCGTGCGTCAAGGACGCTATCGGTCTCTGGTGCCTGGCTGAATGCTCTGGAATCTGCCTCTGTTACCTTCGTCATCAGCGGCAGGATGTAGTCAATGGCTTTCCCTTCGTTGAAATATGTAGCCGGCTTCTCTTTGTTGCCCTTGCTCAAGTACTGGCCGGTGGTGGCGTCTGCATTGGATATTGGCGGGTGCAGCACGTCAGTCCCCAGGCATGGCCAAAGGCCGAATTATCACCTTCACTGCTACAATTTACCGATGAAACTGATCTTCACCACAGGGTGGACGATGAAGCTGCTGAGCTCCAAGGCATCGATTGAATGAATCTTGATCAGCACGACCTGCGACTCAAAGTCCTTCTCACTCTTGTCAAGATGGCGGAAGAGCCCCTTGGATTGATTCGACTCGTGGGTCTTGGTCTTGGTCTTCCGGACATCATCCGGCGCCAGGGTGGGTGTTTTCGATCGCGGACGGCTCTGCGCTGCTCCGTGTGCCGGGCTGCGTTCTCGCGATCTGGCGCTTCGGCTTCCGGATTTGTTCTTTGACTTGGATTTGGATTTGGATTTGGATCTGGAACTTGGTTTGGATTTCCGGTGCCGCTTCTCGCGTAATCGGCCGCGGGTCTGCTTGTCGTCGGCCCACTCCTCCTTCAGATACTCTTGGCTGGCCTGAAGGACCGCCTCGAGCTGCTGCTGGGGCGTGGTTTCGGGGTCTCTCGGCATGTCTATGGATCGCGATGGCTCGTTGCAGCGCTTTCGCTCGCCTCCTGGAATGCCGCGGTAATTGCTGAGGCGACTCATGGTGGGAATGTGGTTTGTCCGCATCCCATTCTCCAAAAGCCCGCCAAATCGGCCCTCCCCCTATTCCGCTCCACTCCACACTCCACCGTTCAGAGGACACGTTCTCATACAGCCCGCCAATCTCCGATCCGCCAATCTCCGACTGCCGCACTGAATCGTTGGATCGAAGTATGTGTATTCAGGATCCAGAGAAAGGGGAGTGTCCTCGCGGACAAGACTTGTGTGGCTCCGTGAACAGTGCGCGTTTCGATCATCCCGTATTGCCGCCTCCTGTGTTGCTGTTGCCTTTCGAGATGATCGATGCGTTCTGGTTGCGCAGCATCATGCCAAAGTTGGTGGCAAACGTGGTCTTGCCTGGGGCTCCGGGGGCAGGCGGTTGAGTTTGCTGCTGTTGCGGCTGCTGTTGCGGCTGTGACTGAGAGTATCCGCCGGATCCTGCAACCCGCACCGAGCGGATACTGAGTTCGTCGGCGCTCTGCTTCCGCACTCCGTGGGACGGAGGGGCACTTGAAGTGGGGACGTAAGCTCGACGATCCTTGATCTTGATGTTGTTCACAACCACCTCGAGATGATTGCCGGGTCCATCGATGCCTTCGAGATCGGAGCAATTCTGGATGAAATACTGGATATCGATCAAAAGCCTATGGAGGGTGGAGAGAACGAGAAGGATATGCCCGTTAGTGTCTCATTCACTCAGCGATGGCCGTGTGGCTGTTGTCTGCAGCGAGGACATGGATACTTTCAAGAGCAAGTGCCTTACCGATTCTTTCCAGCACTTGTGAAAAGATCCATCTTCTTGAGGTCATCTTCCAACTGGATGACATACTCTCTGAAGATTTGAGTGAATATCATCTGCGCGACAGATAATCAAGGCGATTAGTTGAGGCGGTTCAGATCAGAGCCAATGAGCAGTCGCAACTTGCTCCACACAAGAGTGCTGGCGGGGTTGTGTGCATCGCGTTTGAACCAGCAAGGGTGCTGTCTTCAGCATAGCCAGGTGGTCCTCGATCCGGGACGCACCTTGATCGCCTCGGGCCGAAGCAGCTTAATCAGCACTCGATGCAGCGTCCCAATTTCCTTGACGAGGGCAACCATGTATACGCTGGTGACGTCGGTATGGTCGGATGCAAGCTCGCGAAGCTCGGGCTGATCCCAGTTCACAGAGCAGAGGTTCTTGGAATGGAACTCGAGTCGGTCAGTCATGAGCGACACCAGTTTGAAATAGAGCCCGTTCTGGTGCTCGCGGTAATCCTGCGTGCAAGGGTGGAAGGCGAATTGGCGGTCAGGACAGTGACGTTATCAACGCAGCAATACCAGTGGTGGCGGCTGTGCCTTGGTCACGCAGCATCGATGTCATACCGAGAGGAGTCTATCAAAGTCTGCCAGCAGGACTTGCTGCTTTGCTGTGAGATAGCCCGATACTACTGTCTTCAAGTGGGGAATGATCGCCGTGACCACACCAATGGACTGTGCCGTTAGCGCTGGCAGCAGAGCGACAAAAGGAGCAGAAAACAGATGTCAGTCGCGTCCTCGATCCTCAGTCCGCTACCCAAGTCGGGCGTCAAGGCCCACAAACTGCATACCCATGTGCCGGGCAGTGATGTTTCGAAGTCCTGCTGACCGCATTGCACCGGCACCCAGAATCATTTGGCATGCCCTGGAGTTGAAAAGCTATGATTTCCATGCCCCGCCCCCGCGAACAAAGGGTCAGTATCTCTGCAAACGCATCTCCCCTCACCCCATCATCTGGATCACATCGGCAGCACTAGCACGGCAGCACTAGCACGGCAGCACGTCGTGGCGAGCCAACCTTAAGTATCTCGACGATCCTGTTCAGAACGTCAGTTGTGAGGGACGGGATGTGGTCCAGACACGCCATATACTCCGTCAGCATCTTCAGGAACAACAGCACGGATATGACGACGTAGTATTTTTCGTTGTCCAGTATCAGGTATTTGAGCGTCTTGGGGCCGTTGGCCACGATTTTTCGGTTGTCTTGCTTGGCTACGGCAGGGGCGGCGCTGCTGCCGCTGGAAAGATCAAACTCTCCATCGGCTCCGATGTCGATGTTGTCTGTGCTGTCAAAGGCCTCGTCGCTTTGCTGCTCGCGCAGCTTGCTCTGGGCAGTACTGGGCGACACAGTTTTGGCACTCGAGGCAGTGGAGTAGACGATTTGGTCAGCTAGGAGCTGAAAGTCAACAGCAACTTCGGCCTGGACCCACTGCTCGTTGTCGATAAGCATGGTGATCTGCTTTCTACGCTCGTCATGGAAATGGTTCAGGAAGGCCTTGGCCTGGCGTTTCGGGGTCGAAGGGCCGTTGGTGAGTACCGATGGGGATGTGCACAATCGCAGGGCAGCAATACACCCACAACAATGCTCACCGCACATCCGGCACAATGGCCCACGCGATACTTGCCTGCGAGAGCATCGTGCCTTTCAGACCAAAGCACATGCGACCACAGAGACCCTCCCCTCCTCCGATGAACTCCCATGTTGCGCCAAACAGGCGGTAAAAGTCCTTGGGGTTCAGCTGGGCATTCTGCTCAGAGCGCACGCTCAGCAGCTTGGCGCACCGCACGTGTGCTAGATCCGAGATCGCAAAGACAACGTCGGACGACTCTTGCCCGAGCTGGGTGAACGTCGATATCGACGGCGCCGAGCCGCTCGAGCTTCTGCCGACCGGGGATGCAAAGTCCTTGTCTGGGGTACCGAGTTGCGAATACTGCCTTTGTAGAATATCGTCGGCCGAGCCAAACTCGTCCTGGTCCTCCGACAGCTGGGGGAGGAGCTTTGAGGGGGTTCCAAGCGCTGGCGTTTTGGATGAGGGCTCGGAATCTAACAGTTTAAGGCTCTCGGTTCCAATGACGATGCCGGAATCTTGAGCCTCTTTCAGCAGCACCAGTGTCAGCTCGTGGACAATCGATGTTCGCTGGATCACATGGAGCAGCGAAACGTAGACATTCATCAAGACGCCATAGAAGGCGTCAAAGCTCATCGCTCGAAGCTGGCGAGCCAGCGCGCTTGAGTCGCAGATTGAGGTTATGAAAGCGGCGAAAACACGTCAGGAGCCATGGCAAGGACGACGTGATATAGGCGGTAAGGACGCAGCGGCGACGGCAAAATCGAGGGAAGGGCGAGCATATAGGCTGCCAAAGCCGGTGGCCGGACGCACATAAGCTGCTATCGGAGCCGTCCGCAGAATCACGTCTCGGCCGCATACCTGTTCTTTCCCGAGCCCTTATCCTCCATATAGATTGGCGAGATGGCGGGATAGTGCTATTGAGTGATGTCACTGTCAGGGACTGTTCGCCTTTGCCTGTGCCTTGGAGACATAATAGCACATCATACGACCGCGCCACCAAGGCCAAGGCGCCGGAGGCCATGAAGGAGCCCGCGCGGCAGCAGCAACGTACGATTGCACTGTACCTGCTTCATCGCCGCCTTGATTTCGGCCATGATCGTCGTCTTGTACACCTGGAATGCTGCTGGCAGCCTATCCATCTTGAGCAGCCCCATGACCAGTGGCCGCATACGTAGCTTCAGGTTGTCTTCCCATATGAGCAGGGCAGGCACATTCTGGGCGGTATCAGCGGCACCGCCTACAGACGACAGCTGTCTCGGATCGCCACTCAGAATGCTGGAAATCCAGTGGATAATCGGGGCATTTTTGATGCGGGGACTGATTTTGGAGACCGGGTCGATGAGCCTGAGTGTTTCGCGAAGGTCGCTTACCAAAACACTGACAAACTCCGACTCCATAAGCATCGAGATGGTGCGGGACATCTCCGAGAGCTGGCCATAGAGATTCGCGAGCGAACGCACGCCTCTGAGGTCCAGAGAGAGCGGCATGTTGGACGCTTTGGGCATCCATTGCACTCCAGGACCAAGCACCCTGAGCTGGTCGGCTTTGGTGTCCGGTGATGGCGAGGCGCTGCCCTTGAGCATGGCACTGGTTTCTTCGATTAGATCGAGCACCGAGACATAGTCGCCCTGGCCTAACAGGACCTGGATCATGGGCTGGGTTTGTTTGACCTCGGACACCAGCTTGATGCTGGAGTAGAGCAGCGCAAGCTTCCCACGCCGTTTCTTGAGCTGCACAACCGACAGACCCTTCTTGACCTGGTCGGCAGAAAGGCGCTTGAGTTTGGTGCGCAAGTCGTTGATTTCGGCGACACACGATTGTGTCTCTTGATGCAAGGCCTGGAGATTCGACAGAGCCGAGAAGAACGACTGCGATCGCTGTGAGATTTCCATGAGCAGGTGTACCTCCACGATCTCCAGGTACGATGATAGCTTGTCCTGAAGCAGATGGCTGGTCAGCACCATTTCGTTTGAGGACGTGCTGGTGGCTCGGGTCAGGTCGGCTTGCTCGGTAACCTCTCTCCAGGTATGTGGGTTGCTCAGGTTGAAGCTACCGTCAAAAAACTGAGCCGGAACGAGATCGAGCGAGGGTGCGTTGGTCGATGCCAGCTTTTTCCGCGCCGAGTCGTTGCGACCCTTGTAGCTGTCCTGGATGCCCATCTCGCTGAGCTTTGTTGAGATGTCGGTCATGGACTGCGACTGCTGACTCCCGCCGAGGACAGGATTGCCTTCTGTCGCAACGGCCAGGCCGATGGCTCGGTTGTACTGGTACCGGTCGATCACATCGGAGATGCTTTTGAGGTAGGGATCAAACTCGGGCGTCCGGACCTTGCGGATGAGGGTTTGTGGAATGATGGGGAGCGTATCCATGCCCTTGAGAGGCTTGGCGCCAGACTTTGCCTGGACGGTCGGATCGTTCAAAATGCCCTGCAATTCAGGATGGCGGCCGATCGTCAATACCATGCAGCCGGAATCGGGCGGGGTGGTAAGCCCGCAAGGCAGCGAGAGCGGCGAGCGCAATGCAACATGACCATTGGCGAGCAAGCGACCGATCTGCGAGTCGAGGGATGGGAAGCAAGGCAGGCAGGCCAGCAAGGCCGCTGCACATCTGGCAGGGAATGCCCGACGGCGGGTTGGTGCATCGGATTCCAGTGGCAAGTCGATGAATCAAAGTTCAACCGCCAGCGCCAACCGCCGGCACAACGCAACGTTCACGGTGCATCACAGCGCCTGAGCAACGAGCACCAGAACCCACCGATATTGCGTTCTGGCCCATATCCCCAATGGACCACGGATGTTCATTGTTGAGCACCTCTTCAAAGGGATTCTCGGATATCGCACTCTTGCGGATGGTGAACGAATCCGAAGACTGAGGAGGCGGGCCGGACTGGCCGGACTTGCCGGCAGGGAGTTGGCTGGAGCCGAAGCTGCTGTTGCTCATTGACGACGACGACACAAGCGAGGTGGCCAGGGCGGCGTCATAGGCCGAGCGCGGGGTGGTTGACGAGGGACGCCGGGTGTCGTCCAGCGATTTATGGGCCGGGTCGGCAGCCGAGGGCGGGTTTGGGGAAGAGACGGTCCACTTGAACGGCGAGAGCGACATTTGAGGTGCCTTGATGCCAGGGGAGAAGGCAGCAAGGGCAGGCCCGATGAGCCGGAGGGGCGAGGAAGCGCGACGACAATGGGTTGCCGAGACGAGCCCTGGGAATCAGGACGATGGGCTGCGGACGAGATTCGAGACAACCGGCAGGAGGGCCTGCTCAAAGACAAGCCGAGGCGGGAGACGAGCAGAAGACGAGAGCCCTCAGGACCGCCCCACACAAGCAAGCACCCGGCCAGCGATGCTGCAGGCCATCGGTGTGCCGAACTGCCCAGGCATTGCCGGCCGAACAGCTGCGATTGCATCTGGTGATTGGAGACAATGGAGCAACGGCGGCACTGGGCGGCTACCGTCTGCACCGGACGGCATCGTGGTCTTGCCGATCAGCTTTGGATGTCCGTCTGGCTCCCAGGCCGGCTCTCCTCACAGGAGCGGGTCTTGTTGGGTTGGAGCGATCGTACATGGCGTTTCGTAATCGAGCCGGAAGTTGCTCCTCTATTGCGGCAGATGAAGACCGGGTTTACATCCACAACACCCGAAGAATATGCCGGCAAGCACTTCGGGAGGCACTGCTGAGCGAGGGGCACTATCGAAAGGGCGATGGAGTGCATCAAGCGCAACGCCAGTTCCCAAATCCTCGGTCCTGAGCAAACGGATGACCAGCCACGACAATCTTCGGTCTGCTGCCCGCTGTGTACATGGCACTGACTACACTGGTTTCAGCGAGCGCATGACTTTGGCAACGCTCCGGGCAATGTGCACGTATTCGACAAGCAGCGAATTCATCTCCCTCAGGACGCAGTCAAAGTCAGAGTCGTCGAGGCCCATGTGGCCTGCGCCCGGCTTGATGGTGGACGCAGTGCTCGAGGGCCTTTGCTTCTGCCTGCTCGCCTGGATGGCATTGTCCAGCAGCATCTCGAGCGTCCGGACGTTGTGGCTTGATATCAGCAGAAAGGCCTTGGTGTCGCTCTTCCAGCCCTCGTAGACTTTGTCCAGCTGCTGGTCTGCGGCGACCTTCTCGAGGGTCCGGGGAAACGGAGGCGGCTTTGTCAGCCGCCGGCACGACGATCCTCTGATACTGGACGAAGTGAACCGAGGCAGATCCGCAAAGGTGGAATTGCTCCACTCCAGCTCAGCGTGCTGGAACTCCAGGAGGGTGTCGTCGACCAGCAGGAGGATCTCCCGTGCCAAGCAGTCGCGGGCTGTCACCCGAGGCAGAATCGGCTGCGGGCTGCCCGGCGGAGCCAGAGTCAAGTTGGATGTACGACCGACAACCGAGCCATCCAGCTCGGAATCGAGGGCTTGGAGAATCCGGGCCTGGCGCTTGAGGATGGTCGTCCGAACTTGAACGTCGGTCTTGTACGCCATGAATATCATGTACAGCGGGGCGATCGACCTTGGCACGGCATAGATGAACTTGGAGGCGAACAGCGGAAACGGAATCCTCGAGCTTCGCCGAGGACAATCTTGCGGCCACTCTGGAGAGCCAGCCTGGACTTCCATAATGTGCGAGAGCGTCGCAGATGAGGATGAGGACGATGCCGCACCAACAATGGCAAGGAGCTGCACTGCTCCCACCAACAGCGCGAGTACGAAGCCGAGGGACGACCGAGGCGTCGGCATATCGCAGAGGAGATGGAGCAGCCGTGTCTTGGGCAGGTGTTGGATGTGCTCGCGGCGAGCGAAATCCTGCGATGGATGCGCCGTGGTGCGTTGGATGGGTGATTCAAGCCAGACCCGGAAGTTGCCGCTGTCCACGGCAGGCGCAAACAAACACCAGCACGGCTGCCAGCCACCCCGCGACGCACTACCGATAGCCCTGGACCGGACCTCCGAATATCCCTTCTTGCTGCCTGCTGGCCGGCGCCGTGCACCTCGCTCCCGTCGCCCCGATAACACACCGTCAGACGCAGCCCATGGCCGCCCCACAGAGACCAAGCCGGACCAGCCAACGCGCCCCATGTCACACAGCACCGGAAACGCGCTGCAGCCGGTTCGAGCCGGCTCGAGCCGGGATGCGCAGCGCGAGTCTCGTGTTGCCGCCAAGCCACGCCGATCAGCTGCCCGTCCCCGATCGTGCGCAGCAGTCCAGCGACACCCGCAAGGCCACTGGCCCTCGCGCTTCCGTCGCGATCGCCTGGCCCTCTGGCGAGAACACACCGACAGCACGCCATGAGTTCCTGGTGGGGCAGTGACAAGTCGCAGCAGCAGCAAAGCGAACAGCTCAAGAGCGATCTGACCGGGGCCAAGCAGGCTCTGTCGGCCCTCGAGGCGCAGCTGGCAAGCGAGCGGGCCGCATCCTCGGCCATCGGCACCCAGCTCGAGCAGGCCAACTCGGTCCGCGCTCAGCTCGAACAGGAGATTGATTCGCTGAAAGCCTCTCTGGACGACAAGACCAAGGCTCTCAGGCAGGCCGAGGCCCAGGGCAAAGCCAGGATCCTCGAGTTGCAAGAATCTCTCGATGCCCAGGGCAAGACCCTGGCTACTCTCCGAAAGAACCAGCAGCCCGCCCACAACGACAAGCTCCCCCAGCTCGAGCGCGCCCTCGATGCCGAGAAGCAGAGAATCAAGACTCTGGAGGCCGAAGTGTCCCTATCCAAATCCGAGCTGCAAATGTCTCGAGACAGCCTCAAGCACGCCCAGGACGCTCTCCAGCGCGCCACTCTTGTTCTCGACACCGTCCAACAGACCGCCGGGCTGTTGAAGGACAAGGTCTTTTCTGGCAAAGCCAAAGTCAGCGACAGCATCGCCAGCTCTACCAAGGCAGTCGAGAAGCTTTGCTCCGAAATTTTGGCGCTGCAGCGCCAATCCAACCAGTCCGGCCACGACGAATCCATCCGCCGACTCACGGACTCACTCGAGCACACAAAGTCGCATGTTCTTTCGTGGATCCAGCTCAGCATCGATGCCAAAGAACAGCTGGTCAAGACTGAGGCCGCCCTTGAGGCGCTTAAACAGCAGAAGAGTCACCCTGGCCGCTCCGAGGCCGGGTCTTCTGAGCTCCAGAGTGTTCTGACCAAGAGCACCGATTCGGTGCTGCACTCTCTCAGCGATCTGAAGGAGCTGGTCCGTGCCAGAGGAGCCGGTTCGGATGCGGCCTCCAAGACTGATGCTGAGGAGATTGTCAAGCGTATCGACCGGCAAAAGGACGAGCTAAAGCAGCACATCCAGAACCAAGTCTCGACTCAGTTGGCTTCCACCGTAAAATCGTCGCTCAATGAGATTCGCACAAAGCTCGAGCAGGTCCACAAATCGCTCGAGGCCACGTTCACTGGCGCCGTCGCCGACACAAAGACCAGCGGAGACCACAGCCAGCTCTTGTCGACTTACCACGAGCACGCCAGCGTCATGAAGGAGGAGTTTAAGGCCCTCCACAAGCTGTTGGAGTCGCTGGCTGCGAAGAGCCAGCCGCCCGCCTCGATTGCCTCTCCCCAGCGAGATGCAGCATGGGTCGGATCTCCAGCTCGCGTCAAGGCCAAGAAGGGCCCAGCTTTCCAAGAATCAGTCAAAGCCATCCAGAGCATCTTGTCGCCTACAAAGCTGGGTCATTACAACAAGGTCGCCAGCCCCGTCGCCGGAAAGCAGGGGAAGCGCGCGCACGATGAGGAAGAGGACCACCAGGCCAAAAAAAGCAAGGCCGCAGACGAAATCGACCAGATCTTCGAAACCCTTGATCCAGAGCAAACCGAGACCGGCGACGATTCTTTGGAGCTGCCCACCTCGACCCTGGTATGTGGCTTGCTTTTGCTACTGATATCTACACCGAGGAGGCAGTCATGGACCGGTGCCTCTAAACAGGATGTCTCTCCTGGCTGCTCGGCCGATCCGCTGCCGGCGAACACGATGCTATGCCACGCCGAGTGACGGTCGCTGTGTGTTGCATCGGTCATTGCAATCGGTCAGCGGGACTCTGATTGTTGCTTCATTTCATCGCGCCGCTGCGGTACACTGTTTCGATCAATCATACTCCCGATCTCTGGACGCTGCCTATGGTCGCATGCGACGTATCCCTGTCGTTGATGTTGTGCCACGCAATGCTGCGATCGCATCCTCGACAACTGGTACGGTATCCCACCTCTGCCTAACGTCACTGGCTCGCCACATTGTTATCGGCTGTTTCGGCTGCGCCTCAGGACGCTGCTGGCGAAGATTCGACCAACAAGAAAAAGAAGACCAAGAAGAAGAAGAAGAAGGCCACCGATACGGCCTCGGTCGTCTGATTGCATGCATTTCAAGCACACCCACACCACACACGAAGCGACCCGGCATTCTCTTGGCCCGTGCCCAGTGACTTTCCGTTGGCTCGCTGTCCTGCTCGGCTCTGGCGGCAGTAACTCGCAATAGCAATACAACACTTGTGTGGGTCTGCTCGCCGTGGGATTCCCCCCCCCCAAACCGGCACGGAGCGGCAGAGCGAGACACTGAGACAGACGATCTCTCCTCCCCCTTCCCACGGGCTCTGCCACATATGCAACGCAACCTGGGTCCTCGCTGCGCATGGAGTCATCCTCTGCTTCTCCTCTCGTTCTCGGCTGAGACGTCATGGCGGATGGCAAGTCTTTGCAGCCCACTCGTGCGCAGCCCCTAGAGCGAGACGAGGGCGCGGGGAGACGGGGCGAGCGAGAAAAAAAAGTCTCGCCAAACGCAACCCGGCCTTGCCCATCCATCCATCAACGAGCCCCGCCCACGTCGCAGCAGACAACGCATTCGCCATGGCCGATCCCGAAAAAGCCCTGGATCATCTCCACCAGTATGTCAAGAGCGACCCAGAAATGTCGATGCCGGTCGCTGTCGTCAAGGCTTTGACCGAGACCATCAAGAGCAGCCAGGGTATGGAGTCATTGCCCGATCGAGCCCCACCAGCCGTCCGCACCGGCTTCCATCATCGATCTGGCCGGTCGCTTTGGTTTGCCGAAAGCGAGCTGGAATCTCCTTGTGCGGACCATTTTGACCCCTCCCTCGGCGCCCTCCATAGCCTCAACCATGTCCGAGCTCATGATGAATCTCAAGACATGCGGCGATGCTCTCAAGGAACGAGGTCCGTCGGCCGTTGCTGCGACGGCTGGATACGATCTGCTGAGCCGTCACATCTCCAACACCGACAACGATACCACGGTAGCCTCTCGATCTGCCCGGCTTTTTCGAATCCATCGTGGGCGAGCACACCATGCCACTCCCAGGCGGTCGTGCTCATGTCGCTTTCGGAGGCAATCGTGCACATGCTGGAAGCAGGGAGGCAATGGACTGACTTTGTCCGGAACTTGCTCTGCATGTTGCTTCGCATCAGATCCAAACCTTCAAGGAACATATCATCAAGAAAGCAGAGTTCTTGGCCAGCAACGCCCGCACCGTGCGAGAAAATGTCGCCAAGGAGGGCTCCAACTTTGTCCGGGATGGCTCGGTATGGATCAGATCCGACTCGGGCCTCGGCCGAACACTGGCACCAGGCCTTTGGGCCGCCATTTCCTGGGCTGACCCTCTTTCTCTCTGTGCGCGTATGTGCGTATGTGCGTATGTGCGTATGTGCGTATGTGCGTATGTGCGTATGTGCGTATGTGCGTATGTGCGTATGTGCGCATGCGTTTTTCAGACCATTTTGGTCCACTCGTACTCGCGAGTGGTCATGCAGCTTCTCATCTTTGCTGCCAAGGCCAACAAGCAGTTCAATGTTTTCGTGACAGAGTCACGGCCTCTGTCAAGAGGGTAAGGGCGGCACTCCCACCTTCAATCAGCTTCACTGCGGCCGGAGCAGCGGTCAGCCCGGGACTCACCATTTATGCACATGGATACCAACCTCGACCGCACAGAAAGGAGGCAGTTGCAAAACTCCGAGAGCACGGCATTCCTGCCAAACTTATCCTGGATGCCGCCGTCGGATACTTTATCGAGCGGGTCAACATGGTTCTGGTTGGCGCAGAAGGTGTCGTTGAAAATGGCGGCCTGATCAACCAGGTGTGTATTTGCTGCTGCTGTTCGATCGCCTTTGGTCCAATGGCGAGCATGCATGTTGCTACAGGCGGGCCTCCATCACGATCGAACGGGCAAAGTGCCTGTCGGACAAGCAGTACCTGATGCTCCCTCTTTGTCGATCCAGATTGGCACTTACCAGATCGCGGTCGTCGCCAAGGCCGCAAACAAGCCCTTCTACGTTGTGACAGAGAGGTGAGCACCTTCCGCCATGGTTCGGACACCTGGTTCTCATGATGCACAATCGATGGGCGCCCACAGTCTGTAGCGCAGGACATGTCTGTGACCGTAAATCCCTTTTACTGCTGCTCAAACGAAATGTCTGATGAATACCGTTTATCACCCTTGGTACTGCTTGCTTGTGCAGCTACAAGTTTGTTAGGCTCTTCCCGCTGAATCAATATGATCTTCCTGGCCACACCGTTGCCCTGCGCTTTGGACATGTTGCCGACGACGAGATGACCAAGGACACTGAGCTGGCGGTGAGTTACAGGTTGTTTGGTGGGTCGCTGGCATTGGCCAATGCTCCAGTCCCCGGCGAACACTTGGACGCAATGCGAACATGCTCGCGCTTGGAAAGTCGGGGGCTCACTCGCGAGTGTCCGTGGCCGACCCGCTTGCATCGAGTGCTGACCCTCCTTGCATCCCACGCCAGAGTAACCCCTCGGTTGACTATACTCCTCCGAACTACATCTCGCTCCTGTTTACGGACATTGGCGTGCTGACGCCATCGGCCGTCAGCGACACACTCAGTACGTACCCCGCTGGCCGAGCAGCAGAATTGACCGCCCGCCTCCCCGATTCTCACCGACATTGCTGTATTCCTCCCTCCCTCCTACTCGGTCTCTCGCTTCGTCACCCACCGCCAGTCAAACAGAGCAACTGAGCACCGCAGCCGGATCGAGCCAGCGGATCGAGCCAGCGCGGGCGTGCGTGTGTGTGTGGCGGGCTGTCTTTTCTGCGACCCTGGCACAAGGCCTCTCTGGGCTGCTTGCCTTCGCTTCTCCATCATCTCGACCCCGCGGAGGCTGGCACGAAGCGCACCATCCTGCGAGCCGCGAGCCTGCGAGAAACATATCCGCACCCCAACACGACCATCTGTCTCGAACGCCTTGCTTCCGCCATGCGCATCCTGTCCTGCTCCGCCGTCATTCCCTTCCTTCTCTCGGCCCTGTGGCTGCCCCGCACGGCTGCCTCTCTGGGCTCTGCCTCGGATTCGGGATACTGTACGTCGCCGACGCACGGCTTCTGTTAATAGTGTGCGAGCGAGCATGTCCACCTCGCTCCGCCCTGTTTCGCACCTTATAACAGCAGGCGAGCCTTCCCTCTCTCGCCTGCGATCGCTCCGTCGCGTTTCTTGATCAGCGCACCCGAGCGACTCGCAGACACGACGGGAGCCTGCTTGCGTCGCCAACGGCCGTGGCGGTCTGTCGGCACGGGGCATGTTCTGGATTGTGCTAATCCAAGTCTATCCGCGGGCCCTTTGGCGCCGGTAGTCTATCTCCATCTGGACACCCCCAACCACCAGGCTGGTGGATCCTCCAAGGAGATATCTTTGAGTCAGGCGACCTCGGTGCTATCCCACAACCTGGCCATCTCGCATCTGGTCCACTCGCCTCTCCACAACGCCGACCAAGACCTGCGCGACTTGGCTCTCAACGACGACGCCATCACCCAGTCGGCCTTCCACCATCTGTTTAACCAGCCTCCGAACGCCCATTTGCTGCTCTCGGTCCTGGGCACCTCCAGCGACATTGGTACGCGCTCGCTGAGGAATCTCATTTTAACGATTCTCGCGGCTGCTTCTGCGCTGCTTCTGCGCTGCTTCTGCGCTGCTCTGGTAGCTTGGGGCTGTCTTGCACTCATCAATCGATCCATTCCATCCTGCGGCGCGCTGATATTGCCTCTCGCGCCTTCCCCGCCCGCGATCATTCTCCTGGTTGGTACGCCCACAGACCGCCGTTCTACGTTCAAGGTCGACGTCTCGGCACCCACTTCGGCCGATACTTTCTATAGCTTCGTTGATGAGCTTGTGGAGTTGTATGCCTCAAGCTATGGCGACTCGTCGAACATCGTCAGCATCTCGTCGGAGAGTCGATCGCTTGCCATCCCGCGTGTGACGCGAGTGAATCTCGGTCAAAAGGTGCGGTGCCCGGAAGGAGATGCAGAGCCTCGGCGCTCGCTTGACAGCCACATTCCAGAGGACTGAGAGGGGCCCTGTCGTGCTTGTGTGTCCGCGCTTGGGATCAATCTAACGCACCACCGCGTCCACAGCGATCCATGGTCAAGGCGCCCCAAGCGGCACACGTCCTCGCCAACGAAATCAGCAAACTAGCAAACCAAATCGAGGCTGAGGAGCTCTCCTCAGTCGACGAGCACACCGTCTTTGACGCTACCAAAGAGGTATTTTCCGCACTCCCCCATTTGCCTTGCCCGTCGTCTTGCGATTTCGATGTTTCGAGTCAACGAACCAACACTCGAGCGGGAATCACAGCGAGCTGCGTGTGCATTTAGCACACATGGATACAGCTAACAGGAACTTTGTGTTGGAACTGGATGCCCATGCAATCAAACTGCTTCGAAAGGTCGACCGTGATTTCCTCTTCGAGCTTGACTTCAACACTCAGTTCCTGCAGAAGGTCCCTCAGGAGGCATTTGTAGATTTTGGCCCACAGAAGATGCCCGATCTGATCAGTATCTCCTTCTCAAAGCTGAATGTATGACACACAGATGCGCTGGGCCAGGGTTGTGTTGACATTGGAGATTGAACCGAGTGGCCGCCGCGGACTCACTCACGCATTCACCAATGGGCTGCGCTCGTTCCAGGCTGTTGCTACAGAATACGGCACCGGATCCAAGCAGTACACTACAGCTGTTGCCCTTGTGCACAAAGCTGTCTCCAAGGTGAGCAGGCGTCTGCAGGAATCTGCAAAAGTCTGCTGAGCAACTCCGTCGCCGGCAGCCAGGAGCCGAGCCTAAGGGTAGAGAAGTAATCAGTCACGGACGGAACTGCCTGCTGGCACCAATCCTGCAATACCTCCTAACAGCCGGCCACTACGTTGCACTTTAGATCGAGAACCAGTTCCGCAGCCGCTACCATGATCTTGCAACTGTCGAAATCCTGTATATCCCCCAGTCTCTTATTGCTGGCGACGCCAAGAGCACCGAAACTTGGAGTCGCCTCTCGCGCCGTGCCCCGCAGATTGACCCTAACTGTCTCACGTCGGTCAGCAGCTGCCAAACGTGAGTCTGTGCTGGGTATTGCTTGGTCGACCATGCTTTTGTCGAGGCTTTGCACACCATAGCGTCTCTAGGGGCCCGCATGTTTCCATTTGAACTCCGCTTGACAGTGTATCCATGACCACCAGCTACTTCAACAACTGCTCCAACCACGGCGCGTGCACTAGTGTTCAGAAAGGAGCCAAGACCTGCTTTGTCTGCAGCTGCTGGAGAAACAACACAGACGATAACGGCGCAGCGATCCCCGGATTCACCAAGCCCGTCAAGTGGGCTGGTCCGTACTGCGCTGTCCAGGATGTCAGCGTTGACTTTCAGCTTGTCTTCTGGACCTCGGTTACCCTTGCGGTCATTCTTGTGTAAGTCTACCCAGCGGATTCACAGCGACTCGCTCCGTCTACTCGCCCACAGATTGCATGCCGGAATTCCAGCGATGCGCGGCACCGCGGTTTCGGCCCGTCCATGAATTCAGCGCCCTTCTAACAGCATCCGCAACGCCCCGGTCTCATGCCAGGTTCGCTGTCGGCGGCGTTTACTCGCTCAACGACGGCGACAACGGTCCTGGTGTCGGCCCAAGCTCGCGCAGAGCCAAGACCGACTAGACGTGCATCTATTCCTTCTGCAGCGTTGTGGCGGGAGCTCTTCATTTCATCTCACACTCTTGCTGCCGTCGATATGCTGTTGAGGCTTATGTGCCCCCCCCCCTCTGGCGCCTGGAGAAAGCTGCTCTCTCTGCAGGTCGGCCACTTGCTTTTTACAGTCAATCCAATAAAAAACGGGACACCCGTGATTTTGACCATTGATCAAATATTTTGTTACGCGCGCTAGCCACTCGATTGCCAACCAGGACGGGAAACAATCTGAAGCCAGGAAGGAATTGTCCCGTTTCTTTCTGGACCGAATCTATTCTGCGCAACTCAGTCCCAAATACATGATCGGTGGCTGCTGCTAGCATGCTCCTCGATCGTTCACCTCGATCGTTCACCACGATCATGCCGTTTGCCCAGGCCATCCCAAACGCACTGTGGAACGAGGGTCTGGTGTGGCGCAAGACATGTGAATCGCACATGACCTGGGTGCTCAGCATCCATGCCGGTTTTCCGTCCGAGCAATCACAACCTGGGGCGATCTCTGACCCAGATCTCTGACCCAGATCTCACACGGCGGACGATCTGGACTGAGTTCCGATTGACCACATCTTCCTGTCGAGCGTTGCTACTCGTTCACTCTTAAGGTCTCTCCTCTCACCCCTCGCTCATCCGCCTGCCTGGGTGGCTCGTCCAATCGATTCGGCAACAACAGAGCTCGACTCCGTCCAAGTCTTCGCCAGCACATCCACTCCGCCGCAGCAATGTCCTTTGCCCCCATCCAGCGCCCGCAGGCTGACGAGGATGAGGATGATCTGCTTCTTCTTCAAGAGCAGTTCCTCCAGTCCAAGGATGCCCGTGCCCCTGCCGCAACCGTCGTGCGTGCTGCCCCGCCTCGGATTGCTTCCAAGACTACTCCGCTAGAGCGACAGACGGCGGATACCTCGTCGGCCTCCGAAGCCAGCCGCAGCGCACCCATGCCCCCACAGCCGTCCCCGGCCATAGTCGATGCTGTCCCCGCAAAGAAGAGTGTCTCGTTCGCACCCGATCCCGAGCGGGATGTCGTCGCATTGAGCAGCTCGGGCGCCAGCCGACCAGCTGGTCCTGCGACTCCCACAAAGAAGAGAGTCTCGCTCTTTGCGGCACGGCGACAGCAACAGCGAGAGTCTCAGGCCGACAGCGACCGTGCCCCGTCCAAGACGATCGAAAATGCGGACGAGACTCTGGCGCACGTCTTCCACACCGTTACTGAGCGATCGCCAGCAGAGGCGGATGTCGTCCCGCCGATCTTCAACGCTCCAAAGACCGGGTTCCCCGAGGTCCTCCACAGGTCGCAGGTTTCAGAGTCCCTGCACCGCACCTCGCGCCCGGCCGAGAACCAGAGAAATCAGTCGCATGCCATCAAGTCCATGTTCCAGACCAGCGCCGAGTACACACTCGACCAGGACATCAACGCCGAAAACGTTGGCCGCCTGGAGTCCATGTCCGCTGACGAGATCGAGGCAGCGAGGGCATCCATTCTCGAAAAGCTCGATCCCAAGATCGTCGAGCTGCTGACCAAGCGAGCCCAGAAGCGCTATACAGAAGACGAGCCCTCAGCGACGAGCGGAGACGATGGCACACGGACTGTTGCTGCTGCTATTCCGTCTCAGTCCGAGAGTGGAATCGAGGATCCTTCTACCACAGCCATGACCAACAAACCAAGCGACGATCTACTGGATGTCCCTGAAGGAAAGCTTGAGGTCGATAAACTGGAGTGGCTCCGAGACACTCCATCCTATACATCCAAGGCCACGGTTTCGCCCACCGAGGACTCCTCGCAACTTCGGTTCAACTTCAGCGGCGCCTTGATTGAAGACGCCGCCAGCGTTCCTGTCCACTTGGGCCTCCACCACCACGGCGACAGCCCAGAGCAGGCTGGATATACGATATCGGAGCTCATGCTCCTCTCGCGGAGCACGGTTCCCTCTCAGCGAGTTATTGCGCTGCGAACCTTGAACTCGATTGTCGTCAACATGAAATCTGCGGCCTATGACAATGCCACTCGGTCCTTGATTGGCGATAGCCTCATCGAGCTCAGATTCGCCGTCAATATCCGTATCGCCCTTGACGACACCAACGAAACCGTTCTCCTTGCTTCTCTTCGGACGTTGGTCTCGTACCTCGGAGCATCTGATGCTCCCACTGAGGCTCTCTTTGCTTCAGACTCGACCTCGGAAGACATATGGGACACGACCTTGCTGACCCGCTGTGGATATAGGGTCCTCGCACTGAGCCCGGACAGTATGAGCGGCTTCGCTGCACGGTCCAAGGGCATCCGCCAGCCCCAGCTGGCGACCGATCAAATGAGCGGCGGCGAGCAGCTGCCGGTGGTTGTCGACAGACTGATGGAGGTACAGCGACGTTTGTCTTGCCCGCGTGCCTTCGATCGTGGCTGCGTAGTTGATGATCTGGGTCCCTATGGATGGGTGGCTCGATATTAATGCGAAGCGCATAGCTGTCTGGCAGCTGGCGGACGATGGACGCCTCACCACTGCCAGCACTAGATTTCCGACCCAACTTGGTCAAGCGATCCCTTCGTAACTGACTCGGCTCTGGCGGGTTCTTGTATCTCTGTAGAAAGACATTATCCTTGCGCTGCTCGAAACCAACATTCTTGTCCGGTTCAAATTTCTGCTCGAGACCCAGAAGCTGCCCTTGACCGGAGTTCGCTACATCCTCGCGTGCATCGGAGCCTTTGTGCGCCATTCCTATGGAGCAGCCAAGGCTGTTGCAGACTCCAAAGATCTGCTCGAGGTCATACGCAAGCGATTTATCGAAAGCGAATGGCCTGCCCCTGCCGGCGACAAAGCGTCGTCCATCCCGGCCGCCATCAAGGTGTTTCGTCTGCTCTGCTTGACATCCAGGGTGTTTGCCACATCTGTGGCATCATCGGGTCTGGGCGAGTCGCTCATGCGCTTCATCGCCATCCATCCCGCCAAACTCAGTCCGGCACTGCGGTCGCTAGGATTCCACTTGATGGCTGAGTCGCTGGGCCTCGCTGGAGCGCTCTTTGCCTACGGAATCGGCGCCCGTCTCTTTGCGGACTACCGGACCGTATTTTTTGAGCTCGTCAAGTCGACTCTCTCGGAGCCCGCACAAAGTGAATCCGAAACAACATACGATTTGCAGCGCTTCCATCAGTCCCGCTGCGCCGTACTCGCGCTCAAGACGCTGTCCGAGTACACGTTCTCGTTCTTCAACCTCGTGAGCGACCCTATGTCGACTGATACTCTGCAGCCGTTCGTTCACATTGTCTCGGCCTCCCTCAGCGACGGCGGCACGGCCAGCTTGAAATCCGACCCTCTGGATGTCCTGGTGAGGACGGCCAAGCTGGATTTCCTGCGCTCCTATGCGCAAAAGTTTGATTCATCGTCGGTGTTTCCGGGATTCGTCACTGCGATGCTAGACGCGATTGAGCTCAAGCATGGCACCAAATCCAAGCTCTACACCGCTGTCAGCAGCCGTATTTTGGACACGCCGGCAAGCTCGGCTGATCTGCCCCAGCGGCACCACGCATTCCGGCTCCACTCGGACCTCCAAGATCGATCGGAGATCGAATATGCGCGCAATCATCTGCGACAGAGCATCTACTATGATGGGGCATCGGCCTTCCTGGAGTTTGCACAGACCCTCGCTCGCCTCGACGCACACGCCCAGGCCATGTTCTTGTGGTTCACAACAGAGGCAAGCAACAAAGCCCTGCTGAAGCTGTCCGCGAAGCAGAGCAGTCGGCCTGAAGCGCTGGCCGGTTGGCAGCGCATGTTTGGCCGTGGCCGAGTCGATTTCATCTATCGCTACATCTCGGCACTGTTGCTGGTGCATCCCCTGAGCGCGTTTACAAAGGATGAGGCTGTCTTTGTCTATGAAACCAGCCTGGCGCTTGTAGCAGAGTTTCTCCCGGGCGACGAATATCCTGCATCCCGTCTCCTCAGCAGCGTCGTGATGCATCCAGAGTGGCAGCATGTGGCTCTTGGTCGCCCGATGCCGTTGGACGAACAGGACGAGCTCAAGCGCCGAAAGCTCCACGATGTCTACGACTACAACCTCTACGAAGACGATGCCCTTGTCGAATCCAAGGCCTTCTACCAGCATCTCGGCGACCAGATGGTGTCGTTTATGCTCGAGACCGCGGGCCGCGCGCAGTATCAGGGCCTCCCAGCCCCGGACAACTGGTTGTATTCGGTCGTTGAAACCGTTTCAGACGAAGGCGCTGCGGCAGGACAGGCCCGCGAAGACTCGGGCGACCTGATTGTCGAGTCTCTCGTCTTCACCGAGCACTTGGACTCGGCCCTTCCTCGCTGGACCCGAGTTGCTGGTCTGCAAAACTCCTTTGCCAAGCTCTTCAAGGTGTTTGTTCTCCCGCCCATGTCAACGGATGGAATGCCCTCAAGCGAGATCTTCATGAGCGAATCCGTGAGCAGCGCCCTAGACAAGGCGCTCGATCGATGGTGTCGGTTGTCCAACGATGCATCGGGCACCGATGGCCACGACCTTGACAAGCTCATGGGCGGACGAGGCCGATTCTACCAGCTCTACCAGGGCGTCCTGGAACAATACTGCGCCAGTTCCTTTGGCGACCCCGTGTTCTCGCGCTATATCGTCCTCCCCCTGTCGATGCTGTATCCAGCGGACTATCGGATCCTGTTTTGGCAGGAGCTTGTCGAGCATGTTCCGAGCTTTCCTCTCACCATATCGCGCGTGCCCAGGCTTGCGATGGCCCCGGACAACAGCCAGACCGGTCGTGAGTACCTCTATCCGATCGAAACCGAGCTCGCGGTGCTCTCGCTCTATGCAAAGCGCCTCGCCGTCGGAAGCGTGAGCAAGACTCGGAGCCCGTTCCTCTACTGGCTTGCGGTGCATCACCTCTCGGGCTTTTTGTTCTCAGACCCTCCTCCGGATCGTGCCGCGCTGCGCAAGCTCATCGGTTCTCCGCGTGAAGGACCACGCCAACTTCCTGAGGAGGTCGTGGCTGAGCTCCTCAACTACAATCCCGACTGCATCAGTGTTTGGACTGACAGCGTGCCAGCAGCCTCTCGTGCTGACGATGGCGAAGCTTGGTCCCACATCGCCGAGCGTCGCCGGCAACTGTGGCTGAGCAACTTTGGAGCAAACTCTGTTTAGCGGCTCGCAAACGAAACAGACCGTATGCAGTCACAGCCAACGACTACTTCTCTCCAGGTCGCGAATACACACATTCATTGTCGTCAACGACCGCCCGCTACACTCTCGTCTTCTGCAGAGCTGCCTTGCATTGCCGCGGGATGATCCGGAGCATGCCACGGTTTCCCTGCATCCTCTGCACGCCCAAGAGCAGCAAAAATAGCTTGCGCCGCGCACCGGATGTTTGGAGCATTCTGCTATCCCACGAAAAGCGGCGCACATTCGTGCACGGCGCCGCACTGCGAGTCCAAACTCGCGCGCATGTTTCTCGGTTACAAGAATGAGCGCTGCAGGCGGTCGAGTGCGATTCCAGGCTCGGACCAAGTGCCGCGGTGGCTGGGAGAGACGACGGCGACTGGGAGAAACAGCGGTGACATTCCCCGGCGGTGACGGTTATGAATGGATGCCACCAATATCCATCCCATAGTGATCTTGAAGATAGTCCACGATTCCGGGGATCGTTGATATGGTATTGAAGTATCGTTTCTCTGCCGATTGCGGCGAATGGACAGTTGTCGAGCGATATGGGCACAGCGATTTCCATCCAAGGGCGGGAGCCAAAAGCCATGGTTAGAAAGTCGGGGCGGTTCGTTGACCATGGAGCGTACAATCGTCGCGGAGAGCTACAATTCGACTGTGTGTTACCTGCTCGGCTCATGAGCTTGTCGAGCATGAACATGATATGATGATGGAAGATGTGTGTTGTGGATCCATAGGCGATTCCAAGACGCACGTACTCTTCGACACACTCCCATGGTGTTGTCGCTGCACCAGAGAACAGCGCTGCATATCCGAAGCAATCCAGATTTGTCAATGCGTGGGCATGGACGGCGAGCATTCATGGACAAGTGTTCTGTCGGTCGAGAAGTCGCACACACCGCAAGCGATCTGATATCGGCACCACTTGGATTGCTCACCTGGGTTCTCGAGTAGTCCTCTGGCTGCCATGACACCGTCCGTTTTGCAGTGATCAAAGATGCCGTTGGCGTCGTCGAGAGAAAACACATCGCCATTTGCTACCAGGGGGACGGAGACGCTCTCCTTCATCTGCATGTCGCAGCGCCCATGTCGAGCTTGTCGTTATTATACCGGCGCGGTCATGTATATCCCGCATTGCTTACTCCGGGATGCCGCTGATCGCACTCAACTGCAATGCACCTGAAGTACCGCTGCGTCTTACCAGTTTGATTGCATCGAGATTCACAGGCTGGGTGTTCTTCATCTGGCGGGTCCGTCCGTGAACGGTGATCCAGTCTGCCCCAGCAGCCTCGACCATGCGCACAAGATCGACGGTTTTCCGCAGATCAGGATGGACACGGATCTTGACGCTGATGGGGAAGGAACCGCCCTGTCCGCCAAACTGGCGCTGACTCGTCCGTGCTTTGGCTTGGCGAACCATGTCCCGAATCATCTCGGGGTCCTCCATCAGGTAGGAGCCAATGTGCTCGTGGATGGCCCATTTTTGCGGACAGCCACAGTTGAGGTCGACACCGCTGCAGTAGGGCGCAACGAGCTCGGCAGCGTCGGCAAAGTCTACCGCGGTCGATGCAGCAAACTGAACGATCACAGGATCATCTCCGAGCGAGGTCTGGAACTCAAAGTTGCGGGAGTATGCAGAGTGCTTGAAGACGTTGCTGAGGATCATGGGAGTGTAGGCGATATCGACGTTGTATCTGGAAATGCGATGGGATCAGCAGGGGCGGTAGTCGGTTGAAAGAAGTCACATTGCGTTCAGTAATCGAAGCTATAGACGAACAATGTGCACGTAATGGGCAGAGCGGCGTCGCAAGGGTGTCGGGGTAGGAATGAAGCCGGCCACGACAATCGACGGAGGCCCGGCCGCTGTTGCTTACCTGCGAATCAGCTCCCGAAACGGCAATTTGGAGTATCGCACCATAGGCGCCGAGATGTTTACTCGCTTCTTTGTGCTGAAGATCTCCAGAGGATGTATCCTGGGTGCGGCGACCGGGAACTGGTCGAGATCGAGCGAGTTTTCCATCGAGACTGGTCTTCTTGGTCTGGTGCGAGGCGATGCAGGCCAGACCAGACAGAGGATGCGCCAGATCGATCGGAGCCAGTTGGATGAGCCAGTTGGAGGGGCCAATCACGGTCTCTCTCTCTCTCTCTCTCTCTCTCTCTCTCGCCGAGAAGGGCCCCCCAGCCGTCCCGGCTTCACGCGGCTCGAACCGCCTGTCCTGCTTTTGAGCCACGAAACAGGCCAGCCATCCAACACCGATCTTGCACCAGAGCCTCCTCCGGAATCGAGATCGGCTCAAAGGTACAGATCACCCGCCGGCCCGCTGCTTGCCCAGACCGCCACAAGCAGAGGGACCGCATTTGTGAGAATGGAGCTTCTGGGCACTGTGCTTACCGGCTGCTTGCTGGCCACTCGTACTGACTTCTTTGTCCGATCTGCTGGTTCCCTGATTGCCGGAAGGTCATCAGCGCGCATCCGTAGCAATGTCGACACCATCATCGGCCCTCATCTCGGCTCCAGCCCAATCCAGCGCCGTCAGCATCTCGAGCCATCAAAATGCAGTGACGATACTTCCGGTATGACTCGGACCCATGGCCACCTGGACCATGCCCAGGGACGAAGCTAACAGCGGCCGCCATTGGCGTCTGCCATCTGCATCCGTCCGAGCACAGATCAAACGCACATCGGCATTGAAGGCGCCGATTCTTCTCCTGGAAGGCCACGGAGTAAGTGTTCATCCAGCTATGAAAACCGATCGGACACAGCGATGTCGAGTAGACTGACAGAGCCTGCTCTCCGTGGCGTAGGGCGAGGTTTTCTCCAACAAGTTTAGCCCAGATGGACAACACATCGCCTCGGGATCGTTCGATCGCAGCATATGTAAGACTGAGCAATAATGAGGATTGGATTGGAACCAAGTCTTTTGTTGGCGGGCCTGTTTTGATCTCCGAGGCAGAGGACGTGCATATCGGGTGGTTAGGCCGAAGGCTGTTGTAAGCGATTGCGTCAAGTGCTCGCACTCATCCACTGCTTCTGGCCCCTGGAACGACCGACAGTCCTATGGAACACCTATGGAGACAGCGAGAACTATGCTGTGCTGAACGGCCACGCTGGCCCCATTCTGGAACTGCACTGGTCTCGCGATGGAAGGTAGGGTGTCCCGAGTTACGCCAAATCTCGATGAGTCTCGCGAAGGGAGGGCTAATGATGGATCATCATCTGATTCATCTCGTATATTTCCTTACTTCGATACAGCCATCTGTTTTCAGCTTCGACGGACAAAACGGTAATCATCCACATTGCCCAACTACCCCCACGATGCGTCTTTGCGAGCTGCGTCTCATCGATCCTGAAATGCCACTTTGCATATCCCTAGCTGGGCATCTGGGACACCCACACCGGTACCCGGGTCAAAAAATTCAAGGGACACACCAACTTTGTCAACACCTGCTGCCCATCGAGGCGCGGGACAGAGCTGCTCGTGAGTGGCTCTGACGACTGCAGCGCCCGGATCTGGGATGCTCGTGAAAAGCACGCTGTGCAGTCGTTCGCCGAGCAGTATCCCGTTACGGCAACATGCTGGAACGAGGATGGAACAATCGTGTTTGTGGCCGGCATTGACAATGAAATCAAGGTGAGATGAGCGCGGCTTGGTATCCTGATCGCTCAACGCAAAGCGCCGAGAGGTGGAGGAGGGCTTGCTCAAGTGGTAGCGCGATCACCCGTTCCTGCTCGCTCCGAGCAGGTTCCAAAACGAGCGCCTCCTGATTTGCTGTACTTTGACTCCGGTGTCGATCCAGGCCTACGACTTGAGAAAAAACGAGATCGTGTACAGACTCAAGGGCCATCTGGACACCGTCACGGGCCTCAGATTGAGCCCGGATGGCACTTCGCTCCTGAGTAATGCCATGGACAACACCATCCGGACCTGGAACGTCAAGCCCTTTGCCGTAGACACCAATCGGATGCTCAAGATCTTCGAGGGTGCTCCGCACGGATTTGAAAAGAACCTTCTTCGGCCGTGCTGGTCCTCCGACGGCGATTTTATCGCAGCGGGCAGCGCAGATCGCTCTGTCGTGGTGTGGGACGTCAAGACCCGCAATATCAAGTACAAGCTGCCTGGGCACAAGGGCTGCGTCAACGAAGTAGACTGGCATCCCACGGAGCCCATTAGTACGTTCGGGTGATGGGATCAGGGAAATGGGGGGGGGGACGTGTGTTCTGGCTACATCTTAGGTGCAGAGTGATGCCGCTGTCCTTTCACGACACCTCGTCGATGCTCTGTCCATGATTCACTCTCACGGCGGTGGCCGTGCCAGCTGGCTTGCGCATCGCCAGCATCTATGCACCCCACATCCACCAATCAGTATCGATGATACGCGAACAGCATGATTGCCTTCCTCTGCTAACACCATTCGACGGCTCTTCATTGTGTGCGCCCAATAGTTGTCTCTGGCAGCAACGACAAAACCATGTTTGTTGGCGAACTCGATCCTGAGGATGTGAGACACATCTAAATCCTGTCGAATGCGTCGCAGGAGCGGAAGGCTGTTGGAGTGGGGGGGGGTGATCAGCTCGGTTGATCCGTATATGCCCCAAAAGCAAACCTGCAGATGAATAGACACCCGTTGGATTGTCCCTTTGAGCCCTCCGATCGTTTCGGTTCCGGCAACTGTTGTCCAGCCTCCCCTTCTCCCTGCTGTCCACCGAAGGTCTCTTCGCAGACCAGCTGTGCCGCCGGGCGAGCGAGAGGCGACGGGCGCCCAGACAATCGGCGGAGACGGTGGCAACATGATCCGGGAGTCGTCGGCCCCCTGGTCCAAGCGCATGGGGGGATTGTTGGGCAGCAACAACCCGGGCCGACTGGTGCCTGGCACGCAGATCGGTGCCCAGCGACAACCGAATCAGCAGATCCAATCGGGCTTGAGCCAGCGAATTCAGTCGACTCAGTGGTCCCGACGAATGCAAAGCATCGTCCGCGAGGACAGGGCGGCCGGACGGAGCATGGGCTGAGCCGATGCAAACCACCGCCATTGTCCGCAAGGCAGGACATTCGGCAGCAACCTCCGACCATAGAGAGCCCATATAAGGCGCCGCTCTGGCCTGGTGCCGCTGGCCCCGGCTATCGCACGACCCACATCAATCTTGCTGTTCGTTCGTTACTCAGTGTCCATGTCCCAAACAGCCGCACAGTGCAGGGTGGATCTGCACGGATTCCTCAAGGTAAGGCGAGGCATGGGCAGCGGCCCTGGCAGTCTCGTGGGAACCCGATCAGCCAGTTTCTCAGGCGAGCTGATGGGCGTTTGCGCTGTGCCGTGCATCCAGGATGAGGAACATATGAGAAGTCAGCTGAAGAACCTGGAGAATAAGATGATTACCGAAACGAATATCAGGCGCTCGGCTTTGCGCTCGGGCGGCTCCCACGCCCAGAAATCTGACACCAAGGACGCGTATGGTAAGCAAGTTGTTCGATGTCCTACAGCATCATGCCAGAGCCACTCTGTCGGGCAAGGCACCGTGCCCGGGATGTGTCTCCTTCCCCTCTCCGAGATCATCGGTGGGGCTACAGAGAACTCCATGGCGAATCACGGCCCCACGCGGGCTTGCCGCAACTGCAAATCTCACCTACTCGTTTTTGATGCTGTGACCAGATGCCCAATACAAGTTTGAAATGTATGGCTACGAAATCATCAAGGTCATCGGAAACTACTGCAAACGGATCGATGATCTCAAGCCACTGCTCTGCTCGTTGCAGAGAGAGTCGGGTCACTCTACGCTCGAGGTGAGTTCGCTGGGCTTGGCTCTCAACAGACATTGCAGGACCCAGCCCACTCAGCGGTCCCACAAGCACTTTGCCCGTGGCTGACGATGGCTCGTTCGCCATTTCCATTCTGCCATTCGCATGTCGTTACTCCATCGGCACCTCATCTCCAGAGATCCGCACGTCCGCCAGAGGAGCCACCCCGAACCTTCCGGCAACACAACCCGCACCGCCACGAGCGCGCAAAAATCCCGAGCTTTACCTACCAGAGTCCGCCAGACTCTGAAGAAGAAAACATTCACCAGCACTCCGACGCTACGAATGCACAGAAGGCCGAGCGCTTCAAGAACTTGCTCGAAGAGTCACTTGACTACATTACCGCGCTTGAGCAGTGAGTGCGCACATCCCGCGACCGGTCTTCTGCAGATCAAATGCATGCATGTTGTGGGTCACTTCAAGCACTAGGCTCGAGTCCGTTACATCCCACGCCATACGACTATCGACTACAAGCAGCTTCCGCGAACATGGATTAACCCTGACCTGCTTCGGCCACATCCGGAACGTTCAGCATCGTTTTCCCGAGCGGCGAACCCGTTCCAAAGGACACACAGGGCAAGCTCGATATGCTGCGCAATCGCAAGGACAAAGAAAAGGCTCGCAGAACAGAGCTCGAGGCTCGAGTCAGTCAGCTCTCCAACCAAATCGTCCAGCTCAAAACGGGGACAATTTCCAAAAGCAAATTCGGGGCTGTCCTTCCTCCCGCCGAGTTTGAGCCGCAGCTGAAAGCGATGCGTGAGAAGGAGATGCGGCTGCAGAAGGAATTGACTGCCAGCCTTGAGCGGCTAGAGTTGCTGCAAAGCGAGAAGACCATCCTTGTCGAGCAGCAATGCAAGAGCGCCATGCTGCTTCAGAGCATGGAGAAGGATTCTGTAGGGCTGAAGGGTGAGATCCGGGCCTTGGAGAAAGAAAAGGCCAAGATGGCCGACTCTCTCACGCTTGCCAAGCAGAACGAGCAGAACATCAAGCGGCTGTACACGACACTGACTCACCAAATTGCGATCCTTGAGGGCAGAATGAAAGGCGACGGTGTGTCGGACGAGTTCATCAACTCCGCTGGCATCATCGCTGAGTGGAAAACCAAATGCGAGGGGCTAAAAGAAAAGGTAGGTCCTGCTGCAACCCTCTGCGCTCACGGAACACTGCAGATTTGGACACGCCATCCGCCATCGAGTCTCTGAGAGTGCCGCACATCGCCGAGTCTTTGGATATTATGGTGCTGCTTGTCGTCGAGTTTTTGGATATGCTTCTCGTCGCTGGATGACACACAGGCTTTCGCCCAGGCCCGAACTAACGTACTCACGATGCACGTCGCCACCCCGTGCGCATGTTTGATCTTTAGGTTGCGGTCCTTGAGATTGAAAACAAACGCCTTGAGGTGTCTGCCAGCGAAAGCGAGGCGATCAAGGCCTACAAGCTTCTGGAAGAGAAGACCAAGGAGTTTGACGAAAAGCTCACCATCATCGACTCCGCCATGGTGTCTTCTCATGGTGAACTTGCACTTGCTCGAAAAGAAAAGACTGAAGCCATCGCGGAACTCAACAAGGCCAAAACAGAGCGAGACGAAATGGCCGCGGCAGTCGAGAAGCATCTAGAAGAGATCGGTGCGATCAGGGCCCAATGTCTATTGATCGAGAAGACTCTGACCCAGAAGGAGGCAGAGTTGACCGCAGCTAGCGAAGAACTCCAGCGCTCGAATAAGAGCAAATCAGACTCGGAACTCGAGATCGAGCGAATAACTCTTGAACTGGAAACCAAGACCAAGAACATCGCCGATATTGAGGAGCAGCTTGCGATAGTCCGGGCTGAGAAGGCGGCAGTCGAGACGAGTCTTGCCCAAGTTCAGTCGCAGCTGGAAACCGCCGAACAAGAAAGGACCTTGGCCAACGACCTCGTTGCCGCCCATGCATGCAACCTGGAGCTGGCAAACAAGTCCGTCGAGATCATGACGATCAAACTCGCCGACGCCAAAGTCGCTCACGAGGCCATGCACAGCGAGCTACAGAGTATCCGCGAGTTGCGGGACCAGATGACTCAAGTAGAAGAGGACCACAGATCGTACATCAAGAGACTCGGAGACCAGATTTCATCCCTCACAACCGAAAACGTGTCGCTGGCAAAGGCCCTGGAGGAAGAGCGTCAGTCCATCTCGACATTGACCGACGAGCTCCAGGCCGCCCTCAAGGACATTCGTGAGAGCCAATCAATCTGCTCGCAGATCCAAAGCGACCTCGATCTCCAGACAGAGCTGCGCGAGTCTTGTGCACAACGAATCGAGGCTCTCTCTTCCGAAAACGGGCAAGTGAAGGCCGAGCTCGCTGACACCATCCACAAGCATCAGCAAGCGCTTTCAGCACTCGAAGACGACAAGATGGCCCTGGAAGCCGAGCTCGCCAAACTCACCCACGACATTGAGCGCATCGCAGAGGAGCATCAAATGCTGCAAATTCGAAGTGCTCAGGATGACAGTTATTGCTCGGGGCTCAAAGCCCTGCTCAGGGATAGAGAGTGCGAGGTCGAACGGCTGGTTACTGTCGAGATCGAGTTCCACCAGTTGAAAATCGCCCACGACGAGCTCGCCCAACTGCATCAGTGCTGCGTCCGCCCCGAAGTCGTAGAGGAGCAACTTCGCCAGCAGATGTTGCAAGCCAATGCCGCTAGCATTGCTGCGCTGAAGCAGGAGCATCAAGCTGATCTTGACGCACTGCAAGATGCGCACCAAAAGCACAACGACGGTATCAGCATTGAGCATCAAAATGAGATATCAGCTCTGCAGAACCAGCACAGCAGCGAGCTACAGCAAATCACGCAGATGCAAAGACAAGCGCAAGAGGCGCTTGAAACTCTTGAGCAAGTGACTCTCAAGCTGAAAGCCGAGATCGAGGAAGAGAAACAAGTCAAGAGCCAGCTTCAGCAACATATCGCGCAGCTGGAATCGAACATTGCTGAGAAAGCTCAGGTCGAGGAAGACATGCGATCCGATTTGGAGTTGAAAGAGCTGCTTGTACAAGAGCTGCAAGATTTCAACAACAAAAACGCCTCCGAGTGGAGAGAAAAGGAGCTGCTTCTGGAAGAAAAGGTCAAGGTGATAACGGAGCTGTCGATCGTGTCCCAGGAACAGATCGTGTCCTACGAGGCCAGGCTGCTTTTGGCTGATGCGAACGCCGAACGGGCAGCAGAGGCGGACGATCTGAAGCACCGCCTTGAAATCATGGCCAGCGATCTGGCGGCCATGGAGGAACGAACGCAGGAACTGCAACGCATGAACCAAGAAATGGTCTCCATCAAGCTGGACCTCGAGGTCCGGATCGACGAGTTGCAAGCGGCAAACCGCAAGCTTGAACTTGAGATCGAATCGGCGGCCGCTGAACGGGAGGAGCACGCTCGTGAGCTTTCCGGCCACCTGAATCGGCTTGAAGAGACGCGGCAACAAGCCAGCCAGGCAAGCGACGATCTCTCGAGACTTCAGGGCAAACAGTCCAGCTTGATGACTGATTTGCTCGCCCGAGAACAACGTATTGCAGAGCTACAAGATCGCATCGACCAGCTGACGAAAGAGCTGCAAGTTGCTCACGAGAGCATCCATAGTCTGCAAGACGCCCCAGAAGCAGTGGATACTCAAACCCAGACAGATAGCGAGGCGATTGATCGAAGCCTGGAACTCCAGCTGCAAGTCGAGCGTGAGTCATGCAGAGTTGCCGAGCTTATCCACGAGCTTGAGACCAGTCAGTCCAGAAGCAAGCTCGAAATCGAAGCTCTTGGTCAGGAGCTCTCCGAGTCGCAACGACTGTGCATCGAGCACCAGAAACAGATTGAGTTGGCACAAAGTAACGCCGAGGCTCGCGAGCAGACGATGCAGTCCCTCAGCGAGGAAAAGGACCATCTCTCCATCCAGATCGCTGACCTCAAGCTGGAAGTCCGCCGGTGCGAGGAGAAGGCTCAAACGTCTATAGGCGCATCTCAGCTCCGAATTTCTGCCTTGGAGGCCCAACTGGAGCAGGCTGCACTGCAATTACAGGTCACGGCCAAGACTACCGAGCTTCTGAACCAATTGATGGCCAGTTCGGCCTCCAGACTTGATCGCATGTCCAGCGAGTACGACAGCCTCAAAACCACTCACTCGTCGTGTGGCCAGGAGATTGATGAACTAAGAGGCAAGCTCGTCGATCTGGAGGCCTTCAAGGCAGACTCACAGATGCAGCAAGCCCAGTACCAAGACGAGATCGCTCGTCTCACCGAGAGGCTCCAGAAGATATCGTCACAAGATTCGGAGGCCCAAGCGCTCAAACTGGAGCTACAGAACGAAGTTAGTGCTCTCCGACAGCAGGTCGAGCAGTGGAGGGACACCGCTACCGGTTTGGAGAGGGAGCTTGGCATATCCAAACAGAGGAAGGCGGGAACATGGTGGTGAGGGCGCTCCCAATGTCCGGCGACCAATGTACTCTCTTTGTCCCGAGTCCGATTCGCAAATCCGTTGAATTGAGAGTCGTCTGTGTGTCGACTTGCGCTGTTTTTCGAGCCATCGTTCGCAATCACTGTTCCACAAACATATACTCAGAGATGCTGGAAATATAGCCATGCGTGTGGACAGCATCGCCAACGCTGGCCACCCAGGCACTCATCCGATCGATCGGCCCAGACACCCGTGATGCCCGTGACACCTCTGGTCACACCACAATCACGTGTCTCTAGATCACGTGGTCTGTCGCTGCTCCTCCAAAACAGCCCGCTCGCCGAACCAATCTCCCAGACCAGCAGCGAGCCGCCGCCGCCGCATCGCATCACATCACATCGCATCACATCGCATCGTATCCAGTCCACGGTATGTTCCCTGGCCAAGAGCAATGCAGAAAAATCGACAGACAGATCAGCAGACAGATCTGTGAAGCGATCGCTCGCACCTGCTCATCTGCGCGACCCCGGCATCGATACGAATCCGCCCGGATCCGATCGGCCAGCCAAAGCATCGCATCTTTTCTTGTCCTGGTCATTGCCCCTGCCATCAATGCTCCTCATTGAGCCCATGCAGCTGTTTTTTTTGTCGCTTGAGCTGGTCTCCTGGGCTGACGCCATCCTCCCTCTTGCTGGCTTCACAGGTATCTTGTTGAGCCATGTACCAATACAAGGCACTGGCTGTGCCTGACTTTATGAGCAGGCCAGCACCTCCAAACTACATTGCTGGTCTTGGCCGTGGTGCAACAGGATTCACAACCCGCTCCGATATTGGCCCCGCCAGAGAGACGCCCGATGATGCGAGTGCGATCGAGGCGGCGATCGCCAAGGCCACGGCCGCCGCTCAGGCCGCCAAGGCCCGCGGAGAGGACGACGATGACGGCGAGCAGTACCAGGATCCCGACAACGAAACGGGTCTGTTCGCCACGGCGCCGTACGAAGCCGACGACGAGGAAGCCGATCGGATATACGAAGAGGTCGATCGAAAGATGGACGATCGTCGGCGCATCCGCCGTGAGGCTCGGGAGCGCGAGGAGCTCGAAAAGTACCGAAAGGAGCGACCCAAGATCCAGCAGCAGTTTGCTGATCTCAAGCGTGGGCTGTCGATTGTTTCAAACGAAGAGTGGGCGTCGATCCCCGAGGTCGGCGATATGGTTCGAAAGCGCACCAAGAAGAACAGCGCCAGCAACCGATCGGAAAAGTTTACCCCGGTCCCAGACTCTGTCTTGCTGTCAGCCCAGAAAGACGCCGGCTATGCCACCTCACTCGACGTCCACATCAGCGGCATGGCCACGCCGGCACTCGGGACGGCCACACCGGCCGGCACCGAGTCCACCGACTTTCAGCAGTTCGGCAAGGCTCGTGGAACTGTTCTCGGACTCAAGCTCGATCAGATCTCGGACTCGGTCAGCGGTCAGAGTACCGTCGATCCAAAGGGATATCTTACCGATCTCAACTCGATCGTTGTCAAGTCCGATGCGGAAATCTCGGACATCAAGAAGGCCCGCACCCTCCTCAAATCCGTCACCGTCACCAATCCCAAGCATGCCCCCGGTTGGATTGCCGCCGCTCGTCTCGAAGAGGTCGCTGGAAAGATTGTCACCGCACGCGAGGTCATCGCAAAAGGCTGTCAAGAGTGCCCCAAGAGCGAAGACGTGTGGCTCGAGTCTGCACGCCTCAATACTCCCGAGAATGCCAAGGTCATCCTAGCCTCAAGTGTCCGCCATGTCCCCCAGAGCGTCAAGATCTGGCTCCGTGCCATGCAGCTCGAGACCGACGCCAAGGCCCAGAAGCGTGTGCTGCGCCGTGCCCTCGAGTTCATTCCCAACTCGGTCAAGCTCTGGAAGGCGGCCGTAAACCTGGAGGAAGATCCTGAAGACGCGCGCATCCTGCTCTCGCGGGCCGTGGAATGTGTGCCCCTCTCGGTGGAGTTGTGGCTGGCGCTGGCCCGCCTCGAATCTTACCAGAAAGCACAGAAAGTCTTGAACGACGCCCGTAAAGCCAATCCAACCAGCCACGAGATCTGGATTGCCGCCGCCAATCTCGAGGAGCAGCAGGGCAACAACGAACGAGTCACCATGATCATCAACAATGGTGTCAACGTGCTGCGACAAAAGGGCTCAGGTCTCGATCGCGACCAGTGGATCAAAGAAGCCGAGCAGAACGAAAAATCCGGCTGCATCATCACCTGCCAGGCCATCATCCGCGCCACGATCGGCCTAGACCTGGGCGACGACGAGCCCAAGAAAAAGATCTGGATGCGCGACGCCGAGAGCTGCATTGCGCACGAAGCCATCCACACGGCACGAGCCATCTACGCCTACAGCTTGGAGCTCTTCCCGTTCAAGAAATCTGTCTGGCGACGGGCCGCCTTTCTGGAAAAGTCGCATGGCACCCGCGAGTCTCTCGACCAGATCCTCGAGCGTGCTGTGCAGCACTGCCCGCAAGCCGAGATGCTGTGGCTCATGCGTGCCAAGGAAAAGTGGCTGGCTGGCGATATCTCAGCCGCCCAGAGCATCCTTGCTGCTGCCTTTGCCGCCAATCCCAACAACGAGCAGATCTGGCTGGCGGCCGTGAAACTCGAGGTCGAAACCAAATCATTCGACCGCGCACGAGCCCTTCTTGAACGCGCCCGAAACGAGGCCAGCACCATTCGCGTTTGGATGAAGAGCGCCGTCCTCGAGCGCCAACTCAGCAATCCTCAACGAGCCCTAGAGCTGTTGGACGATGCCATCGATCGATTTGCAAAGGAGTCGCAGGCGCCCGAATACGCAAAGCTGTGGATGATCAAAGGCCAGATCCAATCTGGCGAGCTCGGCGATGCCAAGGCCGCACAGGAAACCTATCTCAAGGCTACAAAGACCTGCCCCAAATCGGTGTCCCTCTGGATCTTGTCGTCGCGCCTTGAGGAGCAGTCTGGAACCCTAATGAGGGCCAGAGCCATCCTCGAGCGAGCCCGGCTGATGTCCCCAAAGCAGCCCGAGCTGTGGACAGAGGCCGTTCGCCTGGAGCTCCGAGGCAACAACCAACCCATGGCCAAGGCCCTGATGGCCAAGGGTCTGCAAGAGTGCCCAAGCTCGGGTCTGCTCTGGGCCGAGGCCATTCTGATGGAAAGCCGACCTCAGCGGAAGGCCCGAAGTGCGGACGCCCTCAAGAAATGCGAGAACGACCCATTGGTCGTCGTCACTGTCGCGCGCCTGTTCTGGGCCGAGCGCAAGGTCGACAAAGCGCGGAACTGGTTTGGTCGCTCTGTGAAAATCAACGCAGATCTCGGAGACTCGTGGGCATGGTGGCTCAAGTTTGAGCTGATGCATGGCGATGAGACTACGCAAAGGAATGTGATCGCGCAGTGTGTTGCTGCCGAGCCCAGGCACGGCGAACGATGGGCCGCCGTCGCCAAGGACATGGCCAACGCAGGCAAAAGCACCGAGGAAATCTTGAAGCTGGTGACTGGGCAGCTCAACAATACCATCTAGTCCGTATTCGAGACCACAACAGTATGGAACGGAGAAAGACGAGGCGAGACAGAATGGAACACAGAATAAACGAGACGACGGTTTCTTCTGGTTGTTGAACGCGCATGTCCTCCACATAACAATAACCGCCACTGCAGCCACTTTTCCCACAATGTGTGTCAAAGAACCTGCGCTGTCGATGTGGCCGACAAGCATCGCCCTTTGCCCTCCATGGCTAGTTATCGAGAAAAGAGCATGCCTGTGATCGACCACAGATATGCGTCGAGAGCAATAACTCGAAATATCAAACAAAGTGGCGCCAAAGGACATCTCGTACGTGTCGCCTGTCAATTTTTGCGTGGGGCTGGCTCGCTTCTCTAAATCAGTGTATTGAGCGATGGCGACGGGTGTGAAATGGTGGGCACGGGGCGAAATGCTAAGACGACCAAAGCCGATTGAGCCGGTCATGATTTCATGCAGAGTTCGACACAGCTTTGCTCAGCTGCCACGGCGGCTGGGTCATAAAGATTGCGTCAACCGGAGGAGCTCTCTGAGACGGGTGCATCGACGCCATGGGTCAGAGCTTGTCGTCGGTGACCATTTCTGATAGCATTTCGGGATCGTTAGGAGCTGGCGACGAACTCTTGATATTCCGGGGTCTGCCATGGCAATTGAACTTTTGATGACGAACTACCGCATCCTGAAAGAGAACCAGACACGGCAATGTGCAAAGGTCAGCATGGCGACAGCTGCTTCCTTGCCGCCACACCTCCAGGCCCGGTCATCGCGCAATCTACAACAAACGAGCACGAAAGTGAGAGCGTCATCACCCAAGACAAACGAGACACGAGCACCCACCCTCCGATGGAAGCTTGACCCGCACTGGTCGCACTTGAAGAGACTTTCGTCGCTCGTAAAGTGGCCGCGCAGGTGCCGCTTCATGTCATTGTGCCGAACGAACGACGAGGTGCAGTTGGCATGTGGGCACGAGTACCGCTTGACCCCTGGAGTGCCGAGTGGCCGGTGAGTTGGGCGAAGAGACGGCGGTTCCAGAGGGAAAGAAACAGAAGAAACCTCAGTTAGCGAGACTGTGATGCCAGTCGAGAGTGCGATACCAGGAACTAATCGGCCAGGTGCCATTTGAGTGACAGCGCGGGTCGCTTGATATTCGGCACATCCAGGCGCGCAAAACACCTGGCTCGGCGCAGACACGGCCAGCCTCCTACCTTCATGCGAGTCGATATGGGCCTGGAGATTGCCGTTACGGGTGAATGCCCGATCGCAGCCTTGGATGGGACAGACAAAGCGACCTTTCTGGTTTTGGGCCGGCGAAGGGTCTCGGTCGAGGTTGGTCATCCTGTCAAAGCCGGTGGCCAGATCGTCCTGGGAAAATCCGATGATGGGCGGTGGCGTGTGAGACTTGCGAGGATCGGCATAAATCGGGCTCGGAGACAAGCTCAAACCATAGTAGTTGGTCGGAGAGGTAGCTAGCGACATTGAGTATGGGGAGGGTGGATGGAGTAGCTTGACATCGTCTGGGAGGGCAGATTGCACACAAGTCAGAAAGAAATACAAATGCACAATGGCGAGACGGATCGAGCAGTCTGCAGCGCTGGCCGCTGAAATTCCTATAGTGGGCCCAGTCCCATAGCCTCTCAACAATGCCGGGAGACAGCCAGGTCGCAACTGTGCGACCGACTCGACCAGGTCGCAAACTCACCACAGTGATCGGTCGCATAGTGCTTTCTTCTCTGTGCATTTGACACAAATGTGCGATTGCAGCCAAGGACTTGGCATGGCCAGGTGATGGCGTTTGTGTAGGGAGAGAATGCCGCATATGCCTGCGAGGCCACGCCGTAAGGTCCGAAGCTGATCACTCGCGATGTTCGCGGAGTGTGAGGCGACCGGGCGAGAAGTGGCGACTGTTGATGCAAGTTAAGCTCCGAGAGTGCGGGCGCAGAGGTAGGCGGGTTGCTGAGGGCTCGCAAGTGCAAAGGAGCTTGCAACGTATCGATCGTGGGTGTGCTCGAGCCCAAGTCAGGCGAGACAGCTTGAAACAGAATCGAGTCGCTGGCACAAAAGTTGTTCGCGAGCGAGCTCTGTTGGGCGAGGAGTGAGCCAGGCAGGGGAGTGTCTCGACCCGCATTTGCATTCTGCCTGGCGTCGGTGTATAATTTTTGAACGGACGACGCAGCCGATACGATTGATGGAGTCGGTCCCAGCGATGGGGTAAACTGCTGGAGAGGGGAAGAGATGCCTTGGAAAGGACTCACAGCCCGGTGAGCGAACGCGAGCTCGTGAGTACTGCTGGCCATGGGCAACGGATCCAGGCCCGGCGACGGGAGCAGGCCGTTTGTCATGATCGGGTTCGGGCTGAGGCTGGAGAGACGCAGATTCTGTGGCGAAATATCGGCCTGGCCACCTGAGGTGCTCTGGGGGAATACATACTGGTCCGGGATTTGGTCCAAGCTGGTTACGGAGCCGGGCAGCATCAGGAGCGAAGAGGAGTTGACGGCGTTGATGGCGTTGGCGCTTGACGGCACACTTGCAGCCCGGGAGGTGGAAGGATCGAGGAACCCAGACTTGGCTAGAGCAAGGATTTGCTGTTGACCCGAGTCGCATTCCATGTTGATGGTGTCGTTGGAGCTTTCGTTTCTGGGAGGGTTGGGAGGGTTGAAGAGACCGGGGGCGCTGGAGACAGTCGGGGTTTCTGATGGCTTTCCCCATGGGTCTTGGTTGAGGATTTCGAAAAACTCCTTTGCATAAAAGTCCATGGTTGCGTTTTGCAGCGAATAAGGCTGAGGCGAGAGGGGACCGATGCTCGAGAGGCTGTTTGGCAATAGCGACTCGATGATGGCCGGTGCACACTGCATCTCGCTCATGGCGCGCTGGCGAAAGCGAGAAGCGTTCCCCTTGGGGTCGTCCGAAGCCGTCACGATGATCTGGGGCGGCATGGAGGATGGCTCGACGATGGTATCGGTGGAAACAAGATCGGGGTTGAAGTTGTTGTTGAGATCCAGGATGTCAAAGGCCTCGATAACAGAGCCATCGATCGGCGACGGAGGTACTTGTCCCGATGGAGAGGTGAGCGAGAAGATGGGAGAGTGCTGGGCGCTCTGGGTGATGGGATGGGGCGAAGGTGAAAGGAGTCGTTCCGGCTTCAGGTCGAAATTGGTGGAGTGGGTGTGCCAGAGCGAATGCATAATAAAGCGACCGTATATCTGAGGCGGTTGAGGAACGTCGCCTGGACAGGCAGTGCTGGAAGGTCAGGGGCACAAGCGAGTACTTGGCGGTTGCCTGGGAAAGCGACGTGTTGGACGGACTTGAGGGCGTGACCCAGGGGCTGGAGCAAAGGGGGTGGTGCCAGGGGAGCGGCGAGGCGGACGACGATAAAGGCGTGATGGGGTGAGGGCGGACAAAGGCGAGCAATGGAAGTAGGATGCAGCAGCGAAACGCAAGCAACGAGGGCAAGCGGCGGACGAAAAGACAGGAAGGTAAGGGAGAGGAGGGGAGCCAGTTGACAGATGGAAGACGACAGGCAGGAGCGACTCAACACCAAGCAGTCGAGCAATCGGATCCGCAGGCGAAACACGCTGGTGGGATTCAATGGATTGATGGGAGAGAGGAGCGCCGGAGGAGCAGACGAGAGCGGGATTTGCCGGGGTAGAAGGCGAAGGACTCGGCGATGAAGGATGGGCTGTACGGGTCAAGTAGTCTCGCGGGCAACAGGGGGGTGGGAAGCGAGGACTGCGAGAGAGCGACGAGAGGGCAGCGGGAGGAGGGCGAGAAGGCACCCAGCGAAGAGCGGGAAAACAGCCAGAGAACAGCCAGAGAACAGCCAGAGAGCAACGGGGACGACAGGCAAACAGAGGAGGTTCTGGGGAAGCAGGAATGCAGGCGAGAAGGCTCGACCAACACCGACGCCGAGGAAATGACCGGGAAGAGCAAGTATTGGCTGGTGAGTCGTTTGGTCGGTTGGCTGGCTGATAAGTTTGCTGTTTGGTTGGTTACTTGATTAGTCGGCTGTGGTGTAATCAGAAACAGAGAACAATCGAGGCCCGCACGCCGATGCCATTGGGCAGAGAGATAGACAAACAGCGCCGGCGCAGATGCAGTGTCGATAGTGCGATAGACGCTGTGCGACCAGGCAAAGATCGGCCACACTCTGTATGGGCAGCGTCGCTGCTGGCAATGCCCAAGCATCCGGCGCTGCTCGAGCATTGAGCATTGAGCATTGAGCATTGAGCATTGAGCATTGAGCATTGAGCATTGAGCACTGAGCATGTTGAAGATGCAGCGCTCCCTGTTTTGAGCCAGGCATGGTGCTAGTTTCTGAGTCCTGGATACACCTGTCCATCGTTGCTGCTGCTGCTGGTGCAAAGATCCACCAGGGCTGCTCGCTCCCACGGCGCCTTGGGCCGGGCTTGGCGTCCGTCCTCAAAACCAGGCCGCCCTCGGCCAGGGCCTGCTTCTCCTTGCCCGCGATCTTCATCGCCACGATGTGAGCACCTCGCCGTCTGCCGCCACGGACAAACCTGCATCCGGTTGACTGACTTGCTTCCCTTTGCTCTGGCCTGCAGGTTCGCCGCCACGACCAATGACCAGGGTATATATATATAGATATCGAGTGCTGGCAGCTCCCTCTCCCTCCCGCTTTACATGGGTCGCAGCGACCGCCTGTTTTGCACGAGTGTCTGGCTCGCTCACTCACACCATCCCCGATGCATTCTCAGCGAGCCTGCTTTCCCTGGCAACGATCGAGTCTCGCTTTGCCAATTCGGTCATTCCCGAGCTGGACTTGGTCAACACTGGTCAGAACACCATCCGATCCGCCATCGACAACCTCGAATGGCTCAAGAGCCAACTCCTGCGGCATCTCGACGCCGACGAAAGCGAACTTGGCTCATTCCGGAGGCAAAAGACCCGCCTCTTGCTCGACAAGATCGATCAGGAATGCGCGCTCTATGAGCAATTCGTCGGTGCCAACGGTAATGCCTCAGAGCTGAAACCATGCCGCCAGATGTGTCTTGTTGTTTCAGCTATCGACTCGAGTCTCTGAACGGAGAGGAAGCGAGCTGCTCTCCAGGTTGCAAAGGCTGGAACGGTGCTCTGTTGGGCAGAGCCGACATCGCTCTGGAGTCTCAATACCAGGGGCCTATGCGGACTCGTTGCGGCACTGACATAACCCTCCCACCCTTAGCTGCGAACCTAACCCTGGAGCACATCATGATGTCCGTGAACGACGAAGACGATAGCGACGATCTTGCTGAGGCATCTTTCGACATTCCAATGGAGCTCTCCGACTCGGGAACCTCTGGCTTGATTGTGACGGTAAATGTTGCTGCCTCTTGGACTCCCATGTTGCAGCATATAGCTGCAATGCATGGCACTACCCAATAGCCACAGTCCAATAGCCACAGCCCTGCGATAGCCCTGGGGCTTCATTCGAAACCCTCTAATCTGACCGCGAGCGCCATGTCCTCGAACAGGAGAGCGAAGGAGGCACGACCAGTGGGATGCTCACTCCTTTGGCTGCCCACTCAAAGGCCGCGAACCGCTTGTCGATATCGTCGTTTGCGTCCCTCCCATCCGTCACCTCGCTGCCGTCCTTCATATCCCAAGAGAGCCAGCCAACGCTGGGCCAGAGGTCGATTCAAATATCGCCGGGTCCGCACGACTCTTGCCGGTGGACGTTCTTATCCAAGATATCGAGTCAGCTGCTGGACTCATTATCGAATCATGGGGCAATGACCTCATTTGCAGTAAGCATCATCGCACACCTCCGCAAGCCATGGCAAGCTCGCTGGCTTGGATGGATTTATGAATGCGCGACATACGGAGGAGAACATCAGCCACTTCTTGCTCTAACCGTGCCCGACCGCCGATAGGTTGCTGGAGGATTCGCTGTAGGAACCTCACGTGCCAAAGTTCTCCTCTTCGACTTCAACCAAGTGCTCCAGGGAATTCTGGAAGATCCTACTCACGGTATGCCAGTCACGGCAGGATATGCACCTCATGGAAAGTATGGTCCCGGTCGGCCCGTGCCCCCTTATCTGATGTGTATGTTGAAATCAACCCGATCTCTGTTGATCCCCAGCTGGCGACTACGGGGCTGTGACAGCTCTTGGCTTCAGCACCGACCATCTCCATCTTGCCGTCGGCTATCAACACGGGTACATCATCGTATGGGCGCTGCCTAAAATGACGGTCTTGAGGACGATTACACCCATCACTAGACAAGATGCCGCTGCCCTCGTGGCCTCTGGAAGCGTCCCGGCTAGCGGCCGGCGAGACGGCCATGTCGAGGGCTCCGCCGTGACCAGCGTCACGTTTGTGAATGGAAAATGGGATTTGATCAGCGCCGACTATCAGGTAAGGGCCCTGTGACGAGCGGGTAGATCCTCTGCTCGAGATTGTGATCAGCTATAGATGCTGCGACGAGTGATGGATGGATGAATCTATGGGACAACTGTGAATGCTCTGCACATCGACCGGATCCAGTCAATCGATACGTGACTAGTAGGCCACAGGGCTTGTGCTGATTCACCCAACTCCGTTGCTGCAATGTCGGAACAGGGCTCAGTGTTTCTGCATTCTATCACGCGAGTGCTGCTCATCAACACAGTTACATCCACGCGGCTGCACGGAAGGCCGGATGGTGTCCCTGGCTCGACCACCATCTATTCCTTGGCGGGTCTGCCTATGACCAGGACCAAGTATATCACAGACAAGTTTGGACTGATTGCCTTCACCACACCGTTCAAGGTAATGGGGCAGCTCGTCAGCTACAACCAAATGCATGTCGGCCCGAGACGACGACGGCCGATTTGAAAGCAAAGGCAAAGCACAAGACTCTGGACAGCCGAAACGGCCGTGTCTCTAACGATGCCCTTGGCGGTGTATTTGTTTCTGCGTCCCAGATGGCCATCATCAGCACCAAGCCCAAGCCCAAGTCCGAGTTCCGGATCCTCTGGTCACACTCGCCCAGCAAGGATGAGTCGGACTCGCACCCCAAGCACTCATGCGTTGCTTGGTATCCTGCCCTGAAGGAGAAGGACGACGGTGAGCATATGTCCATTCGCCATAGAGACTCACTTTGAGCCATCGAGGGATGCACATCCCCATAATTGAGTTTAGTAAGCCGAGGTAGAAAGAAGTGCGCAGGTGTCTCCGAGCCGCCTCTTGCTACTTCTGACCATCGATACACACTCTCCATGATGAATAGCCAAGCCGCACGAGCCCACCTTGGCTTGCACTTTTGGAGGACACTTGTACATCATACGGGCTCGCGCGGCCCTGATTCCCAAATCGGGCTCATCGCTGTCCGCCCCCAAGCCCAGCGCAGCCGAGATCGAGTACGACGTGCTGAAGGAGTGGCAGAATCCTAGCGGCGATGAGTTTGTGGCCATCCAATGGATCAATTCGCAGCTGCTCGGCCTATTGACGGCCACGGGGCTGCTCATCGTCGATGTTTACAACACCAAAACCATCCAGCGCTCCAACATAGAGCATCTGCAGCCCTATGCGCACCACCACAGCGCAGACCCGCAGAGCGGCAGGACGGGTTCGTCATACACAGGCAGCTTCCGCAGCTACAAAGGCCGCGTGTTCATTCTGGTGGGTGGTCTCATCTTGCGACGTGCTGACGCTCCTGGGATGCGTGGTCCGATCGGTGTCTTGTGTCAGGTGGTCGAGCCAGAGCACTAACAAACAGAATCACGGTTACGGCTGCACCGATTGGACAGGGAAGCAATGGTCTGAACGCAGGTAGCCTCATCCCATGGAAGGACAGGCTCGAAACTCTGGCTCGTTGTGACAAGTTCCTGGACGCTATCCAGCTGGCCATCAATTTCCAGACCATCAAAAGCTCGGGCGAAGCATCTGCATTTGGCCTCCCGCTTGATTCGTCCAGCCGCAAAGCTACCGTGTGGACATATGTCCAGGACGTCCTTTGGGACTGGGTCCGCCAAGGGCTCGCGGTGGATCTCGGGGACGCAGCCGCCAATGCCAAGTACCATCGCGGACTGTGCGAAAATTCCTTCAAGCTCTGTCAGACAAATGGGGCCGAGGAGCTCATCTACGGCCAACTGTACGAAGTATTTCACGAAGCCGATCGAGATACCGTCTTCTTTGAGTGTCTCGAGCCCAAGATCCTCAACGACGATGTCCCTGCGTCCCTCGATCCAGTGGTCAGCAAGCAGCTGGTCGAGATCTTTGCGCGCCAAGGCTGGCTCGACCGCCTTGAGACCTTGATTGTTCACCTGGATCCACTTACGCTGGATATGGACCAGATCATCATGACTGCAAAGGATCACCGCCGCTATCTACTGCTGGGCTATGTCTACACCGCCGGTATGAACGACTACGAATCGCCGCTGCGCATCATGATCGAGGCTCTCTCGAGCGAAAACCACGACGCATGGACAACGCAAGAACGGGAGCGCACCCTGGCCAATCTGTTTGTATTCATATCGTACAGCCTTGGAGGGCGGTCGTTCCCCACGGGCGTGCCGCTGTCGGCAGACAATGCCCGGACCGCCCACGAGACCATCCTTGGATTCCTCTTTCCCAATCCTGAGGCCGAAGCACAGCAGCGACCCGCACAAGCAAATGCAAATGCAAATGCAAATGCAAATGCAAATGCAAATGCAAATGCAAATGCAAATTCAAATGCAAATGCAAATGCAAACACCCACGCCGAGCTCATATCACTGCTCCGCTGGGATGCCGAGGGATTCCTGGGCGCGCTTGGCGAGGCCTTCAGAGGCACGACCCAGGACCCCGATCCCGTTGTCGAGATGCAAACCAAGCGGACGCTACAGTCTGTTTTTGCGGCTCTGACCGACATCCAGCTTCAGAAGCCAGTCAACGTCAATACCATCGTCGTCAGCTGCTTCCTGGCTCGGTTTTATCGGGAGCATCACGAAGCCATCGCAGCCAGTGATCGCGATCTCCTCGGCATCTTCTCGTCCCTGTTGACACAGGCCAGGACACCGACACAGGCATACAAGCCAGAAAGCTACAAGCGTCAGCAAGAAGTAGCGTTGGCGGCGCTGCTTGAAGTCTGGCAACCCACCGAGCATCCGCTCGAGCACTACTTGCGGCAATACCGAGAATGCGAGTTCTGGCAGATTTGCGAGCAGATCTACCAGCAATCGGAGCGCTACGACGAAGTCGTTCTCTGCTACCTCCTCGATGAGTCCCGCAAGCAGGACACCTTCCGGATCATTGACGACATGATGACCGAGAACCAACGCAGGCCGACGCTGACGATGCAACAGAAGTGGACCATCAAGCAAACGGTCTTGACTCACTTTGACGCCCTGGTCGAGATCTCGCCCGAGCGATCTGCCCGCCTCGTGCATCAATACTGGCCCGAGGAGGTCGAGGAGCTGGTTGTGAAGCTCGCGTCCAAGCCGCAGGAGCAGTACAAGTTGATGAAGGCCCTGGTGGAGTTTGCCGAGGCGCAGGAGTCGAGACTGGAGCAGCTCGGTGTGCCTCTTGTCCGGACGCCGTCCCGAATCAGCGTGGTTGTCTACGATTTGTATATCCGACGGCTCTGTGAATTCGCGCCGTCGAGGCTGCTGGCCTTACTTCAGAGTCTTGAAGCGAAGGACTACACGTACGACACGGCGCTGTCGACGGCGCTCGCGGGTGGCATTTTGGATGCTGCACTCTGGCTTTACGAGCACCATGGACAGCTTGACGAAGCAACCAAGCTTGTCGAGTCCGAGCTCGAAAAGAGTCTGGCTACTCTTGTGGCCTTTGTGAAAAGGGGACCGTCGGGATCGCGTCTGCAGGACCAAGAGACACAAGCCCGACTGCTCGACCGCATCGCCGTCACGCTCCAGATGGGATTCCGGCTGTGCGCCGCTAACCGCCAGTTCATGACGGAGCACCAGAAGGAGAACGCCTGGTTCAGCTACCTGTCCCGGATCGCCGACTGTCAGCAAGCGCTGGGCCGGCACTTGGACGGCGCCCATCCGATAACAGATGCCCTCTCCAAATCTCTGGAGCTGGTTGTTGCGACGCTCTCGAGCGACGTGTCGCCGCCAGCGATCCTTAGGCGAATCATGGCCGAGTACTCGCAGCGGAACTTTGTGTACTTCCATCCGATCATCAAGGCCATGATCCAGTATGTTTCATACGACATCGAGACCTTTCGAGCGGCCAGTAGCATTCTTGATCGCGATGTCCACTACCTCAAGCAAAGTAGCCTGAAAGCCCGAAGTGCGGGAGTGGCGCCAAGAGGAAGCCAGTGCGACCTGTGTCGGCGGTCGACGGCCCCTCCAACCTCAAGTTCCTCCATCGAGCAGATCAAATCCGAAGCGACGGACGTGGCTCTGTTTGCCTGCCAGCATCTAGTACACCTCCGATGTCTCCCAGAGAACGAGGATGTCTGTCCGGTGTGTTCCGAGAAGGACAGACTGGGCATCGGCCAGTCCGAGCCACGGGCCATAGCTCGCAATGAGCTTACCGAACAACAGGTTGCCCAAAAAGTAAGCCGTGTTCACGTTACTCGTCTGACTTGGGGTTAGCACAACTGTCAACCGACGGTGTCTGGATTAGGATGGTGGAGAGCCATCGAGTTCTGAGTTTAGACTGACCCTCCGTTTCGCGCCTCCGTCGATTTGCAGTACAACCTACTTGTTACCCGGGGACTGGAGCAGTATCTAGAGTTCATGAATGCGTCGCCCAATATCTTTGGTCAGCAGTGATAAAGGTATTGTTGCCCTATTGGTCCGTGACCAAGGTCATCCCTGGACAAGCTGAAAGTGACCGCCCTGGCCTTCAAGCGCATGGCAGCCGACGGCTTCGATGCACGTATGTGGAGCCATCGAACGATCCACTGTGCTCCTCCCCTTCTGCGCAACGAAATGGAATAGGACACCCTGTTTCGCAGCAGACCACCCGCCTATTGTTCTTGGAATGGAAATACACACTTGCCCATATCCGCAATGACCATCCGCCCCGTGGAGACAAGACAGAGGACTTGCATCTCCAGCCCATCATCAGAAGAAAGAGGATCCGCGTGGGCTCATCAAGGTGTGCCCGGTCAGCAAAGGTGTATCTGGCCGGCGAGTTTGACATCGCGACAGTTACGGATCTGGGGAGGCGGCCACTGTGTGCAAGTCGATGATCGCTCGTAAAGATCAACTTGGCACCACTTGACCAGGCTCAAGAGGCATTTGTATTCACAATCCAGAAATGCGTGGCCGTCGGCCCCAAAAACAGAGCATCGCGCTTCGTCGTTGTGGGTGCTGCATCACAGAGCCGGACCATCCAGCCCCGAGTCTTTCTGCTGCAGATCAAAGTGGAAGGCGTGCTTGTAATCGTCCTTGTGTCGAAAGATGGCAATCTTGACAACGTTGTCATGGAGGCTCTTCTGTAGCCTCCGGTCTTTCTTCCGACGAAGAGACCGGCCCCGCTCCTCCTTGAACTCCTCCTTGTCGATCAGGTCCTTGAAGCCGGTCAAGAAAGTCCTCTCCTCCTGACGGAGCTCGCATATCGCCAGCTTCAGATCCAGATCATCGGGCACATCGTCAGACCACGGGCCCGGACGATAGGAAACGGGCTTGGTGAGCTCGTCAACGATACTATCGGGGACATGGGTGACGGTCAATCGATCAGGGATGATCTTTCGCTCGGGATAGAGGGCCGGGAGCTGAACCATGGGCTGGGACATCTTGCGAGCCTCGAGATGCCACAGCGAAAGGGGGGCGCTCTTGTCTTTGTGGATATGCCGATGGGCATCGTGGGTATACAGCAAGCCCATGGGAGGATCTGGCGGGCAGACCTCGGCCCTGGAACTCTCGGGTTGGATCCCGGCTCGATGTGTGCTGTCCTTCTTGTGAGGATCAAAGAGCGGCACCCGGGCTGGGTGGGAATGAAGCACGATTCCCACGCTGCGAGCCTCGGCCGTGGTCAGCGATCGCGATGTGGTTTGGGTAGGGGTCGAAGCTTCGACACCGGCCTCGTTGCGACGGTGGGATTTGTCGGAAATCTCAGGAAGCCGCTCGTACGTAGAGGACGCTGGTTGGGGCGCTGATGCAGGCGGTATGGTCGCCAGGAGTGAATGAGACGACAGGCTCTTCAACGAAGTTGCATCCGGCCCTGCCGATCCCGCACGGGATGACAGCGAAATGTCTCGCCATACGGACGAGTGGACTTTGATCTTGCTGGCGATGTGCTGATGGAGCTGGTGTTGTTGTTGTTGTTGGTGGTGGTGCTGGGGTATCAGTCGGCCTCCGATCCGAGGTGCAGCAGCTGAGGTCTGGACGGAAGGCCTCAGAAGCAAAGGTTGGTGTCGTCCGTTGACAGCATTCCGGGTCCGTCTGGGCCTGAGACAATCCAGCTTCAGCCTCGGATCGGTGTAGTACCATTGGAACTCTGACCGCTCTGGAGTGGCCTGGTCGTCCGGGTAGTACGTGAAGACCCCAAAGTTGGCCGGATCGCTGGGGGCTTGCATACGGGCGGCGAATGGAAACGCTTTGTAGGGGTGATGGTTCAACGGGGGTGCCGATGTCGGTGGGTACGATTTTGGCACTGTCGGCTATCTCCAAGGCAACGTTCAGTATCAGAGGTGTTTCCTGTGGCTTCTGGCAATGCTGGTGGGACGCAGGCGCATCAAGTCCCCAAGCGAAGAGTGCTGCTGAAGACCAAATAGGTAGACCAAAGGCCACCCTCCTCGTCAGCTAGTACTGCCAGCGGGCCATATGTCACCGGGCTGCGAGGGGAATGGTCGTCGGGGTGGCAGGGTGCATTGGAATACCGCTTGGAGCAGAAACAATCGGCGGAATCACGCAACAGCGGTGACGTTTGTTCTGGCAATGAGCCCTGATTCGGCGAGATGCTCGGCCCGGACAAGACATCTACAGTGCATCCATATTGAAATGGGACGTCCTGTTTCGAGTTAAGGCCGATACTGGGACCTGAATACACCCACTGCCTACCGCTGCCATGACCAAACAGTATGCTCAGTGTCTGGAAGCCAAACGACTCGAATCACCCAAGTATCGAGACATTGATGCTTCACGGAACATGATGTCGACATGCCAGTCAATCGTCGCCGCAGGAAATCGACCCGACGGACTCAAGGGCTCACTCCCCAAGGACGAGAGACAATCGCACGGCTTGCTCACTGGGGCCTACAGTAGGTCAGCGGGCTTCAGATATCTGAACCCAGAAAGGGGAACTGCCCCCGTTTCTTTATGGATCTACTGATACAAGAGCATATTATGGTGCGCCAACAGGCGGCGGCAACAGGAGCGGCTTGTCACAGGATGCTTCCGATGGATTGGCATTCACAAAGGCTCGCATAATATCATCAAAGTCCTGCCTCTGTGGCAGCGGCATGTGCCAGTGCAAGATGAACTTGATGCGCTTGCTTCGGCGCAGAGGCGCTGATGTCTTGTCTGCTGTGGATGATGGCCCACCCGATGAGCCAGATGCACAAGACCTTCTGCCGGCTTGGCCGTCGCTCGACTTTGCTCGCTTCGAGGCCAGGGTCTCGGGCCTCGATCCGCCTCGAGATCTATCCCGCAGGCCCTTTTTGTTACTTCGCGGCACTGCAAGCGCACCCGATGGATTTGCTTGTCCCGATGTGGTCGCTGGTGACGAGGCCTGCCCCGGAGTCGATGTTGATATCGACGCTGCTCGAGATGACCGTCGCGGGAGATGACCCCCGTTGCCGATGTAGTAGCCAACGAGATGCTTGGACTCGATGATTGTCTGGACCCTCTGGCGAATCTCGCTACAGTACGTTTCCCAGTGCCGATGCGAAGGGTGTTTGGAGTCGGTCCCACCCGACGGCTGCTCGGGCTCGACAAGGGCATCCGAGAGAGTCGTCGGCACTTCGTGAACGAGAGACGGTGCATGGCTGTGAGCAGCTCCGGACTGGGTGCCGCTGTTGTGGAATTGCGAATTGATGAGGCTGCTCCTCTGTCGCTCGAGTTCCAGCTTCTGCCGATAGAGATGGTGCTGCAGAAGCTCTTTTTCTCGGTTCTTTGTCCTTCGCTCTATCCACTCAGGCTTGCGATGCCGGTGCTCATAAGCGGCATCCGAGCTATCCTCGATCTGATCGACAGGGGCATCCGGGCGGCATTGGTCAGCGGTTTGCTCGATGGTAACCTCACCCGAGGACAAGCAGACGACAGGAGAACGAGGTTCCCTGCTCGAAACATCGCTCCGGACCTCGGCCAGAGGACATCGGCTCGTCCTGACAATAACCAGACCGCAGCTCTTACCTCCGATCCAATGGGCAGACTCGCTGCCCGCCGGCCACTCCGGGTCCGGGGCTCACAAACCTCAAAGCCAGGGATGGCAATGTCCGCGGATTCAGAATCGGAATCCTTCGGCCGCCCAAGCGACGATGGAAGAGCCGGCTCGGGCGCCGGACGACTGCCGTTCAGACTCGCATAACTTTGACAGTGCTCGGAGAAACGAATGTTGCTGCTGCTCATGCTACTGCCGTTGCAAGCATCGTGGCCATATCGGTAAGAAAGACTGGAGGTGTCATTGTTGAGGTCGCTGGCACCGACATCGGCGGTCCGAGCTTGGGATCGCTCCGGAAAATCATCCGGTTGGTGAGGCGGATGCGCCGATAGAACTCGCAAGAGTGTACTGGCGGTGAGACGAGAGGAGTCTTCGATAGGGCAGCCAGGCGGCCGAGCAGATGAGGCAGCGAATGCTCAAGTTAGACGGCGAGCGGCAAACTATCCAGATGCATGGGGGTGTTCACAAGAGCTCGCTTCTGTGCAAGAGCCATGCACTAAAGCTCGGCGATCTCGGAGATGCAAAGTGGCTCGATGGGCCAAAGTGTTTTCCGGCTGTGCCAGCAGTTGGATGAACCAGAAAAATGTCGGGTGAGTGGGCAGAGGTTGGCGCACCTTCGACTGCGTCAGGCTCTGGCTGTGTGATCGTTGGGAGCGGTGCTGAAGCAGGAGGCGGCCCGAGGACTTTCAGGTCTTGCCGAGCAGTCGGGTGCTGCAGCCGTGTTGGCCGCTTGGAGAAGTCTGGTTCTGGCATGGTCTGGGGTGCTCCGGGATCGAGGTCAAGATGGGAAGGGCCATCGGAGAATGATCCTCTGATCCTTGCACGAAGGAGCATTCTGGACAACAGGCGACAAGGGCGAGCGAGCCCAGCTCCAGACCCTCAGGCGATGCGACTTGCAATGGGCAAAGAGGGCCGGCCGTCGGGATGCAGTGCCGGACGGCGAGATGCATTGCCGGACGCCCAGGCGGTCGCTGGACCAGCAGCGCAGAAAACAACCCGAGCTGCGGGCGAGGAAACCCACTGGGCCAATGGCTTTCTCTCGCCGTGTGGAGCGGCATACTCGATCTTGGACAGAGGGCCGTACGCAGATTGCCGTATGCAGAGTTCAGCGAGGCGTCTCGATGGTTTGAACGAAGCGGGCAAAGCGCCAGCATGATGCAGCGCGCAACATGATCACAGTGTGCAGGTCGATTGTGGAGACCTGAGAGCGACCGGTGGTGTTCACTCGGAGGCTGCCAAAGTGATCTGTTCTATTTCTTATGGCTTTGCTTGACGCAAGCATACCACATACTACATGTTCATGGAAACGGCTGTATTGTCCCGTTGCTTTCTGAATAAAGTGTACGAGCACCGCATGAAAAACACCATGCACAAAGGCCTTACAGGTTGAGCTTCTTGGCAAACTCGATGGCCAACTCGACAGCAGCATCAACCTTGCTGGCGTCGGTGCCGGCGCCTTGGGCAGAGTCGTCCTTGCCGCCGCGCTTGCCGCCAACCTGGTCGCTGACGACACTGCACCACTCAATGGCCTTCAGGCCCTTGGCGATCAGCGGCTGTGATGACAACGGCAGACTTCGGGTCAGTGTCCGCCATGGCGATGCAACAGGAATCCGTTCCAGCCAGGTAGAGAAGCCAGCTGCTCGTCCCCATGGCTCCAGCATTCAGGAGGCTCCGGTAGCAAATCACAACGCTTACCTTTCCAACAACACACTGGTGTGAGACCTTGCCCGAGTCGCCATCGACAGCGATCAGAAGGGCAGCCTTGTTGCCAAGACCCTTGACGTGGGCGATGGCCTGCGACAGAGCCTTGGTGTTGCCACCGACCGGGAGAACCTGGACAATGAACGACTCGTCGGGGTTCTTCTCAAAGAACTCCTTGACCCGATCGATAGACTCCTTCGACTCGCGGGCCTTGCGGGCCTTGTCGGCCTCATCGAACTTGGCCTTGATGGCGTTGAACTCGGTCTTGAGGTAGTTGCGACGCAGGACAGGGATGACAATCTCATCCAGCTCCTACGGAAACACGATGGTGGCCGAGTGAGATGGCGCGTTGCTGTTCGACCCAGAGTCCCGCGGCCGGTTGCCGCACGGCATCGCCAGAGCCCCGACTACTGCCCACGCAGCGCGACCGCTACCAACCTTGCCGAGGGTCTTCAAAGCCGTTTCGAGCGAGAGGCCAGAGAACTCCTTGAGCTCCTGGACGCGCTTGTCATACTGGTCGGCGAGCCGATGGACCTGGTAAGCATCCTCGCCGGTGACGGCAACGATACGGCGGATACCCTTGGCGATACTGGTCTCTTCGAGGACGGCAAAGCGCTTGATGTCCGAGGTCTTGGCAACGTGACTGATAGACAGAGGGCATAGCACATCAGTAAATACGCAGAAGCAGGCAATCGGCCAGCAACAAAATAGCCATGGACATGGCACAAATGACTTACGTTCCACCACAGAACTCGATCGAAGTGGTAGCCCATCGCGGGTGCGTGGAGTCAGCAATGATGTCGTCGATGCTGAATCCGACAGAGACAACACGGACGGGGTCGGGATAGACCTGAGCGTACGGCGATGTGTATCAGTCCAGACGGGAAATACTGCCATCAGTCGCGAGACCTACGAGAACAGCAAGCAGCACGGACGAGGCGCTCCGGAGGATGGCTCTTACCTCTCCAAAAACGGCACGCAGACCGTTGATGGACTTGGCAATGCTCAGGGGGACCTCCTTGACATACACGGTCTGATTCCTCTTGATGAACTCGTTGCAGATGGTCTCGATACGATCCAGCTGCTCGTTGTTGATGGCGGACTGGAAACGCACATTGCGATTAGACACGGCCATCCACACAATCGGCCGCCCGCACCATGTGGGGCCCCGTTGATGAACAGTTTGATTACATCCTCGTCACACTGCCTCAGGACGGCGTGTATCTCAGGCCATCCTTTTCTCCCCATTCATGACGGTGGCTTGACCCACCTTGTGAGAAAAGTCGAAGCGGAGCTTCTCATGCGAAACCAGCGAGCCCTTCTGATCGATGCCGTCGCCAAGCACCTCTTTCAGGGCAAAGTTCAGGATATGGGTTCCAGTATGGTTGTTGCGGGTTGGCCATCGGCGGAGCTATCCCACAGATACGAGGCATGGTTAATGGCGATGCGGTGTGGAGAGCCGAAACGACGCCCTTGGAACCAATACGATGCGAATGTCACACCAATGCGGCCATCTGATTCACCAAGCGATAGCCTACCTCGTCATAGCTGGCGAGCACCTCGTCATCGACCTTGACACTGCCATACTTGAGGTAGCCGACATGGAGAACATAGCCACCAAACACCTGGCAGTCCTCGACGGCAAACTCAAACTTGCCATCGACCGTCAGAGAGCCAATGTCGCCCTGTTGACCACCAGACTCGGCGTAGAAGTTGGTCCTGTCTAGAACAATGCCAAAACCAGCATCGAACGATTCCGAGTCAATGGCCTTGACGAACTTGTTCTCGGCGTAGATGGCCTTGATGCGGCCGGTGACGTTGCCGAGCTCTGCAGCGGGAAAGGGGTTGAATAGGGAGCACTCGGTCAGAACCTCTGCGCCGAACACGGTCGCACCGATACTGGTAGCCAACTCATCACACCGCCAGCCTTACCGTATTTGAACGAGTCGTCGGTCTTGGGAACCTTGAGCTTCTTCTCGAGCTCTCCGAGGGCGTGGACGTCGAAGGCAACAGCAGCACCCTTGTCGCTGGACTTTGAGGCCTTGGAGCGCTCCTTGGCCTTGCTCTGTTCGTCCAGGAATTCATTCTCGTTGATGCTAAAGCCGATTTCTTCGGCCATCAGGCGAGTGAGGTCGACAGGGAAGCCATAGGTATCGTACAGGCGCCAGACATCGGCACCGTTGATGATGGTGCTCTTGTTGCTCTTGGTTTTCTGGACACAGGTCTCGAAAAGCTTCTCGCCGCGGTCGAGGGTCTTGGCAAAGCTCTGCTCCTCCTCAGCGAGGATCTCCTTGAGATCATTGATGCGGTAGGTGATTTCGGGGAAAGCCTTGCCCTGATTGCCATCAAGCAAAAGAGAGACGATGGGTTTCAGTCCAAATGGCCGAGCAAGCGGCCGTTACGGTTTCCAATGCCTCTCGCGCGCGGCTAGAGTCGTCCAGATGGGGCACGCACCATATCAGCGACCAGAGTATCGACCAGGCTTGGGAAAAAGTGGCCAATAGGGGTGTTGAACTTCTTGCGGACATAGCGAGCACCACGACGCAGGATACGGCGCAGGACGTAACCGCGACCTTCGTTCGAGGGCACGCCGCCGTCGCTGATGGCAAAGGTCAAAGTGCGAATGTGGTCGGCAACGACACGGTAGGCAGTATCAAGGCCATCGACATCGTCAGCACCAACGTTGCCCTGATAAGGCCGGGCGCCGGTGAGCTCCTGGATCTTCAGGAACAGGTTGGAGAAGATATCGGTGTCGTAGTTGGACAGCTTGTTTTGCAAAACTGAGGTCAGGCGCTCAAGACCCATGCCAGTATCGATATGCTTGTTGGGGAGGGGGCGGAGCGAACGATCGGGCTCGCGGTTGAACTGCATAAAGACCAAGTTCCATATCTCCAGGACGTTGGGATCGTCCTTGTTGACGAGATCAGCAGCGTTGCGGCCGCCAATTCGATCGTAGTGGAGCTCACTGCACGGGCCGCACGGTCCTTGATCGCCCATTTCTGTTGTTAAGCGAAGACAACGTCTGGGATCAGCTCCATCCTTTGACCACACGGCAAGAACAGCGACGGACGGCAAGATGGAGGCGATGTGGAAACCAATGACAAATATCGGCACGCCCAGTCGGCTGTGTAGCCAGGGATATGATTTCCAGAGACGCCATACGATCGGAACAATCGATGCGCCCTTGGTTCGATCTGCCCCGCTGCCCCGCTGTCCCGCTGCTCCAGTCGGTGATACTTTACCCCAGAAGTTATCCTTGGCGTTGCCAGGGATGATGTGATCAGGAGCGACACCAATGTCGAGCCAGAGCTGCTTGGCCTCCAGATCAGGGGCAAGGCCGGTGGCCTTGTCGCCACCAAAGTAGGTGACATAGAGCCTGTCCCTATCCAGCCCATAGACCTTGGTCAGCAGTTCCCAGGCCATGGCAATGGCTTCTGTCTGTAATGTATAGAAGAGAAAACGATCACAACGGCTGAGTGACCAAGCTTCCAGTCTCGAAAGAGATCCTCATGGCATTCACCCGCCTCTCTTGTCACAGCAATCCAAATTAGGCCACTGCCACGGCTGATGCAACACTGGGCATTACCTTGAAGTAGTCACCGAACGACCAGTTTCCAAGCATCTCAAAGAAGGTATGATGGTACACATCCTTGCCGACGTCGTCGAGATCGTTGTGCTTGCCACCTATTCAACAATGCAAACCCGATAACTGAGATAAGTGGTTACGTTTCAAGATCAAGAGGACTTCCAGGATCTGGGGGGGGGGCTTCGATGATCGGAAAGCGGAGGAACAAAGCGGGCTGATCAAGGGCACAGGCGACATGCGACAATCATCTGCGCAAATCGCTACTGATCCCCGTGAGATCAAGCGTCCAGGTAACAGATAGGAAGCAGCTTGTCGCCCCGACGACGAAAGATCAGCAAATGCTGGGTCAGCTCGAGACGTTACCGGCTCTGATGCATTTCTGGGTGTTAGCAGCGCGCTTCCACTTGTACATGTCCGAGTTGGGATCGGCAGTGCCGAGGAAAATGGGCTTGAACTAAGGATGTTCGGATTGGCAGGGATCGAGATAGCGCACCGCCAGGCGGGCATGATCCCCAGTAAACGCAATGATCAGGACCAATGGGATTTGGAATGTCTGGCCAATCATGCTCTCGGTATCAATGGCTCAGCGAAGCCCAGATCACGGATCGGACCAGGCGCAGTGCTTTTGTTGCCTTACCTGGTTCATGCCCGAATTGGCAAACAGCAGAGTCGGGTCATCGTGGGGGATGGTTCGAGACGAAACCACGTTGATATGGTTGTGCTTCTCGACGAAATAGTTGACAAAGGTATCGCGGACCTTCTGGACAGGCCAGCCGTTGAAGGGAGCGTTTGACTTGTTCGAGGGCATTGCAGAAAACCGTCTGGGCAGGGGCCGAGAGAAGAAGGAGGCAGAAGCGATCGAGGTCCGGCTAAGAGCAATCACCACCGAGCGAATCGTGTTCATAGGAGGGATGGGGATCTAAAAGCGAAAACCGCAACGAGGGCAGCCAAAAGGCCGGCGGGAGCGAGAGACGAGAGCGCCGCGAGACGGCAGCGAGACGGAGGCGGGAGAGAGCTGCGCGTCGTGGCGCAGCGGTGGCTCACCGGACTCAATGGACGCCTTCCATTCTCGGCAGGCTCACGGCGATCGGGGACCAATGGCGTGCGTGGGGTGCGTGACACGGGCAGGCTCGTGAGCCGCCAGCAAAGCCTCGTTGCTGGCTGGCTGGCGAGCAACACTGCGACAGGCGGACACATCACTCGACCGCTGCGAGCCGCCGGAGAAGGGCCCGAACGAGGCAAGCCCGGCCTGGCGCGTGCGATGACGACGAAGTGAAGCTCTGTGTGTATTGGCGCAATTGGCTGGGGCCAAGCGCATGGGATATGACGAGAGTGGGAGGGAAGCAAACAGCCCAGACCTCGCAGGATCGATCCAGACTTTGGAGTGAAAGAAAAATAACGGAAGCGGCGCATCAACCCAGGCATCGACCGCGGCCCTTCGTTGGGAGATGGGGATGGGACTGTGTCTGCGTCGCCGGCGGGGATCAGTCATATCAGTCATATATCGGAGTTGGCGGATAGACAATCTCCTTGGATTGTGGGGTATTGGTCGGCGCAGGCAGCTGTTTGGCCTGCACGAGGTATTGCAGGCAAGCCTGCAAAATAGAGGAGGGCGCGGGAGCGGGCTGGTTGAACATCGCAAGGGCATTTTTGTTGTCGACGTTGAAGGCCGTCAGCCGGACCAGATCCATCAGCGGGTCAAGCGCATCGAACTGGCGGGTGCTGAGATTGTAGAGAGACTCGCGAAACTGATGGCGGGTTTCGAACAGGAGATTCCATCCAAACCCAGCAATGGTCTCGAACAGTCGCTGTTCGCTGATTCTGTGGGCGGCGGCGATGTGAGCGAGTGCGGTATGCCCAAAGTGCATGCGCTATCACACAACCCCGACACCGTGCCGCTGCTCTTGGCGCTGAGAACGCCATTTCCGGCACAACTTACTGGCTCTCGGCACTGACAGCGTGGAAGACAAACTTTTCGACGGATTCAGGGGATGTGCAGATGGTGGCGACCATCTGGGCAACGTGGTCGACACAGTCCATGTTCAAGTCGACCATACTGAGGTGCGACGGTGTGGCCTCGACGGAGATGCATCCTTCGATGTAGTGCCATATGAAGCAGTCAGGGTCACACGCTGGATTCGCAAGTGTCGCAGAGCAGTCCAGTTGAGCCGCGGCGGTGGGGCAGTGGTGTGTTACAATAGGGAACACGGGACAGCGTGAGCGATTAGAGGAGGTCTCCATTCCGGTCAACCGATTGTCAAATGAGCAACGTCCATAGGAAAACATGTGTCGCTGGCATGGGCAACGAGCCCGAGCCGGTCGATCGCCGAGAGCACAAGCCCACACGCGCTTACACCTCGACAGACAAGAGCACGCCATCTATCCATGCACTATGAGCACTGCTTGTGGTGCGATGGCAGACACCTACCTCCCCATCGGCTGTCTCCAAGTACTATTCCCAGGCGGATGATCGAGGACGGGATGCCGCGCTGGCGAGCCTGATCCAGCAGCTGCTCTGATACCCACTTGGTCTGGTTGTAGCCTCCGGATATTCTCCATTCGTGATAAATCCGTTCTTCGTAAAAGACACCGTTCCGGCCCTGTGCGAGGAGCGGCAGCACACCCGTGGTCGATATGTAGTGGATCACTTTCAGGTGATGCGTCGACGCCAGTTGCAGGGCAGCCATGGTGCTGCCGACGTTGACGGCCATAAGGATCTCGTACGAGTGGACCCAGTGGACAGTCTCAGCGTTGTGGATGATCATGTCCACATCCTCGGCGAGGTCTGCCCAGACGGATTGAGGGAGTCCCCAGGCGATGGCTGCAAGGTCGGCATAGTGTGCCTCCACCCGATCCCAGATCTGGAACCGGGGACGGAGTTGGTCTCGCGAGTCAATCATACGCTCGAATGCAATCCGACGGAGGGTCGAAAGCGCTGTTCCATTCCGCTCGGGTTTGGTAGCGACGAGGCAGACAAAGCGCGATTGTGGAAGCTTCCATGCCAGCTCAAAAAGCAAGAAAATACCAAGGAGCGAATCGGCTCCTGTGAGCAACACGGAGCGTGGCTCGTGCGGAAACTCGAACGGGGGCAGTCCGACGCTCGAAAACACGGGATTGTTCAAACGGTCGACTTCCTTGGTAAGGTTGAATTTGCAGCCATTGAAAGGCTTGCTGTCGATAGTATCCAGAATCAAACGGGCGATGCTGAGCGGGGTCGCACCGTTTGACACAAGAATGTGCGGCGGAATCTTGACGCCAAATTCGTCGCGGAGCTTCAGCGCCATCTGAACGATGGTAAGGGAATCAAATCCGATCCCAGAAAAGAAATAGTTGCTGGTCGCATAGTAGGAATTGCCCAAGATTTCCGCGCCCATCTCCGCGATCTTCAAAGCTGCGCGATTCACGGGCTTGTCCAGGGCCGGGATAGGTGGGTAGTACACCATCATGCCAAATTCCTCGGCCGAATCGGCTATTTCCTTGAGGCGGCAAAGATTGCGCTTGCCGCACTCGATGTACGGGAGCTCTTCCATGGAGATGCAGTTGTGCAAAGGCACGGTGCCTACATTTTCGAGCACAAACAGGTTCTCGACCATATCGAGGGCTTCCCGGGGCTTTAACTTGGCCTTGGAGCCAGAGGATTGGCTGGCGACGTAGATGAAGACAATCTTCATGCTGGTGCTCAGAACAAAGGCACAGTCGGTGATGACCGATCCCAGCTTCTCAAGCACCGTGCTCTGGAGGGTGTCGAGATGAACATAAACGCCGTTGATTTTGACTCGGTGGCCAAATCTGGGAGGATTCAGAGGAACGAGTTGGAAAGAATGCTGCATCACGGTGCTTTGCGATGACGGCGTATCGGTGATGGTCTCTTTGCTGGGACTGAGCTGCGCCTGTTGACGACGACTGCAGGCCCAGCGCCCAATCCCCAAAGCCTCCTCAGATAAACGGCCGACTCAACCTCGCGCCAGCGACCGAGAAAGTACTCGAGCGAGAGTGAGCCAGTGTTGCTTACCTCCCGACGACTGTGAACTCGTTGTCGGCTACCAGTTCGACCTCGTCCATGGTGCAGAGCCGCGGTGAGCGATCTTCAAAGAAACCAAAGGCGGCAAACGGAGCGCCAGCGTCGACCTTGTCGAATGGATACTTTTGCGCAATCGGATCGGTTGGATCCATTACGAGACAAAGCACACCCCTTCGACCGACAGCAGGATCGATCCTGTCCCCTTGATCATCCAGGAGCGCACAGTGCACGGTTGGAGAGTTGAGAACATAGGTGATCTTTTCGGGAAGCGGGTCGAAGGGGTGGATAATACAGCTGCCGGCAGCGCCGATGATCGTACTCTACATAGAAACCGATCATCGTTTGGCAAGATTGGGCATCGTTAGAGATTGTTGGGCTTTGTTCGGCATTGAGCGAAGGTGTTCAAGATCGTTCAAGTTTGTGCTGATGTTTCATCCTGCGGGCCAGCGGCAGGACAAACACGCTCGAGCATAGAGCAGTTATTTCAAAGGCAGCGGCTGGCTCACCTCGCTTGATGCATATATAAGCGAGAGCGTGGCATTCGGGAACATGGCCCGTACGCGAGCGACAAGAGATGGCTGTATCATTTCCGAGGAGATCATAACCGATAGAACCGATGTCCAGAGCCGCTTCTTGTCGGCCTTCTCAGCGTAAGCAAGAAGAAGCTTGATATAGGAAGTTGGCTGATTTTGATGGGGGCAGCGGTGATTGTCAGCACGATCAACACGAGGTCCACCAGTGGCAGAGGCAGGGATCTGTGGCAAGATCCAAGGCAGGGAGGGAAGGCACCATGGCAAGTCGACTCGATCAAAGCACGGCTTACTGCAAAAAACTTTTGCACGCCAGAATCCAGAAGCTGGACAGTCTCCTGGACTTGATCGAGAATATGGCGCGTGGGCTTGGGGAACCAGAGACAGTTCCTGCAGTTGGACGCAATGGTCATGAGGACCGTCGTGGCCGAAAACGAGGGTGACTTGAGACCCCACGAGTGAGTAAGTGAGTAAGTAAGTAAGTGAGTAAGTGAGTGAGTAAGCTGGCAAACGCATGCCCACGATATAGGGGCAGCAGGCATCACCCAGTACCAAACTCGGAGGGGAGCTTGTCACGAAATATACCTGCACCACCGTTTGGGATCGGTACATATCAGCAAAGTAGCAAAAGCAGTCGCTGGGCTTGGAGTAGAGGAATCTGAGGAGCAGAGATGTTTCCCAAAACAGCGCCATTAGCCACGCAGGTGGGAGTTGGGAGCAGCAGACGCTCATGCGCTGCTGGACGGAAGGATATGAGTATGGGCACTGTCTGCATGGGCTTACGTCTTGGGAATGCCTAGGCGTCCATTCGATGCGGCGCAATGCGATGCGAAGGATCAAGAGGAAGGTATAAGTGCCAGATGGACTGCTACTGAAACACCATAGCGGCTGCGGTTGCATGGGGCATCAAAGGATTTGCCACCCTATCTCGGTGAGATCAGCCAACCACCCCCGCATACACTAATCGCCAGACGTCCTCGAGCCTCAGACTGAGAGGTCCTTACCAGTGCTGCCAGAGGTGCTGAGGTATCCCAGAGAATCTTGCAGCGGGGAACAGACGCCAAGCGACGGTGCTGGAACGACGCATGAAGGGAAGGAGTCTGCGGCTACGAGCTCGACACCGGCGATGGGCTCGGGACGAGCATGGCGGTACAGAAGGAACTTGATTCCGTGCCTGTCGTGCGCCAAGCGGTTATAACACCGAGCGATGAAGGCCAAACTTTGTGAGCCCAGGACAGGACAGAACGGGATAGGACATGACGACACAGAGCATCGGGCAAAGAACCCACCGCTTAACAATGGCACTCCGAACAGCCGGTGGCCAGTTGAGTCCAAAATTGATCGTTTTCCTGCACGGGGTTCGCCAGTCCCCAGGAGAAGGGAGTGGGAAGCGATGAAATCAGCCAACACAAAGGGTTACAGATCCAACAACCGGGGCGGCGGCCTCGACCCACACACACATGGCGGTAACTCTGCCCGTTGTCCGCATGACCCCCAGGGAGAAATGCCAGCGATATCGCCCAGAAACGCGAGGGAACAGGGGATAACACTGCAACGGCTCGGTCTGGTTGCCGCAAAGATCCTCGGGGCTCCAGAGCTTTGGCTGCTGAGCATGACGATCTCGAGCAACCATCCCGTCCTCTCTGTCTCTGTTGCTTTCCGGTTGTCGGAACAACACCTACTTGCCAAGAATCCAGACGGCATAGGTCGAGTACACCCAGTATTCCTCGGGCTCGACATGCAGGGCAACAACGCCCGAGTCCTGGGCCCACCCCCGAAGCGACTTGAGGCCGTTGGCGATCGAGTACGCACGGCGCCAGACTTCGCCGTAGTTGATGTACTGTGGGGGCACGCTTTCGTGGGTGCGGATGGCTGGGCAGCCGGGCTCGTTCGAGGCCAGCTCAACCAGGGCTTCGAGAGGATGGACCCAGGCAGTTGGGAAGTCGGCCCCAGGGAGCGGGCTTGGCAGCTCGCGGATGGGGAATGAGTCCATGGCCTTGCTCAGGTTGTGGCGATCGAGCCTGAAGCTCTCTTTGGTGTCGGGCTCGGGCAGGCGCGGCGCTGGTAGTCGGGGATAGCCCAGCGAGCAATGGAAGCAGCTCAGAAAGTTCATGGCGAAGCAGCGAAGGATTCAGGAGGGTCAGGGAGGGAGAATGGTTGCCCTGGCCAAAGGCTGGTGAGCGGGCGATGGGCGATGGGCGATGGATAGAGACGCCAGGACGGGTGGACCCAAGGCTCCTGTCGCCGGAGGGGGCAGATGCTCGGGAGAGACAGGAGGATCGAAGCCAAGAAGAGCGAACGCCAAGAGCCTTCGAAGACAGACCGATGCTGGCTGGGTGGCAGCCCCCCCGAGTACCACCAGATTGTCGCAGGATGGGGCCGTATTCGTGACCCGGCGTCTCCTGCACTTTTTGCTTGGGGGCGACTGCAGCAAGGGCCCGGGGAAGACTGGGCAGGGCTGTACATCCGTCAGTGCGCCAATGCACAACCGCCCGTGCGCATCACATGCACAGCAAGCGCTTGTGTCCATCAGCCCCCCGCTCAGTACCGCCGCCTGCGTCGCTTGGCAAGATCGTCACAGTGTGTTTGGCAGCTGGCCTTGCCACCCACAGCCGAGAGGGCGACGGCGACCTGGCTGGTTGGCCGAAAAGGGTGTCGCGGCACGTTCTTGCCTTGGCGATGGGTGCGACAAAATGCGCAGGACAGGGCCCGTCGACCCAGCGGAAGCGCAAGAGCAAGGGCAAGCGAGGAAAAAATAAGGGGGGGGAGGCGTTTGTTCGCGGTGCTGGCAAGGCGCCCCAGAACCGCGCTCGGTTGGGATGGTCATCCCGCCACAGTCCAGGACGAGGACGAGAGGAATCGCAACGAGCAATGTATTTGAACAATGACCACGCCGGTTTCAATTGCGAGCGGGAGAAACATGGTCCACAGACGCAATCGCGACTGTTTCTACACACTTGGCCGAGGGATGAATGGAGGGAGAGGGGAAAGCAATCAAGAGAGACACAGACTGGGGAACAAAGGAGGGCGGCGGCAGACGGGAGAGCCATCCAAAGACAAATCGCAGGTTGAAAAGGGGGGTCATGACAGCAGTTCAAAGCGGGGTACACAACATGTCGGGCCAAGGCGCGCCAGGGGGAGAAAGGAGGGAGGAGGGAGGGAGCAGGGCTACCGAGATCGCAGGAAGGCAACACAAAACTTTGCAAAGGGGCGTGGCGGGGAGAAGGGAGGAAGGCGATAGGATCGTTGACAGAGTTTCGGCGGTGTTTTTTTTTTCGTTCGTTCGTTCTTTCTTTCTTTTTGTTCATCATTCGCCATTCATCCCGGTCGGTCATCGGTCAACCAGCTTGATTCTTGAATCCATTCGGCGATGCACCAAGCAGCATTGGAGGCAGTTGATGGAGGTAATAGGGACGGGGTCTCATGGCACAGCCTCGTCAGGACAGCCACGCAATGCAGGCGTTGGCTTGCAGCCGCAGTGGCGATCGAGTTGCGTTCGCGTCTACATCAGGTTGTGCGACTCGTTCCGGACGGGGATGACGAACGTGGTGGAGCTGACGGGGCTGGTGGGAGTTGAAGCAGAGGGTACAGGCGCGGTACTCAGGCCAATGACGGCTGCGGTAGCCGACTGCTTTCGCGTCGGGATGAAGGGCGTCATGCCAAAGCTATCAAGCACTTCGTCGACGATGCTGTCGTCCTCGTTTTCCTGGCTTTCGAGGGCCAAAATGTGATCCATGACGACCTGATCATCCGCCGAAATCTCCCGCCTACCCCGCTGTGTTACAGCAGAGCCGGTGTCGGCAGTGCCTGTGGCTGGACGCACCACAACGTTACCGATAATGGGCGCAGTGCGGCCAGACACGGAGGGGCTGTGTCGGAGCGAGACTTGGGATCGTTTCGAAAGCCCCGAGTCTAACTGCCGCTGTGCAGAGCCATTCTGTGCTGGCAGGAGAGGATTGGCAAGGTCGACAGGGATGGCCCCGTCTTCAAGAACGTTCTCAGACGAGCTTGCCGAGCCGCCTGTGGCTGTGGCACGTCCATCTGTGGGGGGAGGCAAAAAACCCATAGAAGGTGAAGTCCAGTTGCTTGCGGCAGTTCGAGTTGGGATGGCTGGGGTGGGTATCGTCGGGGTCCCCGGCGCTCGCCCCGACCGCGAGGGAGGGGGTGCAGGCGCCGGCTTGCCGGCTGAATTGACAGTCGAGGCGGCATTAGCGGCATTAGCGGCACAAACAGCGCCAGCAGTACCAGCAGCACCAGCGGTGGGGACAGCAATATTGGAGCTGGAGGGAACGGCTCGGATCGGAGAAGCTGTGGTGGGTGTGGTCTGCAGCGGACTGTCAAAGATGATATCGACGGACCGCAGTGTTTCGGAGCTGATGGAGGGATTCAAGGAAATGGGTGAACTCGGGGTAGCCGCGGCGTAGGATTCATATGGCATCGGGAGCAAGGTCTCCCAGTTCAGAGCAAAGATCTTGAGAAGCGCACTGTTGATGTTGAGGGCGGGCGAGAAGATGAGCTGGAGATTGGAGATGGTCATTTTGTTGATGGCGCACTTTTTCTGCACTCTATCTAGATGCCGGCCTATGTAGTGCAGGAGCGTATAGTTCTCGATGGGCAGTCTGGCTGAGAGCTTGCGGACCCGCTGAACGACTTCCTGCATGTCCGACACATCGTCGCCCTCTCTTGCACTCGTATTCATGAAGATTTGTGAGAACTCGGGATGAAGCTGCTTTGTGAGAACAGGTTCGGGAACTGAAGCGGGAGGACAATAAGGTCAGCACAATCGTCTGCACACCCAGCAAGCAGCGGACCGGGATATCTGTATGTGCAGTCCGTACAACTGGGGCCGGGATATCAGCACGACGAAGCATCAAGAGTAAACGACTTTCCCCCTCGAACAAGTGTACAATGCGGGAGTCATGTGGTGTCTGTGACCAGATGAGGCAGACAGCCAAGCATGCGGAAAGGTGAGCCAGAACGTGTGGATACATACGGGACCGGAGGTACAGCTTCAGCAAGGACGCTACATCACTGGGGTTGCTGCTGCTTGGGAGCTGGGCATCAGGTTGCTGTTCAAACACGCTTTTGAGCTTGTTGATGTTCAAGGACGAACCAGGCACACGATAGATACCCTCCTCTTCGAGACCTGTAGATGATGCAGGAGAAAAGCCCATGACGAGAGGACAGACCAAAGGGGACAGTGCATGGTCAGAAGCCAAGCGGCGACGGAGAATGTACGGAGTGTACAGATCGTACAGATTGTACGGATTGTACAGCTTGTCAGCGTGTCAGCGTGTCAGTATCGATTTAGGGTGTTCCGACAGATGGCAAGAGGCTTGCCAAGAGCAGGTCACGGCCGAGGGCGAGGAAAAAGGGAAGAGGATGCATCGAGCTAGGCCCAAGAGCCCGGCCTCGAGATACAGACCATACTGCTCCACAAACTCGATGCAGCGATAGACCACAGTCGGGAGGAATACCGAAGGCGACGGCCTGGAGACTTCGACAACAAGCTCGAGACGCTCTCCAAAGATGGCCTGAAGAACCGAGGCGCCGTTGTTGATGCTGTGATCGCGATGCTTGAAGTCGAACTCTGGAAACAGAGACTGAGTGAGTATGGACGGGAGGAGACTGTGGGTTCTCGAATCTCAGCGGAGGACATTGGGATTGGGATGATGAGAAGGGTTGTCGCCATCGGCAAGAGCGACAGAGCACGAAACCACCGTTATTGTTGAAGGGGGGGGGAAATCGGCCATGAGGCACCGCCAGATGCCGACATGGAGTAAAACAGGAGAGCGGACAGACTCGGCACCCACCCTTCATCTTGGCGAGTGCGCTGGCGATATGGCTCTGCTTGGCGACGGAATAGGTTTCTTTGGCGATGGCGCCGATGTTGGACGAGTACTCTTTTGCGATGGCAGAGAACTCGGCGGTGCGCTCAGCAGCCCGCTCGGCGGCTTTGGAGGACCAAACGGACGACTGCTTTACAACCTGGCCTGCCTTCTCTTTGACAAAGTTGGCAAAATGATGGCGAGGAGGCCCGCCGCCACTGCTGGCCGAAGATGTTGGGGTCACTGAGGGGAAGGTGTCGGATTCCGGGAGCGTCCGGAGGGAAGGGCGACGGCTGCCCTGAGACTGGAGATAGTTGGCCAGGGCCGACGACGATGGGGCCGATGTCGATAGTTTGGAGGCCGAAGATGCAGGCGGCACCAAGCCGGACTGAGAGTCGGGGATGGGGATGGCTTCAGAAGGATTCGTATTGGACATTGGGGCTGAGACGGGATGAGATCAGATCGGGGAGGAGCGAGAGGGATCAGGAGGCGATAGAAGAATCGATCGCTTGATCGATCGACAGGGAGACGGGCAACGCCGACAGACAGAATATATAGAGAGGGATAGACAGACGAAGAGAGGCAACAAAAGCGGCCAAGAACGCTCGGCAGCCGGCAGACCGAGACAGACGACAGAGTGAGGCCGACAAGACAGGGCCAAAGGACGACCGAGAGCAGGCCGGGCGGCGGGCGGGGGAGCACTGGCCGGCACGGAGGCGAGAGCCCGCGACAGGGCGCAGGCCCGCGCGGCGCGCCGAGAAAGGGCCCGGTGCGAGCGCGCGTGGGACAGGGCGCGTGGCGCCGCTGTTACTGTGGCGGCTGTTACTGTCGATGTTACTGTGGCATCGCCGTTGTCGCTGTGGCATCGCTGTTGTCGCTGTGCCTTTGCTGTCGACTGACCATTCGAGCCGCGCTCGTGCGAACGCCCAAACAGGAAGCGCCACTGTCACAACGGCCATGCGAGTCGCACACGCACACACAGCAGCACTGGCCTACAGAAACTGCGGCCCACTCTCCGCTCGCTCTCCGCCGCCCTCCCCCACTCCGCCCCAGAGCCTCCATTCCAGCAACACGGCCCATCGTCGCTCGCCATGGCATTCCATGACCTGGCATGGCCCGCCTGGGCGCTTTTTGGCCGGCAAAACTCGCCAGCAATCACGCCATGCCCATCCCGATTCGAGCAGCACGGCCAGGGCCAAGCTGCACCGTCCGCATGCCTACAGGGACCAGACCCTGCGGCGCCTGCTTCCGCCAGCGATTGCGGGCCGCCCCCCCAAACATCCAACCATATTTTGAGCCCACAGCTCGCCGGTCTGGCCAAGCGCCTCGTTTGCACATCGCCGTCTGTTGATCTCGCATTCACCATGGTAAACAAATCCACGATTTACGTGGTCGCCATCCTGCTGACCCTCCTGGGAGCCACGTATTATGTGGCCAATACAATGGACTCTCATATCCACGATCTCAAAGTCAAGACGGACGAACTGATCCGGCTGCCTGTGTCGGCCTCGGTCGATAGCCTCTTCAAAGACTTTCTCAAGCTGAAGGATGACGACTACGAGAGAATCTCCAAGCTGCTCGATGATCACGGCGCCTCCGAGCACGATATGATGGAGGACCACATCAAAACCGTTTTGGCAGAGATTCGAGAAATGAAGGGCGCGCTCTCGGAGATCACCAGCGGAAAAGTTGCCTCGAAAGAGTCTAGCGAGGTTCGGCTCATTCTCCCCCCCCCCGCATGCTGATCACGACGAGGGCGAATGTGCTCCCTCTCTCCATCGGCGCCCACTCGTTACTCTATTCAGCGCTTTATTGATCATAAATCGCCCCATTTCTTCAGAGGAGCACAAAACAAGCAAAGCCCCCCAAGAAAAATGCATACGGATTCTATGTCACCAACGACGAGTACGCCTGCGCTGCGCTGATCATGGTTCGCACTCTTCTGAACACCGGCCTTCGCCCGGGTGTTGAGATCTTTGTCCTGGTCACCAGCGACGTCTCCGAAAAATACATCAGGAAGATGAGGAAGATGGGAATGGTTGTCAAGCCCACCACGCGTCTGGAGGTCACGGCCATTGGCGACACGCCAACCTGGTGGAAGCAGAGTATGACCAAGATGAACATCTTCAATATGACCGAGTACGACCGCATCATCTTCCTTGACGCCGACGGATTCGTCCTCAAGAATATGGACAGCCTCTTTGATCTGCCGCCCTATTTTCTCTATTCTCCACGCGCGACCTACGTCACGGACAAACAGCCGTGGATGAACGCTCAGATGTACATTATCAATCCGGCGCAGTGGATCTATGACAAGCAGATCCACGTCTTTGAAGAATACGAGTCTCGAGGCGAAGTGATGTACGATATGGGTACGTGACTCCTCAGTCCGTCTGACAACGCCGAGCTGATCCGATCACCCTATCGAGCGACTGCATCGATCGAGCATCCTTTGACATCCATACGATCTTGGGATTTACTCTGTTGAAATTGACGCGCCTCCTCTTGCAATCCCTGGTATATGCTCTGGACAGATATCACCAACGTAGTATTCCGCCACTCCGCAGCCATCTTGCCCGGATACTACGTTGTTCTCAACGGCGTCCTCATGGAGCCTCCGGGAACCCACATCGGGTTGATCGAGGGATTCACCGTCGAGGATGTCATCCGGGAGGCCTTTGTGGTGCACTTTGTAGAAAAGCACACTGGGGGATGTGAGTATCACGAACGACAGGAATGGAGTGCTGAGCCACAAAGGGACTGTACTGAATTCCATTCCATTTTGTAGACGGAAAGCCATGGCACGACGATAGGACCTTCAAGGACCGACCCAAAGCTTATCCGATTGCGCACGACATCTTCCGCAAATGGTGGGCCTATCAAGATGAGTACTGTTTCTCAGATTACTAAGCGGAAGAAACTCTCTCCAGGAATTGAAACGAGAGGATGTGAAGTCATGGCCAAAATGAGGAATATGAATCGATTGGACAAATGGGACGGAATGCGATTGGGGAGAAAACAATGGGCCGAGGAGAGAACTGGGAGGAAAGGGAAATGGCCATACGACAAAGAGACAGCCCCAAATGACCAATACACAATACACACCATGGGTGACCGAGATTCGAGCGAGAGTGGAGACGACGCACCATGGACACCATCACAGCCATCACAGCCATCACAGCCATCACAGCCATCACAGCCATCACAGCCATCACAGCCATCACAGCCATCACAGCCATCACAGCCATCACACCATCACAGCCCGCATTGCCCATCCGATATATTGACATCCCGCAAAGGCGCGAGCCGGTTCTGTGAAGAGGAGTGCTTGCGGGGAACGAGAGTGTGGGACTGGCGGATGTGCTTCCGAGACCGTCGCTGACGAGGGGATGAGCCAGCCGGCAAGGGCCGGCTCAATCACAATACACATCCGAGGAAGTGGGAGTGGGGTCGAAGCAGAAAGCGATGGGTTTTGCCACGTTTGGACCACAAAGGCGACGGCATGAGACTGAAAGAGGAGCAGGGCACGGGGAGGGAGGGTATGGAAGACATGGAAGACCTGGGCGAGTGAATGGACAAGCAGATGAAGGAGTATAAGGAGTAAAGGCAAGAATGAATGGACGAGCGAGTGGACGGGCGCATGGAGGAGTGAATGGAGGAGTGAATGGAGGAGTGAATGGAGGAGTGGATAGAAGGGAGAGGGAAGGGGAGCGAAGGGGAAGGGGAGCAGAGGAAGAGAGAGGCGTTGAGATTGGTGGCGATTGGTGGCGATGATTGTGGCGCTACTTGTGTCACGATGATAGTTTGGTCATGAAGGCTGTCGGGTTAATGCAGACAACAACTCCGCATTGGTCCAGTGGCTAGGATTTCTCGCTCTCACCGAGACGGCCGGGGTTCGATTCCCCGATGCGGAAGACATGCCTTCTTGGCTCAGTTGGCAGAGCGTCTGCCTAGTAAGCAGAAGGTCACCAGTTCAATTCTGGTAGAAGGCATTTTTGCTCGCTTTTTGCTGTCCATGCTGTCCGTGCTTCGATCTGTCTGCCACTGATCGCTCGCTCGTCTCTCTGCATGCTCTGATGCTCTGATGTTCTGGTGTCCCTCAGCCCTGTGCTGCACACTCAGTTCTGTATCCTCCATCATCCATCATCCATCCTCCATCCTCTCCCCTGTACACTCTACTCTGCTTTCCCACTGTCGGTCTCGGTTTCGGCTCCAGTTCTTCCGCTGTGATGTGTCTGTTGCTCCGTTGCTCCGTTGCTCCGTTGCTGACCCGGGTGGTGGTGCTGCATTATACCGCCAGCAGTCCATCACCACCCGGTCGTGCCGTTGCCCTGATCTCGGCCGACCCTGCTTTCTTTCTGCTGCCGCACCATTCCATCCAGCGTCGCCCTGCTCCACTCTGGCACCTCAGCCACACTTTAATCCCCAATGCTTGTCATTGCATCTTCATCGTCTGCACCCAGTAGCTCGGGTGTGACTGTGCGGCTGCACTCTCTCGATATCGAATCTGTTGTGTCTCGCCTGCCAGAGTCATATACCCTGATTTTGCTTCGTCAATAAGGACCGATGGTGTAGTGGTTAGCATGCCAGCCTTCCAAGCTTGCGTCCCGGGTTCGAATCCCGGTCGGTTCATCTTTTTGCCCCATTCCCATCGCACCTCACCCCAATCTCTCACTTCATGTTTCTGCACCTTGCGTCTGTCGCCCATCCCCAACTCGCCGGCCCACCGACCAACCCGCAGAATTCGCGGCTCATCGTCGCTGCAACACATTTGCTTCATCGTCGCCACTGCGACCCAACACCTGTCCCCGGCATCAATTCGTTCTGTCCCTGCGATATCGCCATCCCCCAACTCATCGTCGCACCTTGGTTGGCTGCCCGCTGCTGTTCTGCCAATATCGGATTGGCTCTGGCTATGGCGCATCATTCGTTCTTCCCCGGACCGGTCCACTGCGAGAGTATTTTGCAAAAACAGACAGCATCGGCATTGCCTGCGACGCCCTCCATCCTCGGAATTGTCGGATCCGCTGGAGTCGCATCCCACTTTCAGACTTCCTCGAACTTGACTGCGACTGGCCCTTGGCCACACTCAGTCACACTCGGTCTCAATTCACCATGGACCGAATCTTTGTCTGCGGCACGGGCCAGCATGAGAACCCGACTGCTCACTGTTGCAGAAACCCCTCCACCTCCACGTCCCACCGATATGGAGTACGTCCCGCCTCGATCCCAGGCTCCAAAGGACTGCCCGCTCCTCGTCCCTTCCGCGACAGTCCTGTCTGAGGCAGTTGCACTCAGGCGTGGTGGACTCGCTGCTGCAGCCCGTTACTATTCCACACATCCATTTCGGTATCATCTCCATCATCTGCGAATCACTTCATCGATGCGACCCTCGATCTGGCAATCAGTATCCGTTCCATCAGCTTTGCTGGTCCACTCAGCGATGCTCACCACTCATGGCTAACAATTGGACGAGATTGTGTGTCGACCAGGGACAGATCGGTTGATCCCAGGAACAGGGCCGCTGCCATTCAACCAGCGAATTGCTGCGACGCTGATTACTACGACAACAACTGTTGCTGTGGTTGTCGGTGCCTCGTCGGCTGAGACAAGCTGCTCGTTGGAGTCGCAATCAAGATCATGTGGTGCATGCCTGATTTCCCCATAATGAGTGGACTTGCACTTGCATTTGAAGCTGTGGCTGGGAAATCCACGGCTGTTTGGTGGGCAGCTGGAGGTGCGAGGCTATGTAAGAGTGAGAGGCTGCTGCGAGACTTCAAATGCGGCTCGACATCGATCGGGACGATGGCAGTCGGTTCCGTCGGACGATGGATCAGCCAAACTCAACCTCATGGACAATGGTGCGTTGGTGATGCAGTTGGAGGGATGCGTGGTGGCAGAAGCCGACACAGGCTCAGAGAGCTTGATGAGTGGGTTGGTCCATATCATCCGTGAGGCCATATGTATGAGCACAAATCGGGGAGCTGGCCGAGTCAACTCGAGGGATGGCGAAGCTGGTATTTCCACAAGATCGAGTCGATTGTGGTGTGGGTTGGGCGATCATCAGTCGAAACCATATTAAGGCCAATACTTGTCGACACACAAGTGAGTGCTACTGATAGTCGGCACGAGCAGTCGGACTCAAGCAGCAAATAGCAGGAGGCGAAATGTGCGAGTAAAATGGAGGCGGAGATGCAACGATGGAGTAGCACCGACAATTGGAACATGGCGACTTTGATGGGAATGTCGGAGTGGATGTTGTGGCACCGTGGGTACAGATTGGGTGGAGCGGATGTGGGTTGTATCGGGAAAGGTGATACTGCATATGAGAGTGATGAGGAATGATGACAGCACCGAGAGTTGAGAGTGATTCGGAGGATAGTCAACAGAGCCATCGAAGCAAGGAGCAGTGAGACAGTGGAACGATGAGAAAATGAATGGAGACGACAAGCATTGGGGATGAAAGTGTGGCTGAGGTGCCAGAGTGGAGCAGGGCGACGCTGGATGGAATGGTGCGGCAGCAGAAAGAAAGCAGGGTCGGCCGAGATCAGGGCAACGGCACGACCGGGTGGTGATGGACTGCTGGCGGTATAATGCAGCACCACCACCCGGGTCAGCAACGGAGCAACAGACACATCACAGCGGAAGAACTGGAGCCGAAACCGAGACCGACAGTGGGAAAGCAGAGTAGAGTGTACAGGGGAGAGGATGGAGGATGGATGATGGATGATGGAGGATACAGAACTGAGTGTGCAGCACAGGGCTGAGGGACACCAGAACATCAGAGCATCAGAGCATGCAGAGAGACGAGCGAGCGATCAGTGGCAGACAGATCGAAGCACGGACAGCATGGACAGCAAAAAGCGAGCAAAAATGCCTTCTACCAGAATTGAACTGGTGACCTTCTGCTTACTAGGCAGACGCTCTGCCAACTGAGCCAAGAAGGCATGTCTTCCGCATCGGGGAATCGAACCCCGGCCGTCTCGGTGAGAGCGAGAAATCCTAGCCACTGGACCAATGCGGAGTTGTTGTCTGCATTAACCCGACAGCCTTCATGACCAAACTATCATCGTGACACAAGTAGCGCCACAATCATCGCCACCAATCGCCACCAATCTCAACGCCTCTCTCTTCCTCTGCTCCCCTTCCCCTTCGCTCCCCTTCCCTCTCCCTTCTATCCACTCCTCCATTCACTCCTCCATTCACTCCTCCATTCACTCCTCCATGCGCCCGTCCACTCGCTCGTCCATTCATTCTTGCCTTTACTCCTTATACTCCTTCATCTGCTTGTCCATTCACTCGCCCAGGTCTTCCATGTCTTCCATACCCTCCCTCCCCGTGCCCTGCTCCTCTTTCAGTCTCATGCCGTCGCCTTTGTGGTCCAAACGTGGCAAAACCCATCGCTTTCTGCTTCGACCCCACTCCCACTTCCTCGGATGTGTATTGTGATTGAGCCGGCCCTTGCCGGCTGGCTCATCCCCTCGTCAGCGACGGTCTCGGAAGCACATCCGCCAGTCCCACACTCTCGTTCCCCGCAAGCACTCCTCTTCACAGAACCGGCTCGCGCCTTTGCGGGATGTCAATATATCGGATGGGCAATGCGGGCTGTGATGGTGTGATGGCTGTGATGGCTGTGATGTCTGTGATGTCTGTGATGGCTGTGATGTCTGTGATGGCTGTGATGGCTGTGATGGCTGTGATGGCTGTGATGGTGTCCATGGTGCGTCGTCTCCACTCTCGCTCGAATCTCGGTCACCCATGGTGTGTATTGTGTATTGGTCATTTGGGGCTGTCCCTCTGTCGTATGGATCTACTCAACATGGGACACTCGGTTCCCAACGGCCGAACTAGATTATCGCCATGGTTACCATTTCGATCCATTGCCCAAGCCTTTCTCTGGCAATGTCCAAGTAGAAATCAGTCGGATCTCTCTTTTCAATGTGTCCGCTCAATGCTCGCTCTGCGTTCGCTTGCCGGATCTCGATCTGGCCATCTCCCTCCCGATCATCCCTTCGCTTCCGATCGTTCCGAGCTCCCCTTTCTTCACGCTTGAGCGCCCTTCGTGGTGCCACTGTATGTGCCTTCGACTGGCAGTCCCGGCCTTCACACCATCGTCTCAGACATTCGTTTTTCAGAGCCAGCCACGATTGCCCCAGACCTGTCCTGCAATCCCCTTCCCAACATCACTTCAAAATGACCTACGATGGAGAGTCTCATCTCGTGTCTACACACGTTAGCACCACATCCACCGCCTCAGCCCAGCCGCCCGTCGATCCGCTCGGTCGTCATGGCCACGAGCTCTACCCATTCCGTCTCGACTCCGGCGAGTTGCCATCGCTCGAACAACTTCTTGCTTCGATCCGGTTGCGATTTGAGGAGCGTTCCACCTTGCATGCCGGCAACCCCCCTTTGAAACTCGGACTGCTGGTTGGTCGGGGCACCGATACTTCGTCGTGGTGGCTCACACCAATTCCTTCACCCGTCTCCAAACACTCCTCTAACAATCATATAAACGCATACCCGGTTCTCTGGGTTTGCTGCGACCGATTCGGCGGTGCATTCGGACGTGCACCAGTCATCTCCCGGCCTGAGCTTCAAAGCGAGTCTGAGTCTGGGTCGTCGAAACCAGCACTTCACCCGGCTCAGAGCACTGTTGAATCGCTCCCGCCGCATCTCTGGATGGATTTCAATTCCACGACTGCTCTCGCTCAGATTCCGCCCAACTTTTTCGATGTCATAGCGGTCGACTGGTCCACTTGGCGATATCTCAGGCCCGCCGATCTCGACGTCATTACGGAGTGGACTCGGATCCTCAAGCCGTGCCGGGCCCTCAGTTCACCTTCTTCCCCGACAGGCGGTTGCGCACATCCTCCCGGAACATGTGGCTTCCTCTTCGAAGGCTCTGTCAGCAGCATTTGCTATCAGGGCATTCCACGGCCTCCCAATGCCGCTCCCAGTTGGCAGCAACTTGGTTTCGAGTACGACAACCCCAGCCATATCACTATTCCATCGTGGTGGGCGGATGTTCTCTCGAGCCTCTCCACCATTCCGGCAAACTTGCCACAGGCGACGCATTCCGGCGCCCCGCGGACAAAACCCTTGCGATCGCCGCTGCAGCGAGTGCTTGCTGCCACCAGCTCCCGATCTGTTTTGTCCATGCCTCGGACCATTATCCCAGCCCCGCCTCGGTCCATAGAACCGTCGCTAGAGGCTGCGATCAACCAGATTCATCCCTTCTTGGTCCCAAAATGTGCTGATCTTTTCACGAGCCATGGGTACTCCGTCACATTTCATTCACGCAGCGACAGCAACGCCTATCCGATACCCACTCGAGGAGTCATCGACTGTTGGTTCCAAGCCATCCGTCGTCCGAGTCCTTGTCAGACCCCCCAATAGATTCGTGCAGTCGATGGCCGACGCTTTCTTTTGTTCCGATCGGCCGCACGGTATTTGCGCTGGCTTGAGCATCATGTCCAATTTATTCCCCACATACAAAGCCGCGGTTTCATCGATATGATATCCTCGTGCTGACTCAGGGCCGTTTGTCGCTGGTTAGATGTTCTTATCGGCATTGGGGGTGGGGATGTCCTCCGTCGGCGACTGGGGGAGCTCAAAGTCGCCCTCGAGCTCTTGGTTGGCTCGCTTGGGGCGGACACATCGCACTTTGTCTGCAGAGCGGACATATCGGCGATCAGCTCGCAGGCATGGAGGGGGGATTGCTGTCGAGCCATGGTTCTGCAGTGCGGCTCACGGCCCGGCGACATACCTGCAACAATGCGGGTGCTGTTGACACCAGTCTTGGTGTTCTTGTAGTACTCGAGCTTGCCTTCGACGACAAAAATGGATCTAACATTTGATCGAGACGGGAGGTAGATGCCGTTAGACTCGCCACCCTTCCGTGAAGCTCACCGAGCGCCAGCCCGCATGCCGCAGAGACGTACCCGGGCAGATACTCTTCAAAGTTTTGCGGGAGGACTCTCCACGAGGGCCCACGGATGGCCTTGATGTTGTGCCACTGAGTCTCACGCTTTCCCAGTTTGCGAGTTTCAGTCACGATGTTGAAGAGATAGACTCCCTCGGAGCTTGGGTTCGAGGCGGCGACAGGCTCTTCGGACACATCGGCGGGATTTTCGCTTGGATCTTTGCCGTACTTGCTTGAGAAATAGACGGGTGCCCGAGGCAGGTTTCCGACGAGAATCACTCGGTTGTATCCTGTGCATCATCGCATTTGGGCGTGAGTCAGTATCCAACGGCACGAGCCGACCCAACGAAGCTGGGCAGTGGGCATGCAGCACGATCGTCGGCGGGTCGACTGTTGTTCTTACTGACCAGAAACTGCGGATGCCGAGAAGGACTGGCTTCCCGGTTTCGGGTTGTGTTAGTGGTTTGGTTCCATCAGAGCCACATCCTGGGCACGATCGCTGCGATCTGCTTGGATCGCCAGCAGGGATTCGAGCTCCAACCGCAGCGACAAGGCAGCCGAGATCTCTCGGGCACACATCGCGCGCTCCAGCGTCGATCCATTGCGTCTCCCAGAACCTACTCGGGCACCGAGCACGGGGGCTCGCACGGCGTTGGCGGCGTTGGCGGTGTTGGCAAGGATTCGGGCGAACATGGTGTCGTGTGGCCAGCAGCAGGAGCAGCAGCGACGGCGGGCTTGATGCCTGGCAACGGACGCGACGGCCAGACGACGGCTGCCTGTGCTGCGCACGCCCATTATTAATTAGCGTTGCTTTTTTTTGGCTGCCCGGCTCCGCTTGGGTCGTCAGCGGCCAACCACGGCAACCACACCAACCGTCGCCATCCCGAGTCTGAGCGCTGTCCATCTGCATCGGGGGTGCACCAAGCGACGTCCTGCTCTGCTGTCTCTGGACTGTATTTACTCTCCTCTCTCCGGCTCGCCCAGCAACTCCCTCCCAGCCGAACATCAGCCTCGCCTCGCCGACCCTCAAGTCACATCAGCCATGCTCTCAAAGGCCGGAAAATGGGATTCGCTCGATGTTGCGCTTTCGGAGCCCATGTAGGACGGCCTTGCATTCGAATGCACCAATTGGAAGAAAACGATGACGGTTTGCTCTTGAGTTGACGACTGACGTCCCATTCGCTGGCCCCATCGCCTGCCAAACACCAGCATGGACACGATCCTGAACATGGGCTTCACCCAGATGACGCCGGTGCAGGCTGCTTCCATCCCACTGTTTCTCAAATCGAAGGACGTCGTTGTTGAGGTGTGCATCTGCGCACGAGAGGGGATTTCAGCGTGGTCGCTGCATCGAGTACAAATCGCTCTGTCATGGACAGTGTCCGCATCAGGCTGCTGGCGATGCTAACAGAGCCTCTTCTGATCATGCCCTCGACCCCGATTCTGGCTATCGCTCTACACCTCAACTTGTTGCCACCAGGCCGTGACCGGTTCTGGAAAGACCCTGGCATTCGTTGTGCCAATGTTGGAGATGCTTCTTCGGCGAGAACGACCCCTCCACCGCAACGAAATCGGCGCACTGATTATTTCGCCAACGAGGTGGGTGCATCGCCGTTCATATCCGCCCACAAGCACTTGCCGGCGTCCACCTGGACTATGGCAGACACGGTTATATCCTTTGCTGCTCGGGCCGATGCTGCTGCTGCTCCTCGTTCTCATCTTTTGCGGCTGGTTTCGGACTACCGTCGATCTCGGGCCTGTGTTGATTCGGCCGCCTGGGCAACACTCTGCATTGCAATTTTAGAGAGCTCGCCAAGCAGATATATGACGTTATCTCCAAGTTTATCGATTCAATCAACGCACATGCACCCGAGAGCGATGACCGGACGATCACACACAGTCTCTTTATTGGTGGAACGGACGAGCAAGCCGATATTGCCCAGTTTCGGGAGCATGGCGCCCATATCGTTGTGGGGACCCCTGGTCGACTGGACGATCTACTCAAGCGGAGCCATACCTTTAACACGAAGGAACTTGAAGTCCTCATTCTGGACGAGGCCGACAGGTCAGCGCCTTCTTCTTGCTGTGGTCGCTCTCTTACATAGCCAACAGGCGACTGCGGCGCTTCGCTTATGTAGTCCGTCCACTGATTTCGGCGTCGCCGCCCTCTCCCAGACTCCTGGACATGGGCTTTGAGCAGAGCCTGAATTCGATCATTCAGAGATTGCCAAAGCAGCGGAGAACCGGTCTGTTCTCGGCCACGATGAACGAAGCACTTTCGGAGCTGGTTCGCGCTGGTCTGCGAAATCCAGTCAAGGTCGTCGTCAAGGTCGAGAGCGCAAGCGGCCGCCAATCCGAACAGCGGACCCCGTCGACCCTCGAGATCGGCTATATGATTTGCTCTTCGGAACAGAAGCTGGCCCAGCTCTTACACCTGCTGCGCAACGATGCAGACAAGAAGTTTATCGTCTATTTCTGCACCTGTGCCTGTGTCGATTATTTCTTCAAGGTGCTGTCAACGCTGCCGCATCTCAAGTCCTTTACATGTTTTTCGCTCCATGGGAAGATGGATCCCAAGCGTCGAGAGGCCGTCTACAAAAAGTTCACCACAGCGCCTTCGTCCTCGATCCTCTTGTGCACGGACGTTGCCGCCCGCGGACTGGATATCCCTGATGTCGACTGGGTCGTCCAATTCGATCCTCCTCAGGACCCAAAGTCCTTCACGCATCGTTGTGGCCGGACAGCTCGCCAGGGACGAGAGGGAAAAGCCGTTGTGCTGCTAACGCCCAAAGAGGATACCTATGTTGGTAAGCCCTTCAAGGCAGCCCGCCAGCCCGCCAACCAGTCGGACTGCTCCCCTTTGCCTCTACGTCGGTATTCTATGAGTGCTTCATTTACGGCGCTACTGCATACCTGAAGCGTGCTACCACTCTGTTATCACAGATTTCCTGCGCATTCGAAAGGTGCCTATGCTCGAGATGTCGCTCTTCCCCGACGACGATGCCTCCACCAGCCCACGGATTGAGCCAGAGCACCTTTGCGAAACAATTCGGCGTATCAATGCCTCCGATCGCGATATCTACGATAAGGTGTGTTAGGGGAGCTATCGGTCACGGCGGCAGATCTGCTCGTATCAAGCAGATGTCTCACAGCCTTTCACTTGGTTTAACAGAGTAACAAGGCCTTTGTCAGCTGGGTTCGGTCATACAACGAGCACCAAGCCAGCTACATCTTCCGATTCAAAGAGGTTGACATCGGAGGCGTTGCTAAAAGCTTTGGGCTTCTCAAGGTAAGCGATGCTTCTCCGGCGTATCTCGTTTCGACCCGAAGCTGTGTCGCCACAGCGGACTCACCAGATGCTTCGTTTTACTGGCCACTTGCTGTTTGCCTCGCATTTCTCTCTCTCTCTCTCTCTCTCTCTCTCTCTCTCTCTCTCTGGTCGGTCCTTTGTCACGAGAGTAGATGCCTAGAATGCCAGAGCTCAAGACCATGAAGTACAGGTTCACTCCTTCAGCAGTCAACGTAAGAGCCGTCCTCGATGTGGATTTAGCCCCGCGATGGCAATCGAGATGCAAATGCAGGCCATAGCAACAACGCGCAACCAGACCTGTTTCAGAGGGGGGGGGAGTGCGCTGCATTTCCGGCTACGTTCACACCAACGCTTGCCTTGCCATTGTCCCTTCGTAGATCGACGGCATCAAATTCAAAGACAAGGCACGCGAGAAGCAGCGCTTGGTCAGACAGGCAGCGGTCGCAGCCCAGAAGCAGCAGGAAACCGAGTCTGGAGTCGTGCGCACCAAGCGGCCGATCAAGAGTACCGATGCATGGTCGGATAAAAAGTTGCAGAAGGAGAAGAAACTCGAGCGACGCGAGAAGCGCGGGAAGCGCAAAGAGGCCATCCTGAAAGCCAAGGCTGATGGAACGTATGTTGTTTCCAAGAAGTCGTCCTCGATGCCGTCCGGGACAGCCACCCAGCCCACTCACATTGACGGAAAGCGAGGCTTCTCGGACTCTGACGATGATTCTGATTCGGATGCGCCCCAAACCCGGCGGCCGCGCCAAAAGACATCGAGGACCGACAAGGCCCAGACCTCGATTCGCGGCAAGAAGCCCCAGGTTCAGGATGACTCTGATGACGGTGGCTTCGAAGAGTTTGACTGAGCAGCGGCTCTATCTTAGCCATAGCTCCGGACACCGTTTCATGCCTTCAGCGCATGCCAATATACTTTCGACCATTCCATGTCCTTTTGCACACAGTCACGTTCGCGGATTGGCATAGCATGTATTTGGTGTCTGCCCGTCAAGGTTGTTTGACTCGGATAAAGCAGCAGTGGGGTTTCGCTGCGCTGTGACATGCTTATGTCTCCATTTGCGGCACGAGCACACCGGTCACAGTTCCGACCGTCGATCTAGAGCCAGTAGAACCAGCGATCAAACCACGACAGCCGATCAAGCTTCTGAAAGTCTTCGAAGGCGTGCTTGACTCTGGGGCTCTGGAACTTGACCCGGTTAAAGTCGGTGAATGTCAAGATGCCTTCGTCGACAAGTGCATCGACAAACTTGAGAATCTTCCATTCGCGGGCGTGCTCGCGGGTCAGGTGGCGCTTTTCATTCTGGGCTCGGTTCAGGAAGAGCATAAGCTTCTCTCGCTCCACTGAATCCTTGAACTCAAACTGGCTCATGACCTGGCGAATCTCGCGGGAACATGCCTCGATGTCGGCTCGCACAACCTCCGTGACCGTGTTTTCCGACATCTTTGTGAATTCCTCGCAGATCCGGCGGAGATCGCCAATGTGCGTGCCAATCGATTCTTTAATAAACTGGATTTCGTGCTCGGGTGGAGTCGGCTTGAGCTCGGCATGGAGGTACGCGTTTGCTTCCTGCAGAAGTGGTGCAACACGGGCAGCAATAGCCGTCATCTTGATTAGTGGGTGTGGTGGTGAGGACGACATGTCCCGGCGCTCGGTCTGCAGAAGCTCATCCGGCTTGCCCGCTGTCCAGCAGGTTCACTGAGTACAGCACATGACAGTTACCCGGCCGTTGAGGGCCTCGATTCTGTAGATCTTGGCATTCTGTGAAGGAAGCGGTGCGTGATGTCAGCCAAGCTGCCGGACCTGTGCGACGATTATCCTCCTGATGTTGCATCGATCGCATCCGAGGCCATCACAGGAGGTCTCAAAGCGAGTAGGCATAGAGCGGCTGGTGCTCGGGTCACAGAGCTGTCGCTCTCAACTGACGGCAGGGAGAGACAGGATCGTTGTCCACCCCCTGCCAGACATCCGCTTCCACTCCCTCCGTCTTCGGGGAGCCGCGTGCCGCCCTTTTACCTCCAGGAGATCCTTCTTCACGATCTTGCGAACGTTCCTCGTGTACATCTTGTCGCTACATGTGAAGACCACCAGGGCCAAGTCCTCGCGCGCCCACTTGTTGGCAGCCTTGAAGAGAAGCTCCAGCGCCTTATCGTTGTTTGGGTCCATCTGCGAGCGCCCGCTGAAAGACGTCTCCAGACCATCCAAGTCGTCAAACACAAACAGGGGTCGATCCGAGTAGATGTTCGCGTTTTTGAGGCGCACCATGGCTTCCTCGATTTCCTGCAGACATGGGCGAGTCCACCACCCAGTTTGTTGTAGCCATCAGAACAAGGTTTCAATTCGGACTCGTGACAGGCCGGCACACATCCAAGTTCGAACAGAGCACATCAATGCTGGGTTGACACAGGCGAAGCCACCTACATCCAGCAAGTACGCAAGCTTGTCGATGGGGCTCATTTGTTCGGTCTGTTTGGGGGAGGTGTCGACAACCCAGACAGCCCTGTTAATCTATCGAAGTGAGGTGTTGCCCACCGATTAAGCAAGTAGACTGCGCCATTACCGTGCCCTTGAAAAAATACGACTGCAGCAAGCGCTCCGTCCTGCGACGATCAAATATGCGTCGTCAGTGCGTGCACAAAACGCAGTCTATACATGTGATGCTGGCGGCGCTGGACCACTGCTGAGGCTCACGACAACAGTCCGGGCCTGTGTGGGTTGCTGATTGTTGGCTTCCATGCGAGTGAGCATCAAGGATGCCGTTGCTGTTTCCTACCAATCTTCGAAATCGTATCCAACCTATTTTTCAGATGGTTGGACGAGTGGTGGTTAGCGCATCGCTCTCGCTGCGGCTGGCGATCAAACCTCAGATCTCTTCGGAGCTAGCTTACATTCTCGGATATCTCGTCGACCATGACCTTCACTGAGTTGATCAGATCCATCGACACCTTGCAGTGATACTGTCGCGTCTCTGCGATCTTGTTGATCAGGTAGCTCTTACCCGAGCCGCGACTGCCAAGGATGATGCCATATCGACGGATGGGGGCCTGGCGAGCACACACGGCCGTTAGTCGCCCTGCACCGACTTGGTTCCAAAGCTCATCGACCGAATGGTAGCGGGATTGCTCTTGTGACCAACCTTGCACAAAACCTCCTCGATGTCTTTCGTGACGTGCTCATGGTAGAACGACTGTCCAGGGCCCTTCTTTTCTCCGTTAGGGGCCAGCTCCACATCAGTCGTGGTTTCGTCGAGGGTGGTGATGATCTTGTCAAGACGGCGATTGTTCAGACGGGCTTTGTAGGCCGAGAGCCCGCGGCCCACCAGCTCCGGAAAGAAGAGCATGACGAGGAATCCTGCGATCGTCGGCATGGCAGTCAGCGCCCTAGACTGCCACTATCACTGGCTTCTCGTTCAGTCCGCGTGCATCCCGATGCCGGCGGCCAGGTTTGGCACAGCTCCAAACTCTACCTGCTCCCGTCGCCACGATGGTGTACTGCGTCAGCCTCGTCAGGATGTCGGTTGTGGTCGATTGTGCATGCTGGGACGCAGTCTCGGTCGATCCTGATGAGCAAAGCCGAGATTAGCCATGGTGTCCAGGGAGTGGTCACACTTCATGGACTGTTAGCCAGCGAGAGCCGGAGGCGGGAGGGATGCCTACCAGGGGCCGTTGAGAGCAGACGGCGATGGAGCACGGAAGGGTTTCTGACATGAGGGGCCAGACGAGAGGCCGCCGAGGCAAGCCTCCAGCGGCCGTGCAGGAGGGCAGGGCGGATCAGAAGCGACATGCTGGTGGATGGCGAGACAGAGACTCGATCGAGATGCGGCCGAGCGGGGCACCCAGGAGCAGCACGACGGAGGACCGGCAAGATGGAGGACGAGGGACTTGACCGATCGGCGCCGTCCCAGGCCGCGGCAATCCACGCGCCGTCGTCGCAGCCCCGGCTTCTGACTCTGACTCTGACTCTGACTCTGTCGCTCCCGCCGCTGGGTCGGCACCATCGCTGCTATTGCTGATATTGTTACCGCTGTCGTTACCGCTGTCGTCACCGCTGTCGTCACCGCTGCCATTGCCAGCCCGGCATAGATCTTCGCCACTGCTGCTGATACCAACGCCCCTCGCTGCTGCTTCTGCCACACCGCTGCCTCGTGCTGCATTCGCTCTTCCGCAAGCCCGGTTGCTTCCATGGAGGGCTTCAAAGAACGGTGAGCCCTGTGATCGAATCGCCGTCTCCAACGACGGGACCCAGAGGGTTGTGCAGCGCAACCGAGCCCGGCTAATAACCGGGCTTTTTCTTCTTCAAGTTTGGCGCTATTCGAGCGGCTCATTACGCCGTATCGACCCGAGCTGAGCGCCGAGGAGTTTCGCCAAGAATGCTTCAACGGCATCCCAGATAAGCCTGTGTTGCGCTCAAAGAGCTGGAAGGCAAGTTGTGCATCGCTGTGCAGTGTCGTTGCGTTAGTGCGGCAATCCCGGCTTGGCATATCGCTTCGGTGTGGCCGGACATGACAGGGTGCTGCATCGACAGACGCCGTCCGCATCCACAGCGCACTCATCGCTGCCTCTCTGGCTGGGCCACATCCGGCCCCGGTTTCCAGATTCTCCTCAACTATTTGCCCTATGACGAGCGGGCCCGCTGGGGAGAGATCTTGTTTCAGAAGCGATCGCTCTACTATTCCTTCCTGCGAGAGCTCATCACCGACCCTGCCGCTGATGAATCCATTGCGGCTCTAGTGTCCAAAGCCGATGACCATGTAATGTCTTGGCCAGCACCCTCTATTGCCTAACCCGCCTGGCTCGCCAGACCCCTGCCTCGACCGCATCCCGTCGCTACTCGACTCTTATTGCCAGTCCCCATCTCTCTAGCCCCTCAACAACGCACTTGACTCTCGCTGGAAGACGTATTTCCAAGACAATGTTATGCTTGAGCAAATCGACAAGGACGTTCGACGGACTCTGCCCGACCTCGCGTTCTTCCAACAGCCCGTCCCAGCCAGTCTCTTCTCGCCCCTGTCTCCCAACTATGGTGGCAGCATCATCGACCCGAGCGATCTTTTCTGGATCAGCTGCAGCGCATCCATGTCTCTTGATGCTCTTCCTCCTGTCCCTGCGATCGATAATCGGCGGTGTCTGTTCAAGCGACTCGGTCACTGCTATGCTGACGACGAATTTGGATCCCGGTCGCATGCCCGCCAAACCACCCCCCTTCAAGACGCACCGCGCGGTAATGCCTTGTCGTTGGCTGCAGCTTCGCTTCTCGCTCATGCAGCCGCCGTGCGCCGGACATGGCGAAACTCCGGTGCCCATAATTCATGCTTGTCCAACAACGCAATAGATCCTTCGTCCGAGATGATCGGGGACCCTCTCCAGTCTCAGACGCATCTGCAAGACCCCGATGCGGACCTGCACTGGGAAGCGAACGAGCGGATCCTGTTCATCTACGCCAAGCTCAACCCCGGGGTTGGATACATCCAGGGCATGAACGAGCTTCTGGCCCCGATATACTATGTCATGGCCCACGATTCAGAAGAATCCAGAGGTTGGTCATCCTACGCAGTTACCTCGCCGTGAGTCTGCACCGACGAACCGCTGCGCAAAGGCGTGCCGCGGCAAACAGATTGCATCGCTGGGCCATTTTTGCTCAGCTGGCATACTGGAGCCATGGTCGTGTGTTGGTTCGGGACACAGTCACGTTCGAATGCAAAGAGAGCCGCAGTGTGCCGATTCTCGGCATCAAGATCAAATCCGGCCTCTGACCAAGTCCGACGAACTGCACTACCAAGCTCATCCTTCCTGCATCTGCCTTGTTTATCACACACATCCTTGCGCGGACCTCGCTCGAATCTGTTCACCCCAGCCCATGCCGAAGCGGACTCCTTCTTCCTATTCACGGCGCTGATGTCCGAGTTTCGCGACCACTTCATTCGCTCCCTCGATAACGTTCAAGAGAGCATGTCTCCATCCAGCGCATCACCCTCCTCCAAGCGGGCATCCATCAGCGAAGTGTCGATGGAGCAGGCTTCGGGCAATGGAATCGGGAACAGCATGTCGCGATTGATGCGTCGGCTACGCAAGAGGGACCCTGTGCTGCACAAAGATTTTGTAAGTCGGATGTCGGGTATTTTAATGCCGACTCATGGTTGCACATCTCTGACATGGCTGGCCTCCCGGCAGCTTTGTACGGATAGCCACTGGGACAAGCCTGGGTATCGTAGCGCCCAGGCTCCCTTGCCGCATGCAGCCAGGCTTCGTCACTGCCCTAAACATTCGAAGATCGCCGGTGGCTACCGAAAGTTCTGCATTTGAGGTACTCGCTTCTCGATGGCCACGTGCACTGACAGCTGTCGGTATCGCCACACCCAAATAGGAGCGCAAGAACATCCACCCAGCCTTCTTCGCTTTCCGATGGCTCACGGTCCTCCTCACACAAGAGTTCCCGCTCCCGGATACATTGAGGATCTGGGACTCTATCCTGGCAGACCTCGCCCTGGACCTCGCCGAGAAAACCAGCACGCCTACCAAGTCGCTGGCTGATCTGAGCGACGAGTACGAGATTGTCCGTGTAGGCCCCAACTTGATTCGGGAGGGGCGGTTTGACTTTTTGATCGACTTTTGCTGTGCTATGCTCATGTAAGTTGAACATCGCACGCGAATCAAATGCACTATTGGATTGATGTGGCCGTGGTTGGTTTCGACAATGCGTGCCCGCTGCAGACTTGCCTTGACGAATGCCTGCCGCTTATGTTCGGCCTTGCCTCGATGTAGCTGTATACGCGATGATCTCCTGTCCAACGGATTTGCAGAAAACATCAAGCTGCTGCAGGTAGTGAATGGTGCCTCTGTAATCGACTTGTCTCTGCCCACTGCTCTGCTCCATATCCGTGGTGTGGGAGAACTAGATCCAGCTTTTCGGAATTTGACATCGTGTCTACCATCGTTTGCAGCACTACCCTGTCGTCGATATCAACGTCATCCTCAACAAAGTCAACGAGTTTCGAGAGAACGAGTGGCTGGTCTACCAAAAATCGCAGGAGCTGGCTTCCGTCATCTCCACTCCAACAAAGGTGCAGGACTCGCCCACCAAGAGCAGATCGCCCACAAAACCTGATTCAGCCCAGCCCGACATCGCGCCTCCCCTTTCTGGCACAGCAGCGTCTCGCAGTAGGAGCGGAATCAATTGGTCTGCTGTCCTCGCTCGCCATGACAACATCAAGTTTGCGCCACCATCAGCCACAGCAGCCGCTCCGGGTGAGATTCGGTCGACAGCCAGCCTGGAATCCAAAGACACAGTGCCCGCTCCACCTGGAGTCCCGACCACCAATTTCGGCCAGACAGGCCCCGAGAGCTCGTCTACTGTCCTCCAGGGTGTGAAAAAGTCGCTTCATGGTGGCTGGAACAGCCTCTTTGCCGCTGGCAAGCCTGTCGCATCGGCGACATCCCAAGAAACACCCCAAGGCGACTCCCAGGAATCCGTGGTGAGTGGTCAGCCTAACATTACGGTACACTGCAGTCGTCAGAGTACTCGCCAACCAAGGCACCCGGTCGGCACTGATTGATTTCTCTTCTGCAGTCAACTCAACAACAGCTCGCCAAAGGATTCGCCGTTTTTACCAAGGGCATTGTCGCTGGATCGGCTGTTGTAAGCCAGGCCATGGGCCGACTCAGTACCGTGGTCGCAGATGCTTTAGAGCCTCCGACTTTCCCGGAAGAAGGCGGCCCGCTGGATGAAGCACTGTCGTCGAAACCACCAAACCCCGATGGTGCCGAGACCGTGTTTGATGCCGATCACGCCATGAATGAGGCTGTCCATTCCGCTGCTGTTCCTGATGCTCAGCCCATTGCTGAGATGCAAAGCTAGTTCTGTGTCTCGTTCCAGCGATTGCTGCATGGTAACCCCACAAACACAATATATCTTATGGCCGGGCTCAGCCGGATCCTCGAATCCCTCCACGGCAGTATCGAGACCAGTTGTCACAGGAACTCGATGGCAGCTTTGAGGCACAGACGCTTTCCACGGTCTGGGAAGCTATCTGAAGACTGGGGTTTGTGGGTATCTTCTCGGTTGGCGGCAATGCTCAGTCTCGGATCATGGACGAGGCGCATCTCGAATGCCAACCAGTGCCCAGGGATGTGCTTGAGTCCATACACAGCTACTGAGCGCACTCTGCTCCTGGTTGACTGCCAGTGACGAGGCAAATCCACACTCGGGCATCGGGCGATGCGAGATACCCGGTTGTCCGCTTGATCGTCGCGCCCGGTCCGCTCCCCAGGGGTGCTCGAGTCTGGGTTGGGCCGACGATTTTTTTTTTCCGTCCGTCTGTCCTTCGGGGCTGCTGCCTCCAGCCACTTCGCCATCATCTTGCTCCACATCCCACCACCCACCTGCTGCTGATTCGCTCGGCTTCTTCAAGGCCTTGCTCCACGTCGTCTCAGCCACACGACCTCCATCATCGTCCACAGGCATCCCGAGCTCTCCGATTGATCTAATCCCCGGAGCGGAGGCAAAGCCCCTATTGCACCCCTCGCAAACAATCCTGGTGCATCCTTACCCCATGACCGCAGAGAAGTCTGCCGTAAGCGCTGCCGGCGGCACCACCAAGGGCGACGAGAAGCGAATCCGCAAGAAGCGCTCGCGAGCCAAGAAAGTCAAGCCCACCTTCAAGTCCAAGATCGTTGTCCGTCGACTTCCGCCCAATCTCCCGGAGGAGGTCTTCCAGCAGACCATCTCCAAGTGGATCGATGGCGTCGACTTTTCTGTCTATTATCCTGGGAAGCTCTCGACCAGGTTCGTCCTCGACAAAACAAATACTCATATTATAGATCCGTATGGCCAGCGGGGGGGGGCGATATCCGGCGCCGTTTGCACAAACAGCTGCTCGGCGGAGGCTGGCTATCTGCATCTCGATCGATTGCTCACGGCTATCATCGCAATCACTCCTTTCCTGTGAACCCACCTTTCCCTCTCCCCTTGCGAATTGTGGGCTGTGTCCTCCCCCATCAAGCAAAGCCAAGGAGAACCTCTTTTCGCGCAGCTATCTCAACTTTACCACCCAGGAGGCCCTGATCGAGTTTTCCCGAGAATACAGCGGCCATCTCTTTGTCGATGGGCGGGGTGAGTTCTCAAGTCCGCGATTCAATATTTTTTTTTTCGTTGGAGTTTGGCCGTCGCTTTGCTCGCATGAGCTTTCTTCATTCGCTTTTATCGACGAGAGTGCTTCTGGGGCTTTCGACGAATGCAGACTCGAAGGGCTTGGGGCGACGACTCGGCTCGGGCATCACTGGCATCCCCGAGCCTCCTCTTCCGCCACGTCCTCGAGTTGCGGCAGGAGGATTGCTGGAGGGAACTGGGGTCTTTGCACTTTTCGACGTCCAAGAGCCAACGAGGGCTGTCTCCTGTTTCCAGCTTGGCTCGGGCATCTGCTACTGCCGTACGCCGACGCCGCTCTCTGTTGATGGTGGGATCTTGGTTGCCCGCAACCATGCCATGCCATGCCATGCCATGCCATGCCGTCCCTGCTTGCTAATCCTCAGTCGTCCAGGCAATGAGTATCGTGCTCTTGTCGAATTTGCTCCGTTCCAAAAGGTGACTCGCAGAAAGAAGAAGCCGGATCCCCGATGCGGCACCATCGAAGAGGGTGAGTGTTCGTGGCATCAGCCTGCCTTCTAGGTCATCGACACGCATCCAAACCCCAGTCGCTGGGATTTCTAGCGACCCGCGCACGCAGGGCCAAGGCGATCGACATCAAATTGCAATCGTACTGTCCGCCGGTAGTTGGCTGTGGCTACTGCTTGCCAGGGACATATGCTTCCCAAGCCTTGCGAATATGGCAACTGGGCACGCCGCTAATGCCAAGCGCACCCGCCTCACGTTCGGTATTTGTAGACCCCGACTATATCGCCTTCCTCGAGTCGCTCAAAGAAGATTCGAACGCCAAGCAACTGGCGAGTGACATGTCGGGCGAAACACAGCTCGAGAGGCTCGAAAAGAAGTTGCTGTCGATGCAGGTGTCGGCTTCGGGCCCGGCCGGTGGTGCTGGTGCCGGAGCCCCAGCTGCGCCGGAGCCCCCTAAAAGTACTCCCCTCCTGGATGACTTGCGAGCCAAGAAAGCTGCACTCCGCACCGTTGACCACACCCGAAAGATCACTCTGCTGAAGCGCCAAGAGTCCAAGGGCAGCAAGACCGACAAGGCCAAGGCTAAGGAGGCGCCTGCAGCTCCAAAGATCAAAAGTGTCGTCAAAACCACCAACGAGACGAGTGGCCCCGAGAAGCTCAAGATTGAGATCACAAAGAATATTTTTGCCAAAGCCGTTGATAGCATCGTTCCAAGCGATGAACGAAGCCCCAAGACGCCCAACGAAGAGTCTGCCAAGAAGAAGAAGAGTCGTAGCGGTAAGAACAAGAGGGATGCGCCAGATAACATCAACACCGGCGATCCCTCCGTCTCGGCCTCAACGATTCAATCGTCGCCCAACACTCCGGCTCCCTCAACGCCCTCGATTCGTACGGAGCCCAGTGTGGCCTCGCTCAAATCGCTTCGGGCTAAGGACTCGGAGGACAACCTCAGGTCGACGGCCAACGGCGATGCCTCCGAGCCCACCACGGCCTCGAAGCCATCGAGCCGCAGTTCTCGTCGGCAAAAGAAGGGCGAAAAACAGGCCGAGGCTGCAGCTATTGCTGCTGCTACCGCCGCCGCCGCCGCCGCTGCTGCTGCTGCTGCTGCTGCTGCATCCCAAGCTCGTGTCTCCGAAGTGGGCAACGGTGCCGACGCAGTGGCCCAGCCAAATGATCAGCGACCGCCTCAGAAAGGAGCCAAGGATAAGCGCCCCAAGGGTAAAAAGGAGCGCCAACAACAGCCGCCGCCTTCACAGCAGCCCCAACCTCAGCCTCAGCCACAGCAGCAGAACGGCGAGGCGCTCGCAGATAAGCTCAAGGGCCTTGGACCCAAGGTCGTTCTCATGAAACGGGACGGAACCACAAGCTCCTTCAGCGTTGGACAGGATTAGCATTCTCGATTCGGATTGTGGGGCACTTTTTATCGCTTACCAGGGGAGAATCGGCCAAGGGTCTCGATTCCGCACCAGGCAACCGCCGCAGACTTGCTTGATGGGCCTCAGTATCAAGCGCTACGACCATCGGCCTGGCGGGATTGATGCCCTCTCCTCCGGCCTCCTCCCGCATGTATTTGAGCCGCGCGGGCGAGGAGTTGGACATATGCAGCCATATCTGCGCACGCATTGCGCGCCAGCGATCGATCGCACGGCTCGAGGCGCCGGTTCAAGAGGCACAGAGATCTAGCAGAGGCTCGATGCACAATGGAGTCGAATGTCAGCACTGTGCATATCCGCGACAGCGCGGCCATTATCTCAATAACAGCCTCTCGATACTTTTCGATAGTTGCATCGAGTCTGGGCACAGGACTCGGATCACGGCCGTGCATGGGCGGCCTGTACACTCCATCGCAAGACGAATCGCCGAAGGCGGGTTGGTGGTGCAGATGGCATTACTGCTGGGTTCACAAACGCAGGGGTTTGGTGATGTCGCTCACGATCCAGTATCATCCCTCGATCCGGGCTCTAGTTCCATCCAGTCCATCGGATACTATGGCTGATGAGCTTGTCGTGCTCTTCATCCCACGAGCAGACCACATAGGTTTTCTTCACAACGGTGCCGAGCCGACCAAAGGTGATGCAGTCCATCGCCGAAAATAACTTGTCGCGAGGTACCACAAGTACGATGAAGCTTGAGTGGAACCGCAGAGGATCGCCTATGGTTCGTGAGGGCAAGAGGAGGTTGGTGCTCCGAGCGAACGAGACCATCTTGTCGGCAAGACAGGAGTGGCACTAACCTTGGTACATGAGGTAGTCTCCGCCGAACTTGGAGCCAGAGGTGATGAAGTAACCCTGATCCCATAGTGCACCATACACCTTGAGTTTCAGCGACTCTGCTGCAGTACTTGGCCACACCCACAGACCACTGGCTCTGGCCTTCTCTGGCGACTGGGCTTGTGGCTCTCCTCGGGGCAGCCCGTACCAGGGCAGCCCTGTGGAGGTGGTTCTGATGATGATAGGGAACTTTGGTGTTGGAATGTCTGCGGGGTGGATCGGCGGTGCAGTATCTGGGGCACTGGTAGGTGCTCCTGCAGCCTTGGAGGCCGACGGATGCAAGGCGATTTCTTTGCTCAGCAATCGGCGTTGTGCGTCGACCTTTTTCTTTTCGTGCTCGTAGTTCTGTATCGCCTCGGCTTCCTGGCGGTCGTGCTGCTGTTTTTCGTCCTCGGAGGGTGGTCGATGCAGCGATGCGCCATCCGTCAGCAAGGCCAGCCCTGACATTGTAAAGACAGACCGCTGTAAGAATCTCGATCATATTCAGCACAAGGCAGCTGTTGGGATATCTTGGCACGACAGTGATGCCGATGTGGGTGAGCAGACAAAGCAAACCTTTCGAAAGCAGCAGCGAGACTTCCTCAGGCATCAACAGCAATGGCAGCGAGAAAAAGTCGTTTTGCATTGGCTGGCGTGGCAGGGTGCCGAGCAGGGCACCAACAATTCGGTATCTGGATCGCATCTCCATGATGTCTTTGCAAGGAGCGTACGTCAGGATTGACATTCAGGCGAGACAGGGGTGTCATTGGCAGAGCGAGGCTTTGCAGATCTCGACGATTTCAGGCACGATCATGCCGGCCAGAACGATGTCCGTGAGGAAGCCCATGAGGATGCTAGTGTTTGAACCAGCCATCGTTCCTTCGTACCTGTCGGGTTCCAGACGAACGCCTGCCCTCCGGAGACTTGGATGCTGAAGACCATTGGAGGCGAAGCGACAGTCGTCCTGGTTGATGGCGGTTCGGTTGGATGAGGGACACTTGGTCGGACGTTCAGCCTATTTTGAATCGAAGGCTGCCGGAAAGCTGACAAAATAAAGCCCAGCCGCGACCCCAGCAACAGCAGCGAGATCAGGAGCAGCAGCAGGATCGACAGCGACAGCAAGATCGACAGCGAGATCAGGGCCAGGCCGACGACACGCGGCCACAGCCGGGGCCTGGTCTTCCATGTGGGGCGACCGGAGCATACCCGCCCATGTCTGTTCTTCTGAACACCTTCAGCGTGATGAAAACCAATGGAGCACACTACTTCTTTCGGGCCGGCGATCCGCCAGGGAGACAATGCTGGTTCCGTGAACATTCCTACCAGACTTTCGATGGTGCCAATCAGGTCGAGGCCATTTGCAGACAACGGGCTGAGGGAATCGCGTGCCCACGCAGCATTCTTCTCGCCAGCAGTACAGGACCTGCAGCAGCTAAACTTGGCCAGATGAGCAGAGCCGGAGCAGCTCGAGACAACCTGCTGTAGAGCTGTACAGAGTGCGGCCTCGAGGGCTGCAGAGCCGCGGCCGGTCGAATCGGCCACTGTCGCAGGGCTGGGCAGAGGGAGACGGCGGCTCAAAAGAACAAACGGTGGTTGTGCCTCGCGGCTCCCACGGTCATTCCTAGACCTCTGAGCAAGTCCCTTTGAGCTCTAGTATCGGTATTATCACCCTCGAGCTGTCGGCACCCTGGCCTGTCTCTTTACCGTCCCCCGTCTCGTCAGCCGCCGGCTATCAGACCAGCCCCGAGTCTCGCACAGCGGCATTCTAGTCACAGCTCAGCCGCCCGACCTAGCGGCAGCGACAACAACAGCAATAGCACCGGCGACAGCGGCCGAAATATCAACAGCAACAGCCGCCCCAACCCGTTTGAACCGATACTGTCATGTCCTTTGAAGAGTTTCGGAGCCGGAAGATCCGCGTCTTCCGCAACGGAGACATTTTCGCACCCGGCAAGAAAGTGGTTATTTCGACCAGGTTCTACCGCAACTTTGAGCAGGTGGGTTTCTCTGGGCTGAAGCACGTCCCATCGCTTTACATCACTCTTCCAGTCCATTACTTATCCACGGAAAGGCAGCACTCCTCGACTGATGCCCATCGCCAAAGTCGAAGCCGGGACTGGACAGCGCTTGCGATCGTTGCATCTGTGCTGACTATGCGTGCTTCACCCTTTGCCTTGGCATGGTCGCCGATGCTGACTTTTGACGACCTGGATGTTGGATGCTATATTCCAGTTTCTTCACGCCTTGTCCAACGAGCTGCTCCTCGTCAATGGCGCTGTTCGGAAGATCTTCACGATGGAGGGACAACCCGTCAGCTCTCTGGACGATGTGCATGAAAACGGCTCATACGTCGCCAGTGGCGGCGAGTCGTTCAAGAACGTCAGCTACCCTGTGCATGACGATGATGGAGCTGCCACCATTCATAGCGTCAAAAAAACAGCCCCGAGGCACCACACACAGTCACAACATCAGCCGGGAGGAGACAAAAGCATCGGAGCGCCGGTTTTATTCGGCCCTGCGGTAAGATGACTCTGGACGCCATGCAACAGATCCAACTTTATCTGGGGATGATATCGACTTGAGCGCGCGAGAGACTATGGATATGCCCACAGACAGATTTATAGACCTCTTGTTCTGCATCAAACCTGTTGGTCTGTGTTAGCGCAAATGACATCCCGGGCCTCATCTGCCCTGGCGCTGCTTCGCGGCTTGACCTTCTGTTTCGCTGCGTTTCCCTCCCGGACACCATGCATGTGCATTTTGTGCTCTGGCTCACTTGCGATTCTGCAGACCAAGGCTTTCAAGATTGTTGCTTTTCCGAACGGAGAGTTTTTGCATCCAGGTTATAATGTGCTGCTGAACTACCGAAACTGCCGAACATATGACCAGGCAAGTGACTGCAGAAAGTCCTTCGCAAGCCGGCCCGTTCTCTTTCGCGCCAAACCGATTGGTCAGATGGTGTCGCAGTCTCCTCCGACAAGCTGTCCCGTGCTAATGAGCTTCGCCATTTGTCGCTGTTTATGTTGCTGCAGCTTATGCTCACACTCAACGACATCGTGCGTCTGAAAAGCAATGTGTTTGTTCAAAAGATCTTCGATGCCGAAACAGGAGTGCGCATTCGGTCGCTGGATAAGCTCCACGACGGACAAAACATTGTTGTGGCTTCCCACGAGAAGCTAAAGAAAGGATCGTATCGCCTGAGAAAAGCCGATAGCACCGAGCCCAAAGCCGCCGAAAAGAAGGCCGACGAGGAGGTACGAGCCGCAATTGAGGAGCCAGTTCTTGCTCATTGACGTGCCTAGCGCATTTGCTCTCAAGCACTTGAGAAGCTGACTTGCACATGGCTTTGGTTGTCCCAGCCGTATCGTAACATCTCCTGCTATCCAAACGGAGATATATACCACAACGGCTGGACTGTCATCATCCGAAAAAGCCGCTTCCAAACTCTGAAGAAGGTACCCGATTGAAGTCTGCTCCGACTCGCTCTGCAGATATGGCATCGACCGAGCGGACGTGGGGTTTCTTGATTACTACTCTGACAGCGCGATGAATTTGCAATCGCTGCAGCTCATCGATCACCTGAACTCTCAAATCGAGCTTATTAATGGAAGCGTCAAGAGTATATACAGCCTTGAAGGCGCCAAAATCCAGTCGATCGATGAGATTGCACACGGGCACGAGTATGTGCTCGCGGGTGACGACCCCTTTATCAAGGCGGCATACAACTGCAACAGCTACAAACCACACCAGTCTGGCGAGCCGCGGGGATTGGCTGGGGCAACGACCCACAACGACTTTATGGACAAGATTCGAAAGATCCAAAAGTCAAAGGCGAAACCGCCGCACCAGCGCCGGGTCACTGAGGGCGCGGCTGCCGAGCCCCATCCAAGCGAGAATCCAGTTGAGCCGAAGGTCCATTCGGCAAAGCCGGCAAAGAAAGTGGTCCGGGTGTCGTCGAAGATGGAGGTGGTGTCGCCCAAACAGATGCGCAAATCCCAAGGTAATGCGGTTCCCGGTTGCGAGGTTGCGTTGGTTTGGCTGCGAGGTTTGGCTGCGAGGTCGCTTGGTTGGCAGAATCCCAATTCGTCGCTCGTCACCGGGGCCTCGCTGATGCTCATGCCCGACCTTCCAGGCACAGTCTCAAATGGATCCAAGTCCCAGGTGGCTGCCGTTGTCGACGAAGACGTCACGCTGAAATCGAGCCAGGTGGCAGGCAGCGACTCCAATGCCGTCTACGAATCCGAGCATGTTTCCAAGTTTGTGGCCAAGAACAAGTCAGACGATGGCGGTCCTGGGCCAGTCAAGAAAACAAAGTCGGCCGTCAGCGTAAAAACAGAGTCGCTATCCTACGAGAGCCTGCCCCCACTGCCGGCTACGGCAGGATCGTTAAATGGACCTGCGACAGCGAGCCTGTAGTCGGCCTGTCGCCTGTCCGCTATCGCACTTTGCATCTTCACGGCGCAGGTGCAGCACGCCCGCAGCAGCTGGCCTCCGCATGGGGGACTCGGCGATGCAGTGGGCGATGGCTGTCTGGCAGCATCATGCAGCCGCTAAAGCAATATAAATTATACTGGCACTTCGCATCCGAGCCTGTCGAGCGGCTGTCGAAGTCGGTTGTGTCGGATCGCATTCGCAGAGAGGGCTTCGCGCCGCCTCTGGCCGCCGACTGGCCAAAGCCTGCTCGTTGCTTGGCCGTGGCACCTGGCTCCCATCAGCGCCAGCGGTCCCCACCGAAACAGACATGAGCCGACCGTCGAGGAACCGCAAAGAAGTCTCCTACGTCTTCAACATCCCCCTCGACTTTGACGACGACGACGATGCCGGTAGCAACGCAGTACCACCTGCTTTGCTCTCCGTTGACCGACGATGGATGGCGGGGGTCTGACGGCCTGCGATTTCGTCTTCTCCATGCCAGCATACTGCCAGGTCAAAGCCAAGCCAAAGAAGCAACCGGCCCCGCCAAAGCCATCTGCTGAAAAGGATGATGCGGCAGAGGGTGCGTCCTCACCGGTCAAGCGCAAGCGGGTGGTTCATGACATCGTCGGTAAGCGACCCGCCGATGCAGCTCCTCCAATCTGCTCGGTTCTTTGGCGTGGGCCGCATTCGGTTGCCCAAGCAGGCTCTCACCAGCATGGCATACTACATCGATAAACGTCTCTATAGATTCAGATGAGGATGAAGTCCAACCTGTGAAGTCGCCCAAGCTTGAGCCGCTAACAGATGAGAAAAGGTGGGAAGGATGGCCCAACCACAATGCGCAGATTGCCATTCTTGTGAGGGCCCAAGCGTTGCAGACGAGCGCTGCGTGGGCCGTAGTGTTTGACCGCAAGCCATATTGATTGCAGCGCATCAAGCAAAGCACAACGGAAGAGTCTGCAGGTAAGAGCCAGCACCATTGCGATGTCTCATGGATCGGCCGGCCTTCGTTGCCTGCTCTCGGTTTCTGCACCGACGGCCACTCCGGGTGCAAGCCGTCGGTGCACCTTGCGACAGTCGCTGCTCGGCTCGGACACCCCTGACAGATCTACGACCATAGGAACGGAGGGAAGAGGCCGAGTTGCAGAAGGCGCTCGATCTATCGCTACATGATGCACACGACAACGCAAAGCCGACTGGGCGCCGGAGCTCGCTATCGCAAGATACCGACTTGAGCGATCTATCGCCTGTGGGCTCGAGCGATCCAGAAGATGAGCTGGAGCTCGATGCTGCTTCGACCAAGAAGAACAAGGCCAAGCCAAAGGACCGACGGAAGCCCAGTCTGCCCAGCGACGCCAAGCAGCACGGAAAGGCCGTTATTTCGTCCCCAGAGATCCTCATCGACATTGACGGTCCAGCTATCGAGCGGGGTATGTGGAAAGTTGGCGCTATGGGTTGCTTGGATGGATCTGTGCAGTGTGTTTGGGTTGGAGCATGCTGTGAGTCGGATCTCACCTTGCGCGCAACTGTCCGTCCTCCAGCCCCCAAAGATTCCGTCGAGGCCTTACCCTCTTCGAAGGATAAGCCTAAGCGGGACAAGCCAGCCAAGGGATTGAAGGATAAAGCGGCAGCTGCCGCGGAGGACCCTCCATCCACATCCAAGGGCGATCCTGAACCTGAGCCCGCTCCAGCGCCGCCGGTGCCGAAAAAGCCAGCCTCCAAAAAAGCGAATCCTGCTCCAAAGCCAATCTCGGACGGCTCCGCAACTGCGAGCGCTCCGTCTGCGACGCTGGCGGTCCCAGCCGCCACGGCCTCACCAGCAAAGCAAAGAGAAGCCCCGATGTCGCCGTCGTCCGGTCGGCTGGGGTCGATCGGACTGACGGCAAGCCCAATCAACTCGGTTTCCATCCGAGTTGGCTTGAGTCGCTTTTCCAGGACAAAGTCGCTGCACGGATATCTGAAATGAGATGGCAAGATCGCCGGTAGGAATCCTGCCGATTCCTGGCTTTGATGTTTGTTCTTCAGGGCGCCGCTTGATGCGCTGCATTTTCTGCCACCATGCTCGCCCGTCTCACCCTGGCGGCTCTGGATATTGGGTTCCCATGGGTACAGACCGCGGCGGGTGAAAGCGAGCTCGATACGGGCCTGATCTGGGCGGGCATGATGGCCGCAGACAGGGGGCAAGGAAAAGGCGCACTTTCAGGAGAAGGGGCCCAAAGTGTCTCTTGGACATCAACGCCCCCTCCCCTCCTCTCCCTCTCTCCTTCTGCTGCTGTAATAAGATAAGCCAACTTGGTATTCTGTCCACCGCATTGGTGCTTGCCCTTGCCTAAATCTGCGTCCCAAGCCAGTTCTCGCCCGCAACCCGCACCCCAGCCTGCACCATGCTGTTCGGCTCCACCCCGGCACGGCATTCCCACAGCCGCGCAAGAACCCGGACGCGCACCCAAACCAGCACCATCGTCAGTCAGCATCCCGATGCCGTTCTGACGGTAGGCCCGGCGCATTTCGGGCCGCCAGAGCATGGTGCTGGTGCTAGTGTATTCGACAGTATCGGCTTGCTTCAGCGTGTCGCTGACAGCTGCTGCCCGGACACGGCAATATCCGGACTGCGTGTCTAACATTCTCCCCCGAACCCTGACTCAACCGCAGCCTCTGCAGAAGCATGTTGCTTCGTTCCTGGACGACCAGGGATACGCTCACGATATTCCAGAATATGCTGCCGCTCTCCACGAACCTCAGCCCAACAGGGAGCTGTGGAGCCAGACCATCAAGTCGGGTGGGTGTTCCTTGGCTTGCTCCCAATGCGAACTGAGATCGCGTGTCGTCAACCCTGCCGCAGCGAATGTCGGCGATATTGACATTGATGTTCGCGAAGGAATCCCCAAGTACTACCTCGCACAACACCCGCGTGCTGGCTGCGTCATTATTGCAGTGGTTAAACGAATATGTGGCCATATGCTCTGGATCGGGCGAGTGAGGACAAAGTTTGTGAGTAAGACTACCACGATTTCGCTTGCTGGCGTATCGAGCTTATTAGAATGTGGCTGAAACGTGGAATGCGATCTAATCATCAATGCTCTTGTGTGACAGGCGGACAGAGTTTTATGTATCGATACTCGCAACGAATCGCCGTCGCTCGACGAACTCTCGGCGACAGCCTTGGTGTCGCTGTTCTGGCAGCGCTATCTCGCCAGTATTCACGGCCGATTCGGCCTCATTGTCTCCGATGCCAAGCTCGACTCCACAGACTTTTTAGAAGTCATGGTCCCAAACTGGGTGGAGTTGGAAAAGTATCTTGAGGATTCGGAGCTCTACCCACATGTATGGCCGGCTGTTCACGACAAATGCCCCCGTTTCCGGTGAAGGATGCTAACAGCACCACCCAACGCCAACCTCACAGACTCCCTCCAGCATCCATGTTGAATGTGTCGTTCCTGGATATGATGCAGGTATACCCTCACTGCAGTTCGCGCGGAAATCCCTCCAGGCGATTTCCTGGCTGGAATCGATCGGCACATGTGCTGAAACAATTCCACTGAATCGCCGCCGTCGAGCAGAAACACACGAGGCACTACTTCTCAAGTTCTTGGGCAGAAGAGTTGACCCTACCAAACGCGATTGTCGGCAGCACGAATCGAACTTCATGATCAAAATAGGTTCGCTGCTCAGGGTGCCATCGGGTGGTGGAGACGCAATTGAGTTTGAAGCTAACCGTGAATGTGCGACCGGCTGGCAGGTGTTGTTCCTCCCAAAATCGATCACACGGGAGTGGTAAGTGTACCATGTATGCTGCACTTTCGGGGCCAACAGCTGCCTGATAGCGGGTCACATACCACACAGAAACGAACCAAGACACTTGCATCCGCAGAGCACGGTGAAGCCAAGAGCGACGCACTTCAACGCACACGCATCCGCATTTTCAAAGAGTTTGTAGCTACTGAAGAAAGCTACTTGAGGAGTATCAACATTCTCCAGACCGTGGGTATCGAATTCAAACGACATTTCCTCATTACAATCACTCGATAAAGAATGCCTGAACTGATGCAGAGCGACACCTCCAGTACTTCCAGACTCCGCTACTGAAGCTTCAGCAGATCCCCGACAGCATCAAGAGGCTCTGCTTCATTGATCTCTCAGGGCTTATCGAGCTCCACACGGACTTTGTGAAAGCATTGCAGGGACTCAAAGAAGAAGATCAGTCCAGTTTATGTGTCTTGTTTGATGACTATGTAGGTGCATGACACTGCTGAGTGAGCGTGATGACCGCTGGAGAAGCCTCCCGTGCGACTGGTTCTCATGTATAGAGACAAGCGTTCGCACACGCTGCACACTGCCAAGCTTACTGATTTAAACCATAGGCGAGCCGAATACAGAGTGTTTACTCCAAGACCCTCGATGATTATCAAACGACATCCATACCTTGTGAGACCCTCAAGCGTTTGGAAACATCGTCGTTTCTTGATGTATGTGTTCCGTCACCGATGCGAACCGCACCCGGATGATGCGACACTCGGTTCGTCCACTGACGCCCCCGTTTCCTCTCTATCTTAGAGCTGTGCTGAAACCGTGAGGCGGGAACTGAATCAAGACGTCAACTTTTTCAACTTGCGCGCTGAAATAATGCAGCGACTCCCGCGCTACGTGATGCTGTTTGACCGCATGAGGGACAAGACTTGCATCGACGACGTCAGCTATCAGGCGCTTTGTCGCACCTGCCAAGTCGCCGACAAGATTGCAAGCGCAGTACTGGAAGAAAAGTCAAAGAACATGATAGAATTAGACTCGTTATCCTTCCTCAACAACTTGAGCGTGTATCTCGGCTCGAAGGTGGGCACCATTGATTGTAGATTGGTTTCAGCGTCGCGCGTTAGTCGAGCTCGGCCAACTGACCCTGCCAAACCTTGCTCGACTGACCTGCCGGGCCATGAATGGCGTCGATGCATTTCTAGTTCATTGTCAAAAACGGCAGAGACTTCATTATGGAGGTCGAAGCTGTTCGAAAGTATCCGGCATTGGAAGCCAAACATCAGGGTGCTCATCCCGCAAGCTCGACACAGATCATTCTGCTGTTTACGGACTGTATCTACATTCTGAGCTATGACAGCACCGCAAGAAAATACACCGTCGACGGCGGTATCATAGACCTGGAGCAAACCGACATCCTCGATGACAGAGGCATCGGTGCGTTGCTCTTGTGGATTTACGACGGGCCGCATTGGTATCCACCGGCTCCTGCGCAACCTAGCTCAAACTACGATTTACATGCTTCCGTCAGATTTCCACATTATTACCTCGGATATCTCGCAAAAGACCGCGGCGCGACATATCGTTCACAGCTTCGCATGTGAGCAAAAAGCCGAGCTCTTGAAGCAGATTCAGCACTGCAAGACTTTGCTGAAGATGAGAAGTGCGTCGAAAGGTATCCTGAATCAGCCGAGGCATCTAAAGAGCCTTCCTGACGCGCGATTTGCGGCAGAGACTCTCCGTCGCCGAGAGAATCATCGTCGCCATACTGATTCATCTGTCGCTGCTTTGGACACGCAGAGCGAGTCAAACGGGTTTACATGGATCAGCGCCCAGACACGACCATCTACTACCATGTTGTATCCGATGTCTCGCCGGACACTGAGGCAAGGGCATATCAAAGCATCTCCTCCCTGCAACGGCGCTGCTCCCGCCATCGCGAACTTGCACATCGGAAAGGGGCTGCATTTGGCTGAACCAAGCTCCAAACATTTCTTGACTAGAGTGATCTCGGCCTACTAATATGCACCGACACCCATTCCACGAGCGTCCAGTCAGAGATCAAATGGCCGTTTTGTAAGTGTTGGCAGTGGAGTTGATATACATTGGCTCGCACTGAGAGCCATTGGGATCGACATCGCTGATAGTATTGGGTATGCATTTGAAATGATACAGCCATCATGGGAGTTGTCGCCTGTGAAATGGAAGGGGAGATCACTTGCCTCGCCGTGAGGACAAGACGGCCTTGCGCATCGCACAGTGATCTATCCGAGCACGAACCCGACAAGCCGAGGACTAATTTTGAAACCCGATCGATGTTGCAAGAAAAGCGTAAGTGTCCTTGGGGGTGGGTACAATAGCTGCTTTCTGATTTCTCGCTTGCCTGGCAAAGATTACCCAGACACAGTCCTTGACATTTAGCCATTTGTGTGTCTTTCCTAGTGTCAATTGGCCATGATATTATTGCTGCTCAGCCCGACTCTGCCTGGAGAGTCCGCTTAGCGGAAATTCGGCTCAAATACGTTGTTGAGACATACGGCTTCAAGGCTATGCCTCGAATCAAAGAGCGAGGTGAAGGGCTCAAATCAAGGCTGAGTATTTTTAGCGTAAGTTGCGCATATATCCTGATACCTTGCTGATCACAAATACGCGGGCGAAGCTGGCATGGGGAGTCATTCTTACAGCCGCGGTGCTCTCCAACAGAGTTCTCAGATGAGTGTGTCAAGGTCAAAATTAGGCGGAAAGGTGTCTGGAAGTATGTTGCAAGTGGCCCCGGGTGTTTCCCGCGCGCCGAGTCTTTTCAGACGCAGCAAACACGGAGGCGACTTCAGTCGGGGCAGCCAGTTGAGCATCACCGTATCGCAAACCATCCACAAGGTTTTTGGAAGCATGTTCCGTCTGGATTCAAATGGTAATGGCTATTCAACGTCGCCCTTGAGCTCACTCGGCGTACCCTCATCAGGCTCACTGATTTCGTATCGAACGACAGAATGGCAGTCCCCTAAGAGTCTCAAGACTCTCTGCGATGAGCTCGAAAGAAGAGGTACTTCCCCTCGACTCCTCCGCATGGCTGGCGCGAGGCAAATGAGCCCGGTTCAGTAACAGCGACTAACCGTCTCGTGTACACGTCTCATAACCAGCCGAGGCGGATGTGATTTACAGCAATCCCGAGGTCATCTGGCCGCCATGCACATCACGATTCAAGACGTACTTTGCCTCCTTTACAAGTACGTGGTCGCCGGGAGTGCGGGCGATTCATGAAGGGTGCACGAGAGCTGCACATCTGGCACTGCCGTACTGATACTCCTGAGCGCCATCGACATCCCACAGATGCGACTGCACAGTTCAACAAAGCAAACATGGCCGACCTTCCACACGAAGTCATCATAGACATCATCAAGATGTACATATGCATGACAAACACTTTGGTCGCGGACCAGATGTGGCTGCTGGAGAAGGCATCTCCTTACGGTACGTTGTACTGGCCGCATGTTACTGCTCATCGGTAGGAGATAGGAGATAGAGCAAAGGGGACGACTCTGCTCGACATCTATGATCGAATATGGAAGCCTTCAGCTCGGGCAAACACATGTGCAGCAGCGAGATAGCCTTGCTGGACACCGGTTGTGTATGTGTATGCACATTGCTAACCACACATTTTAAACACCCGACCCATCGCACGATTGCGGGACTGCATCGCACGGATATTTACAGTGGGCTCTCCTATGGAGGAAATCAATGCCATTATCTCGCGCCTGGACCGAAGTCGAGCCGTTCGACTAGAGTATTTTGTGCGGCACTTGCTGTGGTAAGTCATGTGGACCGCTGCTGCGATTTTGCCATATGATCTTGGCGCTGATGCACACTCGGCATGCTTACTGGTGCCCTTTGGCTATCCAGGGCCAAGAAACACTCGCATGGAGCGACATACAGCAACGCGATAAGGATCTATGGACATCTTCTCGATAGCCCGCCAGAGCGCCATTTATCGACCGATAGCGAAAGCCGCCAGAATCGACAGCGAGCCAACGACCTCCTTGAGCTCATAGTGGACAATCTCGATGTCGAAAGATTCTCTGATGGAATTTCACGCAGCTCGTCGAGTATGCTTTCTCAGACGCAGAGCGTTTCGATATATGATGTGTCAAAGATGTTGCATCGCTGATATCTCCGCTGCTTGACAGGATCGTCTATTTCGACTGTTTCATCGTCGCTCTATCGCGGCAACGGTGCAAACAGGCTCACTTCGGACCACCACCAGTATTCCATGCCAATCGATTGCGAAACAAGCTCAATATCATCCAAAATTGGCCTGCTGCATGAACGTGCGCACGTCAATGCAGGGGGCGAAAGAGCTTCGTATGAGCATTCATCACTACCACCGCATCCGGGGAACTCGAAGCCGTCATGGCGCATTCACCAAGACACACACATGGTACAGCCGAGCGAAACCACGGTTTTGGATCGATTATTCCTCACAAACCACCCGGCAGTATGAGAGTGAGGGAGTTTTCTAATCGCAATGTGCTCGTGCTCATCCGTGTGAACCAGGGCGTTGAGACCCCCAGTTCGAAACTGCAAGAAGCCTGCGCACAACTTAGCGCTGTTTTGGGTGCCATAGACACGCACTCATTGCGGTCGAAGCACGAGGTCCTGAAACTCAGAAGTGATATTCAGAGCATTGCTGTCAACATTCAGGAAGACTATCATTATTGGCTGAAAGTGGCATCATCGACTTATCTGCCGTGCTCCACCACCAACAGCAGCGTTACGTCAACCTGTGGTATGAGCACTTTGCCTTGACCGCGCGAAATATGGCCAAGGTTGTGGACCTGTGTGCTAACTTGCCCGCCCGTATGCTGCTGTGAAGGCCTGGGAGAGTATCTGAATTCTCATAGCAAAAGCGAAGTTCGTGCGCAAGACGACTTGAGGCATTGCCTGCCCAGGCCGTGTGCGCAACCCGTCTCTGCAACAGTGCGCTCGGAATTGCCGGTCAAAACAGAAAGGGCACTTTGTACCCAAGCCAGTGACGCCACCGTGCTGGAGTCGGCCATCAATGAGCTATGCAGCCCCGAGGAGCAACGAGCAGGTGAGATGACTGTCTGAATGCTCGAAAACGATTCCGCTGCGTCATTTGATTGGCTCTGATCCTATGCCGTCACTTTGTTGAAGGGACGTGGCCCTCTCGCCCAATGCTGCAAGAGGAAGCCCTGCACAAGATCAGCAAGATGAACGAGCGTCTCGTTGATTACATGGCTGGGCTTGATTCGCTCTCAACCACGATCTCTAGCGATGTGCTTGACTGCGTCAGACATGTTGCCCTCCAGTTCCAGGTGAGCAAGCCGGGGCGATCGAAAATACCGATGCTGATACCGCCAAACCCGAGTGGATAGTGCGGGTTGCTGACAACATGGGTGAACAGGATCAACTCGGTGGACAGAACGAGCGCGATTATCTCCAAGAGGAAAACAAGTCATTACAGATGGTGAGGATCCATCACCCCCATCACTTCCATCACTCCCATCGCATCCACGATACTGCTCGGCACCGTGACCGAGTTCGCAGCATCGAGATAATATGCAGCCTGAGGTTACTGCGGATGCCGTGTCATGCGTGGTTGGCCTCTGCAAAGGCCGCTCACACGACGCTGTACTCCTTCGCTCATTTGTCTGTCGGTTGAATCCCAGCAAATCCAAGCACTCACTCAAGAACGCGACTCACTTGAAACGAGTGCCAGGCAAAGCCTCGTGCTCTCATCGGATGTGGAGGAGTTGAAGAGACAGCTGCAGGAGGCAATCACTTGCAGGAACGAAGCCGAACGCAAGCACCGCGCGCTCGAGGCCGAACACAGAAAGACACAAAGTGTACTCGATATGTTCAGATCGATGATGGATAAGCCCGATTTATAGGCAATCCAATAAAAAACGGGACACCCGGGTTTTTGACCATTCATCGAATATTTTGTTACCCAATGTTATCGCGCGCTGGCCATGACCATTCGCCGCTGGCACTCCGAGACCAGTGTGCAGGTCGATTGTGGAGACCGGAGAGCGACCGGTGGTCTTCACTCGGAGGCTGCCAAAGTGATCTGTTTTATTTCTTGTGGCTTTGCTTGACGCGAGCACAGCACATACTACATGTTCATGGAAACGGCTATATTGTCCCGTTTTTTTCTGAATAAAGTGTATAGGGGGTTGTTGTTGCGAGTTCTCAGCGAGGCTCTGAATACCCAAGATTGATCACCATGTAGTCGACGTGCGCCGAAGAGCACACGCACTGGGCTATCTTCCTCCCGAAGTGGCGATGGGTTCGGATACTGGAGAATCTTCAACCGACGCAGACTTGACGCACTTACCCACTTTCCATGACTTATGAGAGATGGTTGATCATCGACGGCGACGGAGAGACATTTATGTATTCAGAAATAAAGTAGCGCGGACCATGGGTCACGTAAAAGCAGTGTGGACCGCTTTTCGCGAGGGAGCCGTGACGGTCCGTATGGGGGGGGGCTCGCAAGATTGATGGTACTGGGGGGGGGTCGCAATTCTAATTCTCAGAGGCAAGACTGCACAAACGATCAACGGCGGCCGGAGTGGGCAAAGATATCAAGCTCGGGATACTCTTGCGGTCTCTCCGGAATAAGGGGCTTCACGGGAGCTGGAAGGTAGCCAAAGCGATAGAGGTACGTGAGGCATTTGATGAAAGTGATCTCAGCGGAGGGACCCGGGATCGGGAAGATCGAGCGAGTGTTGGTGTTGTCGACCTTGAAGGACATATCCATCATCGTGTTGAGCAGCGGGGTCATTCCCTTGGATTCTGGCGAAGGGTTGGCCTCGAGGCGGCCCTTGAACATCTCGCGGGTATCAAACCGAACCACCCAGCCCTTGGCGTTGAGGATTTCGAACAGCCTCTTCTCAGTCATGATACTGGACGAGGAGAGTGGATCAACATGGTGTGAGGCGCGAAGCGCGACGGTCAAGATGTCATCAGTGTGAATATGCGTGGCCACTCAGTTCCAGACCCGAGTGCATTTGGTCCACTCAGCCGCCCGTCTGCCTCGCAGGCTCACCTGTTTTCCGAGTCGCTGATGTGGAACACAAACTTGGAGATTGATTCATCCGAAGCCACAATCTCCGCGATGACTCTGGCCACATAGTCGACAGGATCAATCGGTATCATAACGGGAGAGGCATATGCCGGTGCAATTCCAAAATGCATGCATCCCTTGATGTATCGCCAGAAAAAGTCGTCGGTGTTGCACACTGGCAGAGGTGCGGTGTGGATTTAGTGTCGATGCAGCGGGGATTGAGAATACATGGGGGGGGGAATTGGACGATCGATAGATCGTCAATGGGTGAGTGTGCTCGGATGGATACGGATAAGGATGTCGCTGTCGCACCGCAATACAACGGGCCCATCCTACAGCCCCAGCAATCGTCAACCATCGACCTTGTCGCCGCGTCATCAAGTGACTCACCTCCATAGACAGTGTCGCCAGCAACCATCGATGGTCGGATGATTGTCGCCGGAACACCTCTCGATCGGGCATTGTAGATCAGCTGCTCAGCGACCCATTTGGTCTGCGCATAGCCGCTAGAAACGCTCCATGTCGGGTACATCCTTTCCTTGAGGGGCTCGGTGGCAGTTCTGGTCATCGGAATCACGCTAATGGTCGATATGAAGTGGAGAGGCTTCAGGTGGTGGGTTGTGGCCAGACGCAAAGCAGTCATTGTACCGAGGACATTGGGTTCCTTGAGCTTATCGTAGCTGTGGTTCCAATGGACCTGTGCGCCACAGTGCACAATCATGTCGGTTTCCTCGCACACCCGCTTCCACATTCCAGGCGAGAGCCCCCAGTTCTCCTTGCTCAGGTCGCCAGGAAGTCCCTCGAGCCGGGCGCTGATGTAGTACTTGGGATTGCCCTTCTGTCTGGCTGCCAAGATGAGGCGATATGCGCTCTCGAGAACTCGGCCGGCAGCGTCGAGCGGATGCGTCTCTCGGACGAGGCAGTAGATCCTGGCGTGGGGGAACTTTTCGGCAAGCTCGTAGACCAGGAACACACCAAGGAATCCTGTGGCGCCGGTGATGACGATGCCTCGAGGGTCCTTGGGATACACGAACGGAGGAAAGCCCTCGGCCGTCACGCTCGGATCGTCCAGACTCGCGACTTCTTGGTTGAAGTCGGTGGCGGGGGGCATCAGTGGCTGCTTCTCGTAGATGTCGGTGATCAGCTGGGCGATATCAAGCGGTGTTACGCCATTGGAGAGCAGAATCGCCGGCGAGAGTTGCACGTCAAACTCGTCCTTGAGGGCCATTGAAAAGCGAGCGGCGCTCATCGAATCAAAGCTGGCGCCGGCAATGTGGTAGTTGCGGCCACCGAGCATACTAGCTCCAAGGATATGGCTTCCGATGACTGCGACCTTGCTGGCGATGCGGGTGAGGGCCGATTGGTGGGTGATGATCTCGGGATAGACGACGCACCTGCCGTACATGTCGGCGTTCTCGGCCATGCGTTTGATTGTCTTGCGATCGCGTTTGCCGGTATCGGTCATAGGAATGAAGTCCATGATGAAGCAGTTGTGGATCGGGAATCTGGGGGCATTCATGGTAATGAAGAGCTCTTGGGTCATGAGAAGAGTGTCGATTGGGACAGGTCGCGGAGGATTCTTGTGTCTGGGGGTGTACATCATGATGATCCGCTTCTCGTACGTCTGGACAAACATGCATTCCGCAAAGTTATTTGGAAAGCGCTCGAGCACGAGTTTCTCGAGATAGTTCAGGTCGACATAGACGCCGTTGACCTTGATCTTTTGGTCATATCTGGCGGGTGAAGGGGGTGAGTGGCGGTTGTTGGGCGCAGAGCGTGAGAATCAGAAAGGCAGCGCGACCCCATAAAAGTCCGGCGCAACATCGCGGACGACTCGCCAGCCACCCATTCCCCATACGGGTGGCACCAGGACAGAGGGCATCAAAGCGTGCCCCTGTTCACATTCCAGGCCGACTTGCCAGCTCCGCACGTGTGCGGATACACTCACCTGCCGATGACGACAAACTCCTTATCGCTCTTCATCTCGACCCAGTCCATGGTGCAGACACGAGGCGAGCCATCGGACAGGAAGCCGAACGGGGCCAGCTTGTTATTCGGGTCGGAATTGATAAAGTCAGGGTGGTACCTGGCTGGATGGTGCTTGTCGGCGGCAAAGACAAGAATACCCTCATCGGACTTGCGTCGGTCAACGATATTGCCCTCTTCATCAAGGAGCAGGCATCGGATGCCAGGTTTGGTGACTTTGTAGATCAGCTTGGCCGGAGTAACGGGGTCATCAGCCGGGAGGCGAAAGTACGCCGCGGCTCCGATCAGGGCCATCTGTTGGGCAATACAAGCGCAGACTCATCAGCCAAATCCAGATCTTAGAGTGCGCATCGCGAGCAATCCCGTGCGCCAAACATACCTCACAGGAGGAGTAGATCGACTGGACCTCGGCGTTGGGGCAGAGCTTCTTGGCCTGGAAAATGACGGTTGGCGGAACCATCTCCAAGCCCAAAGAGGCTCTCCTGACATTCTTCCACCGGACAGCGGCGTTTTGGGAGACAGCGACACCCATCATCATCCTCATGAAAGCAGGTGGCTGATGGAGCAATAACGAGCGGCCGGGAGTCAGTTGTAAGTGGTTACATTAGCAGCACTCCCCTTGCCTCCTTACCGCCGGTAGTCTGATCCGTCTATATCGCTGTTCTTACCATGAAAGTAAACTGGAGGCCATCGTTCAACATACTGATGACGCTCTGCGCCTTATGGACTGGGTTCGGGGTTGGTGTTGGGAACCACAGAGATCCCCTGAGGTTCAAGCCGGCCAGGGCGTACCACAGAGTAGCCGCACAGGAAGGTGGCTGCACAATCATGGCAGATTAGCGCCGGTCAGGTATATCCAAATCAATGTGCATAGGAGAGAGGGAGAGCCGAGCGACTCGTACCTGGGTCAGGCCAACGCGGCTGTAAACGCTCATGATAGAGTCTCTGTCGGAGATGCAGTTGGTATGCGAGAACTTGAATCTAAAGCCGCCACACGACGTATCAGTATCGAGTTGGACGTAAGATAGGGCGTAGACGGGGTGCTTATTGATCCACTTACGACTCGGGAACGCCTGTCGAGTCCAGCGTTGTTATTATTGGCGGCAGAGTGAGTGGGTTTGTTGGCTCGTTGGCTCGTTGGCTGGCAGGCAGTGTCCACTCTCGTTGCTCCGAGACCAGGCGATGTGACCAACAAACCTGCTTGTCCGGAGGTGCAGATGTAGGCAACGAACTCGTCCAGGGGCCCACAGACCTCAAGGGACGGCGGAGGGATGGTATCCGATAGCAGAAGGGTAGCGCCATCGAGGAGCACAACGCCCTCGGTTCGTCCTGGCTTGGTGTGGTGGTAGAGGAGATACTTGACGCCATGCCTGCGGCGATCGGGTGTCAGCCCACCGAGGATGTGGACGGAGGGTCTGGGATTGTCCCTCACAGCTGCGTATCTGCCATGTGTGCACTCGGCCATCCAAACGAGACATACCTCGTAGCAAGCTCCTTTCGAACCGCTGGGGGAAGGTTCAGCGCAAAGTTGAGTGTTTTCCTGATGGAGACGAGCGAGTAAGCAGGCACGGCGATGAGCTGTTGAATTGGGCGCTGGCCGAGAGGTCGAACGGTCCACAGATCTCCTCCGTCTGACATCCTTTCGTCTCACATTCTTTGCCTATCATGGTGCCCCAAGGTCTCCCGAGCTGCTCGAGCTGAAAGATCGACAGATTCCCTCCCCCACCAGCAGGAGACACCGAGGGAGACAGACCGAGGCCAGAATCGATATCGCAGCGAGACCAGCGCTCGGGCACTCGATACGCCTGGCCTGGCACTGCTGCGGTCTGCAGAGAGCCACACTTACTTGCCGAGCATCCACAAAGCAAGCGAAAAGAAGAGCCAGTGGGCTTCCGTTTCGCAGAAGATGCCAACGACCTCGTGGTCGTCATCGTGCCAGCCAGGGAGCGTCTTGAGGCCTTCGCTGATCGAGTAGGCCCTCTGCCACACTTGGAGATAGCTGTAGCGTACCGAATCGCCGCTCTCGTAGGTGTTGATGCAGAGAGCATCGGGTTCGGTGCGGGCCATCTTGATGACGCACTCGACAGGGTGGGCCCACGGGTCATACGGATTGATGGAGGCAGGGAGGGAGGACTCGTTCCTGGGCGTGGTCGCCTCTCTGCGGGCCTCCGCTAGCCGAGCCTTGATGGCCACGACGTCGGGGGCATCGCCAAAGTTCTTCCACGGCGGGAAGTAGCGAAAGAGCGGTTTGAGGGACATCGCAGCGGCTTGGGAGAAGGAGCGTGCTGCCCGAGCAGCCGAGGGCCTCTAAATAGGGCCGCAACCGGCCCCGTCCTTGGCCTCGAGCGTGTTCCCCTTCCTCCTTCTCGTGAGCCTGGCCATGGGCCTCTCCGTGTGCCACAGGCCTTCGCTGTCAAGGCCGCGACCCACACAGACACTGCGGCACCCCTTGCTGCTGCTGGCCCTCGTGTCACCCGCAATGTGCTCTGGCGCGCACCAAAGCGGCCACCTGAGTAACCTGGACGCGCTGTATTCAAAGCTGCTGGCGGCCCACAGCCAGAGGAGGACGGGCCCAGACAGGAGACGCGAGGGGAAGGGAGCGACGAGAGGCCGGTGAAGGACGGAGAAGATGGGGACGGAGCTTTGGTGGCGGAATAGGGGCGGGGAGACGATCCACGATATTGTACGGACAGCGGGGTTCCGTTTGTTGCCGACTGAGGGGCTATCTCGCACAGGCCACGAGCCACAAGCCACGCAGCAGAGCGAGCGAGCGCACGCGGCCAGGGTGTTGGAGGGGGGGGAGTATTGGGCTACCGGCAGTTTGAGGATACCAATGAGGTACAGCTGAGGGGAAGACGGGCGAGGGATTGACTACACGGTCGATCAGGAGGCCTGGCCGATCTCGCGATCCAGGGGAACTCTAGAGCAACAAACACACAAAAAAATAAAGACAAGGACAGCGAATGATGGACGTTGGCGAGAGGGGAGCGACGGACGTTGGCGAGAGGGAGCGGGCACAAAGAGACTCAAATGAGAGGAGGAGCAGGCTCGCAGAGACAGGGAGACCTGGAGACTGCCGGATGCTGGGCCATATGGCAGCAGAATTGCCAGTGTCCGGCATCCGCGCGGCGAAACATGGTCAACGCGGTAAAGGTGCCAAGTCACGGCAGAAGGTTGGATGATATGAGGCTCTCTGACGACCAACCCGCTGATAGAATGGGGTTGTCGATGGGTCTGTCAGTGGGAATGGGAAGGTCGTGGGTGCTCCGATGGGATCTTGTCCGCCAAACAAGTGACGAGATCCGCGGCCTTTGGTCGTATTTCGGGTTGGACATAGTGAGATTTGGTGAGTACCCAGCGACGGCAGCAGCAACAACAGCAACAACAGCGACGACAGCAGCAACAACAGCAACAACAGCGACGACAGCGACTGCCATGCTCCCAATGCCCCCAGGCACGGCTTGGAGGAGCGCGCTACCCCAGTAGAGACTTACCATGGGCCGCCTCTGGCACATCTAGGCAACGGAGGGACTCAGCTTGTCGCACTCGACAATGCTGTGTCCAAAGTGGCCACAAATGTTGCAGTACTGCGATCGGGCCAGATCCGCTATCGACGAGGACTCCTGCTCTATCTGGACGACGCTCTCGGCGTCGCTCAAGGCATCTGCATTGTCGTCATTATCCGCGGACTCGGAGGTGATGCCACGCAGTCGCTCGAGCTCCCGGTTCAGCTGCTTGACGCTTGCCCGGGCTTCGGCGAGCTGTTCTTGCAGATCGCTCTCGTTGATGATGCGGATGTTCAGGCTGCCTTCGAGCTCCGAGATGGTTTCTTCCTTGGCGGCCAGTTGCAGCTCCAGGATCTCGATTGTGTTGAGTCGGCCGGTGAGATGCTGGATGTTTTGCTCCATGGCGGTGACCTTGTCCTGCGAGCGATATTGTCGCGACAGAGCCAAGCGGATTGGAACGAGTCCCATGAGTCTCTAGCGCAGACTGGCCTCAGGTGGCAGAGCACTTCCTCCAAAACCACAGTCGGCTGTGTACATACCTGCAGATCCTTGTTGCGCTCTTCGGACTTGGAGAGCTCTTTCTGGACAAGCCGGCCCTTGGCAGACTCGATGGCAGACTCGGCGTCCTTCTGCTTCCACTCCTTGATCTCGATGGTGAGGTGGTTGACTTGCGACTGCAGCTCCTCGACTCGGTGCTGATAGTTGTGGGTCAGCTTGATCTGGGACTCGAGATAGCGCGTTTGGTCGTCATACACTTGAATGCTGTGCTTGAGGGTGGCAATCTGGGCCGTGAGCTCTTGGTTTTCAGCCAGGACCGCTTGGAGCCGCTTTGAGGGATCCTCGGACAAGTCATTGGCCGGCAGGTCGCGGGCAGAAGCCTCGAGCAGGGCAATCTTGGCCTGCTGCTCTTCAATGGTGCGCTCGAGCGATGTGATTTTGGAGACAAGGTCCTCATCAGACGTGGCGGCGCCTCCGGCCTGCAGTTGCTGGGCGAGGGATTTCCACTCTTCCTCGCTTTCCTTGGCGTCCTGCAGGTTGCGGACAGCGACGGCATAGGCCTCCTGGAGGCTGAGCAGCTCGGCAGAGGCATCTTCGCCGTCAGCGTTGGGATGGGGGTGGCTGATGAGCTTTTGGAGCGTTTCTTGGAGCTCGGCAATGGTCTTTTCGTGCTCGTTGATGGTGCTTTGAAGCTGGAAAGTCAGAGCAGTCATGTCGGTGGAGGACTGGGGCTCAGAGAGCTGCTTCTGGAGTTCCTGGACTTCTGCGGCCTTTTCCTTGAGAGCGGTTGTCTTTTGCTCGAGGACGCTCTCGAGCTGGGTGATGATGCCTTCGAGCTGAGTGGCTTCCTGCTGGCGGGAGGTCTCGAGTCGCGAGATTTGGACCTTGAAGGTCGAGACGGTGTGCTCCTTGTCCTTGTGCGCCTCATTCACTTCTTTTCGCAGCTCCTCGATATCGTGGTCCTTCTCCCGGAGGCTCTCCTCAAGGTGCTTGACGATGGGATCGGCTTCGGATTCCTTGCTGAGGAGATCGAGCTGGGCCTCGAGAGATTGGATGCGGTTGTTGAAGTTGCGGGCATCAGCGTCTTTGAGCTCCGAAATATTAAGGATCTCGTCCTCCAGCGCCGTGATGGTCTTGCGAGCCGTGTTGATTTCCTGCAAAAGCTCGGCAGAAACGGCGCTATCCGAGACCACGTTCTGCTTCTGCAGGAAGTTGGTCATGAGCTTTTGGACGGTCGGGGAGACGTCGTCGCCTTGCTGGGCCTGGATCAGGGCACCTTCGAGCTCCTCGATTTCCTCCTTGTAGCGCAGCTCCAGCGACTCGATAAAGATGTCCTTTTCGGAGGCAGCCTCCTTCCACTTGGAGGCATAGTCCTCAAGCTCGATCTTTTGGTTCTCCAGCGCCTGGATCTCGGCCTTGGCCTCGTCAATGATCTCCTGGGCCTCCTTCAGACCCTCGGACAGAGTGATGATCCTGTGGACGACGAGCTCGTGAGTAGACGCAAAGACGGCTTGCTCCTGATCAGCAGCACGCTGGTGCGAGCGATGCAGCTTGCCCTCGTCCAACACTGAGCAGGCTTTGCACAACCAGGCAGAGCAAATACACGTACGACGACTCTGAGCTGCGCAGTCGCTCAAATACTTCGACCAACTCGCGGTGTTTCTGGACGGTCTCTTCTTGCGAGTTCCGCAGGCTGGCCTCCAGCTCGGCAATGACGGCCTGGCTCTCACGCTCGGCAGCCAACAGCGTGGCGGCGTCGTTCATGGAGGCGCTAGAGTGAGATCGCAGGACCTGCACCTCGCTCTCGGCCTCTGAGAGCTTGGAAGTGAGTTCCCGCTCGATTGCGAGTCGCTTTTGCTCGTGTCGGGCAGCCGACTCGGCAAGCTCCTGCTTGATGGCTTCGTAGTGGCCTTGGAGGGCTGCATATTCTTGTCGCAAAGTCTCGAGCTCCAGCTCAGTCTCGGATGGCTCGGCGTTCTCCTGTTAAGATGCGCGGCGCCCAAATCGCAACGCAGCCAGACACGACGCCAAAATTGCACACCGCAGTCCGACAGAGGCGAATGCACAATGCAGTAGATAATATGAGCCCAAGGGACATTAGTCGGTCAGTGGCGCGAGTAGAAAGCAGATATACAGCCGACTCGATGTCACCGCCAGTGCGACGTATCTATGGTCTTACAGGTCCATGGGACGTCCCACACACCTCAGACCACGAAAAGCAGCGAATCTGGCGGCACCGGAACGGTACTCACGTCGATGGATGTCAGAGCGTGAGGGACGAGGTCGACTTTCTTGGTCTTGAACTCGGACACCTTCTTGAAGATGGGGGAGGTCGGCGCCTTTTCCAAAGGCGAGAGGCTCTGGGGATTGGCCGTCTGGGTGGGCGAGCCAGCAGGGCTGGACGCCGAGGATGAAGGTGGGGTAACATGCTCCAAAGACAGGGTGGCAACGGTTGTCTTTGGGGCGGCGACTGCCGCGGGGGCCTCGGCCGGAGGTGCTTTGGCAGAGCCCGTGCGAGTGGCCACGGTTGGCTTTGCGGTTCTGGTTGCCGAGGGCCTGGAGGAGGCAGTCTTGGTGGTTGCCGTGGTTGCCGTGGTTGCCGTGGTTGCCGTGGTTGCCGTGGCTGTCGACTTGGAGGTGGCCGAGGGCCCGGTGCTGGGCGACCGGACCGGGGTCTTTCGGGCGGTGGTCGAAGAGGTAGTGGAAGTGGCGGCGGCAGCTGGCTTTGCCGTCGACGATGTGGTTGAGGTTCTGGAAGCGGGCTTGGCTGCAGTCGACGTTCTTGTGGTCGAGGTGGTTGCTCGGGTGGCTGCAGTTCGCTCGGTCGACAAAGTCGAAGGAGAAGTGGTCGTTCTGGCCAGAGTCGACGGCTTCTTGAGAGGCCGCTGGATCCACCAAGGACAAAGACGAGCCGATGGATGGTCAGCAGAACAGCAGGGCCGAGCGGCTCAGAAGCGATGGATTGGCGATGAAGATGGCCTACGGATCGCCGAGCCACCGACGCAGCAGCGCAGGGCCGCCAGCGCAACATGGCTGGGGAGCGACACCCAGCGCGAGTTGACGGGGAGCATGCGAGTACCTTTTCCGTCGCGACTGAGGACATATCGAGAGACGGGACCGGCGGCGTATGGGGGGGGTGATAGGAAACGGCTTGGGACGACGATGGTCTAACGCAAGCGTCGGAAGGACAAATGCCCAGAGGAGGACGGAGCAGGCGATGGCCAGAAGAAAAACATGCAGCCGCGCAAGACAATAACGCTGGAGGGGAGCGAGAGACAGACGAGATGTGAGCGGGGGACAGCGGTAAGCAGAGCACACACAGCAACAGTCGCCCAGCGAGAGCGCGCCGAGAAGGAGGGCTGGCTATGTTGCATGGCCGAGAATGGTCGGGTGGGCCCCAGGACAACAGGGCTGTGGCACACATCGCAAAGGGCTCGCGCGGGGGCGTCACACCAGCGGGTCCACTGGACAGAAGGGTGGCTGGATGCCTGATGCTTGCAGACTGGAATGACGCTCGCAGACTGGAATGATGCTCGCATGGCCGAGAGCGACAGAGCAATCGGGGCACACCAACTGGGCGCACCAACTGGGCATGCCAGCCGGGCATCCCGTCTCGGCTCTCCCGCTCTCCCATCCAGTCAACCGCATTCAAACATACACTCGCCCGCGTGCTCCATGTTCTGTGGTGCGTCGCGCGTCGCGCTGTCGCACACATGTCGCACAGCCCTGTCGGGTCACCTGTCCGGCCGAGATCAGTGTCACATGGGCTGCATGTGTGTGTACTGCCACTCACGTGCATCGCACGGGTGCTGTGCGACGCTGCGGCCCCGAAAAAAAGCGAAAAACTGGTCATTCGCGGCCAAGATCGTCTCCAGCCATCGCCCGCTCTCCATCTGCCCCCTCCCCGGCTCGATCGCCACCCACTCACACGATGATCATGCGCATCCCAACACGACCGGCCCACATCCGGCTCTTCTCGACTTCGTCGGCGGCTCGGTCGGCGGCTGGATCACGCATTGCTGGCCCAATCGCAACCGAAAGCCACTGGGTTCCTTCCAAGATCGTCGGCAACATGGATCAGGACGGACTCAGCCGCTTCGATCTCGATTTCACCGAAACCTGCGAGTGGACCAAGGAGCTGCTGCTCAAGATGAAGCACGACCACGCGCTGCTAAAGTCCTTCCACAAGGAGTACCGCCCGCGAAACCTCAAGGACGGGCAGGTCGTCTGTGTCGAGACCACCCATCGGTTCACCTACGATTTTTCGAAACCGCAGCCCAAAAACTCGGCCGTCTCGCTCCATGCCCGCGTCAGCGAGCTGGGTCTGTCACCAAAGGAGCACCACAAATTCCTGCTTCTTTCCGGATCAGACTACGATCCCTACACCGACGTCGTCACCCTGACCCGAACCGAGGAAGACTCGGCGTATGTCAGGAAGAACATTATTGCGGCACATGATATCCTGAAGCGGATGATTGAAGAGTCAAAGGTAGCGATCGGCTGTGATGCCAAATGCCCGAGACAGCGGGTGCGGTGCTTGCCCCCGACACGATGGGTCCGAATCTGTCGAATGGGCAACAGCTGCCAAGTCACCATGTGAAGGAGTGTGTGCAGGCGATCTTGCGAACGAGGCCGCGAATACGATCAAAGACGGAAACACAGTGCTGATCTGCTTCCCATTTTTCTTACATCTTTCCAGAATGCCCAGGATACGATGGAGGGAGTTCCGCTTGACTTCCGCCACATCAAGCCGAAGCGAATCGGGCTCGAGTTTCCCAAGGAGTGGCTCAAGCCTGCAAACTCTGAGGCTGCGGCGCCTGCAGAACCCAAGGCGTAGAGCCGATCAGTGGACGATAGCATGTTATGGAAATACACAGACAGTCATCACCAGTCGGCAGCGCATATGTGATGAGTCGGTACTGGGTGTCTTGATTATCGCATGGCGCGCGATCAGCCCCGTCTTTCGCGGATACTGCTCTGACCCGAGCATTGTTGCATCAGGGCAGTTTCCCGCTTCGGAACAGACAATCAGTGTCTCTCACGGCCTCGCATCCTCGTTGCCGATCGGGCCTGCGGAACCTTTCATGTGCTCATGCTGCCGACACTCGCCATGGACATGATGGGCCTTCCCGCGCACTTTCCTCATGCCCAGCGCGCCTGTTCCCGCCCGAGCGCTGGGCCGTCTGTCTGGCAGGTGTAAATCCCGGTCCTTTCCACAGCAATATTGCAGAACAGCTACCCCGCGCTTGCTGCGGACGTTTCGTAGATCAAAGCCCATCGAAGCTGACCTCTCGTTGATCAGAGGTCGTTGAATTTGCTCGTGCGCTCGATTCACACCACCGCCGTCAAGCCATGCACGGCTCCTACCGGAATATCCATCCTGGCGCCATCAACACGAGTTGCTGCGATGACTTACCGGGCCGGAGTGCCGCAGAAGTTGGGCTGGAGCGGCGCTCCTGTGCATCTACTGAGTCCAGCGAGAATGCCAGTCCAAATGCACCCACGGGCCTATGGCTGGCGAGTCGCTTCGGCACCCACCAGCCAATTCTAAGCACCTGCAGCAGCGGAGAATCCTCGTCGGCCACCCAGACCGCCGAGGTTGATCCTATCCTTCCCAAGGGCGGCGGCATGTCTGGTCCGCGGCGTCCGTTGCTCAAGGGCCAGCGTCCTCGGTTTATCAAATTCGGTGCTGTGCGGACTCTCCGGCATCTTGGCCATTTCACGACACAGTCATTGCGGAGCCGCTTCTTTTTCTGCGTGGGCGCATCCTCGTCCTGTCTATTGGTTTTCTCGCTCACCTTCATATTAGCCCTACTCACGATCACACCGCTGGTGTACCTGTCGATTGGCGAATTCAACGACGGAGAAAACGATCTGATTGTCTCGCAGACAGGAGACAATCGCATCAACTACACGCTGCTGTCGTCGCTGCTGCTGCAGTTCGGCAGCGAGTACTCATATTCCACGCCGCGATACCACGACATCCAGTTTCAGGTCTACTACGCCCCATCGTGCGGGCTGCCGTCTCCGCCCAGCGGGCCCTCCAAGCAGTTTTCGCAGTGCGTCTTGGAATCCGACAGCTGCCTTGGGCAGCAATGCACGAGTCCGGTATGGGTCCACTCATTCATCCTGGACTCGGACCGCGAGAAGGACCTTGGGATCGGCCGCACCTGGGCCCTTGGTGCTCTGCAGAAGAACCAGGTCTACATCGGAGCCCGGCTCGCCCAGCGCTACGGTGCATCCGTCGGCGATACGCTCTATGTGGCTCTGGACTACCGCACCCTCTTTCCCGTCCTCATGACCAGGGTTACCAGCCAGCTGCAGCACCCGCTCAATCAGACGGCCCTCGACCAGCTTTCGTCGCGACAAGTTCTGAATGTTCCGTTTGTGATATCTGCCATATACGACGAAGATGCAAGCAGCAAGATTGGCCGCTGGCCGCCAAAGGAATTCATGATGATCATGGAGCTGTCGCCGTTCATGGACTCGATCGTGCCGTATCTGCCGGCAAGTCTTCCCGCAGCGTTCACCCAGCAGTTTCGGCAAGCAGCACTGCTTCGGACCCAGTACGAGCAGATCACCAATGTGATCTTCTCATGCGCAATCCCCCGAGTGAGCTGCTATGAAAGCGCCGACTTTTACAACATCGCCCAGGACCTGGTCTCGTGGGCCTCCAGCTTGAGCTTCATCATCAATGCGACCCTCCAGCTTCAGTACGACTACCAGCTCCACCTGCTTACTCCGCTGCACAACGCATCGATGCTGTCCGGCTATCTGCAGCTGTTCTTCACCTTCATCCTGGTGTTACTTGTGGCTCTGGCCTTCTTCTTGCTCAACACCAACCTGGCATATCAAGTTGAAGCACGCACGTTCCACTCGGCTGTTCTGCGTCTCATGGGCATGGGACGATCGGGGCTGGTGTCGATGACGCTGGTGAGTATGGGCTGTAGTCTGGTAGAGAGTGGTGGTTGCGGCGTTTGAGACAGCGGCTGACGTCTGTGCCTCCTACTCTCTCACTCCGATGTGCCGTCCTGGATCCGCCTTCCCGATTTCTGCCGTTGGCTGCCATCGCCTCAAGACAGGCTCGCTTTCTGCCGCTTTGCCCGGCTGGATTCTCGGGATGCTCGTGTCCCAGGCTGTCTACATGTGTGGCCGTGTGGCCATGAACTCATTCATCGGCATCAATCCCCCAGTTGTCCTGCCGACAGAGTGTATCCTGCTTGGAACATGCGCTGGACTGGTCATGCCTGTGTTGGCTGCTCTCGCGCCAACCGCCCGAGCTTGGAGCCAGACCATCGTCGGAAGTCTATACATCTCACGATTCAGAATCAGCAGCATGTCAAAGCGATCGAGATCAAGCCACGGCCACAGCTCGCTGCTACGCACCAATACCATTCTGGCCACCCTCATCAGCATAACGTGCTTCATGGTCTACATCTACCTCCCAATGTCGTTTGCTCAAAATGACACCAACACAACGACCTTGATCATGTGGGCGCTGATGCTCGCTGTTCTGGCCGGGCTCTTGGCTCTGTCTTTGAACGTCCAGATCGTCTTGGAGTCGCTCATCTTGCACCTCGTCATGCTCTTTGCCTTTGCCGAGACCCGAATCGTGCGACAAATCGCCCAGAAGAACTTGCTGGCGCATCGGTCCGAGCACAGGTCAACCTCCCTCACGCTGTCGTTTGCTCTGAGCTTCATTATCTTTCTCCTCATGAGCTTCCAGGTCCAGATCACCATGATGGAGACCAGGTTTGTCCACATTCACGACCTGCATGTTGAAGCATTGCAGTAGCGCTTGATGGGACGGGTATCATTCCAGCGGATGGCATGGGAGCACGGCGCTGCTGAGGCCAGCGAAACGCCCATATAGTGCTATTGGGAGGCCCCTCTGCTCTCGAACTACCCGGCCTGACTGTCTCTCGAATTGGCCACCCAGTCCTGTCCAGAAATACGGTGCTCCGCTCTCGGTCTTGTTCGATCCGCCTGTCCACCTCGGCGACCTCGAGGCCCTCGACGCCTTCTCCACCAGCAACGGCAAGGCTCTGTTCGAGGTTGCTTACCAAACAGCGCCGCTGGACACTCTCGTTCCCATGACACTGATTCAGAACCCCGGCGGCGTCGTGGCGATGCCGGTGTCCGTTCAAGGCATCTCCGCCGGCTTTCTCACGATCGGAGAGCCGTCTGTGCTCGAGTTTGGCCAAGTTCGTGATGGTCGGTCGGTCGACCAGATTGGAGGCATGCTCGGGTCGTCCGGACTGCCCTTCATGCCGTGCGTTCTGAGCTCATTCCTCAGCGACTCGCTCAGGTGCACGGCCGGCGAAGAGGACCGCCCATGTGCGCTGTTGTCGCTCAACGGAAGCTCGACCAAGATCGCGCTCTCACCAGTGGCCTTTCTAGACAGCGGGTATTGCGGCTCCTTCACAAAGTACCCGACCAGCAACCCAACTTCTGTGTTTGTGTCGATGGCGAGTTTCTTGAATCTCAGCAGAGGCCGAGTTGGATCGCTCGAGCAAATGTCGATCCAAACTGCCCTCATCCGGCCCACCGATCTATCATCATCAACCAGCATCCGTCAATCGCTCTCAAGCTATCTTCCCTCGGGTGGGTCTGGAGCTACGATCGTGGATCTTCAGGACGAAGTGTCGACCTTGGAGACGGCCAAGACCATCCTGGACATCCTATTTTACTCGATCGCCGGCATCGTGGTGTTGATGGCCATGTTCAGCCTCAACACGGCCATGTGGGCCTCGGTCCAGAACCAGTCGAAAGAGATTGCCGTGCTGATGGCCATCGGACTCGGAAAGTGGGCTCTGACCCGGATCTACTTTTACGAAGGGTACACCGTTGTCCTGGCAGCAATCTTTTCGGGAGTAAGCTTCAGTGAGCCTGCATTCCGTCTTCGGGCCCTGCATGATTCGCGATTGCACGCCAATGACCTCGCCAGCCGCTCTTCCTTGGATCGATTGTTCATTCTACTTCTGCCCCCCCCCCAACCCTCTGTTTCGTTTGCTTCTCGTCCTGTCCAGACCGCACTTGGCACATGCGTCGGCTATGGCATCGTCGGGTCGTGGTCGACCATCACCGGGACGCATATCTTGGTTCCATTCCCGTTCTGGATTGTTCTTGTGGCCCTCGGCGTTGCCCTCGTCTTTGTGATGGCATCGATAGCTTCGCCTATCTACCGGATTATCTGGCGGAGCCAGATCGTACACAACCTCCGCTAAGGATACCAGCCCGGCTCGAAGGAAGGCGAGCGACAAGGCGGTGAGATGAGGTGAGGCGAGGTGAGCAAGTGATTGTGGGGGTCGAGCAAATGGCCCAACTTTCTCAGGAGGTTGTGGGATTCTGCAGTTTCAATCGCATTCCCAACGGCTGAAGCCGAAATCTCTCTTTGCGCCTCCATTTACTCCTCCCAGTTACTCTTCCATCAGCACCGAGAATCAGTCAACCAAAGCTATGGGACGCACCATCTCTTTTAGCCACAAATGTTTTGTAGTTGCGGAAAATCGGATACTCGGTTGGGGCGACCAAGTTGCAAAATCCTTTCGTTGGTGTCCGTCCCAGGATATCTCATCGGCCGTCACAACAGTGCGCGCAGTGATCGACAGTAATCAGCACATACACAGCTCCATGCAATCCACAAGTCGTCCACACTGACTTACAGCGTCCACAGAGGCATCGATAGAATGGCAGTGCTATTGAGACTATTGTTCGCATATCCTTTCGATGTTGATCGGGGCCGACCTTTTGGAGCCATTCCATCCCTCGACCCCGACCTAGAAGCGAAAGATCATAGCTGGGTGACACCATGGAATCGAGTAGAATATATATATATGTATATCCTAGGAAGGTCACGCAAGCGTCGAGACAACTCCTGCAGCCGAGCGACTCCACCACCACCCCTCTCCCCCAGTATCAGGCTCGATTGTGGGTCTATCTCATCTAAGAAAGGAGGACAGAAAGAGGCAAGTGACAACGAGCAGCCACCTCAAAGGAGTCGAGACAAATACAGGCTCGCGCGAAGGATCAAGAAGCAAAGACAGAGGAGGCAATGGGGAGCAAGGGGATGGAGGAGGCGGGGTTTATCTGCAGGATGCTCCAGTCGTCAAAACGGATGAATGTAGAGGAGTGGGGCGGGGTGGATGTGGATAGAGACCTTGGACACCGATGCCTCCAAGACCACCCCGAGGCTTGGCATTTGTTGCTTGATTGCGTCAGTGACCCTGCTGACCCTGCACCACGTTCCTGCGGTACTGCTCCGTCACACGCACGAGCATGTTGAGGGTGCCCAGCTGGACATCACACATGTTCTTGAGGAGACCGCACTCGCTTGCGGGAATGCCGTCGTTCTCGTGCAGCTTGAGAATGTCGTTGATGTCACCGGTGATGGAGAGCAGGTTGCTGAGGTTGCGCGAAACATAGTCGTAATGTTGCCGCGGGCTCGTGGTCTCGGTGGGGGACGAGGAGGGCAGGCCGATGGCTCGGATCAGCGGCGTGCTGGCCGGGGCAGCAGCAGTAGTGGTGGTAGCAGAGGCAGAGGCAGAAGCCGAGACACCAGGTGTGACCGAAGCAGCAGTAGAGTGGTAAGCAGATTGGGGCTGGGTTGTGGCAGCGTTCGCTTGCGACATCAGCTTCGGCGTCTCGGCAGCTCGTTCCTCCTCGGTGCCCTGCTCGGTCGAACGCAAAAGCGTCTGGTCCGGTTTAGGGGTGGTTGCAGTGGGCGGCAGGGTAGCCTTGGACTCGACTTGGAACGAGGTCGTCATCGCCGGGGTGGATTGCAAGCCTGACAGGGCAGGCTGGGAGACTGAGCCGTCTCTGCTTGCCACCGTCGCGTCGCTGAGGGTCTGGCCTGACACTACTGAAACGTTCGAAGACGAAACCTCCTCGGTAGAGCCCAAGAACGTTTTGATGAAGCGCGAGTGATGACTGAGAGACGAGGGCAGACTCGGGTGAAGCTGCGCAGAGGGTTGGGTATCCTTCTTGGCCTGAGCGCTCGAGACCGAAGCCTTGTCGCTGCCGCTCGTCTCGGTCGTCTCTCCAATGTTCAACGAGGCAAAGCTGCCAGCCTCGGCCAGGACCGACCCAGAAGCGGCATGGGGCCGCAGGTTGTAACCCAGAGAGGGCGTCATGGCTCGAGGCAGGGCGGCGGCCAAGGCCTGGCGTGACGAAGGCGTTGTGGGACGGCGCACACCCTGCGAGCTCACGGGTCGCGGCGGCAGGCTCTGCATACTGGGTTTGCCGGCCATGTATCCGGAGGTGTCGTTGAGGGGAAGCGCGGCTGATGGAGCGCCTGAGCCTGACGACGCAAAGTTCAGGTATCGCGGCTGGTGGCCGGGCTTGAGGTCCGGACCGGAGAGTAGCGGCGGTCGCGAGAGCGAGTCCTGGGAACTCAGCTCCTGGTGAAGCTGCTTCTCGAACTGCGACACAGCCGAGCCGATGGGCGGACGGGCAGCAGTAGCAGCCGCGCTATCGTACAGCGGCCGCGACGAATCCAGGCCAGCTCCGGTTGCTCGGGGATCGTGCTTGTAGGGTGCACCGGGCCGGCGGCCATAGTCGGGGGTCTCCGGATAGGACTCTGCCACCTTGGTCAGGGAACCCGAGGGCCGGTAGTCGTTGGCGGTTGCTCCCAGCGGCAGCGAGTCGCGGTTGGAGCGGTAGCGGCCGGCATCATCCGGATAGCCATAAGCAGAATACGAGGGCTTGCTGACCCTGCGCTCCGAGTACTGGCTGCTCACCGACCGCGCGTCGTCGCCGTAGGTCGACTTGGGGCTGAGGCCGACAGCGTCACGGCCGATTCCGGCAGGCATGGCCGATGAATAGCTCGAGTATTCGGATCGCACGTCGTCTCTCTCGGAGCGAGCATAGTTGTAGCCAGTTTCGCTGCCGGCATAAGACGAACCAGGGTACCGCGGCTTGTCGTAGTCGCTTCGGCGGTCAAAGGATCGCAGATCGGGCTTCTTGTACCCAAACGAGGAAGCGCCGTTGGTGGCATCGTGACCGATCGAATAGGGTGCAGCCGGACGAAGCGAGTCAGAGCCATAGGCCGCCGGGCCATAGCGCTCGCGCTGCCTCTCTTTCTCCAGCTCGAGGAGGCGAAGACGCTCACGATCCCGCTCTCGTTCTTTGTCGCGCTCGAGTTCTCGGATACGCAGGAGCTCCATGTCTCGCATTCGTTCCAGCTCCAGGTTCTTTTCGCGCTCGAGCTGCAGCTCCCGCTCGATCTGACGCTCGCGGTCGTAAATGGAGGGATGAAGAGAGGCTGGCGCTGGGCTGGATCGGTAGTAGTCGGTCGAGTCGGCAAGGGGACGTCGCTGGTCAAAGTCGAGGCGGGAGGGCACGCCGCCAGGGAGATGGTTGTAGGGGGACTGCGGACGATCGATCGGGTGGAAGTTGGCTGGTCGGTAAGCGCTGCTTCGATCCATAGCGCTGTAGGGACGCTGCGGAAGCGAGCTGGTGTGCAACGAGACGCCTCGTCCTGTTGTTGGTGGACGGATGGATGGGACGGGTGACGAGGGTGAGAAAGCCGGAAGTGTTAGGACGTGAGGCGCCGAGACGGGGATGGGAATGGCTTGCGGGTCTGGCGATCGGGCCAATCGCCAAGGGTTGCCGTCCGACAGAGATCAGTGGCTGGGCCATGTGGAAGGACAGGCAAGCGAAGAGAACAGCAGCCGCAGGAGGGCGGGGAGGCACCGGGCTCGGAGGAGTTCAGGCTTGCGATGCACGAGATTGCGATGGCTATCGGTGCCGGACGACTGTGGGTACCGATTCATCACACCGAAACCTGCAAGAGCGAGGCTGCAGAGCTCGGTTCGCCACTGGGTCGGGCCGTTTCAGCCCCCGTTTCCCGAGCAGAGTAATTCGAGCCACAGCTCGGACGGCAGCGAGCCGACATGTGTACCTACCAGCGTTGTAAGCCATTATCACAAGTAACGGACGATGGTCTTGGTGGCAGACGGGGTGGCTGGTCCATCGACAAGAGAGCGGTCAGAAGCCGGTCAGCTGAAAGTATCGACATCAGCGATGTCACAGGGGCGAGCGTCGTCGATAGCAGCCTCTGTGGGGCATGGGTGACGAGAGAAGTCTCCTGGCAGAGAAAACAGCGAGGATGCCTCGATGGCGTCCAGCGACAAGGGGCAGAAATCGCCCGATAATCGGAGCAACGGGAGACGGCTGGCCGGCCCAGAGACAGCGTGGGTTGCCGAGCAGTCCGCTGTTGAAACCCACCTTGGATTGAGACTGCGGTCGCAAGAAGCGGTGCGATGCTCATACAACGGCAGCGGCTAGATAGACCCAGGCCGTCGGCGGGACAGGACACAGGATGGCAGAGAAGACGACTTGCAGTGAGCCTTGGCGAAGCAGCGATGACGCAGTTCTTGTGGGTGGATGAGACGGGCTTGGGGAAGTGCGGGCCCAAGGAAAGCAGGAGACACGGCGAGAGGCCGATGGTGGACAACGAGGCCGAGGAAGCAGGAGAGCCGGGCTTGGCAGAAGGAGAGGAGCCGGCGGTGCCGAGGATGGCGGTAGAGCAAGACGCAGCAGAAGGCAGCAGAAGGCAGCAGAAGGCAGCAGGATCGGGGCTGCCGGTCCAGAGACAAGATGCGAGCAGGATCGAGGTGCAGCCCGGGCAAGATGCGAATCCAGATGGAGGCCACGATGGTTGGGCACGGCCGGGTTGGCCACGGGCGCCACGTCGCTCGGCGATCTGGCTTGGGCGACTCTGCCGGCCATCAACCGCCATCCATCTGGCCGATCGCCCCTTGGTCCTCCTCGGTCCTGCGTCTCAGCCCCGAGCATATCCGTCTGTCTCGCCCTGTCGCATACCCCTCCATCCCGATTGACGACAGCACAATGGTAACGGCTCCAGCGGCACCCGTCCTTGCTTTAGCTCCTCGCGACTGCCAGAGCTGACTTCCTTGGTTGTCTCGCCTCCCTGAACGGCCAGTCGGCCATCTTCCACTTTGAAAGCCTCCTGCTGGTGATTTTGCTGCTCATCTGCACATGCAGCTACATCAAAGCCCAGTTCCCGTCTATCATGGATCGCAACCGAACAGGGTAACAACGGCCTCCTTGTCCTCGATGAAGATTACTCGCACTCGCATCGCCGGCGCTGTAACCGCAGTGCATGTGTCTCTGGAGGAGCGTGTCTGTTTTGGGTTGTGAGCGGCGGGTTAACAAGTGCCGTTGTTGAGTTGGTGGGATGCTCGGTTGATGGGCCAATGCTGAAGAAGAAGATGTATTCTTTCTTTAGGATACTCGGTCTGTTCTGGAAGCTCGGACGAATCGGTAGGAGAGGGGCTGGGAGGAAGAGGGATGAAATGCTGTAGTGCATTCTGTGGATGAATGGTGCCTTTGCCCCGTGGCTGGTTGTCTAATATGCATCGATTTTGTTGCCAACTCTTGCAGGAGAACGACTGAGCCCATATGTCTGCCTGTGCTGCATCCTGATGGCTGTGCGGAACCTCATTCCTTCATAATAAAAGACAAGCCCTTTATCGATACAATGGGATCCCCCCCCCTTCGGCCATGAGCTCAACGAACCAACGAGCCCAAGAGAGGAGTCGCCGATGCTGAGTTGGGATCTGCACTTGGTATGAAAAGCAAAAGAGAGCGATGCTGTTGGTGAGGACGAGGGATGTCTCCGATATTGACGGATACTCTGGCGATACAAACCGCTGTTGCGTGAGCATAGAGACCGGAGCATAGAGACCGGAGCAGAGTGACCAGAGCAGAGCGACCAGGACGTCGCTTCAATGGTATGTGGTCGATTTCCACTGCGACAATCAACGAGCCATGCCTTGGAGCGTCTCTCAACACCGCCGTGCCTCGGTAGAAGACCCCAAGAATGCGCCGAGATGACACGCAATATATTCAGACTGCAATATATTCAAGCTTCAATATTCAAAGCGGCTGTGGGGCTCTGCTTTCATGGAGAACCAAGAGAGGCTGTGCTCGCTCCCGCTGCTCCAGGGCCTGACAAAGACTAGCCTCAAGCTACTGGGGATGCGCTTGCATAACCCAGTTTCGGAAGCTCAGGTTCTGCGGGTAGTGGACAGTGTCGTCCTCGACGATCTGGAAGCCGAATCGCTTGTAAAAGCGGACGTTGGATTCGCGCTGGGTGGTGAGGACCACACGGGTGTGCTTGTCAACGATGGTATCGAGACACAGCCTGAGCATCTTGGAACCAAGCCCCTGGCCTCGGAGATCGCTGGGAACTGCAACCTGCTCGAACACCCAGGCGTTGGAGAGTCGGTGCTTGATCTGGCTGTCCCAGGCGTCCATGCAGCGGAAGAAGTGGATGATCGAGACCCAGTTAAAGAGGAAGGGCCACATCCAGAGGCCGAGCTTGAGCATGGTCCACAGGGAGGGCTTGCACATGGCCTGGGTATCCGGCGACGAGGCGGCCATATGGCCGTAGATGCGGTCGCCGGACTCGAGGATGAGCTGGTTCGTGGGCTTGCGACGCAGCAGGACGTACGAGGCCGGGAGACTCAGTAGCAAGCGGCGATAGAAGACCCAAGGCACCAGCCTGGGTCGCAGACGAGGGTCTGGGAACATTGCAGTCGAGAAGGACTCGTTGCCAAGGGCTTCGACGATCAGCTCCGAGACCTGTCGCAGAGCCTCCTTTTGGGGCTGGACGTCTTGGGTGCGAACCAAGACATACTCGAGGCTGTCGTCGACGAAGGCCGGGTCTTTCATGAGGACGGAGATGGGTCTTTGGGCAGACGATCGGCGCGATATTGGGACGTCGATCTGCTGGGGCGGCCGATAGGAAGGGGAGACGGAAACATTTGTATGTCGCTCTTGGACCGAGTCCCAGCCAGCATATCAAAACTAATTAACTCGACGACGGCAGTGATTGTCTTGGCATGGTCTGTGGGCTGTGTTGCCAAAGGAGATGCACAAGGAGCGAGTGCTCCACCGCTTCAAGCATCTTGGCAAGCCAGCACACATAATCACACTGGCTTGATGCTGCCCATGGGACCTGTCACCACCCATGACGACAGTAGCTTTGAGACGGCGGCTTGGCGGCATCGCGATCAGATGCAGTGTCCCGAGGTGGCATTGCGGCATTTCGGCAGCACTGGCTCTGCTGGATCGCATCACTGGAGGCTTCTCCCAGGAGGAGCCAGGTGTTCGCATGATGCATTGGAAGAGCCCTGCCAGCGAGCCGGTATCTGGGCAGCGCGAGGCGGATCGGATCTGGGCGGCCATCGGGAGGACACCGGCCCGACAGGCGGGGACGAGAGGAAGGGAAGCGACCGACCCGACCCGAAACGAAACGAACCGATTCTGGCGACGGCCGCCCATGCCGGCTGGTCACGGACGAGCCCAGGAGGCCATCGAGGAATCTGACCAACAGGACAGGCCGCACAAGCCCGCATTGACGAACAGCAGGCGGGGCCAGCACGGGCGAAATGTGCGCCCGAGATGCGGGAATGGAGAGTGCAGTCCGTTTGGATGGGGGCGTGACCGTTGAACAGAGAGTGTGCTCAAAGCCCAAGCGGCCAACGACCCGCCGAGTCGCAGGCAACGGCCGGCGCAAGCAACAGACGATCGAGCAGCGACATCCGCAGAGGAGGGGACGCGCCCGGTCGATAGTGGGGTCCGGAGGGCGACTGGTGCGCAAGAGTGGATATGCGCGGGAGCCGAATTGGAAGGCCGGGCGGCGACGGATCGCAACGGCCCAAGAGCGACTGCGTTTGCGGGGATATCGCGTTTCCAGATATGTATTCAAAGCGATATTACAATTTGAAGTCGTGCTGTTTTATATCCTGTGCGCTGGGCGATTGCGCCCTTTCATATCGCCATGCACCAGCCGGACAACAGGCCCGCCGGGGTTTGGGAAGTGCCCTCTGCCCTCGGTGCGTCGCACCTCTGTCCGGCCTGGCTCCCCGGACCTGCCACCGCCTGCCACAATGGCCCGCAGCTCCCAGACAACATCCGGGGACGATGGCAGTCGTCCGTCCGACGTTCCGCTCGCCACAGGGGTCCGCGACGCTGGACGGCTCGCGTCTGGGTCCCTCTGGCTGGCGGGCGCGTGTCCGGACAGGCTGAGGGGTGCGGCCTCCGCGCCACTGTCCCGGCAGCGCTCACGCGGACGCGCCGCGTGCTGCCGCGCCGCTTCTGGGCCAACACTGACAGCGACGGCGACTGCGCGTGTGCGACCGACGCGCCCGGCACCGCGGCCGATTGGTCTTGCGAGCCAGCGGTCCGCCGCCCAGAGCGCGCCCCCACCTGCGTTGCGTCCCGCGCGCCAGCGGTCCAGTCGCGGCGACACAAACACTGGCGACGTGACGGGCTTGGTTCGAGGGCAGACAGCACAGCGCGGCATGTGCCCGGCCACACACACACACACGCACACATTGCAGTCGATTGCACACGCCGCCGGCTGTTCTCGGTGCCGGGGGGTGAGCCAAGGCAGACAACAGCGAACTGGAACAATAGCGACGGTGAGTGGGCCACCCAGGCAAGCGGGCGACTCTCTCCGGACTTGGGCACTCGAACAGCAGCGAATCCGCCAGGGGCAACAGCGCTGTTGCTGCTGCTGGAAGGGACAGCGCGCCGTGCGGCCTCAGTACCCCCCTCTGGTGCTCGGCCGGACAGGCCCGCGGGCGTGTCCTGGACTCCAGACCTCTCCCCCGATCGGGCGTTGATCTTATAACCCCCACGCATCGCCCTGTCCGTTTCTTGTGCTGTCGTCTGTCCAGAAGGTCGGTTGCCTCGTCCAGCCCGCTTCGTCCTGTCCCGTCTTTGGCCTTGGCCAGCCCGTCTCCCCTCCCATCGCATCCCATCCCTCGATCCCACACATCCCTCGATCCCGTCCCCATCGTATCTCACACCAGTCCGTCGTATCTCACACCATCCGACCCGATCCCGCCGATCGACTCTTTCTCCTTCCGCCGTCTCTCGCAACCGTCTGACTCGCTGTCTGTGCCTCTCCGCAGAGATCCCAAGCTCTCCCCCCCTCATCCACTCCCTGCCCCGCCCGGCTCTCGATTCCCTCAAGGTACAGTCGTCTCCGCTGCATCGCCGACTGTCTCCCATCTGTCTCCCATCGGTTCTGCCTGCTCTCCAACGGCTCGGGCATTCCATGCAAAGCCCTTGCCTCTTGGGAAGTGGAGTGAACGACCATGGCTTTGCCCCAGCAGCCCACTGATATTGTCGCCATTCGCATCACCAACACCCGCTCCCGCTTCGCTCCCTGCAATCCAAACCCTGCTTATCTAACTCTGCCGAATCGCTCTGGAACCTTCCGCCAGTTTCGCCCCCCCCCCAGCTACTCCTCGCGACCTGGATCTGCCAACTGCTCGCTCTCGCCACCCCCATTCATCAGGTACCAGCACATCCAACTGTCCCCTTCTTCCTTCCATACTGCAAATCTCGTCTTTGTTTGGGGTGGGCATGGGATTGCGCCGACAGGCATCTGCGGCTGTTGGCATTGTGCATTTTTCCCAGACCCGACCCCAAATATCCCCAGCCGGTGGTTCAGCCTTTGCCCATCGGCACTGCATCCGCTTCAACACGGCCATCGCTTCAATACGGCCATCGCTGACTCATAACCATCGCTATTCCTGTGTTTGTCCCGCGCCGTCTCTCTCCCTTGCGATATACGGGTTGCCGCTCAAGTCTTCCAGCCGTCGTTGATCGATATGGAGAACCCCACACCGCTTCGCCGGAATAGCGTCGTTACCCAGGGCAGCGCCGCCATGGCCATCAAACAGCGCCGCCTGAACGGCTCGCTCGAGTCGGATGCATCCATGGCCCTGGCCTTGTCCATCGATGGATCTGCCCGCGGCTCCCCTGCTCCAGCCTCGCTGTCGTCGACCGTCCGCCGCTCTCCTTCGGCTGGCTCTGCTGTCCCCATGAAGCACGACACAGCTGGGTCCTCGCCTCGCAGCTCGTCTGAGAGCCCAAAGACCCTGGAGGAGTACCGAGCCCAGATCCAGCGAGAGACCAAAAACACTTCGTCCTTTGTGTCTGTCGGCCATCTGCTCTACAACCTCTACTATCGCGACAAGCGCATGAAGAACCAGCGCGAGTTCCTAGAGTGGACCCGCAATAGCCTGGGCTTCTCAAAATCTACCACCTACGAGTACATCATTTCCTACCGAGTCTATTCCGACATTGATGCCAAGTTACCGCCAACCCATCGCCCCCCGATGTATCAGTCTCATTGCCAGCTTCTGTCCAAGGTGCCCTCAGACAAGGTCGTCGACGTCTGGCTCGATGTCTGTCGCAAGGCCCCCAAGAACAACGTCACCACAGCCTTCCTCGAAAAGTACCTCGATGACCACAATCTGCGGCCCAAGGCCAGCAAGTCTCGACCCTCCAAGCACACAAAGCCGTCCCTGTCGCCAGACTCGCCCACGCCCGAGCCCTCTCATGACGAGTTTGACGATGACTACGACGACGAATCGGACGGCTCTGGTCCCGTTCTCCGCCACCATGCCGCTCGCAAGAACAGCACCGCGTCGTCTCGTAGTCGCCGAACAGCCGAACGGACCCAGAGCTTTAGTACCTTCAGCCGAACAGCGCCAAGTGCTTCCGCTGTCAATGCGGCCTCGCCCTTCAAGCTCGCCCAGACGGCCTCTGCCACGGGCACCCAGCTCTATCCCTCGCCACCACACGATGCCAAGCTCAATACCAACCCCGATTTGATGCCGCTTCCGCCGCCACATCAGATTGGTACCGTGGACATTGCTACCCCCAACAGCGCCAACAAAGTCACCCTCCAGAACGGCTCTGTGTACACCCAGAGTATATTCTCCTCGGGACTGGATCGCATGGCTCAGCCTGGCCTGAGCGAGTATGACAAGGTCGGGCTGGAAAGGACCCACGCCCCCAAGAACGAAAATGGTCTGCCGGTCGAAGGTACGGCTTCGGTGTCTCGCTGGTCGCGGCCGTGGCCCTTCTCATCGGCTCGATGTGTAGCTGCCTCGTTTTTTGTTTTTTACGGTTCGTGCTTTGGAGACTAACTGTGACGGCACTCGCCTCTCTCCTTTGGTTTGCAATGCTGGCTCCACACTATCCCATGTGCATCACAACTTGGGCTCCCTCTGTCCCCGACGTACCTCCAGACTGCACGTGCGTTTGCAGCCACGAGACCGGCGTATCCGAGACCACATTTGAAATGGATCCCCTCTATCGTGTGAGCCACCGCGTTGTCGTAGATGACAGCGGAAGCGGAGGATTCAGTCTGGTCATCCATAGTCACAGCGACATTATTGCCTCGACCGTCAACCCCTGGGAAGGTCGCATGTACGGCAACTTTACGAGTCTGCGCTCGCGAACATCCCGCTCGTACTACCCCAGCTGCATCAAGCCGTCTCCGGATCTTGTCGAGGCGTACTGCCAGCCCGCCGTCCCCGAGAGCTCGGAGCTCAAGATCGAGGACATTCTAACCCATCTGTTCACCCGGTGGTCGCGAAGAGAGTACATCGAGGGCGTCTTTATTGTCCGAGCCGAGATCGGAGCTGCCTGGTTCACACCCATTCTGCTCCACCCACACTGCTTCATCAAAGTCCCCAATCCCACTCTGGCTGAATATGCTCGCGCGGCCCAGCACGGCCATCAACTGCGACACTCTGGCTCATGCCAGACCGCTGCTGCCGGCCAGGAGCTTGGCAAGCGCAAGCGCACCCACACTGATGCAACCGAAGATGGCCTCTATGGCGAGTCGATCGACGATGAGATTTGCGACCAATGTCACAAAGTCGCCTATCGTCCTCATGAAACCCTTGTTGCCTTCTATCTTGGCCAAAACGTTTCGAGATTCTGCCGAGTCTTTGGCGAGATCGGCTTCATTCCGGGCTACAATACCTGGTAAGCAGCCGCTGGTCGTGGTTATGGCCAAATGAGTTGCCAAATGCTCTCGCGCGCTGCATGCGCAATCCAAAGTATTACCGTGCATAGTTGCTGGCCTGAGTGCGGATCGTCGCTACAAAGGCGCCCCAAGGTTGCTCCAAACCTAACCAAGACTATCGTGTCCCCTTATCCCTGCTTCACCTTTCCCGTAGGTCCAACCCTGTCGCAAACAAGATCGATACTGACTTTGGCATCCCTCCAAGCATGCTGTCGACGAGCCTTGGGCTTGACAGCACAGTGTTGGCCTCCTCGAATGACCTGGGATACCGCGCCAACTCGGCTCTCGGTGCTTCGCTGAACGGCCATCCAGGTGCCGGGATGAGCATGTACCAACTTGCGCAGACGCCGACACAGCTGATCCGCACCCAGGTGAACGGCCAAACCTCCCAGCCCACGATGATGTTCACTGGCCACCCAACGATCCACACGCAGATGCCGGCCACGATGCGAGCGATCGGCGGCAACGGGCTGGTGAGCGAGCCCGAGACGATGCTTTTGATGGGTAAGATGCTCGATGTATCTTTGGGAGCGGCGACATTCGCAAGGAAGAAAGCCGCAGTTCGCATGTGACGTCGTGAGGGAGTGTGGTCGATAGTTTAGGATGTCTTCATGCCCACCCCCCCCGCACCGATAGCTAACCGATTTGGCCGTTTGAACAGGACACAACGCCGCCCTTGTCGCCGACTGCCATAGCTACCCCTTCGATGCTTCGGCAGGCCCAAAAATGTATCAGGGGAACGATGAGGCACTCGGCAATCTCATTCGCCAAGCGCCACTAACGGCACCTTCGACGCCAGCACAAGTCGGCCGTGTTTCCAATGGCGGGGGCTTAAAAGGGCCCGTCGGGTCGATGACGCCAATGCAGTCGCTGCAGTCTATGCAATCGATCCAGTCCATTCAATCGATGCAACCGATTGGATTCGTTGATGCCGGAGCTCCGCCGATGGGACTTGTTCGCGACCGCGACGACGCCGCCATAAACAACCAGTTCCAAAAGATGGCGATGGAAAAGTCTGAGAACTGAGTTCCCGAGGAAACTTTGATGCGGCAGCGGCAACTCTCCCACCTCATAAGCGCCCTTGGTCGTGCGGCTCTTTGAACCTCTGTAAGTGCGTTCATCTGTGCCCTGAGCGAAGCCTGCTCTCAAATCCCTGAATGGCCTTTCAGCTCGACCGAGTGAAAACGAACGAGCAACCGTTGATAGTCAATGCCGAACCCTCTTTCCACCCCAGAAGCGGTTCTCTTTGGATATGTTCTATTTTTTCTTCTTCTGTTTTTGTTATACTCAGTATCTTTGCACTTTGCAAATCCTTTGCACCTTCTCCGCAATGTCCGGAGCCGATTCCCCCCCCCAGTCCGATCATGCTATTTATTGTATCAAACTGCTGTGCCCTTTCGTCCTGCTCCTCCTGGCTGTTGGGCAAGACAAGAGCCAGCAAGTCGAGCAATGCTTCCAAACGTTTCTTCTGAGCTTTCTGTGTCCTGCATTCCAACTTTTGGTCCTTTCGTCGCAAATGCGACCGGTCTCCCATCACATTCCTGTCCTTTTGTTATTCCATTCAAATTCTGTATTTCTGAAGTATCCCCCGCCACCCAAATGTGCAAAAACCCAAAGCAAAACAAACCAAGCAACAGCGCAAAGCAAATACAAATGTCTCTCTCCGTCACGGACTATGATGCTTGTCGCCTTTTTTTTTTTCCTTTCGTGAAGCAGATGTCAGGAAGGACATCTGTCGACTTTCAAGTTTCTCATCCGCCTCGCCTTCAGACTGCCACCAAACCCAGCAGCACACAGAGAGCCCGTTCGCGAACAAACGCGCAGCCCCGGACACAGACGCAACCCCGCATTGCCATATTTTGCCAGGCGGGCAGCGGGGTGGGCAACGGGGGTGGACGGCGCTGATGAGAGGCGGCCTCTTTGCGCGGTTGTGGAGGTGGCATGTCGCTTCGGAGGCATCCGGGAATGCAGAGAGCCAGCAAGCGACATGCCATGGGGACGGGAGAGCGGTGATCCCGCTGCGGCGCCATGTGCAAAATTTGCTGTTGCCAGACCGATCAGACAGAGCAGATCCAGAACCCGGCCAGTCAGCAGAAATCAAATAGAGTTTCTGCGTGTGTGTGTGTGTGTGCATTGTGGTGGGTTAATTGTCGTGTGACCGATCTGTTCAGCAGAACGGCGAGTGGGTGGGCGGTTCTCTCGTCATGCCCCCCAGAAGGACGGATGGGTGTGCAAAAGCGAGCATGGCGAGCAAGACGCCGAGGGGTGGCCGAAGAGGGCTGGTGTCATCGAAGGGGCCGACAGAGATCTCCCGATCGGACCGGCGTGCGCGCGTCCCGGTGGGTGGCTTGCTCGTCAACGGCCACGATTGTCTGGACAATGGACCAGCGAGAGCGCAGCGAGAAGGGGGGCGAGAGCCAGAGCGAGAGAACAGGCCATACAGACAACTGTGCAGCACGACTGAGCAAATATCACTGTGTGTGTGTGCACAGAACCCCCCCAGTCATGAGACAAGAGGCTGGACGGGGAAGCAGCGAAATGCGCTTAGAAATGAACAAAGGATGACGCGCTGCGGATCGGCGCGTGTCCAGCTAGGGAACACAGCGACAGCAGTGGGGATAGCGCAGCCGAGCTGTGTCAGCACAAACAATGCGTGGAGCAGCAAGGCAGGGACACAGAGCAGCAGCGGCTCACAGGCACAGTGGCGGCGCCAGCACAGGCCGCCAAGATCTGCACAGACACAGTGGCCGTGGCACCGCGTGGCCTACCCAGCCGAGCAGCGCAGCCGACAAGGCCGGCGCGCCCCGGTCCGCCCATCCCACACAACACCATCGCCGCACCGTCAGCAGCAACCGCCGGTGGCGACGGCTCTGTGTTTGGTGCCTGGCTTTTGGGCTGTGGGCGTCGACAGCGCGCTGGCAGTTTGAATGCCGCACTCTGACTGTCTGCCTGCTGTTTACTGGCCGTTTGCTGGCCATTCGATGCTGTTGGCGGGAACTGCAGCTTCTGTGGAGGCGCTGCACAACTCCACAAGCTGGATTCCGTCACTCCCCGCCCTCGATGCCCACACCCCCGCCTTGCCGACTCCCCGGACTTGCGATTCTCTGCCCTCGTCTGCCTTTGGCTGCATCATCCTGTCTTTCTCTGCACCATCTGCACCATCTGCATCCACCTTCCCTTGGTTTGCTTCTGCCTCTCCCCGCTCTCGCCGGCAGACCTCCCGCTCTTGCGTCGGCTGGAAACTGCCTCGGCCCATCCCTCGAATCACCAACGGTACCCACTTGTTCCATCTCGGCACCACCGCTGCATCGGCTTCGAGTCGCATCCCTTCGTTCCGAACAGACCCATTCCATCTGCTGTTGCTCGGTGCTGTTCGGCCCCCGCGCTGTGTCTATCGGCTTGCTTTCCCATCCTCCACATCCTCCACATCCTCCACATCCTCTACATCCTCTACATCCTCTACATCCTCCACCCGTCGATCCCATCGTTGTCTCCACCCGCATCCATCGCTGTCACTTCCCGCTCGACTTCTGGACACGCATCGCTCGACCCCAACTCCGCCTGCCGGACTTGTCTTGATCCCCAACCACATTCGTTGTCGACGTCAACTCTCCGGTCCGATCCGCCCCGCACCTCTTTATTTCCTCAGACCCACAGCGCCTCTTCGATATCTCTGCAGCCCTGACTTTTACCCTTCTTTCGCTTGATCAAACCTGCCGACTGAGCCTCGTGGCGCTGCCACCAGAGCATCCGCCTGACCCCTCGTCGACAAACCTGGAGCTTGCTTCGATCGCATCCTGACGCTGTCCTGCACGTCTGCCCTCTCCTCCCCCAGACAGTGTTCTTTTCTGAACAACTAAACAACTGAACGAATCCAGAAAGCAGTCACTCCCGCCCCTGGATCTGTTCTCCAACCTCGATCCGACCTCATTTATTGTATGCGCTGTTCCGACTCGACCCATCGACCTCAATAACGCCCGCCAAAAAAACAAAAGAGTAGCCCAACTCCCCCCCCTTCCGCTTCGTCCTTCCGACTGGCATCCACATTCCGCCCGTCTCAAGACTTGCTCTCTCGCTCTCGTTCTCAAGCACATCCGAAGAAGAACCAGGTGAGAGCCATGCTCCTTCCTCTCGTTCTGCGAGGCCAGTGTTGTCTTCTGGCGATCGCATACTCTTGGTTGGCTCGTTGGCTCGTTGGCCGAGCTGCGGAGCGTTTGGAGGCGGGCGAGCGGATCGCCGTAATCCCTCATCGCCGGAAAGAGTCGACGAGGAAAGAAGAACGGACACCGACGGAGTCACCGCTGCAGCCAAACGGAGCCGGACCGATCGAGGCAAACAAAGAGGCAGCGCTCTGTCGGATCGATGTCGAGAGCTCGGCTCTGGCAGATACCAATGCGACCACCGAGGAGCTGAACGCATTGGGGCTTCAGTGTTGGATGGGTCTCGTCGATTGCTCAAGGTACCGCAGAGGCTTAGACAACCAAGGGCGATAGTCTCGGCAGTCGGTGCGTGGATCGATCGTCCCTCAAGTGCTACTCAGCAACGATCGATGGCGGTCGCGTTGGCGGCGAGCATGGATTTCGATCTGGACGCCGACAAGTGCGGCACATCGACAGGCCACATTCAGCAGGGCATCACCTCAAGGGCGGCTGGTGCATTTGTCTGTACAACCCCCCCCCGGCCTCGCCCCGTGGGATTCTATCTCTTCCTTGCGGATGTCGGCAAGGCAGTGACAATCCATGACGAGCAACGGGCCGCACGATCCCGCGCGCAAATGCGGGGAGGCCCGGCGCGGAGAGCGCAGGGCCTCGACTTGTCTCGATAGGCAGAATGGTCCCCACCGCTTCCGCCTCACGACTTGGGATCCTCCGCACCTCTGCCCGCCGATGTCAGCGAATGTGGCTCCTCTCGTTCCGGTGCTCGGCTGCGGTGGTGACGTCGTGGCCGGATAGGACTATCGACTGCGTCGACTCGGGCTGCACCTGCTGGATCACCTCGGCCTGCCATACCCCCGCCCGCTGATGCCACTTGGGCTGCATATTGGGATCCTGATCGGTCGCTTATGGGATCATTCCGGCGGACGTCGATGGCCTTCATATGACACCTGCCTCGCTGCTGACTGATCGACTAATCCGCTGTTTCGAATCCCTGGGTTTCTCTCCCCCGTGGCCTCACCATCGCCGTGTCGGTCTATTTCTTCCCTCCTATTCCCCTCCTCATCCACCCGATCGTCAGACGACGTCGTCCTCCCCTGTCGTCTGTGCACCCAAGCTTCATCTCACTAGCGTGACCGAAAGCCTAGCCTCCAGCATTTGCTGAGATCACAGTGCTCCCTCTGTAGCCCGACATCTCCAAAACTCGTCTCACCACAGCCCGTTCGTCACCAACACACAACTCGCCATGGCTCGCCGCGTGGTCTTCCAGTCTTCGACAAACGCTCATTCGCGCGACACCCTCCAACGGGGGCCTCTGCCGGCCCTCCACGATCCAAGATCGGCCCAAACTGGCCGTGGATACCCCAACCAGGCGCCCCAACGCCAACCGGAAGAATCCTATCCTTCCCAAAACTACTATGAATCTCATAAGCTCGACAGTGGCGCCAAGGGCTACGGCTCTTGGCACCATCCCGCTCCGCCTCATCCCGCTCTGCAATACGACCGCGACATTGTCCGGTCACCCTCGAGCCTGTCCTGGGACTCGAGATCGACGTACTCGACCGACAGCCAGTACCCACCGGCGTCCTTCTCGCGGGAGTACAACGATCCCCAAGCCGCCCGCGCCCATTACGACTCGTCATCGTCCTCGGACCAAGGCGCCTATCTCCCGGTGGGCTCGCACTATCCTCCCGGAATGCCTTCACAGCCATCCTCTCGCGACGATATGCGGCCCAACCTCCGGCGGCCCGTCCAGGAAGCACCTCGTGGAGTTGTCCGGACCGCCCCGCCAAAGTTCATCTCCGGCCCCCAGAGCCCACAGCATCAGTCCCCCGGCCTCCCATACCCGCACCCGTACTCACAGTCCCAGCCCCAGTCTCAGTCCCAGTCCCAATCCCAGTCGCAGCCGCATCCCCTCGATCCAAGCGACTTGAACAGCCGGCGCTGGAAAGCTACCGAGTCTGCACCACACACGATTGCATATGGCCGTGGTGGCCGCGACCGCATCAACACCGACAACACTGCGCCGTGTGACGAGTGGATGGAATACCCCGTAAGTATCCCCGGCCCTTGCCCCGGAGCTTTTTCTCTTGGCATTGCCGTGCTGCTCTGGCCGCGCTGTGCAGTCCGTCGGCCCGACCGTCACCGCGCATTGCCTCAGCAGCCCCGCGGTCAGGCCGCGTGACGCAGCTGGATCTGCTGACGTCGTCATGGGAGCGAAACCTAAATTTGTGCTGTGGTGAAGCGGCGGGGGCACATTGCGGTCTGGAAGCACAACGGTAGTGGGAACGACAGCGCTTGCAGTGAAGGCATACGCTTCGTGGCCGACCGGCTGCATCGAGAGGGATATTGCAGCCACCGTTGATGCAATCTCGACGCTGGGGGTGCGATCTTGCTGCTGAGGGCAACGTGTCGGCCCCGGTCGATCCTGCCTGAGACCAGCGATGTCGCTTGGGCGCCAATCGCGCGGGGATCCGCTTGCCCTGTCAGCACTATTGTCGCATTGACCCCAGCCCCGGCCCCCCCCCGCCGGAGACCCGCCATCCCGCGCCGGGCACCAATCACTGACAGTACCTGATTTGCATTTTTGTGTCTGCCAGGACGGCTTGACGACCATCTCGACGGCAAGCTCGTTTGGAACGACCTCGACTGGCTCCTCGGGTGCCTCGGTCTCCATATCCAGCATCGTCAACGACGACGAGGATCAGCCGCGCTTCCTGCTGCAAGAGCCCAACAGGTAAACCCATTCAGGCCCTCCCCATCGCGTCGCTCCCTTCTCTCTGTGCACACTACCCTTCCGATTCTCCCCCCCCCCATCATGACACCCAACCCTCAGTCAATCTGTTGCTGCCTGGATGGGCCAGACCATGCGACACTCGTGCAGCTGCCCACGAATGACTAGTAACACTCATCCTCGCCCACTTATGGCTATTTCATTCGGTGCTCTGTGATGGTCGCATACTTTTATTCCGTGCCGCTATGAATCTCTCGCATCGACGTCCAGCCTGAAGCTGCAGCTACACATCCAGAGTGGCGATGGCTCAACAATCGTCACAGACATGACTGTATCGCTCATTCAGAGCGTCAAGTCCGTCGTAGATCGGGTACGTTTGATCCTGATGTACAAACAGACTGCTGCTGATCCACAGACGGCAGATCCACACCGGATCCGGTTTCTACGGGCTGTTGTCTGACCGTGCATGTCAACTCTGCTGCCTCCCCGTGCTTGTCGCACTCTGTATGCATCCAGGTCAAATCGCTCTACAGTATGTCCGGGTACTTTGTCGTCTATAGCGACGAAAAGAAGTCGATTTTGTACGACGACTTGCCGCTTGGCGTCTACGAACTCAAGCAGAATGTAAGTTTGATTGCGCGGCGACGCTTGCTGTGAAGTGACACGACAGCCCTGCCGGCGAGCATGGCATCTCTCTCCCGCATCGAAACCTGCTCTGCTCCTCTTTTGCCATCGTTGTCCATATCCATTCGTGCGCGGCATACCAACTCCCATGCTACTCTGCATCACTTGGGCTTCCTCGAACTCCCTCACTGACCCACCACCGCACCTTGCCATTGCAGTCGATCCTGCACATCCAGATTGCCACCGGTCGTGAGCTGGAGAGCCGCATCTCCCTGGAGCGAGAACGCCTCAAAAACCCCAACCTGCAACCGATTGATCCGTAAGTTTTGAGTTCTGTCGATGTATCCGCGCATGTTCTCGCCCTGGCTTACCCTCCTGGTGCTTGTTGATCACCCAACCAGTGGCAAGATTGCAACCGTCCTGGCACCCGGCAGTCTCTATCTGTCGGTGCTGATCTTCAACGAAAACAAGCAGATCGTCATGACCAAGAAGGGCCTGCTCCCCTCGATCGAGATTTGCCATCTGGGCGCCAAGGAGGTTCATAAGTTCACCTCGGACACGGATACGTTCTTGTGGATGAAGACCACGACGCTCGACTGGGAGCCGCTCTCCAGCCACGGTGCGCCCAGCTATCCCGCTGACGATGGCTCCGAGCCGTCGCTTGCCTTCGAGTCCGATGCACTCTATCAGCGGATCAAGAACGTGACGGGGCCCAACATGGAGACGACCTCGATTCGCAAGGGCTTCCTGAAGGCTGCCTTGTCACTTCTCCAGCATCTGGATCTCAAGTCCTTCGGCGTCACCCTGAACTCGCCAGTTGCCATTCCCCTCGACTCCTCTGGCGAATCTGCTGCCACGATGGTCCTGAGCTTGGTCTTTTACAGGATATCGGGCGACAAGAGTGCTAGGAAAAACAGCCCCATGGCAAAGAAGATGAAGACTGCCGGACTAGAGTGGTGCTCGCCCCACAAGCTCTCGTCGAATCTCTATCACAAGTCCGTCATGGCCATGAACACGGCCTTTATGCAGTTTGCCCGCCCGCAGAGCATCGACATGCCCAGGGAATCCGCCATCGATCATTCCGCGAGCACCCCCAGGCACTCGCGCTGCTCGACATCAGCCGTCTGGAGCTCGTACTGGAAAATGTACCAACGATCCATGGCTGTCCTGCGGCCCGGTACCTACGTCGGGGCCATGTACACGCACCAAATTGAAGGAAACACATGCAAGTATTACCAAGACTCTGGGTTTTTCTTCTTCTCAGACGCACGTGGGCCGTGCTCTCGTTGACCTTGCTCTCGTTGGACTTGCTCTCCGATCCTGCTCCATCCTGAGCCTTCGTCGCTCGTGTCTGCGATTGCCCTTGCCCTGAAAGCATTCGCGTGGCGGACCTGCAATTTCTACACACACACACACACACTGATATCTAAATGTGAATATCGTTACTTCCCGCAGATGTGATGGTGCAGCGACACTACCAGAACATGGTCCCGGTGATGAAGCTGCCTGACGACGTCGAAGTAACTTCGGCCGACTTTTCGTTCCTGACCAGTCGTGGTGCCAGCATCCTTGATCCCGCAGACCTCGGCGGCCCATACTATCCCACGACTGCCTTCCAGACCGGCTTCCTTCGGGCCATCGAGGCGCTGTCGTATTCAACGGGACTTGACCTGCATCTGCGGCAGCTTGCCAACGCTGATCGGCCTGTGGATCTCACCAACCGAGCCCATCTCTACCTGCTCGTTGCGCCCGTCACCAGCGAGCTGCTGTTCAACTTCAACGAACGAGACTACATGATGCTGCCACTCAAGCTCTTTGAGGAGATTCACTACGAAGTCTACGACCCGATCACCTACCAGGACTACCACACCTACCTCAGGACGCTCTCCAGCCGGATGATCGAAATGCACCGACAGGAACGGCGCCGTGCCTCGGTCGCCGATATTAGCGATCAGGTTTCTCGGCGCGGCGAGACCATGTCCCCCATGGCACTCGATACTCCTTCCCACCAGCGGCATCCCCGACCGCCACCTTCGGTCGAGTCTGACTCGATGGATGTCGATCCTGCTCCTGCCTCCGGCCCTGCCCAGTCACGCTCATCGTCCTATGGTCCCAGTCTAGCACCCAATGCGGCTTCGACACGCCCATCGCGGTCACCATCGGTCTCCAACTTTTCCTTCCCACCGCTCGCTGCGCACATGTCCATGCCCGAGCTGCAGAAGCTTGTGCTCTACGCCCAGCAGCAGTGGATCAAGTCGCGGTGGACTCGGATCTACTTTGGCGCCTCTGGAACGCGATAGGCGTCCTCACCCTCCTCTCCTTCTCCTCCTCCTCCTCCTCCTCCTCCTCCGATTCAACCTCCCAAGCTCGTCCGTCGTCTGCTCGACGCCATCGATAGTCTTCATCCGTGTCCGTTGAATGTTGTACAGGCTTCCTGAGCCGGCCCTTTCCAAACTCGACACGGCGATTCAACTGGACGACCGATAGCGCACCACAAATGACCCAGCAGCCCCTCTGGCGAGCCTGGAGGGTTGCGAAGCTGCGGTTCCTGATGCAACACACTGCTCCCCAGCCTCGCTAAGGATTGGTTCGTTTCTTTGCTGTTCTGTTTGCTGTTATTGTCGTTTACGCAGCTGCTATTTTTGTTAGCGATGGTGGCGTTGCTCTCGCGCTGTTGTTAGGATTCCCTATGCATTCTTTGGCATCTGTGACATCTTTCTTGAACGATCGAGAGGAGCTGACGATTTGTCAGAATGCCGTTGTGGGGAAGGGGGGGGGCACTGGCTTCACTGGATTGCATGGAGGGCCAACGAGCAACGGCCTATCCTGCGCTTCTTGGCTCTTCTTGGACTTGCTCTGCTCGCCGCTCCGGCCGACTCTTCCACCTGCAAATCCTTGACTTGTTGCATTTTAGTTTGTTTGGTTTCCCATGCCCCCTCTGTGCATTTGCGTTGTCCATGCCACTTCTATTCGCATCAGATCGAGAGTCCATGGCTGTGCCTTCCCCTCCCTCCCTCCCCTTTCTCCTTCTGCATTTGCAGCATCAACCCGGGGCTGCCGATTACTCTTTCTTGACATGCCCACTGTTGCCAATCGAACTTTCCCACTTCCTTTTCCCCATCACTCTTCCCTGCCGTTTGGATCGAACGGCATCGGTTTCGTATTCGGAACGAGCCTCTTTCTGGATTCCCACCACGACGCTCCCTCAACCCGCCCTCTCCTTTTATCTTTCTTCGGGCGGGGGGGGGCTCAGTGTTCGACAGATGGTCGCTTTCCCTGAGGAGTACAAATCTTAGTTGATATTGTTAATGCTTGGGACATTCCCAGCTCTGAATTACGATTTCCCTCTTACGATCTTCCCCTTTTCCCTATCTCAATAATCGTGTCGCCTTTTTTTTGTTTTAGAACAATCAGAAACTGATGAATACAGCTCTTCTACAGTCGGTCCAGACAGAAACGGAACAGTCACTTCCTGGCTTCGGATGTCTGAACCCCGCTGACTGACTGTAGGCCCAGCGGGCAGGCCGTGAGATTGTTTCCCGTCCTGGTTGGCAATCCCTTTGTTTTTGGTTGGCTTGGGAAGCATGGTCTTGAATACACTCGGTCGATCTCCATGGGCGATGATCGACTGGCATACCGAGATCATGTTCCTTGAGGCATTGATGTCTCGATCCCACAGCGTATGGCAGCTTGCACAGCCCTGGACAAAGTGTGGTTTCTCGATATCAAGATACTCGGGTGACTTGAGTCGCTTGGCTTCCCGGCACTGAGCATACCTGGGATGTGTTGAACTCGTTCACCGAGCACACATGGATCTTGGAGACGGATCGGTTTGGTGGTCGTCTCTGGTGGTGGTGGAATTGCTCGAAGTGTTTGGCAAACCTGAGTCTCCTGGGACTGGAAGCATATCCCTTCCCTTGCTTCCACGAGGCATTCCCAAAGGCAATCACCACTTCGGTCTCACTTGGACATGCTTGCTTGGCCATGAATGCGATGAGTGGGTGTGTATTCAGGTTCCAGAAAAGTACTGTCCTGGTTAAAAACGGGGCTGTCCCATTTCATTTTGGAAACGCTCCAAGAAATCTCTCTGCTTTAGCAGTTGCTCATGCAGTTATTTTGTCCCCGCCTTCGCTCTCGTCAGGAGGATGACAGGCATCAACAGGTCTTTCGCAGACAACACGAGAGAGGCCTATGCCTCCTCCTGAATGAACACAACTTCCATTGGACACCGTTGGCCAATCCCTGCTCAAGTGACCGCAGGTGTTTATAACTCATGAATCGCGAGCACTTACAGCGATGTCTCGAACAGATACACCGAGCGATCGTCGAGTCCAGCGACGAGCGTGCGTCCGGAGCTCCTCAGCGTGCACAGCTCTACGTCGATGACGGACGAGCCTCGGAATGGGCTCGCTGTCGAGGCCGAGTCTACAGCAGACAGGCTTTCGAGCTCAAAAGCTTCGACCACGACCATCGTCTCGCTTGCGGGAGAGAAGGATGACGGCGATGGAGAAGGCGAAGGCGAGGCCATTGCGGAAAGCGATGAGTCGAGGCGCATTCCACTCCCAGGAGCCAGCAACGGTGATCGGGGCGCCGATGCTTGAGACGCCTGCGATGCCTGTGATGCTTGCGAGCCCACTCCTAAAGGCTGTGATCCATATCCCGACGACCGGACATCATTCAGCGACCATATCTTGAGCTGGAATCGACAGGGACGTAATCCAGAGTTAGGGTCAGCCTCTATCCTCGAAGTGCGGTCGTCATGGATGCGGCCAATCGCTCGTCACGCATTCCAGGTGCCATCGCATTCGCCCTCCACGCGTAAAGTGGCATCGGCCCATCGCTCCGGCAGCTCGTAAACTCCGAGGTACATTACCATGTTGGCGGCGTCATCAGGTATCAGCACGAAGCTCTCTCTTGCGCTTTCGCCCCGGCCATCTGACGGCGCGGTGAATATCCGACTTTTGGACATGACCGCCTGCCACCCTGGGTGGCGCCGGAAGTGTGTGATCCGAAGTAATTGTTCGTTGATGTCATCGGAAACGTCCGAGGCGAGTGTCCCGATAACATACCGAATTTCGGATGCACCGCGCCATACGGAGACCCACTGATTCAGCACAGAATCGAAGTGAGCCGAGGTGCAGGTGACTCCCTGCAGTATTGATCCTGAGACAAGGTCAGTCGCGGTGATCGATACCCGGGCGTTTTTCACAATAATGATGGATCCGGACCAACCTCGATCATGCCAAATAATCGATGCGCCCTCAGCTTCGAAGCAATCGTCCGATCGGGAGAGCAATGGATGGGTTCTATCCACATGACTTACCCGAGAGTTTTTGAACCAAAGGGGTTGGCGTTGATGTCCCTGATACTGTAAAAACAGAGCCCAGCGATGCACCAAACAGCAGGGCTTCAGCCGTGCCCGATCTTGACCTTGACCTTGACCTTGATTCTGACCCCGTCCTTGGTCGAGCGACCGAATGCAGGTAGTGAATACCCCTTCCTGCCCCGCCCATGTTGCTATCAGCCACGGATTTGATGGGTCGGGTGGCATTGCGGATATCGAACACTTGAATGATGTTGCTGTGCAGCCCAGCGTAGACATAATTTGGATTCACCGCGTCGAAGCAGCATGACCAACCAGCAGCACCAAGCTCAAATCTGAGGTCGAGATCTCGCGGATTAGTACGCTCACGCGAACGCATATTCCATCGGCGATGAACGATGACTACATATATCCAATGCAATCCGCCAGAGTGTACACAGGCGATAGCAGCAAAGCATGTCCCGCGCCTTCATTGCGTTTCGCTCTTGTTCCGGTGTAAACTCACGTTTGAACGATGCTTTTTGTGCTCGGCGACGATATTTTCATGGTCCGATCCAATGACGCTGTAAGGAGCCACGAGGGATGTGCTTCTATCCAGGCGCAGTCGCGAATCACATCCGCATGGATCACCAGCGACGGGGACGCAACCAATCTTTTGCGGCCGTTCCAAATCGAGCGGAGGTCGATTGTCGAGATCCCGTGTTGTCCACGGGAGGAAGACATGCTCACTGAGACCAAGAATCGACACAAACCCGATCAACATGGCTGGCAACACAGGGCTTCATCGATTGTCGAGCCATCGGAAGATAGCATCCGCCAAAATGCCTCCAATACTTGACAAGTCAATCAAATCTCTTACAATTGACATACCATAGAGATGTTCCTGTTCGCTGTTGAAGGTCAGACAGCGTGCGCTTCCTTTCTGCAGACACAGCAGCGATCGGCATCGGGTTTACAGCGCCATCCGTGGATACAATGACAAGAATTGGCAAGAATTGAGCCAGAGCTGATTAGGGACTGGCGATTCTGACGTTGCAGTAGCACGGGTTGCTTGCTGCAGCCATTCGCTGCCACCCAACTGACCTCAGCCAAGATTGACAATTTGGTATGCCAGGATCCCTCGCCCAGACTTTGTTGCGATCGCTGCGATTGTGTCTCTTGGGAACAACTGGTGACTCCAGCGTCGACTTGACTCCTAAGACTTCCTCATAGCAGAGCGGAGCAAGGCAAGCCCATCTGTTAGCCATGATAAAGTCCGGGTATGACATGATCAAAGACTGTGATCTGCCGACCCTCCACACTGGAGAGCGGACTGCTCATACTCACATTGCTACTTGCGCCATCAGCCGCGCAACTTCTCCACGAGCACCGTCTCGCTCTTCCTTGAGGCTCTGGTTCCTCTGTATTTGCATGTCCAGCTCGTTTTCGAGCTGTCGTTGGGTGACCAGTGCCACATTCAAACGCTGCTCAGTCTCGCCTTGGTACTCTCGAAACTCAGCCTCGATCTTCTTTCGCTCTTCCGCTGTTTTTTTCATCTGCCTATCATACAGATCGAACTTGTTCATGTATATCACTCGGATGTCGTTCCTGGAGTACTTTCCTCTGGAGAGGCCAGCCAGATAGGACGAGATGTGGATACGGGACGTGAGGACGAAGAGACCGAGCCAATGGTGCGGCAGCATCGATGCGAATTAGAATGACTTGCAACTTACTTGCATTGCGGGCAGTTGGCTTCGTTTTTGTTGGCACACCATGCTTCAATACAGCTTGCAGTTGTTGGTGGAGTGTGAGTCAGGACCATGTGCAGCGACATAGCCATAATTCGGCTGCTCCGCTGTCGCCATTTCCCCCTCCATTCACTGTCGATGGCTGAGAACTGACTGACGGACAAGCATACCTCTTGCCAAATACATGGCCGCAGGGAAGTGATACGATGCGGTGCTCTCCGGACGACGATAGCGATTCAAAGCAGCTGCATCGAACGGAGTCGTTGGTGGTGGGGCGAGTGCGTCGTCATAGCCAGCCTCCCAAGTCGCAAGCGATGATGCTTTGGCACGGCTGAAACACACTCAAACTTACATGATACAGTCGAAATCCTGCCATGTCGCAGCACAGACAAGCTTGGTTGGTCAGTCGCAGCTCGTTTCGACCGATGAACAGTGCAGAGACCCCTTGGCATGATGCTTTCCACCAGCCCCGTCGATCGACCACCAGCCAGAAGACACTCGAATGGACACCTACATTTAGTTCATCGGCAGGCGCCAGGGTAGGTATCGAGCTCGCTTGTGGCGGATCATTTCTCTCCTTGAACTTTCGCTTATTCCTTCGGCTGATGTGCGAAGCCGGTGGCGGATCTGGACGAGTCCCGCCATCATCGTCCGTTCCAGTCGGGCCCATGATCAGGAAACGCAGGATTAGGCCCGGTATCCGCCTGCCCAAGTTCATAATCCAAGCACCCGTCGAGCAGTGACATTATATGCAAGATCAATGATCCACGGAAGGGACGGCGGCCGGCTTTCCTCCACGAGCAACGGCGCCTCCTGCGGTTCATATTCGAGTCGGTTGGTGCGTAAGGGGCGCTGGAAGGGATGCTTAGAAGCCATTTTTCAAGGGCTCCTTACCGCCAAGTGATAGCGGATGCCCTTCTGCTTCTCTTTGGGCGAGTCCAGCGAGCCCAGCGAGGGCCGATGCTCGGGTCTCATATCGATGGAGTTGGGTCTGCCTGCCTGGCCCGGTCGCTGTCCCAGTCGCTGCCGAGCGAGGGGGCTCTTGTGGAGGCAGTATCGAGACGATCCGCGGCTCCTGCACAAGATCTTCCGAGGAGTCGCTGTCAAGGATCTCGATCTCGGAGAGAGCCACCCGGTTGCTCATATGTGAAGAGGCGAGAGTGTCAGTTCGGACTCGAGACGCAGATCAAGGCGGAAAAAGAAAACGCGAGGCGATCCGAGGCAGCCGGCACCTCTGCGTTGGCCGCGGCCATCCGCGAAGGCCGCCGACACCCCCAGCCCACGATAATCGAGAGCCAAGTGCGAAGCGGATGCATCTGGCCAAGGATGCACCGACTTCTCGACGGGGAGAGCTGCATCCAGCGCGGTGATGAGCAGAGCGGATGACCACTCTCCCGTGAGCACGACCTGCAGCAAAGGCAGATGGGAGATCTGTGGGCGAGAGCGCATGACGACAGCGCATGACGGCCAAACTCGATGGACAGAGTCGCTGGTCCTGACGAGTCATCTGCAGGCAGCATCTGCGAGTGTCATCTGCGAGTGTCATCTGCGAGTGTCATCTGCGAGTATCATCCTCCACGACGGCGATTTACTCGACTGCGATTTACTCGACTGCGGTCCCCTCCACCGGTCATCCGACGCAGCCGGACGGCACACCGAGGCAAGCCCCGGCCCAGAACAGACCCGAACAGACCCGAACAGGACCAGCCCGGCCAGAACGGGTCTGCCCAGACGGCATCCACCTGGGTTTCCTCGCTGCGGCTGCCTCGCCAAGGGTGGCGACGATCCACGTGCAGCCAATTCCAGCCAATGGCAGCCGGCGAGCGGTTTGTGCCGGAAGTGGTCCCGAACTGCTTCCAAAGTGGTCTGTCACAGGTCCGTCCGCAGGCTTGTTCTCCCTTGTCTGGTGCGCCACGCGCCGTCGCCACTGGCCCTCGTGACATGACCAACCACAGCGCCGCCGACCAACAGTCGCCATGTCTGCAAAAAAAATGTGGAGGGGGGTGGATGCATCGCGAGCGGCTCTGACCCGGCCTGGCATGGCCGGCTGGAGACAGGGATATAAATAGACTCCCTCCCTGGCTCGTCTCTCGGCCTCCATCGACACCGCCTCGACACCACCTCAACTCGAAAGCATCACCGCCCACAGTGTGCAATCCAGTCTGCAATCTGCAATCTATCACCGCCAACATCAGCTCAACACCAGCACCACAGCCTGTCCTCAAAATGGCCGCCAGCAACCTCGTTCTCATCCCCATCGACTCGATCTCTGAGCTCTCGCGAACCGTCATCCTCCACGCACTCGAGCACAGCGTGGTGGCCACCGACAATGTCGAGATCCTCCATATCATCAAGCCGTCGCTGTGTAAGTTGCGGGTCCCGGCGGTGCATGGAGTGTTGGTGCATGGAGTGTTGGTGCTGTGCTGTGTGTTGTTCTGTCGATCAGCGAGTCAGTCAGTCAGTCATCTAGTCAGTCATCTAGTCAGTCATCTAGTCAGTCATCTAGTCAGTCGGCCAGTCAGTCGGCCACCCGGCCAGTCCTTCAGTCGCACTCACATCCTTCGCATGTCCCGACGCTGCCCCGTTCCTCTGTGCTTCCGCTCGTTTCTGCTTGCCTCCAGTCTCTGCCATGCAATCTGCATACGAGCACCGCGAGATCGTCGAGGTCACCCAGCGCCTCACCAAGTTTGTCCAGGAGATTGTCCAAGCAAGCGGCGTCGCAAACAAGGTCTCGCTCAACGTGATCCATGGAGAGGCCAAGGGCCACATCATGATGGAGATCAGCGACCGCGCTCCGCGACTGGTTGTCATGGGTGCCCACCCACATGGCCCCCTCGCTGGCACTGGTGAGTTGGTGTGTGGTGTCTGTCTGTCTTTGCGGTGTGCCATGCTGCTGCGGTGCAGTGTGGCCTGTTGATGCGGTGCAGTGTGGTTTCTCTCGATCGGCGACTCCAGGATCGCATCAGAGCAATGCCGAGACTGGCCAATGTCGGCCACCCACTCCCACATCCACCCACAACCACTCCCACAACCACCCACTCACTGTGTCTGCTTCCATTGCCCGCACATCCCAACCGCCACCCCAACCACCCGTCTCGTCTCCCACAATCTGCAGGCAGCATCACCGGATATGTCTCACAGCGATCCCCGTGTCCCGTCCTGGTTCTGCCTCACTCCATCGCCAAGACTGCCGTCCCGATGGAAGGCAGCAGCAGCAGCATCCCGATTGCTGCCTGAGCGAGCATCGTCCCCGCACCGTCCCCGCACCGTCTCCAGCACCGTCTGCAACTGCGTGACCCAGTCTCTCTTGCCTCGCTGCTGCACTCTGTCCCGTCTGGCCTCGTTGCTGCACCTCGTTCTCTCCCAGCCGCAACCCGTCGCCCACCTGCTCCCTCCGCTTCCTGCGTGCGCCTCTATATCCCCGCTATGTTCCCGCTATATCCCCGCTATGCTCCACCATGCTCCACCATGTTCTCGATGTTTCATGCGTGTTTGTTCTCCTTATTTATTGGCCGGCGTTGGTCCTGGATCTGTCGCCTCTGGCGGCGATGCGATCCCGACCTCGCTGTTCCCGGCCTCCTGTGCGATGCCATTGTCATTAATTGCCATGGGCTGTCTCGGCCGTCCCTGTCCCTCTGCCATTGGCTCGATCTGCTTGAATACACACATTCGCAACCAACCTCGTCTTCTGGCGATATCGGATGGTGGTCCGAGTCCATTTGGCTCGCAATTCAAAGTCGCTGGCTGTTCCGCTCATTTCATGACAATTCAAGGGAATCATTGGATCATCATCCCACCGTGCTGTGTCTCTCGTTGTGCCAGCATCCCAGCTTTGAACTATAACCCACCGAATTACGTCTATCTAGCAATTCCGCACAATCCATATCCAGGAGCCTCCGCTGTTGGTCGATTTGACGATCCGCCTGTGCGGTATATGATCGGTTGACCGATTGCGTCTTGATAGATTCACGAGAATGGAGCAGTGGGTTCTCAAAATGGTGGTCTCCCGCATCTGCGAGCCGCGATGAAGACACATGATAGTGTGAAATGCACCAACCAAGACTGCAGTACACTCCATACCATACCATACCATACCATACCATACCATACCATACCATACCATACCATACCATACCATACCATACCATACCATACCATACCATACCATACCATACCATACCATACCATACCATACCATACCATACCATACCATACCATACCATACCATACCATACCATACCATACCATACCACGGACATGTCGCGGCATCGTCGAATCAAAGGCAGACGACCGATGCGTCGTTCGCCCGTCATGAGCAGCCAAGCTTCGATCCGAGCCAGCTACCATGTCGACCAATCATTTGTTGACCCGTTGCCAGTGCCGCCCCAGATACAGACCGAGGTTGCGTTGCGAGCGTGTGATTGCGCCCATGTTCAACGCCGGCCAAAGCCGCCGGCTGTGAAGGCGGCCGAATGCCAAGGCCGCTGTTGGCCGGGACAAATGCAGGAACGACCCCGGCGTGTGCCGCCAACGCGGCTGGCTGCAAGTGGCCAAGACCACCAAGATGCCATGGCCCTTGGTGGTCTTGGCGAGCACGCTGGTCACGGCCCCACGTCGCGCCTTCACGATTGGCGGGTTGTGCGTGGCTGCCACCATGGGCCAACACGCCCCGCGACAACATGTGCGAGCCGGGCGGCTGCACAACAAGCTCGTCACCGCGGGGTGAAAGGCGCAATCCAGGGGTCGCGCTGGCTGATCGGGTCATCCTGGATAATCCTTGGATAATCCTTGGATAATCGGAGAAACCGGTAGTAGGCTCAATGGATGAATCGCCGTTATGCCGTTACTCCAGGACGACACCCATCTGGCTTGGCCCTGGGGACTCGCCGAACCAGGGCCGCGTCCCGGCCAGATACTTAAGACCGAGGTGGTCGCCCAATCCACCAGATCGATAGCCGCCGATCCAGTGCATCACCTTCACAGACCTTGGCCTCTCTGGCTTCCCTTGCACTGCCCACAACACCCATCCTTGCCCACGCCAGCTACTGAGATCTGCGCCATGAGTGAACCCCAGCACAAGCCGCCCCAGTTGTCGCGTCTCTCCTTCGCCCTCATCTTTGTCGGGTACGTGTATGATCATCCGCAGATCACTCTTTCTGCCAAAGAGCAACGAGCTGCCCGAGCGAGCGAGTGTCATAGTCGGATGGGCTCACTAACACTCTGCGTATTTGTCGGTTGGGCGGGATCGTTGCCCACAGCCTCGCCCTGGCCTTGCTACTCGCTGCCATCGACCAAGTCATTGTCTCCTCTGCCATCCCATCGATCGGCAACTCCTTCCAGGACTTTGAGAGAGTTCCATGGATCGGAACCGCTTACCTCCTGACCAGCTCGGCCATGGCCCCAACCTATGGCAAGCTTTCGGACATCTTTGGCAGAAAGAGCGTCTTTCTTGTTGCCATCGTCATCTTTGAAATCGGAAGCTTGATCTGCGGAGTTGCCACGGTAAGTGTTGGTTCTGATCGGGTCGACTGCACTCGAAGTTGCACTCAAAGTTGCACAAACATCACGCACCGTGGTTTCCCATGTTGCTTCCGTTTGGCAGTCTATCTCATAGCACCGCACTCACATCCTATCGCCTCGGCTTGGTGCTGTTTTGCAGAGCATGGACATGCTTATTGCCGGTCGAGCGATCGCCGGCATCGGCGGCGGCGGTCTCATTGGCCTCGTCCTCATCATCATCTCGGACCTGGTCTCGTTTCAAGACCGCGGAAAGTACCAAGGCATCATCGGCGCCGTCTTTGGTCTGGCCTCGATCATTGGACCTTTTGTTGGTGGACTGTGTAAGTGGCGTAGAATCTTGGGCTGAAGTCAACGAGCATCAGGACTACGGCCGCCAACACCGTGGCGCAAGTGATAGCTCGTTGCTGGGGTCATGTCGATCGCTGAGGCGACCGTGTCTACGTACGGTACTAACTGGAAGCGCTTCCTTTCTGCCACAAGTCACGGACAAGATCAGCTGGCGATGGTGCTTCTTCATCAACCTGCCTTTCGGTGCCCTGGCCATCCTGGCCATCGTTTTCTTCCTCCACCTGCCGACTCCAGAAGGCTCCATCACCGCCAAGCTCCAGCGCATTGATTACCTCGGATCTCTTGTCTTGATCTCGGCCGTGATCTGCCTTCTGCTTCCGGTCCAATACGGCGGAGGCGACTGGGCCTGGAACGCCCCGCAGACGATTGCGCTCTTTGTCGCTGCTGCCGTCTTGACCGGACTCTTCATCTTCATCGAGTTCCGTGTTGCCAAGGAGCCCGTCATTCCCCCTTCCATCTTCCGGCATCACAGCGTCGGGCTGATCCTGGCGTTCACGTTTCTGTTCGGCGCTGCCTTCCTCGCAATCGTGTACTATCTCCCGACCTACTTCCAGATTATCGACGGCGCAACGGCGACTCAATCGGGTGTCTACACCATTCCCATGGTTGTAGTGTTTATCATTCTCAACATTGGCAGTGGTAAGTTGGCTATCTCAGGACCATTTATCCGCAGCAGTGTCTCTCTGGATGGCGGATGCATTCACAGCAGTACATCGAGCTGTGGCATTGGATTTCAATCCCCGTACCCTGCCGCCGCTTCTCAAATGGCACTTTGCTGATATTTCTTCACATCTCCATCATGTCGCTTTCCGCCCGCGTAGGCATCGTGGTCTCTCGCTCTGGCCACTATCGCATCTTCTTCTGGATCGGATTTCCATTCATGATCGGTGGCTCAGCTTTGCTCTACGTCCTGAACGAGCAGTCTCTGCTGTCCACCCAGATGCTGTTTTCCCTGGCTTTCGGCATCGGCTCCGGTTGCATCATTCAGTCCAAGACCATTGCCATCCAAGCTAGCGTTCCACACAGCGAAATCGCTGTCGCCACAACCCTCACCAATTTCGCTCAGACTCTTGGCGGGTAAGCATTCAGCAATGTGTCTGTTCTTGCTCGGCCGGTGGCGATTGCCGAGCGATTGCCAGTGTCACGCAAACGTGGTGAAGCTGACAGTTCCTCATATCTCGACAACAGAGTCCTGGGCATCGCCATCGGAGGTGCTTTCCTGAACAATACTCTTCAGTCGACACTGCAGGCCTCTTCCCTTTCCCCAGAAGTCATCACTATGATTATTCGCAGCCCGGCGTCGATTCGAAGCGTGTTTGCCAACGACCCCAGCGCCCTTGCCACGACAGTCTCTGCGTTCTTGGTTGGCATCCGCTCGATCTTCCTGTCCACGATCCCATACACGGTCGTGGGCTGGTTCGCCTCCCTCATCATTCGCGAGTTCCGAAAGGGCCAAACGGCTGCTCCAAAGTCCGTGTCGGGGCTCGACGATGCCGCAACTAACAAGCACGAGCTCAACGAGATTGTGTCCGACCGCGAGCCTCACAACTAGTGCCCCTGGTGATGAGGCAAGCACCTTTCCTTCGCCACCCCGGACAATTTCAATAGCCCTATGCAAATCCAATCTTGCTTTATGACGTCGAATATGTGTGGATTTTTCTTTGTTAACGGTGTGCCGCAGTTTCCCGTAATATATGGCGCATGCCGATCGTCCCAGCTATGACCAGCCGGTGGTGCTCGTCGATAGTCTCACGAAAATCCATTCCCGAGGACCTGAACGGCCGGGGGCTGGAAGTACTCGTGCTCATGATCCGCAACAACATTTGAGTGGGCGCAACTGTGCTCCACTGGCTCTCGGGCCGGCTGTTTCCGAAAGTGAACCACTGGCCACTCACACTCCCTCGCACTTGCCACTGACCAGTCCTTTCACGGATCACACGAACCCTCCCGAATGTTTTTGTGGCGGGCGCTGTTGTGCCAGACAACAACAACGACAACAACAGCAGCAGCAGCAGTAGCAACAACAACAACAACGACAACAATATGCTGTTGATCCCATGCAGGTCAGGCGATCGGACCTGCGGATCGCTGCGGTGAAGATCGATCGAGCACCGTCAAGGCCGGTTCTGGGCGCTTCTCTCTGTTTCGGTCCCAGCTCCGACGGTCATCTGCCCCGCAACTCCGCTCAGCCTGAGTCAAGCCCACGGCCATCCGCTCCTATAAAGCATTTCCAGCTCGATCGCCGATCGAGTCCATCGTATCAACCGCTATACGACCCATACAACTCTAACCCAAGCTCTTACCTCTCATACATCCTCGCACATTCGTCCTTGGCCCGTTCGACCCAGCCAAGCACTTTGCCATATCACCTCTCGCCATGACCACCCGTAAGCACCAGCATTGACACCGGCATTGGCACCGGAACTGAAACGAGAGCATGTGCATCGAGCAGACAGCTTGTAGGGCCCGTATCAAATCGACGCTCCACATCTCCGCATTGATGGCTGGTCCGTCTCGCTACATCCTCGTCTGTCTTGGATGCTCGTGCGAGCTCGATGCTCACTTGTTCGTTCCTCCTTCGTGCTCTCTTGGCCGCCTGTTGCCACCCCGTCGTTTCTGACAGTGTCTCCACTACCAACAGCTCGCCACTCTCTCACCCAGCTCGAGGAGCACCAGCGCCCATCCGTCGCCGAGCGTCTCGCTCAAGCCGCTGAGCGCCGCCGCACCCTCGAGATGGAGCGCGAGGCTAGACTGAAGCAGGACCTCTCGCACCACGACAGCAAAGTGTCGCTCCGCGAGTCGTCCACATCCCTCCCAGACGAACGAGCGTCCCAGGTCAAGCTGAATAGCCCTGAGCGCATCAAAGCCGTGCTCGAGAGAAAACAGACCCTTGAGGAACAGGCCCTCGAGCACGCCGAGCGGCTCGCCGAAAAGACACGCACTCGCATTGAGGAAGCCGGCCAGCGCCATGATCGCGCCGTCCAGGAAAAGGCCGAAGTCGCCCACCAAGCAAACCAGGAAATCGAAGGTATGTCTCATGTCGCTGCCGACTCGAGTGCCGGGCTCTCATTGGCCGCAACTCAGACGGCTCGATCTTTGTCTCGCTATCGCGCTTGGATGCGTTCCTCTTGGCTCTATCCCGGAATTGCGTGTTCTCACGGCCTTCTCGGGGCTGACGATTGGTGTCGGTTTTGCGCTTTGCAGACGTGATCCGGAGAGCCTCGACTGCCCGTCTCACCGAGTCTATCGCCAAGCCAAGGGCCAGCATTCCCACTGCACCTCCTCAATCCCCCGATCTTGATGGCCGTCGAACTTCGCTGGTTCATACCGAGGCCGTCCAAGCAAGAAAGAGTGAGATCGACGCCATCAGCCAGGCCGATATTGCGCTACAAATGCACAAACTCGAGAACAAGGCTGTATCGGCCAGCGATCTGCATGGATCCAGCATCGAGCACATCCGAAGCAACGCCCACAAGGCTATCGAGTCGGTCGAAAGTAAGCATCTCTGGCTCTTGTTCTGCTGCTGCAATGGCGGCTCACTCGCATGCCACCTACTGAGCTAATGCTTTGCATCTCCTGTCTGTATTAGTGGGCCATACCCGCCACCTGCTGCGGGAGAAGATCAGAGAGTCTCAGATCCTCCAGCAGGCCCACGAGACCGATCTCAAGATCGAGCGTGCCCAAGCCATGAAGCGAGACTCGATTGAAAGGATCAAGGAGAAGCAAGCACAGCTCCAACGCTCCAGCGTCACGCGCTCGTCCACAAGCGTAGATCGCCGAGACTCGACGAATGCACCGACAATGTGACCGTCCACGGAAGTGTCGCACCGCTCCTGTCTCTGGCACATGAGGTGGCCCGGGTGCAGGCTTTCTGATCCTGTGTTGAACTCAATTGGACTGATTGAATTGAACTGAATTGATTGATTTGAATTGAGCCGCGTTGGTTTGTTTTTGAGCAGCGCTTTGGGCGGCACCTGCGCGGCGTTTTTGAAATGGTTTGTCCTATCCCACTCCCCACGCTCTACCTGTATGTATTTCCTGAATCCAGAAAAAAAAACGGGATAGTGTTCGCTTTCTCTGGCATCATAGTTCGTGCGATTGTGTCCGGTCCTGGTGGCAATCTCTTGGGTTTCGCTGGCTGCGGTGTACTGCTCAATACGCCCAGCCTGGACGGGCTGTGGCGCAGGCACATGTGGCACTCACATGACCGAGCGGGCGCTTCCTCGTCGCGATTTGAGGCGAGCGATCTCGGTGCATCCGGCTTGCTTCGTCCACGACGAGGCGCGCAGCACACCATGGGCGAGTTCGAGATCACCAGGCCGATTCGCAAGAATGCCATCATGGATGGCGGCGAGGACACCGAGATGGCGGACGCTGCCGGCGCCCACGTCGTCACTCCCGGCGAAGTCATCACCAGCGATACAGCCTTCATGAGGTTTGGTTCTGGAGCACCGGCGATCGAGATCGACTCGCCGTCTGGGCGGATACACAGGATCGCACATCCAGACTGACGCACTCGTTTATTCTGGACCTTTTGCCCTCCCGATGGCTCGGCCACGCCATCCAGAGGCCACGGCACCTATCTCGTCGATGGCGAGAGGCTGATTTCATCGGTTGCCGGAGTCGTCGAGCGGGTCAACAAGCTCATTTCGGTGAAGCCGTTGCGCACGAGGTAATGAGTGTTTTGTTTCTCAAGCCCGAGAAAGCCAGAGGCGCTGCGTATCAGCGCACGGGCCAACGAGGTTCCTGGGCGAGATTTTGCCGACACAGATGATATGTCCACTCTGGAGGATCAAGGCTCGATCGACAGTGCCGGCTCGTGGGCGACCGAGAGGCAGCTGCCCAACGAACAGAACCGCCCCAGAAACCGATCTGTGCTCAGATGGGATCGATCACAGCTCCAATGCGTTCCTATAGGTCACAGGACTCGACCGAGTGTACTGGAACAGCACACGATCGTTAGCCCCCCGGCAAAGTCAAATGGCAACAGGGCGGGATACTCAAGAGCCGGACGGGCACGCCAAGGGATCTGGCGATATGGGTTCATCAACCACAGCGGGACTGACGATGCGCTGACCCCGAAACCGTCGCATCCCCATCCAAATTTGGCCTGTCGCAGATACAACGGCGAGATCGGCGACGTTGTCGTTGGACGGATTACGGAACTAGGCCAGAAGCGATGGAAGGTTGACATCCGCGCTCGGCAGGATGCCGTGCTGCTGCTGTCCTCGGTGAACCTCCCTGGAGGCGTCCAGGTAACAACAGCCCGGGCTTTGCCTGCCGGATACGACTAGTTGGCCGGGTTATCGAATGGCTTGATCGCGATCTGCTGGTTTCAATCGCGAAGCACTGGCCAAAGCCATGGGGCAGGACGACCGATCACCTGCCTAACATCATACATTCCTATCCATGCATACCCTCTGCCGCACAACTCAAGCGCCGTAAATCCGAGTCTGATGAGCTCCAGATGCGGTCCTTCTTTGCTGAAGGCGATCTCGTTAGTGTAAGTGATGCTCTGCCACAAGCGACTCTGTCCTTCCTGGCCACTGCGAGCCCTTGGCGGCTGACGCTCGTCTATGCGGACTGGATTCAACAGGCCGAGGTGCAGCAGTTTTTCCAAGACGGAGGCGCCTCACTTCACACCCGCAGCATGAAATATGGAAAGGTGAGATATGCTGCCTCAGCTCGTATCGGGCCGTGTGTGCGGTATATATTCAGCAGATGTGGAGTAATGCCCAAGCGCAATTCTGTGTGCTCGGGAATCACCAGAGCAGCACCATCGCTCCCATTCATCCGACTCATCCTGGTACTGATCCCGGAAATCCCTGCTTCGGGGACCATTCATCCTTTGTCAGCTGCGAAGTGGGTCGTTGGTGCAAGTCCCAGCGGCACTGATCAAGCGATCCAAGTCTCACTTTGTTTCCCTGGCCGGGGGCGTCGACGTCGTCCTCGGAGTGAATGGGCTCATTTGGGTCTGCAAACACTCGGGCATGACTCCCGAGATGGCCAACCAGCCGGATGCGCTCTATCACAATGAGAATGAGGTATGTGGCCATCGGGGGAGTGTGGAATGGTCGCCTCTGGCGTGTCCATAGCCATCGATGATGATGCGGCATATACAGCTCCCGCTGCATGGTTGCGCTCTTGCTCTCACTTGCTCGCCCGGCTGCACTCACTCATCCGTGCCCGCTCTCGTACAGGACATATCCGAGTCTCTGCGCGAGGCCATCGCTAGAGTCTGCAACTGCATTACTGCGATCAGCAACGCCTGCGTCTCGATCAACGATACCATGATTGTGTACACATACGAGGCATCGATGAAGTACTCCGTCAAGGATCTGCTGAAATCCGATATCCAGTCGCAGATCGTCACCGAGGCCAGCGCCCTGGTCGAGCAGATCAAGAACTAGACTCCTGCCGCAAGCCGCTCAGCACACGGCGGCCGGGTGTGTGATATGATCCAACTACGCTGTGTTTTTGTCCGAACGAGACGATGTGTCCCATTGATTATTAAAGATGCCCAGGTCATTCGGCTGCTCCTTTCCGGTAGTTCGGTGTGCGGTTTCGTTCGGCAGACACAGTGTTCAGGGCGATCCTGGGCGGTGTTCATGGTGGGAACAGGCGTGTGATTTCTGCCGGTGGACAAACCAGCAGCCGCCCAGAACCCCCGCGAAGCCAGCTCACCCTCCATCTCGACCGCCAAGTCTGCGATTCGCCCATGCACAAGTTCATACTCCCAGGATCCCAGCCAAGTGGCTCGGCGACTACATCCGTAACCAACTTGCGGAACAAGCTCAACCTGTCGCCTGGATCTCCCCAGCCAAGCAGCGTCACCGGCCATGCCGCCAGTCCCAGTCCCAGCCCCGGTCACAGTCCCAGTTCCAGCCGCGGCAGCATCGGCAGCAATCTGAACAGCCCCAACAGCAGCCTCAATCCCCATCGCCATAACGGCAGCAACACCATCCATTACAAAGCCCATCCTAGCAGCCCATACGGCAGCCCTGGTGGCGGCAACGCTGGTGGCAGCAGTCAGCCGTTCTCGACCCCAACCCCCAAGCTGACGAGCCCGCTGAGCAAAGCCGCTTCTTTTGCCCTCCCAAAGCCGATGGGGCGATTCAGTCCCTCACCGACGAGTGAATCATCGGCCAGAAAGCTCACCCAACTGCACAAGCACATCATTACCTCGTCTCCGACGCCCGATCCCGTCGCTTGTCCGTCGACTTGGCGGACGGCTTTGAAGCGGAAATCGCTGCCGCACGACTCGAGCCCGGGTGCAGACCACAAGGATCCACACGGCCCAGGCTCACTTCGGAAACGGAGACGAGTGCAGGCGTAAGTTTTGCGCTCGAGTTATAGCTCGGCCACATTCACGGCTGCGGCAGGCAGCGGGCGAGACGAGGCCCTTGGCTTCATGGGCTTGGGAGTCGGATGCTGATGACGATGTCATGCTTCCGGACGCAGTCCTTCCTTACTCGCCGATGACTTACTCTGGCGCCGCCTTCGCACTGCCGTGTGCATTCCGTAGTGGTGGACTTGCCGAACGCATGCTGCAGATCGCTTCGAGGGAACGGTCCGAGAGCGGGCTCTGGGATTTTATGAAGCATCGTCCGGGTAGGGCCGGCCTCTCCCCGACAGCATGCACATAGCACCAGCGACTCTGGGTGCTGCCCCTGACTCATCCGCAATCCATGACATGCTCTTCAAAGACCAGGACCTCCTCATGCAGCCGGCGAGAAAATACAGGATCGAGAGCAGCATCCAGCTTCCAAACCAAATCGTCGTGGCAAAGTGCCGGACCCTGGTGCCAGTGGCAAACGACAGCGTTTATGTGGCTCTGAAGGATGTCTATGGCAGCGGCGACGTGGGGCCGTCCCAACTCCACGACAACGAGGTCATCGGAAACAACAGCACGATCGAGATCGGATCCGGCGTTGTCGCATGCGGGAATATCGAGCTGTGCTGGCGCTATCGGCCAAGCTAGGGCGACCATGCCGAGGCAACCAAATGGCCAGCGAACACGATCAGGAAACGATCGTCGATACCCCCCCCCACCACCATTTCAGTCCGTTGGCTTCGACACGGCTCGATGCGTAGTTGTCGCTCCCAAGATCTGGATGGCCCGTTTGTTCTGGATGGGCTGCAATAAAATCCGGTATTGATCGACACACTGCTGCATTCGGAAGCCCCTCGACTTGGCCCTGCCAATGTCCGGGTAGACAAATGCGAGGCAGGGCTGGGGATGGCTTTGCACCCACCGCTCTAGACGGGAGACTGCCGGATTGCTGGAGGCGGGCCCGAGAAAAACAAAAAAAGACGATTCATTGTTTTACAATCCACGACGAAACAAGCAAAAAGTTGAACCACTGATCAGTTGTACTACGAATATTTTGTTTCTTTTGATCACAAATTACGAAGACGAAAGACGGGAGAGCGTTGGCTGCTGCGACTTTGGTTGAGGGACTTTGTGGGAGGAGAGCAACCTTGTGGTGGGCTTTGGGAGGCATGGTGCTTGTAAGCGACGAAATATGTCAGGAGTGAGAATGTATCGCAGGCGAGAGGAGAAGATGCCCGAAGTCCGTGTCTTGGAAAGCATGATGTGTGGCGTCTCCAGAGAGAGAGAAGCTTCATCCCAAAAGGAACAGGAAGAAAAGAATCTCGAGGAGCATGTACATTGTGCCTTGGGGGAAGGTGCCAAAGAGATCGAAGCGCTTTCGCTCGTGCTCGAGGGCTTCGTCGATGTTGAGGACCTTGACATAGAGAACGGCCGTTCCGGAAAGGTCGTCTCGCTCTGGATTGTGCAGATTGGATCGAGACTCTTGGTCAGCAAAGGCAACATGGACCAGAATACAGCCAGGACGATCACGGCGACAATAACGACGGACCCGCCGGGCAATCCGGGGCAGCAGGCTTCAGAGAGAATTCGAGTGAGCCGTGAAGCCGCATGAGCGTCGGGCATTGCAGACAACGCACCTTCCAAAGGTCGTCGCTTCAAGATAAAGTCGGAGATGTAGCCGAATCCGGTGGGCATGTAAGTCGAAGTGGTGAAGAGAATGAACGGAATGAATCCCCACGGGAAGACCGGCTGCTTGGCCAGCGCCAGCTGTGAGGCCGGACGGAGAAGAACGAGAGCGATCATCAGTACATGGGTGCCTCGGTATCAACGAAACCTGCTGTTGGCAGAGCCGAGGCTCCTGGTTGCTTGGCCTGCAGCGCCCTCAGGAGTGGCGTAAACGTCTGATGCATGATATGATCGCCACCACCGACCTCGAAGCCGACAATCAAAGCAATGGTGCCTATGAAGTGCTCGTATGTACACCAGCCGATCCAGGCAATGACAGAAAACTGAGCGCGCTGTCGCATCGAGCAGGGGTGATCGCACCACCATTGGGTCCTCTCAAGCAGGTTGAAGTCGACGCAGCCAGACTTGAGCTTGATCCACTGCCACGACGAAATCGGCAGAGGTGCGGGGGCGCTGTGGGAGGAAGGTGGGCGGAAAAAGTACCATCCCTGCAGCGAGAGGAAGAGCGCAAGGGGCCCGCCGATCAGGAGAAGCAGGATGGCCGACTGGGTCGGCAGGTTGTAGAGGATGGTGGGAGGGAGGTCGTCAAGCCCCCGGATTCGCAGGAAATAGTAGAGCGGCGAGATGGGCAGGATGAGGAACTGGATGGCGAAGAGGATGACCTTCCAGCGCAGGTTGAAGCGCTTGAAGCGCTCGATGACCTCGTTGTCGACGGCGATCAGCCCAGGAGCTCGGAGCGGGACGGTGATGCTCGAGTACTGGAACTGAGAGGGGCGGTACTTGTGGATGACTCGACGGCCACCCTGATGGACATGGATTTGTGGGGCATTGAGCAGCGGCTGGGTCTCGGAAGCGCTTTCGGAGGCGACAATTCGCTGGGTGACCGAGATGTTCACGGTTGTGGACGAGCTCTGGTCGTGCGAGGCCATGGTTCGTGAAGCGGCGGCCGTTGGTCCGAGGAGAGTAGGTGGACGGGAGTGGTGGATGATGGCAGAAGAAGAACGGCGGTGCTGGCGGGCGGGTGGGTGGGGGCAGAAGCCACGGCCGGAAGCAACAGCCGGTCGCGGCGAATCGACGAGGGCGAGGACACGGACGAGAAGGGCGTGCTGGGGATGCCATGCAGCGAGCGACGCTGCGGATGCAGGTTTTGGCGAAGAGCAGAACGAACGACGATCGAACGACGAGCGAGGGAGATGCGGGATGTTCTGCGTTCTTCGACTGCATCGCCCGGGTGTATTCCATGGTTGCATCCGCACCGTTGCGCTCCATGATTGCGTCTGCCGACTGAATGCCACGATGACATTCCACAATGGCATTCCGCAATGACATTCCACAATGGCACCCGCATCTGGAATCGATCGCATGGTCGGCCGCGGTGCACGCACTCAGGCTCGCTGGGCCGCGACGATCTGCTTCAGATGCGCCAGAACGATGCCGAAGCGATCCCAGGCGATGAACGGAACGTTCTCGCGCTGGCACCAAGTCTCCAGGTCCTTTCCGCTCTTTGCAAAGATGACATCGGCCTCGCGGGCAGCGCTGATGTCGGAGATGCCATCGCCCACAAAAACCACTACGGGCCGCTGGGCGGTGTCGGCAGAAAGATAGCGCTCGGTGATTGTTCGCAACGTGAGGGACTTGTCGTGGCCGTGCGGGGTTTCGTCCCGATAGATGATGTCCCAGCCTGCATCGGCGTCGATGCTGATGTCGTTGGCGACAATGTCAAAGAGTCCGCCATGCTCGCTTTCGGAATAGTCCTTCATGAAGGCCTCAACAATAGGGCGGAGGCCGCTGTATGTGATCCGCATGAGCGACGGTGAGTGAATGATCGTCCGATTGCTTGTCTGTGCAGCCTCCAAAACCATAGACCGAGCAACGCAGCTGTTCTTGCCTGCTGACGACGGTAACAGGAATCTTGTGCTGGATACAGTAGCTATGGAACTCGGGAAAGTCGGGGTCGATTTCAACAGCTGTTTCGGGAGTCAGCGCTCGCACTGGGACAAAATGGGTGCCAGCACTCCAAGGCTCATTCGGCTCCGAAGAATCGATGGGACTGGGACGGCCATGCTCGAATCGCACGGGTGAGGAGCAGCAGGAACGGACCTGAGAGAAGATCCATGGCATGCTCGAGGCTCGCCTTGACCGACTTCCACTGTTCCCGGACTGCATCTCGGTACGATGTCACGCCGTCGAGCACCTGGGTATCTGGCGTTTCGTGGGTGGCAGGAGAGCAAGATCAATCGGCAAAACGAATCGGGATTGTCGAGTCAGGGCGATCTCCGGCAAAGATGTCGACTCTGGAGACGATTGTCGTTGGCAAGGATAGTGTTTAACTGACCCAGCGCCTTTCTTCGCTCGGGGCCCATGAAGCGGTCCACGATGACGTTTCCAGTATCCTGCGGGACGATCCAGAAGTGTTTTGTGGGTGGAGTGTCAATAAAGGGGGGGAGGAGGCGTTGATGTTGAATGCCGCTGGATAATGTCGATGCGGAATCTCAGGACAGGCGGGACAAGCACATCGACAAGATTACCGCTGTGCTGACGGTGCCGTCAAAGTCTGTGAAGACAAGAACTTTCGGATTGCTCATGACTGGGAAGATGGCGATGGAGACGGGAGCGGATCGATGGGCGGAACGGGTTGGGCAAGAGGCAGACGGCGTGGATGGGCCTGCGCACGCCGCAATCGGTCGTTCGCTGGGGCAATGCCTCGGGAACAATGTCTCGCCCTGGCAATGTCTCGGGGGAGGGCTCTGTACAATGATTCATGCTGTGATAGAGAAAAGGAGTGTATTTGTGGAGGAGGTAGAGCCGGCGGCCAGCGAATGGCGAGTATCCAAGAGGCTGAAGAAAGAGAAATGCATGTCATAGTAGCTCTCAAGCAACTGGGATCAATGCAATCTGACCGCCGCTTTCCCTTGTCTAGAGTTGAGGGGTCCGTAAATATGCCGATGAAAGATACACATCGGTGAGGGAAATATATGAGCCGATGGGAGGGTGAGCGGACTGAGGCGCCAGACATGTGTCCATCCAGTCGCCACTCCCAGCCAGCAATGACATCAGCCTATTACAAGAGGGCGATGAACGCGGTGGCCAGAGCCAAGAGGAGGCCAAACAGGTTGGCACCAACAATGGAGCCAGCACTGGTAGTGGTGGTGACTCCGGGGGGAATGGAGACGTCGGTCTGGGCACCAGGACCAAACAGAACCGTGGCTGCAACTGAGGGGACGCCGCCAGAGAGAGCAAACAGCATCCAGTTGCCAGGAGGGGCCACAGAACCGTTGGGAGGGAGACGGACATAGATGGTGTCTGAAGTCTGGCCAAGGATGTTCAACACGACAAGGCGCTGGTCGCTGTTGGTCTGGTGGGTGGTCGAGGCATACCGAACAAAGTGAACCTTGTCAATCTTGGTGCCATCGACGGCCGAGGGATTGAGCTTGAAGGCAATCGAGGAACCGTAGGTGGCACTAGAAGGAGCACTGGTGATGACCGGTCGGGGCTTGCCAGTTTGGAGGTACGGGGGAGTATAGCGCTCCATCTGGGTACCGAAGGGTGAGGTGCACTTGGTCAAGTCCATGAGCTGTCCCTGGGGAACGTTGAACGGGCTGCAAGGGGTGGTAGCATTGGCGACATCGGTGTTGCCCCAAATGTCGAAGACGTTCTGCATCTCAGATCCGGCGGTGTAGATGTATCCCGAAGGAGCCAGCAGAGCCACGGAGTGGTACAGGCGGACAACGTGGTAGTTGGCAGTGGGGGTGTGGGTGTCGGTATCGGGGTCGTAGATCTCGGACTGGAAGTTGGGTCCGCGAGCGTACATGGCTTGACCGGCGTTGCCACCAGCCTGGCCCCAAGAGCCGCCGTTGGTGTACAGGATCTTGCCATCTGAAGGAAAGACAGCGAGAATGAAAGGAGTGAGCGGCTATACTATCGCTGCGACCAACGGCGATTACGGTGATCATGGGATCATGGACATTGCTGGGACCATCCTCGTTATTGTCAGCGATGAACATAACGAGTCTAAGAAGCAGACTCAAACTTACCGGCCATGATGACACCGTCAATCATCAGACGAGGGGTCAGCAGAGGGTTCTTGGTGGTCCAGGTGGGGTTGGGAGAGTCGGGGTTGATGCTGATGCACATGTCCGAGGCATCGGGTGTGCTCTTCTTGCTGCCACCGCAGATCAGAATGGTAGCCTCATAGTTCGGGGGCTTGAGGGGAAGCATGATCGAGTGCGAGGTATAGGGATAGATCCAGGGCTGGTGGTCGTTGGTGATGCTGGCAGGCATCGAAGGGATTTTGGCAGGGACACTCGGGTTGCCGTAGTCGTTGGTGTCGGTAGCAGGGTCCAGGAGCATTGTCTCGTTGGCGACAAAGACAAAGACCTTCTTGGAGGGAAGCTGGAAGACGGTGGGGAAAAGCGAGTAGGGGTAGTTCTTGGACAGAATGTTGAGGGGGCGGGGCCAAGTTCCGGGCTTGGAGGGGTAGTACTCATAGGTGGGGTTGTCGTTGCCGACAGGGTCCCAGGTGCCGGGGTTGTCCACTGTGTGAATGGAATGCAAGACAAGGTCAGGGCACGCCAGGGGCAAAGGCAACGACCAAGGCGACGGCCAAGGCGATGACCAAGGCGACGACCAAGGCAGGCAACATACGGAGCCAGCAACGGTGGTCGAAGCGATGGATACACAGATTCAGACATGACCCCCTCGATGAATGATGGCCGGGGACAAGCACCGGGACACTTACAGATAATGTTGTTGTTCGATCCAGAGAAAATGATGACAGTACCATCATAGAGCGTGGCAGAGGTAGGGTACCAGCGCTTGGTGGTCATCGGGCCGATGGAGAGATCCCAGGTTCCGCCAGCGCAAGAAGTGTCGCCGACGGCGCAAGGCTTGAAGAGGCGGCGGGCAAAGTGGCCATCGGTAGGGATGGCATTGCCACGGATGGTGTCGGCAGTGAAGTTGTCACCGCCGACGACGAAGACGTTGCCGTCGGGCAGCTGGACATGGTGACTGCAGAAGGGGTTCATGTCGAGGGTCGGGGTCAGAGTGTAGAGGATGGAGCTAGGGTCGCCATTGTACTTGGACGGGTCCAGCTCGGTGGAGACCGAGGGATACTGTCTGCCATCGTTGACGGTGATGGGGTTGGAGGGATACTGGAGGAAGGAGAGCGACGGCTCAGAAGACATGTTCACAGAGGGCCGGGACAGACAGGGGGATCACAAGGGCGGAGGCAGCAGCAACAGCAACAGCAGCAGCAACAGCACCAGCACCAGCACCAGCAGAGCAATCCTGCACCGACAGTCTCCCGGCAGCAGAGCCAAGGGACGCCGCCGATCGAGGGCAAAGGCAGAGCCCGATGCAGAGTGGACACTTACGGGCCAGATGTGGGGACGCTCCATGCACAGGAAGCGCTCGTTCGGGAGCAGAGCCAGATGGATGCAGACGACACCGGTTTGGCCGATGATTTCGAACTTGCCGTTGGTGGTGTTTTGGGCAGCAGCAAGGGTGGCCAGCGAGGCGCCGGCGAGCGAGAGCCAGTTGAGGAGCTTGGTCATGGCGACGACGAGAGCCGGGGCAGGTGGTGAGAGGCGACGGCGACGGCGACGACGAAGCAGGAGGATGGCCCGAGCGGCGGAAGAGGAGCGACAGCCGGCCGACCAGGCGACAAAACCTCCTGCGAAAATATATACGATTTCTTTGGGCCATCGCCCCCATCCACGGACAGAAACACGCTCGGTTTTTGCGGGGAGCACGGGGACAGGGCGACTTTGCCGCCGCGGCTGCAGCGTTGTTGCTGTGAAGCCTCGCAGCTGTGGGCTGGAGGCATTCGATCTGTGCACAAGCCCTTGCCGTGGTGGAGCCGCAGAGACAACAGTGTCACCCGCCGTGCCAGCCACGGCGCCTGGCGGACAAGCGGCCCCCACAGACAAGGGCTTGTGCTGTGCCCAATGGTGTGGCGCCGTTGCCGGGAGTGCTCGGTGCTGAGCGGTGAGCAGGAGTCTCCCCAGTTGATCCCCCTGGCTCGCTCGGGGCTCTGCTGCCTGGGCTGCTAATGTCGCACGACATGTGCATAGTCGCGGTGTGTCCGGCGGCCCACACAGCAGCCCGGAGACTGCCGAATATTCGCTGTTGCCGTCGGAAGGATCAGGCGAGAGAGGAGTGTGCCATATCCATGCCGCACTCAACCTGCATACATATCACGCACGCTTCCATCATCCACAGCGACCGTCTGCAATGCCCAGGCGATCGGATACCTGGGCCCATTCTTCCACATCGTCGCGATGCCAGTGCCTCCCTCGGGGAGGCACAATATCGGTGCGCCGATTAATCGTCGCCAATCGAGATTGACTGGGTATATCGTCAAACGCGTATGTTCCACTCTAATCCAAATCAAAAAATGTATATTGCCAACCAAGACGGGGGGAAATCGAACAGCTGATCCCAAAACGGACACTGTCCTTGCTTTTCTTACACCCGCAGTTGTAACAAGCATAGAGTCGCCCGCACCATCTCGTGAGGAAGCGGACGCACGGCAACAGAAAGCGTTGAGCCACATGAGCCAACCAACTAGATCAGCGAAGCCATTAGTGTGCCAAGAAGGACAACAGCAACGGCAAAAAAATTTGCACCGAAGATTGAGCTGGCACCAGACTTGGAGGCACCTGGGGGAATGGAGACGTCGGTCTGGGCACCAGGACCAAACAGAACCGTGGCTGCAACTGAGGGGACGCCGCCAGAGAGAGCAAACAGCATCCAGTTGCCAGGAGGGGCCACAGAACCGTTGGGAGGGAGACGGACATAGATGGTGTCTGAAGTCTGGCCAAGGATGTTCAACACGACAAGGCGCTGGTCGCTGTTGGTCTGGTGGGTGGTCGAGGCATACCGAACAAAGTGAACCTTGTCAATCTTGGTGCCATCGACGGCCGAGGGATTGAGCTTGAAGGCAATCGAGGAACCGTAGGTGGCATTGGAGGGAGCGCTGGTGATGACCGGTCGAGGGTTGCCGGTCAACAGGTAAGGGGGAGTGAATCGCTCCATTTTGGTTCCAAAGGGCGATGTGCACTGGGTCATGTCCATCAGCACGCCGCTCTTGTCGGTGATGCCAGCGCTGGTGTTGTACATTGGGTTGTCGGGGCTGCAGATGGATGAGAGGTTGGCGACATCGGTGTTGCCCCAAATGTCGAAGATGTTCTGCATCTCAGATCCGGCGGTGTAGATGTAACCCGAAGGAGCCAGCAGAGCCACGGAGTGGTACATCCGGACGATGGAGTACGAAGCGACAGGCGTGTGGGTGTCGGTATCGGGATCGTAGATCTCGGACTGGAAGTTGGGTCCACGAGCGTACATGGCTTGACCGGCGTTGCCACCAGCCTGGCCCCACGCACCGCCATTGGTGTACAGAATCTTGCCGTCTAGAGCAGCGCGTTCGGAATACAGAGTCAGCATACAGCAGAGTACATGACCAACGAATACAGGCTCGAACGAGAGCACGCAAAGCTTATCGCAAGACATGCAGATGACGAATGTACACGCGCATGATTCTTACCGGCCATGATGACACCGTCAATCATCAGACGAGGAGTCAGCAGAGGGTTCTTGGTGGTCCAGGTGGGGTTGGGAGAGTCGGGGTTGATGCTGATGCACATGTTCGAGGCATCGGGTGTGCTCTTCTTGCTGCCACCACAAATCTGGATATTCGCTTCATAGTTCGGGGGCTTGAGGGGAAGCATGATCGAGTGCGAGGTATAGGGATAGATCCAGGGCTGGTGGTCGTTGGTGATGTTGGCAGGCATCGAAGGGACCTTGGGAGGGATGCTGGGGTTGTTGTAGTCATGTGTATCGGTCGCGGTATCAAAGAGCATTGTCTCGTTGGCGACAAAGACAAAGACCTTCTTGGAGGGAAGCTGGAAGACGGTGGGGAAGAGCGAGTAGGGGTAGTTCTTGATAAGGATGTCCAGAGGGCGGGGCCAAGTTCCGGGCTTGGAGGGGTAGTACTCATAGGTGGGGTTGTCGTTGCCGACAGGGTCCCAGGTACTGGGGCTATCGACTGGAATTTGGAGCGGAATGAGGAAATATAGTTCATCAGTGGCGGCCAGGATCGGACTGAGCGAATTGCTCCGGCTCTCCTCCAGGTTTGGATTGCAAGGGCGCGCCGAACAAGATCTCCCGCAAATCCACGGACTACTCACGGTCAATGTTGAGGTTGCTGCCGGAGAGGAAAAAGATATTGCCATCATAGAGAGTAACGGCAGTGGGATACCAGCGCTTGGTGCTCATGGGACCCATCGAGAGGTCCCAGGTGCCGATCGTGCAGTTGGTGGCACCGGCGGGGCAAGGGCGGTAGATACGTCTCATGTTGTGGCCATCGAGCTCGTACGAGTTGCCGTTGTCTGGGATGATGGTTGACTTGTCACCGCCGACGACAAAGACGTTGCCGTCGGCCATCTGCACGTGGTGGCCGCAGAAGGGACTGTAGTCCATCTTGGGAGTGACCTGGTACAGATTGGAGTTGGGATCGCCCGTGTACTTGGAGGGATCGAGCTCGACAGTGAGACTGGGGTACTTGCTCCCAGCAAAGGTGTTTTGGTTTGGTTGGTACTAGAGCGGTGCGGGAAGGAGAACGAGGAAGGCGGTGATGCTGATTAGATGCGAGAGCTTGCCACAAATCACAGGGTTGATGAAGGCGGCATCCAGTCTGCCGGGTCCACCGAGGCAACAGCAGCGTTCCCACCAAGGGGCTGTGAGAGATAAGCATAGGACCAATGCAGGTACTCCAGGAAGCAAGCACCGACTTACAGGGAAAGGATGGGGTCGCTCCATGCACAAGAAGCGCTCGTTCGGAAGGAGAATCAAGTGGATGCAAGTGACACCCGTGTTTCCGATGACATCCCACTTGCCCGGGAGGTTCTGCTGGCCCAGGACCGATGGAGCCAAGGTGCTAGCGGCCAGCAAGGCGAGAGTCGCCGATGATGCTTTCATGACTGCGATCTGGGGTGATGTGCGGGGTACATGAGACCGAGTCGTGATAGACATGCCTGGGAAACAGGTGCTCAGACACTCCGAGTTACTTTGCTTTTGACACTGCTTACATTTGGTGAGACTGGTGGAAGGTTTGAGATAGCGAAATATGTTCGAAGCTTATATGGCGGCCCCCAGGAGACAAGACCGATGAGAGAGGGAGAGTATGCCGTCTGGCAGATATGACGCAGCAACAACGACGGCTCTCGCAGCACATGGATGCTTGGGCGGCCCCGGGACCGGATCTGTATTTATTGAGGTGTCGCGGAGCGAGACAGCCCGCTGTGCGACGGCATGGCATGGGCTCGATCATACCTGACTCATTGCTGGCATGTGCGACATGCGGGTGGTGGGCGGACGCAGCGAGGAGCGCGTCTGGGGACAGCAAAACGAGCGCACCGACCGGGCCTTGGGGAGGACGACAAGGCCCGAGAGACATGGGCACTTGCGGGTGGCGTGGATGCATGACGGATGCTGACTGCGATGCGATCGGCGGACGATCCGGACCAGGCCGCCATGGTTGGCCGAGTCCCGCTTGGATGGGATGATGCCATTCGCTGTGCAGCAGCGACACAGAATCCACACACAGAACACAGCACACAGCACACAACACACAGCACAGAACACATCACACATCACACAACACACAGAACACATCACACAACGCTGCCGACTGGCCGAGTCCTTGTTGTGGTGAGGGATTTTTGCGGTGTCTGTATTACCCCGGCTGTGTCTGCGCTGCCACCGTGCCAGGAGCAGTCGCGGCAAAGGGCGTCCTCTGACACAGCCTTGCTCCTTGCCCCCCCCCTCGCAAACAGGAGCCCCGCCCCCCTTGCCGCTCTTCCGTCCTCGTCAGCAGGATCGCATGCACCACATGCCGGCGAAAGCCAGATCATCTTGCCAGCCCAATTCACAGCCCCGGCGGATGCGTGAAGAGCCGCGAAAAGACAGATCGGCTCGTTGCAATGTCGGTTCCCCCAACGAGGATACTCGAGACCTCGTTCTGGAGGGCTATGCCGCGGATCAGGTTGGCCTCCGCAAAGGTCACGCCCCCAACGACCACGACAATCATGCTCGAGAACTGCGACGGGTGGGGCGCACCTCCGAGAAGACGGCTGAGGGGCGGCGTCGTTGGGATGGGTGGTGGTGGGCAGAGGCAGGACAGCAGGACAGCGGGACAGCGAGAGGCAAGACGGTGGATGGCAGAGCGGGTGGGTGCAAACGGTTGCATGTGGTCAATGCGATGAGCCAACACACTTCAAGGATGCGGTCCCAGCGAAACAATCTGGCTTTGGCGGGCCCAACGCACCGCAGCAGACGAGAGACCGAGAGGCGGCGCAGACGCAGCAGACATGGACGAGCGACACCAGAGGTCCAAGGCCGGATGTCAACGCATCACCCGGACTCATTGCCGGTCGCATCGCCCAGCTCCTCTCTATCAGCCGATCAACTTTGCAGCGGCCAGTCCGATATGACCGAGGGATTGCATGCACAAACCTAAAGCTGAATCCGCCAATAACGCTGCCTGGATAGGGAACGTGTGTGAGATCGGACACATCGGGCTGCCCGGGCGGAGGGCGGCCCTTGAAGATTGTCTCCATCACTTGCTGGACCAGAGGCTTGTACAGCTCGGCCGAGGACGGATCCAGCACGGAGCTGATGGTTCGAGGCGGCAGGGATGAGAGTCGCGGGCACCAACATTGTCGATGGTGAGAACTGAGTACGAGCCAGTAACTCGGAAAGCGATCGAGCTGCAAGAAAGGGACCACGCCCAGTCGTCGGAAGCCTTACTGAAAGTGCTTGAGCTCGCTGCGGGCCGCTCGGATCCGCTTGAGAGTGCTGAACGTATCTCGGATCCACCGATCGACCTCGGCCGCCTGTGGCGAGTTCCTCTGTGGGCTCTCGTACTCTTGGGAATCGCCAAAGGACTCCAGATGCGAGTCAAAGTCGACATCCCAGTCGGTTTCCCAGCCATCCTGGTGTCCCCATCATGAAAGCCAGAGATTCACTTGTTGGTCAGGTCTGCAAGACTGTATCGCTTACGAACACTGCCACATCACTGACCGGCTCGGCTCGGCTCCGCTCGACAACAGGAGCAGAGTTGCATGTCAACTCACGGTCGAGGGTTGCTTTGGCTTGGCCTGTGCGTGAGGCTGGGCTGGACCCAGGAGTGCTCGCTTGAAGGCCTCCTTGAGGGTCTGCTCATCGCGGGCACTGAATGATACAGTGCTGCCAACGAGGGCATGGACCAGGATCGTAAAGTCGAGCGTATCCTCCAACGTAAACTGAGATCGACCGTCGCCTGCAAGTACCAGAGCCGCGGCGTTAAAGAGCAGCACTCGTCAGGGCAGGATGGGTTGTCACCAACGCTGCGTCCTTGCACTGCACTAGCTCCTACCTCTCGGAAGCATGCTGGCGATCTGCTGGATGACCACACTCGAGTCCATTGTCTCGGAAAGTGCAAGCATGGTGGTTTTCTCGATGCCAAGGAGATCGCTCCAGTTGCTCGAGCGACTAGCTTCGCCCCCCCGTCCATGATGGTGGTCCACCCAACCGATAGCGTTAGACTCAGTCGACTTGTACCAGCCGGCCACGAATGCGCTGCTTACGTTTTGATGATCACAGCGACAGCAGCCGCCAGCGTCTGCAGAAACGCGCTGTTTTCGTAGACGAAGGCATTGTCTTGTTGCATGATCGTCTGCAGTATAGCATGCAACTCTGTCGGCGTCAGAGCTCGGGTTCCCTGGAGGAGAATACGATGATGCAATTATATCAGGCCCGTAAAGCCAAGTTAATACACAACCCTGGTAACGGCTGATCCGCACAATAGCACTCCACAGGGCAGAAGCAGAGGCAGATAGACACACAAAGGCGGTATACAGATCAGCACATTACCTTGGCTGCTGCATTTGGCAGCGCCAGATTCTGGTGCTGGACAATGTCCATCAATCGGTTGCTTTGGATCGGAAATATGATGCCTCCGTTAGAGAGCAAATATACATCGTGCTGCGGCTCCAACGGCAGCTGAGATTGCCACACGGCGGATACAATCAGAAAAAGCAGGAAACTATGAAGGGAGGGTGCGATATGCTTACCGAATCAAGCCAAGCGCTTCCTTCTGAGAAAGCGCGGTCAGTTCATCAAGAAGACCAGTAGAGTCCACGCTCATCCCGTGGGCCAGAGAAAAGACCGCTATGGAGGTGACGGATGGTCGTTAGCAGGTCCTAGAGCGAGGCGCTAATGCCACACCGAGATCAAAGCCCTGAACCGAACACAGCCTCGGGGCCAGCACGAGGAGAATACAGACTACTCACCGGTATCAGACAATTCAGGCGCATCATCCAGCAGCTGCTCCGCCGGAATGGCAATATCCACCGAGCACGGCGTGACCCTGGGGAAGACCTGGTATAGCTGATCCAAGATGTTTTCCGAGTGCTGCATCGGCGAGACCAGATCCAGGTTCTGGGTGCACGTGTCCATGAGCAGAAATTAAACAAGAGCACGAATGCAGCATCAACCCGCAAAGACGGCACTTGATTTGTCTGCGAGCAGCACTGGGGAAAGCACACACCAAACGCCGACGACGAGCGGGGGGCATGGCGTGACAGCCGACTGGATAGCCTCGGTCGCCGGTACATCGGCTGCGGGCCAATGCAAGCGAGCTCTGCTGGCTGATCTCCACCTACCCGATCTATCAAAATTACAGCGACATTGCGGTCGGACGACCTTCTTGCAGCCAACGAGGAGTTGGCTATTACACTTTTGGCGATCCGCTTTGAGGTCTCGCCTGTGGAGTCGAGGCGAATCCGATATGTGTCAGACGCCATACGATACAAAGATATTGATCCAGTAGCACAAGTCCGGTGCCAGACGTGAAGCGGTCAGGTTGACAGTTGCTCACCAAGCACATAAAACTCCTCTCGGAGGTTGAGCGAGTCCAGGATTGTCGACAAAGAGTGGCTGAAGTGGCGGGCGTTGATCTGTTTGGAGACCATTCCAGCATAGAGACGATCAATGTCCCGATGGAGATGAATCGGGATGAGCGAATCTGATCGAGCCGCACAGACAGGCGCTGATGTGCTTGTTGAGATGGATGACACTATGGCCCGAGAGTCCCAGCTGAAGTGCGTTTGGATGTCCCTACCTCATGTGCATCTGTGGTTGCCGAATGGGTATGGTTGGAAACACAGATGCAACGCAGCGATCCGGAGCGAGGATGATGAGCAGAGGCAATACCGGTGCCACCAGCCGGGACGCCATGCATGTTGCACTTTCGATCACCACAGCTCGCGGTGGCGATCGACTAATTTGTAGTCTGCTCCCTTGATTGATCTGAGCGACCCGCACTACCGAAACATACCGGCGGAGGACGAGAGCGGCCCAGGCTTTAGTGTCGGAAAGAGCTCGACTGCCGAAGGAACAACAAAGACATCGCTCGTGATCGATGCCCATAGGAGCGGAATGTGCTCGATCTTGATTGTGACAGAGCCGTTGAAGCTGGGCTCGAATCTTGACGTCGATGGCAATGGGGCGGCACGATTAGAACTAGACTGCGGCGCTGCTGAGACAGTTCAGGGACTCGGTCGGTGTTCAGGGACTCGGCCGGTGTCCAAGTCGGCAGCAACTCCTGTTCAAAGGTATGCTGACGCCAGACAAGTGGAATTGCAAAGGCATATACCGACTAGTACATCGACAATTGAGTCTCGGCTTGCTCAACACTCACTTGTTGATGCTCTGGGTCATCCACATGTAGACCACATCCTCGACAGCCGAAAAATAGTCTGTTGTACTGGATCTCTGGACACCAGCATTGTCAAAATACTCGCACAGCGACGTATCTTGGAGAAGCTCGACCTCCTGCGCGTGCAGCGGAAGCGATGTGATGATGAAGCACTCATGGTACGAGCACGACAACAGAACCTCGCGGATCACAAATTCGTATAGCGCCAGATGCTTCGAGACAATAAAGACAACCCGGGTCGACTTTGGGAGCCTGGAATCGACAACGAACGGGGTTAGGCGATGCCGACCAGCCAAGGCCCGGATTCATGCCATCGAGATCGGAGGAGGCTGGGCCGCTGACCGAAGGAGACACATTGTCGACGAGAGCGGCAATACAGGTCGGATGTGGCAGGTGATATCAGCGGGATGCGACATCGATCGTCGTTACCTGAGCTTCCCTTGGTCCTCGACTGCCGATTCAAGCGACCGGATCGATGCCGGGCCAAGCGCAAGCAGCTGGTGAGCGCCGCCTGGGTGTGTCCACTTGACGACTTGTGCGGCTTCGTTGTCGATGTAGACGGTTGCGTCCTTGAGGATTGGCACAGCCCTAGCCCAGGCATCTGAAGAAACCGCTTCGAGGTTCATGGATACAGCAGGAGCAACGGAAGCACCGATGCTTGTGAATTGCCGAGGGAATATCGTCGAGATGCGGCGCTGTGGTTGACCAGGAGAGCCCGGCGGTTGAGCAGAGACAGCGAGCCGACCTATGAATCTGGGATGGATCTCTGTTCTCGGCATGGCGCTCTCGCTCGCCAGCGAGAACAATCACGTGCGCCCATGTGCCAGATCGCGTGACTCCATCCGTCCTGGGCAACCATGATAGCACCAAAATCGGAGACGGGACACACTCTATTCAGTGGGAAATGGGACACCTGCCCACAACCAATTTGTCAGTGCAGTATGCGATGGCATGCGTCTAGCTAGCCATAAGAAATAGAACAGATCACTTTGGCATCCTCCGAGTGAAGACCACAGGTCGCAGTGCAGCGATGCGGAAATTGAGGGTGTTGTGATTGGCCATGATTGCAATGAGTGGGTGGGTGTATTCAGGTCACAGAAAAACCCCTGTCATGGCTCAAAACGGGGTGTCCCATTTCATTTTGGAAACGCTGTAACGCCGATATACGACTACGACATCTCATATACGACTACGACACCATGCCCGACCAAGCGAGACCAGCCGAACTTGCCGGGCCTTGAGGCGATCTCGCCGGGGCCATACAAATACCCGGCGAGCTGCCTCTGGACAGGCAAGTCCGGCCTCCTGACCGACGGTGGTTTCCAGAAACCCAGCCTCGAACCGGATCCCGCTCGGAAACCCATGTGCATTTTGCGCCTGGGGCTGCCAACCCCCAACTTTCCTGCGACCATCCGGCACCGCTCTTCCTGCGCATTGCTCCTCTGTTGCTCCACCTCCACATTCCGGATTTCTCCAATCATCATATCGCCGCCTCTCGCCATTATCATCGCCTGTTCAGGTCCAACATCTCAGCCACGACCAGATCCATCCTGAACCCACGATGTGCATCATCTTCTTCACTCTAAACCATCCCGTCTACAAACTGTGAGTCCATCCGCCGCGTCTGTCTGGTCGGCAGCGTGGGTGCTGCATCGATCGGCATGCTCTTCGCCCGCTCATCAGCCATGCAGCAGCGTAACAATAGCCATGATCGATTTCATCACACCCAGGGTCATCGCCGCGAATCGAGACGAATATATAACTCGCCCTGCTCGTCGAGCCGGGGTCTGGCCGCAGAATCCGCACGTTATCGGCGGCATCGACTTTGGATTCAACTTCCCCCTCAAGGCACCTCCCAGCCAAGGCTCCTCAGCAACGGCGACGGCAGCGGAAGCGACGGCAGAAACCAAAGAAGCAGCGTCGCCCGATGTCACTTCGCCTGGTGGCGACCCAAACGGAACCTGGCTCGGCGTTACCACCGACGGCCGATTCGCTTTCATCACCAACTATCGCGAGCCCCCGCATCTTGTTTCGACTATAGCCCAGTCGCGGGGGCATTTGGTAGGTCGGTTTCTGACGGCCGAACCAGAGCAGGCCGCGTCCCCAGAGGAGTATCTGACCCGGCTCTCTCCCGATGCCCATCGATACAACGGCTTCAACTTGGTCGTTGGAGACATCCACGGCTCCATGTTTCACATCAGCAACCGCAAAGCTGGCCAGTCTGGCCATGCGGTGTGGAATTCGCCGGCGCCCATTCCCCTGGCCAACTCGGCTGTCTATGGCATGAGCAACGGAATGCTCTTTCCCGACTCGGACGATGATGTATGGCCCAAAGTTCGAAAGGCCAAAGCCGAGGTCGAGGCCCTGCTGTACCCAACTGATCCTTTAGTCGGCTGCGAATCGCAGGAACAGCTGATTGAGAAGCTCCTCGACGTTCTGAGCGACACCGCCCAGGTCGAGTCTGCAGAGCTGCTTCCCAAGCGTATGTTCAACTACAATCTAGAGCGACTGCTCTCGGCCGTGTGTATCGACCGCCGGTGCATGCCCAACCAAAGCTACGGAACAAGAACCCAGACCATCGTGCTCATCGATCGAGATGGGAATGGCACCTTTGTCGAGCGAGATCGATACAAGGTCGTCGTTGACGAGGCCACGGGACAGGAGAGCATCATCGAGGGCAATTTCACCGAAATAATTCGGTTTACGGCGGCTTGATCGATCCTATGAACAGGTGTCGATGTCGGACCAATTCGATTGGTGAATCCAGCCGCCGAGAAGCAAGCAGCCACTAAATTCAATGGCGCTGTTCACAAAACAGCGTAGCACTTTGATGAGTGCCGGAAAGTACAGCTTGTTCAGAACAAGACGGGACAGCGGTGTTCCTGAGCGTTCGGCACATCAACGACTAATTGTTGTTGGCTTTGAGGCACTGTCTTGAATATATCTTGTGGATCTCTTTTGGCAACGATCGACTTGCATCGTGAGCACACTTGGCCATGATGGACGATGTATTGGGGTGTATTCCGGACCCAGAAAGTGAGAGCCTGACTCAATGGGGCATCTCGTTTCAGCAGAGACCCGCTGTAACGAGCTATTTGTTCAACCTCACAGTGTGTTTGAGCACGCTGGCAATCAACATTATCTGCTCCGTGCGCTTGAGCTCCTGGACGATGGGCAGCGTCCTGTTCTGAGTTGCCTTCGAGTTCCTGGTCAACCCCCCCCCGGACCATCACATGATTCATTCATGGGTGTGGCTTGTGGTTGGGCGGATGGCTTTGCCCTGCTCTCCTTCGTTCCCCCGGCTCGTTCCCTGCAGAGCTTTGCTTCGTCCTCGCTCTTCGATTGCTCGCCATGACTGCCAGTACCATGTCCTCCTCCCTCGACATCACTCGACTCTCACTCAAACACAACCAAGACATCTTCACCATCTTCTGCTGCAACGACAGCTTCCAACTCGCACTCGACTTGAACACAATCAAGACCCTCCTTCGAGTATGCAAACGAGCCCAGTCTCTCCTGAGCTTCAAGGTGCCTCACTTCCACAGGTGGTGTCAGAGTGCAGGATTGTGCCATCCAGACGGCCAGCTACGGATCGGCCTCACACCGAGCGACCAGATTGCCCTCTCGCTGCACTGCGAGGATCAAGCCACAGCCGACCGATCCTGGCTGGAAGATCGGGCAGAGCAGGGCAATGCTGCCGCCTCCTACTTCTTGGCACGGATTCTTCAAGTCGATCTCGACAAGCAGCAGTCTGCGGATGAATCTGACCGGGTGACTACCCATAATCAAATCGTCCGCCATCTTAAGAATGCAGCTGAAGTTGATCATTCCATGGCACAGCTCGAACTGGCCGAGTGTTATCGCAACGGTCATGGAGTCGACCAAGACCACACCAAAGCCACCGAGCTGTACCGCAGTCTTGCAGATCGCGGAATCTCTCAGGGCCAAATCGCTCTCGGCGGTTGCTATGAGGGCGGTGAAGGCGTCGATCAAGATTACAACATAGCCATCGAGTGGTACTCCAAGGCTGAAGATCAAGGCAGCGAAGATGGTCGACTCCACATCACGTTCCTGCGAGCCTGGTTCTCGTTCATTGGACACGGCACCGAACAGAGCGATGCTGATGCCCTCGCTCGCTGGCAGGAAGTCGCCACCCAGTCCACCGATCCAGTCATTAAACCCATCGCCACCCACATGGTCGGCTGGATGCACTACCTCGGCCGAGGAACTGAGCGAGACGAACAGAGGGGTATCAAGATCATCCGAGACAACCAATCGGACGAGTTCAAACTCGGAGAGTCGGAATGTCTCGCATCGGTTTGGAACAACATCAAGTCCGACTCACGCACAGCCTGCAAGTTCTTCAATCTCTGTCAGCTCGGATCGGACCGAAACTGGTTGTGCAGACATCTCATGGCTGTGTGTGTGTTCTTTGGATTCGGAACTACTGAGGACCGAACAAAGGCAGCAGGAATCTTTGAACCGCTCGCCGATGACGGACACAGCGACAGCCAGTTCTGGATCGGAAGCTGCTATCGATGCGGCGGGGGAGTATCGAGGGACTGGAAAAAGGCATTCGAGGGGTACAGCAAGTCGGCCGACCAAGGCAACTCGTACGGGCAGTGGATCGTTGGTTGTTGCTGCTACAATGGACATGGAGTCACCAGGGACTACGCCAAAGCACTTGAATGGTTCCGCAAATCGTCTGAGCAAGGCAATCGATACGGGCAATGGTGGCTCGGTAACTGCTACCAACTTGGTCGCGGTGTCCCTGAGGACATCGACACCGCCATCTCCTGGTTCCGCAGGTCCGCCGACCAGGGTCATGAATCGGCCTTCAAGGAACTCGAAAGGCGGCCATGATCCCCGAGTCGCTCCCGATTGTCACATTCCAAGAGCCAGGTGACAGCACTGACCATACAAGCAGAGCAGAGCAGCCAAGCAATCCCGCCTTCTGCATCCCTGAGTCTGAAATACCAAACAGCGAGCTTTCAAAGTAGTTCTTGTGCAGCGACAATGACCAAGTGATGCAGGATTTGACATTCAGCACATTCGATATACCGAGTAGCGCTGCCCCATAATCATCGCAGCTGTGTGCAGCCCCACAAGTCAATGAGAGCGGAGGGAGAACGAGAAGCAGACTTTCTGGCTTTCTGTCTCCTCCGCTTATTTTCTAGATCCTTAGTTCCCAGTTTACTCTCTGCCCTACCCTCGCACACCGCCCGCTTACCGTCCGCAATCATTCCCATCGTCCTTCACACGCTTTCGTCGTTTGTCACCATCTACAACCGACTATTCTACTGCTCAAAAGCAAGGGTGGTCCGAGGGCGCCGAGCTTTCCCATGACGATATGATTCACATGATGGCGTGGATATTGGGTCAGCGATGAGTCATCGAGCGCAAATTGAGAGAACAATGTTTGTACCAAGATAGAAGTGCGCTTGATCTAAAATGACCCGTCCGAGCTTGCCAGAGACAAGCTCTCATTGCCTGTGGAAGCGCCGGCGACTGTTGGAGTATATCGAGCAGCAATCCCGCTTGGTGGCAGCGGATCCTCGCCTGGGCCCCATCGACACGGACACAAACCATGAACTCTGTGGGCAAAGACAGGAGTCAGGCTCCGGCTCCGTGGCGAGGTAGGATCCATGGATTTCATCGATTTCAAGGCTCGCAGAAAAGGGAAAACATGTGGCTCTGGCTTGGCTTGGCTGTCGTGAGCAGAGCCCTGAAGGATATGGTGATATGACCCAGCATCGAATCAAGAATCATTTACGTTGATGGCACTGAGGATATTCCGGTAGTGTCGCGACTACAGCATCAGCATCAGCATCAGCATCAGCATCAGCATCAGCATCAGCATCAGCATCAGCATCAGCATCAGCATCAGCATCAGCATCAGCATCAGCATCAGCATCAGCATCAGCATCAGCATCAGCATCAGCATCAGCATCAGCACCGCAACCCAGACCCACAACAGTATGACTGCCAACACATTCCCGAGAAACTGGGAGGGCAGAACGATTGTCTATGCAGGGCAGGAGAGCCTGGTACAGGCCCAAGAAGCAGCGTTCAGCCCAGACCCAAGTCCGGATCCAGCCCAAAACTGGTAAGTCTTGGCCAGCGTGCATTGGCTCAGCCCAACGAGACCAGGGGGGCGGACTTCGAGTGAAAAATGGTTGCTGCGGCGAGGTATTTTAGGTTTGGCGGAATCTCAGTTGATGGTGAAGTCAGTCGAGAGTTGATCAAGCTAGGATGGTGAGGATTGCTGAATGCATCCGGCGATGCAGATTCGCAAGACGACTCGCAGACGACTGGGCATCTTCAACCACGCCAAGCGATCGCAGTCAACAACGACGGGTACGCATTCGATAAATGTGTTATATTGGCTGGGAACCCTCGCAGACATGCATCGATCCATAAACTAAACGGAAGCCGGCCTTTGCCGTGCTCATCTAACGACCGCAATGCACCTCCTCGTCCAATATCTGCCACCACCACGACGCCAAGGCTCGACCATGGATGTCGTGTTTGACGAGATAGAGTTCTTCAGGTCTGGCTCAGACCCAGCCCCGGCAGCGCCTGGCCGATGCGCCGACGATGTCAACTATGCCGATAATTCCGAAGATGCCGACAGACACAGACAAAGCCCTCTGGCTCGCTTGTCGCATTGCAGCAGCCCCAGGCGAGAATTATCGTCAGATCGCTCTGGTGAGCGCGGCCACATTAGCTTGGCTGTGCTCGACATGGCCGACGACAATGACTCACACCCGGAAGCCGACCCCGCCGACGCTTGCAACGGAACAGATATCGGCTCGAGAATTGCAGCCTCAACTCGTCGACAGAGCTTTAGCGACGCTCCCGAGTTTGAGTATCTGCCCCATCGGTTGCATTGACCTAAGCCAGATGGACAAAGTTGTGCTTGGACCGCTCTGCCCAAGGTTGCATCCGCAACTGGTGAGCCGTAACTGCACATCACAAACGAATAAAGCTCCAGAGCATATGCTACCTCGTCTCGCTGACATGCTCTCCTCCACCGCAGCTCACCCAGCTATTGGCTCCTCAGCCACCGTGATGCATCTTGGGAGTTTCCCCCCGGCAACCAGGTTTGGCGTCACCCCACCCAAACAAGCTGCCGACCACATGGCTCCGACCGTGTGCAACCCTGCACCCGATATAGAAGCTGTCAGTACACGTGGGTGCACATGGCTTGGCCCGCCGCAAAAACAACGCCGCGCAAAAAAGCCGCGGCCCTTCCTGCTTGCGCTCTTGGCCCTCAGCCATCCCTGTTGCCTCCGCTCTCTGGTGATAGCCGAGCCGCCGAGCCGCCGAACGACCAACCCAACAACCCTGCTGGCCGACTCAATTGCCGCCGCCTGTCGCCCGTCCCCAACACCGCATATAAGTTGCGATCTCCCAGAGCTCGCAAGCACCGCAAAAACCCCATCGCAAGTCCTCTGCCGCCGCCAACGGGCTGCCATCCCCCCCTCCCGTTCCAAACACGACTCCTGGCCCTCTTGCCCACTAGCCTTTCTCCCTCACCCAGCAATCAGTCCGTCTACCGCCAATCTCCCCGCAGCCATGATTTTCTGGGGTACCTATCGCTTCGCCTGCTCAAAATGCCAGGTCGGCCATCGAAATGCTTCGTGCGACCACCTCTCCCGGCCGCTCATTGAGCTCAAGGGCAAAGGCCGTCCTGTATCCCAGTGCTCGTTCTGTCGGGATAAGCGTAGAGCCGGTCAAGGACACGCCCACCACAAGTGCATCTGCGGTAGCCTCTCGAGCTCCATCTCAAAGAAGCGAATGGAGGCTTATTTCGAGACGGGAATCGTGATGGTGTTTGAGGGCGAAAACGCCGAGTCCGCCCACCAGAAGCTCCAGAAGGAGCGGGAAATCACCGTCACGATTCAAAAGAAAAAGACCCAGTCCCCCGATGATCTACACATGAATTTTGTGTTCCAGACGGCCAAGTTCTTTGAAGAGGTTGTCGAGGTCGACATGATGAAAATCCTGGGTGAGTGCATGCGCAGATGTGTGAGTGTGTGCGCAAGCTGCTGTATTCGAGACCCCCGTCGTTGTTGCGCCGTAGGATCGAGCGATCGCTCGCAACCGGCTCGCGGATGGGCTGCGGCCCGAACAGCTTCCGGAATGTACCGGACCTCTGTTCCTCACTGCGCTGCGTTGCTTCGCTACATTGCTTCGGTGGGCCTGGCAACATCCGTCTCCACGCTTCGCCATCGCTGTTTTGCTTGGTCGTGTTGAAGCAGGCATTGCATTGCACACACGTTTGGCCATCCCGCTGCGCTGTTTTCGACAGTCGTCCAGCCGCCTCATGCTGATCGCCTCTGTTTGCTCCAGCCAATCCGTGCCAATGTCATATGGGTGGGCCATGTATTTGCTCCGAGCTGCCGGCCCAGCCCCGGAACAAGTCGAGGAAGGAGACGCCCACCCAGCTCGCCAACATTGCTCCCTCGCTAGCCTCGTCCTCGCCTTCGTCCTCAGCCGTCCGACCGGCGACGGAAGCTATCCATTCTGTCGCCCCAACCGGCTTCTACTCCAATCCCCAAGCCTTTGATGCCGCGCCCAGCAAGAGCCCTGGCTTTGACTTTAATCTTCAGCAGGATCTTTCCTCCCGTGTGTTTTCTGACGCCATGTCTCACCCGTCTATGCTTCCGGCGCAAGAAATGCCCTCGACCTTCCACGGGCAATATCCCATGGTTACCAGTCACGACCGTACGGCGCTTGAGGCGTTGTTCCAGCTCCGCGACGGCGCCAGCATATACAGCCCGGCCGGCCTTGGCTCGACGCTGGGATTCCAGGCGCCGCTCCCATCACCGGCCCCGGTCATCGATGCCTCGGGCATAGTCAATCCCAGTCTCCTGGCGCCTTTCCCAATGATGAAACCGAGCACCTTGGATATGCTACCGTACATCACTGCAGCCCCTGTGGACCCGGTCCGCGAAATGGCCTACAACGCACGCATGGCCAACGGTCAGCCGCAAGCTGGCTTTGGCAATCCATTGCCGCCGGTGCAAGGGGACCACCTCCCCAAGCGGTCGTGCTGCTCTTCCAAATCGAAAAAGTCGCCGGCTCCATCAAAGCCCCAGAGCGCCAAGGCCACATCCGGATGCTGTGGATCCAAGCCAAAGCCAGACGAGCGAGTGCGCAGCGGCATTGCTTCACCACAAACAGACTCTTGCTGCGAGTCAGGCCGCTCGGAGAAAGCCTCTCTCGGCCAAGCCCACTCACGGGGCGGCTGCGCGGGATGCGAATCGAATGGGGGCTGTCAATGCGCCAGCTCTGCTGGAGGCTGCCGCTGTTCGTCCGTCGAAAGCACCGAGTACTCGAGTTCGATTGAAGACAATGGCCACGAATGGTACGACAACCGCAAATGGGTTGAAATCCCACATGCCGATCCGTCGAGCTCAGCAGCTCCAAGCCCGGCGCACACCAAGTCGACAGGATGCTGCGGTGGCAGCGGCAGTGGTGACGGTGGTGGCAGTTGCGGCGGTCGAAGCCGCGAGCAGACCGATCGACTGGCTTATGCCATGGCACACCCGGCGCTGCAGGGCTCGGTGGTGGGGCAGCACCAGCATCAGCTCCAGCTCCAGCTCCCTGTCGTTGACTCGTATGCTTCCCAAGCACCTACCGAGCCAGGAGCTGGCGAGTACGTCTCCACCCCACCCGCGAGCGGCCCGGCGTCGTTCTGCGCATCCAAGCTGCCGTCGGCGCAGCGGCTCGAAGCTCTTGTGGCCCTGAATACGATCGTCCAAGAGGAAATTGCGCGAGCGACCTGTGCCTGCGGATGCGACCGTCAGGGCGGGGTATGCAGAAACTGCACCAAGTAACCTGGCTCGACACTCGACGACATGCTGTGGGACACCGAGCTGCCCGCAAGATCGTGGCGCGAATAGTTTTGGTGACTGGGGTTCGAGAGCGAGGCGAGCTATCGGTCTTTATATGGGCAAACGGGACACCCTCACGATCCCATTTGTCAGCCTAGTATGTGATGGCTTGCGTCTGGCTAAGTCATAAGAAATAAAAACAGATCCCCTCCGAGTGAAGACCACCGGTCGCTCTCCGGTTTCCACAGCCGACTCCGCACTGGTGAATGGTGCTCTTGGACACTGAATATGGAGGCAACTTTTCTCGGGCTATGGGTAAGGGCGTAGCATCGTAACGCAGAATGGTCATGGCCAGCGCGTGACATAATATCAAGTCGATGGTCAAAATCCGTGGTGTCTCGTTTTTATTGGAATGATTGTAATGACCATCATCACCCGAGGGCCTTGACCTTGGTGCCGCCGGCAAAGCAAGCGATGCGGGCGGTGTAGGCGATGTGATCCACGGGCGGCCCATTCCGGTTGATGCATGCAGCTCACTGGCGTCACGATGACTCTGGCCGAGCCGAGCCCCACCCGAGGAACCATCTGCGCTCAGGAACAGGAGCCGACATGAGCCCGCCGCGCGGACTCAGCCTATCGACAGCCTTGGCCGGCAAGCATCGGCACCGCCTGCTGCGGGCATTGATTCTCCCGTCTGTTCCTTGTCGATGGCTTCTGCACCCACACCCACCCAGCGTGTTGCATATGCGGCTTGTTTGTCTGTCCTGACGCATCGGCTTGGCGCAGACCCGGCATCCCGACTCCCAGAGCCGGCGGGGCGCTCGTTTCTTGGGCCGCGGCTGACTCAGGTTGGATCACCGCCGCACATTGCGGATTCATTCTCCTCCGATGTCCTCCGATGCCCTCCGGAGGACATGCTCGATGCTTCCACGGCCAAAGTATAAATAGCGGCTCCCGCACGGCACGCACCCTCTCCACACATCGAACCCCACTTGCCTTTGCGTCATCCAATCCAACCCAGCTCTCCCGCTCTGATTCCTACTTCGCCCGTGAAGCAATGACCTCCTCCCGCTCCTACCACGACGTCATGGTCGCCCTCGACGACTCCTGCTTCGGCACCCTGGCCCTGGAATATGCCTTTGAGCATGTTTTGCACAACAGCGACAACCTCTTTGTCGTCTCGGTTGTGAGGCCCAGTAACGCCATCTCGGCCAAGCTGAGCCCTCTCAACATCGGTAGGTCTCTTGGTCCTGCAACTCAAGCCCCGCCCGCTCGTACACTCCCTTGTGCTCACCTCCTTGCTCTGCGATTCTGGCGACGGACAGCCACTGCCGACATTGACATGCAGTTTGTCGTAAGTATTCTCCCGACCACTGCCGGGGCTGAACTGCATACTATCTACATTCATGCTGTTGCCCTGTAGAGGCTTCCCGTTCGCTCGCTCACCCATTCACCCACGGCGCTGCACGGCCCCCATAGATTGCAAAGAAGGCCCAAGCTCTTGTCGACGAGTTCTCCGCCAAGTACTCCAAGCGTGTTAACGTCCTTGTCAAGACCTTTATCGGCGACCCTCGCCATGTCGTCGTTACCTATGCCAACGATGTCAAGGTCAAGCTTATTGTGATGGGTAGCCGTGGTCTTTCCGGCATGACTCAGTAAGCACTCGCCATGCATTGCTTCACCATGCATCATCGCTTCACCATGCATCCACACATCCGCACACGTTGCCCCGACTAATATCTCGCCCTTTTGTCCTTAGCATGCTCGGAAGTGTTTCGTCCCATGTCGTTCAACATGCATCTGTTCCCGTACTGGTGGTTCGTCCCCCAGGAGAGTGTCTCCAGCCCAATGTCGAAACTAAACCAGTGCTGGAACAGCCGCTGGAGCAGCCCTCGGCGAGTCTGGTCGAAGCCAACTGATACCCACCCGCTGAAACCACTTCCTTCGAATGTCCAAGACCACTGCTCGGACTGGAGCGCTCTTGGCCCATCCAACAAGCTGTATTCTGCATCTCCGTCTCCGTCTTTTGTTCCGTTGTGGGTCCTTGCGTTTGGCACCACCATCCTATCGAATAATCCGCAGCATTCTCATTGGCAACGCTCCACACATGCAATGTCCTGAGCTTCTTCCTTGTATTTCAATGCTTCTCAATACCATTCATATCATAAATCCGATACCATGGCCCTCTGGCAGAGCGTGTGCACGGGGTTGACCAACACACATCGAGTGGATGCACCACGCTCACACATTGAGTGGACGCACTATACCACATCGCCACAGGAGATCGACCAAGTGTATTCAAGACCAAACCAACGAAAATAAAGAGATTGCCAACCAGGACAGGAAACAATCGCATGGCTTGTTCACTGGGTCTACGAAAGTTCAGCAGGCGCTGTCCGGCTTCGTTTTTGAATAAGCTGTACATCTGCCCGCCGTTTCACGACTTGATGTATCGAGTCGGTCGAACCACAGACAAGCCTTTGGGGTCCCCCCCCGTTGAGGTGCACTACATATCAAAAGAGACTGCACCGCTGGACTTCTTGGTCACTTCGAGGCGATATATCTTGGTTGGGTCGAGTGCGCCGGCGTTCTTGGGGACGAAATGGATCCGCTTCTCGGCCACGTCGCTGCGGATGGCAATCTCGTCACCCGGAGGAGCCGTCCACTTCAAGGACACTCCATGCGGGTAGATGACCTTTGTGTCGATCGAGAGCGATGCAATCGCATCCGCAGTCGACTCGACGGTGCCACCAAACGACAGCTCGACCACATAGTGGCCCGAGGCTTGGTCAATCTTCTGGCTCTCGATGGCAGCGTAGGCGGCGGGTTGCTTGGCATTGTTGGGCCACAGGAAGGGCGGAGCGCCGTGGCTCTTGAGGTATGCGACCACACGGGCAATCAAGAGTGGCGTCTGCGTCGACACCTGCTTCACCACCGCTGTCGGGATGGAGCCACCAATGTCGATGTCGACAATGTAGGTGATGTCGAGACCGCCCGGTACGGCCGACGACGGCCGGAGGATCCAGCCGGAGATGGCCAGGTTGGCCCGCACCTTGTCCTTTGCAGGCGGGTACTGCTGGTTGAGTTCGGGAACGCTGAATTGATACAGATAGTGGTGATCGCCTTCTTGAGCAGCATCACTCATGCCGACAATGTCACGTCCACTGCCGACAGTAACGATGCCAGATGAATGCTTGAGATTGGCAGTACAGAAAACAGCCTGCGTCCAAGACAGCGTCGCTCAGCAAGGATAAGGACTGGAGTAAAACTCACCTCACGATCGGCCAAAACCCGTATTGCAGGGTTTGGAACACATAGGCGGTGGAGTTGAAAATCTTCAAGGCCTGGCCACCCTCGGTGCGAGAGTCCCCTGGAAGCGTGAATCCGGCCGGTCCGGAGCAAGCGCCATGGCAGGAGCGGCCATCGTCCGAATCACAGCCGCGGAAACGTAGTTGACAGGGCACGAAGTAGTTCATGCCATGAGAATCAAAGCAGCAATCGGGATATGAACGGCAGACGTGGTATCAGTACCGCGTGGCCCGTGGGATGTGAAGTCGCAGCTCAATCGAGCAGAAGCCCCGAAACTCACAGTGCTTGCGGAGTTCGCCAAAGCTCGCGACTGAGAAAACGTCCTCGAGACTGCACTCGGCCGGGCCGTAGGTGGCATCGCCACGGATGATGGGCACGCTTGCCGACGAGCTGCCCGAATATGTCTTGAGGGTGACGCCTTCGGACTTCTGGACCGTGGTCCAATCTTGCGAGTGGAAAAGGGCCTTGAGCTTTTGGAGCGCATCGGCTCGGGCCTCTGGGTACGGGATGGATGCCATGGCGGGAGGAGGCAGGCGGTCGAGAGGAGAGGAGAGGAGAGGAGAGGAGAGGAGAGGAGAGCGCGGTGCTGGCAAGACAGGGATGTGGCCAGGGTCCGGTCGGTATTTCACGAGCCCGCATGCTGGCGCGCCAAGGCAAATGACCCGTTTTTCCAGAGCGAATCCGGAGAAACCCGCCGCCCCACTGCCCCACCGGGCCTGGACACTGCTCGCTCGTTCGGCAGACCTAGGCGAGATCCTCCATCGGGCACCGACAGCAGCACCGGCTGTGGCGCCGCATTAATAATGCTCGATTGATAGGCGCCGCTCGATAACTGCGGCAGCATATATTTCGTTGTCGATTTCACAACACTACCGCTTTCGTGCCAAGCCCAAGCGTCTGTCAGCACCGCTTGATACCAGGATATTGGACGGGCTTGGGAGCCATGGGAGGTGGTGCGGTGCGAGCCAAGCCCTCCACCAACCCTCGCAAATGTTTGCAGTGCAGGGCTCACACAATCAGGTCGAGCTCGTAGCGCTGGTAGATGTTGTTGCTGTCGTTCTCGGCTCGGGGATAGTAGCCCACAAGGGCGCCTTGGGCACCGATGTACAAGCTGTTGTATATCTTCCAGTAAATCTCGCGCACTCGGCGAGCGGGATGGAACAGCCCTTGAAGAACGTACTGCAGAATCACGGCTGGGCCCAAAGCCACACGCAGTCCCTCGATGGCCTCCATGACAGCATTGATAACGTGCGGCGAGGTTTCTGTTGGCAAAGGCACGTCGGGTCAGTCGGTGGCGAACAGAGGCAGCAAACTCAATCGCCCTGAGCCGAGTCTGTCCTTTCTCTTGCCTGCATTCAGTCACTAGCGGGTGCGGGATTCAAGTCGAGAGAGCAGCGACACATGTTCCAAAACCAGATTTCCCAAACGGCTCAGCGGTGCGCTCGTTCTTGCAAATTGCATGGCAACTTACCAAAGATGTTCGGCCAGACATAGTTGAGGAGATGATGCATGGCGTCCTCGCAGCCCAGACCAACGACACCGAGGGCCATGTGCTTGACCGTGGTGCAGGCCGTCTGGCGATGGACCAGATCGCGGTCCATCAGAGCATCCTCCAGCAGCGGCGTGACCGCATAGACATAATCCTTGCCCATCTCGCCAATGTACTCGAACAGGAAGCTCAAACTCTTCAAAACGCCGTTCTGGACGTTGAGCTCCGGAACGCGGTACTCGTTCATGAGCGCCGGCAGGACCGTGAAGGGTGAGCACGTTTCGGCAACGATGGCAATGGCAACGGTGGTGCACACACGGTTCTGGCGCTCCTGGACCTTGAGGTTGTTCAAGAGCGTTGCCAGTACATCCTGCGGACCAATCGCCTTGGCAATGTAGCCGAAAGTGTTGACAGTGGCACGCTGGATTGCCTTTTTGTGGGCCTTGAGCATGTCCAGGAGCTCGAAGCAGATGCGCATCCATTCGCGGGCCGAGACATACTCGGCGCCACGATCAGCGATGCGGCCAACCAGGTCGATGCAGTTCTCCTGCACCTTCTCGTGTCGGTTCTTCAGGATCGGAGTCAGCCGAGGAAGGAGCTCCTTGATGGGGGGAGTCATGTTGCTCATGCCAATGACATTGACGATGCTCTTGAGAGCACCCAGGATACTGCCGAGCACCTCTGGATACTCTTCGCCAAGATACTCATACAGAATCACACCGAGCTTAGCCATGACGGCCTCTTCACCGCAGTTCTTCATCACGACGACGATCCGGGAGATCAAGTCGGCAGCCTGCTGACGGACCTTGGCGGATTTGTTGTTGAGGCGCCATCGGATGTTGCCCTCGATCTGAGTGATGTAGGGCTTGACGCGCAAACCAAGCGAGTTCACGACCGTGCCAAAGCCGTTCAAGATGACAACGTCTTCAATGGTCTGCTGCTGGAAGGCATACAAGATGCCGTCAATCAGGATCTCCTCGAGGCGATCGTCGATATCGGCCGTGCCGAGCTCCGAGACCACCTTGTCGATCGTCTCCATAACCATCTTGCGATAGGGCTCGCTCTCGTCCTTCAGATCCTCGACGATCCGCTTGACGATTTCAGAGACTCCGACCTTGCGGGCCAGCTCGACTGTCGTCTCGACCAGTTGCTTATAATTGCGGCGGTCCAGAGCCATCCTTCGAACCCAAAAGTGCTTGAAGAACTCGTCCAGGATCTGGGTGCGGATGTATTCGGCCGAGACGCCATCCGTCGCCGTGCACTGCTTGACGACCTTGAGAACGATTTTCTTCATTTCTTCATCGGGTGACTGGAACTCGCGGATCAGAATCACCATCACTTGGCGAGTGTAGAAGTTGGCGTGCTCGGGGGCCATCAGGGGGATGATGTAGCCAACGGCCTTCAAGAATGCAGCCAGACCTTTGCCGCGATGCTTCTTGGTGCCCTCCCAGAGTGGACGCAGGGCCGAGTCAAAGGATTCGATGCCGTATGGTGCAGCTGCTTCAGCCAAAGCCGCAATTGCCAGTGCGCTGATGGTTCGCACTTTCTGCTGTTCATCGGTGATCCCGTGGACGATGGCCTCAACCAAACTCTTGAGGTGCGGAAGGACAGCGCAGCCCATCAGAATGGCGATTTGCTGCACAATCTTGATGCCTGTATGTCGCGCCTGCCACGACTTTTGCGACCGACACACGGCGCGCAAGAAAGGAAGGAGCTGAGGAATGCCGAGCGCCGAGGCGACGACCGAAAAGGCTCGCGCAGTGGTGTTGCGGACATATTCATCGGGGTTATCAATGTCCGGGCGCATGGTTGGGATCATAAAGGCCAGGCCGGCAGCCTTACTGAGGTTGCTGATGATCTCGCGTCCTTCGACGCGGGCGTAGTAATCCTCGTCAATGAGCAGCGGCTCGATGACGACAAGGATTTTGTGAACGTACGGGCGAACAAGGTCGTCGAGCTTGTAGAGGATTCGGTCAATGACCTTGACAAGCAAGTGGCGCTCCTGGTCCTCCAGGGTGGGTGACATGAGCAGCGGGAGGATCTGGTTGAAGAGCGGGCCGGCACCAAACTCGCGGGCCTTGTCCGTGATCTGTCGCAAGGCGATCTTGCGAATGGGCGGCGTGCCATTCTTGATCTTGAGAAGCAGGCGCATGATCTTGCGCTCCTTGAGCTCGTCCACGGACAGATCCGACTCTTCCTTTTCATCAAAGAGCTTTCCAAAGTGCTGCATGTCCTCGGGCTTGAAGAACTGGAGATTTCCGACGCCGGAAAGCTCCGGAGGAATATCATACTGCTGGTGCCGATCCTCTTCCTGCATCATGAAGCCGGCGCCAACCTGACCGGCCATCGGGGTGGGTGTTTGCATGAGCTTGCGCGCAGGGGTGCGGATAGGCTGGTAAGTGGCTGGGGGCTCAAGGATCTTGTAGCCAGTCGTGGGAAACATAGCATCGAGCTCCTCGTCGGTGAGCTCTCGGTTCCGGTAGTCGATTTCCTTTTCCCAGCGCATTGCATTGACGGCCTCGGGGGTCATGGGGACCTGGACCTGTCCAGGCGTCGGCGTGAGCAAACCCAAGCCTCCAACCGGGGTAGCTGCGAACTGGGACGACCCAGCAACAGGGGTCTCGTCCCAACGCGACCGCCTGCCAGCTGTCGGTGTGGCAGCCGGCCCGGCCTGCTTGGGAGTCGCATCCCACTGTGTGCTTGCGGCCACAGGGGTCTCGTCCCATCGATTGCGTTTGCGCGGGGTCGGAGCGGCTGAGGCAGCAACGGGGGTCTCGTCCCAGCGGTTCGAGGACGTCTTGGTGGGCTTCTCGTCCTCCTCCCACTCGGACTTGGGCGGGCTGGTGCTGTGACTCTCGCTATCGGATGTAGGGACAACAGCAGCCTGGTCCCAGCGACGTTTCCGAGGCGCAGGCTGTGTCGACGAGCTCGCAGCCGCTCCGGACTTGTCATTCTCGGCAGCCTCGCTCCGCTTCTCCTGGATCAACTTCCGGACACGGGCTTCCTCCTTCTCCAGTTCGGCCTCTCTCATGACGTCAGCATAACTGCGCTGCCCAGCCGTGGGCTCTTGGTTGGAAAATGCATCGACTCGCTCGGGGGATAGCTGGCGGTTCAGACGCCGCTTGCGGTAATCGTCCTCGCGATCGATGACCTTGCGGGAGGTGCGTGCCATGGGGTCGAGGCTGTCCTCATCATCGGCCCCGAGAGTAGCCATCTCATCCAGGATGGCCTTTGGGGCAGTGTAGGATGCCAGCCTCTTCTTGGGCTGCGTGTGCATCGGGTCAAAGTCGTCGTGGCTCTCGTTGATGGGCAGCGAGTCGTCGTACTCGGCATGAGCCCCGCCCGAAGAGCCAAAGCCCTCGACTTCGTCGTATGTGTTGGTGGATCGGCCAAAGGCGCTGCCTTTTGCCAGAAGAGCCTTGCGCTGCTCCTGGATGGCACGGATATCGTCATCTTCAACTGCATTGCAGAGATCGAGATGTGGGAGTAGTTAGTAGCTGGTCAGCAACCACTCGGTGCCATTTGGGGAAGGGTGCCGTTCGCGGATCGCCCCAGAGGTGACGAGCGACTGGCCATCATCAATGCTCAGCACAAGCAACTGGACAGGTGTAACCAACAGGCCAGAGCATCAGCGATCTGTCGGCCAGACATGGGGATCAGCAGGACGGACCAAGAAACGAGATCTTGGGAGAGTGCGACAGCGCCCTGACGCACGCCGCTCCGGTCGAGGATACCGAGTCTCAACTCACCGTCGCTCATGGTTCCACTTCCCGGCGCCGATCAGATGCTGATGGATGTGCAATACGATGCCGCTGCAGACGGTGCGATCAGATCGACACGGTATGCGCAGGGTGGTCGGGGTCGATGGTGGTCCGAGGCGGTCGGCAGGGCGGGGCTGATCGAGATTCTGGTTCTCCGCGCCGCTCTCGGCGAGGGCGTCTCGCCACGGCGAGCAGCACCGACAGACGGCTCTCGCCTCAGTCGCATATGAATTCATTTGGTGCCCAGGCCCGATTTTTTTGTTTGACCCTGGTCTTGGAATCAGGACAGCGAGAACACCACCAAAGCCGACAGTAGCAGGATCGGATTGACAACGGAGCGAAGCGTGCTTTGACTGTAAAGACAAGTGCATCAGCTGAGACTACACTCTTTGTCGGGCCCAAAGCAGCCGAGACCAGGACAAGCCAGAAGCCGGCAGGAACCAACAGCAACGGCAACGACAACGGCAACACGAACCCGGCTACCGAAACAGCTGAACGCACAACAACTCGCCGGCACTGTTGGCCAACTCCTCCTCTATCTCGCAAAGATAGCTTACAAGCCAGATCACACCGCAACCACAATGGCGTCACCGCACAACTCCCCTGGAAAAGACACATCCACACCATTGCAGCTGGCGTTCCCCTCGGACGATCTGTCCGTGGACCAGGACAGCGATCCCTATGCCGACAAGCTCGGCGGAGTACCTGTAAGTGCTTTCAGATCGACTCATTTTCGTCCGAGAAAGAGGTTCCACTCAAAAAGACAAGATCCGTGTTGCCATCTCGAAACGAGTGCCCGTGATGCAAAGAGCTGACCCAGCACCACTACAAACCATGCCGCAACTCGAATAACTTGTACGGCCAGGTCTGGTTCGACAGCAACATCCTGCCTGATCCCGAGTGGGCACGGTGTGGAATCTGTGGCGAACCCTTGCATCTGGTGACCCAGATTCTGGCCCAGCTGCCTAGCAAGTCAAATCAGCACGACCGGGTGTTCTACATCTTTGGTTGTAACAAGCGCGCCTGCTCGATCCAGCCCCAGAGGTAATATATATCCACCGCGATTGGCAGCAGGCTGCAAATGAAGACGAGCTATCACGGCTCGCTGTTGACCTGCAGCACTCAAATCCACGAGGGCATTGGCTCGATAGAAGCGTGGTGCCGGGGCAGCAAAGCCTGGTGATTTCTTGGCAGGACAATCTCTAAACGTCTCCTCCGGCTGGCCCAACTTGGCAATGTGCCTGCACAGCTGGAAAGCTATCAGATCGATAAAGGCCTTGAAGCCCAAACCGAAGAAGAAGAACAAAACCCCAAAGAAGCCTAATGGGAAGCAGGGCCCGGGCAAGAATGCGATCCCAATCGACTCTATCCCCGCGGATGGCTCGCAGCCATCCTCGCTCACCAACCAGACTCCAAAGAAATCCAAATCAAACGCACACTCTGCGACACCAAAATCGATCCAAAAGAAGCCCAATACCTATTCGACGCCGTCGGGTGGGGACTCGAGGTCAAATCGCACTCCAATTGCAACGCCTGTGTTTGGACAGGAGGATGTAAGTCGAGGAGAACAAGACTCTTGCAGATGGCACTCGGCCATATCCCAGGGAGTTCGGAATGAGCGGACTTGCTCAAACGTAGATCTTTCGGCCACTTACTCACTAGCCGCTCCCTGAATCGGGCGAACCCGAGCAGGATCCGTGGGGGCCGACTGCGATGACATCTGAGCCAGCATTTGGGGGCCCGCGCTCGCCCATGCCCACATTCGGATCCAACCCCATTTCCCCTTCGAATCGAGTGCTCTCGACGCCGACAAAGAGACCCACCAAACCGTCGTCGCCGTCGATCACGCCCTCCTCAGAAATCTCGGATCTACTGACCACACGGGACCAAAAGTATGCCTGGCTGGATGAACCAGAGGTACAAAACGTAAGACATGGCCACACGGCGGAACCAGACAGCGCTCGCCCGTATATCTGGATATCTTGATATCATTTGATGACACCGCGGTTTAGAGCTCGACCCTGTATTTGATTCGGGGGACAGATTCGCATACTCATCTGCTACCCACACACACTTCGCATACTTGAGCAGGCACTGCCAAAGCAGCCGGATTTTAATCAACCGGATGATGAAGATGAAGACAACGAGATAGCTGCCAAGGTTGTCGGAGTTGCGTCGACAAAAGACCAACCTGTTGCCACACTGACCCCAAAGAAGCCCAAGTCGCGGAAGCGAGGCAAGAAAAAAGGAGTGGATCAGACACCAAAGCCTAGCGAGCAGCACTCCAAGGCTCCGGAGGAAACGGATCCGGCGCCGTCTCCACACAATCAGCTAGAGCCGCAGTCACAACCTTCTCCCGCTGCAGAGGATGTCCCAGAAGCGCCGCTTCATGTAGCCGATTCAGATGTGAAGAGCGACGGCGAATACTCCCAGCCGGAGCCACACGGGCCCCAGCTGAGTATCGAGGAGCTACGAGGTGGGAATTGCCGCCACTCGAGAGCACAGAAGGAAGGTGGCTATGTTGTAGGAGACGGATCTGACACCCTGAACTGCTCTGCCTTTAGAACGGTGGCAGCATCCACGACCGTTTCCCGCGTGCTACCTCGAGTTTGCTCACGAATCCCAGGGCGAGCAAAATTACGACTATGAGATGTTCCTGCTGGCTCAGTACCGAAAGTCGGAAGAATGCAGCGAGCTTGATGATGCGCTGCTGCTGCAGAGTATGGAGAAGGAGGGACTTTTAGACGCCTCGGAGGGGGCCGGAGGCGGTGGCGGATGGGGCGGGGAGGCCTACGAAAAAATGAAAGGCCCCAAGGGGTTCAACAAGGCCTTCAAAAAGTTCATCAAGATTGTTGCGGAGGAGCCTGAGCAATGCATCAGGTAGGCATAACTGCTGCTTGGATACAGATGGGACGGACATGAAGGGACAAGATTGTGGCTCACGGGTCGGCAACACTAATCCATGGCACCGACGGCAAAGGTACGGCTTCCAAGGCGATCCGCTCTATTACAGCAACGATGAGACGTGGAGCAAGCTCACCAAGGAAGGGCCGCCGCCCTGTCCCAAGTGCAAGGAGCCGCGCACCTTTGAGTTTCAGCTCATGCCCGCGATTCTCTCGGTACTTCCCACCGAACGGTTCGCCACGGAGCACCTGGACACTACCGTCGGGGCTGGGCCAAAGGCAAAGGACCCAAAAGCAGCGTCGAGAGCACCGGATCGCCCGGACCTTGACGCATTTCTGAGCCAGTATGCGCTGGGCATGGAATGGGGGACGGTTTTAATCTTTAGTTGCTCGAAAGACTGTGACGGCTTCGATCACGCCAAAGACGACGAGTGCAGCGGCAGAGTCGCCTTCTTCGAGGAGCACATTGTCGTTCAACGTGAAAGCATTGATGGGGCAGCCTGAGAAGCAAAGCAAGCTGGGAAGTTCGGGGTTTAATCGCTGTACTTTTCTAGAGAAGCGAAGAATGACTAAGCAACGACATGTGTTGCCGTTTATCCAATTAGCGGTACAAGCCTTGTGCATGATGATTGTCAATAGGACGAATCGTCCCTAAGAATAGGACCGGATAGCACGTCCATGCGCTTGTCCGTGATGGGCCACTGCTGCACAGGGACCGCATTTAACGGCAGGACCGCGCAAGCAGGACGAACAGTTGTATGCGCCTCCCTAACCTTCGCCCACGAGATATCGGTGGTTCCAGCACTGTGTATCGGCAACAATACTCACGATTGCGATGGCATGGAGTCGCAGGAGGTTGTTGGCAGCACATTGGCGTTCCCCGAGCGAGTGGTGTGAAGGAAATGTATTCGCGATTGGAACCACAAATAGCGACGGGAGTGATGGCTGAGATCCAGCAGCCGCATCTACTCATGTGCCGCTGAGAAGCCTGTAAACTAAGCATGGATCCCCAAAGATGCACCACAGTCCTTGTGCATTTCGATGACGATGCCGATGCCGATGCCGATGCCGATGCCGATGCCGATGCCGATGCCGATGCGGATACAGAGAAATATGAAATCACCAAACCAAGAGTAGAATCAAGTGAGCCCCATCACAGAGGCGACCATGCACCGTCAGGAATCTAGAACGGCGTTTGGCCGACGATATTCCCTCTATATGTGCGAGGACAGAAACCAACCGGCAGGTATCAGTGTGGGATGTCGAAAGTACATCGCGCCGCGGAGACCACTCCAGTGAGCCACGGCAGACAGCCCGGGAATGGAGAGGGCTTGAACTCACGCTGGGAAGTAGTTGCACACCACGGTGTATGGGAAGGGATCGCTCGTTACGCCTACGGCACATCCGACAGTTTTTGTCGTCTTCCATACGATCTAGTCGTCCAAGGGATCAAAGCGGCGATAATGAGAATATGAATGCCTCAAATCGAGGGGCAACTTTGCATAATATCCGGACTGGCGGCGATATCCAGGTATCCGAAACAGACCTGTGTGTAGTGCCCATAGAGCTCAAAGCTGCCCTGAGGGATGACTTCGCCGTGGTAGTTGACGCTCTCGGCGCCCCACGATGCTACCGCCTGTTTGCATGAAACCGGGCTTCCGGTACTGGCATATAGGTTTTGTCCCTCGCCTATACATTGTCGCAAGAACGGATTTGTGTTATGGCTACGACAGAAGCCGCATACAGGATACACAATAGAAATCCGAGGGCAAAGCTGAGCGGGTGGCGTTATATTGCTGGAAAGTGAGATCGAACGGGGCGACGTAATAAGTCATATGACGAAGGCAGGCCCACATACCGGACTGACTGGGAATCCAATGGTTGAATCCCTGGTGATTCTGAAACCACAGCTGCGCGTCATTGGCAATGCTACTATCCCACGTAAGCGATGGCAATCCGAGTTGATTTCGGATGGTGTTGTGGGCACTGAGGCAATCGATGATATCTTGTGAGAGCACTGGGGATGGGGATGGGGATGGGGATGGGGCCACTGATGATGACGGTGTGGGCGACGGAGACGGCGATGCCGCTTGAAACAAAGGGAATTTAGAACCGTTGGGCGGTGAGCACTGACTCGAGCTCAGGCTTGCGCCAGAAGGGTATGAATTCCGGCATGCGAACGACGGTGGGACGCCGATCGGCGAGGCGGTGGGCCGCGGAGATTCGCTTACCGCATTTTTGGCAGGCCCACACAAGCCGAGGGGTACTGTTCAAAGACCAGACTGGCTCAGACGTGCCATCCGCGTACAGTATGTAGATAACCATGTTTCCGTCAGCCTGAATGCTGAGGAGGAATGTTGCGTTGCTCTGACCCTTTGGCTTGCCGACATTGCTTCCGGTTGCGGCAACGGCAGTTGTCACGCCAGCTGCACTTGTCCGGTAAACAACCAGATTGCCGTCGCTCTGAAGTGTGGCAAACGTTTTGCCCTGGCCACCATCGAGGGTGTTGGACGAGTATCGGGGCTGGATCGTCGGTGGAGTGGCTGTATAGCTGTAGAGCACCAAGTTGCCATCGAGCTGCATCGACAGAAAGTATGCGGAGCCGCTTGAAAGCCCAAAGACAAATCGGTTGCTGCCTTGCGAAAGAGACTGGTTTTCAAGCAGAACTGCCCCACCGATACCGTTGCAGATGACTCCGGTTTGGCTTGTGAAGGTCGGAATCGTACAGTTGGTGAAGGCCGAGCAGGCAGTGACGGCTGCCGGGGGTGCATGGAGGCATTTTGGATGGCTGTTAATTGCAAGGCATTATAGATCACCCCATTGAACAGATTCGAATCACAGGCTCCTTTTGATGCAGACGACACGATCCATACCGAGACAGAGAAAGAAGGCAACGGAGAGAGTACGGGGCATATTGAGCAGTTTGGTTGGCGAGGCACTTGATCGAGGGCTGCGATCGACGATTGGGGGCTAACGTGAGAGGCTCGTTTTGTATCTGGCTGTCTATGCCCTCTCCTTTGAAGTGACGCCGATCGGATGGTGCCCGACGATGTATAAGAGTGCCACAGATTGCAGGAGGAGGACGGGTTCGGCGGGAGGGATGGAATAACCAAAGGGATGGAATAACCAAAGGGATGGAATGGCCAAAGGGATGGAGTGGCCAAAGGGATGGAGTGGCCAGAGAGCCTTGGCCAGGGTTGTTGTTGTCAGCGAGAATGGGTCTGTCCCTGGAGCCTTCACCCTCGAGTTGTTTGTCCAAAGGCAGGCGGGCAACGGCTGGAGGATCAGATGAGGATCGGATGAGAGGGGTCACGTCCCCGGCCCTGATGCCCAGCTCATGCAAACAACGACGTCGATGGCGACGGCGAGGCGGGTAAGACGAGATGTGTGGGCGAAGTGGACGATATGTGCGGGGCGGTGGGTGAGTGGTGGGCGAGCGGTGGGTGAGCGGTGGGTGAGCATGGCCAGGGCCATGACAGGGCCCAGCCAGGGACAAAATGGCGGCAACGGGATGTTGCACAAGCAGCTGGTGTAACATGAATGTACAATAAGCGTCTGGTAGGCGAGGCGGTGGACGAGGCCAACAAGTCCGCATTGGTCCAGTGGCTAGGATCCCTCGCTTTCACCGAGGTGGCCGGGGTTCGATTCCCCGATGCGGAAGACATGCCTTCTTGGCTCAGTTGGCAGAGCGTCTGCCTAGTAAGCAGAAGGTCACCAGTTCAATTCTGGTAGAAGGCATTTTTTGCTCGCTTTTTGCTGTCCATGCTTCGATCTGTCTGCCGCTGATCGCTCGCTCGTCTCTCTGCATGCTCTGATGTTCTGGTGTCCCTCAGCCCTGTGCTGCACACTCAGTTCTGTATCCTCCATCATCCATCATCCATCCTCCATCCTCTCCCCTGTACACTCTACTCTGCTTTCCCACTGTCGGTCTCGGTTTCGGCTCCAGTTCTTCCGCTGTGATGTGTCTGTTGCTCCGTTGCTGACCCGGGTGGTGGTGCTGCATTATACCGCCAGCAGTCCATCACCACCCGGTCGTGCCGTTGCCCTGATCTCGGCCGACCCTGCTTTCTTTCTGCTGCCGCACCACTCTGTCCAGCGTCGTCCTGCTCCACTCTGGCACCTCAACCACACTTTCATCCCCAATGCTTGTCGTCTCCATTCATTTTCTCATCGTTCCACTGTCTCACTGTTCCTTGCTTCGATGGCTCTGTCGACTATCCTCCGAATCACTCTCAACTCTCGGTGCTGTCATCATTTCTCATCACTCTCATATGCAGTATCACCTTTCCCGATACAACCCACATCCGCTCCACCCAATCTGTACCCACGGTGCCACAACATCCACTCCGACATTCCCATCAAAGTCGCCACGTTCCAATTGTCGGTGCTACTCCATCGTTGCATCTCCGCCTCCATTTTACTCGCACATTTCGCCTCCTGCTATTTGCTGCTTGAGTCCGACTGCTCGTGGCCGACTATCAGTAACACTCACTTGTGTGTCGACAAGTATTGGCCTTGATATGGTTTCGACTGATGATCGCCCAACCCACACCACAATCGACTCGATCTTGTGGAAATGCCAGCTTCGCCATCCCTCGAGTTGACTCGGCCAGCTTTCCGATTCGTGCTCATACATATGGCCTCACGGATGATATGGACCGACCCACTCATCAAGCACTCTGAGCCTGTGTCGGCTTCTGCCACCACGCATCCCTCCAACTGCATCACCAACGCACCATTGTCCATGAGGTTGAGTTTGGCTGATCCATCGTCCGACGGAACCGACTGCCATCGTCCCGATCGATGTCGAGCCGCATTTGAAGTCTCGCAGCAGCCTCTCACTCCTGCATAGCCTCGCACCTCCAGCTGCCCACCAAACAGCCGTGGATTTCCCAGCCACAGCTTCAAATGCAAGTGCAAGTCCACTCATTATGGGGAAATCAGGCATGCACCACATGATCTTGATTGCGACTCCAACGAGCAGCTTGTCTCAGCCGACGAGGCACCGACAACCACAGCAACAGTTGTTGTCGTAGTAATCAGCGTCGCAGCAATTCGCTGGTTGAATGGCAGCGGCCCTGTTCCTGGGATCAACCGATCTGTCCCTGGTCGACACACAATCTCGTCCAATTGTTAGCCATGAGTGGTGAGCATCGCTGAGTGGACCAGCAAAGCTGATGGAACGGATACTGATTGCCAGGTCGAGGGTCGCATCGATGAAGTGATTCGCAGATGATGGAGATGATACCGAAATGGATGTGTGGAATATTAACGGGCTGCAGCAGCGAGCCAACCGCGCCTGAGTGCAACTGCCTCAGACAGGACTGTCGCGGAAGGGACGAGGAGCGGGCAGTCCTTTGGAGCCTGGGATCGAGGCGGGACGTACTCCATATCGGTGGGACGTGGAGGTGGAGGGGTTTCTGCAACAGTGAGCAGTCGGGTTCTCATGCTGGCCCGTGCCGCAGACAAAGATTCGGTCCATGGTGAATTGAGACCGAGTGTGACTGAGTGTGGCCAAGGGCCAGTCGCAGTCAAGTTCGAGGAAGTCTGAAAGTGGGATGCGACTCCAGCGGATCCGACAATTCCGAGGATGGAGGGCGTCGCAGGCAATGCCGATGCTGTCTGTTTTTGCAAAATACTCTCGCAGTGGACCGGTCCGGGGAAGAACGAATGATGCGCCATAGCCAGAGCCAATCCGATATTGGCAGAACAGCAGCGGGCAGCCAACCAAGGTGCGACGATGAGTTGGGGGATGGCGATATCGCAGGGACAGAACGAATTGATGCCGGGGACAGGTGTTGGGTCGCAGTGGCGACGATGAAGCAAATGTGTTGCAGCGACGATGAGCCGCGAATTCTGCGGGTTGGTCGGTGGGCCGGCGAGTTGGGGATGGGCGACAGACGCAAGGTGCAGAAACATGAAGTGAGAGATTGGGGTGAGGTGCGATGGGAATGGGGCAAAAAGATGAACCGACCGGGATTCGAACCCGGGACGCAAGCTTGGAAGGCTGGCATGCTAACCACTACACCATCGGTCCTTATTGACGAAGCAAAATCAGGGTATATGACTCTGGCAGGCGAGACACAACAGACGACATAGAGAGAGTGCAGCCGCACAGTCACACCCGAGCTGCTGGGTGCAGACGATGAAGATGCAATGACAAGCAGTGAGGATGAAAGTGTGGCTGAGGTGCCAGAGTGGAGCAGGGCGACGCTGGATGGAATGGTGCGGCAGCAGAAAGAAAGCAGGGTCGGCCGAGATCAGGGCAACGGCACGACCGGGTGGTGATGGACTGCTGACGGTATAATGCAGCACCACCACCCGGGTCAGCAACGGAGCAACGGAGCAACGGAGCAACAGACACATCACAGCGGAAGAACTGGAGCCGAAACCGAGACCGACAGTGGGAAAGCAGAGTAGAGTGTACAGGGCAGCGGATGGATGATGGAGGATGGATGATGGAGGATACAGCACAGGACTGAGGGACACCAGAACATCAGAGCATCAGAGCATGCAGAAAGACGAGGAAACGATCAGCGGCAGACAGATCGAAGCATGGACAGCAAAAGCGAGCAAAAAATGCCTTCTACCAGAATTGAACTGGTGACCTTCTGCTTACTAGGCAGACGCTCTGCCAACTGAGCCAAGAAGGCATGTCTTCCGCATCGGGGAATCGAACCCCGGCCACCTCGGTGAAAGCGAGGGATCCTAGCCACTGGACCAATGCGGACTTGTTGGCCTCGTCCACCGCCTCGCCTACCAGACGGTTATTGTACATTCATGTTACACCAGCTGCTTGTGCAACATCCCGTTGCCGCCATTTTGTCCCTGGCTGGGCCCTGTCATGGCCCTGGCCATGCTCACCCACCGCTCACCCACCGCTCGCCCACCACTCACCCACCGCCCCGCACATATCGTCCACTTCGCCCACACATCTCGTCTTACCCGCCTCGCCGTCGCCATCGACGTCGTTGTTTGCATGAGCTGGGCATCAGGGCCGGGGACGTGACCCCTCTCATCCGATCCTCATCTGATCCTCCAGCCGTTGCCCGCCTGCCTTTGGACAAACAACTCGAGGGTGAAGGCTCCAGGGACAGACCCATTCTCGCTGACAACAACAACCCTGGCCAAGGCTCTCTGGCCACTCCATCCCTTTGGCCACTCCATCCCTTTGGCCATTCCATCCCTTTGGTTATTCCATCCCTCCCGCCGAACCCGTCCTCCTCCTGCAATCTGTGGCATTAGGTGAGCGGAGGCAGTCTTCTGTCATTCATAATTTCCCCCAGTGACTCCAATCTTAAATTCGGTCAATGGCGCATCACATTTGAGCAAACACATCGCCTTTCAGCGAGCATTTGCGATGTGTCTTGTTGGATACAAACAGCAGTTCCCCCCTCCGATCGTCCTATTCCTCGAAAAAATCTTTGATGACGGACGTCCATCCCGAAAGTCCCTCACCGCTGCTGACACCCGCTTGTTCATCGGTCAAGAAGCCATCATCGCCCCACTGGTTGGTTCCGGGTGATGGTGGGGGCGGAGTCGGAGCAGGCGGAATACTATAGTCGGTTTGTCCAGGGTCACTGGTGGAGGCCTCTGTGGTTGAGTTCGTTCCTTGTGGTGCCGCTTCGCCACTTCCAGGGATGATGATTGGCATCGGCATCGGCATTCCAGCACCAGGGCCGACTGGTGGAACTGGTGCCGGAACAGAGGTCGCGCCAACTACTGGCACCGGCAAAAACCCGCCGCTGGTGAGATGATCCAATAGTGTGAGTCAAACGGATGCCGCACACTGAGAGGCACCCCAGCGAGAGAGGATATTCGGTTTGGCTGCGATAATAGCGATGATACAGATCGCCCTACTCACTGGGTGTTGGAGTGTCGGCTAAAGTAGTCGATATCGATGTTGATGGCACAGGCCAGCATGACGGCACGCTCGTCGAGGGCAAGTGAGCGGACCTTTTGTTCGGTTGCATCCATGCGAATGACATACTGTCCTGAATCGGTGAAGATCTATCGCGAGCGCGTACTGTTAGATGACTGGCGACAAGCCGCAAGCTTTATCATCACCTCAAGGCAACATTTACCTCGCGGGCAAAGCCACTAAAGTTGCGGTTGATGCTGCCAAGGGAGCCGCTGCCCTCGTCGCAGATCTCAAAGTCCCAGGCCAGAAGAGGAACATCGATGACAGCAAATTGTCGCTTGCTGCCCATATACAAACAGGAAAGATCGGTTGATGATGTGCTTTCGGAGAAAGGCATGCCGATTTCGAGCCGTCGAGGCTCACAGGTGCACATACCCGACGAAAAGATCGTATTTGCGACGCCATGGGTGCCAAGATCTGTCAAATGACGTCCTGTCAGTCACCAGCGTGTCACCAGCAGGTACAGCCATGCAAGAGGGCTCTCATGTGAATGGCTTGCCGGTGCCGATTCTGCTTACTGTTTAACCTCGCCAATGCATTGGTCATGAGAATCAAGGACTGAAATCGTGCTGTTGAGGAGCCACTTCACCGGCCGTCGAACCTTGAGCACAAGCTGGCCGTTCCTGTCGAGGATGTCCGCACCGAATGCACGCCGTGTCCGCATGAGTTGTCGGAGAAGCGATCCGGTGAAGGTGCTCTCGTCTTCTGCGATGAAGCCCACGTTCTGCATCCAGGGTACATCAGAAGGCAGGTGAGTTACGACTCGGAGTGAAGATGTGGCGGGGGTGCCAATACGGTGTGCAGCTTACATTTCCAGAGGCGTCTGTGATCGAATACTTGTTTGCTTGCTCGTAGCCTGCCAAAGCCTGAGATAAGTGTGTGCTCAGGTCGCCGAGAAGGCAGCCGGGTGCTTCAGAACACATCCCTGACCCGTACCTATGAGGATGTTCATCATCTCAAGCTGCCTTCCAACCATGAGGGCCGAGTGGGCCAATACACTGTACGCCGATGATGCCGTGGTCAAGGTCGCATCGGGACTGTCGGCAGGGATGTCGACAATGTCGGAGATCTGTGTGATCGCCTCGGCCGGAACGGGCACAAAGTCGGTTGCGGTTTCGGGAGTGGCGGCCGCTTCGGAGCTGGCAGGCTCCTTTGGCCGTGCTTGCGTTCGCCGCTCGGGCTGCTTGTAGAAGTGGTCTTGCCTTGGAGCTAACGGAGTCGGCTACGTAAGAATATGGAGATGTGCGGCTCCGTTTCAAAGGGAAGGGGAGGGGAGTGGTTGTGGTGGTCATGACAGCGCAAACTAACGAACCTCCGCTGGGTGCAGTTCGAAGGGCCCGATGAGCGACATGGTGGGCCAGACTGGAGGTGAGAAAGGCGGGGCGCCCATACAACAGCCTGGAGGCCGTGGGTGTCGAGCCTATGGAGCGGATGGCCCCAGCGATGCTTCGGGCGTTCATTGTGAGATGGGGGACGCAGTCTGGGCCAGCCAGGCCGAATTGCCAGTTGGCAATAAGACGAGAGAGAGAGAGAGAGAGAGAGAGAGAGAGAGAGAGAGAGAGAGAGAGAGAGAGAGAGAGAGAGAGAGAGATATGAAGCGGTGCCCTTGTTTTCGCTCGTCCCTTGCCCATGTCTCCGTTCCTTCCACCCCGGCGATCGATCAATGGCTCTCCTCAACCTTCTGACCGCCCCCCGGCTTGCCCGCCGCTGCTTCCGACCCCTCATGGCCTCCAGCCCATCCCGCAGCCTCTCGTCGCTCGTGTCCACCCAGTGGCTCCAGGACAACCTTGGCTCTGTCGTGGTGCTGGACGGCTCTTGGCACATGCCTGCTCTGAAGCGGAATGCTTTCGAGGAGTATCTTGCCCAGCATGTCCCTGGAGCTCGCTTCTTTGACATCGACAGGATTGCCGACCAGGCCACCAACTTGCCCCACATGCTTCCCTCGACTAAGCAGTTTGAAGAGCAAGTTGGTAAATGCATCTATTCGTTCTCTGCGACTGCGACGGGACTGGGCTGGATTGGGCTTTGGAGTGCGCGGGCTCGGACCAGCATGCTGCAGCTCTGGCGGCGACTTGCTCTTGACTCTATCTGACACATACTCGTCTCAGGCCAGCTTGGCATCTCCAACGACGACCATATTGTCGTAAGTGCACTGCCTGTTATTGGTACGGGATAGCTTCTGGACGCGGACTTGAGGTGGCTGAGCGTAGTATCTTGGCTCTGGTCCAGGTCTATGATTTCAACGGCGTCGTTTCTGCCTGCCGAGTGTACTGGACCTTCAAGGTCTTTGGGCATCAGAAAGTGTCGGTCCTCGATGGCGGTATTCCAAAATGGATCAACGAGCAGCGACCCGTCGAGTCCGGCACTGTCGACGGCTTCTCGGTAAGGTGTCCGAGGCGATACCCAAAGCGTCACTGCCTGTTTGCAAGAGGCACTCTGATCTGCAGCCGATGGACTCGCCTGTTCACCGACAGCCACACCCTCGACCGGCATACCCTCTCAACAGAAAACGAACTTCCAAGCTGTGTTTCACCCCCAACTTGTTCGGGATTACAGCCAGATCACCCAGATTTCTGCGACCAAGGCCGAGCAGATCGTAGATGCTCGCTCTCTTGGAAGGTCAGTACCGAGCACCGTCATCTGGCAGCTGGCAGCTGGATCGACTCGCTGCTGGTCCGGGCGTGGCTGCCAGAGGCGATAGCCGATGTTTGATGGCGTCGGTGCAGTCTGCTCAGGACCACATTCATTTGCGGCAACCAGATTCCAGGGCAGCGACCCTGAGCCTCGCGTGGGCCTCAGCAGCGGCCACATGCCCAACTCGGTCTGTGTTCCTTTTAATGAGCTCTACGACCCGGCCAGCAAGACCCTTTTGCCAGCCGACAAGCTCCGGGAGCTCTATCGCACCAAGGGTGTCAACCTGAGCCTGCCGATCGTCAACTCCTGTGGTAAGCGATGGTGCCGCCCAACACATGCAAGCTGTGCAGCAGCTGCACCTGGCATTGTACCTACCGCCACGGACTGACCGGGAATTTCCTCACTATTCGCTCTACCTCCAGGCAGCGGTATTACTGCTGCGGTCAACTACGTTGCGCAAGAGCAGGCTGGCGCCGAGCAAATCTCTGTCTACGACGGTTCTTGGACTGAGTACGCCTCGAAGCCTACAAGCATCATCGAGGACTGTGGCCCGCGCTAAGAGCCGTGCGCACTATTTCCCGCGGGTGCCATCTCCAACCGAGAGCCACCAGGCATTGCCTGGGGCGATCCCGGCATTTTCCATGCACAAATGCGAAAGTAGACTGGGCGAGGATTTCGGCTTGAATCTGCAGCCAAATATATCGTTGCCGCATCGGCCGGGTCAACCACATACAGCTTGGTGCGATATCTCGATATCGAGGTGGTCGGATCGGGTCGAGCGAGTCGCTCGCCATGTAGTCTGGGCCATGGGTGTCTGGCGATGTCTGGCGATGGATGTGTATTCAGGATCCAGAAAAGAAACCGACAGCCTTGACTCAGAAACCGGGCGGCATGTTTAGAAAAAGGGGGTCGGCTTGCTGGTAACGATGACATCTGGACGTCCTGGTTACGGTTGGAAGGACAGTGTTTCTTTCCTCGATCGGTCTGAATAGTGACATGATCGAGCCTTCAGAAACTGGATTTTTACAATAACAAAACTGATCGGAACTATATTTAGAGCGCGAAGGGGGTACATGTGGATTAATGACTAGACTAGAGCAAGGTGAATGAAGGGATGCATGGAGAAAGGAGTAATGGTGGCGGGAAGATATATGCATGGTATAGATACAAGTTATAGGGCAGAGAAATGGTGGTCTGGGAGTCGGTATGGCGAATGGCGAACAAGGGGAGTAGAATCAGATTCACTCTGGGAGTTTCGGGAGTGGGTTGCGTGTGAACGGAGGAGGCGTTCGTGGCGAGTATTCAAATTCAAACGTCGCCGGGGGCGGGTGCTGGTGCGCCGGCAAGCCAATCCTGACGGACTGCCTCTTGAGACGATGGCGCTCGAGAATTTTTCCGGTATGATCAAGATCCTTTGAAGCGGCGAGATAGCGCTCGTTGGACTGGGAGTGGGAGCGAGGGCGGTGGGGAATGTCGGCGATTTCGGTCGGGACTGAGATGGTCGTGGCGGAGCGCACTCTGTTCATGGGCAAGGGCAGAGGATAGGGGCTCTTGTCGACGACAAGAGCATGGCTGTCGCTGCAGTCGGTGCTTGTCGAGTGCGAGGAGTAGCTCGGGGTCGAGGAGGCGTCGGAGAGAGCCGAGCGCAGCGTCAGGGAGGCCGAGTCTACAAAAAGACTTGAGGCCTTCATCCGCGGGAGCCCATCCTCCATCCACTCCAGGTCGTCCAGGACCTGGGATTCGTACGATCCCACGGACGGGCCGGGCAACGTAACGAGGGGCAGACTGGGGCTGTACAGCATAGAGAGACGAGCCCGGGGACTAGACGATAGCGAGACTTGGAGTGATGGCGCAGACAGAGTCAAGGGATTCAGGACGGGTGTGGACGGTGCAGAGCCATGTGGAGTCGAGATATTGATGCTGACGCTCGACCGGGGACTCGTCCCGGGTGACTTGATAAACGTGGCCTTGAGCGGCTCAGAATGCGAGGATGGAGTGATTATGTCGAAGCCCTGGCTGTCGTTGGGAAACACTGGGGGCTTTGGGTTCTTCTGGGAGAGCATCTGCCGCCGATGAATGGTAATGTGCTCGAGTTCTCTGGCGACGGCGTCGTCCCTGGGTGATAGTGGCGTGCCTGCGGGCCGTTGCTGGGCCGGTGGTGAACTGGGCTCGGATTGGCCATTAGACGGCTTACGCTTCCATCCGAGGATCATAAGGCCGACGAGAGCCGCGGCGGCAACACAGCCCACCAAGACGATGAGGGTCGGGGAGACGCTGCTGATCAGCCCATTCTCGCCGGCGACAGGTGCGGTGTCAGGTACAATAGGTTGGGTCGAGGCGACTTGAGCGGCGGCAAGCGCAATGCAGAGAGCGCCAAGGACACCCATGCTTGCACAGCGGTGTCTCTGGGGTTGGTCGGACTATTGAAGATAGCAGGCGGCGCGTGGATTCATGCGATGACCGGGGAGTTGAGTTCCAGCAGGGCGCGTCGTCACGCTGGCTGATCCGGCCGGGGGGGGTTTGCAGATTGCAAACGGGGTTGTGGATGCCGGTGCTGGCGGCTCAATGCCCGCAGGAGGACTGGTCGGCAAGGCGGCAGAAGCGAGAGCGCCGACGGGAGGAAGAAAAAATTGAGCGACCGTTTTATGATCGTGCATGTGGCCGAGGCCAAGAGCAAGCCAGAGAGCCAGCACGCAGCACCAGCCGCGTGCACTGGCTCGTGGCCAATCGGTGCATCGCTCACGCCATCCGACGGGGCTGTGCGCTGTGCGCTGCTGGCGGTGCGTGCTCGGCCGGTGGGTTTGGTATGAAGAAGCGGCGACGGCCCGGGCGGAACGTGGATGTTGGCAGGACCCAATCCGGCAAGGCGACGATGCAGGACAGACGCCCACATGTCCCCGGCTGCCGCACCTGGACGGCGGTTCGGAGCAAAGCCTCACCAAACATGACGACCTGTGTGGTCGTTTGTCGGTGGGCTGGCGCTTGCGACGACAAGGACATGTAGTGGCCGATGTGGCTGAGGGAAACCAGAGCCCGGGACGGCATGGAGGGCAGATTGACAAGTCGTGGATGTGGATGTGGAGTGGAGGGGGGGGGCGAATTGCGACAATACGCTATCGCTCTGGGTATGTTGGTTGGTTGTCCATGGTCTGATGCGCTTTATTTTGGCTTGAGGAACTGGAATCGTGTGGCCTTTCCCGGCCCGCTCAGGTCAACCTGCGCCCGCTTGGGTTCGGGAGTGCTCGCGGCTGATGCAGGCGACTCGTCGGTGTCCTGGGGCTTCTTCCGCTTCTGGCCGGCACTAACAGGTATGTCCAGCGAGGACTGTTGCTGCGACGCCAGGCGGATAGCCATTTCTTCGTCGCTGATGGTTGCCCGCCTCTCGTTTTCTATTGCCGTGTTGAGCTTGCCGGTTTTGATTTGCTCGCTTGCCAGTTTCTTCGCCGCGTGCGTATTGAGTTGGAGCAGATGGAGGAGGAATGGGCCCGTCAGGACAAGTGGGGAACGTGGGTGTGCTGGGGCAGGAAGCAGGGTGATCTCGGACCCGTGGGAGAGTTGCCCCGCGTTGAGTATCGGCGCTATGGGACGGGGCCATGTCGTCCAGAATCCTGTTGGATGGGCTCCAGACGGACATGGGGCGCTCGGCTGTCTTTGGCGAAAGAGCACAACAGCGGATCCACAGCGCTTGATGTCCAGAGCGATGGTTGCCCAGGCGAGGGCTTGAGGATCCGCTTGCATCCATGTGCTCCAGGCGAAAGCTTGTCTGCTACTTTGGTATTACCACACGGGTTCGGCACTGGCCGATGCTTGGTCCAAGCAAGAGATAGGGTCGCCTCTCGCCCCACAATCGGAGCAGCCCACATGCAAATTCCTACCTCGACTTCTTTGTTGAATGTTCCAAACGACTTTCGTCCGACAGCTACATCCGAGAACGCCATGTAGCTTGTGTCTTGGGTGATTTTGACGGGCCTGCGGGCAACATAGATGGCCACAATGTTGAGCACCTTCCGCAGATAGCAGATGTGTCCGGAGTCGCTTTCCGTCGGGGCAAGAGTAAGAGGGCACTGCTAAAAGCAGACTTTGCGACAAATCGCTCCCTCAGGACGAGACTGGCCCCACAGACTCGATCAAGGACAACAATCATGCTTCGACAGCACATATCGGGCGGCGTACTTTTTGACGGTATCGAGTCCAGAGACCTGGAGGGTCCACTGTGATTCTTTCAGTTCCTTTTGTCGCTGCTCCTCCAGCTGCGATCGGATATTGGCTTCGTGTTGCCGCTGCATGAACTGGAGGGGCAGTGGGGGTATACAGACTCGGTAAGCTCGAGCGCATCTGGTGACTGGGATATGGACTCGTGTAAAGCCAGCAAGGGCTCTGGATGAAACTGCGTTGAGCCATTTCGCTATTTCGCATGTCCCCGTCCCGTCCGAGACTGCAAGATTGCAAGATTGCAAGATTGGAGGATTGTGGGATTGCAAGATCCTATACCTTCATGCCCAGGATTTTGCTCGATAGCTGGTTGCATATCGCAAGGGTGAACGAGCAAACCTGTTAGAGACGGTCATCACTGTCGACTTTCGCCGACTGGCAAAGAGCGGCGGCTTATGCCATCGTGTGCTGCAACCGGGAGGAGGGGACGAGAGGAACGAAGGGCACGATCGCAGTCTCTGGTTGCGACAGACCAGCGATCACCAAGCGATGGACGAGGAGAAGTCCTTACCCCTTTGACGGCGGCATCACGTTTTGACGACATGGTGGCGACGTCCAGCGAACAGATGGGATGGATGGGATGGACGGGCTGGATGGGACGCAGACGAACAGGAAAAAAAAAAAAATGTGACGAAACGCGGAGGCGCGCAGAAAAACCCAGACAAAACGAGCGACAGGGCAGAGCCGCCGGTGCAGATGGGCCGAGCACGGAAATGGCCCAGCACAAACAGCTGCAAAGATGAAGAGATAGGAGGAAGGGCAAGAAAAGTAGAGAAAAATAGAATATGGATCGCAGCAAAAAGAGGTCCCACCGAGATTTGAACTCGGGTTGCAGGAGTCAGAATCCTGAGTGCTAACCACTACACTATGGAACCGATTTCCGCATCGGGGAATCGAACCCCGGCCGTCTCGGTGAGAGCGAGAATTCCTAGCCACTGGACCAATGCGGATTCAGAGAAGCGTCGTGTCGCACAGAGCGGACCCGAACTCGGGTTCCTGAGCCTGGTGCTTCCCGCTGGGTGCCCAGAGGTGTTCTTGCGACGATGGCAGAGAATGCGGCCTGGCAACATCAACTTGGCCATGTTTCCACGGGACACGCACACATCCTCTCTGCGCCCAGATCGCCTCCGGTCGCAGCGGATGTGCAAACAGCACCCACGATCTGCTCGCTCTCGCATGCTCACGCCATCAAGCACACAGATCGAGTGGCACTTGCCGCAGTGGTATGTATTTCGGACGGCATTGGATTCCATGTGCTTCATCCAAATCGGATGGCGCCCGCGGGTCGAGGTGCAGCCACGGTCGTTTCCGTCGAAAGTGCCGTCGCGCCGTCCTCTAGGCCGTCAAGCACCCCCAGGTGGACTAACTCGGTTCCGCACAGTTTGTAGGCTGTCACGCTGTTCTCGAGCTGGGCGACATAGATTCCAATGTCGAGCGTCGTCGACTCTATCGGCCGAGCGATCGACGAATCAGTTTCGGTATTCCACACTCGGCCAAGGCTGTTCTTTAGTTGCTTCAGCGCATGTTCGTCGGCATGGAGATCTGAGGGTGGTACGCCGAGCAAATGGCGCTGGTGAAGAGTAGAGGAGGATCACACCGCCCCCCCCATAACAGCGTCGTCGTCAGAAAGGTGCAGGTTGATTCATTCCACAGAGTACGCTGGGCTGTATGCCCAGGGTTCTGGTACTCAAGAGGCAGCGAGACCGTCTCATAGCCACACTTGCAATCGTCTTCATGCGACCCAATGCCGAGACTTACCCCGTCATCGTGCGAGACGCCCACCGGGAGAATATGGGTATCGTCCGTCACCAGGAGCGAGAACATGTACACGTAGCTGTTGCGGATGGCGATGCTGCCACACGAGGGACACTGTTCAAGCTGCATTCCAGGCTGCCCTCTGGGTGGGAATGACCGGTGGTTGAATGAGAAAGCATGATGAAACGATCACGCACAGTCGGAATCCATGGTCGTCGTCGGAATCAAAAGAAACCCAATAGCGTCGAGGCTGGTCTGGCCACGATCTGGTCAAACAGGCCACTCGATTGCTGTGCGCCTCTGCAGCAAAGACTGATGACTGCTTTGTAATACTGGCGGGATGAGTGCCGTCTTTCCATACCTTGCGTTGCAATCTGGACACAGTTGGCATGTAAAATCCCTCAGGTTCACGGGACGATAGTCCAGGACTTTGACTTTGCAGACAAAGTATCCCTCTCGCTCTTGGGAAAGCTCGCGAAGGGTCTTTCGGGTGGGCCATTGCTGGCCGATTGGGGTAACATCTAAAGGGATGAGCGATTTGGGGGGGGGGAAGGCTCGGCTTTGGTGATTTGCTTGTCCTATCGACAGCGGACGCGAGCCTCTCGCTGGGATGGGCAACCCAAGCTCAAAGATACGCAGCCGCTTCCACCACAACATCACTCAGCATGGAGTGCATGCGGCAAACTGAGTTTCGGGTCGACAGCTGTCGGCGCTCATACGAGCCACGCTGCATGTGGTCCGAGTGGCAAGAGTACCAACACAGTCGGCCACTAACCTGAGATCGGCTGGTTCTTGAGCTTAAACTTGAGCTCGCGTCTGAATCAGATGTGTGTCAGTGCATCCCGCCAAATTGGGCATCCTCCGGCTTTGCATTGGGTGAGGAAACGAGTGATCGCTTGAGCGCCCCTGCGAATCATCGCCAAGACTGAGTGAACAGCCCATCTGCAGCTTCTCCTCCTCGATACCCGAGACAATCGGCCCACCTGATCAAGCCATCAATGCGCTGGTCGTCGGCGCTCACTATGGCACCGCATTTTTTGTGGGCATCGCCGTGGATCGACAGTTCGACGAGACCGTCTGATCGCTTGCGAACGTGCACATTTTGAAACCAGACGTAGTCGTTTTGCTTGAACTGGCTGCCGAATACCGCATGGTTGTCCCTGTGTACGAAGCATTGGTGCACAGCACGAAGACAGTGTCGGAGGGTTCAGTTGGATGCGCCACAGTCCGAGCCAAGCGTGCAAATCGGTCTGCGATGAGTGCGAAGAAGGCATGGTGAAGCGGTCACCGCACCAGAGCGTCAGGTTGATGAGCATGTCACTTGGGAGGACGGGGTCGTCTGCACCGGGATTGTATCTTGCGGCGCTGGATCGAGGCCAGGGTTTGGGAGAGCGATATCAGCTGTGCGTTTACGACTTGATCGCTGGCGGATGGCCCCTCCCTGCGACGCTGCCGGCTGTGTTGCCGATATTGACAGCGACACCTGGTTGGTGTCTTGGTCCAGTGTCGACCACGAGACAGTGTTCAGGGTACTTACAAGCAACGAGGGTTGGCTGTATAATCCGTGACGAGTAGAACAAGTCGCTCGCCACTTCCGCCTTCGCATTTGTGGACGATCTGTGTGCCCGACGATTAACAAGAATGGCGGATGAGCATTGTTGCTCGCTGGCAAAGCCAGTCAAGCATCACGATCGAGGCAATCACGCCGCTCAGCAGTGGCGATCCTGGCGTTCATGAGCTATGGCCATAGTCATGGCTCCGGCTCAAAGCAGCCAGTTCGTCCCCGTTCTCAAGAATGCACTGCGAGCCAGACCCACCTGGACAAACATGTCACAATACTCCTGGCTGTCGTCCAAGTCACAGATCCGCATGATTTTGCGCTTCAAGCCCGGACCAACCTGCCCCGTTTGCCCGGCCTGTCCGGCGTGCCCAGCATCGGCGTCCTACCCCGGATTTCGAAGCGCTCGGCTGGTAGATGGTGCTGGTGCGCCAGTGCCTCAGCTCGGTCGAGATCGCAATATCGGCTTCGCTCAGGGATGGACGGGTTGGTGGAGGGCGCCTCGAATCGAGTGTATCGACGACGACGAACTGCGAGCCTCGGGTCGACACACCTTGCAACCTGCCGCTGTATCTAGATATCTGGGCGATCCAAGACCAACCGCCCCCAGAGCGATGTGTGTGTTGAAGGATGAGAGATGGGCCGTGAGCTGCGAGAGCTTCCTGGTCCTTTCCGTGCCATGAGTAACAGCCTTCTGCACGATCGCACTATGGGCCCCGGATCAGATCGATCCTCTCGTGGGCCTTACACGGATATGGTGGCATTTCAGAATGTCTTCCTTTGCAACGACGGGAAACATCTCTGGGGTCGGCCGGAAGATATTGACGGCCATGCCTTGCGGATACGATGGGTCGCTGAGGATGACGCTCATAACGCAGTCTGGTACAAGAGAGTCATGGGGGCACGGATTAAGACTGATCATCTTGGGCGAGATGCAGCGAGCCGTATGCTTGCTGGACGGACAGGGATGTGATCGCTACCGGTTCCCTTGGACTTGCGGATTTCGGAGAGAGAAACGACCACGCCATAGAAGCTGCTGACGACGGTATCGGGCACGAGCGAGCCTATGCCCGTCGGCGGCCTGTGCCGTGCAGATGGCGCCGGCAGGTTCATGGTTGTCGGGGCTGGTTGGTTCGCTGGCTGGCTGGTTCGTTCGCTGTTCGTGACGATGAAGGGAGAGCAAATGGCTGACGAGGGCTGGACATGCGCAGATGGACTTGTCGAGACGCTGCCCGCGACACACACGCGGAGAATCGGCAATCATGTCCAAGGCTTGCACCGGCACGGCGATTCCCGAATGCGATGCACCGACTGCAGAACGACGATATCGCCCCACAATGTCTCGTCAGCCAAGTTCATCGCGGCGGCGTTCGGCCGGGCGGTCGACCGACGCCATTCAGCCCGCATATCTGCTCTCCCGCTTCAGCTGGCTCGCTTTGATCCTGGCATGCGCTGCCCAGAGCCTTTGCCCTCGCGCTTGCTCCTGCTGTCCCCTCCAGACACCCCGAAGGCCGTCCTGCATGCATCCTCCAAGACACTCGTGCTGGCATTCCCCCCAAGGCCTTGCTTGCGTCGCCCTCATGACCCCAAGATGATCCCCAATCAGGCACAGCTCCCCTGCCACCTTGATCCCCCCCGCCAAACCCACGGTGCCAAGCGCGGCGCTTGTCCGACCGAGCATGTCCGCCCACGCCTGTGCCACAACTGCGCCCTTGTCAGCGCCGCGCCGGCCAATCGCGCGCCGGCCCGGTGACCCGCTGCCGCCGTGGCCGCCTTCCTTTTCGGGCGGTGGCTCGTGCTGCGCACCGTGACAAATGCCGCCGCCTCTCGTCCGCTTCTCGTCCGCTTCTCGCCCGCGCGAGCCGCGCTCTCGCCCTCGGCTGCGCTCTCGCCGCCGCTGTGGCTCAGCCGCTATAAAGCCGTCCCGCCGCCCGCCGCCCTCCCCCCTCCTTTTTTTTTTCTTCTCTTCCTCGCACACCCTCCCTCCTTACTAGAACACATATCCCACTCATAGACCCGCAACCATGTGCTGTTAAATCCGCGTCCCGCCCCCCAAGCGCACCTGAGATTCTCATCTCTCCTCTCTCTCTTTTTCAAAATGTGTTGACTCGCTCGTAATTTATAGTCTCAAACTTTTAGTTTGCTGCACTCATTCTGCCCATCATGACTCCGTTCGTGAAAGTAAAATCTCTTTAAGCTCGACCTACCCAGCTTCTGCCCTTTTTTTCGTTTTGAACCACCTCCCCCCAGTTCATTTCCTCCCTCTGTTTCGACCTTGAAAATCACTACTATGCCAATGACTTCCTCAGAATTCGACTTCAACCCTCTGGAATTCAACTTTGGCCCCTCCGGCCCTAGTTCCCTCCAAACGTCGCCCCTCGTCTCCTCGGCGGACCTGTTTGCCTCGCTCGATGGCAGCCACAGCACGGCGATGCTTCTGCAGGACCTGCTGATGCCTGCGGGCCTCTCGGCCTCGGCTCCTGCTTTGCTCGCCGAATCGCGTCTGCCGCTCGGCTTTGCAACCAGCCCCACCGTTTCCCCTGCGAACGAGTGCCTCCAGGACTTTTCCAACTCGCTCTTCCCCACCCCCCAGCAGTCGCCCCTGTCCGAGTTTGTCTGCAGCGACCCCTTCGCCTCGCCTGCGGCCTCGTCCTTGGCCCTGTTCCCGTCAACGCCCAGCCTGACCCAGGCTGCTGCGATGCCCTCGCCCAGCATCAGCATTCCTTGGACTCCTGCCACGCCCGTGGTCTCGACGCCTTCGACGCCGGTGCTGCCCTCCTCCGGCATTGATCTCGGCGCCTTGATTGGACTCGCCATTGCTGGCGCAATCAAGCAGCAGCCCCCTCCTCCAAGCGCGGCCGCTCCTGCCACGTCCGTCGCAAACATTCCGCCAATCACGATCCAGCAAACCTACCGTGGGCAGAAGCGCAACGTGACCGCCGCCGAGATCATTGCCGAGGAGCAGCTCAAGCGCCAGAAGAACACGGACGCCGCGCGCCGCTCCCGCCAACGCAAGGCCGAACGCATGGACACGCTCGAGCGCCAGATCAAGGAGATGGCTGCCGAGCGCGCCAAGTTCCAGGCCCAGCTCAACGCCATGAACGAGCGCGACGCCGCCCGCGTCAAGGAGATTGAGGCCCTCAAGGCTGCTCTCAGCCACGCCAATGTTCTCCTCGGCGAGGTCGGTCTCGGCATTGCCGAGCTCGACAAGCCGCTGTGAGCGACGGAGGTGGCCCTCTGTTTGCAGCTTCTCCCGCAACTCACGATTTTCCCTCTCCATCTCGTTCCATTTCCATCCATTTCATCTCCATTCCATCCGACATTTTCCTCTCGATCGATTCTTGTGAGCCCATTTCCAAAATCCTGATTTTCAAATAAATTCTTTTTTTTTTGTTCAATCCCAAGCTCTATCCCGTGCTCAGATATATGGCAGAGGTGTGGTGTGTGGTGTTGTGAGGTGCACTCGAGATTGGATCTGTTTCACTGGCTTATGGTGGTCGTTGCCATCCTTGCTTGCCATTTGCAGCGACAGTCGACCTTCAAGTGTGCAAACGTGCAGCCGCATTGCCATTGCGACTCTGATCTGCACACAGCAGCGGTCTTTTGGTCGACCGATCATCATAGCATTCGTGGCTGATGAGTGAATGTGTATTTAAGATCTAGAAGCAAGCAGAGGCTGGGCAGCGTCTCGGGGTTCTCGAGATTGGCGAGCGCTGCCTCAGTTCAAGGAGAGGGTAAAAGAAAGAGAGCGAGAGAAGAAAAAAAAAAGAAAGGGCAGAGACAAGAGCGAGAGAACAGGGTCGCGAGGTCGATTGGGGGAGGAGGCAAACTGATCGAAGCGGACCCAAGCCGGGCCGAGCCAGTCAAGCCAGGGCGGAGGTTGACGACAGCCCCAGGCGAGGACAAGTTGGCGCAAAGGCTGGAGGAGACATGGACGGGGGGGGGATCGAAGCGGACCAGATGGGATTAGATCGGATTGGATCGGATTGGATCGGACAGGATCGGATCGGTAAAGAAATGCGATGGACTGGGAATGGGGCCGAGTTTGACCAATGTCGATGTCGATGTCGCTTTAGTTTAGAGCGTTAGACCAAGGACGGCAACAGCAGCACCAAAGGCAAGCGAGACCAAGGGGACGGCCAGGGTGGCAGCGGAGGACGAGGGCTTGGAGCTCGGGGACGAGCTGGTAGTGCTGCTGGCGGCGACAGGCGAGGGCGACGGCGTCGGAGTGGGCAGGGTGCAGTTTCCGGTCAAGCCAGCGCGGCCAGTGTCGCCGAGGGCAACCGAGACGGCGAGCAGGTTGGCGGGGGTGGCCGGGATGCCGCCATAGCAGACGGTCGAGATGCTGTAGGTGATGGCAGCACCGGCAGGGCTGCTCACGTAGACAAAGAAGAGATCGGTGGTGCCGGGGGCAATGGTGGCATTGCACGAGTCGGTGTGCTGCAGAGGGGGGTTGCTGAAGCCGCTGACGGTGATGGTCTTGCCGGCGAGCGAGGGCTGACCCTTATAGTCGCAGGCAACGGAGATGTCGGCCGAGTAGTTGGCGCCGGGGCTGTTTGGAGCGATGGACAGATGGGCGGATGGTGGTGAAAGACAGTAATTAGAGATGGCCGTTGATGATCAAGCCGAGGGTAAATAACAAGTGGCAGTGTCGGGAGAGTGTGGGATTGGAGAACAACAGCGGCAACGGCAGCAACAGTAGCAACAGCAATAACAATAACAATAACAACAGAAGCGGCCTTGGTCGTTCGTTTGGTCTCTGTCGCCAGACCCGACACAACCTGCGCGGACAACACACTTACCCCGACGAGTTGCCGACCAGGTCGACGACGGTGCCGAGCAGAGTGTACTGCGTGCAGGTCGCCAGGCACTGGGCGTTGCTACCGCAGCTCTGAATGACGCTGCAGGTGAAGGTGCCGTCGGTCTGGGCGAGCGCTGCACAACCAGCACGCAGACACAGCGGGGAATAGAGAGAGGCGATAGCGCATGATGGTGGTGGTGATAGAGCATGGCGATAGAGTAGATGGCATAAGTGGATGCAAAGCGGCAGTTTCGATAGGTCCCCGGCGGTGCACTCCTCTGTCTGCAGCACACAGGAATAGGCCAGGCCACACCCCAGCCGGCGATACAGAAAGCGGGTCTTACCAGAGCCGGCGAGGGCCAGGAGCGAGAGAGCAGTGATGGACTTCATGGCGGCGGATGGACTGACGGAGTGGTGTGCAGATGGAGAGATGGACAGATGGCCGGACAGACTAGACGAATGCTGGCAGCAGAAGCGCTTATGAGGAAAAGAGAGGCGATCGGCACCCAAAGCCAAAGAGCGGCCGACCGAAAAGCGCCTCGACAGGGACGACGTCGGAAAAGAAGGCCGGCCGGAAAAGGAAGGCGCGCCGCGGCGCCCGCCAATGGGAGCGCGTGGCCGGCTGCGCGTGCATGCTGCGCAACACTGTACTGTGGCCGCCGTGTGCTGCGACGCGCGCTGGTCGTGTGGCACCAGCTGCGGTGCGCGTTTGGGCTTCTGGATGCGGCTGTGGTTGGCGGTGGAGGTGGTGGTGGTGGGGGACCGCGGTGATGCCCACGGTCACCAACGTGGTGGCCATGGCACTCGACCAACATGGCCTGGCCGTTCTGTGCATGCACATGCACCAGGCCTGTCGCCGGCCCAAGGATCTGGGTCGAGCATCAGGAGCATCAGGAGCATCAGGAGCATCAGGAGCATCAGGAGCATCAGGAGCATCAGGAGCATCAGGAGCATCAGGGACGGCGAGCATGGTCTATTCCCGGACTGCTCCCACCACCACCGCTACCGCCATCGCGACCAGCGCTGTCGCCAGCCCCGCCGACCATCCGGGCCTCTGTCCTTCCGAATACACCATCACAATTTTGGTTCCGTTGGTCCCGTTGACGACTTGCAGCCCGTTGTTCGGCGCAGGGGCCGGCGTCGACAGCGGCGTCGGCAGAGCACACCACGGATTGCCGTACTGCGTGCCGTTCGTGCCTGTCCCGGTGCTCGGGTACAGCCCCACGACATTGCTGAGGTGCTGGACGGTATCGTTCGTCACCGCAAACCCTCCGTAGCAGATCGATGTCAGATTGTAGATCGTGAAGGACGTCCCCAGCAGCACATTCTTGTATGTCGTCGAGTTAAAAAAGAACAGCCGGGTGTCGCCCACGCTGACGTCCGCCTGGCACACTTCGTTGGTCGGCACTGCGGCGGTTGGCTGTGCCCGGGTGATGTTGGGGGCATGGTTGAAGTTGTTGATGGTCATGATGTTCCCGTAGAAGCTGCCCTTGAAGCTGCACTGCACAAGGACATTGGCCGAGTAGTTTCCGCTGGCCCTGGCGATCGAGTTCCGAGGTGGCCCGTCCGAGTGAGCACAGCCAGCATCAGTCTCGGGCTTGGACGTTGTGTGCGTGCAGCATATTTGCAATTCACCCTCACAGCCAGTACCAGTCCCAGTCCCAGTACTAGTACCAGCATCACTACGAGCATCACTACCAGCATCGGCCACAGCAGCAACACTCACGCCGGCAATCCGGTGCCCGTGTTGACGTTGATGACCCGCCCCAGCACAATGTACGGGCTGCATGTGCTGAGGCATTCAATATCGCTGTTGGGGCATGGATACGAAGCTGTGCATGGATAGTATCCTGCGTACACCTCCGCTGCTGAGAGCGCAGAGCCGTCAGTTTGCAATCTGGCAGACTTGTCCCTTCTCGCCCCGCCAGTACTCCACACACACCACCGTGGCTCTCCTTTTCAGCCTCTGCTCCTCATACGATGTATCTGCCATACCTAGAAGCGACAAGAGGAACAGCGTGCCGCTCAAGTTCATCGCGGTGGTCTCTGGTTGAATCGATAGTGCGTCGCCGAGATAGCAAGCACTTCAAGTCCGGCTCTGACCCTGGCTCTGCTCGCAAATCCCTCTGGCATCGCTGCGACTTTGGGAGCCTGTGTCGTCTGCGCCAGCCTTGCCTCAGTGTTTGGTAACCTTGGCAGAAGCACACTGCTGCTTTCTGGAACAGCGCTCTCGAAAAACTGATTCGGAGAAGCACAGATTGCCAACTCTGTTCCGCTTGTGCTGCCAGTCTGTTCCGTTTGCGCTCTCAGTCTGGTCGCAGTCCTGTCTCACGCCCTTCCTCCAGCGAATCTCGGCGTCGGAGCTACAATATGGAGCAGAAATGCACAAGCATTGCAGTGAATGGCGATATTTCTTCAATGTGGTCGATATATCCATGCTCTACGACTCCCCTCCGCTGCCTCGAGCCTGCCTGTTCCTTGCAACACACTACCGCCCTTCGTTTGTACATCCCCACTTTTATGACTGCTCTCGCCCACTCCGTGTGGGCTGAAGGATTCGCAAAACAGTGCCGGTCGCTCGTTAACAGTGGTTATGTATTCTGCGACTGGATGAGCGGGCTAGTGCTTCCTATCGCCCCTATCGTTCCAATTGCATATCACCGCACATCGCTCCACATCGCTTCATGTCGTTCCGCATCGCTTCAGTTCCTTGGTACTTCTAGTTAGCCGCCAGCAGTGCCACCAGCGACCCCATGCCAGCGACAGCGACGGCAAACTTGCCCAGTCGCGGCGAGACGGCGTCGCTCCCCGCGATGAAGCTGCCGCCCGATCCACCCGACACCGTTGGAGGCGGGGGAGGAGGGGCTTGAGGAGCCGGAAGTGTGCAGCTCGCGCTTCCAAACAGCGCACCGCTTGTGCCGACACTGGCTCCGATAACGTTGCTGACGTGCTGGATACTGTCGGCAGTCACGGGAATGCCTCCGTAGCAGACCGTCGAGATGGCATAGGTCTTGACGGTCGACGTCGACAGGCTGGAGATGTAAATGAAGAAGAGGTACTGCTTGCCGTCCGCGGAAATGCTGCCGTTGCAGGAGTTGGTGGGCGTTGCCGGTGGGTTACTGAACCCCGAGATCGTCAGGACTTGGCCGGCCAGCGATACGCCGCCTTTAAAACTGCATTGGACCACCACGCTGGCGGAGTAGGTGGAGCCTGGGCTGGAAGCGGCAGCAGGTCAGCATCCACCCGCCACCAGGGTCAGTACTGTTAGCGCCAGTATCTGTCGTACCAGTGCCGGCACACTATGCTCTATCGATGAGCATTCGAGAGACCGCCCAGTCTGATGCCGCCGCCGATTTCACCACCGACCTACCCAAGGACAGTACCGTTTGGTGAAATCACCTGTGAAACGGTTCCCATCACGACAATGTTGCTGCAAGTCGAGAGACACTCGACATCGTTCCCGCAGTTGATGCCAGACGAGCAGCTGTATGTTGCCGCTTGACAGGACGCTGAGGTTTGAAGTGTTTTAGTAGCAAGCTCAGGGATTTCAAGAGTTGGTTTGATACTTGTCCACTACGATCGCAGGACAGCCTCCTGTCAAAGATCGCAGCGGGCCATCTGCACTCGATTCCAGCACTTGTCTCCCGTCGCACTGGATATCAACCCTCAGTATCCATCGCGGCGCTCACGTATCCTTACCCATTCCTGCTACGAAACCAAGCAACGCGATCAAAAGCTTCATCTTGAACTGAATCAGAGGAGCGGGAGCTTGGCTGGTTTGGACGATTGGCTGCTTCCCCAGTCGGCGAATGTGCTGAATAGCCAGCGGGGTTCTGACGACGGCTTGTGGATTCTGCTGCAGCGGGCTGCTACATCTAGCGTATCGCTTCGGGGGGCCAGACCATCGCCGCTTTTATACCCCCAAATTTCGTCGATTCCCTCAGATGTTTGCTCCGCGCACCAAACCCAGATTGTTCTGCCGACGATAGCTCGCTTCTCCCACTCGGATTCCACAGCTCCGCGACAACAAACAAACACTCAGTCGAAAATGAAGACAGCGACTCCAACTTTGGTGCCAGGGGTCTCAGTCTAACATGTACTCCGCGACAACCCAACGCCCCTGGCAATAGTTAACTGGTCACCTCGGCAGTCCCCGGGTGAGGATCATGGCCAGCCCACGATGTTACGAGACTACAAATCGTTTGGCTGCTGATCCAAAAATGTCGTATTGATTCCAGCGACTGCAGTCATCACAGGAACATGTTGAAATTGAGCAGCAGCGACCGGGACAGACTCTTTTCTCTCTGAAGGAAACGCCACAGCTTGTTCACCGCCGAGCACTTCTGCAAATCCCATGCTCTTCGAGGTTGCAGCTTGCGTTTCTCACAGTCTCCCCACACAGCCGCCACCCTCCCTCGCAGTTCCCACTCGGCCCTCACATACAGCTCCCTCCAAGGCATGACCGGGAGCATCTCGCTCGATGACAACGATGGCGTGTATTCGCATCCACAGATTGATTCGGCAGGCGCCGTTCAACTATGTTCCGCTGGTTTGACAGCCTCTGCAGACTCGGGCCGGCTATTCAATGCCCAGATTGACTCTCCCACGACGATGAGCGACGGGCTGCCCACAGCTGCCGCGGCCACAATCTCGACAATTGTCTCGAGGGTGCCTGTGACGACCCGCTGCTCCGGCAGAGTTCCGTTCTCGATCACAGCCACGGGAGTCGCGCTTGGATATTCCTGCTCCGAGAACAGCTGGACAAGCTCCTTCAGCCGCAGGACAGACATCAGAACGACCGTCGAACGCTTCTCGTAGTACGGCGGGATGTTTGGATAGGCGCCATTCTCGCCACGGCCTGAGAGTACCAGCACCTGGTCGGCAACGCCGCGGTGGGTCACAGGGATCATTGCGGCCTCGGGGACGGCAATGCAGGAGCTGATGCCAGGCACAACCGTGGGCTCGTATCCCTGCTCACGGAAGAATGCCACTTCTTCGCCACCCCGACCAAACAGGAACGGGTCGCCGCCCTTGAGCCGGACGACGGTTCGGCCTTTCTTCAGCTCTTCGAGGCACATGTCGTTGGCGCTGAGCTGGGCACGGTCGGACTGGCCCGCAGCCTTGCGCGGCACAAACCTGAGGGCCGACTTTCGGATCAACTTGAGCACCGACGGCGACACCAGTTGGTCCGACACAACCACGTCGGCCGTCTTGAGGGCCTCGGCCGCCCGGAGCGTGAGCAGATCGGCCGGTCCTGGGCCTGCTCCCACCAGAATCAACTTGCCAGCGCGTCGGCCGAACCCGAGCGGAAGCGGAAGCGGGAGAGCTCGAACTCCGGATCCGACCATCGATACAATCGACACCGGAATGCCCACCAAAGCAGCTCCGGTCTGCTGGATGTACGACAGGGTTGAGTACGAGACCGTCTGGAGCGCTGTCGTGCCGTATCCCTTGGCAGCCGAAATGCTGCTGAGTCCGGCGGTAGCGATACCTCCAAGGAAACCAAGCGTCCCCTGGGGGCGAGATGACGCCTGGGCAGCTATGTCTTGGGACCGGGAGCCTCGGGAGATGGAGGCTTGGGGAGGGGGTGCCTCGCCCCGCTCGTACGAGTCCAGCAACTTCATCACCTGCGCAATAGGATCAGCAGCATTGTAGTGTCAATGACCAGACCAGCGATTCAACGGTCTAATCGCAAACTCTGCCACGCCCGAGCATTTTCCGGGCGCACACACACCTCGTCTTCGGTCATCTTGGCCATGTCTTCAAAGCTCCACTGGTCGCAGAGGCGGCTGAACCAGCGCATGCGCCGGTCGACCGACTCGGGGCTCATGTCCGCATGTCGCTCGCGGACCCGCTTTCGCAGGTTGCCGATCCGTTCAACAGCCCGGCATGTTTGCTCGGGTCCGCCAGGAAGCGAGCTGACCACATGGCTTCGGAGGCGGGCAGCTAGTCGAGGGCCGCAGCCGTTGGTGGAGATGCCGATCTGGCGAGCCGCATCCACAAACAGATCAAAGGATCAGCGGCGTCATTGCATGGACGGCATGGGCGGTATTGCGCATTGGATGTGGGTTGCAGATATCCAGTTGGGATGAATTCCGCATCGGTAAGGTCGCAAGCCATCGATTGGATTGGGGTGTGGGTCGTCGATTGCATCGACAGATGCATATTTGGTACCGGGATGTTGATGTGACGCTGCGTTAGTGCATCGACAGGACGCCATATGCAATCCATCGGACACAGATGCGACGACGCTCATGCCGGCCAAATCCCAAGCGATTCTCCAACTGAGGGCAAGCGCTTTCCGGTCCATGCGAGTGCCGGTCAACCCTGCTATTGGCTGCTGACCTGCAACGGCCCCTCGCGATACTGAGCCATGAAGTAAAAGTCGCAGAGGTCCGGGATATCGGCGCAGTTGACGAGGATGCTTCGAGCACGGCACAGCTGTGCGATCCGGGCCGACTCTTCGTGATCGTCAATGCAGGACAGGACCATATAGACACCGCCGTCGAGGTCCAGATCGGCGTCGTCAAAGTTGCGGTCCAGATGGCGCACCTGGCCCAGGTCGATGCGTTGCTGCACAGCGGCCGTGAGGCCGGTCTGCGGCGCTACGATCGTGACCCGGGCATCGGCGTCTAGGGCGAAGAAGATACGCCCGGTGGCTTCCTTGCCTCCTCCGACGATGAGGACGTGCTTGTCAGCGAGTCGTAGGGCGGCCAGGAATGACGCCTGTCCGTGGACCTGTTTGAGCTCGGCCATGGCGGTTGGAGGGAGAGTGGCTGTACTTGGGAGAAGAGAGATGGCGGGTAGGGGTTCTCGGGCAGTTCTGCTTTTCTGGCGAGGACTTGCACAGTGCGGTTCGGTCGTGGACAGTGCGGCTCGGTCTTTCTGTTCGACAGCTCAGCTTGGTCTGGCTTGATCGGGACGGTATGCTCGAAAGAGCGCAATCAGCCCTGTGCCTGATTTCGGTGTGGCTTTTTTTGGCAGCGCAGTCGGGCACGTGGAATGGCGTGGGCCATGGGACAGGCATGGTCGACTCAGGGCCGTATCCAGCATGGCAGGCGGGCACTCGACAGCAGGGCCCTGAACATACACCGCTCATCACACACCGTCAAGTGGATATAATCATTTCCCTGTGTGGGGCGAAGTATCCAGCACAGCGAGCGAACAGGCAAGGTCGCTGGTTTGGGTACCGATCCAAGCCGTCCAGCCAGATCGATCAGCATCAACCGATGTGAAGGTGTCCCGGTTCAAATCAAGTTCGCTGTAACGAGCGCCAATACCAATCACGAATACGTCATTTGCACACAATCCACACCGTCGGGCCATTCACATATTTCGAGTAACCTGCTTCGGATAAGCCGCCTCTCCTCTTCACCGCCAGCCCCGTTGGCCTCTGCGTCCCATCGTTCTGTCGTGATGAAGGTCCAGATCGACGAGTTCGAGTTTGACTCGGACTTTGACTCCGGCAACCTCGAAAGTGTTGTTGATCCGCTGGGCGGCGCTGGTCTCGAGGACTCGTCTGCGGCCCCTTTTCCGGCGACGAAGGGAACCCGGCGATTTGTTCTGTTCACACGGCCCGATGGCGCCGAGGAAGGCGCAACCCTGTCATCTAGCGACAAGAACAGGACATGGTTCCACTTTTCCGTTCGGCTCGCATCTGGCCCAGAAGTCTGCAGCGAGAATCGTTCGGATGCGAGCGCTGGCCCCAAGAAAACATTGTCCTCGCCAGCCAAGGGAGCATCGGCCAGGCGAATGCTTCCGAGTCGGGGTAGCGACTCTCTCACTCGCCTTACAAAGCCCGTCCAGTTGATCTTTCCGAACCTGAACAAGGTCCAGAAGCTCTTTGTGGCAGGGATGCGGCCATTCTTCCGCCGGGACGGCGACGGAGGCTGGAAGCGGATCTCACGGGCCCCGCTCTTCAAAGCATTCGACTCGGGCATGCGGCTCTGCTTCGAGTTTGACTTCTACGAGGCAATGTCCTCGACAGAGCTGCAGCAGCTCCCGCGCATTGATATCAAGTACTACTTTGCATACGGGATGCCGTACTCGTGTGCTGATCTCCATCTCCGACTGAACTGCCTCGATGCATTGTTCAAGGCCCACAACCCAAAGGCTGTCCCGAGCCTGCCCTCGATCACTCAGACGGTGAGAAAGTCCATCCAAGACACACACGCCTCGATCGATCGTCTTGGAAAGACTGCTGGCACAACCGCGGAGGTCGGCAGCCTCTACTGGCATCGCGATACTTTGGCCGAATCGATCGAAAAACTCCCGATCGAGGTTCTGACAATCACGTCCACTGAGGACATGCTCGAGATTGAAGAGGATTGCCGCATCCAAGGGCTCTTCCCTGACAGGGCTATCCCAAGAGCCAAGCGATTTCTGATGGCAAACGAGCAGAATCAGAGACCATCACTCGACGGCGGCGACACCGGCGATTCCTCAGGATCCCACAGCACCAGTCCTGCCAGCGACAGCAACTCGAGCCGCACTTCGCGATCCTCCCGCCGCGACATTCCGGTTGGCAATCGCAAGTCCCGGACTAAGCAAGGCGCCAAGGCCGCTGGGAAGCGGTTCGTGTTTGTGAGCGGACGGGTGCATCCTGGTGAAGCGGTGGCCAGTTACATGTTGGACGGGTTTCTCGGCTTTATTATCTCGGCCGATCCTCGAGCCAAGCTCCTGAGGAGCATGTTTGTTTTCAAGATCGTCCCGATGCTGAACCCGGACGGTGTGCGCCTGGGCTGCTATCGTGGCGATGGTCGTGCAGTTAACCTCAATCGAGTCTACGACGACCCGGACCCAGTGCTGCATCCGACCATCCACGCAACGAAGCAGTATATCGGCTACCTGTCGATGCTTGGGTCGATCGCATACTATTTCGATTTTCACGGCCATGCCAACAAATTCGGGTGCTTTCTGTTTGGCAACCGGCTCCCGTTGCTCGACGACCGCATTCAATCCTGGATGTTTGCTCGGTGCATGGAGCTCAACTGCCCGCAGTTTGACATTCAAAAGTGCGAGTTTCTGCGCTACGAAGCCCCGGATTCGGCCGGAAGCGCACGCTCTCTCCAAGAACGGAGCGACAATATGAACCGCGACCGAAGCGGCCGGGCGGTCATGTTCCGCGAGTTTGGGATCGTCCATAGCTATACGATCGAGGCCAACTACCACTGCTGCCAGAAGCCGACAAGGGTGACTCCACGACGGATGCGGGATGCTGGCTTGTCAAGTCCACCGGTATATCCGAAAGCAATATTGGGCAAGGGATGGTCTGTTGACGAGCTGGAAGGCATGGGCAAGGCCGTAGCCATCTCGATCTTGGACACGGCAAGAGCAAACCCATACACCCGCGTTTCTTGGCCAACGGCACAGACCTGGGCGAGGGAACAAGCCATGGCAATGTCCAAAGAGCCAAGTTCGGGAGGCTCCAGTTCGTCGTCGCTCGTGTCGATCAGCTCCATCGGGTCCGAGGCGCCATCGCCGCGGGAGCGCCCTGACGGAGATTCACTGCGGATCAGCGTTCGACTAAAGTCCATCAATCTGAATGACCAGTACTCGAAGCGGCCTGCAGACCCCTCCCGAGCAGTACCAGCGCTGCAACGATGAATGTGCGCGAGTCGGGATCAAGAGCGCATGCAGAAGTACATGTTAGTGGCAGCAGCCGCAGATGAGGGTAACATCTCCAGCGTGGAGTACGGCAGGTTGTCGCCAGCAAGTATGTGCAATACATCTACGGGTGCAGACACAACGAAACGTGCCGCTTGTTCCATAGCCCAGCACCAGTGGCAGTTGTTCCAAAACAAACGGGACGGTGACCCTGTTCTCTGGCATCAGAGCCCTGAAGTCCGCTGATCATCTGGAGGCAGCCGTGGCTTGCGATTTGTTTCCAGTCCTGGCTGGCAATCTCTTGGTTTCGTGGGTTTCGGGAAGCATGGTCTTGAATACACCGGACGATCTCTGTGGCGACAATCGGCCGGTATTGACGTCGCGATGCGGGAGTGTCGTGTATTCATTCGACCCTCTGGACAGCTCCGTACAGTATCAACATATCGGCCTTCTCGAGTCAGTTGGCTTGCAGGCACTGTGGACGTGCTCTTTGGTCATGATAGCGATGAGCAGTGTGTGTATATTCAGGACCACAAATCAACGACAACCCCGGCTCAAAGCAGGGTGTCCTGTTTCAATTGGGTACGCTGTATTCAGTTCGCAGGAAACCTATGATGCCCTCCAGGGCTGGGTTGCCCCCGAGCCGGGCTATCTCGTCGAGGGCCTTCTTCTCAATATCGAAGAGGTAGTTGCGGGTGTATTCGAACGACCCGTTGTCCTCCAGCAGTTTGATCGCATACTGCTTGACAGACACATCCTTGGTCCTCTGTCGAAGTATATCTGATCCAGCAAATTTGAGACGTCCAGTGAGTGTGCTGTCGTTATCTATCTGGACAGGGCAGAGCACTTGAAGCTGGCACCTTCGATGTGACCAAGGACACGGACGAAGATCGGCACGACAGTATCCCTGTGGCCGTGAAGTAGCTGTAGCATCACAATGGCCCATCTATTCGAATGGTGTGCTGCGTCTTACTCTGTATCTGCTGTCCGGACTCGTTCTTGTTGTGCTTGATGCCGTGAATCAGCACAAACGAAAACTTGCCCTCGGTCAGATCTTCGGCAAAGCCCTTGTTCTCTGTGTACTATTGGCAGGACCGAGCAAGAACCCGCGGGTCGCAGCGGGTTCGCATGCAGCATTGTGAGTCTCCAAAGCGATCCCAGCACGCCGCCTGTGGTTCAACTGCTTAGCCATCAATCTCGAGTTGCCGAGTATGCTGCACAGCCATGCCTACCGTCTTGGAGTGGAGATTGATGTAGTCATCGCGGATCTGGAAATGAAGCCCAAGAATGTCTACCAGGGGAACGTAGTCGCTGCACAGAGGATGCAATCAGTCGTCTTCTTTCAGTCAGAGCTTTCCACTGAACCACTGCCTCAACTTTGCTGCCTTGAACCACACGAGGCACTCACGATTTGCATCCCGAGGCGATTTCCATCATCTTGACGGCCAGGCGCAACAATCCACCCGTTTCTGCGCAAGAAAGGCGTTTGCTTGAGTCAAGAAGCAATGTCCATCGAAACGTCCAGGCGGTGGCTTTGATGCACCTTCCATCACGCTGTGCAGGACAGATGCGACTTTGATACACTACTGTTTCCAATCATCTCCAGGTATTCCTCCTCAGAGGGGCAGATACAGCTGTCGCGCCAGTACAGCTCCATTCCCTGTCCCCGATGCAGAAGCAGGAGCTCTTCTGTAAAGACCTTGACGATTTCAGCACAGTTGAGCTGCAGCAGCTTTTGCAGTGCCAGGAAGTATCTGTTGGTGTGGATTCGAGGATAGTGCGGCTCGTGAGTGGAGGTATGCACAGCGACAACGACGGTGTCTGTTCCAGGCGCGGCCATCCTCCCCTCGGCCCTTGCAATCCTTGCCGAGCGGGCGACTTCCGGTCCAGCTGTTATATCAGCAGAGGACATACACATGATTTGCACAGTTGATGGTGAGAGGCACGCCGTAAATCTTGTGGGCGACTATACGAGGCATCCAAGGGTTAGCGCCGCGAAGTGTGGCTGGCCGAGCCAGCCGTAGCTTGGTAGGTTAGTTCCAGGCATGCCACGAGCTCACACCTGGAATGCCACGACGCAAGTCTGAGTTGTCTTGGATGTCGTCGATGCTAGAGAAGATGGGAGTCGGTATGAGTTGCACACGGGCAGCATATCGGTGTGATGGCAGGACCGTTGGTGGTGCTGTTGCCTGAGGGATTCTTGGCGCACTCCTCAGGGCCAGCCACGATCCCGCGGATCCGATGCGTGCAGCAGCACGATGCGATGCATACAGTAGACTCGAGTTGTGGAGCATTTCGATGGCATCGCGGATGACGGCAAGTTTCTCAGGAGGAACATGAATCCACGCATCGAAAGCGTTCATCAGTTTGGAGCGGAATTCCTTGCCGCGCTGTCGCCATAGATACAGAAACGGCTCGAGTATGTCCTGGAGGAGCAGGAGGTACAGGAACAGGGATGGTCTTGACGTTAGAGTAGCGGATATGATGTGGGATGTGCTCCCCAGATCGAGAGGGACGACATGCCACAGCCGATCCTGTTGTGAGTGGGCTGGCTCTTGGGTGCAAGATCATCGGTTCGTTCTGGACGGTACCTTCTCGATCGGATGGCTGATATCGAAGGGAAGGTGGCTGCTGGACATGCTTGCGTTCGGGACGGTTGCGATCGACGAGACGATGGGCGGCGGAGACGATGAGCAATTGAAACGGCGAGTGTCAGCGGGTGATGCTGGCAGCGACGTGGAGCCGACCAGGGGGCAAGGGCCAAAGAATTAGGGCTGGCCGAACCAGGGCGAACGGGGCAGACGAGCAGAACCAAACAGCACCGCACTTTGACCCAGATCCAGACACCACATCACCCAACCACCGCATCGTCCAACCACCGCATCGTCGGCCAGATACCATCCAGAGATACCATGGCACATCCCGATCTGCCATCGCCGCTCAACTCGACTGACAAAAGTATGGTGATCGTCGATAATCTGCTCACCAAATCCATCCGCTTCATCCCAGCCCATCCGGCAGGATACTAATATTCACGCTCCCGCAGTCACCATCGCGCTCTTGGGCGATGCCGGCGTTGGAAAATCGTCGCTGGCCCACATGATATGCAATCAGCAGCCTCTATCGGCACCTTCGAGGACAGTTGGATGCAGTCTGCATGTCAAGGTTAGCATCGCCTGGCAGCCTCGGCGGCAGCGGCGTCTATTCACCAGTCCGGTCGAATCTGTCCTCATCCTCGATTGCGGTTTCCTGACTTGCACCGCCGTTGTCCTTTCGACGCCGCGACATTTGCCCCCTGCTTGCCCATCCGACTCTGGAAGATCCACGAACACAGTCGGCGGAAAAAGACGTTCTTTGTTGAGCTGATCGACATTGGCGGCAGCGCAACCAGGCATCGGTCATCGAGGCATGTGTTTTATCGGAACGGGATCGATGCGGTCATGCTGGTTCACGACTGCACCAACTCCAAGTCATTCAACAACCTGGCCAAGTGGCGAGCCGATGTCTTCGAGAGCCTGCGGAGCCTTGAATCCAAGAAGCAACGATCGTTGAGCTCGTCAGGTATTGCTGCTCTTCATGCTTGCTTACTGTCCACTCGACTGCTCCTGTCGACGACTCACTCGCTGTCTTGGTAGTGGGTGGGTCAGGGGGAGTATGTTCTCGTCGGTATCCTGAAATACGAAGCTATTTCCAACAGGCTTCGAGCTGGACGTCTGTGTAAGCACGGAAACCTCATCCCTTTCCTCATCGACCGGCGACATCCCTGTCCTGACCGTCGGCACCAAGATCGACCTGACAGAGGGCACTGCGAGCCGATACCGACAGATGCCGCACGACGGCGATCTGTCTGTATTCGTTGTATGTAGAGCCGATGGACTGAGAGCATGAGCCGCGCACAGCGAGACCACGACCGACTGTGCGGCTGCATGATTGTGCGATTTGCACCCGTGTGCGAAAGAATGGAACGAGTTCTGCTGGCTAACGTTATGTTTCGCCGACGGCCGTCCAAGTCGACCCTGTCCTACGAATCCTATTCCACTGTCGAGCCGTTCTTTTCATCGTTCTTCGAGAGTATCATCGACAGCAAGCTCCACCCGCTCCACGAACGAAGCCATCCTTTGCCGCACACCCAGTACCAACCACGAGACGCCGTCTACAGCAACGGTAGGATGAACCTGTCTCGCCACAAGCGGAGGAGATGCATGGGGTTCTGGCAAGTCCGGTCAGCGGATGGCTATAGGGCGGACTCCACTGACTCTTTGTGGGGACTTTGACTGATCTTGCAGACTCCCAGCGACGGCGGCACATTGTTCCTGGCGAGAAGGCCGGATACTTTTAGAAATGCACACAGAACGAAAGGGGCTGTCGCACTTCTGGGTTCTGAATACACACCCATCCACTATGGCCAAAGGATATGTCCAAAGAGATCGACATTGTGGTTGCCTTTGGGGCGGCTTCGTTTCGTTTCGTTTGTTCGCTTGCTTGGTTGCTTGTGTGTGTTTCGGTTCGTTTAATTCGTTATTGCTTTCTTTCTTTTTTTTTGGATTCCGGGCTATACCTGTATTACAGTCAATCCAATAAAAACGGGACACCCGTGTTTTTGACCATTGAATGAATATTTTGTTCCCCAATGTTATCGCGCGCTGGCCATGACCATTCGCCAGTGTGTCCAAGAGCGCCATTCGCCGCTGGCACTCCGAGTCCAGTGTGCATGTCGATTGTGGAGACCGGAGAGCGACCGGTGGTCTTCACTCGGAGGCTGCCAAAGTGATTTGATGTATTTCTTGTGGCTTTGCTTGACGCAAGCACATCCCATACTACATCGCTGATACATGCCGGTGCGTGTCGTTGGGGCTGCTGGTCAATCTCGTTTGTGGCGGGTGGTCGTCCTTCGGCAGCGCCGTGCACAGACCCGACATGGATCCGTCCATGCACCCTCCCCCTTGGCAGATCTCGCACAGACCGATGGCAGCCCAGGCCACTGCGATCCCCACCACCGACACTGTCTCGCCCAGCCAAGGAAAGTGTGGCGGCGTGGTCTTTGTCGCTGCCACCTGCGTCCACGGGCGATGTGCTGCCGGCAAGGACCGGCTGCAAGGAAAAGGCTGTCGTCCGTGAGGCCTGACCCGATACGGCTGTCCTGGACCCAAGACCAGCGCCGGCCCCAGCGCCCTTTTGCCAGCATCATCCTTCGCTGGCATTGGACCCGCCAGCCCGTCCAACCCGTCCGGCCGAGCCCAGCCCAGCATCGCATCTGCTCGCATCCCTCTCTCTGGCGGCTCTGCTCTCCCAGATGCTGAGCGACTCTCAAGCAGTCCACCGGGACTACAATATCGATAAGCCACTGCCGGAGCTTCCTGATGCCGACAGCGATCTCAGCTCGCCACCGCCGTTGCCACCACCGGTCCCCAAGAGCCAGTGCCAACGCCAGACCAAGCGCTCGTCTCTGCGGGCGCTCAAGGGGATCCGAATGTCGCTCGATGGGGCGGCCCGAGGCATGTTCGTAGCTCGGGGAAGCCCGCAAACCGGCGACTGGTATGTGGAAGCCTGCGTAGCTCTTGGCAAGGTGCCAGAGTTTCGGCAAAGAGTGTCGCTCGGGCAATGTTCGAGCAACGTTCGAACGTCGATCGAATACCTGGTTGTTTTCGTGGGGGGGGGGGACGCATTGGCTCACTGTCTGCTGGTGCTGCGTCGGCCCATTGCCGATCCGCCCTTTCCCGTCGCCGTTTGCATAATTCTGCTCGAGCCCCGTCTTTCTCTCCGATACTCTGGCTCGCTTCGTTGTTTGAACCATCGACCCACATTGACACATTGGCATTACTCTCCCTGCTCGCATTTCATCCACCGTCGCTCGCGACTCCACCGCCCGCCCTGGCTTGCATATTGTCGTCACAGCCCAGACTTGCGAACTCGCACGGTCTCGGAGCCATTTCTGAGTCCCTTTGCTGGCGCTGTTTGGCGTCGGCCGCTGCGACCATCGGACCGCCAAAACATCAGCCAGGCCGACATCTCGACCATAATTGCGGAGGAATCCAGTCTGTCGGAGGACGGCCATGATCCCAACGGCTATGATCCCAGCGACCATGGCCCCAGCGACCATGACCCCAAGAACCACAAAGCCGCCACCATCCGTCGACCCAGCGACCACCGAACCACCACCGATCTCCACTCTGCGCTCTCGCTTCGCTCCGAAGGATACAACTTTACAACACCGTCGACCCTGGGCTCGTCGCTGCCGCCGTTTATGACGACCGGGGCTGGGATTGAAGCCGGGCATGCACTCGAGTCTGCGTCTGCCCTCACGTCCGAGCAGTGCTTCGAGGTCAGCCCCGTTTCGGAACATGCCCATGTTGAGCCGGTCTCGCAGGCCATTCGGAATTGGGCGTTCTTGCGTCTCTACCATCAGCACTACTCGTCGCACGACCCGCTGCAGCAGCAGCGTCCAAGCCTCAGCGACCTTTTGCAGCCCCACTGTCGGTCTCCCGACAGCGTCCATGCAGAGTACAAGGTGGGTTGCCTGCTCTTTCGGGGTGTGGATGATGCATACTTGAGGCTCTCCACGATCAGACTGCTGACGAGCCCATGTTGAACCCTTGATCGACGCGGCTCCATGCAGGCGTTTTCTGGCATCCTCTCATGGCTTCATGGGGCACCGGACCGAGGGTTTCCGCTCTACGCTCTCTGGGTGCCGGCCATCCGGACCCTTCAAATTATGACCCTGCGGCTACTCGGCGCACCCGCCATCGACATGGGCGTAAGTAGCGGGGCTAGACATTGTGTCCTTGGTGTGCATCGGGACTGACAACGTGACTACGTCGCATGGCCTGACAACAAGTCTGCATTACACCCCGGCAATGCAACTGGATTACATCGGTAGACGTCCAAAATCTCGACTCGCCTGCGACGGTCCATCTTGCTGATCAGCAGTCTCGAGTACAAATGGTGGGAGCCTGTCCTGCAACTACCGACACTGGATCTAGCCGCTCTGGTTCTTGGATGTGGTTTTGTCGATGAGTCTATGGGCAAATTGCAGCACGTTATATCCCTGCAGCGCACCCTATCCTGCAGCTCACCATTGTGTAATGTTCTTACAGTCACTACAACATTGCGCAAGCCGCGGCATTTGGTAATTACTCGTGGTGACTGAGGTCGTCGTCTCATCACCGAGGAAGCAGTGTTCGTTCCGCGCAACTCCCCGCCCGAGTTCGTTGTCTCCACATCCTTACGGCCTGATACTGATGCACTGCTTTCTGGACGTATCCATCGATCGGACAGGTGATTTGATCCATGGCTCGTGGAAGTACCAAGTCGAGAGCCTGAAAACACCGCCGTCGCCGTCGCCGCCGCCGATTTTCGATCCGCAAGATAGTCGTCTCACATCACAGGAGCGCAGTGCTCTCGAGCTGGTTGCTGCTGCCAGCCGACTGCCCTCGGAGGCAACACCGGAGCTCCGCCAGGCTGTAAGGTCAAACTTCAGTGAGGACGTTTTCCAGCAAATCGTCTGTATCTCGGCCGCCTGTGCTTGGACCGATGCTGTGACGGTAAGCATTCCGAGGCATCCCAGGCATGAGTGGGCGATCCGTAGTGTGCGGGCATTCATGCTCGTAGTTGTGGAGAGAGAAAGAGATGGATCCGGCTCCATACCACTCGCTGCTGACGCCGCTTCGCCGTTGCAAAGGATGCCCTTGGTGTCGAATTGGATCCATCGCTCATTGCCTGGACCCAAGATCAACTCGGCGAGCTTGGCTTTTGGGACAAGACACGGCATATGCCCCTCGATTACGGCGGTGAGGAAGACCCGGAGTCACCAACGAGCCGCTTATCGGACTCGCGGACGCCCGGGAAACGGCGTGGCATTGGCATTGGCCGGGTCCGGGACCTGCTCCATCTGCTCCGAAGCATCCAAGAAGGCAGTGCGATGGAGGCACGGTGGCTGAGCGAGTTCCCTGCAGGTAATGCCGCTTTGCCGGTGATGAAACGAACCATTTTCCGACTCTTGCTGCGTTTGAGACGGACCATGCGAACAACACTATGCGAACAGCACCATGGAAAACGTTGCTATCCTTACCGACGCCGTCGCCGCAGTATTCTTTTGGGGGGGGGTTTGCCTCCACCGGCGGGTTGCACTCGTGCTCTAACGCCAGTACTCTGCTGCCCATCGCAGGACGTTCGAGGCTCAACTCCTGGCTGCAAGCCACCCTGGGGTTCCAGCCCGAGTACATCGTCCAGATCCTCAACAAGGACATCAAGCGCGCCGTATGCTTCGCATTATGGCAGTTCTTGCTCCGGCCGAGCCACTACATCGATCCGTGCGTCACAGCAACGTGCGAGTCCGAGTGGTCCAACCACTCCAAGATCTTGATGTGGTTTGTATTCAGCGTCACGGCCGGCAACAGGTTGCTGCAGGGCCATGCGGCCTTTGTGGCCCACAAGTTCCGACTCCCAACGCACTTGCTGATGATCGCCAAGGCCGGGGGCTCTGTCGGCGACCCCAAGCTGGACGTGGCACTCAATTTCGTCCGCCGGTCGGCGAGTGCAGAGCGATGCTTCTCGCGCCAGTCGTCCATCGAGCTGTTCCAGTCGATGCGGGCACCCGAGGGCGTCATGGAGTTCCTTTCGGTGCTGGGTCTCCTGAATATGCTCCACCGGCTTTCAGGCATGCTTGCGGCCGATCCGCCGCAGTTTGAGCTCGAGGTTCGCGAGTATCTGGCTTCGGCCGGCGGGCTGGGTCTCGGCCTGCATCCCAGCGAGGCCCAGGCAGGGTGTGCGAGCGCGCTGCGATAAGAGGGCAGCGTCTGATCGGTATCCGGCCGCGCCGATGCCACCCCCAATAGACATGTCCATGATCGGGCAGCATGGACCAGCGACGCTCAATACTATGCATATCCGATATCATGCACTTTGACAGTAGCCGCCGCCCCCCCCCCTCGCTGAGACGGATGTGGTCTGTCGGCCCAAAGCCGCTGCCCGAACCAATGGCCAGACCGTCGCCCACCACTCGCTGCTTGCTTTCCCTTTTGCATCACATTGCAGACGCCGGGGTCAGCGAGCACCAGACGCGCTGGCCGTTGTGCTGAGCCGAGCTGAGCCAGGAGAAGTGGCGGCCCAAAGCAAAAGGTCAGAGCAGGCAGCTGTGGCAGGTGTGGGAGAGCATAGGGCAGATGGATCCAGTCGACCGCATCCCCCCCCCGCATATCAAATCGCCATCGGCGGCTGTTCGTGGGCTCTGCGCGGCCATCCACAGCGATCCCACAGCGATCCCACAGCATGTCCATGGGCTTTCCGTCCCTCCCCGCTGCACAAGCGCAATCGCCCGGCGTCGCTGCGTCCAGTCGATTTGTTTGCGCACTCGCCCCCTGCGAACACAGCCGGCGTGCTCAGCCGATGGCGCTGTCTCCGATGCAGTGGTGTCGCCTGTCGCCTGTCGCCTGTTGCCTGTTGCCTGTCGGTTGCTGCTTCTGTCAGGACGCTGTCGCTTCCATCGGTCCTTCGCCTCCCAACCCCTCCCATAAAACCCCCCCCCTCGGCGCTTCTCGCCTGCTTTGCCTGGCATCCCTCTTGCTGTCTCTGAGGTGTCGCTGCCCCGGGCCTCATCCATTTCCCCGCTCCCCTTCGGCCTTTGCTGGTTTCCTCAGCAGCCCAACCAGTTTCGACCTCTCAGCACACCGCCCCAACCCTCTCCCGGACGGCATGCATGCCTCGGCTGCCATGGCGTCGGCCCAAGCTTCCCGGAGCTTCCGAACATCCTCGATCTACATGGACCAGCACCAGGCCCAGCGAGATCCGACTCTGCCTCCGCGATCGCACTCACGGGCCTCGCACATCTTCACCCAGGATCCCCGCGAATCCCGCGAGCTCCACATCCCTATAAAGGACCACTTGCTGGAGCGCCTGATCGAAATCGAGGAGACTCGGTTTGCGTTCGAGAAGGAAAAGGTTAGCCGGATGGATGTGTGGATCCTGTGCTTCACAGACAGCAGGGCATTGGGGATGTGCAAACGCCATGAGCAAAGCAGCGGCCCACAGGTCGATTGGGTTGCTGGGTTGTCTGTCGGTTTTGTCTCCTCGGCATTCGCCGGCTTCTCATACCCTCCTCGTTCCTGTGTTAACCTCCGTTTTCCTGGCCCTGCCTCGCAGGAGCAGCGCGAGGCCATCTTCCGCCAGCGGATGCTGTCCATTGCCGAGTCGCAGTTCACCTTCGACATGCAGAAGGTAATGATCATGGCGCCCTTGGCCGGCTCTCCAAGCGCCATTGAGGCCAGCCCCACCCTCCACAACCCCTCCTCGTATCGCCAGCGTCGTATCGCCAGCGTCTTTCGCCAGCATCTTTCGCCTTCCCCGACCCATTCCCTCACTCTTCCGGTCTCGCTCGCATGTGTGGTGGTGGCTCCACCTTACCCTCCCCATTCCCGCCTGCACCGTTTCCGTTGCTGGAGCGCTGACCGCCCCCCGTTCACCCACCCCCCTCGTCAACGCTTCTGACATCGGCGCCCGCTCCATCCACAGGCACAGAAGGATCGTGATACTCAGCAGCAGTTGCGCAACGATGTATTGGTGAGTTCTGGCTGCCGGTTCCACCGGGCGAGTGTGCTGCTGCCTCGGCGTCACCGTGGGCCTCCAGCATTGATGTCAAGTGGTGTTTGTGACAGGGATCCTTGGTCGGCGTGCAAAACTCGCTCTCGGGACTGGTGAGTACTTGGACCTCCAATGGCCTGGCTGCTGCCGGTCCATGCCCATGCTTGCGGGCCCTGTTCATCTGGTTGGGCGGTCGGATACAGCCGTCTTTGGCTGCGGCGAAAGTATCACGACCGAGAACGACGTCGGGCTCACCTGCTGCATCCCTGCAGGAGCGTTCGCTGCTGTTCTTTGTCGACCAGCTCGACCAACGGGTCCATGCCCTCCAGTCCAACATGGTGGCCCTGCAAGCTCAGGTCCTGACCCGAACCGACCCACAATCATCCGCGGGCGCTGCCGCTCCTGTGCGGCCCCGCACCCACTCGCACCCGAGCAGCGAGTCGGGCGGATCGTCCACCAAGGCCGTCTCGGCTCGAGCTGCGGCTCCGGCTGACGCCCCGGCCAGTCTCCCGCCCTCAAAAGCACTGAAAGTGTACTTTAGCTATTGCTGGGCAAACAGTCGGTATGTAGGCACCGCCATCCGCATCTGCGAACCACGCGCTCATTGTAGGGCCGATCGAAGAAATCTCGGTCACAATGACCTGTACGAACACGATACCCGCCGGCCAAGCAGACCAATTGATCGTATCGAGCTCTCTTACATCCATGAACAGCGATCAAGTTGCTAAAAACATCCAGGCTCAGAAGGCCAACCGCTCGGATTTGGATCTTTGTGGGCTGTAAGTACTCGGCCGCGCGAATCACAAGTGCTGGGCCTGGCCGGAGACGATGGACTCAGTGGCTTCCCATGTGGCACCGCAGGGGATTGAATGGGTTCTTCACGGAACATCGTGTGGGACGGTAATACTTTTATATGACTGATGTGCTTGGCTGTGCCCTGTTTCTTCCAGCTTGGACCCGCGTCGACTGGCGATTGCGCTGGTCAGTGCGACAAAATACGAGCCATGGCTTGACGTGAGCGAGCTCGACATCCACAACGAAGGCGAGCGGATGAGCGAGCGTTTGGATGCCATCGAGAGCAAAGGTAGGCATGCTCAGACCCATGCGCGCATCATCTCAACCCACGAACTGTATCGGCAGGCGATCTCGCCCGACCAGACGACGCAGCCAACGCATCGATGCAACTCAACCGACGGACGGCCGTGTGACGCTCGCTGTTTCCTTTCGTAGCCGAAGTCTTTGTGGCGTTTATCTCGGACGAATATGCCGCCAGCAAGGCTTGGTGAGTTGGCTCGCTTTCATGGACGCTAATGGGCCAGCAAGCATGGCAGCAGCGGGACAATGCAGAAGCAGCAGCCAGAGACAGAGGAGTACGTGCGAATCTTCATCGATGCCGGCATGCTGATCGTGCGTCCTTGTGGCCTTGGGCCGTCCAGCCGACAAGAGTTTTACCAAGCCGTCAAAAAGAACATCATTATAATACCGATCATTGGTGGGTCTGGCGGTCCGAGTTGGCGCATGCTCATGTAAACGTCGAACCATCGGATCCGCACCAATGGTCTGACGCCGGTTTCGTTTCCTGTTAGTGGGATTGTCTTCGGCCGAGAAGCAGAAGTTTGTTTCGTCCAAGCTCACCAAGTAAGGATCATACAGGCGCAGGGTCGTCGAAGCGGCGTCGTCCCCGCCCTCCATGGCTCGGTGAATCCAACTCCCTTTTCTTTCTTTGTTCAGAAAACTCGATCCTTGGAAAAGCACAAGTGTTCGATTCTACCTCGCCGGTACCTCGTAAGTAGCGCCGAGCACACGGCTACCCCTGACCTCTCTCACTGACATGATCCACGAGTCTGGGGTGATTCTGAAGGGAGCCGATGGCGGCGTGCTTCAAGTCGTCGCTGCGATTTGGCACCCTTGGGTGTGCTCAGCATGTGATGCGATTTGCCGCTCTCCGTTGCCAATGGCCGACGTCTCACGCAACATCCCGTCAATGGCACGCCTGTCGCTAGATACATCGATGCCAGAGTGTCCTCTTTCGCCGACCTGGAGTCCAAGATGGCAGAGATCCTCGCTGTGATCCGCGCCAGGATGGACAAGCTCTCACAGGAGCGCATTCGTCGCCAGCACCACCATCAGAGCCACCCCGAGCATCCGCCCGAGACGCTGTTGGATGCAGTACAGGCAGGCAACCGCCAGGCCGTCCAGTTCATGATGAAAAACTCGGCCCAAACGGCAAGTCTGGTCCGCCAGGTCGACACACGCACCGGACGGACGGCTCTCCACTTTGCGGTGCTCGACAACGACCTGGAGCTCTGTATGCTCCTGACTGCATCTCAGGCGCAGCTAGATGCCGTCGATAAGCACGGCAAGACACCGCTGATCCTTGCATGTGAGCGGGGCTTTGTCAAGATTGTTCAGTTTTTGCTCGAATCCGGCTCGGCAGTCGATGGAGTCGACGGCAGCAAGCTCAGCCCGCTCGCTGTAGCTGTTCAGAACGACTACGTCCAAGTTGCAACTGTCCTGCTGCAGTACCACGCAAACGCTCGCCTCAAGGATGCCCACGACGAGACCCTGCTTCACAAGGCTGCTGAGATGGGCCACGCCAAGCTGATCCCGCTGCTGCTGAATGAAGGCTGCGAGCGCGACGCCAAGACCCAGGATGGGTCAACCGCCCTGATGCTTGCCGCTCGAAACGGCCACGCTCATGTCGTTGTGAATCTGATCGAGCACTCGGCCGATGTCAACGACCGCCGCTATGACCAGCTGACTGCCCTGATGGTGGCGGCACACGGCGGCGAGCTCGAGGTGGTGCGCGCTCTTGTCGAAAGCGGCGCCATCATCAACGAAGGCGACGACGACGGGTACACCTCCCTGATGCATGCCTGTGTCGGAGGCCACCCTGATGTTGTCAGCTACCTTGTCGAGCACGGCGCCCTGCTGACCTCGGAGTGCAACAACGGCTGCACTGCCCTGATGCTGGCGGCCGAAAACGGGCACCTGCGCGTCGTCAAGTTCCTGGTCGGCAAAGGTGCCTCGCTGGACCAACAGAGCCGAGACGGCTGGACGGCGCTGATTGCCGCCGCTCAAGACGGGCAGATGGCCGTTGTCGAGTATCTGGCCCAAGCCCAGGCGCCCCTGGATCAAGCCGACAACGATGGATGGACGCCCCTGGTGCATGCCTCCCGAAACGGCCATTTGAATGTGGTGCAGTTCCTGGTCGAAAAGCAGGCCAAGATCAACCTGGCGACCACAGACGGACGCACGCCGCTGACCCAAGCCTCGCTCAGCGGGCATCTGGAGATTGTCAAGTACTTGCTGCAGAAGGGAGCTGTGGTCAACCAGCAGCCCGACGAGGGCTGGACAGCGCTCATGCTGGCAGCACAGAATGGCCATCTGCATGTCGCCAAGCACCTCGTCGAAAGCCAAGCCTCACCCGCACTCGAGAGCAAAGATGGACGAACGGCTTTGATCCAAGCGTCGCTGAACGGCCACCTGGAAGTTGTCCAGTTCCTGATCGAGAGCGGCGCCCTGGTCAACCAGCAGCCCGGCAAATCTTGGACCGCGCTGATGGTCGCTGCCCAGAACGGCCATCTCGAGGTCGTCCACACGCTGCTGGACAATCAAGCCAACGTCAACCAGCAGAGTAGGGACGGGCGAACGGCGCTGATCCAGGCGTCGCGCAACGGACGCACTGAGGTCGTTAAATACCTCATCGAAAAGACCGCCGAGATCGAAGCAACGACCAAAGACGGATACACCTCGCTGATGGTCGCCGCCCAAAACGGACATGCCGACGTGGTCGAGTGCCTCCTGGAAGCCGGTGCGGTCGTGGAGCACGAATCAACCGACGGCTGGACGGCGCTCAAATATGCTGCGTCGAACGGACATGTGCAGGTTGTCCAACTGCTTGCCAAACAAGCCTCGTCCGTGAACCAAGTCACCCGAGACAGCTGGACGGCGCTGATGGTCGCGGCCCAGGGCGGCAAGCTCGAAGTCGTCAAGGTCCTGTGCGAACACAACGCCGATCTGTCCTATGGAGCCGGCCGCGGCCTGACGCCGCTGATTCTCGCTTCACAAAACGGTCACCTGGATGTCGTCGAATACCTCTTCGAAATGGGATCGAACATTATCGAGCAGACGGTAGACGGCTGGACGGCGCTGACAACCGCGTCTCAGTACGGCCAGTACGCCGTTGTGCAGTATCTGATCCAGAAAGGTGCGCCGGTCAGCGACGAAGACGAGCTTGGCTGGACGGCGTTGATCTATGCCGCCCGCAACGGCCACCAAACCATCGTGCGGATCCTGGTCGAAAGCGGCGCGCTGATCGGCCACAGGAGCCGAGACGGGCGCACGGCCCTGACGCAGGCATCGCTCAACGGCCACCTGGGTGTGGTGCAGTACCTGCTCTCGAAGGAGTCGCTCGAGGCGCAGCAGCCGCCGGACGGATGGTCGGCTCTGATGCTCGCCGCGCAGAACGGACACTTTGAAATCGTCAAGGAGCTGATCGACCAGGGTGCCGATGTCAACGAGCAGAGCCGAGACGGACGAACGGCACTGATCCAGGCATCGCTCAACGGCCACCTCAGCGTCGTCAACTACCTGCTAGAGTTTGGTGCCCAAATCAACCAGCAGCCCAACGATGGCTGGACAGCCCTCATGGTTGCCGCGCAGAACGGACACCTGGCCGTTGTGCAAACCCTGGTTGAACACGAGGCGCTGTTGAGCCAAAAGAGCCGAGATGGCCGCACGGCGCTGGTCGAAGCCGCTCGCAAGGGACACATTGAGATCGTCAAGTACCTGTGCGAGAAAGAAGCCCTGCGCCAGCCCCGACCCAAGGACATATGGCTTGCCCTGCGACAGGCATCGCAGAACGGGCACGTCGAGGTGGTCAAGTGCCTGATCTTCGAAAACAAGGATGTGATCATGAGGCTCGACAAGGGCTCGACGGCCCTCCGGCTGGCTCTGCAGTACGGACACAGCGAAATTGCCAAGCTGCTGATGGACATGGGTGCCGTTCTCGACAGCAACGATTCCAACGGCGAAGACGCCTTCCTGAATGCCTGCCACAGCGGCAAGACCGAGCTGGTGTCGTTCATCATCGAGACAGGAGCCAACCTCAACGTCGTCAACCAGCAGGGCGAGAGTGGCCTGATTATCGCCGTCCGCGAGGGCCACATCCACCTGGTCAAGCTCCTGCTCGGCACCAACATCAACGTTCGCCACAAGCGCAAGGACGGTGAGTCGGCGCTGTCGCTGGCATACCAGCTGGGGCACATCGAGATGCGCAACATGATCGAGGAAGCGATCCGCCAGAACCGCCGGAGCACGTTGCTGTCGATCGAATAGAGCGGTACTTGCGAGTGCCTCATCGGCTATCCTGGGAGCGGGTGTGATGGCTGCACCGTTTCGCATAATCTCAGAGTTCGCAGCGGTGCATCCCGTCCCTGTGCTCGGTTTACTTTATTTTTCTCCTTTTGCTTTTCGCAGCCGCCTCCGGGCTTCCTGCAGTTCATCCGCCCAATCTGGTCTTGTTTTATTCATCTCTATGTTTGCTGGTGTCTCTTTGGTGTCCGGCATCGATTGTGTCTTGGTCTTGTTGCGCTGCTCCCTCTCCCCTGTCTACATCCTCCCTTCCTTCCGTTCCGTTCCCTCGTGCCTATTGCCTCCCTGGATCCAAGTTTGATATGATACGAACGAGCGCCTGAAATCCCCCGAGGTGGCTCTGTCCACCTCCTGGTTCTGACTTTGCTGCCTGGTCGGGCTACCGAGCAACAGACCATTTTATCAATGAATAAAAGCCAACAACTACAGTTAGCCAACGAAACCAAGGCTCTGCTCCTTCTGGACAGCAGAACTCGGTGCCTTCGTTTCTCTCCTCGGTCAAGACAGAGTCGTGATTGTCGGTTGTCGCGGCCCTGGTCCAAGCTGAAAAGCCCAGAGAGAAGCCCTTGCCTCATCAACCCCGGCCACACCGCAATATCGGCCGGCCGACCTTACCGAGCAGTCCTGACCCGCCTCCCCACTCTCGGCCGATGAAATTGCCGGTGACAACGCTGTCGAGAGCCCTTCGGCCCTTCCCCGTCCAGCTGTCGCTGCCTCTGCACTGGGGCGAGCTCGATGTAGGCATTTCCTTATCAAAATCGCCGACGAAACAGCTCTGCACAGGCGGAAAGGGATGGACAAGAAGGAAGATGGACAAGAGGAGGAGGAGAAGGAGAAGGAGAACGATAAGGGCGCCCAAAGATCGTCCCTTCGATGGATGCAAAGGGCCAGCTTCGAAATCCACAACGGTTCTCGCCTTGGCTCACCCATCGCTGCTCGATTCCCTCCTTCTCCAGGCCGCTGGGTCCATCAACACACTGTATTTTGCAAAGTTCTTTGAGGCCGGACGTAAGCACGGCGGGTACCGCTTGGTCTGGGAGCGAACGATGACTCGTTCGTGGGCCGATATGCTCATCTGGAGCATTGGCTGCACTCAATCCCCATCCCTCACCACCTCGACTCGCTCCTCCCTCTTGTACTTTGCTTCTACCTGCCCCACCCACCCATCCCTTCGCAGGCCGTTCATACTATCTCCAAGTACTCAAGCCGCAAGTGTCTCCATCGTCCTATGCGTCCTTTGCCGCCCCCACCACGATTGGGCCGATCCTCAAGTCGTGCCAGTTCGAATTCTTCACTCCCGTCCCCTTTGACGGACCGGGCTCTCGTCTCGAGATCGGCACCAGAATCAAGACGCTCCTGGCGGACCGCTTTGTCTGGGAGTTGGTGGTGCTCTCGAACTCGCCGCGGCTTTTGCAGGCGTCCGAGTCCACATCGGCGCCGGCGTCGGCAGCCGATGGCTATGTTCTGGTCGCCCGAGGCGAGGCTGTTTCGGTCATGTTCGACTATAGCCTCCACAAGAAGGCACTGGTGCCCTCGGACATTGCCGATGCCATCCGGACCGCGGAGCAGTCCGATGTGCAGCAGCGAGCCGATCAGCGAGCAGGCGAATAGGCAGATGTGGCCCATCGCAGCCAACGCTCCACGGCCAAGCCAGTTTGGTAGCCACTCTCTGGACGGATGAGTCTCGTTTCCATATCCTCCCCCCCCCTCACGCCGTGCTGTCGTCATCCGAGCCGCTCTCTCTGTCGATCGATTCAGTGAGCGACACTGTGTGTTTGCATGGGATGGACAGTGTGTGATGAACACAGTTTCATGTACAAATTTCGTCGCCCTTCATCGAGTCTAGTCACGGAAAGAGCAGGTCGTCACCGCAGAGATCAACTTGAAGCCTGTGCGATCGGCGCCGGGTGCTTACTTCTGTTACAAAAGAACCAGAGATTGTGCAAATCGTTAGAATCGGGCCGGCGTCGATTTGGCGGAGCCGGCTTGACAGAATCAATGACCGACCACCCGGTATGCGAACGCACAGCTGTTGCTATTGCCGCACCGGCAGCATCTACATCAGGTCTGCTCGAGCCGTGCCACACACGGCCAAATATCGACATCGGTTGCCCTACCTTCTTGTTGTTCTTCTTCTTCGAGGCACGGACGGGCTGCTTCAGCAGCTCCTTCAGCTCCTCGTTCTTCAGCTCCTTCTCGCTCTTGACGAGCTCCTCGCTCCATGGGAAGCTGGTGATCTTGAGAGGGCCGTTGGGCATCAGAAGCACGGTGTACATGAAGTGGGCAACGTGGGCATCCTCCTTTTCGTACAGGACGTTGTACGGAATAACAAGGTTGTGGTTGGCGAGCTCGATCATGCCCATGCGGGCCTTCTTCTCGTCTTCAAACTGGCGGAGCGAGAACGCCATGTTGCCGAACTTGCTGGTGACCTCGGAGAAGACGACGCGGGATGTTCGCATCTTGAGCTGGTAGTTCAGGCCGGCGTTGCGCTTGAAAATGGTGGTGCGGGTCTCCTGGGTCTTGGGCTTGCCCTCGCCAGTGGAGATCAGGATATCGATCGAGTAGACCTGACCCTCCTCGAAGGTGAAGGTCTCGATCTCCTTGCGCTGCTGCTCGGTGGGGTTCAGGACGATCTGCTTGGGACCGTCCAGGACATCCTTTTGGATCTGGTGAGAGAGCATGCCTGACGATTGCACAGGCCGGGGCCGTGTTAGGGCGCCGGTTGACAGGAGGTGATCGTATGCAAACAAGACGACGGAGGATGTGTGCAACTCTATGCAGAATAGAGGGCGGCGACTTACCTTCGATGGGGTTGCAGTCAAAATCCTGGACAATCTTCTCGACGGCCTCGGTGACATCGTAGTTGGTCTTGCCGGGCTTGAGGAGGCGAATAGCGGCTTCCGAGGCGAGGTAGGCAGCCTGGAGGACATCAGCCTGGCGACCGGTGACGGGGGCTTCTTTGGAGGCACCAACGACGACGGTGTGGGCAACCTGGGCAATGTAGCCGTCCACATGGGCACCAAGTTCAATTCGGACAAGATCTCCGTTCTTGATAACGAGGGCAGCCTCCTGATCGCCAGGAAGGGGCGAGAGATGGCAGATGATGTTGTTGATGGAGACGGTGGTGGGGAAGGCAATGCCTGTCAACAAGAAGCAGAGGGTGAATGCCGTGCGAATGGGTTGGGTCGAAGGGGTCATGTCGTCGCAGTAAACTGACAGAGGCACAGCCTCGGATCTAGGCAAGTCAAAGGGAACTCTCTCCAGGGGACATGCCATGGGTCTCGTATGAACCAGCCGAAAACGTCAAGCAGCACCCATCGAGCAGCAGCGTACCCTTGTTGACCTTGCCCTTGTTGTAGACCGTCTTGGAGATTTCGACGATGGCATCGTCACCGACCTTGCACAGATCAACGACGAGGACGCCATCAGCGACAGCAGAGAGCACGTTGGCCAGAGATCCTGAGGCGCGGCAGAGATTCAGTGCATTTGTAAGGCGTCAGAAACACAATCAGGGCGTGCGAGCGCGATCGCCTGGCGGATCCATCGAAGGGAGATCGGAAGGAAGGGGGGGGAAGTCGTCTGGTTGGGCTGGTGCTCAAGAGCGAGTGCCGCGGTGTATCGCGGGATACTAACGGTTGGCGATATCGGCAGCAGTTTGGTACTTTGTGACGTTGTTGGGGGTCAGAGCGTTGACGTCCTCCTCAACGACGGGGGCGGCAGCGGCGGTGGCGTTTTCCTCAGACATGGCGTTGGAGAGAGCTTTGGGGGATGGGCGCAAGATCAGATGCAGACAGCAAGCAAGATCGGACGGGAACGGAGCGAAAAGGGTGTCGAAGCGACCAGGGTGGATCGAGCCGGGATGGCTGTCAGTGGATCGAACCGCGTGGCTGGAAGAAAAAACAGGGCGACGAGAGCACGGCCGAGAGCCGCCGAGAGCTGCCGAGAGCGCTCTCGCAGCACAAGCCACTGCGCAGCGACTGCCCTCCCACCCAGCCAAGTTGCTGCTGCGTGTTCGTATTTCGAGCGATGTAATATTGGCAATATTGGCAATGTTGGTAAAGGGTTCTAAAGAGGACATCTTGTGTGTATAGAGAAACTCGGGGCACGAGATTGTAGCAAGAGAAAGTGCACTTGGGCAGACAGAGCTTTGCCTCACATTGTTGCGTGCAATGCAGCCAGGGCGCAGAACAGGGCAGTCATCACGGTCCATGTGCCTGGCGCAGACAGAGACCCGGCAGCGGCCGAGATCGGGGGCCCTGCGATCGCTGAGGTATCAAAATAATCGATCTGGGACACAGATCCAGAGGTGCCGCCAATATAGAGCAGGCTCGTATACTCGTTGAGTTCGAGGGAGGTGATGTTGACAAAGGACGTGCCAATGCTTCCCAGGGGAGCCCCGGTGTTGCTCAGCACTGCGATTGTCTGGTTTGTGATGCCAACAAAGATGTTTCCGGTGTTGGGAGAGACGGCCAGCGACGTCATGACATGCGTCTCGTTGGCTGCCGACAGCTTGGCGACGACAGTGCCTTTGCTGTCTGGGAGCTGGCGAGGTCCGCTGATCGACCAGCGCCAGAGAGTGTAGGCCAGCGGCAAGTTTTTCTCGAGTACGAACATTGTCGAAAAGTCCTGCATCATCCAAATGGACTGGACCGTGCCTGTGGGACCACCAGCGGACGGGAGCGTAAGTCGGGATTGTGGCAGTCGCAGCGCAGTTTTCATCCTGGAGCGCCGGCCCGCTCAGACTGACATCACTGGCGCCTACCGTTAAACTGCCGCACCAGCATGCTCTGGTTGTTGGAGGGGGGCTGCGTGGTCAGGGGCTGGAGCACGGGAGTCCAGTAGAGCCCGTTGCTGGCTGAGACGGCATAGACACCGCCCTGGTTATCCAGCGACGACATCTTGGTGATGTCGGCAACGCCGGAGGGATACGCAACCTTGAAAGCCGGAGCCGCCCAGTCGGAGGTTGTCCGGGGATTCAACCACCAGTAGAACAGAACGTCGATCGTCTGGTTGCTCTTGTTGGCCAGGATCAGGACGTTCGGCGCAATCTGTAGGCTCGACTTTTTGACCGACAGGGCGGTGTAGACAGCCGATGAGTTGGCGACGGTTCCGTTGCTGAAGGACCAGGCCCAGAGCCACGCCGAAGTGGTGTTGGTGCGGGCCTGCCAGACTTGGTCAAAGACCTGGCTCTTGGCGCCAGTGGCTGCCTGGACGTCCGCGGTTGGGTTGATGGGGCCGAGGACCATGAGGAAGTTGTTTTCGACGCCCATGCTTTGAGAAAGGGAGATTGTGAGATGGGGTGCGGTGTGGTTGGCCAGAGGTGCCGAATCAGCACCCAGCTGGCGGGAACACCATGAAGCAGATTCGAGAAGCATGAAGCAGATGGATTCGAACGACAAGCACATCAAATCTGTACCTAGTGATGGTGGAAAACGGACTGGAGTTCAGCGACCCTGCCGACTGGACCTGGAAGACGCTTGATGTCCAGGACGAGGATGCGGCATGGACAGGCCGAGCCAGAGGCGCCAGGAGCGCCAGGAGCAAGTATCCCACAAAGAACATGGCCTGGGTTGAGACGGCCGACAGAGAGGGATATGGGCGTGAGGCAGGCTTGGCCCGGATGATATGTCCTCAAGCGAATGAAGACGGGATGAGTGAGTCGCCGGACGACGGGGGAAGGACGGGCGGAAGGAAAGAGGAAGCGCAAGGCGGGCGACAGGACGCGGCGGGTTTGGTGTTTGTTGCGACAGCAAACAGAGGGCTGTGCGGTGTCTGGATGCCACTCGGGATGCCATTCGGGATGCCATTCGGGATGCCATTCGAGATGCCATTCGAGATGCCACTCGGGATGCAATTGCGAGAGAGCAGATGGATACGCACGACAGTATGTGTCGCCATGCAGATCGGCGAGAGTTCCATGTTGCGGATGTGCTTTCAGCGACATGATGGCCACTGGCAAAGTGCGACGACAAGCACACTTGCCAAGTTGAATCAAATGTATCGTTTCTGCCGAGCGCATGCCGCCCGACATCGCTCGCACATCATCGAAGCCCATGCGCACCAATTTACCGCATTCATCAGCTATATCACACTCGCCAAGCGAGCCACCGCACCGATCGCATCGATCGAATTGACGGCATTGACGGCATTGACGGCATTGACGGCATTGATCTGCACCCCTTCCCGAAACACATCCACCGTCTTCGTGCGACCGACCTGCAGAAAAAGGCGAATGCGCGCTCCACAGAAAAGACTGCTTGCTGGCTGGCCCACCCACCCTCTGCAAGTGCCTCTGCACCGAGCTGATCCCGGCTTGCCTGTTTCCGTCTGGCTACATCTCGACCTCCGTCTCGCCTTGGTTGCCTGTGGTAAGTCCAGCTGTCGCTGTCGGGCCTTCTTTCGCTGGCCGGTTGGCAATTGCGTCGGTTTGCCTCCAGGTCCAGATGCTGTTGGCGATGCTGTCGTCGATGGCCCACACCCGGTTCCGATGTCTGGCGAGCCTCAGCCGTCGATGTCGAGTCCCTGTCCTTTGCCAGCCATCCTGGGCTGCAGCGAGCGCTGACTCATCCATTCGTCTCCAACTCTGCCTCTCTGCCGTCACTTCCATATCTTTCCCGCTCGTCGTTTGTCTCGCTCCTCTGAATATGTCCTGGTCGCCATCGTCGTCGGCTCGCCCCTATAACCCTCCATAACTGCCCCGAAACCGCCTGCAACCGCCGCCACCACTCGCAACCTTCCGCAACGGCTCCCCGCCAACGATCTGCCACCAGGGTTTACATCTAGTCATGGACCCAGGCGAAAAGAGATCGTTCTTTTCGAAAATGCCAAAGGCGTCCGCCTTGCTCATCTCCTCCAAGAGCGAAGCCACCGGCTCCCACGATGCTCCTCCTGCGGCCATTCCGATCGCATCCCTGCTTCCTCCCGTCTCAGCAGTGCTCTCCAGCTCGATTGCAACAATGTCGATGCTTGACCCTGCCCTCAACCGATCGACCATTCCTTTGGGAATGGACGACCCGTACGATCTCTTCTACACCTATCGCCACAAACTGTACTTTTCTGGGTTTGTCTACAAGCGCAATATCGCCGACATCGATGGCAAGCTCCTCCGCCCAAGCTCAAAGAACCCAGAGGCCTATTGGACCAAGTACTGGGCCGAGCTCTGGGGACCGGTACTGCAACTCTGGAAGGTGACCGATGAGCTGGCCAGCCTCCCGTACCAGGTTATTCCGAGTCTCGAGCGCACCATCAACCTCGACATCACGCCCTCGATTGAAATCATCACCAGGGTCAAGGCCGCCAGTCCCAGCTCGCTCCTGCTCAACGTCAGCGATGCCGTCGTCGACCTCTTCCCCTTCCCATACGATCCGCCCGAGTTTGAGCAAATCCCGCCGCCGCCGTCTCCCTTCTTGAACTACTTTGGCCTCTGCGGTGCGGGCTCCAACCTTATGATGTTTGTGGCCCCGTCGACGGTGCAGTGCAACTCGTGGGTGTCGGCTCTGCGCCTCTCTGGCTTTGAGCAGACTCGGCTCAACGAGTTCTACGCCCTCAAGCTCCTCAAGCGCGGCCCCTTCTACGACATCTGGTCCGAATTTGCCCTGACGCCCTTCCAGACGCCCAAGCCCAACTACACCATTCACCACGAGGGCCAGATCTTTGCCCGCTTCACCTACCAGAACGAGTGGAGGCCCTACCAGATGGTGGTTCGCACCCGCACCATCCTGCCTCAGTCTCCCTCGCCCGTGACCCCCGTCAAAAAGGGTTTCTTTGGCTCCAAGAAGAAGAAGGAAGAGGCCATTCCGGACGACCAAATCGAGCGGCGCACCGAGGTTCTCTTGTTCGAGCCCAAGAAGGACACCAAGACTGCCCGCCCGATCATCCAGATCGACACGGTCCAGTCGGCGCATGCTGTCCTGAACCCCGAGCTGACTGACTGGAACGACCCGTCCTTCTTGGCTCTGGGCCGCATCAACGCCATCATTAATGTCATTCCGACCGATCTCAAAGCCAAGAGTCTGAAGCCCCAGGCTCTTCCGACCTTTGCAAACCCACAGCGTGGCTTCAGTCTCGAACGTAGTGGCGACCAGCAGTACGACAAGCGCCCCGCCCCCGATTTCCTGTACTTCTCCCCTGGTCAAGACAACATGGAGCTCTGCCGATGGATCGTGGCCATCTCGGCTGCTTTTGGCCTCGAGACCGATCTTGCCGAGCGCGAGCGTGCCCTGGCCGAGGGCGAGGTCGGCAAACTCGACCCTCCTCCTCCCATTGTCGAGCCCGAGCGCACTGAATCGGCCGAGCGCCGCAAATCCAAGCGCCTCACCCGCACAAATCCACTCGGCGTCCCTCCTTCTCCATTGTCGCCTCAGAGCCAGACGACGGGCTCGTCAAACAAGCGCCAGTCATTGCTGACGGCTGGTTCCGATCGGCGACAGAGTAAGGTTCTGTCTGTCGCAGAGTCCAGCAAGAGTCGTCTCTCGGCCGAGGTGCCCACCTCGGCGTCCGGCACCAAGCGCGCAAGCTATGCTTCTGTGGCGTCCAAGGCCGTTTCCGCCAACGTACCCGATCATGACAGCGAGCAAGGCAGCGTTTCCGGCACTGGTGAGTCCTTGTTTGGGAGTTTGGTATCGTACCGATCCTTGTTGACGGTCCTACCGCCCAGTCACATCGACTGGGGGTTAAACTGAGCAGTACCGGTCTGTGGGGGCGACGAGTCTGAGGGAGGCCGCTGTAGACCTGTCTTCTTCACCGGGCACACACCGAGCATCGTTTGGCTTTGGCTCGGACTCATGGTGTACGCTAGCACTAACGCGCATTTGCGTGACTGCTTCTTGCTCCCCCCCCCTATCATTCCGTGTTGGCTATCATGCGTGCTATCTTGCGATCACCGAACCCGATGCTCTCCATGAACAGAGAGCTCCGAGCCTGGATCTGCTGAGGAAGATTCGGTTGATGAAGGTGACGACTCCAAGCCCCTCTCCCAGGTCCGCGAAGAAGATGCCAAGCAGCTCGCGCTCGGTTCTGATGAGCAGGACGGAGTCGAGGCGTCGCAGCCTCCTGTGTCTGCATCCCTCGAGTCACAGGACCATCTCGAAGACAGCCAGCCTGCTGTCGACACGGACGCTGGGGTCGCTGAGCCGCTGGCGTCAGCAAGTACAGAGGAAATCGCCGTGTCCGAGACACTCGCGGCTTCTGCGCCTGCAGCATCATCCGACGATGAAGCCGAAGGCACCGACGCTGACACCGAAGATAACAGCGAGTCAGAAGTCGATGAGGACAGCGATGGGGAAAGTGGCGAGGAAACCGACGAGGAAAGTGACGAGGACAGCGACGCAACCGACTCGGACGAGAGCGATTCCGGCTCCGGCTCCGACTCCGGCTCCGGCTCCGGCTCGGCGTCCGACTCAGAGTCTGGCGTGGACGACCAGCACGAGCCCAAGGAAAAGCTTGTCCAGGGCCCGACTTGGGGTCTGCTGTTCCTGACCAGCCGCGATGTTGAGGGCCTGGATCAGTCCAAGTTCACAGACTGGACTGTTTGCGCCGCTTTCTCCAAGGTTCTCGCGGACAAGTCCCTGACCAAGTCCAACGGAAAGCTCGCCATGTGGTCGGATGCTCTTCGTCGCGGCGATCACTTGCGCAAGAGTCTTGAGCGTAAGGAAGTCGATGCGCGCATCCGACTCCTGATGGGATGGATCCAGATGATCCGCATGCAAAGTATGATGCAGGGGCTCGTTCTTGGCGGTGGTCCTGGTGTCCAGCTTGTCGATGAGTCGGTCGAGGCTGTCCTTCCTGCCAGTCGGGGCGAGCTCGGCGCTCAAGACAACGACGAAAGCGACAACGACAAAGATCAGGACGAGGACGGAGACGAAGACGAAGATCAAGACGAGGACGAAAGTATTGACGAGAGCGCCACCGACCGCTCGAGCGCCCAGCCGAGAAGCATCGGCAACCTGCCGTTGTCTGCACAGCCCACCCTGGGCGACGCTGCCAAGCCGGGCAGCGAAAATACGGTGATGATGGCTGTGCCCACGCTTGGACCAGATGGCAAATGGGGCTGGGTGTATCAGCACGTCCCGGCCTCGAGCCAGTGGGTTCCGCCCCATCTCGGTAATGCTGCCGCTGGTAAGCCCAAAGAGTCTGATCCAGCCGCCAAGGCAGAACGCCATGTGGGTGGTGAGGACGACGGCAGCCCGAGTCACGACGACGACGAGAGCGGTACGGAATCTGAGTATAGCAGCGAAGGCAGCGCCTCCGAGGAAAACGAGGCCCTGGCCGACACGAGCAAGCGACTGTCTGCCATGGTGATCAAGGCGCCCGATCTTCCTGCCGAAGCCGACTCGGACCGAGGAAGCGTCAGCGATGCCTCCGAGGTGAGCGATGAGTCCTCCAAAGACCAAGGCAGTCAAAGCGACGAGAGCGAGGAAGAAAATGACGACGACAGCGAAGACGATGAGGAAGAGGAAGACGATGGCTCGATCGCCAACTACCGCAACAGCTTCCCTCCGCCGCCTCAGCTTGCTCCTGGCATGTTGCCCCCTGGCGCCATCGTGTTTGATGCCAACGGTATTCCTGTGGTGATTGGCCCAGACGGTGTGCCAGTCCCAATTGCCAGTATGCCCTTCATGTCTTCCGAGGCGATGCAAGATGTAAGTCCTGGAGGCGCGACTGCTGAACTCGCTGTGAGCCAGATCGTCGGTGCTGTTCTGCGACAGAAACGTGCTCGATGGGCCCTGTCGCTCAGTCGCTCGCTTTGGGCGCAAATATGCTGACCACGAACAATGCATTCGCTTTGGTTTTCAGATTGCACAAGGTGCCTCACCGGTGAAGCTGTTCTCGGACAACTCGCTGCTCGCTGGCCTAGCCAATCCTGACAACGCCGCCGCGATCGGGGGCAAGAAGGGGCCTCTCATCCAACTGCCTCCCGAAGTACTGGAGGCCCAGGAAAACGCCAAGCGCATCCGCCGCGATCGAGTAGCCAACGCGGCGCTGTTCAGTCCCATGGACGGCGTCGAGGCAGGCCCATCGGGGCTGGACTATGTCAAAGCCCGCGAGACCTTCAAGCTCTTCCAGGACCAGTCGCTCCTGGGCCAAGCTGCCAACAAGAGCAAGCAGCATCTGAGCCCCGACCGCGAGTTCGACGGACCCTTGCTGGGCAAGATTGACAAGGAAGCCAGCAAGCCTAAGCTCGAGGGCGGTCTCCTCGGCGAAGTCCAGCGCCGCGAGAAGGAGCTCGAGGCCCTGAAGAAGCAGGGCAAGTACCGCGCCACAGCCCCTGTGATGGGCGACGCTCCCCATCCGATGGGCTTCTATCAGGTCCCCGGCATGCCTGGCTACTATCTCGTGCCCAGTGGTATCCCTGGAATGGCGGCTGCTGTTCCCATGGGAGCCATAATGCCTGCGGGTGTCCCCCCCGGCATGGCACCCGGCATGGTCCCTGGTATGGCACCCGGTATGGTCCCTGGTATGATGCCGGGCATGGCTCCGGGTATGATGCCCGGCATGGTTCCTGGCATGGCTCCCGGATTTGCACCTGGCGCCCCGGGCATGATGCCCATGGGGATGATGCCTCCCGGTATGCCTATGTATGCTGGTGAGGATGATGAGCCCTATGTCCCTGAGGATCCGACGGTTGCGTATCAGCGCAACGTGCTAAAGGAGCAGTTCTTGGAATTGGAGCGGTAAGTCGACGCCATCGATATCCAGCGGCAGATGGTCCGGCGGTGCAGCACAGAGATGGCACCGGCGCGCCATGATACTTCGTAGAAACCTTTGACGTTTTGGATGGGAGTTATGTCCGCAGCAGTGTCACCGGACTGGATGCTGGCCAATCCTGACTGTCTCTATTCCTTTGCCGATACGGCTTTTGTCCTGTGTGACTGGCGATGCTGTCCTCCAGCCAAAAGGAGCGCCAGCGCATTATGGAACGCCACCACGAGTACGGCTTTGAACAACAGCCCGTTCCGGTCACTGCAGTCCTGTCGCGTAAGTTGAGTCACGCTCCTGTCCTGCACATTTTCACGCGGTTTCAAACGCAATTTCCTACTGTTGGCTTCCTCTTGATTGCTGCCTTGGAATGAAGCGAGTCTTGAGATTCTCGGGTCATGGCAGCCCATCTGACTCCTCACCCCCTCCCGTCGCGCCCGACGGATCTCGCTCTGGTCACTTGTAGCATCGTATCTGCCCCCTGATCTCGCCATGACAGAGCCCCTGTCGGCTATGACAGCAAGCTCCCGGGGTTTTGGTATCCCTGTGGTGGCTCCGTCGGATGGCACAGACACAGACACGGACGAGTCGGACAATCAAGTGCTGGTAAAGCGAGGCAACAACAGTGGGACGGAGACGGACGGCTCCGGCACGGACGAAGACGACGAGGATGCCGACCAAGCGCCATTAGTGAGTCAGATCCGATCCAAAGCCATCCGCAAGACCAAGGCCAAGAACAACGATGACGACAGCGGCACCGAAAGCAGTGTTAGCAACGGCGCTGCTGCTGGATTGACTGTGGCCGGCAACCGATCCGATCTCAGCAGCGAGAGCGACACCGAAAACGGCAGCGAGAGCGACAGCGATAGCGAGTCCGATGACTCTGACGCCGACGACCAGCCCCTGGTTAGCTCTGCTGCCCGGGCCAAGAACATTGGCGGACGTCTGCGAGACAACGAAAGTATCAGCGGCGAAGGATTCCCACGATACGCGGGCTCGGTGGCCGGCTTCGAAGGCAACGGCATGATATCTCCTGGCGGATTTGGCTACCCCGGGTATGCAGCCAACGCAGGACCCTACGGCTACCCGGCTGGCAATATCCCGATGATGCCCGCCAATGCAGGTTTCCCGATGCACCTGGCCGGGCAGTATCCAGCCGGGCAGTATCCAGCCGGGCAGTATCCAGCGATGAACCACCAAATGATGGGCGGCTATCCCGGCATGCCAATGGCTGCCGGCCCAGGCATCGGCTTCAACCCTGCGATGCGGCCCCATCCCGGTGTGCGTGGCCCGGGCAACATCGGCCCGTCGTTTTCGCCAAGCGCCCCAGGTGCTGCTAGCCGGGGCGCCAACCCAGGCCGCAAGGCAAACGCTGTGAGCGCCAAGTTGTTGCGACAACAGCAGGCCAGCGACAGCGACAGCGACGAGGAGTAGACCCAACCTGCATCCATCTCGATACCCGGCTCTGGGTCGATCGAAGTGGTTGGTGCTTCGCCAGCCCATCGAAGTGATCCCCCCCCCGTGTCCTGGTGTCCGATCGACGAACAAACGAGCCGATGATGCCACAATCCTGCCTGGTCAACATAGTCGTTCCCTAATCTTTGCTATGATGTGGAATGCATCAAACCGAAGCAGATAACAGCAACAAAAAAACAGCAAACGAAATCAGAAAAACTGCAAGACCGATTGCACTCCAGGCACCTCATAGCACCTTCAGCATCCCTTCCCCTCCCTCCCCCCAACAGGCTTTACGTGGAACTGGTCGGCGCTCGAGTCTCATCGCGACCGTGATCCCGCCTGAAAGCTGCTGTTTCCTCTCTTGTCGTGTTTGTCACTCGAATGCCCTGTCATCCCTTTCATACCTGCTTCCGTTGCGACCTTTCCCTTTGCTTCGCATTCTCTGCACTTTTTACTATTATTGTTGTTTCCTTCTTTTCGCGACTGTCCTTGGCCGGTCTGCCACTGCGCCTCCAGCTCTTGAGCGAGGGTGGAATGGGAGCCCAGGCATACACACTCGCCTGCACACACAACTCGTTTTCCTATTATTACTTTCCCCCCGTTGTCGTTTCTCTCCATACGCCTGGCTCCCACTTCCATCCCTCATAGAATGATACAGCGTACCTATTTGAAACGAGACACCCTGTTTTGAGTCAGGGTTGTCGTTGATTTCCGGGCCTGAATACACACCGCCTATTGCCACCATGACCAAACAGGGTGCTCACAGTGCCCGAAGTCAAGCGACTCGAGAAGGGCGATATGTTGATATTGTACGGAGCTGTCTAGAGGGTCGGGTGCATCCACCACTCTCGCTTTGAGACATCAAATATCAGTCAATCGTCACAGACCGACCCAAAATGCATTCAAGAGCGCCGCGCCACACACCAGTCGGCTCGATCCGGCGGCCGCGCGGCTGGATCCGGCTCGTCTCGCTCGGCGGCGTCTCGCGCCCGCCGATTGGGCCTCGCTGCTTCTCGCCCGCCTCGCGGCTGCCCCCCTGTCCTTGCGCCTGCCCAAAGCCAAGGGCCGTCGTCGGTTGCCGCGTTTGTTTTGCCCTCGTCTCCGTCGCTCATCGACCAAGCTCGCCTGTCTTGGACCGCCTGCTGCTGTCCTCTCATCCACCGATCGGCTGCCCAGGTACGCTTGAGATGGGGATCTCTAGCCGACCGCTTCCCCGTCTGCATCGCCCTGCTTCTCCGCCAATGTCCCTTGCGGTCTTGAGTCGGTCGCTTTCCATGACCACCCACCGACTCGAGCAATCGCCCTGAGGGACGGGACGGGTTTGCTGTTGCCACGGGCGAGGCGGACCGCATCGTCCGTGGGATGCGATATCTGGATGAGCGGCGACTCGCTGCTCGTTTGTTTTTGCTGTTGGCACCACCCGATGGCTTGTCGAGCGTCCTCGACCTGCGTGTTAGCCAGCCGTCCAGCCGAGATATCGTCCTCAAACAGCCGTCACTATTTCCGCTTCTTGCTTGGGCCGTATGGCCAACGTGAGAATCTGCACTTGGCTAACCCTTCCCGAACGGCCGCTGATACCTCCTATTGCATCACTGCGCAGGCACCCTTTTACTCTCGAGATCCTCCACATTCCCCTTCGTCCTTATTGAATCCTCGGTCGCCAAGATGATGCGCACCCGCCCAGTGATTATGGATAATGGAACCGGGTAACGTCCTCAGCCCTCCTCCTTTCTCATTTGGCGACGTCCGAGGACAGCGCATGGATCGACATGGCGTCATGTCTCCCGCCTCTCGCTCAGTGCTCGACAGCAGCCCACGTCCCCGTTGCTAGCGACTTGCTGCTGGCTTGTCTGTTTTTTTCTTGGCACTTTCGCTCCTGGCGCCCTGGTATGATAGCAGCGAGCCAGAGCAGGGTTTGCCTTTCATGGTGAAAGAAGCCCCCGATTGCTAACTCGTCTGCAACCCGTCTCGAACGCCCCTCGGCCATGACCCGCCCTCGGCCATGACCCTCCCTCGACAACGCTCTCGGCCGGCAGCTACACCAAGCTCGGATATGCTGGCAACCAAGATCCCCAGTTTGTGATCCCCACGGCCATTGCCACCCGCGATGGCCCCTCGACCGGCAACACCTCCAACCTGGCATACAAGCGCGACATTGCCGACCTCGACTTTTACATTGGCGACCAGGCAGTGCAGAACTCCAAGACGTACTCGCTGAACTACCCCATCCGACACGGCCAAGTCGACAACTGGGATCTGATGGAAAAGTTCCACCAAGCCTGCATATTCCAGTATATGCGTTGCGAGCCAGAGGACCACTACTTTCTCTTGGTGAGCGGTCTGTTGGGGCCCGCGCGTGGCGACAAGTCGGGCAGCTCACTGGCGTTCTGCGCAGAGCTGGAGCGTCGAGTCTGGCGGTGTGTGGTGGTGACACACTGTTGCATAGACATGCATCGTGAATGGAGCTCGGATCCACACCCCATCGATGTCGATCGGTGGCACTCGACAAACTCCAAGCTTTTGCATCGCACGTGTGTCCGCAATGCCTGCGCTAATAGCTCCGATCTTCTTGATATGATTGCCCATACTTATGACAGACCGAGCCTCCGCTGAACGCCCCCGAGAACAGAGAGTATACGGCCGAGATTTTCTTTGAGTCCTTTGGCGTCAAGGGCTTGTATATTGGAGTCCAGGCTGTGCTGGCTCTCGCTGCCGCCTGGATCAGCAGCAAGAGCGACCAAAAGACTCTGACCGGCACAGTCATCGATTCCGGAGACGGTGTCACGCACGTCATTCCGGTGGTGGAAGGTTACGTCATTGGATCGTCCATCAAGCACATCCCCATTGCCGGCCGCGACATCACCTACTTTGTGCAGCAGCTCCTGCGTGAGCGCGAGAACAGCATCCCCCCCGAGGAGACCATGGAGGTGGCCAAGTTCATCAAGGAAAACTACTCCTACGTGGCTCCCGATATTGTCAAGGAGTTCAAGAAGTACGATGCCGACGGCGCCAAGTGGATCAAGAAGCACGAGTTCATCCATAGCGTGACCAAGAAGGTGAGTGACCCGGGCGGTGCTCCGTGCTGCGGATGTGCTGCGGGAGTGTCGGGAATGAGACTCGTACATCCAGGGCAAGTGCCCTGCGATCGGCTCCGATGGGATCCAGAGGATGTCAGGCAGTCCAATGCGAGCATGCCGCCGCTCCTCTCGCCTAGCATGGCGCATTCATATTGATCCGCATGTCTCACTTGTATCCGTACTTTGGATCACGCTCGAATCCCACGGATGGCGCTATCGATCCAACTCGTTGCCGTGACGGGGTTGTGAATAGCCATACACGGTGGACATTGGATTTGAGCGGTTCATGGCCCCCGAAATCTTCTTCAGCCCCGAGATTTCCAACGCGGACTTTCTCACTCCTCTGCCTCAAGTCGTCGACCAGGTGATCCAGAGCTGCCCCATCGATAACCGACGAGGCCTCTACAAGGTATGTGCAGATGAAAGTGCCTGTCAGCCAGCGGATCGCCCACGTTCGCGCGAAACGGTCGCCTGGATCGCAACAAGCGAGTCTGAGTGGCAGCAACCACTGCGCTCGTACTGACGGCTCGAATGATTATGCCTCTGTCCTTCCCCCACACGTTCGACAGAACATTGTGCTTTCGGGCGGATCGACCATGTTCAAGGACTTTGCCCGACGTTTGGAGCGCGACATCAACCGACTGAGCTCGGCCCGACTTCAGGCCATCCAAGCCGTGAACCAGGCCAACATGAGCCACGGCCAGATCAACGCAACCGCGATCGAAGTCAATGTCGTCAGCCACAAGCGCCAGCGCAACGCTGTCTGGTCAGGCGCCAGTATTCTGGCTGATACGGTATGTAGTTGGCGACCGACTGCATGTGCTCGGTGATGGTGACAAGAGCCGCGACTGATCCTGGTGCATTGTTTGTCTTTTGTTGGTGCTGGTTGCTGCTGGTTGGTGCTGGTTGCTGCTGGTTGCTGCTGGTTGCTGCTGGTTGGTGCTGGTTGCTGCTGGTTGCTACTCCAGCCCGAGTTTTTCAGCTTCTGCCACACGAAGGAGCAGTACGACGAGTATGGCCCCAGCATTGCCCGATACAACAAAGTCTTTGGATCGGTTCTGTAAACTGTACAAGTAACGGTGCAGATGGCCGTCTGCTGGGAAAGTGGTGTGGCAGAAGGCCCGCCAAAGCCCATCCCTTCCCTGTCATGGCTGTTTCTTCCGACGTTTTTGTGAACGAGGGAGGGAGTGTGTGTGATTCCGTTCTCTCTGGCCTTGAGTCCACACAAAATGAAACAGGGCACCCTGTTTCTGGGTCCTGAATATACACCCGACCACAACGGACATTGTGTCCAGGGAGACAGACATTGCGATTACCTTTGGGCATGGCCCGAGGAAGTAAGGAGTGCTTATCGAGCTCGCGGAGACCCAGGTTCGCCAGGTGTCTTGAACAGTCCCACCGCCCCCAGAAGCACCATGTCTCAGAAAACATGCCGAGCGATACAGGTCCAGGGTACCAGAATCGGAGCCTGGTCCTGGCCAGAGCAGCGACAAAGCCGGGCGATGCAAGGACTGAGAAGAGAGGGGGAGGAAAGAGACAAGACCCCAGATCGTCCGCGAGCATGCGAGCAGCAGGAGACCCGCGACAGGGCGGTGGATGGGGGGTGGGTCACTCGCATGGATGGCAGGTGCCCCAGGAACGGCGCATGAGCGCTCGCAGCACGGGAGCGACACGCGAGCATCGCCCAGGATGAAAAGAAAGGAAAAGGAAAGGATGGCAGCATGGGGACGACGACAGGGGAGGGACCTTGCCATGTCTTGTGAGCTGACATGGCCTTGTGGAGGGGGTGGTGGGGGTGGTGCATGGTCTGGCATTGCCTGTTGGTGTGATGCTGTGGCGGACATTGCCTGTGCTGCCCAGCACTGTACAGCATTGTCCAACGGTGTCTGCTAGTCACCTGCATGGCCTGCCGGTGGGCTGGAGGCCGCCTTGCTCGCGGCTTCGGTGAAGGTTGCTGAAGCAGAAAGCAAGTCTGAGGCCATTCCTGGAAGCCCAGAGGGCTGCAGCACGAAGAAGGGAAAGAAAAGGCGAGAAAGTGAGAGCGCTGCCTCAGGGCGAATCGGGCAAGAGAGCCTCGAGTGAAAGCCTCGAGCGAAAGCCCCAAGAAGGCCGACAGCAAGAGGATTGGGTGCGGCAAGGACAGCGGGACAGGAATAGCAATTGGGCGGCAAGGGGTAAGCGGCGCGTGCCCAGCTGACCCCAGACGCGCGAGCCCAATGCCAAAGAGGCAAGTGGGATACACGCACTGTTGCAGACAAATTTGCACGGAGACACAAGGGGCACTCGGGCAAGGCAGGCGGGGGCGGCTGGGAGGGACAGAGAGCGCTGAGTGCTGTACAGCACGGGGCCGATGTCAGGTTGCACGGAAGAAGAAAGGAAAGGAAAGGGCAGCAGCCGTGCAAGGGCGGCTGGCCCTGCCACCGATCGTCGGGAGCAAGCGACGCTGCTGGATTGTCCCTTTTGCGGCTGCTGGCGGGGCAAGTGCATGCAGACCCAGGAGTATTGTTAGCGGAAGCATTAGCAGAAACAGACGCACTGGAGCAAGTCGCCTTGGTGATTTGCTGGCAATAACGATAGCAATGGAGCGCATCGTCGCCGAAACCAAAGGCCCTGGGCCACTGTGACAGAGCCGATCGACCGCAACAGAGCTGCAACAGAGCTGCAACAGGACAACGGGGCTGGACACACTGCGACAAGACACCCACCGCGACAAGACACCCACAGAGCAATGCGTTGTGCATCGCCTTGGTCGGGCGACCACATGTGCCCTTGCTGCCCTGGCCCCGCTGCGCCGCACGATGCGCACAACGAGGAAGGGCCTCAGGCGACAAGCACCGGCGCCCCCGCAGCAAGCACCTCGTCGGTCGCCCGTCCCCTCCCACGGCCGCGGTCGCTCTCGCCCACTCTCGGCTGACAACAAATATAAATACCGGCGTCGCCCTCCCGATCCTCATCTCGCCATCACCGAGAATCTCATCACCACTCCGCATACCAGCACTAATCCGAGTCATCATGAAGGTCCTCTCTGCCGCCGTTTTGTTGGCCTCCTCCATCGCCGTCGCCGCCGCCGCTGCTAGCCAGAAGGTCGTTGGCGGTTACCTCCTCCTGAACCCCACCGATGGCCCTGCCAAGCTCAAGGCTCTGGCCGACAACGCCGCCACTATCCCTGTCAACCGCATCTTCCTGTCCTTCCTCCGTCCCGATATGTGAGTGTGTCTGCATTCTCATGTGTCTCTGGTTGCCTCGATGCCCGCCTCGGTACTCACCGGCCCTTCCCTCCTTCTCCAGGATCTACGAGTCTGGAAGCAACACCCTCGCCACTGCTGGTCTTGGCTACGGAACTTCTGGTGACTATGGTTTCGCTGATCTCAAGGCCCAGATTGCCAAGCTCAAGGCTGGCGGCGTTGAGGTCTTTGTCTCCGTTGGTGGCTGGAACTACAACTGCTTCCCCTGTAAGTAGCTCCCACCGCTTCCCACGCCGGAGCGCATCCGTTACTCGATCCACACATCCCCACTGCCGCTCTGGAGCGCACTCGCTCATCCTGTTGTCCCATCCCGCCCTCGCCCACAGACGCCTACGCCACCTACTCTGTCGGCGGCTACGGCACCTCGACCCCCAACTACTGGAAGATTGCCCAGTTCGGCAGCCTCAGCAACTGCAACGAGAGCAACCAGTACTGCTACGTCTGCGAGCCCAAGTCTGAGAACACCTCGCTCTCTGACTTTACCATCTTCCCCGAGCCCGCCAAGTCGGCCACCTGGAAGTCGGCCCAGAGCTACATTGCTGCCAACGCCAAGGGCGGTGCTCCCCAGTGGCACCCCGAGCTCATTGGTGGCGCCAAGTGGACCGACAAGGGCAACACCGTCACCGTCCCCGGTGATGGCACCTGGTCCACCAAGGGCCGTGATCCCTACCAGGATCTCGTCTACCTCGCCAAGGATCTTGGCCTGGACGGTGTCGACATTGACTACGAGGAGATGTGGCACGCTGATACCTTCAAGACCGGCTCGGGCCCCTACAACCTGCCCCAGACTGTCTACAAGTACACTGCCATCGCCAAGGACGTCATCCTGAACATCCAGTCCATCTACCCCACCCTCAAGCTCTCCACCGCTGCCTCTGCTGCCGGTGGCCTCAGCACCAACTGGTGGGGCGGTAACCTCAAGGGTGTCTGGTACTACGCCTCCCAGTGGTACCCCGATGTCATCAACTTCATGACCACTGGCAACAACGCCGGTGGCCTCAACATCATGACCTACGATCTCTCGGACAACAACCAGTTCCACGAGTGCCCCGCTGGCGACAACACCCCCTGTGACCTCCAGGACCAGGTTGCCTTCTACATGAGCGGCTACACCCAGAACAAGATCCCTGCCTATGTCGGCTACGAGATCGGCACCCCCGCCTACCCCGACCCCGTTCAGGACCCCACTCACCAGGTTCCCCTGACCCAGGCCCGCCTCAGCGCCATCCTCTCCAACACCCAGCCCCAGTACAACGGCGGCTTCTTCTGGGAGCTGTACAAGCCCGAGGGCAAGGGTGACATTGATGCCACCACTTCTGCCCAGCAGATCTGCAAGGCCGTTCTTGGTGCCAGCACCGCTCGCTGCTCCGGCGTCATTCCTCCCGCTAGCGGACCCGTCGTCACCTCCACCAAGGCCCCTGCCACCTCCACCAAGAAGACCACCACCACCACTACCACCACCAAGGCTCCCGCCACCTCCACCAAGAAGACCACCAAGAAGACTACCAAGAAGACTACCAAGAAGACCACCAAGAAGGCCAAGACCACCAAGGCCCCCAAGACCAAGTAGGGCGCTGTCGAGGAGTCTGCTTAAACGGCTTGTCACCGTCGTGTCTCCCTCCACCTTATAAATCTCTATAATCACTATACGACCTTTGACTTCATTCTGGCCCGCTAAATCCGGTGTATATTGGCCATGCTGCCAGCGCCGCAGGAGTGTATTTGGCGGCCCAATGTTTAATTGCACAGAATAAACAGCAGGAGAACCTATTTCGAACGAGACGCCCTGTTGATGACTTCTGGCCCTGAATGCCCCACCCGTCCATCGCGAACATGGCCAAACAGCGTGCTCAGAGTGTCTGGAAGACAAGCGGCTCTGGCCACTCGAGCAATCTCGATGGTCAAGTGAATGCACTTGCACTCCCGCATCGCGATGCCAATTCCAGTCGATTGTCGTCACAGGGGGTATTGTATTGAAGGTAATGCTCCCGAAACCAACGGAGACAAAACAACTCTCAACGAGATCCTGGGGATGAACCAACCGCACGACCAACACGGCCGGATATGCCATGCCATCGACGCGGAGGTCATGATGGATTGCCCTTGTTGCGTTCCTGGTCAATATCATTAGTTTACATGCTGTACCGCGTATGTATTGGAATATATCGCGTCGATTGAATGGGGACACATACGGAAATCAGATCCTCTTTGGCGGCGAACATCATTCTTGATACTTGCCCAGGCGCTTCAGCTCGTGCTTTGCTTCCCACCACCCCTGGTCTGCTGACCTATGATACCACAAGACGGCGGTGTCGATGTCTTTGGCCACACCAAGACCATTCCTGAAGCAGTTTCCCAGCCGGACCTGTCCGTGTTGGTTGCCCTGCTCAGCCGATTTGCGATACCACTCGGCTGCCTTGGTTTCGTCCTTGGTGACTCCCCACCCGTTGCCGTAGCACGCACCAACCATCCACTGCCCGTACGAGTTGTCCTGGTCGGCTGCCTTGCTGAACCAGTAGAACGCCTTGGAGTAGCTTCTCGGAACTCCTCGGTAATAGAAATAGCAGCATCCGGTCCAAAACTGGCTATCGCTGTGACCCTCGTTGGCAAGCTGCTCAAAGATGCTCACCGCCGTGTCGCTTGTCCCTTCTTTGCCGTATTCGATTCCAAATTTGCAATTCAGACACAGGGCTGTGAGGTGCTTGCAGAGCCAGTCTCGCTCCGATCCAAGCTGACACAGCTTGAAGAGTTTGCGTGCAGCGGGTGAGTGGGAGCCAGGCGCATTATATCCGCCAAAGCATTTTCCATCGCCAAGGGAAAACTCTGGAGACTGGTTCTCTCGGATGATCAGGATGCCCCTCTGCTTGTCTTGCTGAGTTCCCCGGCCGAGGTAGAGCATCCAGCCAACCATATGGGTGGCGATGGGCTTGGTGATCCGATCGGTGGACTTGTCGCTGACCTCCTGCCAGTGGCTGAAGGCATCGACATCACTCTGCTCGACACCGTGGCCGATGAATGAGACCCAGCCGCCAAGGAATGTTGCTCCAAGGCGAGCACTTTTGTCGCCTTGACTGGCAGCTTTGGTGTACCACTCGATGGCGGTGGTGAGATCTTGCTTGACACCCTCCCCGTTCTCGTAACATTGGGCGAGACTGGCACTGGCCTGAGCGATTCCGCGGTTGGCACATTCATGGAGCAGCCCGATGGCTTTGGTGTGGTCTTGGTCGGCTCCGTGACCGGTGAGATAACACTTGGCCAGACTCAGGTGGGCCATTGGATGGCCGGCCCCTGCAGCTTTTTCCAGAAGGCTCAGGATGCGGCCGTTTTGTGAAGATGGCGTGGAGCGCTCGGAAGCGGCGTCATCAGAGTCGCTGTCATCATAAGCGTCATCCGGTTCATCTTCACACTCTGCCCGCCTGTCGATCTTCAACAGCAGGAACCGAGCCAGGAAGAGCGAGGCGACGATGTCTGCTTGGTCGGTCAGGGCGGCAAGCCAAGAGTGGTCGTCGACGGCTTGATCGCCGAATCGGCGAGAGATGGCGATCATATCGCTCGGCAAGATCAAGTCGGGCAGCGGCTTGTCTGGGCGATACAGGCCATTTCCCCTGCACCAGCGGCGGAATCGAGTCAGCTTGGAGTTCAAGATCGGACCAGCCCGTCTGCAGATCCCAAACAGTGCACCGAGCTCGTTCAGCGTGAGTGACAGCGTGAAGCAATCATTGGAGAAGACGATCGTCAGGATGTCCGGGCCACAGCGGTGGTCAAAGGTGAGTCCCTGGGCCATGGCTTGCACGGCGGCAGATGGCAGTCGGAGGGGCAAATGAAGGATACCAGATGTGATGAGAGACGAGATGCCCCCTTGGACAGAGCCATCGAGAACGAAAGTGTTGGGCTTGGACTGCGGATCCCTCGCGACTGGTGCATGTGGCGACGATGCCGTGGGCCTGAGAAGCTTCCCTGGACACCCTCACGGTCGATGCCGTATCTGCACCTAAGTGAAAACGCAAAGGCGAGGGCCATGTAGGACCCAGCAGATCCCTTGGACAGACGTGCGTAGGCGAAGAAGGCGCCTGGGATGCTCTAGTGGAGAATGGGTCGGTCCCAAGACGAAGCCGAAAGGGCCGGGCGGGTTGAATACTGACGGACATGCCGGGAGAGGTCGACAAGCTGCATAGCGAAGAACCCATCATGGAACAGGCCCTCGTCGACGAGTGAGCTGGTTTGGAACAGATGGTGCGTGACTCGATGTGGATTCTCGCTGGATGGAGACCAGACCTGGCGACTCGAGTACGATGTATGAGGCACTCGAGTATCTCGACAGAGAGAGCGAGGTGCCAGGGTCCCTGGGGTTTTGATGGCCAGTGTCTGGCCGTGAAGACGAACGCACAATTGAACAGGAGCCGGGCATCGAAAGCAGTAATCCAGCCACTGGTTCGGGAGCGCCGAGGCACTCAGCATCCGCATCAACAATTGTCAACAGCGGAGCCAGATGGACTGGCAAGGCTGGAGACCGATCAGGGCTTGACCAGCAGAACGAGACCAGAGCACGAGGAGGTGGTCGACTTGTGGGATGGCGTGCATATCTGCAGCCAGACACAAACAAAGATATAAGAGTGTCGAACTTGCACATGTGTTCCCACTGAGTGAGCTGATCGCTGAACGAACAGTGGATTTGCAAGCAGCTTGCTGGGCGAGGCAACAGCACAGTATCGAGGGCAGCCGAGAGGAAGCAAGGGCACCCATTCAATGCAATATGGCAAGCAGCCAGGCCAAAGGCGCTTTCCCCTGGCTGCCCAGACGACAAAAGGCACTCCCTCACCCTTTCCCCTCGTCGTCGTTGTCTCGTTTTGCCCTTTCGGCTCCCTCCTCGCTCTCCTGCCCTCATCTGGCTTTGGCATCAACACCTTCGTCGCCCTCACCCCGCCTCTCCGCCATGCTCAGGGCCATCTCCTGTTGTTTTGGAGGGTTCACAGACCCGGTCGACGACCGAGATGTCTCCCAGCAGACCCCTATCTCCCTCTACCAGCAGACCCACCCACCAGCAGCCCAACAGAGCCAGCCTCCTGTCTCCAAGCAGACCCAGGATGTCGTCGCCCAATCTGCTGACACTCAACCCCAGACCCCTGTTTCCCAGCAGCCAAAGTTCCCTCCTCCGCCCGATCCGTTTGGCCCTTGGCTCCATCCCGTCGAGTGTCTCATCAACACTGCTCGCGATGAACCCGATGCCCTTCTGATCAACACTTACGAGAACGGTGCATCTCGGAGCGACTCAGCTATCTCCAGGTGTGGAAGCAAGCCTATTCGGTCGCCCAGGCCCTCAAGGCTCTGCCTGGCTGGAGCGACGACGGCCACGAGGCCATCGGCACCTTCTGTGAGGCCGAATCCAGCTGGGCGATCGACTCGCTCGCCGTGTGGATGCTTGGCAAGTGAGTATCTCTGGTCTGTTGCAGCGGTGTGATGTTGGGATGTGGAGTCGTGAGGACGGGCTCAGGCAAGGGTCATGTTCAACCCTTGCTCCGTGCCATGTCAAGGGTCGAGTCTCACCTGTCCTTTGAACTCCATCCAGGAAAACACTCAACCTTGCCCTCAACCTGCCACCTGCAGCCCGCAGGGCCCTGTGCGAGAGGTTTGTGCTGGTTGCTATCGTGAGGATGAGCAGGCTGGTTCCTGCATCCTGGGTTGAGCCAGCTTCTCTTCTGGGCTGGTCGACTGAGATCCTGACACTCACATCGCCACCAACCGACAGACATGCGATCAAGTACATCCTCCACCACCACACCAAGCCCGGCCGCACCGAAGGCGTGACCCTGGTCGATGCTGCCACCTTCCCGGTGTTGGACGACATTCCATCACCGACTCTCGATATCTGTGAGCCCCTTGATGAGTTTATTGCCTTTATGGCAACCTCCGGAACAACTGGTATGTGAGAGGAGTATGCGAGTGCCTGGGATTGCTGATAAGCCAAGGTCCAGCCACAAAGGTCGAGCATGGGAAGTTGAGCTCTAGCGGTTGCGACAGTAGATGACAGACAGTGAAGCACCGGTTGGAAACGTATTTGACCTCTGTGTATCAATCCTCGATGCTGCTCCCTGATCAACCCAAAAGGCATTCCGAAGACGTAAGTGACTCATGGCATTGCATCCATACTGCTCACTCGGATCGAATGAAGGATCTCACACTCAGTGCCTTGTGGTTCTTCAGATACAAGTTCCCTCATACTGGTGCAATCTCTGGCCGAGGCGCTCTGGGACTCGAGTATGTGAGTTCCGGGCTGTGCCAGGTAAGTCACACGGTTCTGAGCGACAGAGTTGAGCCATCCATGCATGAGAACTAACGCGGAATGACAACCAGGCACCTTCGTTCGGTGCAACAATCATCTCAATGCTTTGCGTCTTGAGCCTCAAAGGATCCATTTGGTTTCCCGAGCCCACACCCAATACTGTGGACAATGTCAAGAGCATCATCAGAATGCTTAACGATGGTCTGTGGCATTTGTATATGGTAAGTAGAGTGCATCAAAGGCAAGGTTCCTTCGTCCCAGTGCTGACGGATTGTCCTCTGATACAACCTTCACAGACGCCCTCACTCATGAAGTTGATCATCAGTGTGGCTCGAATTCAGAATCCGAATGTCAAGTGGAATGAGATGAGAAAGATCGGTTTGGGCTCCGAGTTTGTTCCTGCGAACGTCGTCCTACAGGTCAAGAAGGCATTTCCTAAGGCCGAAATCATGTCTGCATATGTCTCGAGCGAGGTAAATAATTGCTTGTCGTAGTAGCACAACGACTTGATACTGATTTCGTCGCCCCTTCTCGTTGTAGGCAAGTCTTATTGGTGTTTTCACAGTATTCCACCTCCCTGCCAATCGGACAATTGCAACCGACAAACTGATCTATAAATTAGCCAAGCCTGGAGTTCGCTGTATCCTCTTTGACGAGGAGGGCAACATTGTCGACCAGAGTGTCTCGAAGAGCGGCGTGCTTGGCTTTGCTGTCGACAAGGATCATCCCATCAAGGATCACCCGAGCTTTGTCAGTGCAAATCCGAATGACAGGCTTGCTACGTTCGGCTTCCTCGAGGATGGCTCTCCCCGTGTCTGCACCATGGACTGGGTCGAGATGGTTGGCGAGAAGCAGTTCACTGTGGTTGGAAGGTGAGTCAATGGCTGGGTGTCGCATCTCATTGATGGCGAGTGCACATCTGGCATCCTGAGGACACATCCAACTACTGTATCGAGAGTACTCACGCCATCCACCCCCTCGCTCCACACCATCGCTCCAGATTTGACCAGAAGATCAAGGTCAACGGTGTCTATGTCGACCTCAACGCCCTCGAGGAGCTGGTTTACAAGCACATGCCTGATACCATCACAGACTGTACCTTTATCCAAACCTCCGAGAAGGAGATCGTGATGCTCTACGTCGTTCGAAAGGGATCGGGCTTCAAAGTAACCCCCAGCGAGATGATCCGCCGCACCGAGGAGCTATTTACCCTCGAGAACGTCGCCAAGTTCCCGATCCACAACGTCTTCGAACTTACACCAGTTCCCCTTCAACGACTCGAGCAAGCGCGACCTCAAGAAGCTCAGGCGTTTCGCCGAGCATGCCGAGTACTTTGGCGAGTCGGTTAGTCTATCCAACCCTTGACATCGTCAACACCCCTCTGTCCCGCACCGCCGCCAAGATCTCCACACTTGGCAGCCAGATCATCGACAACCCCGCCCTCGACGGCCGCAACTACTACATCGGCGGTGTCGGCTTTGACTCGCTGAGTGTCGGCCGTCTGGCCCTCGCCATCAAGGACGAGCTGGATGTTGAGATCTCACCGATGATCTTGCTGTCGAACGGAATGACGCCGCTCGATGTCGCCCAGTTGGTCGTCGACATCCTCGACGACAAACCGATGATTCCCCCGATTGTTGATCTGGCTGCCGAGGCCGCCAAGCTCGACGATGCGAGTGTGACGGCCGAGGGTCTCCCTCCGTTTGTCTATCCCAAGGACCCTCGCGGCATCGTCCTGACCGGTGCCACTGGCTTCCTCGGTGCCTTCCTGGTCTTTGAGCTGGCCCACAAGTTCCCTCGGGCCAAGATCTACTGCCTGGTCCGAGCCCCGACCGAGCAGGTGGCTGTCGAGCGCATCATCAGCACGGCTCAGAAGCTGGTCCTCGATCCGAGCCAGAGAGCCTTCCTTGACCACAGCCTCAAGTCTCGACTCGTTGGACTGTGCGGCGATCTGTCGCAGGACAAGTGGGGACTCTCGGACGAGCGATGGAAGGAGATCAGCGAGGAGACCGACATGATTGTCCACAACGGCGCCGAGGTCCACTGGCTGTTTGACTATGACAGACTCAAGGGACCCAATGTCCTCAGGCACGGCGACGGCCCTGAGACTGGCCACAACCCATCACCTGAAGCCGCTGCACTACATCTCGACCATCGGCACGATCCCGATGGCCAAGAAGGCAGACAAGCCGCTCGAGGAGAAGATCTACTCGGCCTGGAACATCTCTGGCGGGTATGGCCAGACCAAGTGGGTCTCTGAGCAACTGATCAACAAGGCACGATCGAGGGGAGTGCCGGTGACGATCATTCCGCCCAGCCGTCATTGCTGGCGACAGCCAGTACGGAGGTAAGCTGAGTGTGGTGGTGTGGTGTGATGTGGTGATGGATGTGGTGCAGATGTCTCAATTCGCTCACATGGACTGGCCATGAATCGATGGTCTCGATTGTCAAGTGCCACTCATCCACCAACTGACATCAACTGACGCCTTCACACCCTCCATTCGCTCCAGTGTCCAACTCTGATGACTACATCTGGCGATATGTCAAGGGATGCATCCAACTCGGTGTTGCTCCGTCGTATGCCACTCCCGTCACCTTGACCATGGATCCCGTCGACCATGTCGCCAAGGTGGTTGCCGAGATTGCCGGCTCGGAGGAGTCCCTGTCCAAGTTTGTGTTCCACATCAGCGACTCGGAGCACAGGTGAGGACTGTGTGATGTGGTGTGTGATGTGGTGTGGTGTGGTGTGGATGGTGGATTCCGACTTTGATTACTCACCCACCCACTCACTCACTCACTCACTCACTCACTCACTCACTCACTCACTCACTCACTCACTCACTCACTCACTCACTCACTCACTCACTCACTCACTCACTCACTCACTCACTCACTCACTCACTCACTCACTCACCCAACCACTCAACCACCCAACCACAAAGTGTCCTCTCCGAGACCAAGCTGTTTGAGATTGTCAATGCCTTTGGCTGGCCCGTCCTCTTTGAAACTCGTGAAAAGTTCAAGTATATTCTTTCCACCAACCCCTTGTTTGACCAAAATGCCCTGTCCCCGCTCATGCACATGATGATGGACATGTCCTTCAAGCTCGACAACGCCAACACCCGCTCGATCTACCCAACGCCCTGTCCCTCGACTGTGCTGATCGCCAAGAAGTGTCTCAGCTACTTGAACCACGCCCACTTCCTTCCCAACCCCATCCAGCCGTCGAGCGAGCTCAAGGACGACGAGTATCCCGAAGTCAGCATCTTCACCCGCACCGGCCGCAACTGATCAGCGGACGGTGATTCAGCAATAGATTGATCAGGTTGTTTCTTCCCTCTTCCTTTCTGGTTGGGATTGCCTTCTGCACCCAGTGTGGTCATATCGACGATGGGACTCGATCCCCGGATGATGTTTGTCGCATCTGTGGTTCGGGCACACCTATCCACTCCAGTGTCCCTGTCTGCCCCTTCTATCCTACATTCCTCTCAGTCTCTGCTTTTCCGTGAATCTTACTTCGTCTCAGGCTTCGGCTTATTGGATAGACATAAAATTCGAATGTCGTTCACCATCGCGTTCTATCGTGAGCCTCGCCCGTCTCATCCGAGCCCGAACAGTGGTGGTCGCCGAGGGAATGTAGCTCGTACATGGTGGCCAGGTTTCCCAATCCCGAAAACAGCTTACTCTGCACTCACTCTGAAACGGAACACTTCACGCGAATGGCTGGAGTGAATTGTGTGGATTGAATATTGTTAATCAAGCTGTCGGAAAGAGGTCGATCGACGCTTGTACTGATGAGATGTCGACCACAGAGCCACCCAATTCAATTAAGTGATCGATATTGTAGTTTTAAGTCAGCTCGATGGGCCGGACACCCAGGAGGGGATGCTCCGAGACACTTGTTCGGCTTTGCCGAGCTAATAATATGATCCGACGACGCCGCACATTTGTCCAAGAGCAATGGTTTGTACCATTGCCTTTCAACACGTTGTACCCAATAGCATCACCTCATTGATCTCCGTCATCACAGGAATGGAGCGACCCATGTGGTCCATACTCGTCTTGGCCAATAACTCTCTTTGAATCGAATCCGTTGCATGTTCGTCTGTCAGCAAGCATTCTGTCCCGCAACTCTCCGAATTGCATGGCTGTTCTGTTTGCGCGCCAATGCCAACCAGGCCCCCTCGCCCCTGGGCTTCCATCGTCTTGCTGATCGATCCTGGTCGCCCTGTTCGTCTCGCAAGCTCGACCCGCAAGCCGCCGCCCGTCTCTGTCCCGCTCCAACATGCCGACCCAGCCCGTATCCGACCCATCGCCATCTAACCTGGCCTCGGCTCGCCAGCCCATTTTCACCGGATCGCTCAAGACCGGCTCGCTTCTATGGAATCGCCACCACTGGCATTCGCTCTTGCAGTCCTCATGTCTGCCGTCCAGCAAAGTCGAGTAAGCGCCAGTGCAGCCCCTCCCCACATCTGACCACGACTGAAGCGGCCTTATCGCCCGGTTGTCTCGGCGGTCTCAGCGCCGCTTGTATCGGTAAAGCCCTCCATTCGCTCACATCCCCATCGTTCTTAGGAAGCTTCTCAAGATCATGAATGCTTCCTACGGCTCCGGTGTGCCCACCCGATCCAAGCCGGATGCACGCTCGGTCCGAAGCCATATCCATCGGCCCGTTCCGTTCACTAGCATCTGCTTTAGCCACGATATATCCGGGCCAGTCATCCAAACCAACGCTGCACCGCTGAATGTCTCGCACTCAACCCGACGGAGAGACAAGACTGAATCGCGCCCGTCGTCGCTATCGATGGCATCGGCGTCGCAACCGCCTCCTCACACAACCTGGACCACGCTCAACTACATTCTCGGAGCCGTTGATCAACGAGGGCATATCTATGCATTTGACCTCCACCAGAACACGTAGGTTCAGAAGAGGGCATCGTCGATGTGACTTTGGCGAGACGGACAAGTTGTTTCTGTCGATCGGCTGTGCAGGATCTCGATATCCAGACCCAGATGCCCCGTTCGCTGCCAATGTGTTGATGTATCCACTGATCCAACTCTTGATCTATCGCTTCAACCCAACGTATGTAACCGCCAGGTTCATGTTGGTTGGCCGCTGTGGTGTCTCGGGCACTTGCATCTCGTTCAACACCATCCGGCGGCGTGAGCTTATCGTCGGTCTCTCTGATCACTCCCTGCAGTGCTACAACATTGGTACGGACCCATGGACTGCACGGATGCTGGGAAGGCAGCTTGCTCGCAGCCACTCCGGCTGTGGCACGGCCGATGGAGCCCGCCACCTTTCTCATCCAAGTGGTTGACCCTCCTTTCGACGGCCAGATACCGGGCATCTCATCGCTCGTCTTCCCGCATACCACTCCTGGGAGCCCAGAAGCATCTGTGTCCATCCTAGCAAAGCGTTGGCTCTGACCTCCAGCCGCTCGGAATCTCTCCTGTGGAATACTGAGGCATGGACCCGGATCCGGGTGCTTGCTGGCGGCGACTCACTTATTGTTCAGCAGGTTAGATCCCTGAGCAACGGCCGACGACTGACGCTGGCGTGACATCAAGCTGCGAGATTTGCCCCGCCTTTCCTTCCATGAACTATGGTCGTGCCCGGCATTGTCGAGTGCGGGAATGGTGTCGCTCCAGCACCGATCGTGGCGATATACACGACTGACGGTGATTCGGCTCGGCATACTCTTTCAGGCATCGTTCTCGCCAAACGGGAGCTCGATTGTGTCGTGCTTCTCGGACGGAAGCATTCTGCTTTGGAGCCTCGAGAGCTTCTCGCTCTCGTGGAAGATCTCCTTGGATCAACTGGATCTTCAGCCAAGCTCGGCGCTCTCGCAACGAGAATTCCTGCTCGTCGATCGTACATCGTGTATGGCACAGTCGCATGACAGCGAGCTCATTGTCTATGCTGCTCTGTAAGTCGGTAGCGTCGAAAAGCAGGGGCAAGTCGTTTAAGTTACTCGACTCGATCATGGACAGGGGGTGGGATCCATGCGTATGTACTCACCTTCGGTCACAACCATATGCCGCTGTGCATCTTCGTTCATCGACCGGTGCTCGCGGGCACTCTTTCATTTGCATGTCTTTCATTTGCATGCTTCCTTTCAGACCATCAGCACTCTATGTGTGGAGCGCATCCGAGAAACGACTCTTGCACGAATTGGTTATCCCCGCCTTCAAGGACCAGCTGTTTTATCAAATTGAATTTATCGCCGGCACCAAGGTGGGCGAAGCGTGCTTGGCTCCGACTCGGCTAGTCGTGCACTGCTCTGTTGCTTCGGACTCTTGCGGCTCACACAATCGCGGAGCTCATCGTAGCCATTCTTCCTTTCCTTCAACAGCTTGTCGTTGTGCTCACTGACCATGGCGAAATCGCCTTTGTCGATGTCCTTGGCGGTGCACTCCTTGGTCAACTCCATGGAAAGGACTCGGTACAGTCTCTGTCTGCGGTTTGTTTGTGTGCTGCAGGTGGGGCGACGAGGGCGACACCAGTGTTGCCATCGTTCTCCAGACTCGATCGCCATGAGGTGACCGTGAGTGATGATACCGAGTATGCTCTACATTTGCAATTGACACGCCGGGTGCGTGTAGTTCAAATCCTTTTGCATTTCTCGCGATGGTCGATATATCACAGCCATCATGGAAGAGTCTCGCTTCGTCGTCCAGGTGCTCAGAATCGACTCGATTTGGTCGCATTTCAAAGTATGTGAGACTCGGACTCTGCACCGCAAGCACAGTCGCTCGACCTTGTTCTGATCATCGACCATACCTTTGTGATTCATGGTCCACATTTCTAGATCAAGCTGCGGACCGCGGAGGGATCTGACCGTGGTGAAGAAGAGGGACAATCGGCAAGTCTCTCCATCCACATTCGCTGCCGCGATACTCGCACGAGCCCGCACAGAGATGGCTTGCTGAACGCCTGGATCCCCGCGTCGCATGCCTCTGACACGACCTGCTCTCACCAGATTTCAGAATCTGGGCACCAGAATCAATTGGACGAGTCGGAAGGAGGCTCCATAGAGGATACGCTCGAGCGAGCTCCAGTAAAAAAGCACACGCCAACTGTCAAAGTTGCCGATCAACCGGAGACGTTTTATGAACTCGTCGAGTCGAAGGTGAGCCGCCGATCTTCTACCTATCATTGCGAATTTACCGCAGAAAATCCCGCTGCATTGTGCACGAGTGTGGGCCTACCGTAAAACTGAGCCAGGTCACCGATCAGCACGACAGCTCCATCATGAACCGGGCAAAGCTCGCCAAGTTCCTACATCACTACGGAGTATATCCAGACAAATACAGGTGCGCCTGTCGGGACAGGGGATAACAGAAAGGATCGCCGATGCGCTGGCCACCTGTCGCGTGCGATGGCTGATCAAGCGCCTACACTGAATCCGTTGGATTGACTGGCATCCATATGCATTTGGTCGTGTGCAGGATTCTCATCTGGCGGTTCCTACTGCGGCTACCAGAAAACTACGAAGCATACCAGGCACTGATGCAGCTGGGCCCTCATCCCGTTGTCAAAGAGTTCCGACGCAAGTTTCCGCTCAAGAGCGAGCGGCTGAACAAGTCGATGGAAAAGTACGGTACCTTTTCGCCTTGTAGTCTTAGTTGGCCAATCGACAAGATTACACGATGCCATCATGGAACCAGAAGGGTGCAAGTACATAGGGACTTTGTGTGTCTTCCAGCCCTGTCTAAGTACATTTCCAGCACTAAGCGCGTTTCGGTACTTACAGTGTCCGTACTGCATGTCGACGCACAGGGTCCTTTCGGCTCTTGCGCACTGGACGCTCATCATCGAGAACCTCGAGTACATGCCCGCGTTGATCTTTCCCTTTGTGAAACTGTTTTCGAATGACATATTCACATGCTTCGAAGTTCTCGTGACCCTCGTCAGTAAGTTCGGGTCAGCTTATGTTGGCTAGTCGTACCAGCGGCGAGCAACCTCGCAGTCCCTCCTCCAGCTCATCACTGATGCGATCGATCCCAAACCGCAGTCAACTGGTGTCAAAAATGGTGGGACTACTATCCCAACCCCCCGATCGAGATCCTCGACGTTGTCGAAGATTTATTGGCCTACCACGATCCCGAACTCGTTGGCCATTTTGTGAAATGGAACATCACAAGCCAGGTATGGAGTCGATGCAGCGCGTTGGCATCCGGAGCGATGAGGGATGTTCGATCGTGCTGTCGGCTTGCTTGGCGCCCAGACGGCCGCCGATTGGCCCCCAGGACCGCTGGTACCTGTTAGCAACCGCATACGCTTAGAGCCAGCTGCTGTCATGCTGACACAGCTCTTTCTGCAGATATACGCCTGGATTATGATCCAGACGTTCTTTTCCGAGAACTTTTCAAAGGATGAGTGGCTTCGGGTGTGGGACCATTTTGTCACCAGCGAGCCTGCGTTCATGTATCACTTCCTGGTGGCGTATCTTCGGAGCTTCCGGGTATCGCTGATGGCCATCACCAAGGTGTCTGATTATAAGGTGAGATGATGCACAGCAACGATGAAAGCAATGAAATGGGTGTAGCCGGTCGTGCAGCAGTCGCCGAGGCTGGTCGGGAAACAGTCGCCGAGGCTGGTCGAGCGGCGATCACCGAGGCGAGCCATTCAATGTCAGGGCAAGGAATAGGCGCGGATCTCGAAGTGATTATTCAACAGGCCCTAGTTATGTTACTGACTGTGCTGCATAACTTTGTGGGATCGATGCGATGCTTCTCACTCCACAGCACTTCTTTACCCGACGCAACGCTGTCAACCTGACTGCTGTGTTGGATCTGGCCTATAGCCAGTCATCAAACACTCCCCCGCAGATATGCCCGACCAGCTTCTTGGCCACATTTGAGCCTACGCTGAAAGGGCAAGTACCCCATCTTCAACCGATACCCTCAGTTCATCATCAACTACCAGACGCGCATGCGCGAGCGCATACGGGAAGAGGAAGAGGCCTATCTGCGCAAGCGCATGCGGACAGATGAAGTTAGCCGGCTCGTGGAGGAGCTGAGACGAGACAAGCGCGAGTGGGAGAACTCGGACTGGAAGATGAACGAAATGCTCGAGAAGTGGTGGTCCAACATGATGGACGAGCAGGAAAACCACCAGCTCCGCAAAGCCAAGTAACGTATCCCGCTGCCAAGCCTTGGAGATGCTACTCGCTCGCTCGGATGGAAGGAAAGGGGGGGGCGGACGCAAGTCGTGAAAGTCTGCACGAGGGAGTTCTCTTTGCCTCGGACGACTGACTCGCTCCGGTTGAAATCTGGTCGTCTCACATGGACAGACTCGACGCGCTCGAGAAGGAGCAACGATCGCGTGCCGTCCAGCGCATAATCCAAGGTTCGTTTCAGAGACACAGATGCACTCTCTCGCAGTGGTGATTTGATCTGGCATCGGAGCGTTGTAGTCGATGGCGCGACCTACGATCGTCTCCTTTTTTTTTTCTATTTTTTGGCTAACCTCCAAGAGCACTGGCCCGTCCCGCATCGCACTCGACAGCGCGGTCGTCATTTGTCGACCACCAAAACTCGTCGATCACTCGCCACATGGCCAATATCTCCAAGACCGTTGGATTCAACCGCCGCGCACTCGAGTTTGAGCTGGATCAAGCCGAGCTGGATGAAAAGTTTTCGGAGATCGAGAACGAGTGGCTCAAGCGACGCGAAGACATGATCAAGAAGCGCGAGGAGCTGGCCAAACTAGATCAGGAGCGTATCGAGCGGTACGATGGCTTTTGCTTGAGAGAGCGAGACCTTGGAGGACGGAGGGGGAGATGGCTATCCCGCTATCGGTCGCGGCCCTAAGCTGACGTGAATATCCGCTTCGCGATGATAGTATGATCAAGCAGGCCCACAAGCTCGGCGTCCGTGACGGCGAGTTCGAGGATGAGCTGCGAAAGCGTCTGAACAAGGACACAGCAGCATGACATGGATCCGCTGTACTGCCTTCCTGAGATGAACCGGCAAACGAGCGCGCTATATTGACCTTGAGTTTAGCCCTCCTCTCGATCCTCAGAGCAGCATATTGCAGGCGTTCCAATAAAAAATGGGACACCCCGAATTGTTGACCATCGACTTGATATTATGTCACCCGATACCATCGCGCACTGGCCATGACCATTCTGCGTTACGATGCTACACTATCGTTCATAGCCGGAGAAAAGCTGCCTCCATATTCAGTGTGTACAGGAGCACCATGCACCGCTGGCAATGCGTCATGGCGTCAAGGCAAGGGCTATGCATCCAGTCCCAGGAGGTAGCGGTTTGCTCGGTACTTTGAGCAGCTCAAGCACCACCGTCGCCGCCCACATCGCCCTTCATATGGCTTGGCTAGACGCAAGCTCATACTGGTTGTTCATGGAAGCGGGTGTGGTGTCCCGGTTTTCATAATATAGTGCACTTCATGGGTCATAGTTTCTCCTGTCCTTTCCTTTCCTTTCTATTTCACGGATCGCAGCTGTAATACACCGGAGGCGGAGGCCAAAAGAAGAAGAAAACTGAGATAGAGAAGCAAGCAGCAATATCGAGATAAATAGCATCAAACAAGATGAGGGCGCAAGTGGAGGGGTGGGCGATGGGCGGTGGGGTGAAGGCTCGGGGACGGGGTGAGGAGCGAGCGACTTGAGCGCAGGATGAGACTTGGGCGGCGCAAGTTGGGCGCGAGTGGTATGGCTCCGTTCGTCAGATATGCCATATCGTCCTAGATGCATCTCGGAGGGGAGGGTGTGTGGAGCATCCGCTGTCAAAGCCATCATAACGACACCACGCTGATCCTAATCACGAAGAGCTACGGGGCACGTCGCTAAATACTTCGTCGATGACCGCTCTGAGAATGGACACAGTCAAGATGGCGTTGAGCTCCTTGACTTGCAGCATGTTGAAGACCCGGGCACAGCCGCTGGTGACGTTGCTTTTGCCAAAGACCCGCGACACGGCCTCGAGCTGAGAAACAAAGTCCTTCAACAGCACCGTCTTGGCAGAGAGCTTGGTGTCCTCCATCTCCAGCTCCGTTCGCGGCCGGGGCGGCTCGGACGAGAGACTCGACGGGGGCGCCACAAAGGATGATCCAGCGAGGTCCTGCTGCGAGCGAGCGTTCCTTAGACCGGCGGCCGTGCCGTTGCCTTGTGCGGCAGCCTCGTTCGGCCAGCCGGCCCGGATCGCCAGTTCGATATACGAGGCGACTTCGGCGGGTTGGCTCAGGTCCGTGAGGTAGTTTTCGACGTAGTTGGAGATGGTGGTTCCATAGGTCCGGCGCAGCAGCGCCTTGGCGGCGTGGAGGCCCTTTTGCAGGATCCACTGGTTGGGGTCGTTGAGGTTCAGGACTTCCTCGATGGTTTGCACGGCCGACTCGAGGACAACCTTGGTGTCCTCGGGAGAGAAGCGGACAACATAGGACAGCTTGCGGTCAGGGATAACTGAGGGCGATGTCGCTCGGAGAATGGTCTTGGCACCGGCAACAGAGGGATTGACGTACGGGGCCATCTTGCCCCGCGAGCTCGCACGGGCCATCTTGGGCGGATCCAGCACCGAGTCCTGCTCAGGTGCCAGGGACCTCAGCGACGGCTGGCGGCCGATAACGGGAGCCGTTGCGGCGCGGTCGTGGGAGAGCGACTGGCCCGTGATCGATGCTGCCGAGCCCGAGTGATTCGGATGCATGTACAGACTAGAGTCCTTCTCGATGAGTCTGGGATCGCTCGAATCCCAGTCGTCCTCGCTGTCGGTTTCGAACCCGAGCTTCTGTAGCATCGATCCACCCTTCTTGAGGGCCCGCACGAACGACTGTTGGAGGCTGTCGGGGCCATTTCCGCCCGCCTCTGACGGAATCGAGGGGCGCTGACCACCTGAGAGAGCCTCGAGTGTTTGTTCCAGAAGGAAGGCCCGCAGCTGGGCTGTTTTGCTCAGGTCGCGATCCATGAGCAGCATGTTGGTCCACTTTTCCAGTTCGACCGCCAGAGTCTCGCGGGACTTTGCGTGCGAGATTCGCGGTCGGTTGGGCACGGGGTTGCTTCGGATAAACGCAAACTGCGGCTTGAGCACGTCGCTCAGTAGGACCCAGTCGGCGTAGCTGCGGTACAGACTCCAGCGCTGCTGGCTTCCAACGCGATTCACCTGGACAAGGAACAGCAGACCCTTGTTTGAGACGGCGCCGAGGGTACCGGCAAAATTGGAGAGCACGCCGTCGCGTCCGTCGACCGGAGCATCGTCGCTTCCATCGCCGGTGATGTCCTGGATCGTCACGCGGACGCCGACGAGACTGACGGGATCTTCTGGTAATGCCCATCCGCTCTCGGCTGCAGCCTGAAGATACCGCTCCTCCTCGGCCAGAAAGCGCCCGAGAATCTCGATGCGGCTCTCGATTTCAGCCTTGCTACGCTTGTACTGGATCGCCTCATAGCCGCTGCTCGACTCAAGGGCGATCGAGATGGCAAGTGCTTCATCTTGGCCCGCGGCGATCGCGCTCCGAAGGTTACGCCGGTACTCTGAATCAAAGGTGCGGGGAGAGGCGCGTGGGGCCACAGCGTCCATGGTATGGGACTGCACTGGTGCTGCTGACGACGGATTTGTGCCAATGTCGGCGTTGGTGTCGATGTCGATGTCGCGGCTCGCAGGATGTGCTGGAGTCGGCTGAACTGCAGCAGATAGAGGCTCGTCGTCGCCAAGCAGATTTGGTTGGGCAGTGCCCACATTGCTTGATCCGTCCAGCACTGGCACCGCTGCTGGAGCTGGGACTGGATCTGGATCTGGAGCAAGGATGGATCCGTCGCCTTCTTGCACCGCAGCAGCAGGGGCTGTGAAGAGATTGCCGGGGATTTCGCTCGACAAGAAGTCGAGATTATCGGTCAGCGGCTTGGTAGAGCTCGTGACCTCAGGTGCCTTTTGGATCGTTGCCGATCGAACAGGGCGAGGTGGTTTGGGCGGGGGTAGCGCTGGTTCCGAAGATGGCGCCGCTGGCGGTGGGGAGGTCTCAGCTCGTCGACGAGGGGGCTTGGGGGGCGGTGCAGTAGACACGTCGGGAGCGAGGGTGTTGGCAGCGGGGAGGTTTGTTTGGCGAGGCGGAAGAGCTGGGGAAGCATTTGATGACGGTCGGGACGGGACGGTCTCTGGCACGGCCACGGCCGCAGGCTCGATGATATGCGTCGGCTCGGTGGCATTCAGACGATCAAGGGCATCGCCGCGACCGGCGATGTCGACAGGGGGTGTGCCTCTGGCAGGCTCGACGACTTCGAAAGGATCGATGGGGCGAATAGCCGGTTCTTGGATGATCGACTCCTCCAACAGCGATCGAGGCGGCGGAGTCGGTGTGCCATCGTTGCGTGGCGGCGCGGGCATCGAGGCAGCCGTCGGGCTGCTCCCGGTGGTGGCCAGGTACTCTTCAAAAAACTCGCTCTCTTTGAAGGCTTGCCAGTACTGCTGCTGAACGTGCGCCTTCAGAACCTCTGTGATCTCCTCAAACACATTAGGCGAGGGATCGGAGACGATCCGATCCAGTACCCTGGCAGCGATTTCGGAATCGCCGGGGATGGAGATGGGGTACTTTGCGTCCTTGGAGAAGAACATGTCGTAGACGTCGATGGCATCGGATCTGAAGATCGCAGGAGAGGTTTCGGCCGCGTTGGCGAGTTGTTGAAACGAGTTGACCATGATGAAATACTGGGCGTAGGCGCCTACTTGGCAGCTCTCCATGAACTGGATAAACTCCATCATGGCCTCGTTTCGATCGAGAACATCGGACAAGACGAGGTTGCGAGGGTTGAATTTGGGCTTTACATCGGGCACATTGCGGGGTTCGTGTCGGCTCTGGAGGCTGCTCTGTAGCGCCGGGCGAGGATCGTCATCGTCGTCGATCTCGATGGGGTTAACGTATATGGCCTCGATCAAGATTTCAGCCTCACCAAGGGCTCCGCGCTGGTCGGACGACTCTAGTGGTATCCACTGCTTCAGATACCTGTTGGTGACAGCATGGATCGGGATAAACACGCTCCCGATCAACTCATCTGGATGGCGATGTTAGGAGGGGGTTATTTGTGGCGCCAGGCAGCGATGGTCGTCTCGCTCAGAAACAAACCGTGGGTAGCAGAATGTGGTGCGCCGTCGCAGCGCATTTCAGTGCTGGGCATCAACGAACCTCGAAGCAGTCGGCTGCGGTAGATATCCACCAAGATTCCAGGGACGCTCTGGGCACTTCTTGTAGTCCACGGGCTGAGACGATGCAGGCGGGATCACGGTCACGGCGGGAGTCAGAGGAGCAAGCCAGCGATCGGATCCCACAAAAGTAACAATAACGGACAGCCTCGGTCCAGCCAAGAATAGAGGCTCACCGGCCAGCATACACCATGAACAGGACGGAGATCCTCACGGGGAGCAGACTTTTGCAGAGTTGGGAACGCGGGGAATACGGTTGACTTACAAGCTGAACTCTTCCAGCCAGAGTGGATTAGACTCGGCATTGACCTTGGTTGTCTTGTCGCCTTCTTTGCCGACGGTTACCACACAATAAAGAACTGGAGGACAGCGACAAGGATACCAATGAGAACTCGTCGAGGGAGGGGTGCGCAGAGTGAGTCAGGTGGCATGCTTGATCCATCAAACTACTGTACCGCTCGAGGTGGGATTGGGTAGCTTTCGAGCCTCCAAGACTGACGAGAGCGAAGGCATGCCCACAGTCGATCGGGAATTTAGAGATGCGGGACACACATTGGGCCAAATGATGCGATCAAGACATGAGAGTTGATGTCAGCGATAGAAGTCAGGGTCTGGAATTGACCACATGCCAGGGAAACACAGACAGGATCGAGCCGTTGCCCACGAGAGAGAAACGTGTGCATGCTAGCCTCGGATCCTGTGAGAATGCCGCTGACTTGCCTTTGACATAAACCTCCCCTGGTTTCGGTACACCACTGGAACCAGCTCGCTGGCCACGTTTCGCATCTGCGGGTCCCTGGAGCGGGTCGGGGTTGTCTGAGCTTGCACCTGACGAGGCCTCGCTCGACTTTTGATAGTGGCTGACGATCTGGAGGTTGATAAAGTCCGGCTCGCAAATCGTCTGGATGATGGGCTCGAGAATGGAGGTGGCCACGATTTCCTGGACAAGAGGCACCGTCGACGGGCTCGCACGGTCGTGCGATGGGAGGATTTTGTTGAGGACGATCAGGACGAGCTCGCGCAGCTCTGCGATTCGCTCTTGCTGGGACACATGGCGGGCAAACGGCGATCTTGGAGACTTTTTGATGTACTGGTCGAGAGAGAGGTTGGAGGCCTCAAACTTTTTATACTCGCGCTGCCGTTCCAGACCAGAGTCGGATCAGCGGGCGTGGACGAAAGCAGAAGCTGTGAGTGTCAAGGATCACAATAGTCAAGCAGCCGGATGGCACACGGGAGTCGAACTGAATATAATGCAGGCAGCACAGGGGCGGCTGAGAATACGCAGGCAATGGTAGGCGAGCTGTACCATGTGGTCAGTGATGGTTCGGAAGATGGCCGCAACGATGGCTGAGTAGTCGCTCTTGAAGACGAGAAGGCCCAGTGTGGCACAGGAGGAGATGATGGCACTCTTGACAGCATTGGGAAAGTCGGGGCTCTGCGAGCGGTTCAGGGTCGAGTACCACGAGTTGATGTAGTCCCTGATGATATTGTCGACGAGGCGCTGCAGCGGGGCGTTGATTTCGGAAGGAATGGAGAGCGTGCCGCTATTGATGCGATCGAGTTGCTGGAGAACAAGGGTGAACCAAGCCGGAAACATGAGCAAATCCAGCAACACAGACAAGGCTCTGTTGACAAAATCGGCACACCGACGAGGACGGGCGGTGCAGCCAGGGGGGCATGGCCAGACGGGGACTGCGGCGCAAAGAAAAAAGTTTGGGGGAGGAAGAACAGGGAATGGAAGCTCGGAGTCGGGGGTGATGCGGGTGTGGCCATGGGAAGGTGTACAGAGCGGCCTCGGGTGGTTCAAAAGATGGATCAAGCGGGGAAAGAAAAGAGACGGACCCATATCCAGCAGAGAGCGAAAAACGGAGCGGCGCAAAGAATCGGAGGATCACCATACCTGCGGAGGCCACAGCGAACCCAGATAGAGAACCTGGCCGTCGGGCAAGACGACCCTGCGGTTCTCGGAGTAGTTCATCCAGCGACTGGTGATGCGGTCCTGCAGATAGACCTCGTCCCGATGCGGAACAGGAGTTCTGCAGATGTAACCCAGCACAAAGACAAGGCCCAGGGGGACAGCCCAGAGCAGCAAGCGGGGAGACAGGAGGAGCACGGCAACAGCGACGAGAATCAAGTCGCGGTAGCGAGCAGGTATATCCAGGGAGTCTGCAAGTCGAGAGAGGCCAAGAAGGAGCGGGCTCCTGCATGCCCACGCCTCGAGGGGCAGCCTGATGTGCTCGGGCACCCAGAGCAGCCAGGCCGACCCGACTGCAGCCCCGACAAAGGCATTCAGCGACGAGACGGCGCTGGAGAGAGACGACGGGCTGCTGCCGACAGGCGGGTCGTCGAATTGGACGGAGGTGCTCATCGGGTGGCAGCGACTTTGGTTGTGCGGCTGGTCGTCGATGGAAGGGCCGTGCGATATAATGGAGGGTGGGGACTGCTGATGAAGGCTGCTGGTGGGACTGCAGGATGGCAGAGGCACGACAGGGCCGAAAGGATGGTTGATGCCGGGGCAAGAGAACGAAAAGAGGGCAGGGGGGGCGACGGCGATGGCGATGGCGGGCGGTGATTGGTCGAGGCGGTGGGACAGGGCGCTGGCTTGTCGGGGGCGGAAGCGAGACGGTGGATGGATTGGATGTTGGATGTTGGATGGTGGTTGATTTGGAGGTTGATTTGGAGGTTGATTTGGAGGTTGATTTGGAGGTTGATATGGATGTTAGAATTTGGATGGTGGTTGATATGGATGTTGATTTGGATGTTGATAACTGCGCGGTTGAAGCATCGATACGTACGGGCTCAAATAGTGCGTCCGCGGAATCCCTCAATAACGAGTTTGGTTACACAAGGGGAATTAGCTCAGATGGTAGAGCGCTCGCTTAGCATGCGAGAGGCACGGGGATCGATACCCCGATTCTCCATTCACTTTTCTCACTTTTTGCATCCTTGGGCCGATCCGCCGTCCTGGTGCGCCTGCTCCCGGACAAAGCCCCCGACAAAGCCCCACCGCGCCATCGCCCGCGGCTGTGATTGGTGGCTGCGCGCCCCCAGCCGATTGCGCCATCCCGTCTGCAACAAAGCCGTCCGTCCTGGTTCGAGCCGCCCCTGACAAATGGCTGCGCTTGGCCCAAACCCAGATCCGATAACCCCACGATCCATCTTTTTTTTGTTTGGCTGAACGCTATATATCTTGGCAGCGCTCTGGCCATCTGCCCCCCCCCGCTGGCAATCAACCATCGGCCTCAATCGTCGCCCTCTGTTATCTGATTGGCATCCTCTCGCTGTTCAACCTGGTTTCTTCGGCACCGGCCCAAGCTGTCATCAAGGTCCACAGCGAAATCTCTGCCGCAAACTTGTTTTGCAGCCGCCCAACAACACCCCACTCAACTGCCATGTTTCAAGAATCGAGCGATAGCGCTGCCGTCAAGATGGAGCCCAGCAACATTGCACTTTACAGCGATATCCCTACGCCTACGCCTACGCCTGCGCCTCTCTTTCCGCCCATCGACACCACCCAACAATCACATCTCTCGATCCAAGTCAAGTCGCTGATGAAGTCTGTTCTGGTTCTGGGATCGGACCACATCGCCACGCAAGCAGCAAACCTGCTGCTCCAGGCCGGCATGATTGTCACCGTCGTCTCTGGTGCTGAAAAGCTGCCGACGCTCGAGCTGCAGACCCGCTGGCGCCAAGGCGAGCTCGGTCTGCTGGAGCGGGATTGGTCTCCGTTGGATTGGAGCGGCAAGGCCATGGTTGTCGTTGCCGACCTGGAGCTCGGCTCGGCCCCGATTGCTGCCCAAGCGCTTCTGTTTCGAGTTCCAATCTACTTTGTCGGCCGGTCCGAGCTCAGCGACTTTGTGATCGAATCGCTTGAAGCCCTCCATCGCTGCCAGCATCGATGCGCCGGTGCATCGTCGCCTTGCTCCGTTGCCTCTGTCCCCGGCTCCCTGCCCGAAAGGACCCCGTCCGAGCCGCCCTTGGCCTCGATACCCTCCACGGACCCACACCCCCCCGCAGCTTTCCCACTCCAACAGCAGTCCGGCCCGCATGTTCGAGTTTCGGACCATGTGCAGCCAGTCCGGGGCACGCTTGTGCTCGTCGGCGCCGGCCCTGGCGGAGTGGAGCATCTGACCCAAGCTGCCGTCGATGCCCTCAAGACTGCCGATCTGGTGATCTCGGACCGGCTCGTCTCAAAGGAAACCCTGCGTCTCATCACCTGCGAGCTGATCTTTGCCCGCAAGGTTCATGGCCGTGCTCGTGAGGCGCAGGACGAGATCTATCTCTGGGGCCTCAAGGCTCTGCAGGAGGGCAAGCGGGTCGTGCGCCTCAAGGGAGGCGATCCGTTCTTGTTTGGACGAGGCGGCGAAGAAGTTCTGTTCTTCCGCGAGCATGGCTTCGAGACCCAAGTTGTGCCCGGCCTGACCTCGGCCCTTTGCGCCCCTCTCGCTGCCATGATCCCGGTTACCCACCGCGGGACAGCGGACCAGCTTCTGGTGGCGACGGGCCGGCGCGAGGACGGAAGCGCACCCGACTACCCGCCCTTTACGGAGGGCCGGACCTGTGTCTTCCTGATGGCCATGGCATGTATCACCCGCCTCGTCAAGGAACTCGATGCCAAGGGATATCCCCGCAATTTGCCTGCCGCCATCATCGAGCGGGCTACCTATGAAGATCAGCGAGTGTTTGTGGGGACACTGGAGTCGATGCCTCAAGTTGTCGCCGACCACGCCATCAAGACTCATGCCACCCTGGTTGTGGGACGGGTGGTGTACTCCCTGAGAGGCTCTGAAAACAGCGCCGCTGTCGTGCACGAATGATTTGCTATGTTCCGATGCTCAAGCGTCATGCACTGCTCTTGGCCACGAGCGCCAAACAACCAATTTTGGAGACCGGGTCCTGCTGCTTGTACAATAGAGACTGTCCACTGGTCAACTGAGACTGAGACAGATGGCGATGCAAGTGGTGCCACGACATGGTGTGTGCGATGGGGCATATGGCTCGGGGTTGATATGATATTCGATGGCCCACAGCGGGTGTGCGGTCGGTGTCCCTGTCCAAGAGCAACGAGCCATTCGAATCTGCCTGCCGCTGCTTCAGGTGCGCCATGTTCGATGTTCCTGGTGGACTTGGCACCATACCGGGAGCGATGTTGCTATCTGGATCGATCCACTCGATCCACTCGATCCGGCTGGTACGGCCAGAGAGCAACCCACAACCTGATCGCCCTCAGCCCATCTGCATCCCGTCCACCTGTCCACCTGTCCACCTGCCCACCTGTCCACCTGTCCACCTGTCCACCTGTCAACCATGATCGATCTCTGTAAGTCGCTCGCAAAGCCCGGGTCCCCTGCATATCCGCTCGTCTGCCCATGGCGCGGATATCTTGTCTCGGCAAAGTCGCATAATCTGTGGCTCGCTTCGCAATCCCACACCGCCAACGACCACACCCTGATCAATCGGCCGCTCATCGTCTTCTCGCCCTCCCACCTCCTCGGCATCTCCCGCCGCCCACATCCTCGGAATTCAAATCGTCAGCCAAGCCGCGCTACGATCAGTCGACGTACTGGGGCCGTCTCCGCCACTTTTCGGAAATCACAAGCCCGACGTATGTGTGCGCTGCAACCGTGCCGCTTGCTATCAAGTTGATCTGTCGCGGGCCGTTGCTCCTGTCCTCCCGCGCCTTTTGCTGCTCTCTGCCGATTGTCCCGCATCCCGATCCATTCAACGCAAGGGTGCGTCCGGGCTGATGCTGAGAATCATCTGTCCACCCTGGCGACGACAACCAGAACCCTGTTCACCACCGATGCCGAGCTCGAGCGGGCCAAGCAGATCCTCCGTGACTACAAGGCCGGAATCCTCCAGCTTTCTGACGAAGAGGAGGAGAAGCTCTGGAGAGCCAAGAGACGTAAGTCGTGGTAGACACAGCCATCTCTGGCGAGCATTGCGGCCACCATAGCATCTGCCAACAATTGAACACTCGACAGTGCCGAAGCCGCTGACCCTTTCGTCCCACTTCCCAAACGATATCCAGTGGTCGACAGTACCATCCACCCCGACACCGGGGAGAAGGTCGTGCTGCCATTCCGCATGGCGGCTTTTGTCCCCACGAACGTGCTGATCGTCGCTGGCATGCTTTTGCCAAACCCTTCGGTGAGCATGCCCCATGGATTCGCCATTTCGTTTCACTCGACATCAGTCTGCTCGACTCGCTCGATGCAGCGCTGCGCTGCACTGTCTCTGTCCTGTTTCCTTTGCTCAGGTATGCTGATTGCACGCTGCTCCTTGTCCAGATTGCCTCCATCATCTTCTGGCAATGGGTCAACCAGTCCGTCAACGTCGCCTTCAACTACTTCAACGCCAACAAGTCGACCGAGATGAACGTGACCGAGACCGCCAGTGAGTTCTGAACCACCCGTCATGTCATGGCATCTGTCGAATGCCCAGTCTTTCCCCCGGGTGGGCAGCCGTGGCAGCCGTTATTCCAGGTCGAGGTCGTGGCTGTGGGCTTCACTCGCCATGGCCCTAGCGTTCCTGTCACTGACAATGCTATCATCGATATGGGGACCCCACGCCACAGCGGCCTACTGCATGGCAGTGGCCTCGTCCTGCACCATCGCCGTGGGCATGAACGAATGGGTCAAGCGGGTCAAGCATGTCACTCCGCTCATGAAGACGGTGCTTCAGCGGGCCGTGCCCTTCACAGCCGTGGCTGCTGCCGGTACCCTCAACGTTTTCCTCATGAGACAGAAGGAGTTGGTGTATGTGCCGGTCTTTGGCTTCTCCGACACCGCACTTTCGCTGTCCTTGACATTCGTTATCCACGATATCCTGATCTGCTGATAGCTCCACCGCGGCAACGGTGTCTGGTGCGAGAGCCCATCTAGCCAGCACCTTCGAGTGCTAACCCGATCATCTCTCCACATCTCTTTGGGCATATCTCGTGGCAGTGATGGCATCGATATCCAAGACGAGCACGGCAACAACCTCGGCAAGTCAACTGCTGCGGGCGCCAAAGCCATCACCCAGGTCGCTGTCTCGCGCGTTGCCACCTCCTTCCCGGTGGTGTTCATTCCCGGCATGATCATGTCGCAGCTCGAGCGGACTCGATGGTTGAGGGCCAACCCACGACTCGTCATGCCAGTCAACCTCCGTGAGTCATTTCCATCCAGTTGTCCCGCCTCGCATGCGTTTCGACCATTCGCGCAGTCTACACACCATCTTCCACCTAACTTGCGCTGACCCTCTCCTCCGTTTCTACCTTTGCCTTGGCCGGACATTGCCATGCTCAAAAGTGACCATCACCGGCTCTCTGATGGCGGCCCTGCCCTGTGCCATTGCGCTGTTCCCCCAGACGGCGTCGATGCCCGTGAGCCAGCTGGAGCCCAAGTTCCACGACCTGCGCGATGCCAACGGCAACCCGATCAAGACAGTCTATTTCAACCGAGGGTTGTAGATTCCAAAGCCTGTGACACTGGGGCACTGGGGCACTGGGGCACTTGGGCACTTGGGCACTTGGGCACTTAGGGTCGATATATATCTCGAAGGCTTGCCACGAATCGTGCGATGGCAGAATTTGAGATTTGTCGTTGAGCCCAATACAGTTGGTTCGGACCTCGAAACGAAACGAGAGACTTTGTTGTTCTGAGCCAGAGTTACCGCTGTGTTCAGGATCCCGAATGGACATCCCATCCATCGCCCGTCACAATCTGGCTGGGTGTCCGATGAGACGAGTGGCTCGGCTCACTCCAGTTACTTGGACGATCGAATGCGCTTGCGCCAGACTCCCCCATCGCAACATCGCTGTCAGTCGATGGTCTCCACAGGATATCGACCCGAGGCGTCCGTGGTTGTGCCCCCCCCCCCGAAACCCAATCGTCGCTGACAGCACTCGATATCCCCACAGCACTCGACATCCTCACAGCGCTCGATATCACTCAGTGCGAGAGCCAGGATCGCGTTCTCGGCGCGTCCTCGGTCGGCGAGAGCAATGTCCAGGTCCTTTTCTCGCCCGTGGATCGCTTCAGCACTTGGATCTGATCTGGACGCAAGCCGCATCGCAGTAACGACAGCCGCTGTCGAGCCCGGACCCGACCCCACCACCAAAGCGTCCCCGTCTTCAAAGCCAGCCCATACCAACCTCTCGGATCCACCAGTCGACCGGCGCCGAATCCGGCTTCCCTGCGTCACAGCTCCTTCACCTGAAACATGGCCAAGGCCACCAAGCCGTTCCAAAGAGACTGGGCTCCAAGAAGATTCGACGAGCTCAGCGGCGTCTCGACTCTGCTGGATATGCCCCTGGATGATTCACCGTCCCCGCATCCACCCTCGCACTCTTCTCTCGCCTCAATAACCCAGACACCGCCAACACCACCAGATGCAGCCCGTGCCGGCATGGCGGGGGACAGCGGAGTCGCTCGGAAGCCCAAGTCGTCGCTGTTCATCACAAAAAACTCTCAGAAGAAGCATGATCTCAGTCGGTGCTCGAGGTCCGAGCTTGAGGAAATGCTGGAGCAGAACCAGAAATTGCTGCGGGATGAGTACGTTTGTCGCCGCTCGTTGCTCATGGCTCGTTTCGCTCGAACAGGCTTTGTCGATTGGTGCTCCTCACGCTTTTGGCAACCCAGCATGAGCAGAGCAGTTTGGCCCAAGTCTCCCAACCGGTCCTTTCTTAACTTGCCACATGTGTATCGTCGGTGCTGGCAGATCGTTCATCGGCAAGCTACCCGACCGCGGACAGCGGCTGACCAAGAAGCGGAAGGAGCTCGAGGAGCGTCTGGCACAGCTTCCGCTGCCAGAGCAACAGGCTCCTGCAGAGATCGTTTCTGCTGCTCGCGAAGGCGAATCCATCAGCGAGCTCATGAGTGGCCTCCATCTCACCGGATCAACAGCTGCCAGCGGGCCACTGAGTCCAGGCAGAAAAGTCGCCAGCCCAGCCCAGCAGTCCATCAAGAAAAAGCTCGACAGGGTGAGCAGGGATTGGTGCCGCAGTCGCCCGCCCTTTGGTCGACACGGCTTGGCAATTGCTGGGCTGCTGTCGATGTAATCCCGCAGCGATCGAGCTTGGATCCACGCTCGAGACTCACAGCATCACCTCTTGCCAGGGCTCGAAAATCAAGACCATATCGCTGGTCGACTCGATTCAGCTGCAACAAGAGCGACAGAGGGAGATTGAAGTATGATGCTGGCGTTGGGGGGGAGTCTGTGGTGAATCAACTAGCAACACATCGCCGACGCAGACAAGCTTACTTTTCACAATCTGCATGCCATCCGTTTCGGCAGGATATTCGTCTGCGAGAGGCCGAGGCCAGACTGAAGCTGCAATTTTCCGTCGATGCCAAGCCGGATATGACTGCCCTGCGAGAATGGGGCTCGACGTAAGTGGTTTCCCTCAGGACCCAGACACGATTGCAACAAGCAAGCGGGTCTGTCTGATCGATGGAGTCGGATGATATGCATGTTTCGGTGGCAATATCTCCGAGGCTTTTGCCCGAAGTCAGGCACGAATCGAATCGAAACGAAACGAAAAGCCTCGTGCCCTGTTGGACCGCAGCGAAGCGTGCTCATAACAGTCACGTACCTCCGTAACCCTACCTCAGGTATCGGACATCCAAGGATATGGAAATCGACAGCGATAATGATAGCGACGACCAGTCGTTTTCGAGCGACCATGATCAAGACGACTCTTTCGATGACGACGACTAGCAGCTATGGCTCGATGCCCCTGTCTCGCCTTGCAATCACACTCGCATTTTTGTTACCATGAATCGCACACGTCACAATTGCTCAATGGGAGATCGTCCCGGATTGTATTGAGATATGCAGAGGTACAGATGTAGATAGGAAGATGTCGAGATGTCGAGATGTGCAGATGTGGAAATACTGAGTTGTGCGAATGCGGAGTTGGAAACGTGGATGAAAGCACGGGCCGTCCAGAGCCAAAGCTCGGCCAGGGCGAAGGTCTCTGCTTCCACAGGATACGCGAGCATCCAACAAATGCAATTGGTATGCCACGACCCGGAGCAGCGTCGACTCCCGCGAACGAAGATCAGGCATCGGCTCGGCTCGGCAGTCGGGACTCGCAGCCACACGATGCCGAGCAGCAATGTGCGTTTGTCTCTCAGAGTCGGTGCCACACCCAAAAAATACAAGGACATTAAGTATTGAAAATGTACAACAGCCGCACAGCCAAAGTTGCCCCGATTCTCCTCATGGATTCCTCTCCCCTCATGGGCGCAATGCGGCGGATTTAGTTCTCCTCGTTAACGCTCAAGACGCTTTGGTATCGTCCAAGCTTGGGCTTCGATCCAGCGGCCTTGCTGGTCTTGAGTGACTCCAGGTACTCGGGCAGGAGGCCAGAGGCGGCCAGGATCAGACCCAGGAAGACGGGCCGGGGACCCAGCGGGCGAGTCTTGTACTCAGGATGGAACTGGGTGGCCACAAAGTAAGGGTGGTCTGGAGGGAAGGGATCATATCGTGCGATGGTGGTGGGAGGGGGTCAGTCCACTGTCAGCACCGACAACACACATACCAAAGCGCACGTATCCATGCTTTGGGGCTCCGCCATTCCGGCTGGCTTACCAGGAAGCTCCAAGACGATCATGCGCTCGCCCTTCTCATCACGACCGATGAACGAAAGGCCCTTGTTCTCGATTTGCTCGATGAATTCGGGGTTGACTTCGTAACGATGACGGTGGCGCTCGTGGATCTCGCCGGCACCATCGTACAGACGGCCTGTTTTGTGGCGTTAGGCAGAAGAATCGTTAGGAGACGACGTGTTCGCTTTCTTCATGCACCAAACAGAGTCATTCTGGGCACACAGTTGCTTACGGGTGATGCTGTTGGTGCTGCCGTCCGTGAAGATGGTGGGGCGGTCGCCCAGACGCATCGTTCCGCCGAGATGAGTCTTGGAAATCTCAGGCATGAAAATAACAACGGGGTTGGGGGTGGTCTCGTTCCATTCCGCAGAATCGGCATCTGTCACGCGTCAGCCAGCCGGCCAATAATTAGCGCCAGTGGCCAAAGTATGTGCAAGCGACCGACGATCACGTATCGCATCGCATCGCCTTGGATTGCATTGCATCGCATCGCATTGTAGTTTCAGGCTGTCATGTGTCGGCCCCTCAGCGCGCTCGGCCAGCCCGTACCGGTAATGCCGCAAACGTTTCGTGCAAACTCGATGACGGCGATTTGGAGACCCAGGCAGATGCCGAGATACGGGATCTTGTTCTCGCGTGCCCACTTAGCAGCGATGATCATGCCCTCGGTACCGCGGCCTCCAAAGCCACCGGGAACGAGGATGCCCCTGTAATGTTCCGATGGATTAGATGGGCGAGCGAGCGTATTTCCTGGACTCGGCCAGGCTCCCCGCCGTCCTCGATCACTTGCATACATATACATGGATGATGGAACGCAGCTTACTTGGCCGAGACCAGGTTCTTCCATGCGTTGTGGTACTTGACCGGGTCGGTCTGCTGCACCGAGGCCTCGAGATCAGACGACTCGATCCACTCGATGGTAAGCTTGCGGCTCAGGGAAAGCGAGGCATGCTCAAGAGACTTGACGACCGAGATGTACGAGTCGTGCAGGTCGGTGTACTTGCCAACAAGGGCAATGGTGACCACGTCGTCGTAGCGGGTGTTGCTGGATAGAGAAAGTGTGTCAGTCTGCGACCAGCGATGGCGGCTATCCGATACGACCGCGACTAGAGTAGAGGGCTTTGAGACATACCGGTCCGCCAGCTGCTTCCATTTGGTGAACAGAGCTTGGGCAGCAGGGTTGGGGATGGGCTTGATGTTGAATTTCTCCTCGATGACGTCGATGATGCCCTGCTGGTGGAGCAGCAGGGGCACGTGGTAGATGGACTTGCAGTCGTGGACGGCCATGACGTTCTTGGGAGAGACGTGGCAGAACATGGAGATTTTGCCCTGGATGCCCTCTTCCAGGGGCTTGGTGCTGCGGCAGACAATCTGTGCGAGCAGACGCAGCTGTCAGGACAGCGGCTTTTGCAGGCAACGGACGGTGCTGGATCCGATTGCAGCACCCTCAAAGCACACTCCTTGTGCTTCGCAGCACAGGCTGGCCGGATGCAGCGCGACGTCCCGTCAGAGCACTTGTCGAGGCCACTCACCAAGTCCGGCGAGAGACCCAGGCCGCGCAGATCGCGGACGCTAGCTTGGGTGGGCTTGGTCTTTTGCTCGCCGACAGAGCCGACGACAGGAATGAGCGAGACATGGATGAGGAAAAAGTTCTCGTGGCCGACACGGAACTGGAATTGGCGCATGGCCTCGATGAAGGGAGCCGACTCGATGTCGCCGACGGTGCCGCCGAGCTCGACAATGCACACATCGGGCTCCTGGCCGCTTCCGTCGACACAGATCTTGCCGACACGTTCAACCCAGTCTTGGATGGCGTTGGTGATATGAGGAACGACCTGGACGGTCTTGCCGAGGTAGTCTCCCTTTCTCTGTTGGGCAGAAGGGCAGACACACGCAACCCGGAGGATCAGCCTCAGCGGACCCAACGCGGCGAGCGGGAAGTGCCTGGGGGCTGCTCGGACAGGCTCGCCCGGAGCCGAGAGGCTTGCGCGCCCAACACGGCCGGGAGGCTTGGCTTCTGGACAAAGCGACGTACCTCGCGCTCAATGACGTCCCGGTAGATTTTTCCGGTAGTGATGTTGTTGTCGCGGGTCAGGGTGACGTCCAGGAAACGCTCGTAGTTTCCGAGGTCAAGATCAACCTCACCGCCATCATCGAGAACAAAGACCTCGCCTGCAGGACCGGCGCAAGAATCGTGGATGGGGCATCGTCAGGGTGAGGATGCGGCTGATCCACCGAAAGGCGGGCTCAATGGACGTTCCCTCCCCCAAGCGCCATTGCCCAAACCTGCCGTATCAATTCACTCCAGCGCGACGCAATTCAGGTCGTGAAGGAGAAGCGGCGACCAATCGAATGAGGAAAAAAAAAAAGCGAGCTAACAGCAATTCGATCACGCCGGCAAACTAAGGTGTGACCTCGTGCTTCAGAGCCTGGTTCTTTGGCATTGCCCGCCTCTGCCGGATTGCTGGCCGCTCGCTCGCTTGGACAGAAGCAGGCCATGCCTGTGCCGGCTTTCCAATCACAGCTCGCCGCCAAACCAACAGCCACTGCATTGCGTCTGGCGCTCGAAGCCTACCGTGATCCAGCGGAGAGAGGGTTCCAGCATCGATGTTCAGATAGGGGTCGATTTTGATCGAGGTGACCCTGAGGCCGCGGGTGCGAAGCAACAGGCCGGTGGAGGAAGCGATGATGCCCTTGCCGACACCCGAGATGACGCCGCCGGTGACGATAATGTACTTGACCATGGCTGCGGTAGTGATTCAGAACGTGGGCGGAAGGATGCGGTGTGCAGCAGGGGGGGGGAGACTGTAGCGGTGCTTGAGAAGAAGCTCAAGGGCGAAGAAAGACCCACGGCGAGCGAGCGCTGGGAAAACCCGCTCGGTCGGACCACAAAAAAAAATGCGTCGCCGCGCCGGGTTTGGAAATATGGCGCTGCGGCGCGGCAATGAATTCATTGCGCTGCGCAGCCGGCTGCGCGGGCGATGCCGGGAGCGATGGGCGTGTGGCCGGCCGCAGAGTGGCTGCTCACGTGGCGTGTGTCGGGCGATCTCGGCGAGTCGGCCATGTTCGTCGCCCTCGACATCGCTGGTCGACAGATCATGTCCTGCGGGGGCCGCTTGCTTGCTCGGAGGATGTCCTGGTGGGACGCAGGGATCCTCGGCAGAGCATGCCGTCGCCCGAGGAGAGTCGGTCGGTGGCATGTCCGTTTCGGGACGCCGCTGCCGCTTCAGGAAACCCGCACGCGCTGGCCCTGGCCGTCGTCGCTGTCTTTGCCCTCCATCCAGCACGGAGCCAGCACCAGGCCAGCACCGACCCAGCCGCTGGCACCCAGAGGAGACCATGGCTGTCAGCAAGGCACCCTTCCAGGATGACATCGAGGCCGCTCTCAGTGCATCCATCATCGATGCCATAGGGCCGTCCTTTGCCGATAATGCAGCGACCGTCTCCCAAATCGCCCTCGATGCCATCCGCGCTCACCCGGCCTTCCAACACACCCTCGAGGCTTGGGCCGACAACCGTCCCGCCACCACAGGCTCGGCTTCCCGCGAAAACATCGTGGCCAAGAAGTTTGGTCTGAAGGATTCGCTCCTGAGCCTTCCAAGCTACAAGGATGCGGCTCTCTCTCTGGAGTGGAAGACTCTCGGCACCGAGGCCTTCGGTCGGGCCCAGTGGACCAAGGCTGTCAACTGCTATACCCAGGTATGCCGGCCTATTCTCGACGCTGTCAGGAACGCACGCACGACGGATGAGGCTGTGAACAGAGCCTCTGGCCTTGTATAGAATCGCCACTGACTCCATCACCATGCATCCGCACTACAGAGCATCCGATTTGCACCGCACGCCATCTCGGATGCCGAATCGCCGACCTCCGCGCACCAGTGCCTGGGATATGCCAATCGCAGTGCCGCCCTGTTCGAGCTTGGACTCTACTCAGAGTGCCTGCATGATATATCGATCGCCCTCGACCTGATGGCCTATGCCCATCCCTTCAAGCTGCTCCGTCGGCGGGCCGCCTGCTACCGCAAGCTTCAGGAAAAGGCAAATCTCCTTGGCAACCCCACCGACGTCCTGCAGCCGTCGGACGAGCTGATCAACGCCACGCTCATGTCTGCCCTCGAGAGCGCCCGTGATCTCAACAACGCCGATTGGGAGAAGAAGATCAAGAAGGACATTTCCGAGGCCGAGCGAGACCGCAAGACCAAGCTCGACAAGGGCCTGGACCGCATCAAATCAAAGAACCTCAAGACGGCCTCGACCGTCTTCTACGCCCTCGAAAAGGCGAGGCTCAAGAGCGTCGAGCCCGAGAAGCTGCACAGCCAGCTGGTCGCCATCGAGTACGAGCCCCCGCAGCGGAAAATCGTTGCCCAGACGGGTTTGAGCAAGGGCTCGCTGATCATCAAGGAGAAGCCGTATGCGTGGGTGCTGTCGAGTGAATGCAGTGGCGAACGATGCGAATGCTGCGGAAAGGCCCTCGGTCTCGCTCCTGTGATGTAAGTGCACCCACCGCAGAGGATGTAACTGCCCACTCGAGGAGCGGTGGTGTTGGAGGCGCTTGATGGAGGCGCTTGATGGAGGCAAGGCCATGCTGGTTTGGCGGGCATGATGCCATCGGCGCAGCGGACAGAATATGTGAAATTCATCCTGGACTCGAGGCAACACGCCACACACTGACATTCGGTGTGTCTTGATTCTACGCTTCTATCGGCCCTGGCGGCTGACGTTCTGGACGTGCCGCATCTCCAGCTGCAACCAGTGTTCGGAGAGTTGGTTTTGCTCCAGCGGCTGCCGCGACGAAGCCTGGATCAACTTCCACAGCGCCGAGTGCCAGCGAGCATTCATACGAGACCTCGACGAAGTCGCTGTCCTTGCTTTGCGACTCTATAACCGACTCCACAGCCCTGCGGAACAGCCCTCCATCACCAAACGGACGGTTGTCAACGAGCCCTACGACGAAGTCTCGACTCTATCTGCATCCAAGGGCAGCGCCAACGCCGCGGTTCCCATCCCTGGATGCGACGAGTCTGGCGCCTTTCTGGGACATAGCGACGAGGGGTTCCTCAGCCTGCTCGACCACCTGGCTGACAGGTCGCCAGAGTCGCTTGTTTCGCCTCTGATCCTCAGCGCGCTCCTGGTTGCATCGCTGGATCTCCCTTCAACCGATGTCGTCGAGTTCATGAGTATCTTTGGACGGATCCAAACCAACTCCTTCTTCGTCAAGGCCAATGCCTCCTTTGACGGCCAGCCCGGGATCCACAACGTCAACACCACCACCGACCGCCTCATCCGCATCGGTACTGGCATCTATCTCAACTCCAGTCTCGTCAATCACAGCTGCGAGCCCAACGCACTGGTGTCATTCCGAAACGGCGGTAACGAAATCATGATTCGTCTGGCATCGAACGTTGAGGAAGGAGACGAAATCACCATCAGCTATGTAAGCGTGCCTGTCTTGCGGATCCTCGACACTGAGTCGTGCCTTTGCCATCGGCGGTGCACTCTCGCTCCAGTTGAATCTGTTGTATGAGGTCGTGCCACCATGGCATTTCTGTGACTTCCCCCCCCCCACTGATGAGTCTCTGCCTATGCTGAACCAATATCCTGGTTCGGGGACTCCTTATCCAACACAGGGCCCGTTGGCGAGCCGATCCATGACGACCGATCGCCAGGACTTGACTACCGAGCGCTGGCTGTTCAAGTGCGACTGTCGTGCCTGCCACACCAAGTATGTACAATGTCCACCACCGTGATGTCTGTTGGCCCTTCTTGGCTGTTGACTCAAGCGCGCGACCATGTCTGACTCTCGGTCCTCTGTTCTAGCGATGATACCAAATCTCGGCTTATGGGCGGACTGGTTTGCGTCAGCTTTCCCAAGTGCACTGCGCCGGTGGTGCTGCGGGATGAGTTCTGTCCATCTTGTGGTGTGTCGCTGGCTGACAACGATCGGCATACAGTAAGTTACGGCGCACATCGCTCCTCACCTCGCAAGGCTTGTTACTTGCAAGTGTCCCTCAACATGCGTAGGATGCCTTGTCTGCCCGATAGGTACACGCACTTACCATCCGTACTCTCTTTCAGAAACTGGCTGTGCTACTTTCCCGCAGCCAAGAGCTTTTTGAGAAGGCTGAGGCCACCACAGACGACGACCAGGCCTTTGAAATCCTCATGAGGTGTCTTGGCTTGCGCAAATCCATCTGTCATCCAAGCAGCCATACTCTCGCACACACCTACGACGCCCTCACAGAGCGGCTGGCTCGACTGGGTAGGCGACTCGCGCGGCACACAGATGCTACTATCGATGGCAGCCGCCTCATCAGCCAACCAGGGATCTGGTCTGAATGACCCCACTCAAGTGTGTGCTGTGCCACCATACCCTTCTACTCACATTCAACTTTCGGTCTAGGCAACTTTGACGAAGCCTCCAAGTTTTGCCGCAAGGGCTTGACCATTCTCTGTCGCATTTTTGGGAACGACAGCGTTGAGGTCACGCGCGAATACTTTAAACTGTGCCAGCTTTTGTTTGCCAGGTATCATCGACATGCCGATGGTGCCGTCTCTGCCTGTCTATCTGTCTGTTGATTCTCCCACGAAGGTGCCATGACTGCTAACCCAGGTTCGTCCCTTCCCCACACCCACACTCATCTTCCAGTAAACACCCGGAGGCAGCCATCCAGGTGGTTGAAAGGACCATTCGTCTGTACGAAACCACTTTCGGCGAAGAAGGAGGAGGCGAGGAGCTGGAGGAACTCAGAACGATGAAGTCGTATCTGGAAGATGTGCTCGTCGACCAGGGCGCCGGCGATGAAGAGCTGGATCTCGAGACCCTCAAGGAGAAGGAGAAGCGCGATCGGCGTCAGAGCAACCGACAGAGCCGAGGCTTCAGTACCTTCTGAACGACAGTTGCCTGTGTTCGCTGCGGTTCCCGTATGGCCGCTGTGGCCGGAATACAAGTGCTGTCGAAGCAACGACAGCTCTCTCTATTGACCGACTCACCCTCGTCTTCGCCACCCGAGCTGACCGTCTCCTCTCCCCTCCCCCGCGGGGTAGTCGCATTGGGGTCGGAGAGTCGTGCTGGCGTCTCGAGTTTGCGAGCAGCGCCGGGTGTATTTTGTGGGTTGGTTCGTTGCCATATGCAGCGACGGTCTGGATGCTCAGACCGAGCAAGTAAGGGGCCTGCCTTGAAGTCCCTGCATCAAGTTGTCCAGGGCGAGGTTGGCCATGGCCTCTCGAGTCTCGAGGGCAGCACTTCCGATATGCGGCAGGACACAAACCCGGTCGAATTGGAGCAACTCGTGCTGGGGCGACAGCGGCTCGGGATCGGTGACGTCGAGCCCGACACCGCCTTGGAACTTACCCTCCTTGAGGGCGGCAACGAGATCATCCTGCTTGATGATGGAGCCTCGCGCAACGTTCAGCAGGATGGCATGGTCTCGCGTCGCCTGCATGAGCGGTAGATCGATGAGGTGTCTGGTCTCTGGCGTCAGGGCACAGGCCACAATCAAGATGTCGGAGGTGGCAAAGAGCTCGGGAAGGCTGGCGCAGTACTTGGCTCCGACGGCTTGGACTTGCTCGTGGCCATCTCGGTTCTGTCGGCCCCAGTATCGGAGAGGACCTGGATCCAGTTCAGTCCCGATTGTGATCGACGCCGCAGACAGAATGCAAGCAGTGTGAGCATATCGGCTGTGGGTGCGAGCCCGCCATCTGCCTATGATTTCTGGCGAAAGGGCGCTTGTGCTTGTAGCTCTCGAAACAGACCCGACACCCGATCGGGGCTGCCCGTATGCAAATGAACTCGATCGACTCGGCCTCTCTCGCCAGCCACTGAGTGCCCCCTCCTCCCTCTTGAGTCGGCATGTGGATCCATGTCAGTACCGGCCCTCGTTGCACGCTGAGGAGGATCTTACCCATCTTGAAGGCCTTGAGTCGGAGGGCAATCTCGATGCCGATGCGGCCAAGCCCGACAATCCCAACTGACTTGTTCTGCAGCTGAGTGCCGCACATCCAAGTCGGCGTCCACTTGCCCCAAGTCCCCTCGTGGACGGCTCGGAGAGCCTCAGGGAACCGACGAGCCGTTGCGATGAGAAGCCCAACGGCGAGGTCTGCGGTGGCGTCCGTCAAGACGTCTGGCGTGTTGCCGATCTTGATGTTTCGGGCCTTGCATTCGGCCACATCGATGTGGTCGTAGCCAACTACAAATACGAGACAGAGAAGGCGAGGCGATCAGCTCCGAATCCGAGCGGCGATCAAGAGAGCGGAATATCGACATGGGAGTAGCACGCTGCGGTACCCGATACTGTCGAGACGACTTTGAGTGTTGGACCTGGCGGGGAACAGAACGGAGCAGAATAGAATAGACAGCAGGACATGGTCAGCAGCCGCATCGATCGGGCTCGGGTCAAGTGGCTCGCCCGCGACATCGCCAATGTTGCTCACCGGCACGATCCAGAAGCTCGCGGTCGATCTTCTCGGCCAGCAGAGAGAGCACTCCGTCAACCGACTCGCAGGCGTCGAGCATGGCCGCTCTGGAAGTGTCCCGGGGCCGAACGATTTCGATTCTGGCGAAAGAGTTGCGACAGTCGTCAGTGAGCATGCCGATGGAGGGCGAGCTTGAGGGACAGAGCCGCACCGGAAACCAGCGTTGGGGCCGTTGCGGGTGAGGTAGCATCAATGCCGCTGATGGACGGCACGAGGCGCTTACTCCTGGATGCCCTCGAGACGGGCTTGGGCAGCCGGAGGCAGGTTGCGGACCTGGAGGACGCGGAATGCTCTTGCAGTGCTCATGTCGTTCCGAGCAGTTGTCGAGAACGAGAGGCGAGCAGGGGGAAAGCAAGATCGGAGCCAAGATGCTGCTGGTGGGTCGCAACGCGCAAGCGACCGGCAAAGCGAGCGATGAGTTGTCCGGCCGATGCCGATCCGGGAGATCGATGCTGTTGCTGTTGGGGCAAACCGGTGCATCGTCGTTCTCGATCTCTGTGGAATCGCCGTTCGCTTGCTGTCGTCGGCACTGTGCCGGAACGTGAGAGTGGGCAGGAGCGAGAAAGCGGGGAGCAGCAACGATGGAACAACCTCCTGGTTCGGCGGAGAGCCTGGCAGAGAGCTCGACCCCAAAAACGACACCACGCCACATGTCTCCGTTCATGTCTCATGTTCATGTCTCCGCTCATGGCCCATGTTCATGGCTCCGTTCATGATCGCTCTTGCATCGCATCGGGTATGCAGTGTCTATTTCTACGCCCGGAGGTCGTCGCATCGGCGCACTCTCACTCGCGCTCGAGGTCCTCTCTCAGCATTGCCATGATCGCAAACTCATCATCCTCATCCATAGCGCTGTCCTGGTCGTTTGCATCAGCTCCCTGGGTGCCTGCCGTCTTCTTGCCTTTCTGGCCACGCCCCTTGGCTCTGCCTTTGCCCTCTCCCTCCGGCTCGTCTGCCATCGTGGTAGCCGCGGCGTCGGCCTCGTCGTCGTGGCCTTGGATTTTGCGGTCCAGCTTGAGCTTGGCCTGGGCACACTTGAGGATGCCTTCTTCGATCGACTCCTCAACCACAAACTTGATCACACGGACCTCGCGAGTTTGGCCGACGCGGTGAGCTCTGTCCTCAGCCTGGGCGTCGTTGTGGGGATTAAAGTCCTGCGTGCGCCAGTGGATGCGTCAGTATGGCGGTATCACAAGGGTATAAGTGTTTAGCATCCATCCGAGCAGCGGCATGTCCAAGCGCATAGATCGCCGAGCCGTCTCTGCAGGCGGCGATATGACCACGACCAGGCCGTCCGAATACACCGTTCTCCTGTTGCCATTGCTCGCCACACACCCCCGGTGCTGCATTTCCTACCAAATCGTGCAGAATCACCACATTTGCGCTTGTCAGGTTGATGCCAAAGCCCCCGGCCTTTGTCGAGAGGAGCATCACAGGAATGTCATCGTTGTCGTTGAACTCGTCAATGATATCCTGTCGATCGTTGACTGCAGTTGATCCATCCATGCGTCGGTAGCTGATCCCTAGGGTCTGCATCACCGCCTCCAGAATGTCGAGCATCATGATGAACTGGCTGAATATCAGAATGCGGTCGCCCTGACGAGGCAAGTCCAGCACGGGCAGTGTCAGCGTCGGTGTCAACACGTCGGGCCCAAGTGTGTCGATCACAGCCTCGCATGCGTCGACCATGGAGTCCAACAGAGGGGTATTCTGGAGACTGTTGCGGCGCCGCTTGCCGCCATTGGTTTTGTACAAGGCGATCCTCCTGTGCCCACTTACGGCTGCGATCATCGACGGAAGCATTTTCTGCAATACTTCGATCTTGCCCGATGACATCCATTCCTCTGATTGCAGTCTGCGGTGGAAGATGGTCTGCCGGCGATCCAAATGAGTCCGGGTTGATTGTCAGTCACCTGGTCTGCGCTGGGCATTGGCGAGAATGGGGATTGATGCCGTGGAGGGTCCGCATTCACATTCGCTACAGGTGGCTACATGACACAATCCGTGTGGATTCACCCCTTCCATCCTGAGCCGATTCTATCAGCAGCCCACCATAGCTAGACACTATCGCCGGCCGACTGCGACAACAATGGCAGCTCCGTGCACGTCGTCAGGATGATCTCTCTGCATCCCATGTCCGTTCGCAACTTACCGGAAACTTGAGGCACAGTTGGTGAAGCTCATAGTCACTCATCACCTGCATATCCTCATATATAGTCGCGGTTTGCATCAAAGTACTGCTCCTCCTTCATGATCTCGCGCGACATCTTTGCCAAGATTTCGTTTGTGTAGAGCCGCCGATGAAGGAGCGGGTGGTTGGCGGCCTTGCGCAGCTCCATAAACAAGTTCTGGAGCTGCTTGCGTTGGTTGGCTTGGGATGTGTTGGTGCCTTTGGCAGCTTTGCCGTTGGTATCCTTTTGTGACAGACTGATGTTTTCGCGGTAGGTCTTGCGGGATTCGACCATGATGGATTTGATCAATGCCCGCTGACGCTCGGTGGCTTTGCAGTGTTCGATGATTTGGATCTTTTTGGGCAGATCTCGAAGGACCTGGTCCAGATGCGAGGTTGTGCAGCCATCGTTCTGTCAGCGACATGTGCATTCCAGATAGCTGAGAGCAAGAGGAAGAGCAAGAGCAAGAGCAAGAGCAAGAGCAAGAGCAAGAGCAAGAGCAAGAGCAAGAGCAAGAGCAAGAGCAAGAGCAAGAGCAAGAGCAAGAGCAAGAGCAAGAGCAAGAGCAAGAGCAAGAGCAAGAGCAAGAGCAAGAGCAAGAGCAAGAGCAAGAGCAAGAGCAAGAGCAAGAGCAAGAGCAAGAGCAAGAGCAAGAGCAAGAGCAAGAGCAAGAGCAAGAGCAAGAGCAAGAGCAAGAGCAAGAGCAAGAGCAAGAGCAAGAGCAAGAGCAAGAGCAAGAGCAAGAGCAAGAGCAAGAGCAAGAGCAAGAGCAAGAGCAAGAGCAAGAGCAAGAGCAAGAGCAAGAGCAAGAGCAAGAGCTCAGTCCCCTGGCACATATTCACCTGATCCTTCTTTCTCCGCAAGACAAACGGAGACATGATCTTCTGGGCACGTTCGATCCTCTGGTGGCTCAGAAAGCTGACATTGTTGTGGTCGGTGATGTTGAAGAGCTTTTTGATGGTGGAGCCCTCCGTGACCCAATCCGAGAATAGCGCGGGCATCACAAACGTCAGCAGCGACTGTGCGAATCGGTAGTGGCAGTTGGGTTAGAACGAGCGAGCTTTTGGAGCCGCATTCCCAACCAACGATGCCGCCAAGCCTCTGTATGCCATTATGGGTGGGCTCCTGGGCAGATGCCTACCAGTAGTTCCTTCAGATTGTTTTGCAGAGGAGTGCCTAAGACGGACTTGGGTTAGATCTTACTGGTCTCGCGCTTTGATTTGGCCGCACGCAGGGACACCAAGCCGCGGTTACCAGTTAGCAACATGCGGAATGGGATCTAAAACCGAGCGAGGAATTGGTTAACGTCGGTTGGTGCGTCATCCGTTTTGCGTTCCAGCCCAGCGAGGCAAAAGAAATCGCAAGGCGACCCGCCGCCACTGCACTGTATACCTTGTAACTCATTAGGTGTCTTGTTCGACTCGAATCCATGTTCTTGACCATGTCTGTAGAGAAGCCGAGATGTCAGCTGTATTGTGGCCTCTGCTCACCCCCCTGGAGATGCACGCTTGCCAATGACAGCACTATGGACGGCAGTTGCAATCGATACGGACGTCCTTCATCGAGAATCAAAGACCGAAACTTCATACGCTTGAGGAATCCTCTATCCTCTTTGTTGCCCGTTGCCAGGTTGTATCTGTTTGAGGGAGCAGTCGAGTCGGCAATGGTCACAAATGAGCGATCCGGCATAGACGTCTGGTGCCTTGCCCTCAGGCTGCCCTAACTCGGTGCCGACAGTTCAGCCCTGAGCACGAGGCGCTTGGCAGCAATACCTCGCGCGCTCGAGCAATGGGCGTGGCTGTCGTCGCGAGAGTGGCAGAAACGCCGCCCGGACGAGGTCACAGTTCTGTCACATTCCAAACACGCCGTCGTGCTCGTTCCGACCCCACCAGACACCCTGTAGCTCATACGTTGTCACAAGGACTTGATATTCCCCGCGGGTCTCCAGTAGCGACTCTTGGAGCTCGAACCGCTCTGCCTGGGAGCCATAATACGACTGCACAACAAGCGAAGGGCACCACTTTTTGAACTCCCTGAGCCAGTTGTCTGTGGAGGATTTGCAAGTCAGCTTGTGCAGCCGCACGTTCCCCGATGTCGCCGCATGCCCTTCGATGCCGACACACGCTCCTCAATGTCGCCGCACAGCTTGGTCCTTACCTTTTGTGGACGAGGGGACCACAACTAGATGCGGTCCCTCGTGGCCTTGTTCATAGAGCAGCCCGAGGAAGGAAATAATTTGGGCGGTCTTACCAAGACCCATCTGCGCCGATACCATGCAAGTTAGGCTCCCCGTCGTGCCGTTGTTATGCTGGATATGCTGCAGCTGTCGCCAGCAATGGCGTCCTAATGCCATACCTCGTCTGCGAGGATCCCGCCGTAGCCTTTCCTATAAAGCAAATTAAGCCAGCTGATGCCGACGAGCTGATACGGCTTCAAGGCAAGCGCTTTGTTGACGATCTTGGGCTGCACCGTGATGGACTCTGCTCCGCCGTGCGACGATGAGACCTTCTGGAAGGCGCGCGGGTCAAGCGATGGGTTGTACTCGTCGCTCGCCCCCGACCCATTCATGTCTGTGAGGACGCCTTTGAGTTGGCGCCCGATCTTTTCGCACTTTTCGATCAGCTGGTCGACGTGGAAGTAGCTCTCCATGACCTCCTCGTATTTTTTCAGGATTGTCGAGAGTCCCTTCCGCTTGCTCGTCTGTGAAATCACCTCCTCCAGATGTTCATAGTTGCGGTAAGGCCGGGAGTCGACGATGAGCTTGCCCTGCTCCTGGGTGCAGGATGTCACATCCATGAGCTGTTGCAACTCTGCCGTGTTGAAAAAGTAAACGACCTGGCGATGCTGCTGGTTGACAGCCGTATCCTCGTCTTCATAATCATCGGCCATGCCGTTTGAGGCGTCCCAATCGTCCTCGTCGTCGCTGGATATGGCGATCGGCTTCCGTCGCTCTTCTGTGTGGCGAACTGGGCGCGAAGTGTAGTTGACGACCTGGATCTCGTCGGTTTCCTCGGCCAAGGCTTTCGCAGACTGAGTCGTGTCGGGGCGAGGCTTGACTCGGTATTCAACAAGCTCAATGTCGTCCTCGACTTCCGTACTGCTCTCGTGATAAGTGGTTTGTTTCTGGACGAGCCGCCGCCGTCGTGTGCCGTTGCTTTCATCCACGTGGGCTTTCATGGGGGGTTTCTGCTCATGTTTCTCCAATGTGCGGATGAGTTTGCCTGTCGGTCGTGTTTCGGTGATAAGATCCTCGAGTCCCGCACTGATCTTGGGCTTCTTGGTCATGGACCGACTCGGAGGTTCGTGAGATTCAGTGGATATACTGCTATGGCGTCGGCCGGCGGTCGTGATGTCGGACTTGGGGTCCGGTTTGCTCACAGCTGAATCGACGGAGGTGAGCGACATGTCATCGATATCGGACGAGGATTCTTCCTCGTCCGAGGTCGAGATCGTCCGTTTGCTGGTTGGCTTCTTGACAATCCGGCTGACCCACGTCGTTGCTGGCTTCGGCGGAGCCGGCTTTGTAGATCCCACGGACTTGTTGAGCCATCCTGAGAAGGCAGTTTGTGGCTGGCCAGTTCCTGATTTCAGTGGCTGGTACTTGGATATAGGCGGGGGCGACGAGGCCGGCGACGATGTAGGCGAGAACTCGCCCTTGGGCCGAAAGGCGAAGGCGCCGAACTGCTGGGCGATGCTCTCGCTGACAGGGATGGGCTTGATGTGGCTGTTGCGATTGCTGCTGACGCCGGGCTTGGACTGGGCTGTGTGATTCTGGGAAAAAGACTCGGATTTGGATCGAGGCGTCGGAAGGGCGAGAGAGTGCCTTGTGAGCGATGTGGATACGCCTGCTGATCCGAATGAGGCCGACTTGCTCTTGAGAGGCGAGGGCGGCAGGTTTATTGCGAACGAATCCTGCGAGGACGCCGAGCCAGAGGACGACAAGGCTGGGCGGACGGGCTGATCCACGGGCGAGGAGGAGATATCGAATGGGCGAATATACGACTTGGAGGCCGCTTGCGCGGGAGGCGACTCCATCACCAGGATTCTCGTGGCCGGGGACTGGGACTTTTTGGGGGTCTCGGGGACAAAGGTGCTGCATTCCAGATCAAGCTCCGGGTCATGGTCCAGATCGCGATGGTCGGCAACGGGCGAGAGCAGGACCGACGACGACGACGACGAAATGGACGACGACGAGAAGGACTTTTTGAGCGATGCGGGGTTGTATTTTGGGCCCGAATACTTGAAATGGTCGAGCGAGGAGGCCATTGCGAGGGAAGGGAATGAGCAGAGCCGAGATGCCTCCGAGACAGGGCCAGAGGAGATCTGCGGAGCAGGGCCAGGGGAGACCCGCGGGGGCAGGATCAGATGCAGGGCTGAGAGTACGGACCGCCGCCGCCGGACCTCTCAGGGCGAGGGACGACTTGGCTGACTTTTTTTTTTTCCTGATCGGCCCTGACGGGACTGGACAAAACCAGGGCTCATTTGGGCCAAAAAAGGCCCGAGTGGCGGCCGAGACGCCGGCGAGGCGGGAGACACAGCGACTGTGGCGCCATAAGCTGCGCGCAGCACGGCGAGGCACACAGAGAGCATCCCAAGAGCGTCCCGAGAGCATTCCGAGAGCGCAGCGAGAGGGTTGGGGCGTCGCGACCAGTCCAGGCATTGGCCCAGGACAAACCGATCACCAACGGCAGCAGCAGCAGCAGCAGCAGCAGCAGCGGCTCCAAGCATCGCCGTCTCTGCAAAGCAGCTCTGCAGAGCATCATCGGGCGCTTTGCTGACCCAGCTGGCCAAGCTGACCGCCTATCCTCCCATCTTGTCGAGAGCAGCAATGCAGTCCACGCCCAGCCCTGCCACATCCGTCGCAGTCTATTGCCAGTGCGGCCACCGAGGTGCGTTGCAGCATGACCAAGATGTCGCTCGGCTATCCCAAATGCGTTACGGCTGCCATAAGCATTGATGTCGGCGCAGTGCGCACCAGCGCCGTGCAGTCGCCAGTATCGTCCAACCAACCAACCAACCAACCAACACACCCACAAACCTCCACAGCGATTCGCAGCATCTGCCAGTCCAATGCGCGGGGCAACGCCGGACGGGCCTATCTGATATGTCCCGGCATCGGCGGAAAGAAATGCCGGTTCTTTGCCTGGGATGATGCTGCTCCGTCTTCCAACTTCCGACCAAAGGTCGCCCCTGGGCAGCCCAGATCGGCACACATACCAGCGGCGCCAACGACGGCAAAGGACCAAGTCGGTCGGCAGCACTCTGGTGCGGCACCATTGTCGTCATTCTTCAATAACACACCATCAAAACAAGGCTCCACAGCAGCTCTGCAGCTTGGTTCCAACCCGCAACAGCAGCAGCAGCAACAACCACAGCAGCTGCAGCAGAAGATCGAGGTCCGGTTCTACTATCATTCGTCAACCCACTTTGCTGCAAAGTTCAAGATCTTTGATCCGATTGTGGATGTCTTCCGCACCATACCCATGGCGTATTGGAGCCCGCTGGACTTTGCATGGCTCTATCCTGCTTCGAGCCACGCCCAATTGTGCCAGCAACTGAAAGCGCTGGAGCAATCCGGCGTCCTCACTCTGAGCGACATCCCACCTTTTGTCACCAAATCGATGAACATGGCGCCGCCGCCTGGCTCGATATCGCTGGAGGATGCCGCCTATCTGGTCGAGTCCGTACTGCCAGCGTCCCTCTGGCAGCGACTGATGCCGTTCCAGAGACAGGGTGTCATCAAGGCCGTTTCCAAGGGCGGGCGGATCTTGCTCGGAGACGAGATGGTGAGCACAGCACTGCGGAGCTATTCTGGCATGGCTGGATTGACACCGAGTCGATCGCTATCAGTCGAATTCTCACATAGCGACGCCTTTGTTTGCACCGACCGATCTGCAATCGTGGAATCTGGATGACAGGGTCTTGGTAAGTCTTTGTGCCCGACATCCGCCACGGTTGTGCAGATGATCTGTCTGCACATGTAAACGCAGGCTGGTTGTTCCGGTGGTGGATTGCAGCATCTTGCGTTTGTAGGCCCATTATTCTCGCAGGACACAGTGCCTCCAGCCATATTCATGGCGGCCCCGACTGAGCTCCGGTCTCCTCCCTCCAGGAAAAACCATCCAGGCCATCAGTATCTGCTCGTACTATCGCAGCGAGTGGCCAGTTCTCATCATCTGCCCGAGCTCTCTGCGCCACACATGGTCGGCTGAAATCACCAAGTGGCTCTCGGTCCCGCATGACGACATCCAGGTTGTTCTTGGCTCCAAGGCTGGCATTCAGGACGACGCCAAATTCGTTGTGATTTCATACGATCTCGTGCCAAAGCATGGAGCCGCCCTGCGCGATAAGCGGTTCCAAGTCGTCGTGGCGGACGAATCGCACTACCTCAAGAGCCGCGAGGTCAGCTTTGAGGATGTGGTATTGGTAGTCGGGGCGCGCGGCGAGGCAGATGATGGCTGTTGCGCTCATTCAGCCACTCGTATTGTGTTTCGGCTTGAGCGATGCTGCTGGCCTGACGTTCCACTCTATAAATCTCCAGGCACAACGAACAAAGGCAATCCTTCCTCTGATCAAGCAGGCCAAGCGGGGAATCCTCCTGTCAGGTGTGGCTATGTCCCTGTGTGGATGCCGTGGTGGCTCGGAACCTGTGTTTAACCCATCCTCATCCCTCGTCTCTAGGGACGCCGGCTCTCAGTCGCCCGATAGAGCTCTACACCCAGCTCAGCGCCCTTATCAAAGAGTCCTTGGGCAGCTATATTCAGTTCGGCAACCGCTACTGCAACGGAAAGCAGGTACTTGATACTTGGGGGCGGAAGCACCTGTGCCAACGCGAGTGATGCGGCAACAAAGCTCGTTATAGCATTAAGCCTCACGGTTTTGTGCCAGAATATGCTCCGTGACACTGTTGCTGACACAACTCTCCACCGAACACTCAAGAACCGATTCGGCTGGGATTTTTCAGGTTCGATGAGAAGCCGCAACACTGGAGCGGATGGGCATTGCTGAGGACATGGCTGTGATATGGATGCTCCCCTGTGCTCTGGATACTCCCCTGTGCTATGGATGCTATGGATGCTATGGATGCTCTGCTACCCACTAAATCGCCCTCTCGGAAACAGGAAGCTCGAATCTGAATGAACTCAACCTCCTCCTCGAAAGGACTGTGCTCATCCGCCGTCTCAAAAACGACGTGATGAAGGAGCTGCCGACCAAGACACGCCAGTGCATTTTGGTTGACGTCAACCAGCAGTCCAAGAAAACCTTGCGAAAGCTGCAGGACGAATGCGGCCAGCTCCAGAGCCAGACCGACATGGCTGCAACAGGCAGCAAGAAAAAATGGATAGATCAGAAACGATCAACCTTTCTGCAACTTGTGAGTCCTATCGCCCTCATGCGCCCTTGGCGCTCGCACAGACAGCTTGGTTGCGCGACCAGGCGTCGACTCACCCTTGCCCGCTGGCTGCCAACAGTATGCCCAGACAGGCATATCCAAGCTCCCAGCTGTCTCCGAGTACATCCAGGAGCTGTACGAGAATACTTCCAAGAAATTCTTGGTGTTTGGACATCACCGACCAGTGCTCGACTCGATCGCTGAGCTTCTCGATCGACTGCAGGTGGGTGCGGCCGCACGGCGGACCTACAGGCCGTCGTGTATGCTCGGCATGATGAATGCCAGTCCAAGTCATAACACACACTGGATGCGCACCGTTTCGATTTTCCGCGCCAGGCAAACTATATCCGTATCGACGGACAGACACCGCAAGGGAGGCGACAGAAGCTCTGCGACGAATTCCAACAAGATGCCAACTGCCGGGTGGGGCTTTTGGGAATCACGGCGGCAGGTGTCGGGTGAGTGTTCGGTCGTCAACTCACAGATCCTGCAACCGAATGCCGAAGCTAACGACGGAGCATCTGGACATGCAATTCAACTGCCAGTCTGACGCTCCATGCGGCCGACCTCGGTGAGTAGATTGTATCGGTGCTATCGCGAGCACAGCAATGCCGCAAGACCTCCTCATCCTCACCATTGCTGTTCGGATTACTCAGTGGTGTTTGCCGAGCTCTGCTGGAACCCTGCCCAGCTGCTCCAGGGTGAAGATAGAGCCCATCGTATTGGCCGAGCAGGATGCGTCGATGTCAAGTATATCATCGGAAAGGGGACGCTTGGTGAGTCAGACGGACCCTGAGAGCCATGTCTCTGGAACTGTCGGCGAGGTTGCTGACGGTCGATTCGGGAACATGCAGACGACATCCAGTGGCCAATGATCGAAAAGAAACTCGACGTTGTCAGCCGAGGACTGGACGGCATCAAGGGCAAAAACATGGATGCGATGACTACAACCGGCAAGACCAAGCGTCCACTCTCGGACAGCCAAGATGACCTGACGGGCGCTGATGCAACTGCCGCCATTGACGATATCGACGACGTTGACGATATCGACGACGATGCAATCGAGGAGATTCTAACGCACTCGCAACCAAAAGCGCCGCCGGCAACTCTCAAGCGAGAACAATCGGTCGACTGGGTGGCGGATTTCTCCCTGAAGAAGAAACCCAAGCTGATGCAAGCTCGCTTTGGCTCCGATCTGACTGTGGCGCTGAGAGCGAGCAGGCCGGACGGGTTGGCAGCGCCGCGAGCTGCTGTCGGTGCATCCGACTCGGCAAATACCCCCGATACTCCATCTTCTGGCGCTAGAGCGGTGGTCGAACCGAGATCGGACGAGGCGCTGACAAAGAGCCACGAGGCTCAGACTCGGGATGGTCAAGGGAGCCAGGGTGCTCCTCTTGGAGTGCCTTCGCTTGCTGGCTTGCGGGTGGCATCGAGTCTGCATGAAGAGGCTCCCGGCACCACAGGCGGCTCCAGCCAACCCGCAGATGCCAGTGGATATGACTGGCTCATCGACGACGACTCCATCGACGACGATGCCCTGAACCGCGCAATGGACGATGTCGAGCTGTTCCTGAGCCAGGGCAACGAACGAACACGACATGGCCACGATTGAGCCAGACTGGGGAGAAAGCGCGAGAGAACGAGAGCGAGCGAGAGCGAGAGGGAGAGCGAGAGCGAGACGTTGTCATTGATCCCAGCCGACCGCGAGGCCGGTGCTGCGATTCGCTCTCTGGCGGAATCGCATCTCGTTGCCCGACGTATTCATCTCTCCGCTGAGGAGACAACCACGGACACAGCATGGACAGGAGAGCCACGAAAATCCGTATGGATCGTCCCGCACTCATCCCTGCATCTGAAGCAAGCCGGCCCAGAAGGACGACACCTCCCTCGCGTTGCTCGTCCTTCCGCTGATGCCGCTATCGCCAAGCCGGCAGCATCAAAAGCCATCACGGGACGGATGGAAAGAAAGGCGGATAACTCACACGCAGCTAACACACTGCCCCACTCTATCCAACTCGACTCGCGGTCGTCGGGATGCGCTTGTTGTCCCCAGACGAGTTTGTGGCTCACACAGGAAATGTCAACTGTCTCCGTATCGGCCCGAAATCCGGGCGAGTCATGGTTACTGGAGGCGAAGACAAACGAGTCAATCTCTGGGCGATCGGCAAAACCAACCCTGTGATGGTAGGACGGCAAAGCTGTGAGCACTATTCGCCATCCCGATGGCTTTTTTTGTCAAGCACAACGAGTCCCTCCATCGGACCGGGGAGGGCATGGTTGATCCGAGCAATGACCTCGCTGACACGATCGGGATGCACTCACCCTGTGTGCCTCGATTATTCCTACCCTGCGCACTCGTCCCAACTCAACCGATACCCGGCATGCTGCCATGCGCTACTCGATGCTCGCCAGAGCCTGTCGGGACATGCAACCTCTGTCACTTGCGCCACGCTGGACTGGCTTGAGGAGTTTGTCGCTGCCGGATCAGCAAGCGGTGTGCTCAAGCTCTGGGACTTGACCCACAGCAAAGGTATGGAGAGAGCGCTCTTTGGGAACCGCTTCTTTTGAGATGTGGATTCCGGCCTGTCTCGCCGGGGCCAGCCTGCTGACTTGAATGCAACTCACCGCTCCCCCAGTGATCCGGACGTTGACAGGCCACAAGAGCATGACAACGACTGTGGAGTTCCATCCGTTTGGAGAATTCTTTGCCTCGGGCTCGGCCGATCGGACGATCAGGGTCTGGGACGTGCGGCGCAAAAGCTGCATCCAGACCTATGCCGATCACTCCGATGACATCACATCGCTCAAGATCAGCCCAGACGGGCGATGGATAGCCTCCGGCGGCGTCGATTCTACAACCAAAGTAGGGCAGCTTTGGTGCATCTGGCACCACAGTAGCTTTGCACTATCGGCTTGAATCTCATTTCTTGCGCGCAAGGGACGAGGCCGTGAGGCCGCGAGATCGATGCTGATCGAGCGATTGACACGTTCCATGGGGTCGATCGGGCATGCTTCTGATCATGGGCTTCCTTACAGATCTGGGATATGACCGCGGGCAAGCTTTTGCATACATTCAGCGACCACACCCTGCCAATCACTTCGCTCGCGTTCCATCCGCACGAGTTTGTGCTGGCGTCGGCGAGCGAGGACGGCACGATTCGATTCTACGATCTGGAAACCTTTGATGTTGTGTCGTCGACATCCAACAACCAGGGATCGCATCCACTGCTGATCGATTTCCATCCGGACGGCAAGTGTATCCTTGCGGGACACGAGTCGTCACTTGAGGTACGGTGCGATGGCAAATGTGTCTGCAATGGCACCCACACCAGGGACTTTGCAGATATATCACAGACTTGGAGCCGCAAAGTCAGCTTGGTGCTGACCATCAATACTCCAAACACACTCAAAGGTCTGGACATGGGAGCCGGCAGAGTGTCTCGACACCGTGTATGTCAACTGGTCCAACGTGACAGACATCAAGGTCCTGGCGGACGAGTCCAAGCTCATCGGCAGCAGTCTGGACCACACCTTTGTCTCCATGTGGGGAATGAACACCAAGGCAAGTGCTGCATCATGGGATGCAGTTTTTGGCGCACATGGGTGCTTTCGGCCATGGACACCCAATAGTGCTTTGACCAGGATCTCCTATGCAAGTCAACTCTGGGGCAAGCTGCTGGCCCAGCTTCTGATGTGGATTCCTTTATCGCACCCAAATCGCAGACCCTCAACCTGAGTGTGCCAACACCAAACCTTGCTCCAAATCTCCCAGCACCATCTCATCATGGCGATGCAATCGCTTCCAAGGAGTGGCCTGGCTCTGTGCCGGCCGAGTCTGGTAGAGTATCGCTCTGCACTTTGGCACATGTCGTCCCTGGACAAGCCTGCTCACCTCCAATTCGACTCTACCCCGCGAGATTATCGTTTTCATTTGTGGTGCTGACGTGCAACCGCGCACCGTGACTAACATTTGCCGTAAACTGCTGTCATTTGGGCCACGGGAATCTTGCTTGTCATCTGGGACCCACAGCCGATAATTCTTGGAGTAAGTCTGTGGTGTCGTATCTGCGAGGAGCTCAGTGCTGGGATGCTCTGCTGTAATTCCCTCAGGCGTAACGTTTTACTGATCGGTCTGCCCTGCATTCGGTCTGTCACTGGCGTTTCTCTCGCCCAGAATCTCCAAGTGTGCAGGATCACGCTCAACGAGCCAGCAGTGGGAGCCGAACACCGACGCCAGGCAGATACGCTGACAGGGCAGCGCCATTCCCACAGCCGTCGCGAGAGCACACTCCAACTCCGCCTCAGCGCTCTGTGCCAGTCGGGCTTGCCGAGCAACGACCAGGTCTCATCGATCAATCTTCCCCGTTCGGTCCGGCTACATATGGACCCCAGTACTCCCAACCAGCGGCGACGATGTACCCGCAGCCAACGCCGCCTCAGTCATCCGCGTTCTCAATCGCAGATCAGCAGAGGCAGCAGCTGGGCTATCCGCATCTCGAGTCACAGCCGGTCTACGATGCTCGACAGTACGAGTCTGCTCCGAGCCGATCCATGCCCGGACAGTCAGGTACCTCCAAGCACGCACGGACAGTGGTTTGGTGCAGCCCTCTGACTAGAGAGTGGGGGCGACAAGACGCTTGCGCTCGGGCCGTTGATCTTGCTGCTGACGTGGCTTCGTTTTCAACAGCCGAGACCCGTGCTCCTGGACGCACACTTATCTCCGCCGGCACGGGCGAGAAGCCGCTGAATCTGGACGTTGCGCGATTTGTGCAGGTGAGGATGACCAGCCGTGGGAAGATGTACTTCACCACCACTATGCTCGATGCATCGGGCTGTTGTGCCGCCGCGTTGTGGTGGTGCATGCTGCTCTCCAGCGAAACACCCAGTTGCCCACCCCCTCACAGTCGCTGACCTCCATCTGTCTCTGGACATGGGTCTCCACTCCCTCCGCAGCCCCGCAGCTCGTCACCAAGACCCAACCTTCAGTCCGACGCGCTTCAGTTCCCTGAGCCCCAGAACGAATTTGATGTCATTGACATCCTGTCGTTCCGCAACACGAGCATGATGACCCTGCTTTCCAACCGGCTCGACACTCTGCGCATGGTCCGGCAGCAGTGGGATGAGCAGAATATCAAGAAGGCCATTGCCACCGTGGTGTCTTTGAGAGACCCTGCTGTGCTCGTAGATATCCTCCGGATCGTCAATCTCAAGCCCAAGCTGCTGACGCTGGAGATATGCTCGCTTCTCCTCCCATCGCTCAACGATCTCTGTTGCGACATTTACGAAGAGTGAGTTCGGCTCCGGTCGTGCGCGGCAACCTGAGTGCTGTCTGTTTGCTTGCACGAGCATATCTGATCCTTACTGCTGGCACAAACCTATCCCCCCCCTTCCAGCTACATCACGGTGGCATGCACAACTATCCGGTCGCTGTGCCGGATATTCTCGAACATCATCCTGACGACCCTCGACTCGGAGCGGCTGAACGGCGGCGTTGTGGATATTTCGCATGAGGAAAGGTACCGATGCGAGCAGCGCTGGCTGACGGCCGGGGCGACCACGGAATAGCCACGTAATAGCCACGTAATAGCCACGGTTTCTGACGGTAATCTCGTTGGTTTCTCTTGCCCACTCTTAGGCTGAAGCGGTGTCAGATCTCGTACGATGAGTTTCGGAAAGCCGTCGACAACCTCGATCCGCTCAAGAGGACGGCTGGACACGTCGGGGTGCTGGTGCGCGATACGTTGAAGGATCTGCAGATGTTCATCTGAGCGACGACAGCGCTTTGGGCCTTGGACTGGCTGCACGGGCGGGCGCTTGTACTATCCGTATCAGAAGTGACTCAAAAGGACTGTATTGGGCAGCTTGCCACTGTGCAGGGATCAGGGAGCGCAGAGTTGCCTGGGCGAGCCGCGGCAGGCTCGTGTCTGTCGTTCGGGATGGCAGGTGGCTTTGGATGGATATGCCGCAGCCGCCCGAGCTGCACCATCGCTCTATCGGCACAGGCACAGGCACAGGCGCTTGCGTCATGCATCCGGGCCAGTCTACAAAGCAGTGCCTCTTTCGAAGTTGCCCTTGATCTCGGCGGTGTACTTGTCGTAGGCCCGCGAGATCTTCTCGTTGAACCGCTTGTTGCGCTCGTTGATGTAGGTGACATCGTCGTCCTCATCAAACGCCCGTCTTCGTGAGAACTTGGCACGCTTTTCCTCCCTGTTCGACGGAGGCATGGTTGGTCAGACGAACAGATGGCGCTATCTCCGATCCGCGCAGCGACAGAAGGCAGCAAGCGGTCTGGGCGATCGGTACTTGAAGTCCGAGCCACACACAAATGCATCACCGCACGGGGCTGCTCCTCTCCCGTGTGTCCACCATATCGATGCTTACTGCTTCTTGACATCGCGAACGAGGCGGTCGACAGCCTCGGGTGTTGGCTTGGAATCGGCCGAGGCATATGCCAGAGAGTTAGCATCTCTGAAGAAGCCGTCTTCTCCGTCCTCCGCCGCTTGGGAGGACGATGCCTTCTTCTCGTTGTAGAGCTGGAGATTGGGCTTGAGCTCAGAGATCATTTTGTTGTACTTTTTCGCCGCGATCTGGTGATAGTCTGGATGCGGAGCGCGAGACGGCGACATAGTGTTATGGCCAGCGACCGGTCGCAGAGCGCTGCACAGATAAGCACATCGATCGGGTTGACCAAATCAACTGTCCGTATCGGCTGCCCGACTTGCCTGTGAATCCAACATCGACTCTCTCATCCTTGAGCCTCTGCTTCTCTTCCCACTGCTCGACATCCTCAGCCGAATAGTTCATCGAGCGCATCCTTTCGTAGTCTTCTCCACTTTGCTCGGCTTCCTGCAAACAAATTGGGGGTATTTGTGCCGGTTCAGTCGATGCTACTACTGCTACTACAACTGCTGCTGCTGCTGCGGTGGCGACGGTAGATCTAACCCGCAATTGACAATATATCATGCAAGACCATGATGAACGGGACAAATGGCTGCCCGGCAAGCCAGTCCGACATGCGGATGCGCCATACCAGCTTCTGTTTCAGCTTCAGCGCCTCCTCTCGTTTTCTCTCGAGTTTGATGGCTTCTTTGGGGTTGTCTTTGGACCGGGCATATTCGGCGTGGACCTCTAATCGGTTCTTCTCCAGCGACTCTTGCTGCACACAAGATTGAGACGGCGTCGTCAGGATAGGTTTGCAGGCGGTGCTGCAAGACATGCCGGGAAAAACACATACCCGCTGGCCTCTCAGCTGCTTGAGCTTCTCGAGTCTTGCTTTCATTTTGTCTTGGGCCGAGACAGAGGGCTCGTCCGCAGAGGCTGCTGTTGACGATGTGCTGGGTGTCTGCTCGGCAGGCTCGGGCTCTCTCGACTCATCTGTCCTTGATCGCTTCTTTGGAGACATGGTGCTGCTTATGGCGGACTGGCGCAAGTCGTGGGAGCGGTGGTGGTGGTGGTGGTGGTGGTGGTGGTGCTTGGCCGTTGGCTGGAGCGGGGATCTGCTTGGATGGCCGATGGGGACGAGGATCGATCGATGCCAGGCAGCCGCCAGCGACCAGACAACCCAACGCAGGCGAGAGCGCCTCGGTGCACCTCGCTCCCCGCCGATCGCCTCGCCAGACCTCGGTTTTGCCCAGCTCGATCGGCCCCGGCCACTCCCGCCTGCCTCCCATCCAGCATCCGCAGCGCATCCGGCCCGTCTGCTCCAACGACGCAGCAGCCATCGAGTGCCGAGCTCGACGTCCATCGATCCCGCACACCAGCCATGGCCTCCGGACCGACCGCCAACGGCCCCTCCAAGCCCAGCAAGGAGTATAGCTTATAAGTATCCTGTCCGCTCCCGGCGATTCTGCGATGCGATCTGCCGGTCCAGAGCCGGCTGGATGCTGGTTGCATGCCGGCTTCCTCGACTGGTCGCTGCTGTCTGACCTAAAATTCACCATTTCCGTGCCTGCTGTGCTGCCGCGCCAAACACAAGTCACCAGCGGATTGTGCTCGATTTCGACTTTGCGCAGAGATCGATCCATGTAGGTGCCCCTCACAGCCAGACCGAAGCAACCAAAGTCTGCGTTTCTGGATGGATCCGTCAGTCGAATCGACGCCGTCCGGAAGACATGGCTCTCTGGAATATTGGATGAGACGATCCTGACCTTAACGCCTTTCCGGACTCGTGTTGCTTCTGGGTGGACAGGGTCTTGCCGAACTGACCATCACCCCCACGACGGTCGATCTGCAAGCCATCAAAATCAACTGTCGGCAATCCAGTACGTTTCTGGCCGCTCCTCCATCGAAGGCGCAGATCTGGATGCCAGACATTACCGCGGCCGTTCTCCGATCCGTCGGCTCGGTGTACTGTCGGATCGTAGCGCAGCTGACCATGCATTCCCCGATCCAGAGATCGACTCGATAACTGTCAACATGGTGTCGGCAATGTTCCAGTATCTGGATCCCGCCAGCCCGGTTTTACCGCCCAATCGATACGCAGCCTCGCACCATCAAGAGTTCCGAAACTCGTACACGGCTGCGATCCAGAGTGGCGATGAGGGCGAGGTGATGATCTTTATTCCCAAAGAAGTCAAGATTGCCAAAGTAGGTGATACCCGGCGAAGATGGCAGGCGGTGGTGGCTTTGCTGAGCGGCACCAATCCAAAGCCTGATGCATCGTGATGATGGGTTGCTCTGGGGCTAACCAGCATCGATATGGGAATCACGAAATCCATTCCTTCAGATCGATCCGCTTTCTGGAGAATCCGACGCTGCGGGCGGAGGTACTATCTACGATCCGACAGCCCCGTTTCCGAGGCAGACTAGGGATCGTTGAAAGAGATCGCATTCGCAAGTGCACTGATTGCCTTACCCTTACAAATGCATTTCAAGGCCTCTGCTGTTTCTCGAACCTCGTCGTCAAAGTCAAGTACACACTTCGGGAGCCCCAGCTCGGAGCATTTTTCGTTTTACCTGACAGCAGCGCAATCAACGTACGTTTGCACGCAAGTGCTCCAAACACGGGTGGCTGAGGCGTGGTGGTGCCTCGAGATGTACGCCTTGGAGAGCTATTGTGTGAGGGCGCCGATGACACTCTGTTTGATGGCATACGCTGCTTTGCTCTGCTCGGTACTACGGGGCGGCCGTTGGTGTCTACAGATACGACTCTCTATCTGACAACGACTTGCATTTGCAGAGCTATCCGCACATGTTTGTCAACAACCAAGCTTGCTCGGCGCGCTGCTGGATGCCCTGTGTCGACCGCATTCAGGAAAAATGCACATGGGAGATAGAGTTGATAGTGCCAAGCACCGTCCGCGATGCCCTGGGGCTTGCCCACTCGCGCCATCAGTACAGCATCGACGTCGATGCCGACATGGTTGCGGTCTGTGCTGGTGATTTGATCGAGCAGGTCCAACATCCCGCCACCCCGGCAAAGAAAATCTACTTTTACTCCGTGATGAGCAATGCGGTATCGGCTTCAAGTATACTGCTGGCTGTCGGCCCTTTCCGAGCAGTGCGGATCCAAACGTGGCCGCGGGCCCGCAGTGGGTCGGGCAGTGCGGCTGCCGCTGCCTCTGATCTGGCGACCCACAGCAACGGAGCGGACGACAGCGCCCCGAGCCTCGAAAGCGTTCACAGTGGATACTCGTTCTGCCTCCCTGGCAAGGAGCACATGGCAGACTCCACGTCGTCGTTCCTGGGGAATGTATGTGCCATCGCTGTGGGGCGCTCTTGTCGCTGGCACGAGAAAACTCCATTATTGAAGCACGTACCGCTGACCTTGACACATCTTGCTGACAACCAGGCACTCGAGCACTTTGAATCGTACATTGGCGGATCATACCCATATATGTCATACAAGCAAGTCTTTGTCGACAACGCCTTCAACTCCATCACAACCGGCGCCAGCATATCCATTCTGAGGTGAGCCATTTGTCGGCACTCTTGGCGGCTCAGTGCCCAACGGCGTGGGGTGAAGTACTCATATCTGTCCACAACAACCCTCCAGCTCGCATTTGCTGCTTCCCGAAAGCATCATCGACGAAGTATACGAGACTCGGTTGATTCTTGTCCGGGGACTTGCATCTCAGTGGTTTGGCCACTACGTCTCTTACAAAACTTGGTAAGACGCACGCGAGTAGCATGGATCTTACGCAGCACTATCGGGAATCGGACTCGGCCGCAGGACCGCCGCAGCACAGAGCTACAGTGCGCTGACGACGATTGCCAAACTCTGCCTACATCATCGCCGCATCATCATAACTGACAACCCAGGGCGGATGTTTGGCTGACGATTGGTCTGGGGGGCTTTGTTGCCTCGCTCTTTATGAAAAAACTCCACGGCAACAACGAGTTCAAGTATCGAGTTGCAAAAGTATGGGGCCGTTTCCAAGCGCTGAGGCGTTTACCAACAAAACACGGATGGGTGGGCAAGCGGCCTCGGAACTAACTGGAGTCCATCTCCGAACCGGTCATCTTCAGGATATGAATCGTGTTTGCGCTCTCGACATCAACCAGCCGCCACTTTGCCCGATTGGCATGTTTACCCTGCAAAACGAGTCGACCCTGATCGACCCGCTGCTCCTGGTCCACTATCACCCTGAAGACGACCCAAAGTCGGTGCGGTCGGAGCTGATTATGCTCAAGAGTCCGCTTATCTTCTACATGATGGACCGGAGGATGGGCAAAGGCGTTCTCCAGAAGCTCATCAACAAACTCATGATCTCGGCCATGAGCGGCGAGCTGACGAGCGGGTGCAGCACGCACCACTTTCTCAAGATGGCGCGAAAGTTGAGCGGCAAGCTCGAGCTCAAGGCATTTTCAGAGCAGTGGATCTATGGGTCTGGCTGTCCCAAGTTTGTCTTTTCATACTCGTTCAATCGCAAGCGAATGATGGTCGAGGTCAAGTTCCGACAGGAAAACACCAATGCTGCGATGATGGGGCACACGATGAAGTTCTCGGTAAGGGTCCTGGTTGTCTTGTGTCTCATTTGGATCGGGATTGATGCGCACGGAGCGCCGGGGCACTCCTCTGTCGCCTTCAGATAGAGGCGATTTAGCATTGTGGGGGGGGACATGGGGCGTTGCAGTATCGCAGCATTGTAGCATTGCAGTATTGCAATATCGCAGTATTACAGTATTGCAGTATTGCAGTATTGTAGAATTGTAGCATTGTAGTGTTGTAGAATTGTAGCATTGTAGTATCGCAGTATTGCAGTATTGCATCTTCTAAGCCTGCGCTTTTGTACATTCGTGCAGGGCCCGTTCACGATCAGAATCCACGAGCCCAGCGGCACATTTGACACAGAGGTGCAGATCGAGGATATCGAGAAGCAGTTCGATGTTCAGTATCATACCAAGTACAAGCGCATCCGGCGTAAGGTTCCGACCACGACGGGAACCAAGAAAGGGAAAAAGACAGGCAACCCGGGCGGCGCAGACAAGGGCGACGAAAACGACGACGGTGAAGGCGATCTAATGGATGTTGACGAGGAGGGCGACTGGAAGGACGACGAGAACGACGGCTTACTGGACTGGAGAGACCCTGATGCGGATAGGTATGCCGATTCGCTAGCTGTGGCGAAAGGAGCTCATTGAGGCCCAGCAGAGGCTCGCGATCACGAGCTTTATTATGAGGATCGGCGTGGCGCATCAACCCTTGACACCTGTCCCATGCGCCAACTCTGTCCAACCACCTTCTCGTCTCAACTCCAGATTGACTTTCGAATGGATTCGTCTGGACCCTGACAACGACTGGCTTTGCTCCAAAGTCTATGAACAAAGCGATTTTATGTGGGCGGCCCAGCTCCAAAAGGACCGCGATGTTATTGCTCAGCTCGAGGTATGGCGGAGCCTTGCTGTCTACTGCGCCGATTGTTTGCGCGCCCATTCCACTGCAATGCCCTGTTGCTAGCGGCGCTGACGCGTTCGTATGCGTTTACCGGATAGGCCATCGATGCGCTGTACTTTTTGCCGAGTCTTGGCACATCCACAACACTCTCGGGTGTCATCCAGGACAAGAGCTATTTCTATCGTGTGCGCGTGGAGGCTGCTCTAGCTCTAGTTCAGGTAGGGTGGGCAGCAAGTGCCTGGCAATCGCCTTGACCTGGGGACAGCTGATCTTTCTCTGGATTATGCCTCTTGATTGCCTTGTGAGCCCCGCATATTGATATTGCCATGTGTTGCTGCCAATCCTGATAGTGCGCCACCGCCGAGCTGGACTGGGCTGGACTCAACAACCTGCTCAAGCTGTACCGGGAAGAGTTTTGCTACCCGATCGCCGATAAAACCATTTCGATACCCAAGCCCAACAGCTTTACTCGGATCCAGGATTACTTTGTCAAGAAGGTGAGGATGCTGGCCCCCGCCAGCCCGCTTGGGGTTGGCCCGAGGCAGCTAGCCCATCTTCCTGTCCACTGAATCCACCCGTCTCGCTTTGTGCTCTGCCTCGCACACAGGCCCTCGTGATTGCTCTGTCGCGGATACGCAACGATGAGGAGCACAGCCCAAGTGCAGTTCGTCGGTTCCTGTTGAGCATTCTCAAGTTCAATAACAACACAGGAAACGAAGTAGGTGGCGGTGTGTCCTTCCATACTCGTGTTGCGGCTATGCGATGTGCTCCCGACAGCCATCGCCGGCCGTGTGCCGTACCAGCGCACTATACTGATGCCATGTCCGCCCTAGTTCTCCGACTGCTATTTTGTCTCGAGTGTCATCTCATCAATCGGAAGCGCATTTCTGCCCACGAGTATCACCCGGGGGTTTCCGAGGAAAGAGCAGCCACTTGTACAGCTGGACAAGTTCACGTTGCAGAGCGTCATGCCCTCTGGCGCAATCGTCGAGGAGTTTGATATTCCCGAGCTCCTTGCCGATCCGAAGCACATCGGGGCACCTGTGCCGACAGCCGACGCGAAGGCGCGAAAGCCAGCCCATGGCGGCACCGATGACGATAGCGACCGAGCGTTGTTTGACGAGGCTCTTCTCGAAATCAAGCGATATCTGAGCGTTGACAAGTTCCTACCAAGCTACCACAACTGCGTGACTGTTGCCTGTTTAGAGGTGGGCTCCAAGCATATGTGACCTCTCGACTCGAGCGCTTCCCACTCCCTCCCTTGTGTGGCGAATCGCCCAACGCACCAACATAGCGCCGATTATGCTGACCGATCCATCGGGTTTGCTGTCATCTGTGCAGGCCATGACCAAGTGGATGCTTGCAGGAATCAGCCCAATGGACATTGGCGTGTTTTTGCCATATAGCTGGTAGGTCTGAGCGGCTCGTGACTGCAGGCAGCCATTCAGATCAGTCCGCCATTTGCCTCAGCACTTATTCATATATGCTGCAATAGCCACGGTAACTTCCGTCAGGTACGGATTACCGCGATCGATTCAATCCTGGTCGTCAACGGAATTCTTCAGCCCGAGATTACCATGTACCTTATCAACCTTTGTCGGTACGATCCCGACCCGCAAATTCGGTACCACACTGCCAAGGCGATGGGCGCGTACATCAGCGTGGCGTATGGCCAACTCGCGCATGCGTCTGGCAAGACGAAGAAGCCCCTTGGAGGAGATCAGGATGCGACCGCCCGAGGCAAGTATATCGCGATTGCCGCATTCCGCGCACCGTTCAGGACGGAGCACCGGGATTGCGGTGCATAGCCAATGACTTGCGGAGAGACATGGATGCTCATGCAAGGAATTCGCGGCCAACCAGACGACACCTCGGACGAAGAAATGGAGACCGACGCCGCCGACGGCAAGAAGCGGACTCGGTCTGACAGGCGGAGCTCAAAGCACGCCTGGAATGAGATCCGCTCCCTCTTTGAGAACCACCCAGAATGCACGGATGCGCTCTGGAAGCTGCTCAAGTGAGTAGAGTGCTGCAGCCAAGGGCGCCGACTTGACATTTCATTTCAACGGGCTCTTGACGCAACAGAAGGGTGGAGCGGCTTGCATTCTGGACTAACACCAAGGCGCCGTGCAGCGATTCAATGGCGGACCATCGGCGTCGGGCATGCCTGCTCCGTCTCTGCGAGATGACCTTCGATCCCTCGATGGATACATCCACGGCGGCTGCGCCGCTTCCAAAGCTCAAGATTACGATGCGACCGAGTGCACCGCAAACGTCGCTGGACGAGGTACGGGATCCATATTTTATCCGGCCACTCGCCTGATCGCTGTGATTCCAAGCACTGCTACTGACACAGGAGCTTCTCTGCTTTTCGATATTCCTGACTGGATCCTGGCGACGCCATAGAGCTCGAGCGAGGACGAGGCGCCGACGATCTCGAAGAAAATCAAGCTGAATCACGACTCGTCGGCACCAGGTACGGCTACTCATATTGTCTCTCAGACTCTGAGTTGGCGCGATGGCGAATGCTCCACTTGCCGTTGGCCGTTTGAGCTCATTTCCCGAAGCACGCAGATGCGTGGATATGCCACACATTGTCTTTGCTAACTGCATCGCTGCTGATGTAGCCGAAAGGGCCATCGCACAGCCTTCCAAAGCTGTGGCAAAATCTGCAGGCCACAAGCAATCTTCGGTGGCTACAGTAACCGGCATCTTAGACACCAAGCATGTCCCTCCGATTTCCATAACGATCAAGCCACCTGCACAAAAGCCACACGTTTCAGAGTCGCTTCCGGCCCCAAAGAAGACATCGGACGCCAAGAAGGAGCGGAGGGAGCCGGCGGCCTCAAGCAAGGACACATTTATGCCGACGGCCGCGACGGCAGCGACGGTATCACAGACTGCCCCTGCTGCGGCATCGGTTCTCTCTCCCACTGCACTTTTGCCGACAAAAACCACTCCCGCTATCGATGCAAGCTTCGCTGCCTGTGTGTCCAAGATGCTGCAGCGTCTACGCAACCATGTGTCGGTGGGTCCCTTCATCCACCCAGTCGACGAGGCACACGCACCGCTGTACTATCAGACTGTGAAGGTCCCCATGGATTTAATGACCATCGAAAAGAAGAGCGCCAGCGGCGCCTACGAAAACAGCGTCGAGAGAGTCATCGACGACGTCAACTTGATCTTCTCCAATTGCTTCCTGTACAACACCGACGACAGCCCAGTTTCAAAGCAAGCCAAGAAGCTGCAGGTGTTCTTCAACGAGGCTGTCAAGACCGAGATGCTCAAGACCACGACCGGCAACCCAACCGCCTCGCCTGCTCCCCTCAGCACCGAGCCCCGTGTCGTTGAATCCAAAAAGCCATCCAAGCAGACCGGATTGTCCGCAGACGCGATTCGCAAGTGCCAAAAGATCCTGGTGACACTCCAGTACCACCCCGAGGCGTACTGGTTCAAGATGCCGGTGAACCCCGAGCTGCAGGGAATACCCGATTACTTCACGATCATCAAGGAGCCCATGGATCTGTCCACGGTTCGCAAGAAGTTGGTCCGCCTCGAGTACACAAATGCGGATGCATTTGCATACGATGTTCGCCTGATTTTCTCCAACGCACTGCTCTTCAACGGGCCCCAGTCGGCTGTTTCGATCAGTGCCGAGAACGTACGAGCCACGTTCGATAAACTATGGCGAGAGCGACCCGAGAACTTCTTTCCCAAGATCCTTGGGAACCCAGCCGCCGCTGGCCGTGATGGAGAGCGCATCCTTGTCGGCCAACTCACTCTGCACGACTATGAGCTCGCCCAGCAGATACTCGACAAGCTCGAGGCCCACGCCGGGTCCCTGCCGTTCCTCGATCCTATTGATGCTACGCTCTTTGTGACCTATGCCGAAGTCATCAAAAAGCCAGTGGACATATCTACGATCCGCGAGCAGCTCGAGAATGGGGTCTACAAGAGCCTTGGTGCCGTTGAGAACGACATCAAGCTCATATTCGAGAACTGCATCAAGTTCAACGGCGCTGATTCTGAGCTTGGCAAGCAGGCGGCCACGCTCAAGACCTTCTTCCGAAAGCAGTGGAGGCTGTTGCTATCGCCCAAGCCCACACCGACTGACTCTGTTTCCAGCGCTAAGCCCGCGACGCCTGGCAAGCCCACTGTCCATAAACCTATTCCTGGAGCCAAGCCGGCGCCTCCTGCCACCCCTGAGACAAGCACTCCATCCGCGTCGCATTCGTCTGCGACCGCTTCTGCGTCGGTCCCGATTAAGCTGTCGCTGGCGACACCCAAGACGATCAAGGTGGTGGTGAACAAGAAGGACGAGCAGGTCGAGAGCAGGGCGACATCGGAGCTGCCCAAGAATCACTCATTGCCACCACCGCCCAGCCCGCATCCAGCTGCAGCCTTGCCCAGTGCATCCAATAGCACATACTCTACAAGCAGCGAGCTCACTCCGGCAGCATACAAGTTGGCTGGGAAGCTTCTCAAGAAGCTCATGTCACATCCGTCGGCATCGCTCTTCTTGGAACCCGTAGATCCCATCGCGCTTGGTATTCCGCAGTACCTGGAAGAGATCAAGCGGCCCATGGATCTCGGGACCATCGGCAAAGCCCTTGCGCGACATGAATTCAAGACCTATGGCCAGCTGCACGCCGATCTGCAGCTGGTCTTCGACAACTGCTTCCAGTTCAACCGGCCGGGTAAGCCATCGACTGTTGTCAGTCCGTGCACGAGAGCCTGTTCATCGGCTCGCGCTCTGGTGCTGTGGGCCTGCACTAATGTTCTATGGCTTACTATGATTGGGGGTTTGTTTCTGATGGTTGCGAAACCCCGTGGCTCTGGTGGGGGCAATGCCTTACATTCAGGCGACTGGGTCTACTCCCAAGGAAAGAACCTCGAGGCGTTCTTCCACGAAGAATGGCGGACGTTTTTCGGAGACCTGTCGAAGGGCGGATCTGTCAAATCCTCGTCTTCGATCAAAGTGGAGCAGTCCAGTGCAGTTTCTGCGGCCAGCACCACGGGCGACAACGGCACCTCGACGGAGGGTCTGGACAATGTGATGAAGCGCATTCTAGAGATGCTGAAGCAGCACGCAGATGCCCTCATTTTCCTGATGCCAGTTGATCGCTCGCTGTATCCCGATTACGACGCAATCATCAAAAAGCCCATGGATCTGGAAACTATGGGACGAAAGCTTGCCCAGCACGCGTATCGAACCTTGGGAGAGTTCGAAGCCGATTTTACTCTAATGATCACAAACTGCTTCAAGTACAACGCGCCAAACAGTCTTGGATACAAGGCAGGGCTGTCGCTGCAAAAGTACTTCTCCAAGGAATGGAAGAAGGCCGCCTCTGGGCTCGTTGGCGTCAAGCACGAGTCGCCGCAGCCGGCTGGGGGCATGCCTTCGCCATCGGTTAAAGCCAAGCGCGCCGATGCTGCTGGTACACCAAAGCCCAAAGCCAAGGGCTTTGGCCAACCCATCCAGTCCGAGTTTTGTGAAGGTACCATCAAGAAACTGCTGCGGCACGCATTCTCGGTTTCATTTGCACAGCCGGTGCCAAAGGACACGCCTGGGTACTATGCTCTGATCAAAAGGCCCATGGATCTCGGGACGCTTCTGGCCAACCTCCGAAGTGGCCAGTATGCGACCCAGACAGACTTCCATGCGGATATGAAGCTCATCTTCCAGAACTGCTACCAATACAACATGCCGGTAAGCTGCTGCACCTGCCGTGCCTGAAGCGTCCGCTGCTGTGCTTGCCCACCTGGTCTGACTACAGCCGAACCGAACTGAATGATCGTTCGTACGATAACACTGGTACGGTGCTTCATTCACAGGGCACGGACATTGTCAAGTGCGCCGAATTCCTGGAGCGGCTCTTTGATGAAACGTGGGCCTCTCAGCCGACGCACCCAGAAGCTGCGTCGACACCATCCAGAGAAAGCACCCACAAGGAGGTGAGTCCGAGAGCCTCGATGCACGCCGTCAACGTCGGCTATCTGTGCTCCAGTCCTCATGTAGCTCTGCTTGTCTGTGTTCAGGCGGATCGGAGCCACACAAAGCCCAAAAAAGAGAAGAGTGAAAAGAAGCACAAGAAGGAAAAGCATGCACACAGAGACCATCTCGCAGATGGAGGGCTCTCTAGCGGCGGCGAGGACATGCCACAGCACGGCGGAAGCAACGGCAATGACCACAGCAACAGTAGCGGCGGTGGCAGTGGCAGCGGTGCCGCATCAGGCAGCCAGCGCGATGGCCCAATGCTCAAGCTGACCCTCAAGTTGTCCAGCAAGTGATCCTCGCTAGCGCTCTGCTCAGATGCCGATAGCTGCTGAGGCGACACTGGCTGGTGGACACTGGCTGGTCGACAATCGGACCAGCTCTACACTCGGGCAAGCCCGCACACGTGGTCGATAATATGTGACTTGACATCAATTCTCTGACGCAGAATCACCCGAAACACCACAGAGTTCACCGTGGACGTGAGTGTCGCGGGGTGCGGCGTCATACAACAGGGAATCAGCAGATGCCGCGCGGGTGTACGAACTGGATTATCCAAGGCGCTCTGGATTGACTGACCACTCCAGCAGACCATCGTCGTCTCTTTCCCACTCCTCATCACTATCCTCGGTTCTGAGGAGTCAAGTGATGGATAGTTTCATACCGGTCGTGGAGAGATTAATATCAGTTTGGAGTGTGCCCCGGGTATCATTTGCCGTGCAGGCAGCGTGCTGCCAGAGATACAGTTGCCTCGTGGATGCATTCCTCCCATATACCCACTTGCTTACCGATTGTTTGGCCGACCAAACTCTGGCTCAACAATTGCTGTGATGATCGGGATCCGGGTTGGGCTCTTTGGCGTTCGAATCGGACTGTGAGCGAGTGTGTTGCTCTCACGAAGACTCGCGGGGAGAGGCGGGAGCGGAGAATCTGGGTGGGAGCGGTTGTCGGAAGTGCTTGGCTTTCTCTCGGTCTGATAGACTCGCATCATAGCATTGACTCGGTCTTGCTTGGAAACCGCCAGCGGACGGACCTGCTTGGGCTTTCCGAACCGGCCATACCACAGTTCCCGCTGGCTGTTTGACAAGCGATCGAAAGCGGGACTGAATGAGCACAGCTTCCGCATGCACGATCGAAGATGCCGGCCATCTTAGCGCCACGAGAGTCGCCAAGATGATCTCACGAGTGCGTACCGCCGAATCACATCCTTGAGCTCCTCTTGGGACAGCAGCTGAGAATGCGGGTGGTTGCCCAGCACTGTTCGGGTTGGAGGCTCTGTTGTGACAATGAAGCAGGTAGAATTGGACGGCAGTGTCAGAGTTCTGTCGTTCAAAAACGGCACCAAACAGCATCCATGGGCTTATCGGCAGCAAGCGAACGCACCATCCTCAAGGTTGGGCAGCGATGTGGCAATGTCTTTCCACTGCTCATAGTACTCCTCGAATGAGATCTGCTTGAGCTTGGCGGGCTTTTCTTCAAGCTTTTGCGAGATGTAATACTCGATCTGAGATGGTGTTTCGACTGTCTCGACGTAGGGATCGTTGCTGTCGGTGTGGGGATCAAGTCCGGCTGGGCAATCAAGCCCGAAGGCACATTAATGAGCCGTGCCGATGCAGCATCGTGAGGAGTACGAGGAATGGCAGCGATGCACCACGGGCGATGAAGGGTGCGAACAGCCGCGGCTGACGACGGTGTATATGCCGACAGTGATTTGACCGGTGTTGGTGGTGATGGCGGTCGATATTGGATGTTGGAATCCGACACGCCACAACACAATTTTCATCAAAGAGCACCCCCCATTCCTACATCGCTCATGGCACAGAATGGCAACGGGCTTACCATCGATTCTGCGGCTGGCAATGACACAATCGCGGACGAGCTGGTCATAGAGATGAGGCGAGCACTCGAAGATCTGGGCTGCCGGCAGATTGATTGGATCGACGAGTCCGGGATTCGCGAGCATGGTCTTTGTTGCGCCATCAGGTCGTAGTTGTTGATTATTATTATTTTTCGAAAGTCAAGTCCAGCGGAGCCGGTTTGGGGTCGAGACAGTATGAGGACAGCCATGTAGCCGGTTCGAGTACAGAGTCACGAAATCGTGCTGGCTGTTTTTCTTTCGCATGATGCCGTCTGGACGGCCCATCCAAATGGCGGCCGAAGCATATCCAATGCAACCCGATGATATTACCTGCAGCTCCATCAGAATGCTCACGATCCCCATTGCCGGGTCCCAGAGCGATTCGTCGCTCAGATACGGAAGACAGGGCTTCCCGGTCAAAAGTTCGACTGGAGAGCCGGTGTCGGGTGCATTGGTGGCAACGCGACGATGACGTTAGTGTCGCATTCCAGCAGCGGAGTGTGCTGGAAATATGCGTTGCTGGCATCACGGAAGCATATGTAGAAGGCAAACGATACCGTTTGGATGGAACGGGACGGTTGTGAAGTAGACATCTGGGGGCACCTCGTTGTATTCCTCCGTGAAGAACAGCTCGACCTGGAAGATCCCTCCTGAGGACAATCAGGCGACAGCAGAGACGTTTGGCAGCGCATCCGATTAATTCTGCGGCAGTGGCTGTCTCTGGACGCTTTACTGTTGCGGTTTGCGGGTCCATCGGGCAGACCACAGCGCTGCCTCGCTCTGCATATTCGATTTGCGCACCTTCCCACGGCGTCTCAGGCAGCCCCATGATCCTTGCCTTCCAGTGGTACAGATTGTTTTCATTGATGTCGGCGGATATGCCCTGGCATACCACTGATGGTCAGTCTGGATCTTGGGCTGGAGCTTGTCTGCCGGTGTTCGTCGGGTATCAGGACGGCGCTTCGTCAAAATCGCCATTGCATCGGGGTCGGCACTTACCCACGGCATCGGCGACCGCTGGATGTTGTAGCGCTCGCGCAAGAGCAGTAGGGCCGCTCGAGACTGCATTTCCGCTCAATATGGTGTCGTTTGAGGTGCTGGAGAGTCTGCGCAAGCTGAAGAAGGCGGTCTTATCAGATGAGCAGCCAAAACGACACCGGATCCCGAGAGCCAGCGCCGTGATTGTCGTTGGCTCGATGGGAAACGGCGTTGCTGGGCGGACAGGGCGATCCGGTTGAATCAGGGCCAGCCGCTTCGGTGTCCTCCAACGAAATCAACGACCAGCGGCTATCCGCTGTGCCGGGGATGCACTGCCGGGGATGCACTGCCGGTGCTCCAAGTGGGAGCTGCTCGCCATCCGGCTTGCGCTCGGCTGGATGGTCGCCCGATGCCCGGACGCATGATGCTTGGATGGCCCCAACGGCGACGGCGCTGCGAGGCTGCATGGAAGTGTTGGATCGCCGCCGGCCACACGATCGATCCTCGACCGGCTCTGGCTCTGATCTGGACGACCCTCTCGGCACATTCGACCTCGCTGCCCTCCAGCCCTGTCCGGCACTGATCGACCGCTGATATCCCAAAGCATCCGACCAACCGCCACAACATCAACCACATTTGAGCTCTGTCGGCAGGCCATGAGCAACTCCCCCTCGGCGTCGTCCTCTGTCCCGACTCCACAACCTGCAGTTGCGGCATCTACTCCCGCACCTACTGCACCGAACCTCGCCGGTGGGAGCAGACCGGCCAAGAAACCCTCGAATCAGCACAAAATATCGGCTGCGACGACAAGTGCCAAGAGGTGAGCGGCCTCCGCCGAGTCAGGTCCGGCAGAGAACCTGTACTTGAGCCGGTTGTGGACACTCGTCTACGCTAGATATACTCATCGCCACCATTCCCATTCACTGCCATTTGCTGCCATTCATTGCCATTTGCTGCATCCAGGATCCAAAAGGAGCTGGCCGAGATCAGGTGGGCCAGTTATAACCATCGAAAGGCTCTCTCTCCACCGGCGATTTCGGCGTCGCCCGTTTCTGTCTTCGATCTTGCTGATGCGAATCCCATCTCTCTCTCTCTCTCTCGAACATCTGGTCATTACGTGTGCTGGGATCGGCTATCATGCGGCCACATCAGTCTCGATCCTCCATGCAACTGCAGCGCTGGCCCGAAAGGCGACAATCTCTATGAGTGGGTATCCACCATCATGGGTCCTGGCGGGTCGCCCTATGCTGGCGGTGTGTTCTTTCTGGATATCAGCTTCCCTGAGGACTATCCGTTCCGGCCCCCAAAGGTAGGCCTGCGCCATATCCATGTCCTTGGCAACGCCGATACACTGCCTGTCGACTGCCGCAAGCACTCTCTATCTATGACGATCGCAACATCCCATCCGATACGGACGAGCGAAGCACCAGTATGGATTGGGCCGCAAGCAAAACGCCGATCTTGTAGATGGAGGCCGATCGCTCGACTGGAGGAGCAGCCCATGTTCCCACAGCACCGGGACTGAGCTTGCGTCTCGTTCTTTCACAGGTTACGTTCCGGACCCGAATCTATCACTGCAACATCAACAGCATGGGCGCCATCTGCCTGGATATTCTGAAGGACAACTGGAGTCCTGCGTTGACAATTTCCAAGGTGCTGCTGTCGATCTGCTCTCTCATGACGGACGCCAATCCACGTAAGTGTCGAGAAGCAACAGGATAGCCCGACGTCGGCGAGCCGAGCGTGTGGGGCTTGAAATATGAATTGGACGTGCAGAAGGTATTGTGACGGATTGCTGGCCATACTGACGCCGGTGGTGTGCTCGGAATTCCAGACGACCCTCTGGTTGGAAGCATCGCTCAGCAGTATATCCATGAGCGCGACGAACATGATCGGATCGCCCGGGACTGGACCAAGCGGTGAGCTGGCTGCCTTCTATCTGGCAGAGATAAATGCTGGTCGCGAGTTCGAAACTGTATTGTCGGCATCCGCAAGTGCAGAAGTGTCTCGGAACGCACACCTTCCTGACGATCGCCCGCTGTTTGCTTTGTGTAGATATGCCTGTTGACCCCAATCAGGCTCAGAGGGCATGGAAGGCTGCTGGAGTCGAGGCAGAGTGCGCGACGCTGAAGCATAGGCCAGTCCAGAAGTCGCTGTTAGCGGATGTGATGAGCATCAACCGAGCCATGCTCTCAATACAGCGCCTTTGGAGTCACTTGCAATGGTCCATGTCCGCTGTTTGCCGACAGAATGTTTGGAGAGGCGGGGAGGGAGGGGGGAAACGCGTGGATGAAAGCGCTGTTCAGTCGCTGGCGGGCGTCGGGAAGACCTTAGCCTGGATCTGATCTGATCTGGCGCAAATCGTCCAGCGACCAACCCTCTGCAAATATCACCCACCCAATTCTACGGACACCATGAGTAGGGAACGCTCCGATCGACAAGAGCGGGACCGATCTCGAGATCGCCGCGCATCAGAGGCACCTCGATCCTCGGATCGTCACGACGATCGAGACAGAAGAGATGATCGAGACCGACGAGACGATCGAGACAGAAGAGACGACCGAGACAGAAGAGACGATCGAGACCGACAAGACGATCGAGACAGAAGAGACGACCGTGACAGAAGAGATGGTCGCCATGAGCGCAGGAGCCGCCACGGAGACGATATCGACGACCATGCCGATTCCCGCATTCGTCGGCGATCGCCCTCCTCTGACAGTAGTGCCGCTGAGCGCCGCTCGTCACCAGGAAGGAACAAGCGTTCCCGCACAGGCGCCGGTTCGGAGTCTTCCTCGGACTCTTCTTCGGACTCGGACTCATCCAGCAAGAACGAGCGCCGAAGGCACCGCAAAGAAAAGAAAGAGAAGAAAAAGTCAGAGAAGAAGAAGAAGGACTCCAAAAAGAAGGTGGGTTGGTTTGGGGAGGGGGGAGTGGCTCATGGCGGTTCCTCGATGGAAGCCAAGGAGGCTTGTTGAGGGGGGGGGACGGCCGCTAGTCAATGTGCAAGCAAGCACGCACATATGCACACATGCACACATGCACACCCACCTCCTTTAAGGAATGTGGAGATGAAAAGCTTGATGTATGCTGTTGCGGGGAGAGATTTGACCCTCTCATGCTCATCCTGATCATCCTGCTCACCCCGGTGTCAAATCCACTGTCCAGGACAAGAAGAAGAAGAGCAAAAAGTCCAAGGACTCCAAGGACAAGTCCAAGTCCAAGTCGTCCGAACAACACTATGTACGTATCCAACCTCAAAGCCATGATTCCTTCAGGCCCATCGCTATGAAACCCCGCGCCTGTTGACTCGTCCCCGGCAATACTAACGGGATCTCTCTGCTGCACACAGGGTGCTCGCGGTATTCTACGCAGTAGTGATGTGAGTCTTGCGTTCTCTTCCTGGATCAACGACACTGGCTCAGGGCAATGTCTCCGGATATGCCGTTGCTGTGGTGCAGCCATCGATAGACTGTATTTCGTGCTGATTGACGCAGATATAACCAAGACTGATACTCATGATATGTGTGCTCTCTCGCTCTTGGCGTGTGCTGTGTCCCTGATATCCACAGTACTATCACAAGGAAAACGAGTTTCGGGCTTGGCTCATCGACGTCAAGCGAATGTCGCCCGAGACCCTTTCAACTGTCGCAATGAAAAAGTATTTTGAAGAATATATCGAGGACTACAACACGATGACTCTGCCTCACGACAAGTACTATGACTTGCAATACTGGTGCGTAATTCAAAGGCTCTGCCGCCTTTGCTGCCTACAACCAAAAGCAGATACGGTAGTCGAGCCGGAGAGCGCGGAGGCAGTCGCCCAACGGAACATTGTCTGTGTGGGCCGTCAATGCGCAGAATGTCCGTGCACATGACTGTCATTGTTGTTGGAGAAAACGATCGAGCGTGAAAGGTTCGCTGTTGCTTGTTGCACATGCCATCGCTGACGTCTTGATGGCTCGATCCAGGGAGAGGCAGCAGATGGTGAAGGGCACCTCGGCTCTGCTGGATACCAATGACGCAGCATTTGATTTTGGGAAAGGTAAGGGCTTTACTGGCGAGTATCACTGGCTTTGGCCAGTCAACTCTGCCAGATAACCCGAGCAATTCGCTGCGAGGTTCGAGATGCAATTGGGAGCTGTGTATTGTCATGGCATGCCACCCTGTCCGCTAGAAAGGGCTGTGGGCTCCAACTCTTGATCGAAACGCACCCATTGTCATTTTCTCACTCATACGATCCGCTTGTGCATTTGTATGTGTGTATTTGTATGTGTGTATTGTGTATGTGGCAGACGAGGAGCGAGTTCAACAGGGGATTCGAGCCCAAAGATCGGCCGTGACAACCAATCCCACACCCGGATTCACAAAGGAACAAGTCCTTGGCCTGAAGAAGCTCGAAGAAGATCGAGTCGCAGCCGATCGGCTCCGCAAGATGGGCTACAAGCCCAAAGAAAGTCTGGGTGTCCGCTACGAAGGCACGTGAAGCACGAAAGCCGACGTCGAAGCGGCCGTGCTGCTGCATCATGGGAAATGTACCATGAGGCGGAGTGACGCGCAATGATGTGCAGTGGGGCGTACAGCAAACAATGGAGGAGCAGGATTCGGAACAAGAAAAGCATCCGCCATGGCCTCCTCGGCAAGATGTCTTCTGGGCTGTCTTACAGGGGCAAAGACCAGTTATATTCTCGCAAGCGAGCGGGGGGAGGGGCAAGCATCGTACAGACGAGCAGGATGTGCAAGCAGGATGTGCAAGCAGGATGTGCAAGCAGGATGTGCAAGCAGGATGTGCAAGCAGGATGTGCAAGCAGGATGTGCAAGCAGGTCGAGATCAATGAGAGTATTTGACAGGGAAAGAGAGGGGTCGAGCAGCGCGAGGCCACTGGATATGCAGCGCTGGGAGAAGAAAGAGAACAATGGGGGATAATCGGAAGAACGAGACACCTTGGAACGGTAGGGGTGCGACCGAACAAGAGCGACATGCCAAGTGCAAGAAACGAAAGAGAAAAGACGAAGGGACAAAAAGACGACAAGAAGCAAACAAAAAAAGGAAAGGCGGGGGGAATGGGACGGAAGGCGCTTGGGAGGCGGCAACGACTAGCGGCCACCACCGTACAGACTTTGGGCTCGTTTCTTGAGCGGTCCCTTCTCGGACGTGACGGATATCAGGGGGAAGGCACCGTATTCGCCCGTGGTGACGTTTGTTCCCACAGCCCAGCCGTCTTCGTACTCCTCATCGATCTCTACAATATCGTCGACATCCAGATAAAGCTCGTCATCCAAGACAGGGACATAGCGTTTGACGGTGCGGCGTCGCTTTCCATTGCCACCGCCGCTGGTGGGCACCGACTTTGTGGTGCTTTTGGGCGACTGCTTGGGGGATTGCTTGGGCGACTGCTTGCCGCCCGGCCTGGCGTACATGGATTTTGGTGTGCCGTCGTCATCTGAGAATTGGCGGGCAGGCTTCATGGTCCGGCGATCCGAGTTGTACATGGACGGCGCCCCTCTCTCGGGATAGTACGTGGATGGCGCTCCTCGCTCCGAGTTGTACATGGACGGCGGTGGTCCTCGGTTGGTCTGCTTGGGATTGGATTTGGGTGCGTCGGGGTGACGTCCCTCGAGCAGGTTCATGGTTCCGGTGGAGGGCCGAGGCAGCTTTTCGGTCATCTCATAGTCCTCGGCGGCCTTGCCTCCGCGACCAGCGGTTCCTCCGTCTCGGCTGCCAGTTCCGTCGCGACTGCCGGTTCCATCGCGGCTGTTCTTGGTCAGGAAGGCCTTGGGTGGAGTCTGATCGAATCGTGTGTACCGCTCGTTGGAGAAGCGATTGGCGTTGTAGTTGTGGCTACTGAAGTTGTCGTCGGGATCCCGGATCAGCTTGAAGAAGGCAACGATGGCGCCAACCGCCTGGAAGAGTGAAAGGGGGAGCAGCGGAGTCAGCCGTGAGGTTTTGGATGCCAATCAGAGATCAAGGGAGACGCCACAGCAACAGAACCAGTCCGACCTGAGGGGGGTTGCGGATACAACGCACGCACTCCCACAAGCACACATCGACAGGAGGCTGCTCGGGACTCACCAGAACCCAGATGTGGATGCCATAGGCCATGGGTACGCCCGTCACGATCAGCTTGCCCGTGGAAGTTGACAGGATCGCTGGGTTAGCCAACGCTGAGGTCGGCGACGGCAGGACCGATGACTTTGACGAGGCGGATGAGGGTGTGGCCGAGGCCGGAGCAGCGGTGCTGGTGCTGGCGCCTCCGGGGCCCGGCAGGCTCAGCGCCGTTGGAACTGTGATGGACGAAGTTGCAGGCGGAGCAGCAGCACTCGTCGTGGGTTGAGGAACAGGGGCTGGAGGCGGCGGAGACGGGCTATCCTGGCGACGACGGAGTCCGGCAGGGACGGCCTTTGAGGGTTTGCTGAAGCCGAGCGAGTCCATTGGGGCGCTGGAGGAGGAGGAGGCGAACAGCAGCGACGGCGAAAGCGACGGGGTCGAATATGTCTGCACCATGCTGTTTCCCTGCCACAGCACCGGGTTGGCGAGCGGGATGGTGACGACTCCGATGAGGAGGAGCAGATGCGCAATGCCGATGATGACCCACAGTGCGCAAATGACAATGTACTGGAGAAGAAGCAGCCGACGCCGAATATGGCAGGACACAGAGGGATGTTAGATGGGACTGACAGCTGGGCCGAAACCCGGGGATCGGCCGACAGAGAACCACCGGCACGGCGAAGGGAGACACCAGATGGGGCGAACTTACGAGCCAGGCAAAGAGCTTGCTCTTGCGGAGAGTCGCCAGGGCCGAGCACACCAGCAGCAGCACCATCAGCGCCGCCGTGATCCCGAGAGCATAGAATGCGCCGTCCAGCCCGAAAAAGACGACGAGTGCCAGCGACAGCACGAGGTGGGTCCCCGAGACGAGGCTCATCAGCAGCACTGGCGTCATGGTTGCGACGGAGCCTTGGAGGTGAGCGGATTCAGGACAAGTTCGAGGACGGGTTGTGTTGAGTTGTGTTGTGCTGCGGGAGATTGGATGCAGGGCCTGTCAAGACGGAGATGCCGCGACGGAGATGCCGCGACGGAATCGAAAAGAGATAGGAAGGCGGGGGAGAGGACAGCGTTCGTCCTGCGAGAGCAGCGTCCTCTGCGTGGGGGAAAGGACGGCGAATGAACAGGAGTAAGAGCCAGAGCAGAAGAGCAAGAGCAGGAGAAGGACGATCCAGCAGAGCCGCCCGCAGAGCCGCCACAGAGCCGCGGCAGGATCGATCCTTTGCTCGGGTGCGGGCACAGCAGGCCAGGGCAACAAAGGAGCGGCGACTGAGCCGGGCAGCAGACGAGGTACAGGGACACAGGCGATCCTCTGTGGGCGTCGATCCACAGACATCAACACTCGCAGTCGACAGACATCAGTGGACACTCTCAATCAACGCCCTGTGTCACAGCGGGCAAAGCCGTGCGACAAGCCCTGTATCCACAGAGACAGCAGAGGAAAGGGCCGCGATGAAACCAGCACAGCAAAACGCAAACACCGCGACCCAACACGGGGGGAGTCGGACAGCGTGTCGCAAGGGTGCTGCAATGGTGCTGCAATGGTGGTGCGAGGGTGGTGCAAGGCTGTGGCGGGCTGTCGCCAACAGAGCTGCCGCGCATTGCGATTGACACCCGCATTGGCATCGACACCCGCATCGGCATCGACACCCGCATTCGCATCGAGACTCACATTCGCATTGGTTCGGCGACCAATTGGACGATGCAAGTCCCCGTCTCGCCGTGCAGGTGGGCACGCTTCCGTGTTCAGGCGTCGCCACAGCAAGCCCACGTGCGTGCCACACATTCGCATTCACATCCACACGTTCCCACGCACACACAAGCCGACCCCAACCACGCCAGCATCGGTGCCAGGGGATCAAGATGACGGACGACAAAATACAAATACAAATACAAAAACATAGACGCACTGGCTCCCCAAACTCCATCCCATGATGACGGGCTGCACCAGTCACACCTCAAACTGAGATAGCGGCCGTTGCGAGCGAGCTCAATCCTCGGTCTACTGGCGCCATTTGAACAGGCCCTTGAGCACTTCGAGCTGGGACCCGCGACTTTCGGGCGAGGATGACCGAGCTGCTGCGCGGTTTGCGAGGTATCGTTGCAGCTCAAGCCGGATCTCTGGGGTATCGAGATAGATTGGCTGTGAAGATATGGGTGTCAGCAGGGCTCGCAGGAGGCAGTCGACAACAAGAGGCTTACCAAAATGACAACAAGGCGGAATTTGACCATCACAAGTGCCCCGGATGGGAGGAATCCGTCGAAATCCCAGCGAAGGAGGGCATGAGGGACTTTGGCGGCGTGGACACCGTGGCGAATCCACTGGAGAACCTTATCGACTTCGAACAAATCAAAGGAGGACAGAGGAAATGAAGTCGCAGCGATCTCGCTGGCGCTTGCACTGGAGCGAACAAACTGGTCACTGCGACGCACCCAGAGGATTTGGACACCATCGCAATCGTACGATTTGATCGAGCTACCATCGGGCGAAATGGTTACGGAGTACACGGGATTGGTGTGTCCATTGAGGGTGCTTTGCAGCCGATACGTCGTCATATTCCACACTCTGACGGTCGTGTCCTCAGAGCCAGAGACAATCCACTTGCTGTCCGGCGAGATGGCCACCGAGTAAACCGAATCGGTGTGCCCCTTGAAAGTATGCTTAAGGCGGAATGTACTGGCATCCCAGATCTTGACTGTGTTGTCACCGGAGCCGGAGGCAATCCACTTGCCATCGGGCGAGATCACCACGGAATTCACATCATCGGAGTGTCCCTTCAGGGTGTGCTTCACCTGGCCAGTTACGGTGTCCCACACTTTGATGGTCTCGTCATCCGAGCCGGAGGCAACCCATAAGCCATCCGGCGAGATCGCGACAACATTCACATCGTCGGTGTGTCCCTCAAGAGACGGGGAAACCTGGCTTGTGGCTGCATCCCAGATCTTCATGGTCCCGTCAAACGAGCTGGAGACGATCCAGTTACTGTCGGGTGAAACAGCCACAGAGAAGACATATTCTGTATGTCCCTCAAGGGTGTGCTTTACTTGACCATTAGCCAAACTCCACACCTTGATGGTGTTGTCCCAAGAGCCAGAGACGATCCACTCGCCATCGGGTGAGATCGCTACGGAGTGTACCGAGTCTGAGTGCCCCGCGAGGGTGCGCTTCAGGCGACATGTGATCACATCCCACACCTTGATCGTGCTGTCCAAAGAGCCGGATACGACGAACTTTCCATCGGGTGAGATCGCCACGGAGTACACATGTCTTTTGTGTCCTTCGAGGGTGTGCATCAGTTGGCCAGTGATAATATCCCACACCTTGATGGTCTTGTCCCATGAACCAGAGGCGGCCCACTTGCCATCAGGTGAGATGGCCACCGAGCACACATAGTCTGTGTGTCCTTCAAGGGTGCTTTTCACTTGGCCCGTGGTGGCATCCCAGATCTTGATGGTCTTGTCGCTTGCGCCGGAAGCGATCCACTTGCCATCAGGTGAAATCGCCACACTGGTCACACCTTCTGCGTGTCCCTTGAGGGTTTTCTTGAGTTGGCCCGTCGTGAAATCCCACACTCTGATGGTGTTTTCATCGGAGCCAGAGGCGATCCACTTGCCATCTGGTGCGATAGCTGCAACACTAGCACCACTTGTACCCCCATCGATGCTGAGCCTCACTTGGCCGGTGGCAGCATCCCATACGTTGATGGTCTTGTCCCAAGAACCAGAGGCAATCCACTTGCCATCAGGTGAGATTGCCACAGAATTCACCTGGCTCGAGTGGCATGTGAGTGTCATCTCACACGGATCCCAGGTGGGTGCTGGACCAGCCGTGACCAGGAACGGAATCTTGTCCTCGAGTTGGTTGGCATATGTCTTGTAGATCGCCGTCTGCTTCGGTGTGAATGCAAACCCCGAGTTGTACACCTGTGGTGCACTCTTGATGATCGGATCGGCAAACTCGCGGATGAATCGATACGTGTCCTTGACCAGTTCCTTCGTGGTGTCGTCGACGATGGTGCTGGGTGCCTTGACGATCACTCCTCGCAGCACAGCCAGTTGCTCGATGATCGGCTTGACCACATGTGTGAGCGATCCACACTCGAGCCAGAAGAACACATGCGTCTTGACGAACCGAGTGAGCACCGCTGCCACATCGACCATCTCGACCGACTGCCACACCGGACTCGACTCGGCCACTCCTTCCACACACCACACAAAGTGTGTGATCCAGTGGGCGACGCTGTATCGCAGCGACGGTGTGATCTTGACTGCGACCCTGTCCTCGAGGTCAGGGATCTTGTCGTGGAACTCGTAGATATCGCAGATGTTGATCACTGGGTCGTGCGAGAGGATCTCGCCGAGACATCCCTTGGCAAACACCGTGTGGAACGAGGTCGACACATGCCACGGATGGCCAGTCGATGCATCGCCGAGGAGATAGTCCGCCACCGACTTGTGGTTGAACTTGACCTCGGTGTTGGTGGACTGGCTGTCTCGGGGATCCAGTCCATTGGCGCCTGGATCGAGGACCAGACTGAGGCTCTTGAGACACTCGCGAACGACGCCGATCTCGAGTCCAAACACATCGGCGATGATCTGCGGGGTCAGGATCGACTGGGCTGTGGCGATTGCCGACACCACCGTGACCAGCTCGGCCAGGTGGCTCGACTGCGAGTGGATCTTGGCGAATGTCTTGTGATACAGCTGCCCGACATCGGCGGCGCTGTCGTTGATGTCCTTGATCGTGGCGAGTGTCACTGGGCCATCCTTGGCTGCTGCGTCGACGGTGTTGAGGATCAGGTTGATCCACACGAATGTCTTGGACTGGTCCAGCAGGATGGCGACTGCCTCGGTGCGGTTCGAGTCACTGAGAATGTCATACACTCGAAGTCGGTGGTGGATGAACACCTCGAGGTCGCGGATGTTCTCCTCGCTCGAGGGCTCGATCGTCTTGGTCGGGACTCCATCGAATGCTGCCTTGATGTCCTCCTCGGGACGAGATGTCAGCAGCAGCTTGAGCCACGGACGGGTCTTGTTCAGCTCGACAAAGCGCCAGGCAAGCAGACTGAGCAGCTGGTCGCGCGGAGAACACTCGTCGAGTGCATCCACCAGGATCATCACCGATCCCTTGGGTCTGTAGTCGCCAATGGCTTCGAGTGGATCCTCAATCACGGCCTTGAACAGATCGGGGATGCTCATCTTATCGAGGTCGTCCTTGGTGTGGCCAGCATCGAGGAGCTTGCGGCCGATCGGCGAGTACCATTTGCACAGACCGTATGCGATGGTGTTCAACACAATTCGTGGATCGCTCTTGCGGATGTCGTTGTATTTGAGGAACAGCGCCGACACCAGCTGGTTGGTGGCTGTGAGGATGTTGGCGATCTGGGCGGCAGCAACAGACTTGCCCACACCAGCAACGGCATTGACCCACAGGACAGTGTCGGTAGTGTCTTGGTTGACCCAGTCGGTGGTCTGGTCGAACAGCCACTGGCGGGTGCTCTCGACATACAGATCCTCGAGTGCCCTTCTGTCGGAAGTGGAGTCGACTGGATCGAGGAGGGATCGCAAGAGCGAATCCTGGTCGGCAGTGAGCTGGATGGGCCCGCCTTGGTGGTATGTTGCTCCTTGGTCAGTTGCCGTCTTGGTCTTGGTGACAAGCTCTCGTAACCCAGGAACGAGTCTGGAAGCACCATGAGTCAGCGATAGGAAGTGGTATCCACAAGGAGACATTCACACTTACTGTCTGAGAGCGGCTGTATCGACAGCCTTGAGTGCTTGGAGTTTGAACAGCTCCTTGAATGTCTGCTGGACAGTCATCGGCTGATTATCGAAGAGTGGACTGGATTTGTGCGCCGGAGGAAAGTCAGGGAACTTGTTAACTGGCGGAAAATACTCCTTCTTGAGGGTCTCGTCGCCGAACTTGCGAGTGGACCACATGAGGACAGGCTGAACGATGACGGGGTGGTCGGTGGCGGCGGTGTCCTGCATCAACTTGAGGGCGTGCTGGATCTGTGGATGGACGAGTGAATGTGAGTTATGGTTTGACGAATGAGACCAGGATCAGCACCTGACCCACCTCGAGGAACTGATTGTCGGGCCAGACATGTGCGTTGAAGGTGCGCTTCAGACCGTCCTCGGAGAGAATGACGATGATGACGCAGGACTTGTAGAGACCGTTGATGAAACCCTGCTCCCAGTCCATGCCGTTGCAGAGACACTGGATGTCGAGGTATGGATGGAGCGCCGTGTGGCCTCGAGGGGTTGTGGCCAGGGTCCCATGCAGCGACGATGCATTGACAGCGTCGCTCTCGACCCGGTAGCTGTGGAAGGACGGTCGGTCAGCAAGTGGAGGTCAATGTGAATCAGTTGGTGCGGAACAGGCGAATGTGGTGTCGCTCTGATGCTGGATATCAACGCCACCTGATGAAGACTTCGTGAGACGTAAAGTTGTTCTGGCAGACCCAGCCATCCAGAGGGTGCGCTGGAACGTAGTCGTTGGCAGTGAGGACTCTGGTGGGCCCCTGAACAACGACTTCGCTGGGCTGGGACTGGGGTGGCGGCTGTGGGTGTGTCTGCGAGGATGTCGGGATTGCGCTTTGGGTATGGGTCTGCTCGTGCTGCTTCTGCGCCATCTGGAGCTTCTTGATGGCGCCGGGCTTCATTCCAATCTCCTTCATGTCAGACACCTCAAGGGCGAGCAGCTGAAGCGGCCAACAGTCAGCACCGCGATATGCAACAGGACATCTGCTGCAGAGTTCGCTCACCAGGTCGACGCTGTCGTATTCGTTCTCCAGGAAGACATCCTTGTATTTGGCCAGGTCTGCTTGCCTGAGGAACTCGTCAAAGGGGTCGTCCATCTGCAACCAGGGAGCGGGGTGAGTTGCGCATCGTGGACATGCACGGGCTCTGGGCCATCGAAGGAGACGGACCTGCTGGGTCGGCTTGGCACGTTGGGATGCTGGGACGGTGGGATATTGGGATGTGTCTGATGCCGGGGAGACCAGACCCGGGCCTTGTGGATTGTCTCCCTTGCTGCTGACTTGGCCCTTGTATCCAATCTGGCTCGATCCAGTGGCGGATCGAATCATCAGCCCGAGCTGTGATTGGCGGAATGCCACCAATCAGCGACGCTCACCATTCCTTGGCTGTGGATGCTGTCGATGCGCAATCCGTATCGCACCACGCCCAGGATCCGCAAGGTCCACCACGCTGCCGTCCATCGTCAGTATGGATCGCATGGATGATCTCGTCGATCCTGCCTATTCGGAAAGTGCTGCGTGTTGATCGCATTCTGTCGTCGGCTTGGCGCTCTCAGTTACGATGCCAAATGAGCATTGTCTGTCCCACTGGGTTCCCTGGCGGCTGTTTCTTGGTGCGCCTGCATCACTTTTATAACTTTCGCCGACTGCACCGCATTCACCACTCGCATCGCTTGCACCACCTGCATCACACCACTCCTCGGATGACTTCGGCCACCCCCATCCCGCCGTTTCCCGCCAAATGCCGGCTCGCACTTGTCTCAACCCCGGGCTCATTTGGCGGCTCCCAGCCTGGCCGCCGATTCCTCGCGCAGGACTGTACAATCCATCGGAATGGGATTCACCATTCGTGTTGAAGCACGCCTCGATCGCAAATTCAGCCTGTGAACTTCGACGCATCATCCGACCATACTGTGTCTCATTCGACCTGTGCGATTGCATCCATAGCCTCGCACACCACCCACACACCATTCGCATACTATTCACACATCAGCTGACGACATCGCATTCGTCTTAGAAGCAGCACCATGAAGCTGCCCATGCTCTCGTTCAGGCTAGTGCGTCCCCTGATCGTCTTCTTCAAGAGATGCACGTTGCTGGTCTTGATCTCCATTGTGCTGTGCTTGGTGCACATTGGGCTTCAGAGGTATCGTCGTTTCCCACGTGTCGGTCACAAAGTCATCAGGAATATGCGCATTGCTTGATCATATCGAAATTCCGGGCTGTTGGGTTGCTGGACCTTGACGAGCGATTCGCCATGCGACGAGCTGGATCACCAAGCGCTGATCCGCCGCCAATTCATCGACAGGATCTCTGCGATCGACCTGGAGGAGAGTCTCCAAGTCACTGCCATGGCAGGCCCTCCTCCACTCCATGACCCGCATCCAGATCGGCCACTACTGACTTATCCATCCACCGCATTGGCCCCCAAGCCAGTCTCTGTGGACGGCCCCGGGCCAGCACTCTCCAAGCTCGATGTGCTCATGGCCGAGTTCCGAGAAAGCAACACTTCGCTGGCGAGAAACGACTTGCGTGGACTTGCACAGCGATGTCGGCTCTTCCGAGACCTCTTTTCGACTGTCTACGATGCACGCGGACGCAGACATGCCGATGCTTCAGTGCGGGCCGATGGAGATGCCAGGCTGCATGATGTCGAAGCCGCCCTGGGATCGCTGGAACGCACCCTGTTCCCGTTCTTTCGCCACGACCGTCGCATCAACTCGGTTCCAAAGCTGCTGCAGAGCTTCAGGGACCAGCGCGGCATTGTGATCTCGGTGGGAAACACACACTATCGGTTTGCCCTCCACCTCGTCACGACGCTTCGCGAAGTACTCGGCTGCAGTCTCCCGATCGAGATGTACTATTACGGCAGCGGCGATCTGGATGCCGACAAGATCCAGACGCTCCGCAGCATCGGCGGGGCCGGTGGGATCAGTGTCATCGATATCTCGTCAAGGCTTGGGCCCGTGGAGGTGAGCGGGTGGTTCATGAAGCCTTTCATGATCCTGCTCTCAACCTTCCGTGAGGTCATCTTCATGGACGCCGATGCGCTGTTCCTGCAGGAACCAAGCGTACTGTTTCAGCACAAGGGCTATCTCCAGACCGGAGCGCTGTTCTTTCGGGACCGCAGCATGCAGTTTGACGCCGAAACGGGGCGATATAGCAGCTACGTCCGCAACATCATCGGGGAGCCCTCCGAATACGCCATGAAAGGCCGCATCTTCCGGCACCTGAGCATCTACGAGATGGACTCTGGCGTGGTGGTGCTTGACAAGGCCCGCACGGCCCACGAGCTGCTGCTGATTTGCTTGATGAACACGGACTACTTCAACTCGGACTTTATCACAGTGTTCCACGGTACGTAGTCTGTGCTGTGTGCTGTGTGCTGTGTGCTGTGTGCTGTGTGCTGTGTGCTGTGTGCTGTGTGCTGTGTGCTGTGTGCTGTGTGCTGTGTGCTGTGTGCTGTGTGCTGTGTGCTGTGTGATGGGACTCGACGAGATGATCGATCAATTGATCGGGTGGATATCAGTTGGCTCGGTGAGGAGGATCGAGTTGGTGGTCGACATTCACCATGGGATTCCGATTGCGATTGCTCACGATCGTTCACACATCGTCACACTCCGCATCATTATTCCCACTCGCTGCTACACCAACCAACCAACCAACCAACCAACCAACCAGGCGACAAGGAGACGTTCTGGGTTGCCTTCGAGGCCATGGGATCGCCGTATTACTTCAACCCGCCGGGCGGGGGAGCACTTGGGTATCTCGAAGAAGGTACAGGTCGCATCTGCGGCAGCCTCTATCATCCCGACGAGCACATGGACCCATTGTGGATCAACAGCGGAATCATTCCGGACAAGAAAACTGGAGAGAGTATCCCAATCAATCTCACGCACTGGGCCACCGATACGACCTGGCTGCCGCTCAGCTGGGGATATGGGGCTCTTACGTCGTGCCTATGTATCAAGTCGGCACAGCCCGAGATTGAGACTGGGAAACTGGAGGGGCGGTATCTGGAAAGGGCTCGAGGTCTGACATCAGTTTGGCTGAGATTGAACGAGAACAAAACCTCGGCCCCCTAAGGTAATACAATTGTGTCCTGAAGCTCTCGTCCAAGGCGCGAGTACAATTCCATTCAACAAAACGATGGCAGAAGATTAGTGATCAATAAACAACCTCCTACTGATAAACACTTTTGATGTCACTAAATATCATCCAATTCCTGCTTGTTGGAGTGAAACGAGGCGATATCCATGCACGTTCCTTCACATGCTCACCATCGTCGCGGGTACTGGTATTGCGATGTGGGAGTGGTGCTCGCATTCGACCTTTCAATGGATTTCTTGCCCGATTTTCACGGTGTCTGTTCATGGTGGCGGTGATGAGTGTACTTTCAAGACCTAGGATGCAAAGCATAATTAACGCTCAAAACGGTGATATGGCTGGTCATGGTGATGGCTGTTTATACCCAGAACAAAGCACCATCCACCCTCATGTACAGGGTATCCCTGTGGGCCATACTTTTGTGGCGATGCTGGGGCTTTTGAAGGTGCTTTGGCACACTCATCGGCATCGGCGTAGACTCGCCAATCAGGTATGATTGGAGCGGTAGTCTTGTCCTCTCCCCGTCCTGATCTTGGGAAGGGCACAAATGTGCAGCGTCGTTTCCCTGTCCCTTCTGATACTCAAGTCTGTCTACTCCCGTCAATCGATCAACAGAAAGAGCTGAGCTGCTCGCTATTGCTCTATAGAAGAGAATCGTTTTGCTTGGTGAATCTTGCAAGACTTGAATGATCCAACATCCCTCCTCTGCCGTGCCCGTCGGCACGCCGAGCAAATCCAAGCATGTCCGCGTCATCATTCGCACTCGACCGACCTCCGAGTTTGCACAGGACATTATACGCTTTGGCGATGATCATAAGGCACGTTTACGAGCACGACTCTTCCGAATTGGATATGCTTCTCATACACGGGGCTTCGTTCTGGACGCGTTACCCAAGGGGCCATTCGACGAATATCACGATAGGGCCGATGCCCAACGGAAACACGAGCGTTGGGCATGGCTTGGCCTGTAGCACTTGTAGCACCCTTCGCCATGTTTTCAGCGTCAAACACCGAGAGCGTTGCATTGATCCCAGCGTCCACCATCAGTCGGTTCACATTCATATCCCCAAAGGCAATGAGGGCGGGTACATCAACAACCAGCAAGAGAACTGGGACTTCAAGTTCGACAACATTCTGCATAACGCGTCGCAAGAAACCGTTTACGAGGATTGCGGAACCTCCATCGTGAAAGGTCTTCTCGAAGGATACAATGGTATGGCCACTCCGGTATCGACAACATTGGCGGCTTCATGAGCACGATCCTTACGACTGCCTCTCTGGTTGCTGCAGGCACGATTCTGGCATATGGACAGACAGGCGCTGGAAAGACTTTCACCATGCAAGTACTCGGCGTATCTGCGGGGGATTCGCTGACGGCATCAAGCCCTTCGACAGCTCGGGCGATGTTCACTGCTATTTACTTATCCGCACCTGATCATTTTACTGCTCTGCAGGACCGGAGCCTCGGAAAACTACAAGCACCGAGGACTGATTCCCCGGACCATCTCACATATCTACCGCGAAATTGCCGATCGCCCACAGTTTGCCTTCACCGTTCGCGTGAGCTATCTGGAGATCTACAACGAGAATATGGGCGACCTTTTGTCGACGTTGTCTACAAATTCAAATGAGGGCATACTGACGGTGGTGGAGGAAAAAGGCGGTAGGTGGTCGATCCGTGCCGGTAACTCGATCATTCTCGCCGGGGCTATGTCGCTCTATACCCGCACATACGAGAATACGAGCTATCTGAGTATCCGTCATCGCTGTTGACATATCGCCATTATGCAGGAGCCTCGTACGTCAAGGGATTGACAATGCCTATCACCAATAACGAGGAGGAGGCTCTGAACTATCTGTTCGAAGGCGAGACCAACCGGGCCATCGCCGAGCATCAGATGAACAAAGGGTCCACGCGGTATGTGACATTTTAGAAGAGTCTCGGTTGGACCAGCATTCGGCCTTGAGCATACAAGAAGCCATTGCTGACGTCGGCTGGTACCCTCCAGCTCGCACTGTATCTTTACCATTTACATCGAGTCGCGCTCCCGGGTCGAGTCTTCAGAGAAGGTCATGTACTCCAAGCTTAACCTTGTGGACTTGGCTGGCTCCGAACGGCTGTCGAAAACCCAAACATCTGGGGTGTCTCTGAAAGAAGCCATGCGTAAGTGATTCGCGCACAAAACCCTGTCGGCATTACCCCGATGGAGGATCGCTTTTGGAGCAGCCATGGCCTTCGTGACTCGCTCCGGTTTTGCTCTCCATCGAAGCTGGCTTGAACATGATGTTGACGTATTGTATATCATCGCAGACATCAACAAGTCCTTGACCTTCCTGGAACAGGTCATCATAGCGTTGGCAGACAAGAAACGGTTGGTATCATGTGGACGCTGTCACAGCCATATGGTTTCTGCAAACTGAAATACTCGATTCGTGAGAGAGCACCATCATTACACTGACAACCTTGCCAAACCCACCCGATGGCACAGAGATCATGTCCCATATCGCCAGTCGAAGCTCACCAATGTCCTTCGCGACGCTCTTGGTGGAAATTGCAACACACTGATGATCGCCAACATCTGGGGTAGGACTATTGTTGTGCTGATCGGCTTGCCCTTATTTACAAAGGCAACTTGCGACTCTCCACTCCCCGTTACTCTGCACCGTGTCGAGCTGCTTCCGAGTCATGGTAAAGACTCGGGTTTACCCGTGTGCCATTTTCCGATGATTGATATGTCCTGTTTGACCACTCAGGTGAAAAGGAGCATATCGAAGAAACCATTTCGACACTTCGGTTTGCGACCCGGATGATGTGTGTCACCAACACACCAGAGCTGAATGTGCAGTACGATCCTCTTGCCCTCATCAAAAAGTATGAGAATCAGATCCGAGAACTCAAACAGGAGCTCGCCATGCACGATACGCTCGCCAGTCGCTCACATGTCCAATACGAGCCATTTACCGAAACGCAAAGGTTTGAGCTTCAGAAGACGCTCAAGTCCTTCATTGAGAAGGACGACGAGGATATCGAGGTACCTTCGCAACTCCGTGGGTTCGAGACTTTTGATTACTATCGGCGGCGGGCAGGTGCTTGGCATTCGATCCGGCTGAGCCTCGCTCGTCGTTTTAAAGTTCGCATGGCAAACAAATCGATCTCATCCGCTTGGGATGGAATGCGGTCTCTGAGTGCCCCGTTGAATGGTAGGCTCGATGGTGTATCCGATATCGTTGACATGGGCCCTGGACTCTCGCTAGATCATCAACTTGCGACAGATCCGTGAAATCCTGAATCAGTTCAAGATTATGTACAAGAATCTCGAGGCCGAGCTTGAAGACGTCAACCGGCACCCACGAAATACAATCAGTACTTTTACCTCGATCCAAGATCGAGCACCGGCCGCCGATAGCGAGCTCCAGGTGCGTGGTGGTTGCTATACCGAAATGTGGTGCCGACATGCATGATTGACTCCAATTGCTGTTACCCAGAGTCGAAGCAACGACCTTGACAAAGACGACGGCGTCGGGGACATGGAAGGAAACGGATTCAATGTTGGATTGGCGCCGATGGGTGGTCGTGGCGGGGCGCCCAGCAAAACCTCGAACAAGGACAAGAAAGGGGCTGGTGGGAAGCGATTGTCCAAGCTGGTTCCGAATGCCGTGCACCACGAGCCTGGGGATGACGAATCGCTGAAAGACGGTGTAAGTTCACAGGCCAGATATACTGCATGATGGAAATGCGAATATCTCAGGACGCGTCACCTCGGTAGATTGGCATCCAACTGTGGAGCGGCCGTTTGAGTTTTGGCATTTATTTCGTCCTGATGGCGATGGCACCGTTGCATTTTAAGAGCCAATGCTATGCCTTGGCTCTAGTCAAGGATCACCCCTCGCCGCACAGGCAGATCTCACAGGCAAACTGCATGAGCGGAGAATCACTAACACAACATCTGAATGCTTGGCCCGCTGGCGCTGCTGGTTCACAATCCCACCATACTTGCTGCAAAGTTCTCATCGATCGAGAAAGAACCAGTGAGCCCTCCAAACGAAACATGGGGCTCGCAGCTGCCGCCACTGCCGAGCCAACAGTACAACAAGAACCGTCTGCTTCCACCTCCAAGCCGTGCCGACGAGTTCGAATCCTTCAAGAAGGGCAAGGGCATGGAGATGAACCGAATTCTCAACGAAAACAAAGGTCTGTATCTGATGCTGATGCAGCGGGCAGCTGGCTGAGAGCCGCATACTTTGACCATATACTCGGCGATTGAGTTCGACCACTGGTAGAGGCTGATGTCCATTTTATACTCACAGCGGTGCTGAAGGACAAGAAAAAAGGCGCCAGAGACATGGCCGAGATTGTCAACAATCTCAAGCATCAGATTGACGAAGTCAAGGAAAGCATCGGGCGCAAGAAAGTGGAACGAACCCGTGGTTGTGAGTTCCACGATGCTTGGCTGGTATTGGTCGCGGCGAATGTAGATCGGGCCACGGACGCTCTGTTGATCTGTGTCACCCATCTCACGCCACAATTGGACTCTGTCAACGGCTGCGATCACACTGCATCGCTTTGGGTAGATCCAAATGACAAGCTGGGCGATAACGTCATCATCGACGAGGAGGAGTATACGCTGCTGAACACGCTCAAGCAACTCAAGGCCCAGTATCGCGAGCAATTCGATCAGCTCAAGCACACCCGGTCCGACATTGAATACTGCACTCGCCTGGTCGACCAGTGCCGCCAGAAGCTCATGTCTGAGTTCGAACAGTGGTATGAGGCGACATACGGTGCCCAGCTCGCTGACGTCGACGGCGTGAGCGGCCAAGTCGAGGTGAGAAAGTGGAAGCGGCATCCTGTTTTGCTTTGTGCTTAGAGACTTACCGATGTCCCGCCGATGGCTGCGAAGGATGATGTGCTCGGTGAAATGCACTGACGGATGCTCTTTTGGTTGGCTTGTCTTATCAGGATGTCATGGACATTGGTGAAAAGTTTGAGAGACTGCAGATGGAGCGAATGTCTCAAGAGGATCCTGATTCGCTGCCATACTACAATGCAAAGCGGCGGACCTTGAAGGTGAGTGCGACCGAGACGCCCAGCCAAAGCTCGGCCTCCAACTCTCCATGAGTGTCGCGTAGTATTCGCCACCATTACTGCTCCCACACAGAAGTGATGATCGCACTGGACAACGGCATCCACAGTACAATCTGTCCTTTGAATGGTCGCCCGGCGATTCCGTTGCGTTGTGTTTCCGTGCTATTGACTCTGTTCTTCTGTGCCGTTGGCACTCTGTTCTTCCACGTCATTGGCCCTCTGCTGTCTATCGCAAGATTGTTTCCAAGACACCTCGGCGGCCGACGGTGACAGGCTTTCCGCATCACACAAACACCAAGCTGATTCACAAGGGTCATCATTGAGCACTCGCGGTATTGATTAGCCCGACTGGGATCATGAATCATGTTCTGGGTATCGCCGTCTTGCCAGAGGCTACAATGTTCCAGTCGCCTCCACATTGCTGTTCAAGCGATCTCGCAATATTGTCCGGCCATAATTTTAAGCTTTCGCTCGTTCCCGTGACTCACAAAGCCGAGGGCCTCGTGCAGCGCATCGACATTTGGAGCCAGAGTCCCAGCTAGAGAGGGCCAACGCCGCAGGAGTAGCAGGAACTATATTCACAGCAACTTGGCGCTTTGCAGGGAGGAGGGAGGAGGGAGAGGGAGGAGGATGGCGAAGTGCTGCGGTGATTCGCGCTTCACTCGACTCTATCATCCAAATGGCCAGTCTGCGTCCGTTTCTGCTTCCGGGAGATCATGAGTCCGATGACATCCCGGACATACTTTGCTTTCTCGTGTATAACAGGATCGCTGCGCTCCAGAGCAAGCACGAGAGGCAGCGTTATGGCGCGTCTGTCCTCATCCACCCATGTCAGCGATCGACCTTCGTGGCTCAGGATGAGCTTGGTCCGGTTCGAGAAGTTGAACTGCCATGTTGTGGGACGAGTTGCAACAGCGTTAGCCGGATCAGTGGGCCTGCTGGCGCCGTGCTATGGCGTCCACCAGCTAGCGCCTGCGGGGAAAGAACTGCGCCCCGCTGCGATAGTGTACCTGTAGTGTGTGATTGCTGAACCGGAAGACAACGCCCTGCTTGGTTCGCAGGTACTTTGTCAAAAAGTCCAGGTTGCTGGCCTTGGGCTCAGGCGTCTCCTGCTCCTGTTCCGGCGTCTGCGCGCCACCGCCACGCATCGCGACGCATGCGAGCATTCGGTGGCAGAGATTTTGTAAGTCGACAGGACCAACAAGTAGCAACAGACTGCATTCCGTCTGTACAAAACTCTGTTCGCCGCTCCAAGCTGCGGTCGTTCGTGGCATCGAGCAGCTCCTATGTACCTTGTACAGATTGTCCTCCATGTACGTTTTGAAGTGCTTCAGCAGCGTCACCTTCTTCTCTAGCTCAGCCGGATAGCTGTCGCACATGTAGGACTTGCGCAGCAGTGTTGTTTGGTTTGACGCCTTGTGGAGATAGTCAAAGTTTCTGATGCCCAGAGAATCGAAGGTCAGAGGCGGCATCGAGCGACTGACTTGCGCCAGTAGCGCTCCATTGATGACCCTGTTGCCCAGTGCAGCTCGTCGCTGTTCACCAGTCGCCGCACTTACACATTATTGGATGACATGATCATGCTTGTGGAGTCGTTGAAGTGCACACCAACGGAGCCGTCCTTCAGCATGTAGCCAAGCCCATATTTGTTTGAGTAGTCGATCCACTTGATAATGAAGCACGGCGGTAGCTGGAAGAGCTTTTGATCTGGTACATCGAGCCAACAACACAGGGATTGTCGTTAGTTGGCACTGCTCCCCAGGGTCAGCCGTGCACTGGGTGTTCACCTATTCAGGTGGCCCATTTTCTCACACCAATGCTCGTGCTCAGGTGCCCTCACGTTCACGCCAATGCATTCTTTGGTCCAACGCCCACCAGCGCGTACAGCTATCACATCGTAGGGCTTACCGTACATGGCCTCGTTTGTGGGCACCTCCATCCCTTGCTCGTGTGCATCGATTGCTTGGCAGACGTTGTGATAGATCAGCTCGAGCACGCCGAGATGCTTTTGTGATGTCGTCACTGGACCATTCAAGGACGTGTCAGTTGCGAAATACAAGGTTGCTGGCGACTCCTTCTGCCGAGCAACTGCAGACATGTCATATTGCCGTCAAGAAATCGCAGGCATGCATTGAAGCTACTGCTGTTCCAAAGGCGTACCGCGTTGAGGCGTGCCGTCGACAAGATCCGGCCGGGTAGATCTTGCAGGAGACATGGGCGGAGGGATGTCTTGTCGGTTCGGCAGAGCGCCATCTTTCTGGTAGCTATAGTATTGTGACTGTGGCGAGCCGGAGCGGGTCCGAGGTGACGCCTCCATCGGATTGGGCGTGCGCGGCGACGGGCCAGGCGATGATAGCGGAGACGGCGACTCCAGAGCCGGGGGTCTCGGCGGCGACGTCGACCTTGGCGCATGGCGTTCTGAGTGCACCTGCTGCATCGCCTCGACAAGGGCCTCGGCCTGTTCTCGAGCAAGAGCTACATTGATGCCTCGTGGTCGGTTAATCAGATACTGCTCTTCCAAGTACCGCTGCTCAAGCGCCAGCTTCTCCTCGAGGAGCTGCTGTTGCTCCAGCTCAAGCTGGCGGTGGTACTCGAGTCTCTGATGCTCCTCCAACGCCCGCTGCTTCTCGTATTCAAGTAGGCGTTGCTGCTCTTCGTGGTGCAAGCGCGGATCCCGTGAGTACTGCCGTTGTAATCCCAGATCACGCCGGTAACCCAAGAGTGCCGGCGCAACCTCAAAGTCTTCCTCGTACAATTCTGGTACACTGGCGTATCTGTGTCCATTGGACGCATATGCGGCCTGTGCAGAAGGATGCAGGTTTCCACGTGGTTCGCTGACTGCCATCCTTGTCGTTGGCTCGTAGCTGTGTGGGTGGGGCTGTTGCTCTGCCCAATGCACGCGCGGACTCGCTGGGTTGGCCATCCCAAGATGCAGATTCTGCATCTCTGACTGAAGTGGTTGGTCGCGCTCATGGTGGCTCGGGCTCGGCGCGACACCAGGATACGACGGGTATCGCACAAATTGCTCTTGAGGCGGATCCAGGGGATCAGAGGCCGTTGTGTATGTGCGGCGAGTTGCACGGGCACCGTTTTCTGGGACCGATGCCCGTTGAACGCCGTAGGAGCGGACACTCGGCGACTGCATTGATCCACGAGTATCCAAGACCCCGAGCGGACGGACTCTACAATACAAGCTTCAGTCAGAGGAGATGGCTGGAGATTCATTCGACGCCAGATGCAACACGGACGATGGCATACCCGTTGGCTGCATGCTGCTTCATCGGGCTCTGGTGCGGATGGGAAAGCTCTTGTGATGTGAACCGATTTGGGTGGGTAGGGGGTATATTCTCCTGGCCACTCGCCGTCGGTCGGGGATATGGGCTTTGCGGCTCTGTAGATGCAACCGTGGCCATGAGCATGATGATTGAGTCGAGGGACACAGCAGTTGTTCCGAGTGGTGCAGATCGACTGCTTGCTTCAGACTTACTCTGAGGCCAAGTTCCGTTTGTCCGCTGATGGGCTTCACCGTTACTCCGTACGATATGCTGATCCTCGGCTCGATGGGTACCTGTGAGGAAGAGAGCATCATCCTGTTCAGAATGCCGTGCCCGACAGGGGCTGCTGACCAAATGAGGCAAAGTGCATGAAGCAAAGTGCATATGGCAGATGCAGCCACTCTAGCAGAAGTAAGAAGCGAGGGCACTGAACGATTTGGAAATACTGCGCACGGTTCGTCACTGACAGTACCATTTGGCTCACAGTCTTCATCTTCGGGATACACGGGCTGCTGCGATTTCTCTTGCAACAGCTGAGTGGGTCTCTGCTCCCACTGAGGTGCAGTTGTTAATGCAGTAATAGGGATCTGGGCCGGCATAAACTCGCGTACGAAAAAGTCGCTGTCAAGGACGTCGCTGATAGAGGGACGATGTTCTGTGTGTAGATGTGAAGGTTGGATGAGTCGTAGCGCCGGGAGTAAGACAGTCCACGGGGGGAGTTTCAAGGGGGGTTGCCTACCTGGTCGTGTGTTGAGCAAGGACGAAATGATCTCCTTGGCCATGTTCGACACGTATATCTGCGGAGGGAACCCATAGATGTTGTCACGGATGTTTCTGTTGGATGGAATCGAGCGTCGCGCAAATCAGTTGGCATTATGATCACAGCGGACGACCTGGCCTCTCCACTCCACCGTGGGCAAGGTTATAGCGCCGTACTCTTGTTGCACCATCATCTACTTCGAGATAACGCGATTGTCGTCATGCAAACATCTCCCCCCCCCGCCAGCCCGAGCACATTGCACAAAACCGCCGCAGCGCCATCGTACTTGTATATCGCTTTGACCTCCTTGGTCTGGAAAGGCGGGCGTCCAATGAGAAGTGTATACCTACGCAATCGAACAAGTGGCACCACGAATGGCCGATGTTGTGTTAATATGGATCGAATGATGCAAGAAGGCAGTGCTGCTGATGCCTGACATACATGACGACACCGAGCGACCAGGTGTCGACTTCGAAACTGTGGCCGTTTTGGGTGTCGAACAGAACTTCAGGGGCAATGTAATTCGGCGTTCCGCATATGGTTCTGGAGAGTTACGTGGCACAGGGGCCATCGGCATGATCTGTCAGTCAGGGCAGAGGGTTGCGATGCACGTCGCTTGAACGATGGCGGTGCTAGTGACATCACATCTGATTGCCACCTCGCTGGCCCAGCCAAGAACGAGTGGGCCAGGGGCTGCGCTGTGCATGAGGGCAGCCTACTTTTTCCGTTCTCCGTCGTGCTTCAGGATTGCTGCCAGCCCAAAGTCTCCGATTTTGAGGTCCATGGATTTAGTTAGGAAGATATTTCCGAGCTTGATATCTCTATGGATGACTTTTTGACTGTGCATATACATCAGCGCAGCGAGGAGCCGAAGCATGTAGTATCGCACTTCTGGTTCCGTCAGGCGCCTCCGGACTTTGAGGAGATCTACAAATGTCTGGCATACGAGGAATGTAAGCAGGGCGGCCAGCGAGCATATCCCATCGGAAGCCAGTTGTCAGTCCCGAAATGGCATACTTTGTTCTCGCATAGCTCCAAAATCATATAAACAAAATTGTCGTCTTCAAAGACGTGGTGAAACTGGACAATATTTGGATGTGACATTTGCCGGTGGATCTTGATTTCTGAAAAGAGCTGTCGACAGCCACCCAGAGAGGGATAGTTAGCTCCGAGAATGGCTCGAGCGGTCCGAGCGACCAAACCCGATCGATAAACACCCGAGGCCATCCGCCGCGAATCGGGGGTTTCGATGTGTATGCGCATCGGCAAAAGCCTGTGACCATTACTTTGTTCTTTTGCTTCTCGGTTCTGAGCGAGGCCTTGGGGATCACCTTGGCTGCTTTCAGTTCGCCGCTGCCATTGCCGTCCTGCACTTTGTAGCATCTGGCAAAGCCGCCCTGTTCACCAGGAGGTCCGACGGGATATTGGTCAGAGTACGGCCTTGCGGCGGCAAGCACATGCTTTTCGGACGAAGGATCTGCCTGCATTTGCCTGTGGGGCAGCCAACAGATAGGAACCATGGCCAGGCAGAGAAACCAGCGCTTCGATGTGCGCCACTGCTAGGACACCGGATTGCTGGGGGCAACGTGGGAGCCCAGGAGAGCAAATCGCCGAATTCCACTTCTGTATACCTCTCCCAGCAGCTCGCCGCGGATGTATTTTGTATTATTTTTGTGATCGCGAAGGATTGGAGGAGGTGATGGGCCAAACTTGCGGGGCTCGCGGGGCCGGTTTGCTGGCTGGCGGCCCCGTTGCACCTCCTCCTGGGGTTTCGGCTGCGGCTGCGGTGGCAGATCTGGCTGCATCTCGATGACTGTCTCGGGAATGCGGATGCGGATGCGGATGCGGATGCGGATGCAGGCGAGTGGGCTGGCGCTGCGGCTGGCGGTTTCGTCGAGTCGCTTGGGATCGAGAGGACGGGTTCCTGCAAGGCGGGTCTGGCTCGACAGGACTTGGAATCGGACCGCAAACAGCAAATGCCGGGCGCTCTCGCTCTCGGCAGCGACAACGGCGGCGCCTGTGTCTGTGTGGCCGCCGCGCGCTCTCGGCGGCTCTCGGCGGCTCTCGGCGGCTCTCGCCCGTCGCTCGCTTCGGATCCAGCCGCCCGGATCCATCCCGTTCGAGCCAGCCATGTGCCCAAACCGGGATGGCTCGAGTCACCTGACCCGCTCTCATCGGGCCACCGAGCCAGAGCGGCTGCACCACCAAAACCATCGCCGGCCCTGCTGCCCTTGCTCCCACGACCATCCCGCAACCTCCACGGGCATCCTTCGACCAGCCGATCCCCGCCGCGGCAGCCATGTGTGTCGAGAGGCTCCGCGCCTCCCTCAGCCTGATGGCCCGTCGGTGCTTCATCCTCTATCTCGGCGTCTCGGTCTATCTTGCCCTCAAGCTCACCCAGTTTTCGCTGCGCAACCGTACCGGCCCGCTGGACCAGGCCCACCGCGACCAAGTGTGGATGCAATCCCACGAGCGGGAAGCCAAGCGCATCTACCAAGCCATCGTCCATCTCCAGGGCCTGTGGATCAAGGCCGGGCAGTATCTCAGCACCCGGAGCGACTTTATGCCTACTCCGTTCGTCCAAGAGTTCCGCCAGCTGCAGGACTCGCTCCCCCCACGCCCCTTCGGCGTCATTCAGCACTCGGTGTGTGCGTCGCTCAGAATTGCTCGGCTCTCGGAAATCTTCAAGGAGTTTGACGAGGAGCCGCTGGCCACGGCGTCAATCGCACAGGTGCATCGAGCCGTGCTTGCCGACTATCGTGGCGGGCACACCGTCGTTGTCAAGGTCCGCCACGACAACATCGAGGAGAGAATCCTGCAGGACCTCAAGGACCTCAAGCTCATCATCAAGGTGGTTGCCTTCCTGGAGCCCAAGTATGACTTTGGCCCGATCGTCTCGGAATGGACCCAGGAAGTGCCCAAGGTAATGCTCTGAGGAGTCTTCTGCCGTGCTCGTGCCAGCGGCTGTGTTTGCGCATTGTTGGGCAACGACAGCCCGCTCCAGACTGGCCCAGCCCAGGCCAAGTGTCCTGCATCCGGCACTCACGAGGCGATACGGGCCGCTGCCGCTCTGCGCAGGAGCTGAACTTTGTCAACGAGGCCAACAACACCATCGAAATCAGAGACTCGATTCTGCGGCACAATCGCAACTACGAGCCGAGCCATCCGCTCTATATCGACTGCGTCTTCTCCAACCCAGTGGCCTCCCTCACGACCTCGGACATCATGGTGATGTCTTTCATTGGTGAGCGTATCTATTGGGCAGTCTTTCGGCCGCTTCCATGCACCAGTGCTGCCGCAGTAGGTCGCAGCCCTCGACCATGAGCCACGCAATGTTGCTGTACTGACATACCCTCCTCCAGATGGACATCGACTGCTCGATGTCAAAGCCCATTTGGAGCACCGCGTCGACACAGATGAGATTGTCAAGCAAGTCATCCGCGCATATGCCTTCCAGATATTCGTCATTGGATTCTGGAACTCTGGTACGCCTGCGCTGCGGCTCGTTCCATCCGCCTCTCGAGCAGCCCATATCCCACGCATACAACCTCGCCATGGTGTGCCGCCTGTCGCTCACAGCCATCTATGCTGTCGCTTGGTCCCTTTTCTATCATACTGGTTCCTCTCACCACCTGACTCTGTCCAGACCCACATCCGGTATGATGCAGCAGCCGAGTACCGTCGTCCCTGAACCTTGCATCGCACATGAGCAACCCCTGTTCACGACACTCACCCATGCTGTGTTTTCCAGGGCAATTTTCTCGTCACACAAGTCGACGGGCGCTATGTCCCTGCTCTGCTAGACTTTGGTTTGACCAAGGCAAGCTGCTCGGCACCAGCTTCGACAGAGTCGCAATACTTTATCGACAAAGTGTTTGACTCTTTTGTAACCCTCTTTCTCCCCCTCTCAACAGCGAGCGACAGAGAAGGAGGTCATGGCTTTATCCCGAATTCTCCTTTCGGCCGGAAATATGGACTTTTCAAGCCTGCTCTCTGGTCTGCAAGAACTGGGGTTCCGTTTCTCGATCGACGATCCGGAAGGCGCCATGGAGGCTGTCCGAGTAGGTATCCGCAATCTGGCTCTGCGCAACGGGCTCTCTGGCTTGGCGATACTTTCACTGTTTCACAGCGCACGCTCATCACCAATTTCATAGCATACGCCTGCTAACCCGACCCATGCATCTAGTACATCTTCCGCAATTCAGACGACAATGGCTGGGCGACAGAGTCTCCGAAGCCACGATACGGAAAGCGTCCTACACAAGAAAGCGCCGACGTTCACGAGCTTCAAAATCAAAGCTCGCGTGAGAGTCTTATTCCAAACGGAAAGAAGGCCAAGAAGCGGTTTGGTTCTTCATGGAAGCTCAAGCGGCGACGCAGAAGGAGGCGCCACCAGAACCTCGGCCTGCAAGCCTTTCCTGGCGTGATGGTGTTTTTCGCCAGGGTCATCCAGCTCCTTCGAGGACTGTCCATTACAATGGACTCGAATCAAAACTACATGGACATCATGGTTCCGTTTGCGAAGCGCCACATCGAAATGAAGCTGGACTCTGAGACGGCGCTTTACGGAAACCTGTCGCGGCCGTCGCTGTGCTCGCCCAGCCCGCTGGATGAGAGGCTCCGAGCCATTGTCCGGGACATGATCCAGACGCAAGACATCATCGGCTGCCAGATATGCGTTATGCAAGACAACGTCCGAGTCGTCGACATTGCAGCAGGCATCCAGGGCTCGTTCGATCCCACCGCCGTGAGCCACGTATGTCGATATGGTTTGCATCCGGCTGCACTCTCAGGGTATCATCCTGGCATCTGCTTCACACATGCATCTGACCGAGCTACTCCTTCTTGCATCAATTTCTTGCATCGACGGCACAGGATTCGCTGTTCCCCGTGTTCTCATGCACCAAGGCAGTCGCTGCAGCGGCCCTCCACCTGCTCGTCCAGCGCAGACTGGTCAGCTACGACGACTATGTTGTGACGCACTGGAAGACCTTTGCGCGCAACCTCATCGATCCGTCCTTTGCGAGCCTGAAGGAAACAACCAAGATCAAGCACATTCTCAACCACACCTCTGGTCTCGAAAACGCCGGAAGCGAGCTGTTTGCCCAGGACCCCTTCAAGATCGCTGACTGGAAACTGATGATCGCTGAGATGGAAAGAGCCATTCCGGCGAGCGAGCCCGGCACACACATGGCATACCACTATCTGTCCTTCGGATGGCTTGTGGGCGGCATCGTGGAATCCGTCACAGGCGTCTCCTTTGGCGCATTCCTGAAGGACGAGATCCTCGACAAGATCGGCATCACAGACCTGGGAGGATATGTCGGCATCCCCACGGGAGTCGAGTCGAGACTGGCGTCGGTAGAATGGAAGCTCGAAGAACTTCAGACACTGCTCAAGAACATCACTGGCCAAGACGACCAGCAGAAGGACAGTAAGACTCCGGCAAGCCCTGGTTCCAAGCCGGAAACCTTTCAGACTGAGCTTCCCACAGACGAGTTCACCGAAACCAAGAAGCACTTCCTTGAGGAAATGAAGAGGATGCCCGGCTCGGTCTTCGACCCGCAGGCCTCGACTCGCTTCCCGGTTGACGAAAGCCCTGCCACTGAGAGCCCGCTTGAATCGCTGGAAGATAAGATGGGAGAGCGGCTCGAAAGCATCGCTGAGCTCGCCGAGTTCGCTAAACAGCGACAGGATCGGCTGGATGGGTCGGCCGCACCCGTTCGACGGCCGCTTGGCCTGCAGCAGCGCGACATCAGACTTCCTGCGTCTGTTCGGCCCGTGACTCCAAAGCAGCCCGGACCCTTGATCCAGATTGATATCGATCGCCGCTATGGCCTCGATATCGAAGAGCCAACAACGCTTCGTCGGCAGATCCAGCCAATGTTTGGATTCAAGATCAATCCGATGGCGTCGAATCCTGCGTTTTTCAACCATCTTTACATCCGCCGAGCGGTGATTCCGTCGGCCAATGGCAATTTCTCGGCTCGGGCGCTGGCTCATTTCTACCACCACTTGGTCGAGTGCTGCCAGCATGATGGACGACGCAGAGAAGCCAGCACCTCAGCAAGAACTAGACTCTTCAGCCGAGAGACCGTCATGAAGATGAAGATGGGCGACGACGAGACTGGCGATGGCTTTGGATACGGACTGCGGCGCTACGAGTTTTTCGATGGAGATCCGCCGTCGCCTCGCCAAGATGCGTCGAGCAATGCCGGTCCAAGCCCCAAGTTCACGGCATTCGGTCACAGCGGCATGGGTGGCTCCATCGCCATCTGCTGCCCGGAGCTGGGCGTATCCATTGCGATCGTCGTCAACAAGCTCAGCCTGGTGAACGGGCGGGTGACCCAGACCCTACTCGAGACCATCGGCGAGCACTTGGGCATGGGTCGCCCGAGATTCCGCGGGTTCGGAAGCGACGACGAGTCGAAACATGGCCTCGACACTGGCATCAACCCGCTCTACATGTGATGATCGCCATCCCAGCCCCATACCGCTCCGCGCTCCTCCCACACGCGGACTCTATGTCGAGGGCGAGAGATTGCAATGCCGCCTCTGTTGCCCTCAGCCTGTGCTATGCCTTTCTAGATCCCTGTGGCGCCATAGCTGCGAACACTGGCGCCATCACCTGCTCGTTTTTTTCAATCTTCGACTATGTTTGCCTATAGACGTACAATTACCCACCCAAGAAATAAAGAATGACGTGTATTTGAATGGATACGCGTGTATTCAGGATCCAGAAGGTGGGCATCGGCCCAGACTGCGAGACGAATCGTGCCATTCTCGCGAGCGCGGCGGTCCTCTGAGCCGCCGGTTCCGAAGACGGAGCTGTCATTTGCGCAGGGTTTGCAGAATCTGGCCCTCGGACATCTTCCAGAAGTCCTTGATGACCGCAAAGGGCGAATGGTCTGTCAGCATGCTTTTGGACAAGATGATCTCGCAAAATTCTTCACGCTCGGCCCACCGCGGGACGTACTTGTACCGGAACGCCGTCCCTGATATTGCCGACGCCGAAGACTGTGGGGTTGAGGGCGACGACTGCGGCAGGTGGCTGCTGTCTCCGGCAGGAATGGGGTCTTGGGGCTTGGTCCAGTCGGGCCGAAAGACAGCGAGGACGCTGTGTCGGTGCGATTTGTTTGTTGGCCGGATTTCGTTGAAGGACAGCTGCTTCTTGAGGGTGGCGTTTTCGTTGATGTTATCGGACGAGATCGACAGATCCACTGGCAGCTTTTCGATATAGAGGATCCGCCCGGCCATAAACATGAGTGTGATCGGAACATGTGCTTCGGCTCCATCTACATCCATTGTGATTGTGCCAACACGAAGCTTGGGTTTGGTTGGGAAGACGCTCATGTCCAGTTTGTCAAGTTTGTCGAGGCTGCTGTCGCGGGCACGGAGGTTGTCGGGGACGGCCTCCGGATCCAGTTCAACCTTATTCGACCTTGTCCGCGAGCCGCAGCAATAGTTGCCCAAGACCGACTTGAACAGCTGCCACTTGGCCAGCTCACAGTCAGCCAGCAGCTCCTCGATATCTCGCTTCAAGAGCTCCAGCGAGTTCCGGGTTGTGCGCGGAACCAGGTCGTCGCCGTTGACGACCGAGATGCAAAACTGGGCAAAGTGCTCTGCAACTTCGCGCGTGAGCAGCTGGCCCGGGGGGCAGTAGCTATAGCACTTTGCGTTGGAGAAGCCCTCTTTACGTAGCATATAGCATAGCAATGCGGCGATTCCCTGGATCGGAGATGAGGCAAGTGCGTGGGGGACAGAAGTTGGATTCACTTCCGGAATGAGGGCTCGATGCCGAGCGCGGATATATCAAGAGCGATGCAAACCTGCTCCACCAAGCAGCTCAGAGGGTTTGGGGCGGATAGGATTCTGCCATAATACTCACCGCTCCGAGAGAGTGTCCAGTCACCACCAAGTTGTAGTGCGAGTATTCCGAATCTGGATCGAGCAAGATCTTGCGCAGCCGGTCTTCCTTGGTGATGTCCTCGAGAATGTTCAGACTCGTCCGCAGCATCCCCGGATGGCAGCCGTGCTTTCCCTCCGGCAGCTCTGGAATATCGAGGGGCGCCTCTGCGAAATGCATATCGACCAAGATGTCCGTGATCGAGTATGTCCCGCGAATGGCAATGACCACGCACTGCCATTCGTGGTCGAATATGATCATATAGGGCGACTTGAAGAGGTTGTTGGCTTCGTTGAAGTGGATCAACAGAATCGGCGCGATTGCCTTGGCCTCCTGGTGGTTGTAGACAAGTTCGGCATACCGGGCAAAGTACAATACATCAGGGATGTCGCTCTTTGTAATTGGTCCGTGGTGGGGGATGCCTTGTCGGTCAAACGACGTGAGCGGCGTTGGAAGCTCTGCGGCCCCTAGGGCATCGTCGCTCGCCTCGAGCTCGCTATTCAGCGAGAGAGAGCTTATTGGCTTCAAGGGCGGTGGCCGCAAGTGCGACGATCTGGTATGCGGTCGGGATAAACTAGTGTGGATGGACGACTCCGCTTCGCTCAAGTTGGTCGATGAGAGCCGGAACGCCTCGATAGATCGCTGCCGCGAGAGCCGCCGCTGGGCTTGATACTTTTGCATCCGATTTCGCTCCCGCTGCAGCTTCTTTTGCTCGCGCTTGAGCAGCAGCAGCCCCGCGATCATATCGGAGGGTGCCCAGTCAATGTCGCGAAAGTACATGGCAAGCTGACGCGAGACTTCGAGCATAACGTCCTCGCCATCGCTCATGATCTCTTTGATGCTGAAGAATCTCTTGATTCGGTCGTTCCAGATGCCGAGATACTTATCGAATTCGGTCCGTCGGTTCTGCCGCGAGAGATACATGACCGCCGAGAACATGATCAGGTATAGACTGACGGCTACGATACCGGCGATTTGAACAACGTGTGCCATTTCTAGCATGACGGCCTCGGAGTGGTCGTTGCCGGTGGCATCGGAACAGACCACGGGGCTTGTTGGAGCAAAATACGATGCGTAGACTCCATATGAATGCAATGCCTGGTCACGAAATCCGGGCCGATGAAATGTCAGCGCAACGTGAGCCAGGCCAGACCAACAGACAAGGGATCGAGTCGGCTATCCGCTCGGCCAGACAACGAGGATTTGACCGAATGCCTTACAATTTCGGATAGAATCACGATCGTGTGGATGTGGGCAAGCGCTCTGGAGTGCCCCGGAGAAGCGATGTTGAAGAACAGTCACATACGGAGCCGTCCATCGAAGCAAACAGAGCACGTTAGCTCGCAAGCACCACCGGACATGGACACTCAAGCCGATATGACAGAGACGCTGGCCATCGTTCGGAGATGGAGCGGGCCTCCGGAATGCGCTCGAAATGCGGCACTGCGGCGACCACTGACGTAAGGTACTTGCGTGGGCCGACGCTGGAGATGGTTCCCATCATCGATATCACCATGATGCTGAGTTCAAGCGGCAGCTCCAGCCCGACGTTGATGAGATACAGCCAGACGTAGTACTCGAACGGGAGAGATATCTGGCATGACGAGAGGACCGACTGCTGATGCAGGAAGGTGTAAAGGAGCGAGATGAGGATACCCCTGGATATCCGGCAGAGGGGGGCCATCACTGTAAGTCTCGTGCACACGACCAAATACATGAGCCCAGACGCAAGGCCGGTGCGGCAAACGTGAGGGATCCTCACCAAACGGTGTGAAAGCATACACCGCCAAAGGCAGGAACGTAGATGTCGTCGCTGGCCAGCTCAATTTGCCGGCGAAAGATGACGAGACGGCCCATCCCAGACCGGCCGGCCGTGGAAGTAGATCGTGCGGCCTTGATGTAAGGTGGCCGCAATGACACCAACTCCAGCAGGAGGAAACAGCAGAAGGCAGCAACAGCAGCAACACTGGCGGATGCTTGCTGGACGATCGGTCGAGTAGAGCTCCGAGAACGGGCTGCTCGATGCACGCTTGCCGCCAGCGAGCTATCGGAACACTCAAAACATATGCATCGGCGATGCGGCTCATCCGCAGTGCTGACGTATCTGTGATTGATTCCCATGGAGCTGGCTGCCCAGAGAGGAAGTCCTGTCCCGAGCTGGAGCTTGCGAGTTGGGTTTGAGACGAATGAATCGCTGATCGCCACCTGGCTGATGATCCGCATGCGGGGCCGATCGTATTCGAGACATGCTACTGGTGTCCCAGGCTCGACTCTCGTCTAGTCGGGACAGGCATGCCCATGGGCATTCAGTGCGGAAGATCAACGGGCAATGTCTTCCATGACGAACAGGCGCGCAAAGCTGCCAAGCGTGGCTGCTGCTTTGCCTGCCTCGTCTCTGTCGCAATCTCATCCGGAACCACGCCCGAGCACCACCACCTCCGCCACCACCATCCGAGAAACCTGTCGGGATGAGCATCCAGAAATTGTCCAGAGAGGCCGAGCGGCGGATTGCCTCGGCCCAGGTCGCCGTCACCCCCGAGGCCGCCATCAAGGAGCTCGTTGAGTATGCTGTTGCGGCGATTGAGCCATCCATCCGCCTCTGGCGATTGCGGCAGCAGCAGCCCTGTTTGGACCAGGAGCACTGTCTTGTCTATTCTAAAACATTTCATCCGGACCATTGCGCAACTGACATCTCCACAGAAATTCTCTGGATGCGGGAGCAGACAACATCCAAATCACGGCGACCGGCGGCGGCCTGACTCAGATCTTGGTCAAGGATACTGGCAGAGGCATCCCGGCCGAAGACGCCAAGTTCATGGCGATGCGACACTACACTTCCAAGATCCACGACTTTGAGGATATCGAGAGTGTGAGCACATATGGGTTTCGAGGTGAGTGAAGCACATGCAGTTCGTTTCAGGGATCAAGCAGGGCTCTGCGGATTCTGTCTCCAGACCTTCCCCCAGCCATATCTCCAACAAAGCGACTCACATCTATCCTTCTGGACCTACAGGCGAAGGTATGCATTCGATTTTGGGCTGGTCAGCAACAATCTCGCCGCTCCAATCTGGAGCCAGAGCCAGAGCCAGAGCCAGCAGCAGTTTAACCCGGAGCCCACTTGCACCCTTGCCTCAGCATTGAACAGCATCTGCGCCAACTCGCAAAGTAAGGATATGCTTTTGGGGCCGAGCGAATGGTCCTGTAGCTTGAATCAAAGAGTGGAGTGGACACCGATTGCGACCTAACTGCATATCTTCGACACTTGCCCAGGCGTTGTGGTGTCAACCCGGATGGCCGAGGAGATCGTGGGGCGAGTGTATGCTCTGGACGCTGCAGGCAGCATCACAAGGTAATGTCGTCGAGCCAATATCAAGTTCAAGGATGCAGACCATCGCTGGATGAGCCAAGATGCTCATGCTGTCTCGATTTGCCCTATCACAGCGAGCGACCTCTGGGCATTCCAGTCGGAACCAGCGTCACCGTCAACAAGCTCTTCTGCAACATGCCTGTTCGCCGACAGAACGCTCTCAAGGCCGTTGGCAGCACCAACAAGAAGATTCTCGACTTGGTGTCCAGGTTCGAATCGCAGACTGCGAGCAATGTGGCTGGGTGTATAGAATCGATCTTGTCTGCAGCTGACGCTCGGCCACTCTCAGTTATGCGCTCGCCCATCCAGCCGTTCGGTTTTCGCTCAAGCTTGCGACAGAGGGCAAGGCGTCGGCAGGAGATAGCAGCGGGCTTTCCAAAACCTCGGTGGCATCGGTGATGGTGAGATGAGTGTGCTGAAGGATATCGTGAGATGATCAGAGGAAATGATCTTGAAATGCACTATTGCACGTCCTGAGAGTGGTGTGCTGAGCGTCGTTTTCTGTGAGCGGTTTCCCGGATATCTTGGCGACAGTCAAGGCCGCTGCTTCGGCCAGAAATATGCTAATGCTGGCGCTCGTCGCATCTGTCACCAGGAGGCCATCCAGCAAATATACGGCGCAAATGTGGCCGCGAACCTCCAGTTTCTGCGCACAGAGGTTGCTCTGCCTGCCGTCGCAAGCGAGGAGGATCTCACGCCTCCATCGAATGTATCAGTGGCGTTTGAAATGGTCCTCCCAAAACCCTCGGCTGGTAGTTACTCTCTCGCTCGCTGCCCATGGGCGCCATACGGGCCGCCAAGAAGCCAGGAACTGTGTTTGTAACCCTTTGGATACATCTCTGTCGACAGATCTGAAACACACCACTCGATCAGTAAATGATCGCACCTTTATCTATGTCAATGCGCGCCCGGTCTCGATCCATCACAGCTCAACGATATCGTCCATCTATCAGCTGGCCAAGAAGCAAATCATGGAGATCGACGGACTCGACACTGGATCGAAAAAGTTCCCGTTCATATACATCAACATTGTGGCGCCTCCCAATATCCTTGATGGTAAGTCAGCCGAGCGGTGGCCTTCAGGAGGAAAGATCGGCAGATGGTCCAAGCATGCATCGGCTTGTCGGCTTACCCAGGCGTTCTCAAACACAGTGAACATCGAGCCCGACAAGACTACCGTCCTCTTTCACCACCCCGAATCGGTGGTGGCGAGGTATGTGACTTGTGCTGCTTGCTGGGATCTCGCCATCATCCAGACGTATTGTATCGCATCGCATGCCCTGACCGCATACCGATTCCACAATACAGCTTTGAAAATGCTTTGTCGAGCATCTACGGTGGCATCGCAGATACCGTCGCAGCCCCCCTTCCGCCGGCTGCTCCGGTTACTGCGATGCCTACTCCGTCGTCAACATCTGGAAACGCAGTAGCAGCAACGCGTCCATTGGCGTCTGCAGGGCCCCGGAGAAGTCTGCTGAATGCGGACGATGACAGTGATGTTGCAAGCAACGATGACGACACTGAACGAGGCACTCGGCCAGAGAAGCGGCTGAAATCCAAATCAGTTGCGTTTGCTTTGGGTCCGGGCATGCCGATGAGCACCCCAAGCACCATCCCGCGCAGTCACAGCAACGACCGCGCCGCAGTAGAATCGGGAGCCATTGGCTCGGGGACACCCGGCTCGAATGCATCGGGATCACTAGTGAGTAATGCTGTATGTCAGTTTACAGCTACAAATCAACTCGAGCAGTCAGGATAAGCCCAGAGTCTTACACCCGTGTTTTTGGACTGGTACCGCCGAAGCAGTCAATGGACGGAAGCCTGGCGTCACCCGAGCGGACTGCAAAGAAGCTGACGCCTGCAGAGTTCATGTCGCTCCTCACAACGCCCGAGACCAAGTCGCAAAAGACGAAGCGGTTGAATCAGTTTGTGGAGAACCTGAGCCGTCGAAGCCCGTCCTCGCCTTCAGCACGACCAACCAAACGAAGCGAAGGCAATTATGCGCGTCCACGACAGCATTCGCAGGATCGAGCCCCATCGATGCCTCTCATGCCTCTCAAAGAAGCTCCCAACAGCATCAAGGTCTCCTCCAAACACATCACCAAGATACCCGAAAACGACCTGGATTACCAATCGATTGTGAGCGAGGAGGCGGAGGCGCGAGTCGACGATCTGGCAGTATGGAAGTCAAAGTACCTCCTGCTCAAAGACCGAGCAAAGCAGCACAATACCCCAAGCACCCCAGGCACGCCGCGCAGCGAGGTTGTCTCGGCAAAGGTGCTGCAGCAACTCCGGGTTGTGGGCTCTCTGCAACTTCCGCCGGAATCCCAGCCGGACCCTGCACGAGCGGCTCTCAACCTGGACACGAGCCACTCAGCCGTCTGGGTCGTCAAGCTCGACACCCAACTGCTTGCTGTGAATGTGCGGAGGTGAGTCATGCGGCAGATAGGGCTGCGTTTCGGTCCGCTGTATGCTATGCTAACACGATGGCTATGCTCGACGCACTGTGCCGTCTCGTGCCACACCAGGCTGCAAGAGCTTCTAGTCTACATCAGCCTCTCTCGGGAGTTCTTCCTTCCTATCACGCCCCTCTTGATCCCGCGGATCCTGACAGCAAGGTAAATAGGGTGGTCCAGCTCGGGTTTGAAGAGCGGTCTGCTCGTGAGACGACCCATTTTGCTTCGAGAGCGGCTGTCATTTGGGCAGCGTCTGCGAACCTGCAGTGTCTGCGAACCGCTTGGCGTACTTACATGTCGTTACGTCCGCACAAGCATCATCGGTGGCCCACATGTCTATGGCTGGCTGGTTGACCATGCAGTCGCAGAGCTGGGTACGTTGGTGCGCTCGAGAGATGAAGCCATGCATGCAACCCGAAGGAGTGAGGCGCAGCCTGGGATCCACTCCTTGGTTGATCCAATAGCCACCGAGACTGAAACCGTCGCCGTTCTTCTAAACGATGCTGGCAGTCAGCGAGACCGGTAACCGCTCACAGCGCTACAAGGTTACCGACAAGCGTATTCTTGGCAACGGGTTCGAGCTGTACATCAAGCGAGGTGCGTTACTGCAATGTGATCAGTGCAGCACATCGTGATGCATGTGGCTCGCTTGATCCTGTGGGTCCATTCGGGCTGTCTCATCGTCGTCTGTCATTCGTTCCTTGTAGATCATGTCGGCGAAACCACAGTCGAGCTCACAGGAATCACCAAACTCATTCCCGCCTACGACGTACAGGATCTCCGCCTGCTCCTGACCAACCTCCACAGCCTTCACAGCCGATCCAAACGTCAGAGCAGCCAACCGGAGCTTCCAATGGCGATCGGCGGCTTCTCTGGCAGCCCATCAGCCTCGCCGCCCACATCGTCGCCCAGTAGCACCCAACCGACGGGCTCTGCACTGAGTCAGGGATCGCTCGAATCTTTCCGGTCGACTCAGGCCAACAAGTTCTTCCGGGACTGCTCCAAGCGTGTGGCCGAGAAGAAGGTGGGCCAGCTCATGGGCGGCATGGGCGATTCCTTCCATATTGAAGTCCAGAACGCCATCCGGCGGTACTTTGGGCTTGTCCCGCCGCTTCGGTCAACGGAGGCGTGGGTCTGCCCGCACGAGAGACTTGCGATAACGTCCGTGTACCGGTATCTGCTGTAACTTTGACGGGCCACAGCAGCAGATCGTGGCGCAAATGAGACGGAGCACATGGCAACAAACAAGACTGTATGCACTTGCGCGGATCGTCCTGATGAGCTCGGCTGGACGCGAGTGTCGATCAACCACGATCGATAGAGTGTTTTGCCGGCCATAATCAACACATCGCCTGGCTTGTCGCTGTTGCTGCTCATTGGATGCGAGGCCCTTGCCTTGAATCAAGCCGTGGTATTGCAGCGCAGCGATGGATGGCCATTGTGTATTGCAGCCCAAAGAGAAGTAGTAATATCAGGGTGCTCCCGATTCATTCTGCGAACCCTGTATTCTTGCTGGACACAGCCCAGGCTGATCTACCACTGTTCTGCTGATCTCAAAAGAATGGCCAAGGTCGAGTCACGCACCAGCCAAAGTGAAGGAGCTAGCGGGAGTGGGAAAGAGTTTCGACATGCTGAAGAGGGAGGAGGGGCGTGGAAAATATGAAATGAGTGGGAGGAAAGTAAAATGGAGGAACGGGTGTGCTCACAACACTAGCAAAAAACAACAACCAAAAGCCAACTTCAGGAGGGGGAGGGAACACGGGACATGACATTGATATTGTCTACGATGGGATATGGACAGGGCTTGGCTTGGTTCGTAGGTCGATACAGTCCTTCCTTTCTTCTTCTCGACAACAACCATGGGGGAGAAAACGATCCTGCACTCAAACGCTTGGACAGGAAAAGGCGTGGGCACTTGCTTACAAACAGTCAGGGCTTCGGATGGAAGCATTTGAAAGGGGCTCTTGGACCAAAAATCAAAAATCAAACATCAACAGCCGACATTCCATCAAAGTGAGCATGGAGCCCACGCTGAAGCCGGATGACAGCCGCCGACACAAGTTTGCCTCCGTTCTTCTTGCTCCGGGAGATCTTGCCACCACTCAGTTCCGGTACACCTTCAAAGGCTTTCCAGGAGGGGTATTCCAGAGCTCCTTCAGGATGTCGAAGGGCCGGTGGTCGGAGAGCATCGAGCGCGAGATCTGGATTTCCTGGAACTCGTCGCGGGAGGCCCAGCGAGGGACATACTGATATTTGTCGCTCTCGGAGTGGATCATTCCGGGCTCGCGGCGGGTGAGGGTGCTCTGATACCGAGTAAGGGTGCCGCCGCTGATGCTGCTGCTGCTGCTGTTGCTGGGGTTGCTGGAGTTGTTGCCGGCGGTGGGGGCAGGCACGGCAACTCGGGGACTGTTGAGCTTGGAGCGCTGCGAGGCCGAGCGCGCCAGATCGCTCTTGGGGAGCGTTGAAGATGGCGCACAGGCATCGAGGGAAACTTGCGAGAGCGACGAGTCGTTTGCTTGGCTCATCTGCAGTGCCTGAAGCTCTCTGTTCTTGAGGATGGCGCGGCGGATCATTTGTGGGCCCTTGCGGAAGGGATTGCGAGTAGAGTCTTGATCCTCGATGCCGATCGAGAAAGTCGACTCCAGATTCAGGTACTTTGTGATCTTTTCGAGATACAGGATGCGTCCGGCAATATACATTCGTGGAATCTCCTTGCTCATGTTCGCCAGCTGGCTTTCAAGATCGACGCCGCGCTCATCACGGCGAATTGAGACCGTGCGTCGTTTGAGCTGCTCCTCGTCAATGTCCGAGAGTTCGACAGATTCCAGGCCGGCGGTCGGACTCTGGACCCGTTGAAGGGTGGACTTGCCGCCGGTGTCCTTGCCGCTGCCGCTACCGTTGCCGGACCGCTGGAGGGTGCCTCCACCGAGGTCGGTGGGCTGTCGTTGCAGACCTGCGGCTCCCATTTTGCCTTGCTTTTTGGTTGTCCATTTGAAGAAGTGGTTGCCGAGGACGGACTTGAAGATCTCCCACTTGGGGCGGTCGCAGTTGTTGATCAGTCGACGAACGTCGATCTTGAGAATCTCCATGGACTGCGGCGATAGACGTGAGACGAGGTCGTCGCCGATGACGACAGAGATGCAAAACTCCTCGAACAGCACGGCCGGGACGACCGAGACAAGCTGGGACGGTGGGTTGTAGCTGTAGCACAGCGCACGGCCATACCCGCTCTTGCGCAGCTTGTAGCAGAGCAGAGCCGCAACACCCTATGGGTAAGGACCCGTGTGCCAATGGAGAGAATCAGTTAGTCGACGACTTTGAGCGAACGAATGAATTGGGGTTGGAAATGTCTCGGCGGTGCGGTTGTCGGGAGCATAGTCACCGCACGCGCACGGAGGGAAGGTGTGTGGTGCAGCACAGTCAGGCGGCAAGATAGCAGAGCTGCAGCCCACCTGCCGCATCTCTGACCGCAGTTCTGACCGCAGTTCTGACCGCAGTGCTGACTAGATCACCCCTATCGCCATCGTCATCGGCCAAACTTACCGCGCCAAGCGAGTGCCCGCACACGACAACGCGGTAGTGCGAATAGGCCGATTCAGGGGACAGCACCCGCTGCAGGATCTTCTCGGTTTCGATGTCGCTGTAGATGTTCTCGGCCGTTACGAGCATGCCCGAATGGCAAAAGTGTCGGCCGTCGGGGTCCTCGTCGACATGTAGCGGAGCCTCTTGAAACTTGAAATCGACGAGCAGATCGGCAGTCGAGTAGGTGCCTCGCACGGCAATAACGATGCACTGCCAGTCGTGGTCGTAGGCAATCAGGTAGGGCGACTTGAACAGGTCGTTGTCCTCGTTAAAGTGGAGAAGGACGCTCTTGCCGAGGGCCTTGGCCTCGGTGTGGTTGTACACAAGCTCGGCGTACCGGGCAAAATACAGGACATCGACAATGTCGGCGTGGGTAATGGGGGCGTTGTTCTCGAAGCGGGAACCGAGGAGGGAGTTCATGGTGGCCTCGGAGGCCAGTGGCATGTGGCCGACAGACGTGGACGAGGTGGAGGTGGGCAGAGTCGACGTTGACGCCATCGGCCCGTACGCAAGTGGGTGGGTCGAGTCGATGTGTTGGGGCGAGACCGGCACAATCACAGCGTCAGACATTTTGCGCTTGATCAGGTCGGTCTGAGAGTCGACGGTGTTGAGGGTCGGGGTGATGCTGCCGCGGCTGGGATGGCGGGCATGGCTGGGGATGGTCTCGGTGGGTGACCCAAAAGACGAAGGAAGCGAGATTGCAGGCGACGTCACCATAGTCGCCGAGAGGGACGGTTGGACCGAGGTTTGGATCTCGCGCAGCTTGTATGCCTTGGTGGCCTCCCGACGGCGCTGAACACGCTTCTGCTCTCGCTTGAGCAAAATGAGCCCGACCAGGATGTCAGACGGAGACCAATCGACGTCGTGGAAGTAGTCGGCCATCTGCTTGGAGAGATCCGCCAGCGTATCCTTTCCGTTCTTGAGGATCTCGGGAGTGCCGAGAGTGCCGCAGAAGAGCTCAAAGCGCCGCTTCCACAAATCAAGGTATTTGTCAAAGGCGGCTCGCTTCTTGGTCTTGGAGCCGAGCATAAAGAGCATGAAGAAAAAGAGATAAAAGGACAGTGCCAGGATGCCCCAGATGACCACGAGGTTGACCATGACGTTGGCGACGGAGTTGCTGAACTTTTGGCCGGTGTTGGGTCGTGTGCAGACGACCTTGGTGGAGATGACAAAGACGCCCCACCACAGTATGGCCTGGCTCAGGATGGGCGTAGCGTCGATGGGCGATAGGATGGGCGATGCGTCGATGGGCGATAGGATGGATGCATCAGGATATTGGTTTTATGGAGGGAAGCAGAGTGAGACATTGCCGAGGCCATGAGGTTGGTGCCAGCACACGCCGATAGCCATAACGACACAAACAAGCTAGAATGCCGACTTACATATTCGCACATGAGCACGAAAAAGTGGATGTGGACCAGCGGGCTTGTTTGCCAATCGACCAGGTAGTGCGAGACAAACGAGACCGTAGAGAGTCAGTGGCGTGGCAAGGTCAGGACCGGCGTCGTTACGTCGGCAGAGCACTGGATATGTCGATGCTGTCCCGAACAGGGCTCCGAGACACAGGCCCAGCGAATCCGCTAAGCGGCTAGTGCAGCAGTTACCTCAGCCACCGTCGCGGGCCCTTGTTTGCAACTGTTCCCATCATGGACAGGACCAGAATTAGGATCTCCAGCGGGAGCTCGACCGAGAGATTGATCAGGTAGATCCATACAAAGTACAACGGCTGCTCGGCCACTTGGCAGTTCTGACGGAACTCGTCCGAGTGCAAGAAGTAGTAGACGATGGCGATGAGCGTGATCCTGCAAGTCCGAGCAAGGTCCGAAGGGAGGAGGACGAGGATCGAGTCGAAAGCAGAGTTGGATAGAGGTCGTTGTATGTGTGAGGGCGGAGGGCGACGAATGATCCGAGGTTGCAGTACGGCGCCAAAGCCACCCCAAGGTGCAGAGCCGAAGATGGGTGCGATGCCGGCGGGTGCCGGTGGGTGCCGGTGGATACGGCAGGTCAGAGATATGCCGCAGAAAGCATGGTTTTGGATTGTCGAGACGGTATCCCGGGTATCCAAATGGTGTCCGATGATGAGAGCGAGTGTGAGCAACGGACCAGAGGGTGGGCGGAGCCGCGCAGCGACCAGCGTGCGGGATATCGAGTCAGGAATACAAAGTCAGCCAAATGAACCAGCAGTATGATATGCGATGCCGGGACCCTCGACAGAGCAGCAAACAGAAGCGGTGTACCAACCAGATGGTGTGCAGCATGACGCCGTAGAATGCGGGGACGTAGAGGTCATCTCCGGCCAAGTCGATGCGGCGGTTAAAGACCACCAGGCGACCCATTGGGCTCGGGAAAAGGATCGAGGGACAGGCTGCAGGAAGTGGAGCAAGTGGACCGAGCAAGCAGGTTAGAGGGAAGACCAGGCCTGGCGAAAGGTCAGCAAAGGCGAACGACAGTCAGGATGAATCAGGCCGGCATCGGCGGGTGGAAGAAGGAAGCGAAGGGAGGCAGGATGCCGCGCAGAAGTGGGCGCCAAGCGAGGACAGCGAGGACAGCGATGGCAGTGATGGCAATGATGGCAGTGATGGCAGTGATGGCAGTGATGCTGATAACAACAGTATCGATGCCAGCGTCGGCGACGGTATCAATAGCAATTGCAGAGGCAGACCTGTCGAGGAAGAGAAGCGTAGATGGAGATTGACCCAGGGCAATGCGGCGATTCGGGCAGGACCGAAAGTTGGGCGGTGGACGAACTGTGACAGCGACTGTGACAGCTACTGTAACAGCGACTGTGACAACTACTGTGACAGTGCTCACTGAACTGTCGCGATCGCCCTTTGTCTGCCCACAGAAACAACCCGGCACAACAGAACCCTCGCACAGCACAAACTGCAGAACGCGCGCCGGCGTGTGCGACGCTCTGCCCGGCGCGGTCGCACGGCGCGCGTGGGAACGTGCGTCGCCGCCTCCGCGTGGCGCCGGACACGGCCCATGATCGCATCAGCTGACCGTGCTCGTGGCCGCCCCTGGGCACCATGCGCTTGTTCCGGCGCGTTGGTTGCGGGCGGCCTGTCGCCTTTGGGGCTTCCTTGTGGCGCTCCCCTGGCATATGGCGACATGCTGCGGGCATCCCGTCGCCCAGTCAGTCTCCCAGCCTGCCTGTGGTCGGAAGGACGTCGGTGCATCCGATATCTCGACAGAAGAACGAAGCGCGATCGCCGCGGGTGTTCTAGAAACCCTCCCTGGCGATTGCCGAGCCGATCCCTCCCCCCCTCGCACTGTTCTGCTCGCACCAGCTGTTTCCACCCGCTGACCACTCCCGCTTACATGGATGCTACTTTCCTGCTTGTTCACCTTCGTCCATGTGTGCCCCTCCGCTCGATTCCAATCTCCTCGCCTTTGCATTCGCAAATGCCCGCCTCTTTCCGCCTACCACGTGACAGTGTCTTCGGGCGCCATGGCTGTCAGTTCCGTCGCATCGGCTTGATCCGACCGGCACTTTCACACGCTTCGTCCCCAGTGCATCTCAACCATGGCCAGCATCGACGCCAAGAAACCGCCGCTGCGCAAACTCAACATATGCGACCTCAAGGTGCCCGGCAAGATTCTCGTCGCCCGTCCGCTCCCTCCAGATTATCTGGGTGAAGGTACGCAGCCATCCGAAAGTGCAGTGCCCGCTGGTGCCCTTGGCCGAGCCGTCAATATCGGCAGCGGATGTTGGCAGCTGATGCTATCGATTGTCATTGCAGAGCCCGAGTTCACCGATCCCAACCATCGTCCGATTCCCATCACCCTGATCACCGCCCAGCATGTGAGTGTGCGAGTTGCGTCTCTGGCGCGCCTGTTTTGTTGCTTGGAGCTGTCGTCTATGTCGTCGTCGGGGTCGCTGGTTCATGACCAGCACGCGTTGTCGTCACAACCAACTTGCCACCAGACAACAACACCGCCGAGCTATACTCACCAAATCCTCCTTCACCGCCTGCACCCATCAAGTATGGGCCGCGACGCGAAAAGGACGGCAACGTCGTCGCCCACACCTTACTCGGCGACACGGACGACTATCTCGAGCTCGAGAGAATCTACGGCAGCATCGACAAGCCCGCCGATCAAGAGAGCCAGGACGACTCGGCCGAGAGCGTGGCTCGCGACGCCGAGCCGCAAAAATCTCAGAAAGCCACCACCTTTGCCACCCAGCAGATGAGCCGTCGACGCAGCGCTGCTCTTCGTGCTCAGCAACGCGAGGAAAAGAAGCGCTGGTTCAAGAAGCTCCATATCTTCCAGCGATACAGGTGCGCCGCCGACCCCCGAGGGTATTCCGGGGTGCAGCTGCCCTAGCATCCGCCCTCGCCGACTCTCTCAGAGAACATGCTCTGTCCCCCTGGCTGAGCTCTGGCCGATTCTGTGCTCTCGACCATATAGGGAGCTGCGGGAGGAGCACGCCCTCAAAAACTGGAGGCGCCACAGCATCGAATGGGCCAAGGTCGAGGCCAGGCTCTCCAACAAATCCAAAAAGTCGCCCGAGGATATTTTGATGGCTCGGCTTGGCGAACACCGCATGAGACTCGAGGAGCGCGATTTGATCGAGGAGGCCCTCCGACTCCTCGAGTCCCGCAATGTCAACTTTTGGAAGACCGGGATTCGAATCGGAAACGATCTGCTGGGACTCACCCTCCCGATGCCCAAGGGCGGTCCACGAGAGTAAGAGCCGGAGGAGCGACGCCTTAGGCCTCTCACTCGGTCCTCGATGTATATACGGACGCTGATACTCTCTGTTTCAATACTCTGCTCAATACTCTCTGTTTCAATACTCTGCTCAATACCTGCAACGGATGTCATCAGGATCGAGCGCCTCAGAACATACGAGTCGTGCAGGTGTGTTGATGATTGTGCTGCTTTCAAGCGACTGTGTGTTCTAAGGATCATGTCGCCGGGTCTCCATTCGTTTTCCCTTCTCCAAGTCAAACCTACAAGGCCCCGGTCACAGAATATCGGCACTCCAGAAAGCAAGAGCTCAAGCATGTCATATCGGCTTTGGATTCATTCTACGTGGTAAGCGAGCGCTTCAGTATGAGTGTCGATGCTGGGTACCGTCATCCGAGTGTATGCGCCGTGATCGCAGCGATGGAGCCGCCGACCATATCAGCGAGCATATTCAGAGCTGAAGATTTTGTATCTGTCCGATAGCAAGGTGACAGCGGATACATGGAGGTGATTGGCAAAGGATTCACGGATGACGGGCCACAGAGCCTTGCTGAAGAGTTTATCAAGCGTTTGGATGAGAGGTTGGCCCAGTTCGCATTCTCCAGCCCCGAATCCCTGCCGAATGCGCCGAACTATCCCTGATGCCAAGACTGGTCATTAAGATATTACTGTCGATTCGTTCCGACTCCTGGGTCATGCTTGCATTCCAAAGCGCCTCCAAGGGCGAGTACCTTGGCGCGGGCAAGGAACGATCGCGGCGCCAGAGCGAGACAAAAGATAGGCCTCACTCAGTTGCGACCCGCCGCCAGAGCAAGGCGACAACCAGCATAGCCCGGGAGAGTGCTGCCGAGAAACTTGAAGAGCCCGAAGAGGTTACAAAGAACCTCGAGGTCGTCGACGAAGACACGGACGTAAGAACGGGCTCGTTCGAGATGAAAATCGTCTTTGGAAACAACCGTCTGGTATTTGAGAACTACTTGGGCCAGGTCAGCACCCTGGTCTTGACTGTCTACAACCAAGGCGCGACGGCATGTCACTTCAAATGGGTCAAGGAGGAGGCCCCGAATCCCCTCAAGGTCAGTGCCTATCTGCCCACTCCTTAGTCGTATCTGCAGCATTAGCCTCATCCAAAGCATTGCCGCTCTGTGAAGTTATTGTATGATCTCATCCTGAACAAACCCAAGAGCCATGGATGCGCACCCTGTATCTGGAGGAAACGATCTTTGCTTGTGCGCAGAAACGCACTGTCATACAAAACCAACCGACCCTCGCGCTTTCCGTCAGGTCAATGCAGTGTACGATGGCATACAGCGCTTCTTTTTCTATCACCATACTGGAGTCATTCTGCCTGGAACGGCATTCGACTTTCCGATCATCTTCAAAAGCGCCTCTCCAGGAGTGAGTGATCAATGCCAGACATTTTACCGGCCGTATGGTCGCTTGTGGATACCGGCAACCCGGCGATATGTTTTGTCACATCGTTTGGATTGCACAATATCACCGCACTGCACTGCACTGCACCGCCTTGCCAAGTGAGCTGACGGGTGTCTTGGCGCGCAAATAGATCTTCAGAGAATCGTGGAAGTTTGTAACCTCGCCACGCTGCTCCGACAAGCTGCAGCATCTGGAGCTACATGGCATCGCTATCGAGCCGGACGAGCACCGCGACGACCGCAGCCATTTGGAGCTACTTCTTCGGAAGCGACAGTACGGAGGGAGGGGTGGCCTGAGTGTTTGTCACAATGGACAGTGCGTCTGTCCAGCCGGTCCGGCTATGGTCATATGAGAGCGAGCATTGAGCTGATTTTTCGCTGCGCCCCACAGAGCTATGGCACTCGCCCAGGAAGTCATCGACAAGATATTCAGAAACTTTAAGAGCTTCGAGAGTCGGCCGTCACACGCTGCCTCCATAAAGCGACCCGACGGCACGATGAACGAGCGCATAGCGTTCCTGAAGATGAACCAGCGGCTCCATGTATGCATATGTGCGAGCAGGTCGCAGTTCTGATGCAAGACTACCACAGCGCCTCGATCTTCATGGGAAGATTATTGTGGCGATCACACTGGAATGTGCCCATCTCAGCAACAGAAGATGCGATGGATGCTACGTTCCAGCATCCACAGGCGGCAAGTTACTTACCAGCCATGCCGTACACCCACAGCTATCCTACGATCCTCAGGTCTATGACGCTTTGAGTCAACTTGCATCCGATACTGCCGCTCTTGTGCGCCCATCTCTGCCGTATCGATGGGATGCCTCGATCACATCTTTGAGCGAGGTGAGTTGTCGTCGATACCACCGCCATCGTGGCAGGCACCTTCCCTTTGACCCCTCCTCAAGCCTTACTGATCCGATCTCGGGGCCTGACTCTGACACTGGGCTAGCTCTGCGGCGAGATTCGTGACGTCGATACTCGGTCATCCCATTTGAGCCGCCTCAACGACCTGGTATCACGCGCCTCTGTCTGTCCCAAGACAACGACCTCGTCGTTGCACTACATTGTCGGGTATGTGGTCGATCCCATGCACTTTGAAAGGATCTTTGGTAGCGGCATCACCGATGGTGCGCATATGAACCTGCACAGCTGTTTTCATTGAGCCTGTACACTGCTGACTGCCGAGCTATCCCAGATTTGACATCATGGTCGACCTAGCTGATCGTATCGTCGATATTTCCGAAGCCTTGAGAACGTCGTTTGGGCTTCCTATGGCGGTAAGCCCACGGATTAGCGGATGATCCTATTCTGTGAAATTCAGTATTCATTTGGCTGGTTTCTCTGATGTGTGAGGTTCAGAGCTTTGACGGGTGCTGGTCGCATGTGCACGTCGAAGAGAAAATGCAGAGGGAGAGCCGGCTTGGTCATCTGCGAGCGCATGCGCCACGATACCTCGGTGATATCTTGACGAAAACCCGAACGGGTCGCACTACTTTGCTCGACAGAGATCGGCCGCCGTATTCTTCCCGGAGGCAACAGAGGCAAAGGAAGAGAACGAGGGTGCCGATGCCGGCAAGGGTGGAGTGACCACTGCTGCGGATGCCTCACGCAAGGTGCCGCCAAGCGCCCCGGGGGCTGGCGACGACAAGAAGAAAGCGGCCGCGGTATGACTTGGTGATGCTGGCACAAACGCTTCCACAGACGCTCGAACGCGATCAGCGCTCTTGCCCGGCGCCAGATAAAACGGACTGCCCCATTGCCGCCTAACAAAACCGCTGTCCCGCGCTTTCATGCTCGGTTCCAGGGACCTGGCGCTGGCAAGGACGCCAAGAAGGGTGCTCCTCCGCCGGCCAAGAAAGCCCCCGGAAAAAAGACGAACGAAGCCAATGCTGGCGAGTACACGAACGCCGCACATTTCATGCGGCAATGCTGCTGGCTGGATCGTGCCGGAGAGGGCGGCCAACCCTCTTCTCCCAGCTGACGCCCAGAACTTTGACTTGGCACACCACAGATCAAGACGAGCAGCAACGGCCACAGCTCGCGAAGCTGATCACAAGCAAGAAGCCGGTAAAGATCCGATGGCGTCATGGCAGAGTCGCATTGTATGGGTGCAAGTCTGTCGATGTGACGGTGTGGTGTTGCACTCATCCACTCTGCGGATGTAACGGCGATATCGCTGTGCTCATGTACTTGTTCCGCCATCCCCGCCAACTCGGTTCTATTCTCCAACCAGCGTCACAACTCGGGATGGACACCAGAGCGCCGACAACAGGAGCTTCTCTACAAGCAAGAGCTCAAAGTCCAGGTACGCCGGGGAGAAAGGATCCGGATTTGGATCTGGTTGCATCGGAGTAACTGATGTCGCCTCGAACGGGTTTGTGGATCGAGCCACTTGTCCGCGCTCGCTGGTCTCATTCGACTCCTCCGATCATCTATTGCACCTCCTGCATCCTGGACGGACACGCGACAGACTCGGCAGCTGCTCGTCACAGCAATCGACCGCATGACGGCTCTGTTTCAGGACGGCCACGAGCTTTGAGCCAAGCAGCGGGAGGAGGAGGGGCACTCGTCGGCAGCGGGCAGACGGTCACTGATCTGGTCAGAATGCAGAAGGAACATTGCTCGATCTCGCTCTGGCGCTATCACTGGCTTTGTTCAGGGGGAGGAGAGGCTGCCTGCGGCCGGGACTACTTTTGCTTGGATTTGCCGGGGTTTCCCACACCCGCAGGCTTGCACAGGCATCCGGCAGGCCCTGATTGGTGTGTCCGGGCCCAATCGGAACCACAGCACGTGATCTGTCGTGACTGCCATCCTGCGGCCGGCCAGCCTCGGAGCTCACAAAAATGCGCACCCGCCGCTTCCCTCCAGCGATCCAGCCCGAGGCAGAACCAGGACCGCAACGACAACAGAACGACAACAGAACGACAGCAGGACGGCAGCAGGACGGCAGCAGGTTGGGATGGTTTGCGGGGCGGGCGCATGATGCTCCTCGTGGAAGGGCGACGGCGCAGCAAGCCCGATGCTGCCATCGACCGCCTCGAGGACACGGACTGCCCGATGGATCGATCAATTGTCAGCACTCACTCACGCTCCCCGGGTTGCTCCTGCCCACTGTCCCTGGCTCGCCATACCCACAAGCGCATCCACAAGTTATTTTCCATCATTGATATCTATCGAACATGCTCCCATCACTGAGGGCTCAAAGTCTGCCACAGCGACTGGTCAATGCGGCCGCGTTTTCAGCATATTCCAGAACGCTGCGAGCCGAACTGTCGTCGGCCGTGAATGCACCGGCAAAGAAGGGACGAGTGCTGCCAAAGAAGTCTGTCCTGACACTGGTAATTAGAATCCATGCGCCACAATCGGCACCGGAATGAATCGGAGACTGTTGGGCTTGAGTGAGCGATCTGTGGATGCAGAATCGGATCGATGCAGTGGAGCCTGCATCCATGGCTTGGACACAGGCCTCGGCTCTGCGTTTATTCGAGGGGGGGGGGGGCTGAATTGCGGACAGGAGCATCTCATTGGGAATCCGGTGACGAAGTCTGAGCGTCTTGGTCTCAGGCGACGAGTATGGCGGCGTGGTATCGTTGATCTGCATCTGACAGAGTCGGAACATGCATCACCCTGACCAACATGCAGACTCCAGCTGCCGTCGAGCGGCTGAAGAGGCTGAACGCTGATTCAGACGGACCCAAGCTACTCAAGGTAAGCTATACAATGCGCAAGCTTCCCTCGCGGGTTGGTCGATTCGCTTGCAGCGAGGACCACTTCACACGCCATCAGAGCAATCTTCGGGAGGAAAAGACTGCGACTCGAACTACACGCAGTGCGAAAGGTCTTGCGAAAGATCTTTCGAGTGCACCCTTTCGGTTCAGAGGCATCATGCAACCGGCTTATACTTCGACTCGTGCCCATGCCAGGTCGGCACCAAGAAGAAGGGGTGCTCTGGACAAACGTATTCGCTCGAATACGTGACCGAGCCGGGCAAGTTTGACGAACTGGTTGAGCAAGACGGCGTCCGGGTGCTGGTCGATTCCAAGGCCCTGTTCTCGTTGATTGGATCTGAGATGGATTTTGTGGAGGACAAGCTGTCGAATCAGTTTGTGTTCCACAATCCGAATGTTAAGGTATGTTGTATTGGAGTGCGAGTAAGCCGTGCCGTCGTATCAGTTGGCTGTTGTCTCGGTGGACATCTCGAGGTCTGCGATTGGGAGGCATCTTGGTCGCTGTGGACCGACTGCTGCGTTCGCCACTCTCGCCAATCAGCCGCGGTTCGCCAATGCGGTTCGCCAATTCAGTTCGCCAATTCAGTTCGCTCATGATGCCTCCTCTGCGCTTTTGGGCTCCAGGAAATGTGCGGCTGTGGACAGTCGTTTATGGTTTGAGTCTCCATCCGCCGCCCGGGCACTGTGCCGATGAAGATTCAGGCGACGGTCTGGCTGTGGCTGATTCTCGATTCAGATCCAGAATCGCTGAATATAGTGTGTTCTGGAAGCAGCACAGTTCCGTTTGGGTGGAATCGGCCGTGTGGCTTGTGTGCGGCCTGTGTGCGGCCGATGTGTGGCTGTGTGGATGTGTGGCTGTGGCGGCGCACGTGAATGGGCCAGCCTTGGCAAAGCATGTGCCGACTCTCTTCTCGCCTTGGCCTCTCTTCTTCTCGCCCTGATCTCTCCCCCTTTTTCCGGCGACTTTTGGTCGGTTCTTGGTTCTGTCGAGCAGCGTTTGTTCTGCGTCCATCTGCTTGCCCGCCGCTCTCCTGCCCAACGCTCCGGGCTGCTCGATTGTCTGCACGGCTGCTCGACCGGTCTGCGCATTCTGCTCTCGCCGCCTCCGACCCTCCCAGCCACTGCGAGCTCGGCCAAAGACTGCCGTCCCCAAATCGTCGACGCTCACGGCTGCTGGATCCAACCTAACCCAACCCAACCCAACCCAACCCCCTTCCGACGCAATGACATCATCGCCCCAGTTTATCACGGCCATTCCAGGCCAAGACTCGTTTGGAACAGCCCAGTCTGCTCTGTCGCCTGGCTCTTGGCTGTCATCCTCTCCAATCATCTGGGACAACATTCTCGATCGATTCCAGCCCAACTTCTCGATCCCGGACCCGCAGATTCCAAAATCACAATGGTCGCTCGTTGCCAACCCGGTGGCTTCCAGGAACGCCTCTTCGACTTTGTCTGCAACCTTCTTCTACCTGCTGGCCGCCCAGACAATCTCCGACATCCCCTCGCAGATTGTCACATATCTGAAGGTCGTCGGGTTCTCGCTGCCCACAACCAGCACTGCCGGCCCGGCCTTGGTCCTCGACTATGACATTCCGGGAAACTACCACATCGACTTTTCGTCGTCGCCGGCTCTTGCCTTTGCCAGTCGGCGTCCTTTCCTGGGCGTCCTGAGTGGCGGGCAGGTTGTCGTAAGCTGGCTCGGCTCGCAGGGCTCCAATGGTCTTGCCCAGCTCCCGTCAAACATCTTCATGCTGGCCCTCTACAGGTTCGTGGAGCAATTCGCTGCCGTCGGTGCGAGTCCGGATCGCGGGCCCCAGCCGAGGCACAGCTTCGCCTGCACCCATGTGCTGCGCTGGCTAGCCTCATTAACAGCATGTTGTCGATTGTGCACTGGCGATTGTGCATGATCGGCCGGGCTTGCGCCAGGCGACCCCGGCATCCGTACTGCTCTCTAATTATCACTGCCCTCTTGTTTCCCACCCCGCATTCCGACCTGGGGGAATATTTGGCTCTGTCGGCTGCTCGGCGACCTTCAGTAGTGCTGGATCCAACTGGACCGCCACGACGCCCATCTCCCAGACTCCGTGCTTGTCCTCGGCCATATTCCAGCCCCAGCTCTCGTATTCACAAAAGTATCTGTACGCCTTCGCTGTTTCCGGCAGTCAATATTCGTGCCTGCTGCGAACCCAATTCGCCGCTGGCAGCTTGAACCAGACCTGCGCCACGTCCTTCGTCACACCCATCGACAGCTTTTATCTCGGCAGCCAGTATGGCGAGCCGGTCGAGCCCGAGGATCAGCAGGTTGTCTATTACACCGGACCGAGCAGCGTCTATCAGTCGACCTACGGGCTTACCGATCAGATGTCTGCCGTGTCGCTGGCCTCGCTGCCGCGATACTCGCAGATCCAGAGCACCTACTGGTCCAGCGTTGTCTTCACAAGCAGCCCCGACGGCTCGTACCAATCGTTCAACGCCCTGGAGCCCATTGACCCGACTCGGTCAGTCCCGTGGACGAGTTTGTGGTCGAATTCCCCGTTCTCCAACGGCTCGGCGTCCTCGGCCTCGTCCCTGTCTGGACGGTTCAAGATTGTTGGATCTGACCAGAAACGTGGATGGGTCTATGCCTGCGTTGGCAACGACACTGTCAGTGGGCTCGTCCCGCAAGGCACCCTTGTTGCGTACTCCAACTCCACGGGCAGCCCAATCCCGCTGACCCTCTCCGGTTCGACATCGAGCAACATCTCATGCGTCGATAGCTCGATCGTCGTCTTTCGCGACAAGACTGTCCTGTCGGCAAGCCCGTCCCAGGTCGCACTCTATGCCATTTCCGACGCTGGCGTTGCCACAAGCCAGTGGTCTCGATCTTTCGCGACGCAGAGTACGCCTGTAGTCAAGAATACCAGCCCCGGCGGCAACGATGTCTTTGTTGCCCCCGTCCTGCTGGACGTGGGGCTGCTGGCCATCGGCACCACCATCATTCAAAGCAGCTCGCTTGTCGTGGTCCCATCCCCTCCTAGCCCCGATCCAAGCACCTCGGCCGGCTTGTCCGCGGGGGCCATCACCGGAATTATCCTCGGGGCTTGTGTTGTCCTGGCCCTGATCGCGTTCCTGCTGATTCGTCGTGCCCGCGCCAAGCTGGCGTCGCCGCTTCTGGGCACGGGCTCAGTCAACCGGGGAACCGCAACCTCGTCTCCAGAAAACTTTGTCAATATCCCGTTCCCAGACAACTCTGTCCGAGACAGCCTGGCTCTTGCCGAGAGACGAGCCAACTCCCGCGCCAGTGAAGCCTTGAGCTTGAGGGACCTGGCTGCCTCCAAGCCAGCATCGAGGGAGCCATATCTTCTGGAGAGCCAGCCGGCCCCGCGCGCAGCGCCCCATGCCAACAATTCGACACTCGACCGCACGGAAGATGAGCCGTATTTCTCAAAGTTCCGCGATTCCTCAGCCACGGTCATTGGTCTGCCCAGGGGCATCGCTGGTCCGTCGCTCGATACGGTCGAGGACCACGAGTCGTACCATTCTGCCAATGCAGACGCGCCTGGCATCGAATCGCGCTCTGAAGTCGTTTCGCTGTCGATTCGTGCAACGCCTCCACGAGAGCGTCCCAACTCCAAGGACGGCGAGAAGAAAGACTCGCTCGAGTCCGTGGTCCCGCCTGGCTCCGACAGATTCGCACCGCCAGCCCAGCAGCCCGACACCAGATTTGCCCAGCCCGAGTCACGTCAGCAGCGCTCGGAGCTGTATTATCCGAGAGCCGAGCCCCAACTCGACCGAAGCGACTCAACCTTTGGCCGACCAGGATCCCAGTTCGACCGGCCGTCCTCTCAGTTCGGCCAAGCCGATACCGAGCTGGATAGACCCGAAACACAGCTATCGGCATACTCACTTGCCTCCGAGGGCATTCGAACAAAGGGTGGCCGCCCAGGACCCATCCGTATGCTGTCTATGACGTCCCAGGACGGATACTTTGCCTCTCAGTCCGAGTCGGAAATGTTTTTCACGCCAGACTCGCTGCCGCGCTCGACGCTGTCGAGATCCGAGCGCCATCCTAGTGCGCACAAAGAGGCCGATCGTGAAAGCGAGGTCTCGCGACGAGTGTCGTACACCAGTGATGTCTCGGTTGAAAGCATGGAGAGCTTCAGCACCATCAAGGCCGGCAAGTCCACCGTGGGCTCCAGCCGTGCTCCCGAGGCCGAGATCGATCTGGCCGCCTACTTTGGCACGGCCGCACCGACAAGCGCCCTCGCCAGCTTCCATAAGCCCCCCGGCTCAAGCTACACGCCTCCTACGCCCTCGACCAGACTCAACAACTGGAAAGACTCGGGCTCACACCCGAGCGTTATGGCACGCACCGGCTCAGGCGCCTCCGCAGAGCAAGCAGCCGCTCCCATCCATCAGCTGCTTTCCCAAGCGACCACTCGGTCCGAGTACACGACGGCGGACGAGCTCCCCGAAACCCCGTTGGAGCGAGCCGGAACGCCTTCGACAATCGTCGGCCGCCGATCGAGCACCCAGAGCGACCTCGAGTTTGTCGACGCCACGCAAGGCAGCCTCACGACCATCCCCATGTCGCAGCCGGCGATTGAGTCGTTCAGCGACGCTGACTACATGACTGCCGACGAAGGTCAGGACGCCACACAGCGGGCGTTCCCGTCGCTCTCACTGTCGCAGGCGCACTCGTTCCTGTCCGACGCCGCGACGATCCGGCGCAACCGCTAGACTCCTCCCATCTTCTCGATGCCGATGTCGACGCTGGATCAATGCCCTTTTTTCTTTGCCTACAGACATTTCCCACACCTACCCCTCCACCACGAACATCCAAATGAGGCACCCACAGGCCACAAAAATAACTCGCGCCCACACATGCGTATGCATCGAGGCAACCTTTGCTTGCTGCATTTCTTGTCACTGCTCTATTTCTTCTCTTTCCTCGATCGTTCGTCTGCGTACATCGCTCACTTGCAAGCGCTCATGACAACCCTGCCCCCTTCCGCTCCCACACCTGCTCCGTCTTCCCGGGTCGCCTCCGAGCGCCATTCCTGTGTCTTTTCACCCTAGATTTGTCTCGTTTCATTTTGGGAGCGCTGCTCTCTTCCTCATCCAGATCACCCTTGCTCACTGCCCTGCTTCATGCCACAGCGTCGCTCTATATCGACAGAGTGAGGGTGGTGTATCTCGATGGCCGTGGTGTTCAGGAGGAGTTCCAGAGTGTATTTTATGTATATTGCGCGTCTGGTCTCAACGTCACCCACCCCCGCCAGGTCCGTGTGAACAAAGCTCCATTACGACATCGCCGTTCCCTTTCTCACGACAGGACGAGGAAACAGGCCAGCACACAGGATCTAAAGTGTGGAAGCTAAAGAGAAGGGGGTCCTGCGTTATGTTTTTGGCTATGACTGACCAAGGCTGAGAAGAAGATGGAAACTGGGGTCATCAAGAACACGTCGCCAACACTCTCGGAAGCGGGACGAGTCGCCTTCGCCGACTCGGCTGCCGCCTCAGACCTTGAGGCCGGACAGCTGGGCCTCGAGCTGTCGGATGCGAGCCTCCTTGGAGGCAAGCGAGTTCTTAAGCTCCTCGTTCTCGCGGCGCAGGTGGTTGTAGGCCTCGTGGTACTCTCGCTCGTTCTGGGGGGTTCGGATGCCCTGTTCAGGCGCAGGAGCCGGTGCAGATGTAACAAACTCCTTGATGGCGATGGGCTGGAATCCGTGCTCCAGGCTGATCAGCTTGGGAGGAGCCGTCTTGCCAGCAAAGAACTCGTCCGCAGTCAGACTGGGCTCGGCGCCGGGGGTTTCGGGGAACAGATCGGCTTGGAACTGGTCCGACTGGATTCAAGCACACAGCAGCCCGGCAGAATTAGCGATTCAGAACGAGCGCTGGATGCTGGAGACCAACTAGTTCTACGCAACTCTGTGGTCAACAGGCTCGACTGTGGTGCTGCGGCTGAGACTCGAAACTGAGACCCGCGGCTCATCTGATCGGCACCAACCCCCCACGCACGCCATCGTCGCTTGCAGGATCACAGGCGAGTCCTCACCTTGCGAGGAACCTTGAACGGAATGGGCTCGACCATGGTGGTGTGAACCTTGTAAGCACGAGCAACCTCGCACTCGGCCACATTCAGGGCTCGCTTGGGCAAGAATCCAAGACCGCGCTGCGGGTCGGCCGACTTGTACTCGGAGAGATAGTACAGACCCTTTTCGTCGTCGGCCCACTCGTAGTAACGGATGTTGCCGTCACCCTACAAAAGCACCCGCGCTGAGTCAATCGAGGCAGCTTTGACTTGAGACAGGCAAACGACCGATAGTCGAGACACAATCGATTTGCCACGGACAACGTGCAGCCGTGTGACGATACGATGCAGATCCATACCTTGCCAGCCAGGAAGAGGATGTTGGTGTCGCCGTCGAAGTAGGGCATCAGCATACTGTCGAATGGGGCGATGAAATATTGAACCGTGTCAGCACAGTGCTTCAGTCGTATGTGATATCGATCCGGAGATGCAGTTTTCATCCAAGTAACCCCTCAGGGATTCAAGACATGCTGAATGATACATCGACCCAACCAAGGCGCGGCTATCATCGAGATACTCCCACGACTATTCTTGGCCATGCTGAGAGCTTACCCAGAGGCAGTGTCGATGTTCTCCTGCTTGATGGGCTCCGCAAGATTGGCGGTGTCCCAGACAAAGACTTGGCGGTCGCTGCTGCGACTGAAGCCGGTGGAGGTGAGCTTGCCGGAGTTGCCCATCCAAACGACACGAGAGCCCTTGACACCTTGGTGGCCGTTAGTTTCCTGTTTCAGGAGAAAGGGGAGGAGAGTGAGTAAGACGTCCAGGAACGATGCCGCTTCATGGCCACGGAGAGGACAGTCTTACCTGAACCACCTTGTTGGTGCGAACATCATAGACACGAATCTTCTTGTCCTTGCAGGCCGTGGCCAGGAGCGAGCCATCATAGTTCCAAGTAATGGACTGGATGATCTCGCCGTGGCCGGTAAGCTCAATCTTCTCAGCACCCTTGGAAATATCCCAGAGCTTGATGGTGAAGTCGGCCGAGGCGCTGGCAAGAACGTTGTCGGCGGTGGGATGGAAGAGCACGTGGCCGACCTGGGAGTTCAACCCAAATGACGATGCACCCAGCACAAATCGTGTGAGTTGAGCAGAATCAGCCGCCGTCTGGCTACACAGAGGTAAGCGTGGATGCTGCGGAAGTCGTGCGTACCTTGCGTCCGTGCTGACCGAAGGTGATGAGAGGAGTGGAGACATTCTCCGTCAGACCACCCTCGGGGATCTTCCAGACCATGACCTGTTCGATGCGTTGGCCGATCATGCCGCAAGCGATTCGCAAACCAGGACAGCGTGGCGGAGTGCCCGTTCGTGAGTTTGCAAGGTGTTCAAACAGGTAGCCGTCATAGAGAGTCGGATGGGTATGCAACAGCATGTCAAGGAGGTTGACAAGGTCGATGCAATCCGCATAAGTGAATGTGTCATGTTTGAGTCCGCAACAAAAGACAAGCAGATCAATCAGTATGGGCCCTTGCTGCCGTGCTAATCGATGTGCCTTCGATCCAACGGTGGCTGCTTTGGTCGACTGTGGACCTATGCGCCACGACCCGCGGATCACTGACCTTGCAATCCTCAGCGGCCGAGGCAATGATGTGGTCGTTGAAAGGGTTGAAATCCGTGTCAAGGACAGCGGCGCTGTGGCCGTTGAAGACCGGGATATTGTCGAGCTTGCCGACCGTGGCATGAGGGATAACGGCAAAGGCGCCACCTGTGCTCGTCGGAGCCAGGGCAAGAGCAGAAGCGCCGTCAGCTTTGGACCAGAGTCGTGGTCGTTTTGAACCCGCAAGAGTACTATCCCCTCCATACACCTTTTTTCAGGGTCAAGTGTATGACATTCGATCACCGCGAACCGGTATGGCAGCAATCGACCAGACACAATCGATCGTGGACAGTTGGATGGATCGGGATATGCCCCGCGACGATTAGCCATCCAGATCAGCTGGACGTACCACCACCAGCCTCGAGGTTGACGGAGATGAAGAGCGGGTTGGCCTTGACGAGGTTGGTGTCCCAAGCGTTGCGCGAAATCTAGACCAGAGCACGAAGAAGTCCATACACCCGGCCCAGAGTCAGCCCATGCCAAGGAAAAGCCTTCGCCAGGCGAGAAGTGATGCCGGGAGCGGTGATGTCTCTCGCCCTCGAAACGATGACAATGCAACGGACGTGGGTGCATCCCGCCATATCGCTTGGCAAGCGATGGAGACAAGCCAACGAAGGAGTCGAGGCGAAGCGATGACGAGGCGATGGCGCGAAGGCCGCACACGGCGGGTGCCCTGGTTGGAGAGCCCGCGACCCGAAGCAAGCGCCAGGATCGCCAAGGCAGGCCGAGCCGCAACAACGCCTCTCCCCCAGGCTCTAGTGTGGAATGTAGTGCCACTTATCGGCCTGTGAGGACGCTGCAATACACAGAGCATGGAAGATGTGGAAGAGCAGGACGGCCAAGCGCACACCTTCAAGCTGTCATAGCACTGGTCCTTCTTGGTGTTGCTGCCGTAGGCGTGTCTGTATTTCGAGGCACGGACAAACTTTGACATGGTGCACGATTCTGGGATGGCCCAGCGACCGGGGCCATCAAGTGGGAGGTGGCAGCGGCTGCAGGTCAGCACCAGCGAGACAAAAGCGCCAGAGAGCCGCCTGGAAGCGAGCTGTTCGCCATCAAGGCAAGCGCAGAGCACGAGGCAGCATGCCAGCAACGGTGTATATATCTCCACAATCCTTCTAAACCAGTCAGCCGCATACAGACGGTGCAGACACCTGGGACAATGGGCATACCTCGCCGAGAGACAGGGGGGGGGAAGCTGATACGCGTGGGATGAGGGATGAGACCGGGGTGGAGACGACGACAACTCGGAAATCGGCTGCTGGGTTGGCTGGTTCGAGGGCACCATCACGTGGTCATCACGTTGTGGTGTGGCGCAAGCACGGCCTGCGCCACAGCGAACTTCCAAACCGGTCCAGGACCAATCGCACAGTGTGTGTACTGGCCGGACGTCCAGCGTCATTCAGACGACGCAATCTACAAGCTATCCGCGTGTGGAAGTGTCCATTTCAATACGGACGCGCTGTATTCTAGAAACAAAAATGCAGAAACAAAGGGATGACATGTAGTAGTGGGCTTGGGTCGGCAACGTGCGACTCGAGCGGCGGGGGAGTGGGGGAGGGACATCACACTCAAAGGAGCGGATGTCAAATCATACGGCGGCGCCTGCACTTGGGAGTGGGTGGGTAAATCAGAGCATGGACAAGTAGTGTCCAGGAGCAAGACCAAACAGGGTCGGTCAGACATGTTGGAGGGGGGGGCGGTATCCGCGACTGGCATCTGCATCAGCGGACACGGGGGGGGGAACTTGGAGCGAGTGGCATCGCTGCCTGCCCGCAGAGAGGAGCTCATTTGTCGGTCTTGCTTTCATTCTGGCCGGGCCTCTTCCTGCACCGAGAGAGCGTCCTGTTGGTGGCTCTGGACTTTCTTCTCAAACTCGCGGTTGTCGTCCTCAAGGGCCTTGAGGCGATTCGCCAGGATCGCGACGCCGATGAAGATGATGAGCAATGCAAAGCAGAACCAGACGTATTTGGCCGCTGTAAAGTTGGAAAACTCGTCAAAGTAGATGCCGCCGCCGATGACGTCAAAGGTGGTCCAGACAACATAAAACACCGGAATCTGCAACAGCGCATCATATCGTTGAAGACCCATATCTGTGCCAGTGCGGACGAACGAAAGGCGCTGTCAGAAGTTGATTCGCTGCCAGCGGGCACTTGCCAAGCGAGCTTGCCAGGTTTCCCACTTTGGTGGCACCAAGGGCAATCCGCTGTACTGCATCGATCCAGCCCTCTTCTCACGATCGAGCGGCATTCCTGTATGAAGGAAACGCGCCAGGAAAGCCACTGCCGGGGCGATCAGGGCGGAGAAGGAGGGAGCGGTGGTGGTGTACTCACTCAGCCAGTAGAGTTGGGACATTGCAGTGAAGACTGTGATGCCAGAGATCACCCAGGCCCAGATCTGGGTGTACTGGTTGTCTCCCTGGAAGATGGACGTTGTGATAAGATGGATCGTCGCTTTGGCAAACAAAACCGTGACCGTGCCCATGCAACCCTATGAACGCATCAGCAGCGGTTGTGGTTAGTTCAGGCGAGGGAAACAAAGAAGTTCACACAGTACAGAGGCAGCAACCTCGCTGGCCGAGCGTGGGAATGGATAAAAGACGCAGGAGCTTGGAGACACATCAGGGCTTGCAGGCAAACGCAGGCCCGACGAGCCTCTCCGTTCCTATCTCGTCCAGCACAGCCAAAAGACCTTCTCCGCCTGAACTGAAACTTACGCCAATAGAAGCATAGCAGAGCGGGAGCCCGTACGAGACCACACGACTATGCAGAGGAATCTTGTTCTTGAGCACCGGCACCAGTCGGACTCGCTCCAGCGAATCAAAGAACATCTTGAGCCAGTGCGGCGTATACTTGCGATAGAATTCGGACGGGAACTTTGCGATCGTGGCTTTGAGGTTGCTGAGGATGCCGTCCGCTCGGGTGCTGCGAACCTCCTCAAAGTCGCTGTCGTTGTACTGGCTGGCGGTGGTGTTGAGGATGAAGGTGGAGGTGTTGCCGCCGCCGAGGTGGGTGGTGGCGACATCGCCAGTGGCCGGCGGCGGGACCTTGAGGAACTCGAAGCGGCCAAGATTCACGAGGAACCCGGAGCTCACCATCATGCTCATGTTGATCGGCGGCGCCTGACTCTGCGCATCGGGAACCAGCGACGTTCGCCGCGACTTGATTTCGGGCGTGGCCTCACCCAGGGCCGAGCGCGACAGCGTTCCATCTGGACGCTCGGCAACAAGGGTGCCTTCGTCCTCGCGGCTCGCCGGCACCGATCGAGTGGAGGTTTGATGCGATATCAGCCGAGGCACGGCTTGCGACGAGGCGAGCTCAGTCTGCATGGGGTTGTCGTAGTCGTCCAACACCACCACCTTTTCGTGCATTTCGCTGTCGATGTTGCCACTGCGGTCGAGCATCACGATTGGATCATGGACGGGTTGCTCGTGCTGAATATATGCATGGCACTCGTTCACAGGACTTGCGATGGACGCACGCTTGTTGGTCTCAGCCGGGACAATGACCGACGGCTCCTCGGTCACGCTTTCACCTGTCAGGCTGCGGAAGATGGACCGAGGACTTTTCGTGGGAGAGGCGATCGAGCCATCGACCGATTTGCCCTCATTGGGAGCAAGCGTGTTCTTGACCCGGGAAATGGCTGCGGTGACAAAATTGACGCGCTTGACAGGCTCCATCGGCTCGAACGCCTCCGAGTGCTCAGTTTCGTTTGGGATCGCCGGTACGACGGTGGACTGGCCCGCAGGTGAGATGGCGGGATCCAGGTCCATGTTCCTCTCGACAACGACGATGAAGAGGAAAATTCCAATGATCAAGGCAGCGGTAATGGCGAGGAATGTGATGGTGCGAGCGGTCTGGAAGAGCGCAAGGATAACACAAAGGTTGTAGTCTGAAGAGAATCGCGATTCGGACGATGAGAGAAGCGAAGGCCCGTGGTTAGCACAGCCGGTGCAGCAAGGAGTGGCGGCGCCGAGATGGTTGGAAGCAATCCCACACGAGCGACTGGGCATTTGCGACTTGTACTCGGGATCAGCACGGTGCATGGCGCAAATCAACTTTACCTTGGGAGCTGACACCTGAGTTGGCAACGGAAAGCACCGAGCCTGCGACGATAAAAACGACGCCGAGCAAATCTTTCCATGACCACTTTTCGCGGTTGATGAGCGGCGCAGCAACGACATTGACGACCAGCGACATGCTGCCAAGAGGAGCAACGAGCGACTGCGGAGCGAACTGTAAGGCGATGAAGTTGCAAAAGTTTCCGAGGGTGAAGATGATGATGCCGAGCATCCAGATCTGGAGCGTGAGGGCGACGGTGAGAACGAGTGTGGGCATGGGTGTAGGTATGAGTGTAGGCATGAGTGTAGGCATGAGTGTAGGCATGAGTGTGGATATGGGTATGGAAAGGGAGGGACAGAGACAGGTGGCACCGATATGAATGTGAGAGCGAGCATCAGTGTGGGCTCTGAAGCGCGGCAAGACTGGCTCGCGGTGATGCCGGCAGTGCGCCAGTGATGGCGATCATCGCATGAATTGCACAGTCGACATGAGACTCAACCACGACAGCACGCCAGTGATGCGAGGCAAGCATCCGGCATCCAGTCTCCAGTCTCCAGTCTCCAGTATCCACGTGCCTGGAATCAGCGCTGCCAATCGCAACCTACCGGATCCTTGAGCAGCTTCCCCATGTGCAGCTGCTTCTGAAACTGAATTTGGTTGGCGGGGGTGTCGTCGGAGCTGTAGTTGGCCAGGATCGAAACAGGGACGATATTGGGTGTGTCTGGGGAGTCCGCCTCGGGCTGGGCTCCGTCATCGCCGTTGGTGACAACAATAGGTGGGGCAATCGCCGCGATTGCGGACGACGTGCCAGCGTTGTTGGCATTGGTTGAAGAACCAGACGGCTCCGAGGCCCGGCTGGGTCGCTTGCGAGTAATGCTGAAATTGGTGAAGCGGCTGACGATGTTGTTAAGGATGCGCCGCTCCTGGTTCCGCTTTTCCTTTTGCTGGCGAAGGAAGCGCTTGCGCAGGGCGAGCTTCTGCAGGTTCAGGCCGATGTTGAGGGTCGCAGCACCGATGAGGCAAATGACGATACCAATCCACTGACTCGAGCCAGTGGACGAGCCGAGACAGCGATAGGTTCCACTGGGATCAGGCAGGCAGTTCGAGCCCAACGGACAGGTATTGATGGATTTGACCGACCCCACAAATGTGCAGGTTTCGGCCTGAGTTGGATCGTTACCACCATCGGGCTGCGGAAGGTTGCCAGCACAGCATTGCTGCACGCTGTTGTCGGGCGCGAGCGTCGTCGGCGAGCCACCGGCAGAGCCAAAGATGATGTCGGTGTTGGACTGGCACACAGAAGCGAGGGTGCAGTAGCTTGCGGAGCAGAACTGGAAGGTCGGGTCTTGCAGGCGAGCAGGGATCTGATAGGAGCTCGAGTTGGAGGCCACCACGTGGTAGAGAGCACAGTCGAGCTTTGAGTAGCAGATATTGCCGGCACCGCCGACGATGCGGCATTGGTTGTTGACACACACATACGTCTGCTCGTCCTGCGAGTTGTAGATCTGGGGCTGGGCATTCAGGGCCCGACAGTCGGCATCGGCAGAGCAGACGGTGATGTTGGAAGCCCTGGCGAGGAGCGGGACGAGCAAGAGCAGAGCGAGCTGGTGCAGCATGGTGTGCGCAGACGCTTTGTGAACGATGGCGTCGAGGGACAATGGCAGCCTGTGGATTGAAGTGCTGCAACGGATCGATGAGCGGCCCCCGACAGGAATGGCAGGAAGGAGAGATTCGCCCTGGGAGGAAACCAGAAACAGGGACGATGCGAACCGAGTTGTCGATGGAAGCCCGCAGAGAGAAGGCTGGATGGCGGGGAGGGAGAGCAGTGGCCAGGACCAGCACGCGGAATCAGGCAAGAAAGACGAGGCAAGCGATGGACGAGCGATGGACGAGCGGTGGACGAGCGGTGGGCAGATGATGGACGAGTCAAGGCCCGGCGATGAACGGATGACGAGCGGGTGATGAATGCGTGGAGGACCGCAGCCTTGGTCGGCGCTCTCATTCCCACTGGGCAGCCGAGCGCTGAAGGATCGGCCGAGCCGACGGCACGAGCGCGGAGCGTGTTTGTTGTGCAGCGCGGGCGCTGTGAATGTGTCGACAGTGACTGTGCGGGCTTGAGGTCTCCGCTGCAAACTGCCACAAGAGTCAGCTGAATGTGTTGGACAAGCCGCGGGCGATCTGTGTGACCTGTGCGACACAGCACACGGCCTCCGCCGTGGTGTCTGTGTTGCGCCATGTGCTGCGGCCGTGCCACAGAGCGCGTCAAGCCACACCCCGCCCTGGACGCCACATACAGCGGCAATGCGGCCTGACAGCACAGCCTGGCACAGCGCAGCGTGACACAGCGCTGCTGCCGCCGTCAACGCACACACAACAACTGGCGTGTGGCCCCAACGATGCGCAGCCCCCGCCACATGTTTTGGCGCGGGCTTGCCAAATCCAGCAAGTTGAGAAATACAGTTGGGGCGCACCATTCCTCTCATACTCGGCCGAGAACGGCCAAGCGGATCGTCATCTCGGTGCGTCTGTTCCCTGGACAGCAGAGTGGGCGTTGGTCAGAGTCGTTCAGCCAGATCAATCAACATATTCAGTCCACACCGGCCGCGTGCAGTGCCCCGTTTCAATTCGGGCACGCTGATATCACACTCATCGCCATTATCACACTCATCGCCGATATCACACTCGTCGCTGATATCACACTCGTCGCCCTCACCACATCCGTCGCGCATCAATGGAGAGCTACGAGTTCATCCAGAAAAAGTTCTCCAGCACCCTCGACAGAGCCGCGCAGTGGGTCTTCCCGCTCTATAAAGGGCGCATCACGCCGCTGAATCCCGCAAGGTTCCTTGGTAAGCAACCAGGGCACTGACAGCCGTCGTGAGAAACTGGCTGCAACGACGGTCAGCAATGCATGTCCACAGGCCACAGATGCACATCATCTCCATGACTGAATGCTTAGGCTGTTCCTCCCACACGGATCGATCGATCGATTCCATCCACAGCTGCCCAGATCAACTCCAGCCTGTCCCTGCAAGTTATCCTCTCCTTCAATCTGTACCTCTTCCCGGTCTGGTTCATTGGCATGATATCCGTTCTCAGCTGGAAGATCGACTCCTTCCAGCTCGACATCTTTCACCATGCTCTCATGGTCGCCCTGGCCTCGATTTTCATCGTGCTCGAGCCCGTCCGCATCTTCATGGGCTTCACCGGCAATCTGAAGGAGCGCGTAAGTGCCCTGTCCTTACGTTTATGCTTGATTCGGGTGAGGCCACAGATACACCGAGCATGGCTGGAGCCGATGTACTCTAACAAATCGACACACACACCCAGGTTCCAGATCTGTGTGGCTCGTTCATGCTGTCGACATTCCCCCAGTTGCCGATCCTGCTGTATTTTTGCGGGCTCCAGTCGCTCACGGCCTCCGGATTTACTCTGCCGTTCGAGTTTGCTCTCAATTTCGTCTATGCCCTCGTGCTGATTCCGCAGATCCTCATCGGATACAGGGCTGCAAAACATATTGTCGATATCCAGGCCGCTCGCTTTGTCGTTGGTGTTGGAGAGCTCCGCTCGGGATTCGATGATATCGCCTTGGCAGCGGAGCCAGATCATGGCAAGGCAAAGGCCGAGTAACAAGATCATCCTATTCAGACACTCGTTTGCCCCATGAACCCATCCGACGCCCGTCCGCGGTATCCATCTGTGTTCTTCGGAAATGTTCAAGGGTCAGGCCCTCATGGCGTATTCCACATGGATGTCTGTGGTGCGAAGCGCCAAAACCCATGTCTTGATCTCCTGCCCAGCCATTCGCACCGCTTCCCTCTCCCTTCACCACCTCACTTGGTCGATCAACCCAAACATCCGTCATGGACATCCTGGTGTTTTTGAACATCCATCCGTTTACGCTCGTTCCGGCGCTTCAGTCGCCCCCGCAGCCCCTTCAATCCGGCCCAGTCACCGTGCCAACCGACGATCCAGACTTTCCAGCCAACCCATCCAGCCCCGATGGACACTCATTCACCGAGGCAGATGCAGACGCAGACGCAGACGTTTCCGGCAGCCTGTGCGATCTCCGTTGCACCGAACCGACACCGCTTGTTCCCAGGCGGCTCTTTACCGGAACGGCTTCATTCTCCACCGCAACCCGAGAGGAGATGCGTTTTGGACCCAAGCTGTTGCGAGACCTCCAGGTTTCTGCTTTTGCAGGCTGCTGGAACGGTGACCACACGGTGCTGTTTCACTTCCAGGTGGCTCCTCTGGCGATTGTGGCCGTCGATCTGGCTAGCATTGAAAGAGTTGTGATCCCGCATCCCGACGATCCGCACCCTTCGCTGCAGTGGATCTTTGGCCACGTTGTTCTCGAGTTTCGGCCGCAATCTGCAGCAGCCCTTTCGACCCGCAGCCAAGCCTCGACCTTGAACAGGTAATGCTTCGTCCCGCTGTGTCTCTAGTGCAATATTGCTTGATTATGCATAACTTTCACTTGCGTCTATCGAATGTGTGATGTCCGGTGGGCGGCCGATCCTGTGATTACTTGCCTCACCCGTCGTGCATTCCTCTGCAACCCAACCGCTCGACTCTCCAGATTCACCCATCAAGTGTTTGTGTGGATCGACGAAGGGAGAACGTCAAAGGCGCCTCTGCCTAAGACTCAAATGATCCGGCATCGGCTCTTTCGGACCACAAGCTCATCCAGCCCCCAGGAACCGCACGATATACCGACCCGAGACGAAGCAGGCCAGGTCGACGCATTTGAACGTTTTGGCAGAGCTCTCCGGGACACTGACTGGAAATCTTCGGCCTCAATCGATCGACTGGCGAGCCGAATCGATCCTCTCGTAAGTCTGGCAAGACGATGCTCTATCCGATCAACCCTCGGCGATCCAGCCTCACTGCTATCCACTCGCAGTCAGTAATTGGCCTCGCCTCTCACAGTCCAGGACGCTTCAAAGACACTCTCAATGGCGGCAGACGATCCGATTCCGCGAGCAAGACCAGGACGCTCGTGCCAAGAAAAAAGTGAGCCCATCCGTTTCAATTGGCGACGGTCGATGCGGGGTGTGTCCGAACTGTGTCGTTTTACTGCTGACCATTCCATGCAACGATGCCGCCTTCGCATTTGCATTTACATTTACATTTACATTTGCATTTGCACTTGCATTTTCATTTGCTTTCCTGCGTATCGCTGCGATCGACGCATCTCTCTCCTTCTCCCCCACCACTTGTCAGTTGCTACTCCGGTCCCGCATGGACGAGTTCCTCAAGAGCTGGAAGCCACCGTCAGGAGCAACATTGGCCAACCCAAGCCCGACAGACCTCGCTCAGTCACTCGACGGCCTGCTCTCTGAGGTGAGCTACCCTCCTTCGCTATCGATGGCTTTGAGCTACTATGGATGACCCTCCATCTACCGTGCAGTTCAATATATGTGGGCGAGTGATTCGCCAAGAAGCTGACGACAACTGATGGACAGATGAACAGGCTCTACGACGATGAAGTTACGGCAGCCCTTGATCGGATATAGACTCCAGGATGAGCAGTGCATGCAGTGCGTAGAAAGCAGACACAGGATACTGCCTCACACATCTCCCCATTCCAATTAAGCTTATTGTATTATCGGATGCGCTGTCTGAGTCAATGACACAGCCGCTCGGTCTAATGTCTTGGCGCCTATTCATCTCTCTGAGGCGAATGTTTTGGTAGTTCCCTGAGGTGAGCCATATGCAAGCAGCCCGTCTCGTTTCATCACCATTAGAATACGAAAGCGGAATGAAGTGTCCACCGGCGCAGTAGAATTAAGTGAGGTGGAGGAGGCGGAAACGAAAGAGAAGAGGAGGAAAGCTGGTGCGAGATTCTCGACAGTCGAGCCAGATAGAAGGAAGGAGCTTCGACTGGTTGTTGCCAGGCTCGAGATTCCACTGCGATTGACTTGTTGATGCCGTCGCGATGGTCTACCAGATCACACACTGCTTTGGCGTTGCCGACGACGGAGTCGCTCGACAGCCGAATGCTGTCTGGAACTCTTCTGAATTGGCGACGACGCCATTGACACGGAATCGCCCGGGAGCATGAGGATCCGTGCGAGCCTGTGTCCAAGCATTGTCGTCGAGTCAAGTCAGCTGGCACTGTCCGGCGCAAGTGCGAACGAGCCGAGAGCAACGCATCCCGATCTGTAGATAAATTGCGCTATCCATCGTCCGCATCCGCTCACAGCAAAGGACTGCCGCCATGCACTTACAGCGTTGATCGCGTTGGCCGGCTGGATGTTGCCGCACCAGACTTGGCCAAAGTTGATGAAAAACAGCTGCTCTCTCGTCCAGCTTTCCATCCCAGGCAGCAACTGGTTGCGACTCAGCCCTCCGACGGACTCCAAGTCGGTCTGCCAGGCTTCAAAGGCTTGGTAAACACCGCCGTTGTCCGCCAGATTCTCGCCGAGAGTGAGCTTGCTAGATTTCGGAGAGAGAGAGAGAGAGAAAGAGAGTGTGTGAGAGAGAGGAGGCAGTGAGCGCAGAAACCAGCATGGCCGGTGAACTTGCTCATGTCCGTCCGCAGATGGTAGCTGCCACAGGGGTGTGTGGAAACATCATCACGGCCTGTCCCCAATCCCGCCTCTGCATCTCGTGCTTTCCATTCCATGAGCTCGATGACATCGACAAATGGGCAGCCACAGCAGGCTTTGTCGACATACCCGTTAACTTGGGCAGTTTCGTTCCCAGGCCCACGAACAGTGTAGCGGCTGTACTGATCCACAAAGCACTGGGTCTTCTCCTCGAATCGCTGGGCTGTCTTGTTTGTCCACCAGTCCCTCAGCCTGCCTTGTGCATCGTATTGGCGGCTAGGAAATCCAGGATAGTTGGGCGAACAAACACAATGCGGGGAATGGAGAGCGATGGTGTGAATATAGTGTGAGAGGTTGCTATGTACGTTACTGTACGCATTGCATCCAACAAGAAAACGTCTGGGGCAATCTTGACTTGATAGAAAAGACGCTGAAAGCACAAACGACGCCCCCTCACCCAGAGTTATCAAAGGCGTGCGTCAGCTCGTGGCCGATAATCATGCCGATTCCGCCATAGTTGAGGTATTGTGGCGCCTGTCGGCTGTAGAACGGACTCTGGAGGATAGCTACAGGGAACCAAATGTGTGGCTGGAGTGAGCCGCAGAGCAGATGGCGACAGCCATGAAAGGGGCTCAAGTAATGCCCGATGGGCGGTGAAGACCGGCAGCATACCCGCAGGGAATACAATCTCGTTCAGAGGAGGATTCTGGCAGATACAATTGCTCCGAGTGTTAGATCATGAACAGAAGCGTGCGATCGATGGCTGTCAGGCGCCGCGCGCAGTGCCATGCATGCTTCGGGGGACATCGCAGGACTCACGTAGTACTGTTGATGGACGGCACGTTCAAGCCATAATGGATCAGCAACGGCGGGGGTGGGCTCAGGTCAGATCATATACATCGGTTGGATCGAGGCACGGATTGCATTTTCGGTCGTCTAGTGCAATCTCGCAGCTGAGACTGCTGCCTCTTGTCCCTGTGCGACATGGCCGTTCAAGCAATGGCTATCTTCTACGACCCAGGCAGTCCTTACCGCATTCACCATCTGAGGAGTCATCTCCCACTCGCTTCGGTCCACGGGCTTGCGAATCTTGGCCATGTTCTGCGCCACAGCCCAAGCGTGGAAGTTACGGACGTTGGTGAGCCAGCCATCGGGAGTAGCCGATAGATTGGCGTACTTTTGGTAGAGCGCCTGCGGGTCCTGGATGAAATCAGGGTATCCAATTTTCTTGACCAGGGCGTAGGCCTGGACATCAAGCGGCGCGTGGTGTAAGTCGGCAGGCCACGTTCATAAGAGCCAACGTGGCGCATAGTGCAGAGCCCTGACGGAGATGGGCCCGTGGGCAATCTTGGGTGGATAGACAACGGACCACCCAGCGGGTTAAAGCTCCGAGCGGCAAAGGCGCCCTCGGTCGGTGAGGATACCTTTTCAATGGCTTGGGCCCTGGTTTGTCCGTCGAGCCAGTCTATTTTGGGCAGTCGCTTGACAAACTGGTGCACGATTCCATCGATCATCTGGAGCACCTGCTGCTTGCTCGTTACTGAGTCAGAACCAAAAGCCATCATTGACAAGTCATCAGTTGGACCCACAAGGACACATACACCATTGTCGTTTTTGCCTTGGCCATAGATATCTGGGGATAGCCGTGCTTGTCAACAAGCGCCAAAACAAATCAAAACTTACCATCGAATCGCTTGTCGACGTACCACTTGCCGATGGCCTCTCCAACCATATAGTCCACTGTGCCCATACACATCTGGAACCTGGGCGGATCCTTTGGGCTGCGGAGACCGATCGAGATGAAAAAGTCCTTGAACAAATCTCGAACGGAGGGTGGCATGTTTCCGATGTAGGTAGAGACGTATTTCCTGGAATCGAGGATGATGGGGAATTGAAGGTGAGCGAGGAGAGGGGCTCGGTCCAAAATTCGATGGGTGAGACGGCAAAGCCCAGTTTTGAGAGGACGGGGGCGGGTTGCGAAGGCTGGCTCACTCCACTCCACTTCACCCACCATAAAATGTAGTTCTGGACTGCTTCGGGTGGCGTGGCAGCCAGGACTTGTGTGAGATTCTTGAAATACGTCGGGGTCTCCACGATGACAGTCAGTGAATCGTTGATCAGAGTTTCGGGTTGCTCGGCTGAAAACATCTGCTGGAGATAGCTTGTCCACTGAATCGATGGCGACAAGCTGGACAGCTCGGCAACGGTGTACACGTTGTAGAGTGCGCTTGGGTTTTGCAACTGATCTCTGAAATGAGGCCGTCCACAGCCAGAGCATCCGTGGTGGTGTGAGAGTGCGAGCGTAAAGGTCGCTCGATCTACCTGGTCTTGGACACCAAAAACTGATCCTGCAACATCGCGCCGCAGACCATCCCGGTCTGAGTAGATGGCGAGTGGCAAGGTACTCACGGAGGCAGAGAGATTTGGGCTAGTTGGGTCTCGAACTGCACGATGCCGGCAGCAACTTGGTTCCAGTTTGAGCCAGCATCGATGACGCCTGAGAATAGCAAAGGAAGACCCTGCGCCAAACTTGACTGAAACAAGTCAATGTACTTTGGGTCTCTGTAGTACTCCACGGATGGCAGAGTGAGGCCATCCTGGGCAAGTCCAATGACGTATCGGCTTGGGTCCTTGGAGTCAATCTGGACAGTCATTCCAAAGAGGGCATCAACACCTCCCTGATGTGTCTGTGTGATTGCAGCTGTGAGCCTTTGTGGATCGGATTGCTGACTGCCTGGAGCCGAGATCGGAAACGCCAAGGCCGCATACTGGAGCAGCTGAACCAAAGGGGTCTTGTCCAGCTCAGCGATGCGGGTGGTGTTCATGCAGCTGTTGTACATGGCCGAGACTTTCTGGAAGGTTGCATTATTGTAGTCGATACGAGTTACTGGGTCGATCTGAGTCGGACCCGGATACGGCGACGACAAGATCTGCTTCAGGTCCTCCTGAGACTCTTCATACAGGAATGTGAAAGTCCCGATGCTCTTCTTGTCGTCGGGAATGGGGTGGGTCCGAATCCATCCTCCACTGCAGCGACCGATGTGTCGTTGTGCCGATGTGGAAGGGGGAAGAGATGGTTTGGATATGCATTGTTGTTTTGGAACAGAGGCGGTCATCGGCGAGTCAGTTCGTCATGCAATGCGGAATGCGGTTCGACATACACAAGGCACACACAGTCGGCAGTGCTTGAGGAGGCTTCTTCTCCTCTCTACGACCACTTACCAGCTGTACTCGTAAAAGTTCTATTCACAGATGGGAATCAGCTGAGACATTCAGAACCATAGACACATTTCGCCGTCGGCTTTTCCGCTTGCATCGCGGCGGCTGGAGGGTTTCCTACCTGGCAGGGATCGACTGAGGTGTTCAAGGCACCCAAGATGCGAGCAGCAGCCATGACACATTCAGGGGTTTTGCAACGGCTTGACTCGAGCTGATCCTGAAACATTCCATTGAGCAGCAAGATGGATGGCAAGTTAGTCCACAATGTCGACGACTGTTCATCGCTGCGATGCGATGAGCTGGATGTGCCGGATGTGCTGGATTGATGATAGCGAGGTGGCATTGACCCATGCGCAGGTCGTCGATGCGGGGACCTGGGTGGCTCTTACCGCTTCAAGCGACCGGTTGCGCCAGCCGGCAGTATAGCCCAGGATGCCGGTGAGCAATGTCAGCGTCGTCACGATAAGCCAGGCGATGACATGCGCCTTGGAAAACGAGTCCAAGATTGACAGTTCGTTGCAGCCCTCCAGACCAAGCGCCTTCCACCAGGCCTCCAGACGAGCGACGAGCATGTTAGTGCCTAGCTGGCGTGGACGGACGCTGGTGGGCGTCGCCTCGGAGGTCACCAAGGGAGCCTCCTCCTCGGTGTGGAGGTTTTCGAGGTCATCGTTGTGGATGGACGACCGATAGGTGCTTGGGCTCATGAAGGGGTTCTGCTCCCTGGGCACAGAGGGCTTTCGGCGCTGCGAGGGATTCGACATTGGGGCGCAGACGCTCTGTGGACGACCGGTTGGATGGGTCAGTCCGAGGTGAAGAGCGGCAAGAAAAGCTGAGGGTCGCTCCGGCGCGGGGTTGAGCTGTCGCCGGCCGTCGCTCCAGGGGAGGGGATGACGACTGGGTTTGTGGCAAGGCGCTGCCGCAATTTGGAGAGACTGCCAATCACCTGCTGGTCGTATCAAGAATGACGACAGGCCCGGTCGGACTGCTGTATGGCAGAGGGCGGGATCGACGACACGGGCGAAAGAGAATGAGGCGAGTCGTCCCTGTCGATGCGATAAGCAGGAGGGGCCGTCCGCTCAACGATGCCAAGCGGCCTGAGCGAGACCAGTGTCTGGGAGAGAATGCCGGGGTTGGAGAAGCACCAGGGCGAGGAATGGAGAAAGCAGATATATTGTGGTCGAGAGCAAGTGCATGTGGTCGATAGCAAGTGCTGGCACATCCAATTCGCAGCGATTCGTCGATTCCTCGCAATCGGCAGGCTCACATTGGCCCGTGCTTGGCTGCCTGCACAAAAACCTTGCCAGGGCCCGTGAAGGAAACACCAAAACCATCTTTGCCGCGGCTCAGGTTGACGACCTCGACTCGGATGCCGTCGGGAATGGCGGCAATGTGTGAGTTCTCGACGACAAAGTGCTCGTTTGCAGCCAGAGTGAGGGTGAGCAGGCCGCCGATCGCCGCCAGGAAGACCACGCCCTTGCCCGAGCACTCGACAAACGAGCCCATGCCGACAGAGAACATGCCTGCAGGCTCCACGACGACGCCATCCGTGCACGCCAGGAACGAGGTCTTGTGGAAAATGTAGGTGCCTTCGATATACATGCAGCGGATTTCGGCCAGCGGGTGGGCGCAGATGAAGACCTCGACGGGATTCTCGGTGGGGTTGGAGAGCGTCTCCATGCTGACCTGGGCACCCACGACGGTGGAGCTGCTTAGCAGATCATCGTTGGACGAGAAGGTGGCCCGGGACTTGTGGCGATGGATGGATGGATTCAGAGCTTGGATGGCCTGTGGACGGACGCTGAACGAAGCGGCGCCATTCAGGTGGACCTGCAGTACACTTGCACGCAGCTGGATGATTTGCTGTTGGTTTCAAGGCGTGGGAAAGTTGGAGCCGGGTGACGATGAGGGAGCAATAGAACGTCAGACGCATTTCATGGCTGCAAAGCGGGGCTCAAGGCATCCCAGGCCACGAGCGCGACCAAGACAATTGATTTCTGCGCGTTCCCTGGGAGCTGACACGAATCTACAGACGACCGGATGTCCTGACAGGGTGCACGCCGGATTGAAGTGAGGTATGCGAGCCAAAGCAATCTGCTGTGCAGCAAACGACATGACTGCAAGACAGAGTCGCGTTACATATTGTATCTTCTCGTATGTGCCAGACACGGGCAGGAAGGCGCCTGAGTTGAGGGACGAGGGAAAGGCTGTCGGGACAGGCGAGGCGACCTTGATGTAGGTTGCGGGCACGAGGTTGGAGGCCGATTTGCCCGACATGGATTACGGGAATGGATTCGAGGAAAAGGCACGCGCGGTCGAGCTGAAAGACGGGGCGGAAGACGATAGTCCCGGTTGGAGGGAGGGAGGAGGGGGTGGGAAACGCCGGAAGCAAACGAGATGAGCGGGAGGAAGGCGCCAATGCTGGGTCTGTGCGAAAATGAAGCTGTGGACCCGAACAGCCCAGGGGTGGATGCGGATTGGCTCTGGTGTGCATTTCGGCGACAGGAACGGGCCCCACTGGTCGGTTTTCAGAGGGCTGCTCATCAATCAGAGAGCCGCCGGTACTTGGTGTGGGGCACGCCGATGCTCGTCAAAGCTGGATATGGCAGCGCATAGACGGCAGCGCAGAGTAGTGCATCGGAAATGCACTGCGCATTATGCGGATAGTTGCTGTCGGTGGTTGATATCGGTGGTTGATATCGGTGGTGATATCGATGGCTGATGTCGATGGCTGATGTCGATGGCTGATGTCGATGGCGATGTCGATGTCGGTGGTTGGCGTTTGTCGTGGGCCAATCCATATTTCCATTTATGTCCAACTCAGATCCGCCCCGGAAGAAAACGCCGAGAAGAGGCGAGACAAGGCGAGAGCCAGCGGGGCGCATCCGAGAGTGCCCGAGAGCGTCCGAGAGCGTCCGAGAGCGCGCGAGAACGTCCCTCGGCGAGATCTGCGTCGTCGACGACAAACTGTCCCTCTCCGCGGCCGCTGCGGCTCTGTCGCTCATCGCTCTTCATCTCCCGCAGGCCGATCTTGCGATCTATTCCCTGCAACTCCCCGTCTGGACGCACACAACATAGACAAGCCCGCCGCTTGGCCACCCCCCCGGAGCTCGGCTTTCGTTTCCACTGGCACCTCTCATCTCGGCCGAGTCGCTACCTGATCGCCAACGCGAATCGCAACCCAGCCATTTGCTCCAGTCATTGTCGCCAGCGACACCACATCTTTCCGTCCAGACTTGATCATTGCCGTCGTCACACTCGGCGCCATGGCCTCTGCCTCTCACATCCGTGATTTCGATTCCAAGCGCTCCTCATTCGCCTCGTCCGCGCGGTTCTCTGGCACAACCAATCCCACCCATGTCGACCTGGATGTGCTCGGGCTCTTTGGCTCGGCTGCACCGGCTCCGACCGGCTCCAACCCCAGACTCAGTACTCCCCCGCGTCCTCAGTTCAACGACATGATCTTTGGCGGCGGCATCGAGTCATTCTCGCCGATGCCAACATTAGCCTCTCCGTCAGTGCCTGTGACCCAGAGCAGTAGCTCCTTTGTCTCCGGCAGGCGTGCAACAACCCAGTCTCCGGTAATCTCGCCTCTGTTCAAGTCCTCGGTCGTCGACTATGCCGATAGCGTGGTCGTACACAACTCCAACCCCGAGCCAAAGAAGCCTTCCAAGCCCTCCACCGTATCAGCCTTTGGCCTGTCGCCGGTCCAGACGCTCGCCACCGGACCTGCTCCGGCGTCCGTCGCGGCCGCTTCCACCACCACGGCCGCGGCGGCCAACAACCCCTCAGCGTATCGCCTGACTTCGCTGACTTATCAGGCACCCATCCACTCGCAGCCGGTAAATGTGCTGAACCATCAGCAAAGTAACGCTTTCCAGCCTGCCGCCTTCAGTCCGGAGCTCGATCAAACCACCTCAAAGTCGCCGCAGTTTGTGCCTTCCTTCCTGACAAGCAATGTCGTTGGCCCCAGCCATCCGCGAAGGAAGACCAGCGAGCACGGCTCGCCTCGTCTGTTCGCAGAAACCATCTACCACACTCAACAGCGCTCACGCTCGCCCTCCACGGGGCCATCGAGCTTTGGCGTCGACGACACGTCGGAAACATACGACTATGCCACAAGTCCATCGTCGGCCCGTAGCCCCAACTTTGTGGACGATGCCCCGCCTGCGCTGTCGCTCTACAGCACAACCGAGCGCTTCTCGTCCATAAACAAGCCGCCTGTGCGGGAGCCGTTCGTTGCCGATCTTCACACAAGTGCTGCGCTTGCTCCCGAAGTCGATCAGCTCCCGCCGCGATCAACGTTCCCCCGCCCTTCGATGCTGCCCAATCGTGGGTCAGCTGGCCTTTTCGGCCGACCCTCCGACACTGCCGCAGCCGGCTCCGCTTTTACGTTTACGGGCGGCGTCGGCTCTGGAGGCAGCGGCTCGTTTTCGGCCAAGATCTACGGCTTCGACCCTAGCCAGTACGAAGCCGTCCTTGACTACATCGACCGAAGCTGTGGTTACGTCGTCTCGCACCGCGTCCATACCAAACGAGGCTTGATCGTCACCTTCGACAGCCTCGAATCCTTGAACAAGGTCCTCGGACTGGATGGGAGCGACATTCCCGAGCTCGACATTATCTTGGGTGCCCGGCGACATGAAGAGGACGACCGACCGATCCAGCCTCCGTCCAACCCGATCGACATTCCCACCGGCCTCGCAAACGGCCGGTCTCACGGCGCACAGGGTCCCCACACCAGCAACACCGTGTCTGCCCAGCCCCGTCTACTGGCCGACGAATTCGCCTTCCCCAGCGACACAACCCTGCCCAGTGTGCCCCAGAGTGTCAAGCCCTGGGAAAAGGCCGGGTTCACGAAACGCAAGCATTACGATGAGCGCGAGGACTTGAGCCGAACCCGAAAGACCCAGGTCAAGAAAGTCATGAGCGAACCAATGAGCGCACACTACGATTCCAAACCTTCGAACGAGCCCGGCTACACAAACGACGAGTCGGGTGGCATCAAGCCGCCGGGGCTCCTTTCGCGCATCGCCGACTACGCCTTTAGCTGGCTGTGATCGATGTCGTGGCCGTGTGTCCCCAGGATGCAACGAGGAACCCAATACGACGACACTGCGCCCGCTTTTGATTTCCACGGAAGCTCACACGACTGCTCCGAAGCACCAACGACCGTCGCCCGGAGAGGAAGCCGCTGGTGGCAATCGAGAGCGACGAGCGGCTTTCCCTGTGCAAGAGTTGGCCTGACGGGCCTGTTCTGTCGCATCTATTATCTCTCCTGGAACGCCGATGCGATGGTGCCCAGGCGTTACTCGAATAAAGTTCTTCCGAGAAAAGTACGGGCCTCTGAACTTTGAGCATCCGCTTCCATAAACTTGACGAGCGTATCTACTGCGAACACATCGCATTAGTGGAGGGCAGGCCGCCCAACCAACCTGACCAACCTGGCCGTCCTGGCCGTCCTGGCCGACCTCGGGCGAATACAGGGCCGGCGGCGGTGTCGATGCCTCCCGGGGCAGACAGACGTGAGGGGTGCTTCTTGCCAATCCGCCACCAGCCTATCCATCAACGCACCCTGAGCCAGGATCCTCGCAAGCCCGCCTGCCTTGGCTTGACTTGCAATCTCGGCATCGGCGCATCGGCACATCGGCCTCCTCGCTTCACTCCCTGACCGAGAGCAGTGGCCACACCTGTATTCCAAGCCCACGCCCGCTCGCTCGATTCCGGCGCATTCCTGCTTCCAACTCTACTCCTCGCACGTCCCGTCTCCATTCCGCCAGAGCAGTTCGGCCTTCGTTCAGCCATGTCGCGTCCGACCCACAGCGCCTATCGTGCCAGCACCGGAGTGACTTCGACCTCGGCCGTCTCGCCTCCCGGCACGACCAGCATCAACCCCAACCTCGGATTTTACCAGATTCCCGAAGGCCGCTATACCTACACGATCTACAGCTACATTCGCGACGGCCGCTATGCGGACGTGATCAAGATCCTTGGCAATGAAATGCAGACCTTTTCCAAGTCCAGGGCAGCGCTTAGTCTGATGGGCTGGTGCTACTATATGAACGGCGACTTTGGAGAGGCTGCGAACTGGTGAGATGGCGTGGAGATAGATGTCATAGCGACAGAGACGGCGAGCAACTAAGAGAGAGAAGCGATAGTTGAGCGCGTGGGGAGCATGAAGGGCAGAGCGGCTCAACCCGAGTATGAGATCCACGAGTTGGCACCTCCCCCCCCCCGGCATATCGAGTGGCATCCGATATCGCGCTCCGAACCCCGACGGGCCATGCCGGCATTAACCTTCGTGGCCAAACCAGCTATGAGCAGCTGGTCCGATACCATCCAGAAGTCGACGACTATCGTCTCTACTATGCACAGTCGCTCCTCAAGTCCGGTCAGTATGCTGCCTCGCTCAAGGCGTGCCAAATGATCGAGAATCCAGAGCTGGGAGAAAAGGTGAGGACAATGGCCTCTGCCTGCAGGGCCTGACGGGGATACACGCAAGATGTTGCGATACAATCGGAGTCGATACAGAGTACTTTTGTCGAGCATATGGCGATAAACTCGCCGAGATCCGCGACAACTCATCGCGTCGGATCGTATGTCCCGCCGTTTCCACGCCGGCGGCCAGATACTCAAGCTGCAGGCATCGGTAAAGTACGAAACGAACGATCTGGCTGGATGCAAGCAGCTCGTGGATCAGTGCCCTCCGGATGATCCAGACACGATGATCAACCAAGCCTGCTTGCTCTTCAAGGTAAACTGGAGCTGTAACCGCGTTTCTCGGTCTGCGTGTTGTTCTCCCGCCTTCCCGGGTTCATCTCGCTCGATTATGTCGCATTACTGATCGAGTGCGCTTCCTTATCGGCGGGTTTTGTCTGGCTCGCCGCAAATCGGATATCAAAATCGGGGATGAGCAGGAAACAAAATACGAAGAGGCATGCCTCAAATACTCGGACGCATCCAAGATCCTTGGCTACCAGGCCGAGCTGTCATACAACATCGCGTTGTGTCATTATCAGCTCAAGCAGTATGTCCCAGCACTCAAGTATATTGCCGACATCATTGAAAAGGGAATCCGGGACCACCCTGGCAAGTAACCGGCGTGGGAGCATATGCCCACCTATCTGTGCGGTGGAGTTGGTGGTAGTGACCCATCGCCCGCCTCCTCCACCAACACTGGGACCATTTGGAGCCGGTGGTGAAGTTAGCTATTTCCTAATGCATTTGGAAATTCGCATCCTGATCTCCAGAGCTGAGCGTTGGCATGGCAACCGAGGGAATCGAGGTCCGGAGCGTCGGCAACTCGCAGGTTCTCCACGAAAGCTATTTGATCGAGGCCTTCAATCTGAAGGCTGCAATCGAATACCAACTCAAGAACTGTAAGGATCTGGCCAGGAGCTATTTGCTACGGATTCGCTCAGATGCTTTGCTACGAGGGTATTGGATCAGGGCTATGACGTCGCTGGGGCCGCAGGCAAACCATGCACAATGGTGCTTGGATGCGACCCCGTCCTCCGACGGCTGGTGAGTCGTCGCGCTGTTGCCATTGACACAGCCACATCGCCGCTGACAGATGACGCTGCAAGAGAAGCCCTGACCGACATGCCGCCGCGCTTGGAACAAGAACTCGATCCTGTTACCCTCCAAAATCAGGCGCTGATCAACATGGACGAAGATCCCACGACAGGGTTCGAAAAGCTCAATTTCCTGCTGCAGCAGGTCTCCTGTCCGCCCGAGACCTTTGGAAACCTGCTGCTGCTCTACATCAAGTACGAATACTACGATCTCGCCGCCGATCTTCTGGCTGAAAATCAGGGAATGCCGTTTGCCAACTTGAATTCGGTAAGTAGGTGACTTCAGCTTTGGTGCTTGTAATGCCGTCGATGCTATCGGCATCTCGAGCACTTGCGTTCCTCGGACTTGCACTCCTTCTACATGGAAGCCCGTCATGATTACGCATCCGACTATTCACTGTGTATCCGACTATCCACTGCGTATCCAACTATCCACTGCGTATCTGACCATCCGCCCCACATCATACCGGGCTGGCAGTACCTGTTTGAGTACCTCGATGCCACTTTGCTGCGGCAGTCTTCTCCAGAAGAGGCATACAAAAAGTTCGATGATCTGGCAAACAAGCACGTCGACGTTCTTCGAAAGCTCACAAAGCAGGTTTCGGAGGCACGCCAGAACCACGACGATGAAACTGTGAAGCGTGCTGTTAACGAGTACGAAGATGGGGTTGAAAGGTATATGAACATGAGATTGGTCATGGTGAAGGCAGGGGCCTCAGCTCTCGATGAGTCGGGACCCGCTGTGAAATACTTGCAGAGCAGAGAGGCATAGAGCTTTCCATATTGATCGGATGACTTGAGCGCAGCTTGGTGTCGTATGAGCTGCACATGGCACCTTTGGTCGGAGGCATTGCGACTCAAACCAGTAAATGCTTTCCCACGGCTGCGTCCAGGTACATTCCGGTGCTCATGGCTCAAGCCAAGATCTACTGGGACCTGGAAAACTACTCCATGGTCGAAAAGATCTTTCGCAAGTCGGTCGAGTTCTGCAACGAGCACGACGTCTGGAAACTCAATGTGGCCCATGTGCTGTTCATGCAAGAGAACAAGTACAAGGAGGCCATCTCGTTCTACGAGCCGATTGTCAAGAAGCACTATGAAAATGTATGTGCATTTGCGTGGCGGGTGTGTGTGCATTGATATGGCGAATGCATGGCAGCGACTGGTCCCCTGTGACAATTCATCAAGCGAGTGTTGCCGATCCCTCTGGACCGCATTGCCTGTCGAGTCGCACTCACTCAATAGCGCATCACTATGGTGTCTTTGTAGATTCTCGAGGTTACCGCCATCGTCCTGGCCAACCTTTGCGTGAGCTACATTATGACTTCACAGAACGAGGAGGCTGAGGAGCTGATGCGCAAGATCGAGAGAGAGGAAGAGAGAGTTGCATATGAAGATCCAAACAAGCGTACATACCATCTATGCATCGTCAATCTGGTGATTGGCACGCTATACTGTGCCAAGGGCAACTACGAATTTGGCATCTCAAGAATCATGAAAAGCCTCGAGCCCTTCAACAAGAAGGTGAGCGCCTCGTCCGATGTTGAGCTTGAAGGGATGCGATCGTTTCTGCATGCATCGGCAGCGACTCGGGCCATGTCGATAGCGACTCGACGATTGCGCTCGATGGTGTTTGTGTCAAAGCATTCTGGCAAGCAACAGTTATCTAGGCTGTCGGTGCTTGCTTGATCTGGCCGCTAGAACAGACTGGTGCATCGGCTTCCCGTGCTGTCGATGCAGATCTGTGAAGCTGAGGGATACGTTTCTAACACTTGATGACTGTTGGGTCTCTGGGATCGACTGGGGTGCCACCATGCCTGCATTCGAATCCACGGATCATCAGCTGGGCACCGATACTTGGTACTATGCCAAGCGATGCTTCGCCTCTCTATTCGAAACCTTGGCAAAGCACATGATAATCCTCAAAGACTCTGTCTTCCAGGAGGCCCTGGCCTTCTTTGATGCATGCGAGCTGCACGGACGACAGATTCCCGTGGTGATCGACCCTGTCGGCGTCGAGAACATCGATCCGGCCAAGAACTCGGTTTCATATGAAGCGCGCCTGTTCAAGAGCCTGTTCCTGAGACTCTATCAGTGACCGCCGAGCTATGTGTAGTACTGGCTGGCTGCGGAGGGGGTGGTCGTGGTGTACAGGTCGATCAGCGTTTAACAAATCGACGTGAGATATCTACGAGACAACACATTCATGTTCTTGACTGCGTTGATTTTACGAGACTGCATTGCGGTGCACTGAATCGATAGATCATTTCGTATCGACTGCATCCACTCCGGCATAGCACCCACCGATATATGGTGATGGTCGCTTGCATTGTTGGTCGTGGGACCCATCCAAGGGCTTGAGGAGCCTCAGACGATGGTGATTTGAGGTGGATGACAACAGTATATGATGGAGATGTGTGCATCCATGCAAAACCATGAAATTCGGCGCTGGCCAGCTGGGACAGCTCTAGCCAATCCGGCTGCCTCTGGCCAACTGGTGGTCTCCTGCTGGATGTATTGGGCGAAAGTGACCCTGCTCCACGCCGAAGGTCAGGCCGTTGCTGAAACTCTGTTTCTCTGGAATGACCACTCGTCCTTCCACTCTTATGAATGGGCACCCTCTGCCCATTATGGGCCCGCCTGGGTGCCCACTACTCACCAGTAAAGCAGCAAGGTTGTGTTCCACCAGAGCTTCTCCCGATCTCAGAAGGAGGCAGTGGACCAAGACTGTTCGGGTGGCGTCAGCAGACAAGCGTGATTGGCATCTGCTCAAAGAATAGAGTTACGCTCGAATGCGGAATTCCTCGCAAGATCATCCCGTCAGTTCTCTGGAACCCCATCTCTGCCAGCGGAAGGCGAATTGGTGCGGCCTTGACACCTCCTCCCACACCAAGCATCTCCGCACATGAATCACAACGGCTCTGCAGTTTCTCGCCTCGCTTTCCGCCAGGGGTGGCTGTCTAAATCCAATTCGCCTTCTCTCCTCCCCACATCGGCTTTCTCTGGAGCTTTCTGACGACATCTACAGAACTTTCTTCGCCCGACCTACGCCGTTCGACCGATGTGTCTTGCTGGCATGGATATAAAAGCTGCAAGGCTGCTCCTCATCAAGCGCCATCCATCGGCCCTCCCACGCATACATTTCCTGATAATCTCGCGGCTTGCTCTTAGGACCTCCACTCGCTTTGTACGCTTCAGTCGTTTGCTACCATGATCAACTCGATGTTCCTGAGCACCCTTGGCCTTGCCATGCTCCTGGGGTCTGCTTCGGCCGCCCGTCCTGCTGCAGGAGACTCTTGTGCTCTTGCTCAGCTTGGCGACTACAGCTGCGGCAGCGACAGCAACATTGTCGTCTGTGCCTATGTCAGCCAGACTCAGACCCAGTGGGTTGAGCAGTCCCGAGCCCCCACCGGCCAGTACTGCTACACTGACGGATACGACATCGTCTATGTGCCCATCAACGTCAAGCCCGACCCACCCACTCCCTCATACAAGCCCACCCCCAAGAGCAACTGCACTTCGTATAGTCGCGGTGCAACCCGCTGCGGCGACAGCAACAACATTGTCGTTTGCGACTACGACACCTCGGCCTACAGCCCCACTCTTGTCTGGCTCCCCAAGAAGACCTGTGCCAGCAACTCAACCTGTGGCTTCAATGGCAACGAGATTACCTGTGTCATCAATGGAAACAAGCCCACCCCGATTCCCATCCCTCCCACCAACGGCCCCGGTTGCTCGGATCTCTGCACCACCAATGGCGACTATGCCTGTGGTAACAACAACGACATTCTCGTCTGCCACTATGACGCCAACAGCCAGCTGCGATGGATCCAGATTGGAGTCTGTCCCTCGGACCAGTACTGCTCCAAGACCCCCATGGCCAACGGCTTCTCGTACACTTGCGCACTCCGCAGCGATTACCGGCCTCAGTCTAGCCAGCCCCCCAAGCCCACGGGCAGCACTCCGCCTACTCCTACCAACAAGCCTTTCAAGAAGTGCAAGTTCCTTTAAATTATAATGGTGATGCCGACAGGCCCAGGAGCAGTCGATGGCAACAGAGCCATGGCTCGACCCAGCGCGGGAGTTGGAATGTGATGTTACAGCGTAAGCAGAAGAATATACGATTCAAAAAATAAACGGGAACACTGTCATTTTGGGCGGAAATCGTATGCACCCATCAGTCAGAGCGACCGTCCATCACATCTTCGATTTCCGCACCGGTGATTGTGGCATCCGGAGAGTGACGCACGGTCTTCGCTCGGAAACTGCCGAGTGATTTGTTTTTTTTCTTGTGGCTCTGTTGGACGCAGTTTATCGCGCACTACACTGATATATGGGATGGGTGTTGGTGGTGGGGTTGCTTGGCTGCGCTGCTCGGATGTTGGGTCGGTACTTATTTGGATATGGCATTCATTAAAAATCGGGAATCAGGGCCACTTGCCGAGATACTGAAGGTTGAAGATGGCATTGCCCGATCGCTGTTTGGCGGACTTGCGCCACCAGAAGACGGCGGTATCGGTGTCCTGAGGGACACCTTCGCCCTTCTCGTAGCGGTGACCGAGATGGCACTGTCCATATCGATTACCCTGTTCGGCCGACTTGCGGAGCCACTCGGCTGCCTTGGTGTGATCCTTGGTGACCCCATATCCGTAGTAGTAGCCCAATCCAACCAGCCACTGTCCATACGAGTTGCCTTGGTCGGCGGACCTGCTGAACCACTCGAATGCCTTCTTGGCGTCCTCTGATACCCCTCCCCCACTACGGTAGCACTCTCCAATCCAAAACTGGCTGTCACTGTGGCCTTCGTTGGCGAGTTGCTCAAAGATGACCGCGGCCTTCTCCTGGTCCTCGTCTGTTCCAAATCCAAGGAACAGACACACGGCCATGAGATGTCTGCACAGCCAGTCACGATCCGATCCAAACTGGTAGAGATTGAAGAACTTTTGGGTAGCGGGCGAGGTGGGGTCGTCATGGCCGTAGCCTGCCAGACATTCTTCCTCCGCAAGTTTGAAATCCCTCGAGTAGTTCTCTCGGATGATCTTGATGCCTTTCTGTTCGTCGCGCACGGTGCCCCGGCCAAGATAGTTCATCCAGCCAACCATGTGGGTGGCGATGGGATTGTGCATTGTGTTGGCGGACATGGTGCTGACTTCCTGCCAGTGAGCGAAGGCAACTTCGTCGCTCTGTTCGACACCATGGCCGATGAACGAGAACCATGCTTGGAGGAACACAATGTGGAGACGGCCGTCCTCGTTTTCTTGATCGGCAGCCCTGGAATACCATTCGACGGCGGTATCATAGTCTTGATCGACACCTTCACCACTCTCATAACAGCGGCCGAGGGCGATTTGGGCCCGAGATATTCCACATTCTGCAAGTCTACGATAGAGCCCGGCAGCCTTGGTATGGTCTTGGGTGACTCCAGTTCCGTTGCGATAACACTCGGCCAGGTCGAACTGTGCCATTGCGTGGTTTGTGTTGGCCGCTGATTCGAAGAGGCGGAAGATTTGCTGATGGATGGCTTGCCGCTCGGAATTGTTCAGCGAGGGTCCATAATCGAGATCGATTTGGACAATATTTGCCAGGAAGAATGACGCGGCAGCATTGCCTTGTTCAGATTGAATTTCAAGCCAGGATCTGTCGGTTGTGACTGGATCCTCGCAGTGTAGCGAGAGGGCGATTTGGTCACTCGGTGTGAGGCGAATCCACGGCTCTCCGTCTTGATAGTAGAGTTTTGCCTTCTGGCACCACTTGCGGAAGCGAGGCAGCTTGGAGCTCAGGAGAGGACGAGCTCGCTTGCACACTCGGAGGAGGGTCTTGATTGTGATGTGATCGAGGGCGAGTTGGAAGCTGTCGTTGCAGCAGACAATGGCGAAGATGTCTGGGTTGTGGCTGAACGATGTTTGGGTTGGATCGGGCATCGACGAGGTTGTGCTGGCTTCAGCTTGGCTTTGGTGGGTGGGAAATGTCGCCGTGATTGAAGCAGGTTTGTTCATGTTGGCCATGTTGATGAAGACAGGAGGGAGACAAGTGGGTGATTGCGATGGACATGAGTCAGAGAGAGGCAGGTTGTGGAGAAGTAAGCTTGACCCTGTCAAGCCAAACCCTGGCCATTGAACACACACACACAAGCCTGGCTCGATCCGATGGTTTGCTGGCTGGAGTCTTTGTTCTTATTGCACTGCCACAGGTACTGCCACATGCATCGAATATGGAATCGATCATGAAATCGAGCCTCGCGGACTCATCATACAAGGCCAGATGCAATAGCCATTCGGTTATACGTTTATAGATCTGAATCAAGGACGCTTTCTCGCTCAGATGATCGCCTTTGGGAGTACCTCCGGAAGCGAGAACAAACCCGACTCAACAAGGTCCCGTTTCGAGCGAGGTGCACCTTAGTTGTGTATTGTGCCCTGGATGAGCCGGGCAACAGCCATGGCCATTCGCGCTGAGCCGTCCGGGTCCATCATGAAGGCATGCCGGAACAACGGATCAATGAGATGGGAAGCCTTTGGGAACAGGTTTTGGAGCGATTCGACTGCCTCGTCGGGGACCCAGTGATCGTTTGCAGCATACATGAACAGCATCTTGCCCTCGAATCGCCGCAGCGGCTTGGCTCCCTTGAAGCGATGGACCTCGGTCACTTCATGAAACCCCATCTTGAAGCAGCTGAGAGCAACTTTGTAATCAATCAGCGAAAGCACGGCTTTCTGCAGCTCGAGCGCGGTTGCTGGATCGTGTGCCTGGTCAAGATATGATCGGACGAGTCGTTCCTTGATCCAAGCGGGCAGCAATGCAACGGCGCCAGTTATCTTGGCAGCGAGCCCATAGCGCTTCAGAATGGGACGCAGCCGCACCCCCGCAGGTGTCTGTCCAATGTTTTCGACGGCTGGCTGGAGCATAATGACCCGCTCGACAATGTCGTCTGGTCGCTGAAAAAGGCACATTGTTGTCATATCAGAGTCATGCAGCAATAGCGCCGATGCAAGTGAGGCAAGCGACGGAATCGGGCCGAGAGAGAACGGAACAGGCAAAGCTAGCGCAGTCCTCCCACCTCCATCCTGGCGGCGAGATCGCCAAGGACCTTCAGGCAAAAGTAGGCGCCGATGGAGTGACCGATCAGGATGATCTTCATCCCCGGATTGCCTTGGATTCGGTGCCGCACAAACTCCAGCTTTTGCTGCACTTGGTCCTCGAGCGTCATAGGGTGGATCGGCCGTGCTCCTCTGTGGATCCGGTGGGTCCACAGCGAGTGGCCGCCATGGGCTATGCAGCACAGTTCGTAGCGCCGGGAGTGATCCGATTGCTGCAAAAGCAGCGACTGGAGAGAGTCAAGAAAGGGCTTGTAGAACTGCGGAGATCCTGGGTTGCCTGGGATTAAGAGGATGAGATGCGTTGGGAGCCCTCCGGGCTGCGGGCGATTCCCTCGCTGGCTTGGATGCGGATGAAGGGAGTAGCAGTGGATTGGCTGATCGTCACCAGGCAGAACAGCGATGCTGTCGTTGGCGGACGGCTGGAGACCGATGCCAAAGGGCATCCACACAAGATCCCAGAGCCAGACAGCAGCAGCGAGCAGCGCAAGGCCGACGACCAGTGCCAGAAGCAGGCTCATGGTCAGTCGCCGTCCGGGATTGTGGGATGGAGAGGATGGGTTCGAGAAACAGCTTGCGGATCAAGGCCGATCGCCAAGGCCGTGGTTGTCTCGGCGAGAGCAAGCGTGACCAGGCCCAGACCAACGGCCATGCTCCGTGCTGTGTGGATGGTGCTTGCAATTGCGATGGGTAACTATGCGTGTATTCAAGATCTAGGAAAGAAAAGGGCCGCGGGCCACGGAGACAGTGTCTTCACTATGCTTTGCGAGTCCCTCGAGCAGAATCAATGTCCAAGCCGCCATCGCCGTCGCGGCATATTATCCCTTGCCATGGAACGAAAACCCGGCAACCTCGTTGCCGCCGAGGTCTGCTGCCGACTCTGTGGGCGTCAGGACCGTGGGTTCCTCGGTGAACATCTCATCAAAGAACCTGACATCGAGATCGTTGTCCTGTGGGGATTGTGATCGGCAACAGCATACGTTAGCCCCATCGGCAGCGGAAGTACCACCGGCGTTGGCCGGAGAGATGAATCTTGCTCAGCATCATATGGGCGATCGGACGGGATCTTACCAGCTCTGGTCGGAAGGGAGGAAGAATCTCCTTGTTGAAGAGCTTGGTAAAGTCGATGGAGCTGAAGAACGGATGGCTGCGAATCTCGAGCCCGTCTGCGGCACTAGCGCCGAGTCGCAGCGATGGGTTCCGCTGCAAGAACCGAGAGATGATGTCCTTGCTCTCCGGCGAGCAGTGGTCGGGATACTCGACGACTGAGTGCAGGATGTTGTATCGGATCTGCTCGCGGTCGTCTGAATAGAATGGGTGGTATCCGCACAGCATCTCAAAGATCACCACGCCAAAGGCCCACCAGTCGGCCCCAAATGAGTTCTCGAGGCCGCAGATGACCTCGGGAGCCAGGTACTCGAGCGTTCCCACGAGCGAGACTGTTGATGAGTCGTCGCTCTCCTCCTCCTGCTTGCTGAGGCCAAAGTCAGTGATCTTGACGTGGCCGTCCTTTGCCAATAGGATGTTTTCGAGCTTCAAATCGCTGCAGGGATCAGTTCATCAAGAAGTAAGACTGCGAGTTTCGCCTCTTCCCCAGCCATGGCCGATGCCATCGCCGATGTCATTGCCACCACCCCTCCTAGCAACATCCTTGGCGGATTCAAAAAAGAGTCCTTACCGATAAGCGATGCCCTTGCCGTGCAGACATTCAATCGCGAGGAAAATCTCGGCTGCGTAGAAGCGCACCCGGTCCTCCGAGAACCGACCAAAGTTGCAAATGTGAAAGTACAGCTCTCCGCCGTTGACATATTCCATCACGAGATAGAGCCGCTCAGGAGACTGGAAAGCGTAGTGCAGACCCACGATGAAGGGATGGACGATGCTGCGGAGAATGTTGCTTTCGGTCTGCGGATCGCACTGGTCTTCGGCAGTCTTGTGTAAGACTTTGATTGCATAAGCCGTTCCCGTCGACTTTTGGATGCAGAGCAAGACCTGGCGGGGGCGAGTCGTGGAAGCGAGTCGTGGAAGACACATGTTAGGCTCTTTGGGTCTTGGCAGGGCTGCTCGTGGGGCTCTCCCGGAGCCATCGTGCGGCAGCCGCGGCCGTCACTGACCTTTGCAAACTTGCCCCGTCCAATGACTTTGTGGATCTCAAAGTCATTGATGGACATCTGGGGCTGGTCCTTTGATGCACTGCCGCCCGCTGTCAGTGTGGCACTCTTGGCTGGCTTTTGCACCGAGTTGCTGCTGATCGACGTGGCGATGGCACTGGTCCAGGCATCAACGTCTTTGGCGGTATCGACCGCAAAGGTCAAGCCGTCTCCGAATTGGTCCAGGAGCTGCCATGCGTGCTTGCGGTGGGTCGAAAACGGTATCTTGTTGATAGTGGAAGTGTCGAGGCTGATCTTGTAAACGTGTTCTTTGTGGTCCTTCGTGCGCTGGGTGACCTTGAGGAATCGGTTCTCAACATAGGCATAGCAGGACAGCCACTGCTTTTTATCTTCAAGCTGGAGCGCACCCTGTTTGTAGATGTTGTCGGTCTCGATTTTCTTCCGGTTCGAGAAGATGCCAGCGAGTCAGGACGGAGGAATCGACATATACCCGATGCTTGCCCCAAATGAGTCCCGACGTTTAAGGAGAGGCTCATGCCACCTCTGCTGATTCCATTATGACTACCGACATCCTCTCCTCCGCACCCTCCTAATGACATGCTCCAGGAGAGGATGTTTGCAATGATATCGTGGATGCAAGCCTACGGTGGCGATGCCAATATCGCAGCGATCCCGTCCACTCCACAGCCACGAAGTGTCGATTCCATGCCACAAGTCCATTGTTTTCAGCCAGTAGCTGTGTCCACAGTATCCTCGTATCATTCAAGAACCAAACATCGCTCGCCATGCGCACAATACTCACTCGATTCAGTATTGCGTTCGACTGAGAAGGCCCCGTGCCGGTCATCGTGTTGAGCATCTTGTACAACTCGGCCAACTCGCCCCTTCCTTCAGGCACATCCTTTGCTTGAGGACCTGCAGCTTTGGGCGTGGATCGCTCCTCGACTCCGAAGAACTCGGCCAGCTTCTGCACCCTTTTTTCGCCGGTTCCTTGGCTTGCCGAATCATTGTCATCCATGTCGTCGCCTTTATCGACCTATGTGGGAGAGCACACGATGACATTGGCTCAGCGAGTGCGACATCTGAACTCAAGACACATTAATCAATCGACGACCAGAGCACTGATTGTGCGTTGTGCTATTTAAACAGAAAGCCATTGCATCGTGGCTGTTTTCAAGCAAGTAACCCGGGGGAGCGTGCTTTTGTGTGAGAGAAGCGGTAAGGCCGGGTGATCTTACTCTGTGGCCACGCAATCCATTCTTTCCCTTGAGTTTCTTGAGACAAAAGATCTCATCCTTCTCCCACTTGACCATTCGCTCGTAGAGCTTTTCTTCTTGGGCCACGGTTCTCTCGCCTGGTTTCCGATGGTATGCACATCGTGGGATATTAGTGCGATTGGGGTGCAGAGCGTGTCCACATCGATACCTTCTTCTAGATCCAAGCCACTGCTGCGATCAAGCAGCTGCGGGTTTTGGCAATTCAACATAGCTGTTGTCTCCATCCTCACCCTTAATCGTCGCTACTGCATGTTCCCAGAAGCTACCAAGTCTGCCGATTGAGCCTCACTAGTCGATGCACTCACCTCCACTCTCAGGTAGCATTTCATTGATAACAAAGTTTTGCACCATATCCTTGATCCCGAGACTCTGCAGTAACTCTTTGATGGCCGTGCCTGCAGTGACGTTGATCGGTAGCGAGATGCTTGTGAACGTCATGTTGCCAAAGTAGAATCGCATGAGCACCTTGGTGCCATCCGAATTTACGATTCCTTGTTTCTGAGCACCACGTCGATTAAGTTTGTCGAACGGTGAAGGTGGCGGGCGAAGCGACGGCGAGACATTCGTCGACAGCAACCGGATACAATTGGAAAAAACACACGCATACAGAACGCGCAAGAGCCAAATCAGTAATGGGATTGCGAGGGTGGTATTTGGAGACACCTCGCCAAGACAAGTCAAGATAAGAACACGGGTGGCAGTCAGCAACGCATCATACCCGCGCCTCTAGCGCCTTGGACGGCGTATAGCTTGTCTTGATGATAGAGTGAATCTCTTTCATTTCCTTCTGTCCAGAGTCGACGCCGAAAAAGTCGGCGAGCTTGCCGGTTCGCTTGACAGGCTCATCGTCCTGGATAAGGATGAAGGCAATTCCGCGATCAGAACGTGGAGCTCGGAGCGTCGGGGGTATGTCCAGGGCAAGTGCAAACCGGGCGCTCGTCAACTCGAGGGTCCACAAGCATCAGTCTTCCTCGGCAAGAATTCGCCCACACTGTTGTCAACATAGACCACAGCTCAAGAGGAGACAGCCTACATCGTCGTAGTCATCATCGTCCTTGTTCTCGCGGGACTAATCGTGCCAGGAAAATGATTGAGATGTTGCAATCCGTTAGAACTACACCCGAGCGGCACCACTCGCAAGAATATGGATGTCCCAGCGACGTCGATACAGCAAGGACAATGATTCCCAGCCGCAGTGCAACAAGAGCGACAGGAGAGAATGCAGCGTTCGGCACGCATCGTCTGTGGGAATAGAAACCGTGCATACCCGCTGGATCTTTGCCGAGGATTTTTTGCGGCTTGTCCCGCCAGAACTGGACTCTATCGTTTTCTCATCGAGTATGGACCTTGAGGAGTTTTCGCGGATTTGGAGCTGCGATTGTGACTTTGGACGACTCATCGATCGATCCAGGGACTTGGATCCCAGAAAGTTTGTGAACTTTTTCTTGAAACTCGACTGCGAATCCGAAGTTGGAAAGCCCAGGAAGCTGTGCGCGGCTGAAGGGCGACGACTCGAGTCAGAGTCGCGAAGGTCCATATCGCTGGAGGGAGGTCGAAGCGTCTGGACGATGGTGGACCCTGTGGTTGTTGGGATGCTTTCCATGATCGCGGCCGCCTGCCTTCTGGCCTCTATCTCCTTCTCCGCAGCCATCTGAGTGGCAGAGATGTTTGTCGGTGGTTAGATATCGGCTAGCTCGACATCAATGCTGCGCAAACCGGCATGGAGTCACTAAACCCCAGAGTTGCTTGGCATCAAAATGCTCTCGAAGCTCGGTGACATTCCCTATGCCATCGCCACGGCATCCCTTTACAGTGAAATATACAGCGGATTGAAGGAAAGTACTCCCTCTCTGGTGCAATCGCCTCACCTGGCGCAGCTTCTCGATGGGCTCGAAGCTCTTTCTCCGCCTAAGCATCTCAGTGGAGAGTCCTTGCTCTGGCTCGGTGTTGATTGCATCCCAGGATGCGTTCTACATATCCCAATTGATAAGATGTATGTCAGACTGAATAATCGGTCTAGGCCAGAGCCATGATATCGCACTGTCTGCTGTAGATGAGCAGAGCCGCATTTGCCCATATCAGTCCCCCGGATTCGAATGGGATAGATACCCTCTTTAGTCTCGTGTCGCGGTTCTGAAGATGGATGTTGCGCAATTTCTCGACATCGACGTCGTTCTCCTTCAATGAGGCATCAAAGTCGTCCATCATGGACTCCAGCGAGCTCTTCTTCTTCTTGAGCGCCTTGGCCATGGTGCCCTTGCGCGGCATGGCACTACGGAAGTTGAACTGGTGTGGATTGGTAGAAGCGAGTCAGAAAGATGTACCAAACAGAGTCGTGAATAGTACAAAGTCGGTATGTGGGTGTCTGGAGTGGAAAGTACCGACCTCTTCGCCCCGACCGTCAATGCCAAGCCAAGTTGTGAGTTTTGCAGACTTTGCAATGATTTGACTCTTTCGGCGCTCGTCCTCGGCTTCCTTGTCCTCCTGAGAAACGATCGTCTGCAGCGGCTGGCAGACGGGAATGCCAAGCATGTTGACAAGCTTGGTAACCGTGGATTTGACCTGCTCACAAAGGCATGATTAAATGCGCTGCCTCAAGGGCAAAACCGACATCCGATGACTGGTTCGACAGCTCTCCTGTCCGTGTTCATGTCCATGTCCTTGTCTTTGTTTTGTCTTTGTCTTTGTTTTGTCTCTGCCGCTGTTGGTCCAAGCTTCTTGCCATTGCTGCTGCCATGAATCAAAGCAAGTCACCGCCACGCCAAAGCAACACTCGCAGTATACCGTACCAGCCGTTTGAAAATGAATCGAGAGGCTGAGCTCCAGGGCACAAACGGCCGCGATTGCAGATCCAGGAAGCCCGACTGCTTGGGGTCGCCTGAAGGGCGATAGACAGGAACGGTGTCAAAATAGCAGGCAGTATGGGTAATGCCAATCACGGGACGCCATATTCTGGGTAGCCAATGCGCATCCGCACTCCAAACACGATCGGTCGTATGTGAAGTGCAGTCGCGGTAAGCACACAAGTACTCATGTCTCCGGTACCAACTATGCGGGATCGTACGTGACATCCCGGAAACCCCCAGCGCGAATACAAGAAAACAATCGTGCCACACAACGGCAAGAGGGGACGGTACACTGAGTGCAAGTTTGCCGTCACGTACCCTCCACTTCGATCCATAAGCCCCAGCTCGTGCGCTCTTCGGCCTTCAGGTCCAAGATGTTCCACAAGATCTCGAGAACGTTCGATACGGATGTGGCTGTTTCGACGCAGATGTGGCGAACCGTCGTCGTTCCCTCGATAGAAATGGGCAGGTTCCACCGAATGTTGGACTTTTTGCGCAGTTTGAGCTTTATCGATTTGGCGACCGGCATAGTGTGGATTGGGTCGTTGATCAGCGAGGCAATCGTTCGGTTTGGATCGACGCGGATTTCTGTGCAGCAGCTCCCTGGAGAACAACGCAAAGGGCACGGTCTGTTGAGCATCCCCTCTTCCCACGGCAAGCGCGCAGGTTGGCATTGAGCCATATGTTGGGCTTCTTGGCATGCGGAGCCAAGTAGAACCGACGTTGGCGAAACCGGCACTTGCCAAGCCGATCCATCGATCGGTCGGACGAATCGAGTGTTGGGCATGACGACGAACCGCGCCAACCAACATAGAGGATACCTTGACGACAGCTCACTCACCTGTTTTGTCTTCGATGACCTGAAATATCTTGAATGTCTCGACCATGTCAATGGCCTTGATTTTGGACAGAAAGTCCATGCGCACTTCGTGAACAGTCAGAGTAGGCTGGGTTTTGAGAGAGAAGGAGGTACCGTCGTCTTCGCGGATGATCTGCACTGGGATGATGGAGCCGTGGTGGACGGGGGTTTGGAAGGACACGGTTGAAGTCAACTCGTTGAGCTGCTCTCGGAGCCGCATGAGACCAAACTCCTCGGAGCCACTGTCGTCGAGCTGGCTGGAGACCTCATCGCGAGCTCCAGCCACGGATATCGACGTGCGACTGTTTTGTCGATCCGAAAGGCTCTGACGGCTGCAGCTCGAGGCCACGCTGTTGGAGCTGAGCTGTGGCTGTATCGGGCCAGAGGTCTCCTGAGGGCTGTCGGCCGAGGTTTTTCGCCGGGTAATCGACGATGCGGCGGCAAAGAAGGAATTATGGAACTCGCTGGGATCGATGTTGGACTTTCTGCGATTTGAGTTAATCGACAATTTGATGTCGGTGGGCTGCAGAGAGCTCGATCCGCCCGAGAGGGTTCTCGCAAATCTGCTGAAGCCTTTTGGAGCCGGGTCTACTCGCAAGGTCGCAAGGCCTAGCGACGGGCTCTGTCCTTGGCTTTGCGTGCTGGCGCTGTTGGTGCCGCTGGTTTGGGGCTGGCCAGGAGCGCCACTGCTGTACCCGAGGGGAATGTGGCTCGTGGGTTTGAAGGTAATGTCGGGTGAAAGTAGTCCATTTGCGATGGTAGCAGCCTCGGATGGTACGTCCAGCTCGGGTGTGTGTGGGAATGAGGGCTGGGTGGGCGACGGATTGTTACTGCCTCTCCGACTCTGGTTAGGCGAGGACTTGGACGAGGCGGACTGGCTCAGCTTGAGGCTCCGGCCGCTGTTCGAGTTGAACATGGCCAAGCAGCGTTCAGATGTCAAGGGCGCTAGATGCAAGCCAGTCGAGGGTGTGTATCAACCGATTCACAGGGCGTGGGAGCTGAGGGCTGGAAGGCCCAGTGCAGAGTGGACGCGAAGTTGCTGACAGAGAGCAGGCCAATGCTCAGGCGGCGGCAGGATGAAGGGGAATGCTTTGGATCGAAGTTGCGTCAGGGGATATATGACAAGCAATAGGATATATCGACAAAGAGCCCACTTTCCGCGAGATGAGGGAAGGATGGGAAGCGCAGAGCGAGACGACGGCCAGACGGCGAGAGTGTGTGCTTACTTGATTCGCCCTGGGCATCGGGGGCCACAGAAGGCAAAAACCTTCAAGGCGCAATGCTGGTCGGATTCGGTTCAGCGATGTGCTTTGCTGTGGTAAACTGCAGTGTCGCAGCGATAAACCCATTGGTGATAGAGACAATGGGGTGCGTGGAACAAAGACACACTTCACAGTATGTCCGGGTCTGAATCTCGCGCGCTGCAACGACCGTCAGCCAGCCGGACGACGGATGACGCTGCGTGCCGACCGACGCTCAGGATCAGGCCGAGGTGATACGAGGAGGGCTGTAGGATGCGAGACAATCGGCTGCGTATGATTGCAAGCCCATCATGGCTTGCGAGAGGCAGAAGGGGGCATTGAACAATGCTCAGCGCGCAGAGCATCGAGGCCAGGGCATCGCGCCTTCACTGCCACGGATGCTGGCCGTCGCCGAATCACGTGGGCTGCCGGATCATCGGCATCGGAGGTTCCGCGGTCTGGCGAGCCTTGTGGGTCCCAACAAGGGCGTCAGCGGGGAACGGAGCAGGCTCGGACGAATGCTGGAGCGCAAACGACAACGGCATTCCAGAGCCGAGTGCGAGTGAGCAGATGCGCAACGGCATGCGTGAGAGAGTATCGACGGGAGCGTTGCCGGCAGTGCCTCGCTGAGGGAGGGGGAAACGAGATTGGAGGAGGACCAGCGGCGACAGATGCAGACAACCCGAGAGCACTATGATGCGACCGGTGAGCCGGAAGAGCTGTGTCCATCCTGTCGATAGAGAAGCAAGAGCAGATCACGATCCATGCCGACGCAGTAATGCCCGCGCAGTAATACCGACACAGCAATGCCAACGCAGCAATGCCAACGCAGTAATGCCAACGCAGTAATGCCAACGCAGCAATGCCGACACAGCCGTGTTGACGGCGAGCCCCGTCCGGTGGCAGAGATATTTGTTTGGCCCAACAGCACCGCCGGCAACGACATCACCCAGAACATCACCCACATCACCCAAATCACCACCCAGAACATCGCTGGCACCGGCATCGCTGGCGGGCATCGTTGGCAGCCGCTCTGCTCCGTGTGCGTTTGCCCGTCCGTTTGTTTCCCTCGCCATTTTTTTTTTTTTGCGTTGTTGGCTTGTGCTGGCGATGTGCTCGCCACCCCTCGCTTTTGCACCACGCCTCGCCTGTGTCCCCAGCCATCCCGACAGCCCTCGGCCAAGGCCTGCCCTTACATCTCGCAAGCCTGCGTCTCCTGCCGACCATTCTGCAGACCCTCCCGGTGCTGCTTGTTCCTCATCGGCCGCCGCTGCTGCCGCCTCTGCTGTCTCACGTCCGCCCACTTCTCGCCTAGTCGCCAGCCATGTACTTTGGATCAAAGCCACAGCCAGCCGACCCGTTGGTGAGCAATCCATTTGCACTCGTTGCTTGCGCATTATCCCTGCCATGCTGCCGGGGGGCGAGCAATCCACATGCCTGGGCTCCAGAACTGCCCTGCCTCGTCCATCCGTTAATACAGCTCTCTCTCTGCGACCTTGCCTGTCTCTATCGCCCTGCCTCGCTATGTGCGTCGACTGGTAGACGGCCGAAGATCCCGCAGCCCGGAGCCTGAGGATCAAGTCGCTCTTCAGCAAGCTCGACACCCGAAGGTCCGGCCGTATCGATCGATCCGATCTCGTCCACACCTTCCGGCAGCTTTCCTCGACACATCGCATTCAAACCGGTGGCAATCGCCTGGCTTCAGGTCCCTCGCCAGTATCACCAGCGTCACCAGCACCACCAGTACCACCGGTATCGCCCAACAGCACGGTCGAGTCGGCTCCCTTTGAGCTCTATGCGGACGAGCTAATTGCGCTCTGCGACCAAACCAAGAACGGCTCTATCGGTCTGGCCGAATTCACCAAGTTCGTGGAGAGGAAAGAGCTGGAGCTGTGGGGCCTATTCAAGCAGGTAAGCGACTATCTGCTGGGGTGTGCGCCCGCAGTCACCAAGCCTCGCAAGAGGAGCCAGGGCAAGCAAGCAAGCAAGCAGGCCTCCTCACACAGGAAGAGGGATCCGAGACGGCATTCGGCAGCGAGGCTTGTCGAACTTCCGCTGCATCTCGCCTCGTCTTGATTTGTTTGAAGTCCATCGCTGGGCTGTTGAAACATGGAGCCAAGTCCAACTACCGCATGGGCTATTAGATCGAGGCATCGTTGGAGTGTCAAGTTGGTTGAGGGGAGGGAATCGGGTTGGCCAGTTCGGAGGCGATCGCCACCACAGATCGTGCTAAATCGACGGATGGGACGCATGGCTCTCCAGATCGACACATCCCAAGATCACATCATTCAGCCCTATGAGCTGAAGAAAGCGCTCCATGCTTCGGGTGAGTTTTCCGTTGGCTCCGGTGCAAGCTAGCATCATCGCATCGCTATAGTTTTTCCGTCGTCGCATATTCGGTCCACTGAGCTGCTCCACTGGACCGATCGATCATCCGACAGGGATATGCGTGACGGACGATGAACTGGATGTGTTCATATCGCACATCGACAAGAATCGAGATGGTGTGATCGACTTTGACGACTGGAGGGTGAGTCTGCGCTTTGCTGAAAATGCGAGATCGATAGATCCGCGACCCACACAAATCTTGGTGGCGGGTGTGCCGCTCTGCTCAGCCGGGTACCAACGCCGCTGACTGTCGGGGTGTCGGGCTCGGGCTGCCTCTCGCTATCACTATCTGGACTCGATCATGGCCCTGACTTGGCTGTGGCGCTTATCGCTCATCCTGCCACCGCTATTTGCCCCAACGCACAGAACTTTTTGATCCTGCTGCCTCACCACCCAACCCTGGACAACATCTTCAGTTACTACATCAACATGTTCGATGTCGACTTCAACACCGACTCGGACGTGAGCTTCCCGCAATGCCATGATGAGAGCCAGACAATCGCCAACCGCCTCAAGTACTTCCTCGCCGGTGGCATCGCCGGCGCAGTGAGCCGGACGGCCACGGCGCCTCTGGATCGGCTCAAGGTGCTGCTCATGACACGAACAAAGCCCGACGCTCCCAAAGGGCACATCATCGACGGCATGATCAAAATCTATCGAGACGGTGGCCTGGTCTCGTTCTATCGCGGCAACGGCCTGAATGTTCTCAAGATCTTCCCGGAGAGCGCTTTCAAGTTCTTTGTCTTTGAATATGCCAAGGGCTGGATCTCGCACCTCCAGGGCCACGACCGCAAGGATGAAATCGGCATCCTTGGTCGCTTTGTTGCCGGTGGACTCGGTGGGCTGGTTTCGCAGTAAGTGACTGTCCTCCTCGGCTTTGGCATGTGACAGACGTCATGTGTAGCTTCGAGTTACTGCGAACAAGATGACGACACGGGCTGCTCCTGGAGTTGCGGGTTGTTGGGCCTATATATGTGTTGCCGAGCAAACGCAATGACCAACTGTCCTCGTCCGGTGCACGCCACGGCCCAGGTTCGCCATTTATCCCCTCGAGCTCCTCAAGACGCGGATGATGGCACAGATATCGCACGGGGTTGAGACCACGGCATCCCAAGCTGCGTCTGCCGCACATGTCGCGCCGCCGCCGAAACGGATCGGGGCCGTCGCCATGACCCGGCAAATGTGGAACGAGGGAGGCATCAAGCTCTTCTACCGCGGCTGCATCCCCTCGCTGATTGGCATTGTTCCGTACGCTGGCATCGATCTCTGCGTGTTCGAGACCCTCAAGATGGGATACACACACTACCTGAGAAACCTTCCAGGATCGACAGGCGAGGAGCGACCCAGCATGGTCTCGATTCTGGTCTTTGGAATGGTCAGCGGCAGCTGTGGCGCCGTCGTGATGTATCCGCTCTCGGTCATCCGGACACGGTAAGTTGAGCTTGTGCCCGGGTCTGGCCCGAGGGGTGCGGGAGCAAGCAATGCGATGGCTTGGATATACGCCCGTGGTCATGGTTGCGAAGCGGAGGACCTCTGTCCCTCTGTCGTAGCGAGCCAGTGTGTCGTCCAAGTTGAGATGGCGACGTGTGTCTACAGACTGCTCCGACATCACGTTGATGGCTCCAATTGTATCGATGTTGCTGGTACAACCACCACTGGCATGCCTGCAATGGTGGAATCGCGACGGCTGCAATCCTTGCTGGGCTTGGGGTCGTCGGCCATTCGTTGGACGCAACCAGCCTGCAAGCGCAAGGCACACCCTCGCATCCGCAGCGGTACACAGGCGCCTTTGATGCCGTGCGATATACCTATAGAAACGAGGGTGTCCGTGGATTCTACAAAGGACTTGTTCCAACGCTCCTGAAGGTCGTGCCTGCGGTGTCAATAAGGTTAGTGATCCGGCTGCATCATAAGACTGACTGACTCTGGCAGAAAACGATCAGATGGCCGAAGCAATCATGCAAATCGAACCGCCATGGCGATCGGGATGGAGGGGCGGTGGCAAATGATCATCCACAGCCTGTCATGTGCGTTTTTCATGGAGCTTTGCTCACTCGCATTCTCTTTCCCGCGACCGTCCTTTGCCTGGAACTCGACGTCTGCGGCCCCGCAGTTACCTGGTCTATGAACGCTCCAAGGTTGCTTTGGGCGTTGCATAGCCGCGCCGCAAACATCCATCGGGCTCACCGCTCGGCCAGCCATCACGATCCTCGCTCCTCGTGTGCGGCTCGGCTTTCTCAATGTTCCCTACCTCCCTCCCTCTCGCGCTCTACTGCCCACTGTTTGCTCTCGACATTCTCCCCGCCCTCCAGCCCTACATCCGGCCCTATCTTTGGGCAACACCTTGGTTATGCGCCCTGGCCAGCTACATAGCACCAATATAGCAGTCCTTACCGAAAATGGACCCTCCCCCATCAAAAGAACAGCCATAGGGGTCTTTTCCAGTTGCTGTCTGGGCCGTGGTCGTTGCAACTGAACTGCGCATGTATAAATACGTTCTCCCAAAGACATGGGTCATGGCACGCGGTGGTGGTCGCGGCCGGCAAGGCAATCCAAGTCAACGAGCATGTGTTATTCAAAGTAGATGCAGGGTTGTGATGGAGGTTCGTGGCGCAAGGGTGGGGATCCGGGGTGAACGGAGTGAAGAGGTCATGGCAGTGGGGCGCTAGGAGTCGATACAACGCTTGAAGGATGAATATGATATACGGATGAATGCATGGACGAATGAGCGGATGAATGATGGTGTCGATTTGATGGGGGGGTGAAGATGAGGTCATACCAGCTTGATGATGATCACAACAACCGGACCAGGATCGGCAAGCGACCCAAGGTGTGCAAGGGTTGTTGGGAAATGCATATGCATGTACAGATGAAGCGAGATGGAGGATGTGCAATCGGGGAACAACAGAGAGTGGAGGGGTGTGTTCGCATCACCAACACAGAGCGAATTGACAAAACTGCTTTGGGGGGGGGGAGGAGTGGGAACTACGAAAGCAATAGCGATTGGGACCTCCGAACTTGTCCAAGGATGGAGCGGGGGGGATTGCTCTATGAGTCTAACGATGACCAAAAGTTGTTGGGGAGAAAAGCAAGAAAGCGAGAAAGCGAGAAAGCAGAGAGAGGCAGGATGAGAGCCAAAAGGGAGACCCAGGAGGCGATCGGCTCAATAGTACACCGACATAACGACCTCCTTCTGGGCCATGCCGCACTTGGCGTAAAAGCCGATGTTGTGCTGCGAACAGGCCAGGAGAGTCTTGTAGGCTCCCTTTTCCTTGCCGATGAACTTCAGGGCCTCGATGATACTTGCGGTTGACAAAGCATCGAGCGGGAGACAAGGTAGCGTGAGATTGTCAGTAGAGAGAAGGACAGTGAATGAGTCTCGGCGGGTACGACCGGATTTCGAACAGAAGAGCGCATTGTGGTCCCTACACCGGTGCTTACATCTTGCCAAGGTTCTTGCCTCGGGCACAGTCGTTGACAACAATGTCCTCGATGTGGCCAACGCGACCGGCCTCGTGAATGAACTTGTCCTCGATCATGATGGTGCCAAGACTGTGGTGAGACGCCAGGCAGGAGATAGAAAGAAATGGCGTAAGATGGGCTGTGTAGGTTTCGCTTGTTGAACAGAACAGAGGGACAGAGGGACAGAGGGACAGAGGGACAGAGGGACAGAGGGACAGAGGGACAGAGGGACAGAGGGACAGAGGGACAGAGGGACAGAGGGACAGAGGGACAGAGGGACAGAGGGACAGAGGGACGGAGGGACGGAGGGACGGAGCAGATTGCATACCCGACAATCTTGTTGCTGGTGAGGTCCTCGATAGCGATGCAGTAGTAGATTTCGTTGAACCGCTTCAGGCGGGCGAACCGCTCTGGAAGGGTGAAGTGCGAGAAGCAGGGGAGTTGTGTGAGCAGCATGAGGAGTACGAGCGCCAAGTCGATAGAGCCAACAGAGTATACGCAGAGATGGACTCTGTATGTGCTTACCCTGGAAGAGCTCCTCCGTCAGATTGCCGACAGTGGTGAGCTGCGAGAGGGTCTCGACATAGCCTGGAACAAAGGATCGAGGCCGAATCAGCAACCAGTCTACTTGGAGGGGGGGAGCCAAGGGGCAAGGCCAGACCGCGACCTTTCCAGGGGAGAGAAGCAAGGCGACGTGATACCTTTGTGGAAGTCATCGCTGGCCAGGGGACGGATGGCGTAGTTCTCGTGGAGCATGCCGCGAACCTCGTCGGAGAACAGGCCCTCGGAATCAAACTGATAGTCGGGTCCGGAGAGGGTCTCGATGGTCAAGTAGGCGACCTCGGGCAGAGCGCCTGGGACGACAGCGGCCTTCTCCGCAGGAGCGGGCTCCGAGGGCCGCATGCGGAACAGCGACATGATGGCGCGAGGCAGGACAGCGAAGGACATTGTGCTGGGGAGTGAGGTTCTGGAAGAGGCGTGCGGATGGATGTGCGGATGTGCGGTGCTATTTGGACGACGATGCGGCTGCTGGTGCGAATGCAGAAGGACGGCGCCAGAGAAACGACGGGATGAGGCTTGCGACTGAATGCAGAGGGAGTGCTGGTGGTGCCTCGACCGGGCTGGTGCGCTGCCGGCTTTATACGAGGAGGCAGCCGGGGGTTGGAAGACAATGCGCCGGGACGAACGTGGGCAGCACAAGGGTGGGCAGCGTTACTGCGACGAGCCGGGTGCAGCGGCAGCACGAGCACATGTCGGGTGGGGCGGTGTGGACGAGAAAGCACATGGAGAGACACCTGGCGCAATCGACAGCAGTTGGGCACTCTCAGAACGATACACTTCCCGGTGCGGCAGTTGGTTGGCTGGTTTGTGGGCTTGGCTCAGACCACAGCGCGCATGCAGTATGTGACGACACGGGCTGTCAAATACAGCAGTCGCGCATTGGTTCATCCATTTTGCCATCCATCCAACCATCCAACCATCCAGGAAAGGCAGGCGGGGACACCATCGCCACTGCACTGCCACTGCACTGCCACTGCCACCGTGCACGTGTGCGCGCAAATGAAGACTTCATCAACGCGCGCAGCAGCCCTGCGCAGCTTATCGGCCCGCGCAACGCTATTGGACAGCGCCTTTATCACCACACTTGCACACGCACACACACACGCTCTCTCTCTCGCTCTCTCTCGCTCTCTCTCTCGCTCTCGCTCTCTCTCTCTCGCTCTCGCCCTCGCTCTCGTCTCCTCACACACGCACAGGCCGAACCAGTCCGAACAGCGCAAATTTTTTTTCCGTTTTTCTGTGCTCGGTTGCCCACAGACACACGGTCCAGATTCGCTTTTCTTCGCCGACATCTCTCGATCGCCCGAGCGTCTCCGTCTGGATCTCATTCCATTTCGCATCCGCACCGTCCAAGCACCATGCTCCGAAACGCTTCCAGATCTGTCCTCAGAGCCTCTACTGTAACTATCGTCTCCAGCGTATGCCCAATGCTGGCCCCAGAGTGGTTGTCATTGGCGTGGCAACCCTCCCGCCCCTGGTCAACGCCTTGACACGGGCGAGATTCATCTTCTTCCCCGTGCTTGCCGGCCATGTGCATGTGAGAGCCGGGCCTGCTCTCGGCAGCCGGGTCAGCAGGCATCCCTGGGCCGCCGCGTATCCATCCGATGTGGCTGTCTTTTTGGAATCGACGATGGCGCTGCTCTCCTGCAAGCAAGCCCGCGCAGCCGACCTGTGGAAGCTGCCATTCCGTTGGCAGCCCTCCTCCTTTCCAAGCGCCACTGGTTGCATCGGCTGGCGGTGTCATACCCGGACAGCGCATCGGATACAAAGCGGCCCAGCAGCCTGGAGATTTGCAAGTCGTATGAATCAAATGCCAGCGACAGCCAACGGTGCCGAGCGGGATATTCGCAATCCAAGGCCGCGGTGCCAATGGACGGCGGCAGTGGCGATAGCTGTGCATGGTGTTAATCGCCTCTCTCTGTGACCATTCTTCTCCACCATCCCTTGACCATATCAAACATGTCCTGACTGAACGACCCCTCCTATCCGAACTCGTATCCTGCCATCGCCGAATCCGCACCACAAACCTGCAATTCGCTTGCATCACCAGCCCCTGAGCAGAGCCTTTGGAACTGCCAGCACCAAGACCTCTTTCCCCGTTATCGACAAGGTACAGATGCAGCTAGTACTAATCCCGTTGCCAGCGGCAGGGTTTCAGGATGTCCCTGTCGTGCTGGCCCCTGCTGCAGCCGAATCGTGAGCCGGCGCGACCGGACGGAACACCTCCCCGGACCCATGCGACGCCATTGCTTGATCCTCACGCCCCTGTGACCCATATTTTGGTCTCAGTCTAGCCTGCCTGGAACCGTTTACGGCGGTGTTTACACCGTCACCCTCATCCCCGGTGATGGTGTCGGTCACGAAATGGCCAACTCGGTCAAGACCATCTTCAAGGCCGCCAACGTCCCCGTCGAATGGGAGCAGTTTGACCTCTCCGGCTACACCGAGACCGATGCCAAGCTCCTGAAGCAGGCCACCGACTCGATCCGCCGCAACAAGGTTGCCCTCAAGGGTATGTGTCGCACCTCCCCGGCTCGATCACTATCCGATTTGGATAGCCAGTCCCGATGAAACGCGACCATGGGCATGTTCGATATTTGGCGCACCTCTGGTCCATTGCTTACAGCGCCTCGGCTTCTGGGAATCGCTTCGCGCGTTGGGCTTGTTCAGGTATCCTCTACACCCCCATCTCCCGTCTCGGCCACCAGTCCCTGAACGGCTTCCTGCGCAAGGACCTCGACATCTACGCCTCCCTCTCTCTGGTCAAGAACTGGCCCGGCAACTGGTCCACTCGCCACAAGAACGTCGACCTTGCCATCATCCGTGAAAACACCGAGGGTGAATACTCCGGCATGGAGCACGCCGTAAGTCGTCATGCTCTCGGCACCCGCCGCGTTCAGGCGCGAGGATAGCCACCGATGCTGATATGGTTTGATCGAACTCCCGGCTCCCAGCCCGTTCCCGGCGTCGTCGAGTCCCTCAAGATCGTCACCAAGGAAAAGACCGAGCGCATTGCCCGCTTCGCCTTTGACTTTGCCCTCAAGAACGGCCGCAAGAAGGTCACTGCTATCCACAAGGCCAACATCATGTGGGTTCGCGCAGCAGCCGGGGGCGGCCAAGTCTGTGTGGAATGACACCACCTGTCGGCGCACCTGCAAGCGCGGGACTGACGATGTGAGTCGCCGACATTTCGTTTTCCAGGAAGCAGGGTGACGGTCTCTTCTTGAACACTTGCCGCGAGGTCGCCAAGACCTACGAGAGCTCCGGCATCAAGTTCGATGACATGATTGTCGACAACGCCTCGATGCAGCTTGTCTCCAAGCCCCAGCAGTTCGACGTCATTGTCTGCGGCAACCTCTACGGCAACATCCTCAGCAACATTGGTGCTGGTATCGTTGGTGGACCTGCCCTGGTTCCCGGTGCCAACATTGGCCGTGACTACGCTGTCTTCGAGCCTGGATGCCGTCACGTCGGCAAGGACATTGAGGTAAGGTTGCCTTGGTATCGGCAGGCTTGCAGCAGAAGCGGCGCCGCTTGTGTGTGCGGTGGCTCTACCATGCTCGATTGCCTTCTTTCGCTCATTGACGACGATGTACTTGATGTTCCATTCAGGGCCAAAACACCGCCAACCCCTTCGCCATGATCCTCTCCTCGGTCCACCTCCTCCGCCACATCGGCCTGGAGGACCACGCCAACCGCATCTCCACCGCCCTCCTCAAGGTTATTACTGAGGGCAAGACCCTGACCCCCGATCTCCAGGGCAAGAGCAGCACCACCGACTTTACCCTTGCCGTTATTGCCAACCTCTAAGTGCGCAAAGAGGATATTCTTCCGCCAAGGGAAGTAAGCTGAAGCGGTGCATCGACGATAGATTCCGGGAAACCGTCTCCACTTTTTATGCGTCTGGGCATTTCAATCCTGGTACCTCCCGCTTCACCTCGTCCTGTGCCTCCACATGCTTGCTTTCATTCCTCATTGTCTTGGCGGGAGTGAATCGTAGTTATGAGCAGATAACGAAGGAAACGAAGTAGATGGGGGGGGGAGACAGGAGAAAAAGGGAAAGACTGTATCCCGGTCTCCAATAATCTATAGCTGGCTGCAATGGACACACCCTATTTTTGGCGGTGTATTTAGAATGAAAATGAGAATCCAAAACGAAACGTACCCAACTCTGCCTGAGTCGGGGCTGTCCGCCTTTCTTATGGGTCCCGAAACCCGAATCATCGTCCGCCATGACCAAGCAGTGTGTCCAAGGATACGAATACTGTGGCTGCCTTTGGGAATACTTCGTGGAGGCTGGATGGATTCAATGACCGCGCTCAGGGGCATCACTGTCCCGGTTCACTTCGAACAAGCTATGATTGCTCATGGAGACGGACCAGCGAGGGTCATTGATATGCGGGAGGGAGCTATGGAACACTCGACCCGAAACCAACCCGCCAGTCGCCTCTCACCGACGATCCCACACTCCGCTCCATGCCATATGCAATGCAATGCAATCAGCGGGGGACACTCGACTTGCTTGCTATTCGCCAGGAATATATATCTTTTGCGGCAGCCATGACGTGGAGAGGTGAAGCGGAGCGTTAACATTCGCAGTCAGGTGTTGGGAGAGAAGAAGGTGAGGGTGGGGGGAGGAGGAGAGGGAAGACGAAGCAGGGAGGTAGTAGGAGGGGCGAGCCAGAAACAAAATGACGACAACGAGAGTAATGATAATAATAGCAATAACAATCAAGAAGTGGCCACAGCTCGCGCGAGCTATGGATAGAGCCCAGCGCAGATACAGGTCGTGAAGCCAGTGAAAGACCAGAGTGTGTTCTGGGGAAGGGTGGGGAGAGCGGAGTGAGCCAGCGGTCGGAGATCATGAATCGAACGGAATCTATGTCTTGGCCTTGCTGAAAGGCAGAGGCTCTGCTCTGGGCTTTGAGCGGTGTGCTTGGAGTCCTACCATCGCTCAGTCCGGTTCTTGCGGAGCGGGAAGGGGGGGGCCTTCCCTCTCCTCCTCCTCAAAGGGCAACTGTGCCTTACGTTGGGCTTGCTGTCCTCTGGATGAACGCAGCCGAGAGCTGGTCATATTCCGAGTGCGCTGCCTTTGCTGACTCGCCGGGCTTGCCTTGCAAGCAAACTTGTCCCTTGCTCGGCGAAGCATGATGTTAACGGCGTGGCCACTGTTACAAAAATCAAAATAATCAATATCAAATAAATAGCAAGGGTGGACGATTCCCAGCAGCGGCGCATCCGCCAGCGACATGGCGAGCGGGCGAGCGTTGATCAGCGAGTGTCGGTTGTTGGATGGTGATCGGGACAGGCCGGGAAGCGCGAAGATCGTTTGACCGGGCCAGGGCAAGCGACCGTAATCCGAGTTCAGTCCAGCATCACAACCGGCATTGATGTATGGATGCATTCCCAAGCCGGATTGTTCGAGGGTTGATTGAGTGCCCATAGTTTGAGGGAGATGGGACCAAGTACGATAAGGTAAAAGCTGTCAGCCACATTTCGGGATCGGAGGAGAAGCAAGTCGACCCGCAGACACATCGACAGACAGAGGGGAGAGAGGATACACACCACCCTCCACCCACGTCGAGGAAACACCATGATCGAATCTACGGCCAACACGACAAACCCAGCAGATCGGCTCTGAGCCCCAGGGAACGTCAAGCAAACTGTGGCTCGTTGGCGGCTGTCGTGACACTCACCGTCCATCCCCGGAAAGTCCTTCCAGTTATACGACTCGAAGGGATCGCTGACGGCTTCGGCCAGGATGGTACTCGAGGCCGGATTCGAGCTGATGCTGCCAATTCTTTTGGGGGGGGGAAACGAGAGGGGTGTGTGCGCATTCGTTAGCCACGCCTGCCCGAGCCCAGCCAGCCACCTCCTTATCCGAACAACGAGCTTCCCTTGGCCAAAAACACCAAAACAGCCATAGCAGACACAATGAAGAAACCAAAGCCCAAAGACGAATGTAAAAAAGAAGAGGGAGGCATGACCAAAAACGAACGGCATGCCGCGGACTGAATCGGGGGAGGGAGAGGGAGGGTTTGGAGAGGAAGCGGCTGTTATTTGGCTTGAGTGGCGGATCCTCTCCGTCCCGACATCCGGCAGCTGCTTCTGCAGTGTCCCGGTTCCTTGAGAGCAATGCAGCGCGGTGTGATGCGGTGCAGGTTACAGGTTGCAGGTTGCAGGTGGCGGGGCGGACAGGTTGGTTGCGAAAACCTCCGGAATCTCGTCTGCTTGGTCGAAGAGCGAGGGAGCAGCGGCCTCGTCTGTGCCCAGCACATTGTTGCGTGACATGCCTCATGCCACAAATGCAAGGCTCCGACGGTTGGTCCTGGGGGCTGTCCGCAGATTCCAAGATCCGAGCTCGGCCGCACCAGCTGGTCGGTTGGCAGGAGGAGGAACCGACAGCCATCCTCGGCCTCCCCCGCTCTCCCCCCCCCCAACCTTCGAGCGAAAGCGCCGTGGGCACAACAGCAGACTCGAGATGCCGCATCTTGATCCGGAGTGTGGGAGGGTGCCTCAAGGGTGTGGCAAAAACAAGGAGTGATTGCCACGCTTCCCTGAGGGTCGCATCGGGACTGGTCGAAATTCGGCTCGAAGCAAACCGACGCGCGCCACATCCGCTATGGCCGACGGTGACGAGCGAGAAACGGAGCCCAGCCGGACAGGACCGCCCAGAGAGAGATTCCGGCAGTTTGCCCTGAGTGAAGCGAGGGGCCTGTGGCTGCCGTCGAGGGCAAGAGATGCCGCAATTCTCGTCCTGCAGCGAGTGCCCTGCTGAATGCTGTCTGTGTCATGGCTGGGAGGCACGGCTTGTCGGGCGAGGCAGCAGCGTCCTGGTCGTCGCCTCAACCTCCGCTGGTGCCACTACTAACACTCTCGGGCTGCATTTCGATCGGCAGTCGTCCTGGAGCATTTAAGGCACGGCTTGCCAAAAAATGAGAAAAACGCAGAATCTGCAGCGGAGCCAAGCATCTCCGAACTACCGTTGAGGAGACATTTCACTACAAACCTTGACATGTATGCCACTCCTCAGCACTCGCTCCTCCGCTCTCCCAAAAGAACATGCATGCACACGAGTGCTGTGTTGGCTAAAGCCAAAAAGAAAGAAAGAAAAAAAAACTTCACCAGAAGGCACCCCCTCCCTTCTAGGCTGGCGGCAAGCGCTGAAAGCAAGGTCAAACGGAATGCTGCCATACCTCTGCGGATCCACTAGATTGTACAGGAAAAACTTGAGTCGGTAGTGGCCTTCGATCCGAACGCACAGGTGATCGAAGATGAAGAACACGCCTGGTTGGCCACGCTCGTCCTTGAGAAAGTAGCTTTGGGATATCGTCGTGCCAAAGAGGGTAGGTATGCAGTCGTCTGTGGTGAAACGAGGGCCCGGTGGGAGTTGTGTGGATGACGAGGAGATTGGTGGTCGGGAAGCAGACGTTGGCCGTGGCGGCTCTGACGAGCTGTCGTCGTATGAAGGCTGCGGCGGCAGGTAGCGCTTCGTTGGGCTTGTTGAATGGCCGTCGGCAGCAGTCGGCAACGATGGCGGAAGCGGCAGTGGTAGCCTACTTGTCAGATCGCTTGGCTTGCCTGGGATCATGGGAGGAAGGATTGGGGCGGGATAGCCATCGCCATCGAGGCACTTGGAGTACGACGGGCCTTGAGGAGGGAATACAGCACTCCGATTGGGATGCAAGACGAGGCTGAGGTCGGACCGTGAGGGCGGATCACTCTCATTTACCGCCCAGAGCTTAACAAATACCACAAACGAAATGGCTTCCCTCATGTACTCAGGACTGCGTCGCGCACGCCAGCGTCAAGTGTCGGGATCCGAATGTGAGTTTCATTGATTGGGTTGAAATTCCGTCAGACAAGGCAGGCGAGGGCGAAAGAGACGGAAAGAGAAAGAGGGAGAGTTGTCGTGGGGAGGAGATACGGGGAAAGAGAGAATGGTCGATCAGTCAGTGCAAGCAAGCGACGATCTCGTGTGCACGCAAGTGACAATGCCCCGGTGCTGCTACTTTGAAAGTATGGCTGCCGACATTGGCGGCATGACGCAGTAAACTTCACACCAAGCAAAGAGTCGAACCGCCGGTCGTTTATTCCCTCTCCCCCTCAGCAACCAACGGTCAGGCTGTGTCTCGGTGGGCATATCGTTGGTATCGAACCAGCCGTCTGAACAAGCCGACAGCAGCAACAGCAAGACTCGCACTCCGTTGACTATGCTCATGTCCCGATATCGAATGACAGCCTCCTTGGCCTCGCGAGGCCAGTGCCCAGCGCAGAGTCCACAAGTCAAGCATCCGCACAATGTCCAACAGCGTTGGGTAGATCCATATCCTCTCGACTGACAAGGGATTGAATGCCGTCGTTTCCTGGTCGCTAATCTGTCCTCTCTTGTCCTGATGCGCTGGCTCGACTCTGCCAGCAGTGATGCAAGCCATTGCGCCAGGCCCGGATATGGCTGTCCATTCGTTGGGATGCGTCAGCTCGACTATCGAACCGGCCTTCCTTCGTCGGCCTCATTCGTTCCATGAACGTATTGTCTCGATTGCCCACGATCCATCCAAGGCGCCGGTTTGCTCGAGTTGCTTTTAAGAGCCAGCCATCGACTCGATCATTGCAACCGCTCTGTCGCCGTTGCGAGCATGCGGGAGCGTTTTTCCTCGTCCAAATCCAGGGCCCCGGGCGACGTGCATCGATATCATGTGCTTGAGCTTCAAAAGTCCCCCCCCGTCGCAGAGCACCAACTACAATATGAGCAGCGGAACGACACGAGGTAGGTAGGACCGCTGAAAGACAAGGCCGATAGCAGTGACGATGTCGTCAAAGCCCGGAAGCAGAGACAATCCCAATTGATAGCCCTAGCAGGAGGGCGTCGAACTGGTGATGCTCGTCCGTTTCATGTCCGGAGGATTCCGAGTCAATCCGTAAGCGAGCTGAACCGAGCCACGTCGCCGGTGGGCCCTATCCTTTCACTTCTGCCCATTTCCTTGCCGAGCGCCTCCGAGATCGTGTATGCCCATGAAATCCTGCTACTGTCTCATTCAGCTGCCTTGGTGGTGTGGAGATTCCCGGAATAGAGCCATCTATCGGATGGACGGCTATAGATGGATCGAGGAGTCGAGACTCACGAAGCAAGAGAATAGAGCCGGCCACAGCCATGGCCATAGACATAGCCCCAGCCCCAGCCCCGGCGAGACGCAGGCGTGCATTAGCCAACGTACTTAGTAATGATCTCTCCCGTTGATTTCCGCCAACTGAGTTTGAGAATAGGGGCTGGGTCGATCGGCCGATAGTTTGCCTTCTGTCCAAGACCACAGCATCGCGCCCGGAGGGGATGCTGCACCAGTTCAAGTATGTAGTCACTGCGTCGACATTGAAGAGAGGAGGAAAGGAGGAGAGACGAGGACGATGATGAGTATGATTGACATATCGGATCCGAGGCACAGCTATTCGTTCGGATGTCGGCGGAAGCGCCGGATCGCGTGATGCAGGAATTCAAGCACGATTGATTCGACAACAAAAAAACATATATGCTGACGACGCAACGAACGAGACGCAACGAACGAGACGCAACGAACGAGACGCAAGACGGAAAAACGAAGTCTCCCAGTAAGGAGTTAGAAAAAGTGAAGCATTGCGAGCGAAAGGGTAGGGGGAGGTGCAGAGCAAGTGCCACTTCATGAAAGCAACCAGATTGTGGCCGCCAATGGTACCAAGGGCTGCGACAGATCTTGCATCCAAAGCCAGGTATTGATATGAAGTTGCCAAAGCCAGTCCGTGGGTCTGCTCTTGGGATGAGGGCAGCTCCTCTCCGAGGCTCAACCAAGCACACCTTTCGGTTCAAATGTCCTGTCTGATCGTCACTTTCCGTCCAGCTCGATTATATCGACATCGATGGTGCTCGGTTGAACGTGGTCCGATCCGATCCGATCCCATCCCATCCCATCCGATCCCATCCGATGGAGGAATACGCTTTCGGAAAGACCGTGAAGAGTCGATTGCAAAGGCAGGTAACATGCGATCCTGCTGATCCTGTTAATCCTGCTGATCCTGTTGATCCTGTTGATCCCGTCACGTTTGGATTCCGTCGAATGGAATCACCACGAAGAAAAGCAGCAGTCGAGGGCAATCCGATCGTGATGGGGCAGCGTTCGGCAGTGGATTACAATGCCGTCGCCATCCAGATATGATCAAGTGCGGATAAGAAGCAATTTGGAACAAGCATCTCCACTCGAGCCAGGAATGAAATTGTGGAGGAAGGCCGGCAGATACACATGGGGAAAACGGGGGGGGCAACCCATAGAGCCGGTCAGACTGGTGGCAAGGAAACAGAGAATCGGACACTACCTTTCACCCGATTCCAGACGATCGACCATGGATGTACTGCACGCTTCAGCGATGCTCAAAGGTTGATGTGAGTAGCGCAGAGAGAGAGCGAAAGAGAGGGAGCTTGCAGGCAACGCAGACGACGGGATTCGAAAAGGCGGCAGAGGATCTGGAACTATGCCGACGGGAAGCGCTGTTGCCAGTCGGAGACGGATACGAACGGAAGGCGACAGCAATAGGCAAGACAAGAGAAAAAGGGGAGCCCGATGGCGTGGCGACGTTCGGCAGCCGAGTTAGAAGCGGCAAGTTGGCCACGGAGCTCGGGGATATAGCGGCGATCCCGATCGATCCAAGAACAAGAACAAGAAGAACAAGAAAGTGACGGCAGAAGAACCCCCAGCGACAGCCTCACCACCGACACAAGATTTTATCGGCACCGGAGCCAGACAGACGGGGGCAAAAGCACGCCGCACGGGCCGCGGAAGGCCGGGGTCGTCCGAATGGAGCCGAGGGCGATGCGCACCCAAGCGACTGATGGCGTTGGAAATCCGCATGGCCGACAACGATGCATTTCGAAGCCGATGCGCAGTGCCATGAAGACACCGTGCAGGAGCAGGCAGTACCCTACCAAGGCTCGGGGCCAGAGGCGAATCGCAGATGGCGGTTGAATGCGAGGCGGCAGTCGAGATGGGAAGGACTCGCAGGACGAGCCGGAGGTATCCCAGTGCGAGGCTGATAGAGAGTGGTGGCTTGAACTGCCCCAGCAGTAGCAAAGGAATCCAAAGGCGACCGCAGAGGAGCACGAAATCGAGAGCGCGTTAGCAAAGGACACAGGACTGGGCGGCACACCCTTGCCATGCACGGAGCGAGCGTCTGGGGCCACACAGGGCACCAACAGCCGGCAAGCGCAAACGTACCGCCGCGGCCGCGGTGCGGATGCTGCGGTCCCGGCCTCGCAGGGACACACTACCGAGCCCAAGACAGCAGAGCGGGGGGGGGCAGAAGGCCCTGCCGCCGAGGACAGCCCAGCCAGCCCAGCCAGCCCGCGAGGGACTCGGCATGGAGGCGACCCAGAGTGCCGTGAGCACGTGACACGCTGGATGTCACACGGCGCGGGTGTATCCAGGCGGGCGGGCGCGGCGATTGGTCGGGGGCGCGCGCTTCGCTGAAGGTGGCTCTGGAAGTGAGTCACCGGGCGGGCGCCAATCCGGGCGGGCGGGCGGCGCTGTGCAGAGGAGGGGGGCCTTGTGAGGGCTGGGTGCTTTCTGGTCTGGTCTGGGAGGGCGTGGGATGTGCAGCTTGCGACGACATCCAGCGAATGCGAAAGCTGATGGTGCTGGAGCGACACGCACATCTGCAATTTACATGTGCATACTCGGATGTATATGTGAACAGGTCTGTATCCAAGTCCGTATATATATATGTATGTAAGAATATATATATGTATGTATATATATATATATGCAAGCTCAATGGAGCCATTTGCACACTTGCGCATCTGCATTCCCACACACCCGCACTCTCTTGGGCTGCAAACACAGCGCCTTCACAGCTTGTCTGTCGTTGGTGTTCCACTCATCCCGCGCGCCCGCGCGCCCGCCTTCCATCCATCGGCTTCCCCTCCTTTGTTGCCAGCATCGGCCGCTGACGGGAAATAGAGTTTTCCGCCCACCTGCCGCTTTCGGAATGCCGCCGTGGCCCGCGACGCGCCACTCTGGGCGACTCCTCAAACCTTAAACCCAACAAGGACCATCCGTGCCGGCGCCTTTCCGTTTCCCTTTGGGCGGCAAGATGCATCGCAAGGAGTATTGCAGTGTGACTGGCCTACCTCTTCGTCGGCCGGGATCGCTGCAGTCGAGTTGGAGGTTATATCCGCCGCTGCGTGCGCTGCCTCTGGTCATGGCCAGCGAAAGCGCGAGGGCGAGAATCTCGGTCGCCCTTCCCTCACCCGCCTTTCGCTTGTGGGCACAAATGCCGCATGCGCCGCTCCGAAAAATAGAGTTTTCCAACTGCGCGAATCCAGAAACAGCGGGGGGAGTCCATTCTGGTTGTGCGCCCAATCGCCGCTGGCAATTCTGCCTTGTCGCCAAAGGCCCTTCTGGACGCGGCCAGGCAGAGAAGAAACCCTGCACACACACACACACACTGCACACACACACACACTGCACACACACACACACTGCACACACACACACCCCTGCACACACAGCCGTGGCCCATCGATCTCGACTGCACCGCTGCTCCCACCATGGCCCGAGGGAGGGGGTTCTCAAAGCAGCCAAACCTTGCTCCAACCGTCTGGGCCACATATTCGAAGCTGCCCCTGCAGCAATCCGAGCCGGGAGCCTGGCCGAGGATCTCTCTTCGATCAGCCACCCCATCGACAACGTGGCTACTGTCTGTGTCTGTGTGTCTGTCTGTGTCGATTCCAACGAACAGGATCTCCGCTACCGCCACCACCGAAACCCCACCCCTCTTGAATAATCCCACCATCCACCGGCCCACACGTTGATCAGGTCCGACGAGATCAAGAGTAATTACAGCTTTTGTTATTCACGTTCGACAGATCAAAGACACAGTTAGTTCTGTAGACAGACACCGCGCCCTCCCCACACAAGGGAAAGGCTTTTCGTTTTCATTCATTCCTTTCTTCTTCTCATACGATTATAGGAGCCATAGGGGATATATCGCGTCGAGGTGCACACGGCGGAAAGAGAGCCACCGACACCAATCGATCGCGATAGCAAACAATTACAAGGGGTTTGGGGGAGCTCAGTGTGCGAGACATGGACCCGATTTAAAGACCGGCAGCGACGGTGTTGGACCAGCCGCTGGTGTCGTGGGTGATCTGCCAGCCAAAGAAGCCAGCATCCCACTTGCCGGTGGCCTTGGCCTGGCTGATGCACGAGGCCAGGGTCGAGGCAGCCATGAAGCCGGTGTTGACGACATCGGCCTGGGTGATGGGCTTGCCAATGACGACCTTGCTGGAGGGGATACCCTTGGCGATGATCTCAAAGACAGAGGTGCCGATGAAGGGAGCCTGGGACTTGTTGAGGAGCGAGGTGCAGTCTTGGTCTGTGAAAGAGAAGGGGTGGAAGTGAATATCAACAAAATGCATATCAGCAAGACAGCGGGAACAAGAGCAATCGTTCGAGACTGTCTTGACGTCGGGTCGCTACTAGTTCACGATATTGAATGCTGGATGGGGTTTGGAAAAACACTCACAGTTGGTGGATCCCTGGTTGTAGAACTGGACGTTGTACCAATCAATGAGGGAGCCAACCTTCTGATCGACGGTCAAGTATCCGCCGTTGGGGTACTGGCCAGGGAGATCGTTGCCGACAAAGTCTGGATGCAAACAAGCAGAAGGGCAGATAGAGAAGATGAGAAAGTGATAAGCCGAGGTCAGAGACGCGACAGATGCCACCGCTTGTCGACTAACGGGGTGGGTGTCCTGCGACGACACGATACTTACAGGGAGCCTGGGGAGCATGGGTGATGATGTAGCGAGGGCTGGGCAGGTTGTTGCGCAGCTCGGTCTGGAAGGAAACCAGCCAGGCCTCGCCGGTGCCGGCCTGGAGCGAGTTGTTGTCCTCCCAGTCGATATCGGCACCATCGAGCTGGTATTGCTTCACAAAGGCAGCAAGGTTCTGGGCAGCGGTGACGGGGTTGACGCCAGAGAGGGTGGGGAACTCGGCAGCACCAAAGGCTGTCAGAGTCGTCGACGTCGCGAGAGAATGTATATATATGTGTCAGAAATGGGGCATCCCATTATCCTATCAGATCCTTTCATGGGCAGACTAGCCTCTGCCGCACATCCTTACCAGCAACGAGAACGACCTTGCCAGCAGCGTGGTAGCTGTCGAGGTAGCTCTGGCGAGTGGCGGCATCGAGTTGCTAACAGGGTAGACAAGATCGAGACATGTCAGTCCAGGAAGGCAGTGGGACCAGCACACCAGTGGCGGAGCCTATTCACAGCGCAAGCATCATATCATGCACCACTTGCACTGCACTTACGGTCCAGGTGTAAGCCGAGTCATAGGCACCGCTGGAGAGCCAGAAGCCGAGGATAAAGACATCATAGACGTTGGAGGGAGCCGAGCCAGGGACAAAGTAGGCAGCAGGCGAAGAGTTGCCGCTGGTGTTGTCATTGTCTGTGACGGCGAGCGAGACATCATGAGCCAGAGTCTCCAAATGGGGCAAAGGGGAGAAGAAGCTCCTGCTGGACGAGACTGATGTCCACGAGCCCGATTTCGACTTACATCCAATGATTCTGGGGGTGCCAATGGTAGGAACCGGAACAGAGCCGGTGGCGGTGGCAGTGGTGGTAGTGGTGGTGGTAGTGGTGGTAGTCTTGACAGGAGTGGTGGTGGTGGTGGTGGTGGTCTTGACAGGGGTGGTGGTAGTAGGCGACTTGGTGGTCTTGGAGGAGGTAGTGGTCTTGGGGGAAGTAGTAGTAGTAGTGGTGGTGGTGGTAGTGGTGGGAGGGGAGGAAGTGGTGGAGACGGGGTTGACAGGGAATCTGGCGCCGAGCAGAGGAATCAACGTATGAGCAACACGGACCAGACAGAGCCAAGCGCTGCAGATCAACTACTGCCCGCACGCGATTACTGACCCACAGTACAGGGAGCTGCCGTTCTGGATGCAGACCGTTCCGCTGCCACAGGACATCTGGACAAGGGATCCGGCAGCACAGACAGAGTAGCCGGCAGAGACACCCGAGTTGGTGCAGAGGACTATGGGCAAAAGCGCAGAACAGCGATCGTTAGGACAGGTGGGGCGCGCCGATGCGAGTATGGCCAGGTACTTCAGGTACTTCAGGTACTTCAGGCACTTTGGCGCACAACGTCTGCGGCGAGGCGGAGACACCTACACTGGCCCTCAGTGCAGGTGGGCGCGGCCGAAACCAGGGCCGAGAAGATGGCCGAGGCAAAGGCCAAGCTGGTCAGAAGCTTCATGGCGAGCGGAGGTTGGGAAGCGACGGAGGTGAAGGAGGTCTGGGATGAGGTGAGTGCGGCAATCAGCTATCAGCCGGGCCTGGAGACGATCTGAGGGATGGAGACGGTGGGTCGGGCGGATGCCGGCGCCGTTTTATGGTCTGCTCGGCTCTTTCCTGTCTGCTTGTCTGCGTGTTCGCTTGGTTGGCTGCTTGGTTGGCTGCTTGGCGGGCTGCTTGTTACGTGACCAACCACTGCCAAGTGGATGAACAATCGATGCTGCCTGCCGGTTGCACTCCCCCATGCCTGCTGGCACACGACGTCGCACCAGAGCTGGCTCTTTGCGATCTATTGCCGGCCATCCAAGGGCAGCGAGACCCCATGGCCTTGCAGGCGCGATGGTAGCACTCACCCTCGTCCCCCCCACCGCACGTTCTCTGGCGCAGCCTGTCCATCGTGACCTGCACAGGCGCGGTCATGCCCGTCTGTTCGGTTTGGCGAGACCCCAGCGCTGCTGTTGTGGGAAAGACCGCAAAGGCGGATCGGCCCCGGCTCGAGACCTGGCTCCCCCTCAGCGAGCAGCGCGCACGCTCACGCGGGCAGGTCATCTGAGCCCGCCACCGCACTGGGCCTTTGTCGGCCAGGGCGTTGGTGGCCGGGGCGTGACGGCTCACGTGTCTGTCCGCGCGTGGAGCTGTTCGAGAAGCAGCCGTTGGCGGCCGAGGCATGGCGCGGGTGGGGGGTGGGTCACTGGACGAGGCCGGGGAGGCATGTCTGAGCGTGAGTGCGGCGACTGAATAGATACGTGTCTGAGCGTGAGTGCGGCAACTGAATAGATACGTGTCTGCAGTTCGACTTTTATTTCAACAGCGCATCTGTCGTTCGGCTGCACCCAAAGAGGTCTCGGGCAATCGACCGCCCGTTGGTGGGTATCATATGTTGGAGCGTCTGCGGATATTTGCGGACAATTTGCATCCATGCCAGGATCCCGCTGAGTGGGGGGGGGAGCAGACCTGTCGTCCCGTGCCCGTCTGTCATTTGGCTCGGCCCAGAGCAGGGCATACCAACCAAGGTCACCGGAGACCACTCGAGGGGGCTCCTCATCCTCAAGGACCATCGGTTTCCAGCAGCAGGCGCACTTCGTCCTGACTGTGGACCTCCCTCTGAGTGTACAAGACATAGTGCTGCACCATAAATATGACGTTGAAAGCGAGCGAGGTCAGGCCGAGGCCAAGCTTGATGGGGTTCTGTGGTCGTGTGCGGAATTGGTTAGTGACCGGCCTCGATTACGGGCATAGGATCGGCCGCAGACAGGGTCCTGTCAGGTGGGGGGAGGCAGCACATAGATTACAGAGTTTCGCCTCCGCTCCAGTCGGACCAAGCACACGCATGGTCAGGCTTGTCGTGGTTGGAGGGAGGGGCACTTACCCCAATGATGCCGTTCCAGTTCCCTGAGATGTAGGCGTCCAGCACCAGCTGAGTGATTGACATGATGCCTCCGGCAAAGTCAAGAAGAATACCGCCGATGCTGTAGCCGATTGTGGATTGCCGTCGGTAGTTCAGGTAGGCCTGCGTTGACCCCAAGCAAAGACGATTCGCCGCTGTGTGAGAGATGGTACCTTACGATCACACGGCCCGCTTGGAGATCATCTGGAGAGCCGATCCATGATTCTCCACAGGGCATTTCCCAACACCAACACCAACACCAACACCAACACCAACACCAACACCAACACCAACACCAACACCAACGCACCCGTCCTCGAGGCTGCATGCCCCGATTCGCGCACTGAACTCACCTGGGGTGTGTACTTGAGCAGGCTCGTGGCCATTTTCACGTAGCTGAGATAATAGACCACATCCAGGAGCAACACATATCCCACTGCCGTCCCCAGAAGCACGACGCCGAGTCCGGCCAGCGACCAGTAGAAGAAAATCCAGACGGGCCGGTGCACTCTTTGGCTCGGATGGCGCTCATAGACCAGCGCCTGGCTTATCCCGACGAGCTATGACCAGAGAACAATACAAATCGGGTCACCTCTATGGACCACGGGCACATCGCGGCCTCCCGACTTGCCATCGACGAGGCGAGGCGAGGCGAGGCGACTCATGAACCAGTGCTGCGTGGGACCGCATGGCACGCGGTCAACCATAGCTGACACAATATTTACCAGGGCCAGGAACGCATGCACACTGAAGCAGACGTCGTTGAGGCCAACGAGGTTTTCACTCCCCCAGCGGTTCTTGTACTGGTCGCGGATCAACGGGCTTGCGAAAAAGATGACATTGTAGAGCTGCAAGCATGATCGTCAGAAAGACAAGGCCGAATGAGATCCGACCCTGGCATTCATCAGGAATCGGGACAACGTTGCCAACCGAGAGCCGGTGTGGGCCGACATCATCGCCCTGGATGCCGCGGCAACCCGTGCAATGTCTTTACCGAGTAGCATGTGAATCCGATAAAGTTGAGGGCAAGGAAGTCAAAGGAAAGGCCAGTGACGCTGGGTTGAGAGGGATAAGCGGTGAATCTTTAGCATCGGGTGTGTTGGATGTCCACGTCCGGGGCGTGAGCGGGCTGGAATGGCTATGGGTGGCCTGTGCGGGCGTGCTCACCTCTTGCGTCGGTAATTGAGAAGCAGCTGCAAATGCCGTCGCAGAGACCATGATTCGGTTTTCCGGCAGGACCAAAGCCGTCCAAGGGCGAGGGTATGGTCGAAGGGATGAGAGTGGGCGTCGGATCTGTCGCCGGATACCCTTGCTCTTCGGAACCGGATCGGCGGTGCGGTGACCAGTCTCCTCGCCTGACGATCAAGGTTGCCTGCTGCAGCGAGCCCTGGACCAAAGCACCTCCCACGGGCCTACCTGGGGATAGAAGCTGGCACTCCAGGCCACGAAATAGCCCTGGATGCCATTACCCGCAGCCAGTAGCATTGTCGAGAGGACCAAGGAGCATCGGGGGGGACCGAGGTGAGTTCATCGGGAGAGACACGCAGCGGGAAGCATCACCCCCCGTATCGGCCGCAGATTTGTTCTGAAGCTTTCATGCTCCTGCCCATTGTTCATGCAGCTTTCCTCTGTGGTTTTGGAGAACCAGCAGGGACAAGCACGTCGCCTCTGTATCTCGCTTCGGACATACCCATCCAAGTAGCGCCGAGATGCGCTCGAGGCCTTCGCCGTGCTGGGCCATGCTTGCTTGAGCGGAACAGAGGAAGAGGTTCACAGGAGGCAAGGAGAAGACGCAGGAGCGGTCGCTGTCGTTAGCGAGCCCGAGCCGCTCCCCGCGGCTGCGTCGCTCGCAAACATCGATTGCGACATGCGCGGTCGGGAGGAGCCACAAGAAGCCGGCGTCGGGAGGAATACTTCCGACAGGCTTCCTGGTTGGATGGGCCGGCGGGCTGACCTCCAGCACCACCTCGGATCAACCAATCGCATACCCGGCGACGCAGACCAGCGGATTCCCATAGGATGGTTTAGGGGCACCATCGCCGAGACCAACCCCCACAGAAGCCAAGACAGGTCAGACTCCCACTGCAGCAGTGTATACTATACACATGGGCAAACGGGACACCACACCCGCTTCCACGATCATGCAGTATGTAATGACTTGCTCCAGCTGAGCCATATACAATTGAACAGATCACCTCCGAGTGGAGACCCCCGGTCGCTCTCCGGTCGCCACAATGGACCTGCGCTGCTCAAAGTACCGAGCAAACAGAGCTCCTATGCAGCCTCGCGACGCTTCAGAATGCTTGCAGCGGTCGACTCGGACCACTGCCATGTCGCCAGGGCCGCATCGGGATCTGAAGCCAGAGCGCTGGGCCGCTTCTGGGTGCCCGGCGAGATAAAATGCCGGCCCGAGACGTCGCTGTCCCTGATTTCGGGCGAGAGCGCCAAGTAAACCTGGGTCTTGGCGGCCTTGTCCGGGTGGGTTCCAAAGAAGTATAGGAACAGACCAAGCAGCCAGCCAATATAGTTGGCCTTGGGTTTGGTCGCCATGGCCGATCGGACGAAGCCGGGCTCGCACGAGTTGATGCGGACCTTGGAGTCTTCCCCAAGGCGCCGCTGGAGCTCCACGACCTGATGGATCTGCGCCAGTTTGCTGAGGCCTGTGCGGCAGAGTCGCAAATCGGTCAGCGAGGCGACAGGAGATCGCCAATACGGTCTGCACAGCGAGGCGACCAACGATATCGTTTTCACCAGTTGGCTCTGACATCCTGTCGTACCGTAGTTTTCGAGAGGATCAGCAGTCACGGGCGTGCACATGGCATCCCAGTCGACAGCCTTGGGGTTGGACGGCAGGAATTTGCAAAAGTAAAGAGAGGCGTGTGCGGGACTGCTGACGTTGACGATGCGGGCATCGCCCTTGATCCGAGCGGTTTTGTCCAGCGTGGGCAGGAGCAGCTGCGTCAGCAGAAAGTGCGATAGGTGGTTGACCATCACTTGGCTCTCGATGCCGTCAGTGAGCCGCCATTCCACAAAAGCGATGCCGGCATTATTAACGAGAATGTCCAGGGAGTCATGCTTCTCGAGAAACTCGCTAGAAAGCAGTTGCGGGAGGGGGGTTTGCGAGTTCGATGGAGGGTGAGTCAGTGCAGCGACGTTAGCGCAGATACAGTCGATGATCAGTCTGCAGGAAACGGCCCTAGGTGGCCAGAGACACCCAAAACAGCCAGTGGGTGATGAGGGGGGCTGAAACGGAAAGGCCACCAAACATGGCACCCGGCCGGCCAATGCCAACTGCCTCACCCAAGCCTTACCGGGCAAACGCCTGGACAGACACAAGGTCTTCGTTGTCGAGGATCATATATGAGGCCCGGTGCTTCATACCGACTTCCGCACTGCACGCATCCACTGTGGGTTAGAGACTCAAACACAGACCGAGGGGGGAGAGAGGGGGAGGAGAGCCGTGCTCGAAGCGATACCTGATCAGTTGCAGAGCTTCCTCGCCTCGTTTGCTGTTGCGAGCTGTGAAGATAACTTGGGCACCCGATCGGAGGAGGTGCAGCGTGGTGCTGAGACCGAGTCCTGGGCGAGAAAGTGCAATCGGCTGTCTGAGTGTGCTGCTGGATTGCGATGGGACCAGGCCAGCCGGCCAGTGCACCCAGCAATGATAGCAATGATAGCAATGATAGCAATAACAGCACCAAGTCGGTCGTGGTGCCCGCGGGCTTACCCGAAGTACCGCCGGTGACAACCGCCAGCTTCTCCGAGTGGGATGTTGATTGAGGCTTTGTGCTTGGCTCTGTCATGGCAGGGGTGGTATGAGGGCAGTCGAAGGACAGATGAGGGCCGAGGGCCCAGACGAGGACAACTTCGGGAACCCCAGTGAAAAACTCCAGGCAGGCCATTCGCACACAACAGCAGCCTCTCGTGCAGCACGGCTGTTTTGCCGTGTGAGCGTGTGGGTATGAGCCGTGCGCGCACAGGGCGGCCAGCACGCGCTTCAAGGGCTTCCCACGCCCGGTATCGTCGCAAGTGACATCGCAGCGGTATCGCAGCGGTATCGCAACGGTATCGCAACGGATGGGCAGTCGTGAGCTGTCGACACCAAGGAAAGCGACTTGGTTCCCAGGGGTGTTTTGGTTTGTTTTGCTTTGACCACGTCGTCGCATGGTGGTTCGATGGAAATCAGGAGACCCTCGTGGTCACTCAAAACGCAAGTGGGTCCTGCTTGCCCGCACGGCAGTCCCACGAGAATGCTGACCCAGAAGCCTCCAGACTGAACGCACTGTCGCATCCGTGATACTGGCTGCTCCCCGAGTCAGCAACATAACCAATGTGATTGCCAAGCAAGACCGATGGCGATCCCACGGCTGGCTCGCCGCAGGCCTCGTCGTTCTGGATTGAGGGGTGGGGAACACCGCCCAGGCCTCTGTCCATGTCAACGTCCATGTCAATGTCCATGTCAATGTCCATGCCCAATCATAGGACCGCCGATCACCTCGATCATCCTCGACGCCTGTTTGCAACGGCCACCGCCATGCTGAGCCTTGTGAGCTACTGCTTGCTACGCGATCAAACACACGATCGTGAAAGAGTCGATATATTCCCTTAACGAGCAGGGCTATTTCCAGTCGCAGGAACTCAGGGTTCACTTGTGGTAGGGGACAACGATGTGGTAGACGGCGATAGCGACAACAGCCACGACGGTGCTGGCGGTCATCAGCTTGCGCAGCTTCGCTTCACGATCGTACTTTTCCTTGAGGTCCTGGTTGGCCTTGAGCAAGAACTGGCAAAGGCACAGTCGGAACAAATGGTACAGTTAGGAGTCGTCACCAGAGACCGTGGGCAACGAGCTCTCTGCCTGGCAGAATGCTTGCGTTGCGATCAGATGCTTTGGCGGGCTGGCTGAGTTACCTCGTTGTATCGCTTCAGGCCCTTCTCCTTTCTGTGGGTGCCATCACAGAAGGGAGCGGACTCGGCGAGCTTGCAGCCACACAAGAAGTACTTCTTGGCCTCATCGACGGTGAACTTGACGGGCTTGAAGGAGCTGCCCTTGTGCTGCAGGCGGTGTCAATGCCGGCTGATTAGGCATCGCTCTCAGGGCACCAACAGGCGCTGCGTGCTGTATGTGCCGGATGGGCCAGGAACTTACGCTTCCGTCACAGAATGGCTGGTTCTGGCTCCTGGTTGTGGGAAAGGCATCGAGTGTGAGCGCAAGCCGATGGAGACCATGTGAGTTGAACCAGCCTGGGTGGGCTATTGGCCCTCGAAGCCGTGCGGACAGCAGATCGATCACCAGGCCGATCAGCAAGCTGGTAACTTACTTGCCGCACGAGCACCAGTAGTAGTCCTACCAACGACAAGGTGATTCCGGGGAGGTGTGGATCAGTAAAAGCTAGGCGCGCCAAGGGCAAGGAATGGCGATGGCCCGGGATCCTGTGATCGACGGCGGCCATTCCGAGAGACAATGCAACATCAACGCCAGCGAGAGGAGGGGGCAGTGGGGCGAATCGGATCGCCCGGCATGGCCAACCCAACGACGGGAAGCAGCAGCTGCCCGCCCTTGTCGACCAATTGTGTGTCGAATGCATCCGCGAAGGAACGGGCAGCCAATCTGGATCGCGCACTCGGCTACCTTGCCAGGCTCGAGATCAACGGGGTAAGGAGCCGCGCGGGGGAGATCGGGGACGGGAGCAGTCTCGGTGGTGGTGGACATGGCGATCGGCTGGCTTGCTGGGTTGCTTGCTGGGTTGCTTGCTGGGTTGCTCGCTGGATTGCTCGCTGGTTGGCTTGCTGGATGGATGGCAAAGACGCAAACGCAAAAGCGGCGCAAATCGAATCCTTTTCGTTGCGGTTCGGCGGCACTTTTGGCTGGAGCTCGTTCTCGGCGAGGGGGAGCGAGAAGGTGGCGAGAGCTCGGAGAGAGCGCGCGAGAGCAACCCGATGCGCAGCAGCCAGCCTTCCTTTTTTGGGAAAAGCAGCCACGCACCGGCCGCCGGCTGGCTGGTTTCATCCCAACACTTTGGATCCTGCCACACCCGTGGTCTTTCTTGCGGCGGACAGCGAGGTGGTCCATTGGCCGGGGATATTGCGGACCGGACTACACAGATCGGCAGTGTATTTCGGGCACTTGGGTGCATCCGCCATATTCCGAGAGCGACCGGTCTGGTTGAGAAGGGCCAGGAAAGCTCCCGGACTACTTGGCGCTGGAGACCCACTCCAGAAACGAGTTTGCGCTGTTGCCCGATCCATACCCAAGCATCAACATGCTGCCACCCAGGCTTGCTGTCTGCTCGCTGGTGCCGAGAGCCATCAGCGACCCGAGCTCCAAGGATGCACTCGTTGCCACCGTCAGGCGTCCGACAGAGACTTGGTCCTTGACAATCACCATGGCTTGCGCTAGCGATACAGGTGTCTGCATTTGTCGCTCGAGTCGGAAAAAGATCCTCGAGAGAGGAATCAGGTGCTTGTGAATGGCCGCAAGCCCACTGATCCTGTTCGCGATCGCAATCACAAATATAAATTGCCAGCGTTAGCTTCATCAACAGCCATCCGGTCTGAGCTCACGATTCTACCATCTCACCATTTGCCCTGTTTGCTTCGGTGATCGCTTTGAGGCCCTGTATCGAATACAATACGCCCGCAATAGTCCATAAAGAGAGACGGGTCCAACTCAAAGACGCGCTTCAGGATCGGATGGAGGGATTCCCGCAGCTTGCCATCAAGCTGACGTCGAGTCTCGGATCCCTCATTCCCTGCCGCTGCCGCTCCCACCGATGCCGGTGCTGGTGCCGATGCCGATGCTGGTGCCGATGCCGATGCTGCCGAGTCTTGTTCAGGCCAATAGTTTGGCACAACCGAGCGGTCCTTGTCAAAACACAGGCTCCTCAAAACTCGGTCGATGGCCGAGGCGACCTTGCGATTCAGGAACGCCTGTGTGCCCCCGCCAAGCGGGTTCAGCGCCAAGGACGATGAAAATAACCCGTGGCCATAGGATAGCGATTGAGAGCTCTTTCCGGTCGGTCCGCTGTTGCGCCGCTCGAGCTGCCCCACCAGTCGCGAGGGTTCCACGAAAAACGGGCTGGTTTCGTCAAAGAACTGCGAGGACGGTGCTTGCATCTTGGCTCTGCTCGAAGGTGCGGGCGCCTGGGGAGGTGGTGGCGCTGCGTACTCAACACCCGAGACAGGAGTGGTCGGCTTCTTGGGCTCTAGAGGTGGCTGTTGCAGGGGTGACTGCTCGGGCTGCTCGGACTGCTCTGCTTGACCATGGGCTGACTGATGGGGTTCCCCTTGTGGAGGACGATCGACCTGCCGAAGTAGTGCCTCTGGATTGAACTGGGTGTCTCCAGACGCATATATCGGCGGAGCAGATCCCTGTCTCGGCTTCAAAGCGGCGGCGGTCGTCTCAGTAGTAGTGGCAGCGGGCTCGGTAGGTCCCAAGGGGGCTCGGAAGGATGTCTGCTCACGGTCGGCTTGCATGCCGCCATCACCGAGAGCACCCGCCACCGCTGACCTTTCCGCCTCCATTTCGCTTTGGGTCCATGTAAAATCGAGCGGGCTGATGCGTGAAATCTCGGAGATCTCTGCAGCGCCAACCATTTTGGAGAGATCGCCTGGATCCAGCCGCGAGTTGACGTTCATCCATGTGTGATCTTCGACAGCGGTGGTCCTGTCGCCTTGAACCTGGAGCAAGGCGGCGTCAACGCCGTCGTGCTCGTTGTGCTCGTTGTGCTCATCCTTGACAGCAACTGTCGCGCGCGCACGGGCTACATCGCCGGTGTTCAGTATCAAGGGGCGGTCTTCTGGAATTGTTTGCGCTGGCGCTGCCAGGACCGCGAGCGCAGTAGCGTTCTGCGCCAGGTCCAGTGGCAATGTTGGCGACAGCAAGCCTTGGTCGTGCTCCGAAGTCTCCGAGTCTGTTATGGCAGGCGACAGCGGCGGTCCACTGAGGAGGCCGTCCTTGCCCAAGAAGCCCGTGAGATCTACAACCTTGGAGGGCTCGGTGTCAGCCATGATCTCGTTGAGCGACATTTGTCCCTGATCATGGGATGCGGGATGCCGCTTAGCACCATCTTGTGCTACGCGGGTTATGGAAGTGGGGCTGGAGGCTGTGGCCGATGCCGGTTGCGGGCCGTTTGCTGCTGCCGGTTGTGTCGTGACGACGGGTGACCTGTGGTTGCTGTGTACAAGGGAATCGGCGACAAAATCATCGAAATTCAGGGTGTCGCTTGTGGGAGCAGCGCCTCGTTGGCGTACAGCATCATCTTGGTCGATAGGAGCCATGCCGCGCCAAGGATTTCGAGGGGCTCTGTGTCCCTGGCCACGGCTTAGTGATGGTACTTCGTCCGAGAACAAAACTGGGCCGGTGGCCCAGTTTGCAATCTCGTCGATGTGACCTTGTCTGTCTCCTTGGTACACACTCGGGGAAGGCCGCCGATCAGCTGCTGGATTCAGCATCAAATCACTTCCTCGCCCTGACGCCGTGACTCTTGAGCTGCCTTGCAGTGGATAGGCTAGCGCCCTCGACCCGACACTTTCGGGAGTCCAGTGCGCGAGTTCCTTTGATTTGTGAACGTGCTCCTGGCCAGGGAATCTGAGAGATCGATCCTGACCAAGACCCTCCCGTATTAGAAAGGACGCTGACGGACCTGCACTTGAATGAACCTTCGAGTCAGAGATGTGCTGATAGAATGAATTGATGATGTTGCCCTCGTCCGAAGAGAGGTGCTCGCCAGAATCCTTTGCCGCTGTCGCGTGGCTGGGGTGATGTGATGGCTCTAGCATGGGCAAAAACGGATGTCGATCAGGGCCCAGCGGGATCCGATTGTCACAAAGCGGCCGCCATTTGATGAACCGTGTTCCTCTTTGTCAGCAAGCTCGGTTGTCCCCCTCTCAAATATCCAAGTAAATTGATCAAGCGATCCTCTACTTCCTCGTCCAACGGTAACATCTCATTACCTGTGGTCCTAGCCAAGCGAGGGGCGCATGGCTCATCCAGCGGCCGTGAGGGCTCAGCGAATCGTTTGTAGTTCAAATCCGGTGGGGAAAGGAGCTCAGCGACCAGTGCTTCTCCCGGATACTCGTCAGATCGGTGGGCCATGCGCGAGTGATCCGCGACGGCTGCCCCTGACTGCCCAGCGAATGGCATCGGAGATAGACCTCGAAGAAGTTCGTCCGGAGACAAGTCGCAAGCAAATGCGCCCTGGGTTGCTGTCGATGCGGATGCGTGCGGAGCTACATACCGCGCGGGCGTGCTCAAGCTTGGTCGCTTGGTAAACCCTGTCGGTGCATAGGCGCTGCCGAAATCTGTAGGCGCGTCGCTGCCCGGCGACTCATGCGAGTTGTAGTACAGCGCTGCGAGATGCCACTTCTTTCCATATCCCAAGATTCGCTCGACCAGCGCTGAAATGTCTTCACATTGATCGACAGGATCGCCGTAATCGGACCTGTCACTGGAAAGGCGGTCACTGGAGGGCGATGCAAAGGGGCAGCCCCTGACAATGTCGTAGAGGGTCGAGAGAATATTGTAGTCCGCGAGTTGACTAGATTCGGGCACCGACGGGTCTCGCGTTGGACTGAGTCGGCCATCAGGGGATTCCATGCGATCGGGTGATCCTGGATACGGGGGAACGCCAATGCAGCTTGCACAAGTCTCCAGACACATCATCCGAACTGCGACTTCCGAGTCCCGTCGGAGACGCCACAGCAGCGGTATAGCGGTTGATAGGGCATCGAGGCAGCAATATGGCGCCGCTTCGCTGCCATAGCCGGTGCCTTCGATGGCCCCCTTGGTTACCAGGGCGATCGAGAGTCGATTGACAGCCGATTGTCTGGAATCTGTCTGTTGGTACAGGAGCAAGTGGTGGAGTAGATCTGTGAAGAACTGCATAAACGCAAATCGAACCGGAGGTGCGCGCTGTGGCCCTTGGGCACATGAGTATGAGTTGATAGCAACGAGCAAGAGAGGGGCCAGCAAAATCGAACGGTGGCAGGCACGTTTGAATATAGATGGGCACATTCAAATGTGTGTGAGCAAATACATGGCTGTTAGATGGGCGTCGGCACGAAATCCTTCATTTGTCTTGCATCAGCGGCCAGCCCATCGTCGCGTGCACTGCCGTGAGCGTTCGCGGCATTAGAGCACATCCTATGGCCAAGACAATGCGAGCGGTTACCTGGTGGATTCCCTGGATCACGAGCGAGATTCACTGGAAAGTCCTGGGAAAGTCGAAACGGACAAACAGCGAAGCAGTGCGCCGTCACAAAGTAGGTCCAAGAGCCAAAAACCTCGCATTCCTGAGTCGTGACAGGCTCGCTAAAAGCGATTCATCGCAGCGAATGATGGCCAAGAGCGGCGTGGAAGCCCGCCATTGGTCGTCGAGATAGAGCAGCAGAGCGGCACGGGAAGATCGATATATGGACAAGGTATGAGATTATAGTGATGCAGGGGGAGGAATCCCGGATGCAGGGTTGCCCTTTGGCTACCCGAGGCAGAGTGTACCAGCTCGCAGTACCAACTAAATCGATGTCTTGGCTAGAGCATTACCTTTCGGACGTCCAAAACTCGGTCAACTCCCGGAAGATGGCTTGAAGGGAATGTCTAAGTGGCGACAGTACCAAGTCGTTGGAATGAGGGTCGGAGAAACCATCCCTATATGACCGACATAGCCCATCTTCGCGATGGACAATGTGCTGGCACGGGTCGCCGTTGAGGCTGTGAATCGCCAGCGCATGCGCTGAGGCGAGTCGAATTTGATAGGAAGGGTCGTCAAAGAGCGACAGAAGGCACATTGATATCTAAAAACCAGAGTCACCGGTAACACACACAGGTTAGAACCACAACTACAGTGGAACCAGCGCCATGAATCTCGGCCAATGACTTTGCGTCGCGCTTGAAGCGGAATCAAGTCGCTGTAAGGAAAGATTCGGCGCCATTACTTGCCGGAAACAGGTGGTTGGATATCTGTGCCATAAGACGAATGCACATCAGCCTTAAATTGATTAGCGCACTCAGGCTTGGCAGCTTGATGGAAATGGATGGGAGCGCTCGGCGCTGATACCGGCTAATTGAGGCACGCGGATCGACGGATCGCAGACAGGCGGTCGAGAGAAGCCACTTGGCCACGGCCTCAGCCACTTCGGAAACTAGGAGTGGAAGAAGGAGAAACGCGAGCCCACAGTTCGATAGCAAATTCGGTGACTCGAAGGTTGACCGCCGGGTCGAGCAAGGTCCTCTCCGGGAGGGATCTGGTGTCGGTGGGGGTGTGTGTGCTGGTAAAACATAACAGCCTGGATCGACACAACTCCGTTCAGCTTACCTCCAGTTGATGTCCAGTTGCCTTTGTCCAGTTTGTCCGGTTTGTCGAGACCACCGGTGTAGACTCGGATAATCAGGTTCTCGCAAAAGCGCCAGCAGTGATCGTCTGACCCTATTTGTGCAAGCAGCGGGATCGCAAAGCTCTGGAGGAGCACCACTGCTTGCTTGCTCTCCAGCCAAGTTGCTATCCAGTCTCCCAACTCTGTCTTGAGCACCAGGGACGCCAGCGGTGACGATCCCGGCTGGGCACTGTAACCTCGCCACCCGATGGGATCAATTGTTTCAACGAGAGATTCCGAGAGCTTGGATATGTACTCGGATATCCGGGAGACAAGACGCATCTGCTCTCCCACAGAGTCATTCAACAGATCCTGTGTTCCTGGCCTACACCGTCGAGATTCGTCCGAGTCGCCCCATCCCTGCTGAAAGTCCACGATGAGCGCGCGAATAGATGCCAACACCTTGGAGCTGTGCTTGCGGCACTCAGGGCTCCACAGGCCGACTCGCATCACAGGGTTGACTATGTGTTTCAGGAAAATGATGGGATGGCCCAGCAGATGAACCGAGTCAGGCGGCGAAACGGAGTGAACCGACACAGGGAGTAACCGCGAGCTTTCGCCGAGAAGAGAAATAGAGACCTGTCAGGGTGTATGGAGGGTGTGAAAAGTCGGTGCCAGCTGCGTTACTTCAAGGAAGGATCGCCACATATCCACCATATGCATGATCTGCTCGGTATCTGGCTGGGTAATGAAAGTCGACCGGTAATCGAGGCATGCAGCCCGCATCCAAAGCAGACGAGTGCGGTACTGCAATGCCCATCGACGCACACCCACACACTAGCAGTTCGCTACAATGCTCCCACCTTCATTTGATCGACCAGTCCTCCGTAGTCCTTGCGGACCATGGATGATGCCCGCTTGAATATGGCTTTGGCAAAGCCCTCGGCAGCGACCAGCGCCTGCTCTTGTCGAATGTCGTCATATCCGCCCACCATAAAGGCCAGGCACGCGGCAAGCATTCCCCATAGCTTGAGGGTCTGCTGGGGTATCTCTTTGTGTTTGTGCAGCAGGAAAGGGTGTGCCTTGAGATCGAGCAGGCTCGTAGCGGACTGGACAATGACGCTTCGGATCTCGGGAAAGCTCGATGGATGATAGTTTTGAATAGTGTCTGAGCCGACCCGCGACATGGGCTGTGATGCAAATACCCTCTGGAGCTTGGAGCTGCATGGGTTGAAAGGATAAGCCGATTAATTGCCGCGGTGCAAGGTCGAAGCGCCGTCTACAGCATCCACCCATCCACAACCAGAAGCGGCACGGCTCATGCTCCAAGCCGGCGAGGCAGGCGAGGCAGAGACGGCGATCCCTCCTCACGCACGGGAGTGCAAGTGTAGAGGACTGACAGACAGCCGTCTGGCACCAGCCAAGGGCCCCAGTGGATATGATATCTCAATCCAGTCCAAGCCCTGCCCTCCACCCACCGATCGAGCTTCTTGAGAAAGAGCACAAGAAGCTTCAGCAGCAGAAACCGGATGTGCAGCGATATCCGCAGGCCCACATCCGGTCTGGAGGCGGTCTTTTGGGAAACGGCAGAGTCCAGTTGTCGCTCTGTCGATTCCAAGCTCCTCGGGAGATCAGATGCAACATCCTCGATACACAGCGAGTAATTCAAGGCCGCCAGGACGATGCGAACAGCCGTTACGCGGGATGAAGGGTCGATCAACAACGAGCCCTGGCTGGACTCGGGGGGAGGAAACTGGGAGACGAGTATGGGGAGCAGCTTGGTGGTGAGTTTCTTCTCGGCGCTATGCTCGCCGTATGGCCCAGGACGCAGGACAATCTCGAGCAGACCACCGACGAGCCGATGCTGAGCTGGATGCCACAGCGACGAAGGCGGCGGTTCGTGCAAGGCCGCATTCGGATCGCCCATCCTGGCGGCGCTGTGGACCGTCTGGCTCTGCAGCCTCGCGGAATCGGATATGGGGAGAGGGGGCAGCCGGACTCGGGCAGCTGCAGAGGCGAGTCTTGCAGATGGTGCAGATGGTGCAGATGGTGCGGATGGTGCGGATGATGTGGATGATGCGATGGTGCGGCTGTCCTGCAGACCCAAGAGAGCGCGAGCCATCGGGCAAAACCGGGGCCGATGAAACCGGGACGGAGAAGTGGCCACATTTGGCCAAAAAAGGAATCCCCGAGCACGCCGCCTCTGGCCGTGACAGCCCTCTTGGGCGGGCCAACACAACACCCAGCCCGCCGCCTGCCTCCTGCCTCCTTGCTTCTCTCGACCAGCCCGAGCCCAGAGCGGCCAGCAGCCATGGATATCAGTCTGCCCGAAGATCTCGACTCGTGCAGTCGCGCCGCCCTCCAGAAGCTGTGCAAAAAGTACGGCCTGAAGGCCAACGGGAAGGTAACGACTGCCCTCGCCCTCGTCTATCGCAGCGCCTTGGCTATCTCTGCAGCAGCGACATCCCCAGCAGGGCAGACGATGCCACCGCTACATAAGACTAACGACTTTTGTGCATGTCCGCGATAAGAATGTGGACTTGATCAATTCACTCCGTGCCCTGGCCTCGAGCTCCGGTCACTCGTTTCCCGAAACTGCCGATAACGATAGCTCCACCGGGCATTATGTGAGTGATCAGGACAGCCAGGATAACAGCGGCCATGCAGCCGATGTACTGGGGAGCAACGACGCCCAAGTGGAAGGTGCCAATGGAGAATGGACCAATCGAGAATGCGCCAAGTATGCCTCTGGTATGTTTCCCGCGTGCTCTGGAATCGTGATTTTCTGTCCGGCTCCAGTCGGCCCCGAGTTGTGGGATATGTTGCGGCTGATTTGAATTCCCCCCCCCGCCTTGTAGAAGCCCTTGACCAGGTGGCTGATCTTCAGCTGGGGCTCAACCGGATAACGATCCATGAACAAACGGTTGACCGACATGATATCAACGTGTCCCTCCTAGTAACGGGTGTTGATGAACTCGCAAGCCACTGCAAAATCGATCGTGTGAGCGAAGATATCACGCAGAACGTCACCGAGACACTAGCCGCAACCATGCAACCACTCAACACACAAAACGGCATCGAAACCGGCGCCGCCAGCTCGCCAGCGCATGCCAATGAAGACAGCTTCGAACACGAACCCACATCAGGTGCGTGGGCGATACCGGATTTGATCATCGGAAATGATGGCAGCTGGGTTGCAGCCAAGGTGCAATCACTTGGCTTTATGCGGCTGATGCGGCTGGTACGGCTGGTACGGCTGGTGCGGCAAGGCCATGCTAACCCAAAAGCAAACCTCGGATCACCTATAGCGACCAAGATTTACGATGCAGTTTCAAGCGAATTTATGAGCGAGCTTGAAGAAAGAGTGATATTCACAAGTGCGTCCATCTCCGAAGCGCTCTGTGGGAGCCCAATTCAATGCGTCAATTCAGCGGGCTCATTGAACTGATACTCTGATTCTCACCTTCGAACAGGGAACAACATGACTCCCGAGGAAATCCAGGCGCTCTGTGGATTCACTCCAAAGGCTGTCAAGACCAACAAAAAAGTGGGAATGTTTGATGCGGTGCACAGGCGACAGTTTCAGCATATGGCGAGCATCTCAGAGCACTTTGCAGCCAAGCGCCAGACGACTCCCAATCCATCTCGCACGACGCTTTCCCAAGTTCAATCCTCACAAAAGCGGGTGGTCGTCTCAGCAACCGACAAAAGCCCCCAAACACTGAAGAAACGACGAACCGAGAAGGGCGTCGCGGAGATAAAAAATGTGCACACCCACAAGCCCCAAGTCTCAAAGGTACGCTTACAATCAAAACCCAAGGCGGTGGTTTCACTCAGAAACGACACGGACAGATATCGCGGTGATGTTCACAATACGGACCGGCAGCTAACATACGATTCGAACGGCAGGGATCAACCAGCAGCTTCAGCAGGTGCGGGAGCACTCATTCAGTACACGCTAACTCCCCTCTCTGCATTGCAATAACCGAGTTCCCGGCTGTGGACTCTGCGTCATTATAAATGCTCCGAATGAAACTGCGCGTGTCATTAACGCACCATCGTTCGATGCTACCCTATACAGTCGTGGCAGCCTCACAAAGCTTGCTACTGGATTCAAAAGCGCTCCTCTAGCAAAGGGTGGAAAGTCATCCTTGCCTGTAGTTCGACCAACACTGACATCTCAGCGTCGCGAGCTCATGTCCAAGGTCAAAGCTGGCGCAGATAGCCAGTCCAATCCAGGAGCATCGGCCGAAACGAACGCCATGAATATGGAGCTCCGAATCGCTCCGGCGCCACTGGCAGAGCCGCGAGCTGTTCGATCAAAACCCGAGGAGGTTGCAGCCACAAGCGCGCCGTCTCCTCTCACAATCGAGAACTTACCCGGTGGACTGGTCACGGAAACTGCCGCTTCAAAGCGCTCCCTTGATGCAACAGCCACGCCTGTCAAGAAGGAGATTCAGAAAAGCCCACCAAAGTCCAAGCTGACCAAATCGCCGTCCATGTCCAATATACGGTCACATCTCAATCGAGTCGAGCACCCAAATAGGATTCGTCGGGCATCCATCAGCACCACCAACCTGCCACTGACCAACGGAGCTGCAAGTGCGCCGCCGGTCAAGAAGAAATTTGATCTTGCCGAAAGCCTGTCGCGACCGCTCACATGGATTCCTCACAAGGGTACGGCGGGTTTACAGCCAGGGGGAGCGACTTTAAACTTGTGCTTGCGCGCTCTGGAAACCGAACTCGCTCCTGATATTGGATTCCCTATGTATTTTTCTCCTCCATACCATACCAGGGAAACTGAATGAATGGGGTGCATCTCAGAAGAAATGAACTCCCAAACGGCGTTAATCCGCGCATAAGAATAAGGGGACGCCGACTGCCTCGACGACGGGCCAGATTGCTTCTTCTCCACCTAAAGGCGATCGTGCCCACAACGGCACCGAATCATGGAACTCCGTGGTTGCACACTCTGTGGCTGTATTTCTCTGTGCGGCTGTTACCTCCGTGTGTCGACAGTCAATTTTGTTGTGGATTTGGAAACACACGGTTTTGAATACATCCGATCGATAACATTTGGGGATAACGGACCGCCATAAGGTGATCTTTGTTACATCACTCAGCTGAGCCGCGAGGCATCACTGCGGTGACTACCCGTGACACGCCCAATGGCAGCTACGCTCAGGATTCAGAGGGCTCCCAGCGGCGCAACGAGGCGCCTCGGTCTTACAGCGTCTCCAAAATGAAATGGTACACCCCCGTTTTGAGCCATGACAGTGGTTTTTTCTGTGACTTGAATACACCCACCCGCTCATTGCAATCATGGCCAAGCACAACACCCTCGATTTCCGCATCGCTGCACTGCGACCGGTGGTCTTCACTCGGAGGCTGCCAAAGTGATCTGCTCTATTTCTTATGGCATAGCTAGACGCATGCCATCGCATACTACGCTGACAAATGGGTTGTGGGCAGGTGCCGCATTTCCCCCTGAATACAGTGTAAAGTGCACCCCCCCCCAACGAGACGAGACTCTAGAGAAGCCTTCCACAAACGTTCGCTGGGTGAGCTCGACGCCTCCCTAATTTACTCTGGGTGTCTGGAGCCAAGTGAAACGCGAACCGCCTCACTATCGACCTATATGTCAAGAAACCGCTACTCGTATGGAGCCGTCCAGAGGATCGAATGCATGTACCTCACCAACGCATCTCGATGTCCATGGCTGTCGATCAGATGTATTCACGACCGCAATCCGACAAATCGAGGCCATACCGTTGACAATGCCATGAAACTGTTGGCTTGATCTCTAATGCGACTGCTCTATTCTCTCGGTTTGAGGAGACTGGCTTTGTCCGAATACGTTGTATCCGTTGTCGTCGTATACGCAACAGTATTTGGTTGGGACGAGATATAACTCCGAAACTTGCAGGCATCTGGCTTGGCAAGCTAGTGTGCACCACTTGGATGACGCTTGTGTGCCGAATCAGATGCAATTTGGATGAGATCGTTCAATTCACCGGTTTCTTCACACATACGGCGATAAGCGCTTCCTTGTTGGAGCACGAGATTGAGGGGAGTGTCCATTTCGACAACTTGACCATGATCCATCACAATGATGCGGTCGTAGTCCATCACAGTTCTGAACCAGAGTTTCGTAGCATGTCATTCAGAAATGAACAGGGTGAGCTATCGGTAACAACGGCCATACATGGCATTCGGCTTCCTGTGGATGCAGCAACCGTATTTCCGGGATGCCAATCACATTCACCCAAAGAAATGCCGAGGGTGAGGCATCTTACCGCAGCCGGTGGGCGATACACAGAACCGTTGCTCCGCTAAACTCGCTCCGGATGGTTTCTTGGATACGCCTATCGCTTTCAGCATCGATACTTGCCGTGGCTTCGTCCAGTATGATGACCTTGCTTCGGCGCAAAAGCGCACGAGCAAGACAAATGAGCTGTCGCTGTCCTTGGGAAAAGTTTCCTCCGTTCTCCGCAACCTTGGTCTCCAGGGTGATCGTGGGTTGATTTGCGGAGAGCCCGATGGAACTATTTTCATCCGTCGCGGAGTGGAAACTTTCGAGAAAGTGCACCCGGCCAATTGCACTCCATAATTTTGAGTCATCGTGTTCGCCAAGCGGATCAAGGTTGGTTCTCAAAGTACCCGCAAAGAGCACGGGATCCTGGGGGATGATGGTGAGCCGCGAGCGCAAATCCTGTAGACCAATCGAAAACACGTCGATCGAGTCGATGACGATCGAGCCCTCGATGATGGGTAGAATCCGGAATAACACCAGCGATAGCGACGACTTCCCAGCCCCGGTCCGCCCTTGGTCGCAGAGAACGCGGGAGGGTGAGCGGCTGGATAGGGACAAGCTTTTGGACCAACGAATACATATGACCGCGCAGCTTCGAAAACGTAAGCATATGCACTCACCAACGACGCCAATTTTCTCTCGGGCATGGATGGTGAATGTCAAGTCTTTCAAAACCTTGGGTTGGTCGGCAGTGTACTGTGCCGAGACGTTGACAAGGCGGATTTCGCCATTCTCGGGCCACTGAAAGGCGCAGCCGTGAAGAGCATAAGCGACAGGCGTCACGTCCACCAGAACACTGAGAAGTCTACATACGTTTTCTGGAGGCCGATGACCTTCGATGATGCCAGGAGGCTCCTGTTCAATTTCGAGATACTCTCGCACACGCTCCACTGAGTTCATATTCATCTCCATTTGCGCGTGGATCCGGATGACCCACTGAATGCAAAGAGGGTACAGCAGACATCAGTCCCTTTTCATGTAAATCAATAGCCCCACAAAGCAGACTACATACCAGCAAAATATCTGTAAACTGTAAGGCATATATCAGCGATAGCCCCGCTAATCCAGCCGGAATTGCTGTGGCCGTGACAATCGCTGCGGCGGCGAGGACGACGACAGCGCCGATGAACTCAATCCGGACTCCGAGCCATCGATTTGTCGTCCAGAGCCAAAAGTGCGCTCGATTGTTGGCGTCGATCCTAGCAAGCGAGAAATAGTAGCGTATGAGTTTGCATGGTGCTAAATTCATCCGCTCGAGGGACGCCCTGATACCACCAATCGGTGAGCAAATCTGCCGAGCAACTTCCTGCACAGAATAGAAATGTGCAAGTGGAATACCTCTCAAACACCATGTCGGTGAAACGTTGCTGGTCACCGTATGCACGGATGGTGGAGACGCCACTAGATCAAAGGACACAGTCAGATGGAAATCCGGGTGCTCGGTCAAGTATTAGCTTCAGCAGATGCAGATCCCTACTTTAGTGTTTCGGAGAGTAGAGAATAAACAGGACTCCGCGAGACGGAATCGAGCCGCTTGAGCTCACGGGAACAGTTCAGATACTTTTGGGCCGTTCTGAGATACAGATATACTGGACGAAATGTCGAAGAGTAAATCAATTGCAGTCGATTGGCGGGAGAAAACGGTCCTTCGTAGAACGAGTGGCATTGCCAATCAAGAAGCGTCGTTGAGAAATCAACGTACCGATTGGAGCGATGGTTACAAGAAAGACAGGAGTGATGATGGAAATAACCAAGAAGATTGTGACGCAGTCCAGGGCAATGGAAACAAACGACCCAACGATCTGGATAACATTTTGATCGATTCGTTCGATGTCACGCGAAAATCGATTCATGATGCGCCCAAGAGGCGTTGTTTCAAAGAACCGCATGGGAGCTCGAAGAATTCTGTGTAGCAGTTCGCTGTGTAGCTTTTCGGACGCACGATATGATCCTTTCAGCTCCAGCAACGAGAAAGCTTGCTCCGTAAGCAAGAGTGTAACGCCGATGAGACCGTAGCTGTTGCGGAAGTGTAATTCCGGTATCAGTAGAGGTCTGAGGCTAGCAGAACAGCAACAACCACGAAGGCGCTCAGAGCCATTCGCCCGTTCGCCCACCATCCTACCATCCAAGATAAAAATCCACGCTGCCATTCAGCAACTGAAACTGAATGCCGGAGGTATTCGCAACCATATTCCACCAGGAATGGAACTCGGTGGCACGATCCGGACTAAGCGTGAACATCGTGCCCAACGCAGAGGCAAAGCTGAGGGAGCTTTCAGACTCTGTCCATTTCTTGATCCACCAGTCACTGAGAACCTGAAGTCCGTTGATCAAAGCGACAGCCGATAAGAACGGAACCAAGAAACTTGCCCCTCCTGTGGCCTGGAAGCTGAATAGCGGCGAGACGCAAGTCAGAGAGTGACAAGTTATTCAACTCGACGAGATCTAGGCAATGTTGGATCAATATCGCGCCTAATAAGGTCGTCAGGGCCGATAAACTCCAGTCTCAATAAACCATAGCGGAAAGCTAACTCTGAAATGCGGACCAAGACATCGGCATTTCGCCTTGTCTAAATCAATGCGGAAACACGATCTGGTATAACTTACTAGGTTTTGTATACATCGATGCTAACCGATCCGGTCGATTTTTCCTCATCTTCCACCAACTTTCTGGCATTCGAATCATCTGCATGTGTGATTCCAAGATTATCCTCCTCCTCCACGGCATTCTCGGATTGCATTTGACCAGCCTCAGGCAGCACGAGGTTTTCAAATATGGCCGAGACGCCACTGCTTGCTACTGTTTCGAATGCACCGTCTGCGACCACTTCCCCGCCCTTCATCACCACGATCTTGTCGGCCCGATGTGCAGTCAAGCTAACGGCGTGAGAGACCAGAATTCGAGTTCTGCCTTGGAGGAACCCGAGAACACAGTGCTGGAATATGTGGCGCGCTGTCGGTGCATCCACGGCGGATAGTGGGTCGTCCATGAGAACCACCGACGCGCGGCTATAGGCAGCTCGGGCAAGAGAAACCCGCTGCTTCTGCCCGCCACTAAGATTGATTCCCTAAATATCAATGTAGGAAACCCGTGAATACGTATTCCACATCGTCGCGCATGCTTGTACGCCTCCATGGCACCAATGATACACAGGTAGCATAAGCCAGCGACCACTCCAAGACCTCACCTTTTCACCAATTTCCGTCATATCCCCATCCTCGAGCTGCTGCAAATCTCTAACGAGGGCACATGCAAAAATCACTTGGGCATATCGTTGCCTGTCATATGGCCGTCCGAAGCATATGTTGTCGCGGATCGATCCATTGAAGAGCCAAGCCGTTTGAGCCACATATGCGACTTGATGCGGGCTATCTGCCCCGAAATCATCACAGGATGGTTGTATAATGCGGCAACCAGAGACTGTTTTCATTTCTGACAGAGAGTAGGGCGAATAAGACATGGGTTAGATTTGAATCGGGCCAAAAATATATTTCAGAGCCTTCGTCCGTTGTCCTTACCTCCCAAGAGGGCGAGAAGCATGCTGCTTTTACCGCATCCGGTGGGTCCGCAAACAACAGTAAGCTTTCCCAGAGGAAACTCGATATTGAGATTCTTGAGAACAAATCGGCTCGTTGCCAGACGTTCGTGTGCAGGATCGAGTAATGGGGTCTGCTCGTTTGGTGCCTCCGACTCTTCAAAAGAGCCGCCCTCAAAGTACACATAGCTGGATTGCTCAAACCCGACTTTGGGGGCCCGCTGGGCCCGTCCGGACTGCTCGCTCAGCGCGGTCTCTGGTCTGCAATTAGAGGTATCCTCCAACTCTTCTTGGTTGAGATAGTCCTCGATACGCTTAAGCGACACGAGTGCTTGCCAAAAGTCCACTAGCTCGTTTGGAAACTGATTCAAGGGTAGCCGCAAGGCATTGAGGAGAGACAGTCCAGTGAATGCCGTGGTTGCATCCAGGGGATTGCCCGCCAATTTGGTAAAGGTGGCAAATGTCACAAAGGCCACGAGCAGCGGAGAGAGCTGCCAAATGAAAGTGCTTGCGAGATCGGCATAAAATACTTGAACCAAGCTTGCGAGCTCGGCCTTGCGTGCCTCTCTGATTTTGTCAAAGAACTGGGGCTCCCATGCCAAATATCTAAGCGGCAAAATAAGCCGTGTCAGTGATTAAATATACGTCGATGCATCCGTGGGTACATTTTGAGAATAAAAGGTGGGTAAGAGAATCGCCCAGCTGCTGGAAGACTGAGCCAAAGCGAGAATGCACTCATGGCAGTTCCGGAATGCGGTACACGTGGACTTGGATTCCTACTTGATGATTCGAATACCATTTAGCACCTCGTTGGTGACTTCAACTCGCTTATCGGTCTTTTCCATCAGGGTTTCTTCGGCCCTGGAAGTCCATTTCCCGACATAGGCCGTTGTAGGAATCGTCAAGATCATGACAACAACGCCACTCAAGGCCGGCCAGCCCAAAATGTAGACAAGGGCAGCAGTTGCGATCAGAATTTCCACCGGTGTAATCAAGATCGTATGGGAATAGCAGAGATACTGCACAATTGAACCAAGCTGTCAGTAGCTCCAACACGACCAGGGAAATGCCAACAAAGCAATGGTCCTGAAACTCACATCTCCTACTCGCGCAGTATCGACACTCATCAAGGTAACAATTTTGCCCATGCCGGATCCTTGGTCATCATCGTCGTCTGCTGAACCTGGCTGCGGAGCTCTTCGGAGGGTTTTTTTGTATCTATCGAGCAATATGAGGAAGAGGTGTGATCGTATTACGATTGGCAATTACTGCCTTGGACAAATATGGCTGGACAATGAAGTCGTGGAATATCGTGTCGATGAAGTCGTGGAATATCGTGTCGATGAATGAGCTTCGATTCCCGACTTACATTTCGGTGTTTAAAAGAGCGGCAGACTGCATGCCAACTCTGCGACCAACATGGTAGAGCTGGCCTTCGCACACAACTTTGAGAAGCGTTGCAAAAAACATCCCGCCGACGAGATAGCCCTTCATCGCGAGTGACTGTTGTGAATCCTCGATCGCAGCAAGGAGTAAATTCAGGAAGGCTGGCTTGGCAAAATTCAGCACGGCAGCACATATCCCAAAGGTGAGCTGCAGGGCCATTTGCCTCCAAAACATTCGGATAATTTTCCAGAACAGACTTGCGCGCCTATGTCTAGAGTAAAATCATGATTAGAACACCACGCACTAATTCGTGATGTGTTCGAAGAGAAGCGGGCTACCTGAGTTGATCGAAGCGAGACTGCAGTGATAAGGCGTCATCACCAGGCGTAACACGCCAGAGGTCCTTTTCCTCCAGCGGTCGAATGTTGCCCAAGTCCACCATTTCATTAATCCAGCCAAACGTAAGGCGAGAAATAAAGCTTGCGGATATCTCTCGGCTTTCTTTGCGGGACTCTTGGTTAACAGTGCTCCACATCTGGGCTTGATCCTCTTCGAGACGCGACTGGAAGACGAGCTGCATGACATCACAAAGTGTTTCGAGACCACCAACAAAGGCCAGAATCCATCCAAGCTCTGTGGCCCTTTCCAGCGATATCGCCGTTACCGCAGTCAGAGAAGCAAAGAGTGTACAAAAGTGGCGCAGGATGGGGAGGTTGGATGGAGCACGGCCCACATGGACTCCTTGACGTTGGATCAAGGTGACAGTAGTCTAAGGAACGACATCCAATTCGAAGGATATTCGAGCGCATTAGTGTGATTTAGAGTACTCGGCGACTCGCGTCGGCAAATACTTCGCAGCGACTGCAAAGGACCCCACAATTGCTTGTGGAGCTCACCCATCCAATCCAGCCCAATCCGCAGACTTCGATGCGGGAACGATCCGGAGTCGATCCGTTTGCCCAGGCCAAGAGCATCAATCCTAAGAGCGCTGCCCAAATGCAGGAGACAAGGGCGGATGCTGCAAAGGCCAGATGGTCCAGAGACTGCATGCGCTTGCAGAACAGCGGGCCCGGTGATTCGAAGGCTGTCGTGCCATCTTCGATTCGAAGCCGAGATAGTGTGCTATAGCAGCCTGAGCACCGCAAAACTGAATACACCCCGAGCGAAAATAGCAAGAGACCGGTGGGCAATCCAATGGCCAGATAGCTAGGACAAAGGGACCGTTAGACTGAGAAATAGGCAGGGATTGAGAGGAGTAGCTTGAAAGCCGCATAGCCAAAGGGACATTATGTGGGCAGACCCAAGGCAACACCGGTGAGGCATACGTACTCTGAGAGGTTGCATACTAACAGATCGCCAGCAGGACCATCGCCGGGGAGTGGATACCACTAAATTGGGTGTGAAACCGCGTGAGACGGGCATGCGAATCGAGAATCGAGGCCAGCAGCCCAACTTACCCCATGCAAATCGAGGCACTTGCTCATGCTTCTGATTCCGCATCCGTCCAAGGCACGGGTTAAATTCGGCAGCATGGACCTCTCCTCCCCTCCAAACAGGCGAATGGCTCCGCATATCGCGCCAGTTGACCCGAACAACGCAATGAGATAATGAGGATCAGGAGAAAGAGCATGAGAGATACAAACCTGAGCAAAGAGGATGAGAACGGAGTGTGGAAGTCGTCAAGCGGTCAAATATCAAGTCAAAAGGGTCGTTGCGCGGTAAACAGTCCGGAGCGAGGAAGGGTTTATTGGACGGGGCTAAAGGCACTGGTGGGCAACAAAGAAAAGGGGACAAGGACCCGATCACCCACGGCTCCTCGCTGCGCCAGGTGAGAAGGAACAGCACAAAGAGCAAAGGAAGTAAGCTGGGCTTCACAAGATGGGATTGGATATGAGCACGAGATTGGTAAGCCATAAAATACAATCGTGGAGTGGGGAGCCACACAATGCAGTTCATAACAGGTCCCGTTCTCTGACGGAGATGCGGAAGCATGAATTCTCAGTGAGACTGCCGAGGGTGTTGAAGTCCGAGTCCGTAAGGGGGTAATTCTTGATGATCACGAAGATACCCATGGTCCAAGTCACATCCATCAACATGGGGAGGTTGTTGGGAGTGGGCTATGTCCGTGTGGGGTCGGGCCAGGGTGGGCCGGGTTGGATGGTAGATTAGCGATTTCCTGTCCAGGCTCAGTCCATATCGAGTCCAAGATCAGTCCATATCCAGTGCAAATCACGCTCAGATCGAGTCCAGGATCAGTCCATGCCCACATGGCCCCTGGGATAGTTGTGCATCCGCGGCGAAAGGAGCGTGATCTTTCAGCGGGCGGCCTGGCTTGGTATGGCTTGGTATGGCTTGGTATGGCTTGGTATGGCTTGGCATGGCTTGGTATGGCTTGGTATGGATTGGCTGGGTGTGGTAACAGAGGAGCTTGGCTCGGAGTGGTGACAGAGCTTGGCTGGGTGTGATAGCAGAGCTTGGCACTGGCAGCAAGCGGAAACAGGTGAGAGCCTCGGGGTCACATTTCGTGGTGGAGTCAATGGGGTCGATGGGGTCGATGGGGTCAATGGAGTCAATGGAGTCGATGGAGTCAATGGAGTCAGTGGAGTCCATAGCGGGTGCATATATATAAGGCTTTTGCCTTGGTGTCTCTGACGGGCCCTGGCACTGGATTGACACTGGGTTGTCGCTGAGCAATGGTACCGAGCGATGGAACTGAGCGATGGCATTGGTTGCTGGCCTTGCCAGCCAGGACATTCTACAGCCGTCGCTGCAGCCGTCGCTGCAGCCGTCACCGCAGCCGTCACCGCGACTCTCGATCCCATGGGAGGGAACTCCAGCCCGCCAGAGAAACACTCTTCGGGCTTGAGCAGCCGATACCACCGGCATCGGTGCGGCCAGCCCCGCAAAGTGCCTGAGAAGGTGGCAAGCGAGACATCTTGGGTCGCGCCTGTGGCGAGCAAGGCATTCTGGGCAGGGCCAGTGGCGTGGCCGGTGGCGGGGCCAAGTGCCGAAGATTCGATGATGGAAACTGGGCGGATTGGGACATGGGGCGAGCGGGTGAAGCGAATAGTCACGAGGTTTCGTGGTGTAGTTGGTTATCACGTGAGTCTAACACACTCAAGGTCTCCGGTTCGATCCCGGACGAAACCATTGTTTGGCTCCGCTAGCTCAGTTGGTTAGAGCGTGGTGCTAATAACGCCAAGGTCACAGGTTCGATCCCTGTGCGGAGCACTTTTGCTGCCCACTTCGCCTGGCCCCCGTCTCTGTCTTTTCTCCGTCCATTATTCACCTTGACTCTCATTCTCACTGCGTCTCACTGCGTCTCGCTGCACTCTACTGCATCCCATTGCGCCTACTCTCTGCTTGCTCGCTGCATCCTACTGCACCCCATTCCGCTCCCGCCTCTGTCGCACGGTCTGGTCTGGGGGGGAGGGCGGTGTTGGCAATGTGCTCGCGCGGATCGTGGCTGCACACATGGATCCAAGTTTCGGGCGATGGCTCGGACGACGACGCTGCGGGGGCTCAGAGAGCCACTTGCAGAGCCACTTGCAGAGTCACTTGCAGAGTCACTTGCAGAGGCACTTGCAGAGTCACTTGCAGAGGCACTTGCAGAGCCACTTGCAGAGTCACTTGCAGAGGCACTTGCAGAGCCACTTGCAGAGTCGCTATGGCGGTGGCTGGCAAAGTCCAAGGAGCAGGAAAAAAAAGTCGACAGATGGGAAACCCATGGCAAACTCATGGCAAACTCATGGCAAGCAGGAGGCATCGAGCGACGAGCATCAAAAACAGTGACGAGAGTGGGATTCGAACCCACGCCTCCGGAGAGATCACGGCCTTAACGTGACGCCTTAGACCAACTCGGCCATCTCGCCTTGTCTGCTCTTATCGCATCATCATATCTGACCACACATTCCTACCCTGCTAGCCATTCACTCCCTTCCGCACCCACCCCGCCGCCGCCAACACCTCACCCAGCCGCTGAACTCGCTGCCAACACTCACCCAACCACTCAATTCCCTGTCCCCCATCACCTATCGCCCATCGCCGCATCCCGATGCTGCAATCTTAGCAGGTCCTCTTCTCTCTGTGACATGTCCGACCGTGCATCTTCCCTGCCACCATGCCTCAAGGCTTTGCTGTACTTGATGATGATTCGTGGCCCAGGGAGGTCCAGGGAGGCCCAGGGAGGTCCAGGGAGGCCCAGGGAGGCCCAGGGAGGCCCAGGGTGGCCCAGGGTGGCCCCCGGCGGCCTTTCACGCAAATCTCCGAATCTCTCCCCAGGGAAATGAAAAGGAGAGCCTCGGGTTCTCATCGCGTTAGCTGGGAGATGGGACGCACCAGAAGTTCAAAAATGGATTCAAATACACCATCATTGATTCCCTTTCTCATGACTAGTGATCACCATGAATAATAAATTCTTGGCACGCATTCACACCTCACACCTCACACCCCACACCTCACACCTCACACCTCACACCCCACACCTCACACCTCACACCTCACACCTCACATACTTGCGAGAGCGCAGAGGATACACCTGTTGTGTGCGCACAGCACCGTGACAGAGAGCATGTTGGCGGATCGATGTTGTGTGGATGGAGGCACGGCTTTCGATGGACGCGAGGTTTCGGGTGGTGGCAGGGTGGTGGCATGGTGGTGGCATGGTGGTGGCAGGGTGGTGGCAGGGTGAATAGTGGCCGAGAACTACGGACGCTCGGCGAGGGACGATTTCATTTGGTTGGTTGATTCCCGGATTTGACGGGCACAGTCGTATCGGCGAATAAAGGCTCTGTTCAGCTTCGTGCAAGCGGTGCGGAACTGAAGTGGCGGCTCGCCACCTGACAGGACCTTTACGGTCAACCGGACAGAGGCGTCCGGAATAGAAAGGAGATAGCCAGCGATTTGGACAAGGCCGACAAGGCTGACAAGGCTGACAAAGCAGGTCCTCGATCACCACTTCGGCCGGCTCTTGAGCTTCGGGGACTCTGGGCTGGAGGCTCTGTGCTGGGCGGCCGCGTGGCCATTGCCTGTGCGTTTCTTGGACAGGAGTTGCTCAGTCAGTTCGGTTCAGTTCGGTTCAGCTCGGTACAGTTAGTTCCGTCTGATATGGGCCCTTGGAGGATCTGGAGGGTTGAGTGGCGCTGCTGTTGGTGCTCGTGGGGGTTTGGGAGACGAATGTTGGGTCGAGAGGCGTGGTTGTTGATGGAATTGGGTTCGGGTTGGATTGGGATAGTTTATAGTGGTAGCCGGCGGAAACAGCATCAACCAAGTGGTGGCAAATCACGGGGAATTAGCTCAGATGGTAGAGCGCTCGCTTAGCATGCGAGAGGCACGGGGATCGATACCCCGATTCTCCAATTATTTCGCCCGGCTAGCTCAATCGGTAGAGCGTGAGACTCTTAATCTCAAGGTTGTGGGTTCGACCCCCACGTTGGGCGTTCTTGTTTTCCCTTTTTTCCTCTGCCTCCCTTCCCCTTCTCGCCGTCCTGCCTCGGTACTCGCTCTGCGTTCGCTCCGTTCGCCCCGGAGTTGCCGTCCCTGCGTGGCCATCTTCCCCGAGTTTCTGCATATTTCGTTCCTCTCCAGATGTAATCTTTCTTTCCTTTTATCCTCCGTTTATTCCTTCTTTCTTTCCTTTTTGCCTTTTTTCTTCTGCGCTCACATCTGTGGCAGCACACTGGCCATCAAGGCTCGCGGTCCATAGTATCTCTCTCGCCTTTCGAGACAGACTGTCCACCCGCATCAACTCCCGTTCTGTGGATATTGTGGGTTTGCCCTTGTTTGTCGTTGTGGTTGTGGTTGTGGTTGTGGTTGTGGTTGTGGTTGTGGTTGTGGTTGTGGTTGTGGTTGTCGTTGTCGTAGTCGTTGTCGTAGTCGTTGTCGTTGTCGTTGTCGGTAGTTGGTAGTTGGTAGTTGGTGTTGGTGTTTGACGAGGGAGGTGCTCATGCCAACATCGCCACCAAGTGCGAGGGAAAACATAAAAATAAAAGTATATGGAAAACAATGACAACGGAACGAGCACCGAGGTTGTTACTGCCTGGGGGCGGACTGAACGAACACGGGAAGCAAAAGGGCAAGGAGGGGGCCACAGGGCCACAGGGCCAAGGGGAAACAAAACAGCACAAAAAATTTTGCCGCCTCCCGGGATCGAACCGGGTGCCTTAAGATCTTCAGTCTTACGCTCTCCCAGATGAGCTAAGGCGGCATTGTGGATGGGCTTCTCCGGGAATCGAACCCGGGACCACTCGCACCCTAAGCGAGTATGCTACCACTGTACCAAGAAGCCACACAGTCGTTGCTGTGACCGAGAATCACTCGCAACCCACCGACGCCGGCAGGACTCGAACCTGCGCAGGCGAAGCCTACTTGATTTCTAGTCAAGCTCCATAACCACTCGGACACGGCGTCGTTGTTTCGTGAGTATTTGGTAGTCATACACGAATCCAAATCGACGTCGCGCAACTCGCCTCTCCCGCTGCATGCAATCACCACCCGCAATCGCCACCCGCAATCGCCACCCACAACCCTCCCGTCAAACTCAATCCGTCCTCTTACAAGTTGCTCCATATATCTCTTGTGTTACAGCTATCAATCTGTCCTCGGCTGTCGCTTCGCCGCCCTCTTTCGCTGCTCTCGCTGTTTCATAGGCTGGCCATGCTGTGCGGACTTGTCGATGGCTTGGTCCCCCCTCCCTTGCGCATTCTCCATTCATCCTCGCGCATTCGTCACGATCCAAGCTCCTTTGCGTTATACACATGCTTGTTGCCCCCAGGCTGCGTATTCTCCCTGCACTTGTCCTCGAGATATCGGTGCCGGTTTCTTTCCCCCCCCATCCTTGTCGCCTTGGCTCGCCTCTATCGCGTATACTCCTTATATTTGATCTTTTCCACTACGCCTATCTGTGAGCCTTCCTCATCCTCCCGGGTCATATCCCCCCACCCACTTTACATTTACAGCGTCGCATCTTGCCACTAATAGACACTGCTATCGATACGACAATTGTCTTCTGCTACTGGTAGATTCAGTCATGATTACCGGACCCGTCTGTCTGCTGACTAATTGTCCGTATCGATACTCGCTGGCCTCTGTGGCAGTCGTGCAAAGGCAGTCGCCATGGGATATAATCTCCAGCAGCAGTGTCCCTGCCAAATTCCTCCTGTTCATCTGAGTATGTACCATTAAAGTATGTGTAATCATATCTCCATCGCAGTACTCGACTATATTATCTTGTATAAACAGACTAGCTCTAGCCCAGGTGGCATTTCGAGCCGGTCAAGCCCCAGAAGATTGTTTCTGAGTCGGCTTCGACTGAATTAGAAGTCTCAATCGGTTCAATCGGTTCAATCGGTTCAATCGGTCCAATCGGTCCAATCGGCATGGGCCGCTTCTGGATTTTCACGGTGCTTCAAGCTTCTCTCCCGTGAGGACCTATGAGGGTTTAGAATAGCGAGAGCTTGATATACCCAGCTTGTCTGAGTCCGAGCCAACGATAGAGAGATGGGACTACCCTTGGCTCCAATCCACTTATACAGCATCCTCTTTTCCCCCCGTTCGATCGGGTGTCATAATCACACCCACGCTTTGTGCTGAGCCCCGCCCAACTCAATCTCGCCGTCCGTCGTTGCATACCGCTTGTCACGCAGAACGGCCCATACCATCCTTCTTTCACTATACCCAATGGTTCATTTCTCATTAATTTTGTGCTTTTTCGTTTTTCCTCTCCAAGTCCCATACTTATTCTTGCTTCATTTTTCAAATGGTATGCATTCTCTCAATTTCCTTCGATTTCCCCCCCCCTGTGGCCTTTTTATACTCTCATTTGTCCACTCTATCCACCCATGTATCCTATATGTGTTCTTCCCACATATTTTTCCAATTTCTCGGCTAATTTACATAGGAGTACCCTCATTTCCATTGAGTTCCCCTTCAGTTACTCTTCCTTCCCATAACAGCAATCCAGCCCTCTCTCCACAGACGAAATCGTCCCGCTCCTCCCTCGGCCAATCCAGATTTTCTCCCTCTATTCTTGACCGTCCCCTCACTCCTATAAATGGGCACAGTTTAGTTGGCAAACATATATGGAGATAGCAATCGCAGTTTATCATGAATTATCACGTTTCCTGACTTGATACATCAAACCGTGCCCCGTATTGATATTGTCATACACACTTGATTCTCGCTCACTATACTCCACTTTGATGGCCGCAACTTCAATGCCGAACCGGCTCACGGCTTTATCTCGGCTCATTTCATCAAATCAGCCCTCGAGTCCGACATAAAATTGCGGATCGCAATCCAATCGGTCAAGATATTTACTTAATACTGTCGTTGATTCATGTTGAGCATCACCCACCATCGTCGATTCACCGACCGAACACCGCTTTCCAGGCAACAGAATATCTTTGACCCATGAGTCCAATGGATGCGCATATATTATTCCACCCTTTAAAGTGTATATTTCCTTTGAGAGTATCATGGGATTTCACTCGCTAAGTGCTGCCCATGATCTAGGCTCTTCCTTTCGTCAAAACAACCGAAATCAAGCGCATATGAGCCATTTGAGGCCATCGAGTCTATAGGCCCTATAGCTTCCAGTGAGGCTGTTCTTCAAACATGTTGAGCCAGTAGAGACCATAAAATATATCGGCCGCGTCCAATCCGACTGGGAGGGTTGTCGACATCATCGGATCCATTCAAGCTCATGTATTCGCTGATACGGTGCATTTGTTCAAGTCTTTCGATACCCATCGATCTGGATAGAAGCGTATCTACGGAGATTCCATTCATAATATTGCAGTTTATCTGAGCGTGCGGGATGATCAGCTGTCGCAACGACTGAAGTGAACATTGTGGAAGGCGATCACTCAGTCATCTCGACAGCGGTACTTTATTGCTCCGGTAGCTCTTCCAATTTTTTTCGACACCTTGGGGAGGCACTTTAGGCCTTCCATGGCGTCTGAATTTCCTTGGGACGCGGAGGCTTGGTACCACTTGGCTGCTTCAACGAGGTTCTTTTCAACACCTTCCCCATTCTCATAGCAGTTTCCCAAATGGTACTGTGATAGCGCATGACCTTGTGTGGCAGCTCTTAAATACCATGTTGCCGCTTCGCTTGGACTTTTCTCGACGCCTTCGCCAAAATCATAACAGCATCCAAGGCAGTGTTGTGCATCGATGCTACCTTGCTCAGCGGCCTTCAAATACCACCTCACGGCCTCGGCGTGATCTTGCTCGACCCCATCACCGTGATCATACGAATATCCGATCGAGTACTGTGCATGCATATGTCCTTGATCGGCGGCCAATCTATACCAGCTTAGGGCTTTTGTCGAATCCTTGACGACACCTTCACCGTGATCATAGCTGTAACCGAGGCTGAACTGAGCGTCAGCATGTCCCTGCTCGGCGGCTTTGGAATACCATCTGGCCGCCAAAACGTGCGATTTTGGGACGCCTTCTCCGTTGTCGTAGCACTCGGCCAAATGGTATTGAGCATCTGCATCGCCTTGATCGGCCGCCTTCCGGTACCAAACTGCTGCGGTCGAAGGATCCTTTGAGACACCTTCCCCAATATAGTGGATATGGGCAAAGACAAATTGCGCTTCTTGGTGGCCCTGTTCCGCCGCTCTTCGATACCACTTGATTGCTTCCTTGATATCTTTGCGATCACCGATTCCAAACTGGTAGGAGTATCCACGACTGTACATAAACTCGGAGCCATCGTCACTAGCACGATGTGGCGTTGCAAATCCCTCTTCAATAACCTCAAAGGAGGAGCCCGTGGCAGAGGTGCGCTGGCCATGCTGTTGAAAGAGTCGACGATGAGATTAGGCGCGGTGCTCTGGATATTGAGGACTCTGAGGGATCGCCACGGGCTCTCACCTGGTGCAGCAAGAGATCGTCGTCGTCGACATTCTTTCGAAGTCGCTTCAGTGGGGAAGGAATGGGACAAAGGCCGTGGACGTTTGCTCGTTTGATGCCCATTGCAACGATGGGGTTGATTGACGAAGGAAGGGCGGTTGGTCGACGACGGAGGACTTGCCGGTGTTGGGCGGAGGATGACCGCACGCCTGGGCGGCTGTCTGGGCGTCTGGACAGGTTTCGGACTTGATACTTCGCCCGAGGTTGGATCATGAGTGCAGACAGAATTCAGCAGAAACGGGACAACACACCCGCTTCCATGAACATGCAGTATGTAATGGCTTGCGCCAACTGAGCCATAAGAAACAAATCGAATCACTTTGGTAGCCTCCGAGTGAAGACCGCCGGTCGCCCTCCGGTCTCCACAATCGACCTGCACACTGTGATCATGTTGCGCGCATCGAGTCCTTCCAACCGAACTGGCTTCAGGCACTTGGAGCACACTTGCGAGGTGTTGAACTCGTTCGTCGAGGCCACCTTGACGCTTCCATGATGGTGATTGGGACGGCGTCGGTGGTGCTCGAATTGCTCAAAGTACCGAGCAAACCGCTGCCTCCGAGGGCTGGATGCATAGCCCTTGCCTTGACACCATGACGCATTGCCAAAGGTGATGACCACATTGGTCCGTATCGGGGCGTGCTTCAGGACGGCCTTGCACATCCTGTCGACGGCCACTTGGCGCCTCTTGTGGCCCGTGAAGCGATGGTGGCGAGACTTCTTGCCGAGGTGGAAGTCGAGCTGCACTCGCAGCTCCGGTCGCAGGACATGGGTGAGATGGATCTTGAAAGCCTCCGAGGACGACACCTTGGGCGAGGGGGTGGTCGACATCCAGGTCTCGATGCTGAGTCGATACTTCATGATATTGTGCCACTTGGTGTTGGACGTATGGCCACACATGTGCTGGTAGTGGCCATTGGAGAACGAGACCATCTCGTCTTGGTGGCCCGGTGCTTGGATGACCGCCGTGAATATGGAGCCGACTCCAGGATCGATGCCAATCCAAGTGGTGCGATCGGGGTCTGGGTCGCCGATGTGGGCCTGGATGCGCTGTTCGGCAGTCGGAGGGGGCTCGGAGGTCTCGGTGTGATCGGTTCGAGGCACAAACTTGACGAGGCCGATGGTGCATCCAATGTCATCGGTGCTGATCTCGTAGTTGAACAGCTTCTTGTCCCTGACTCGCTCTTGGAAGAGGGAACTACGCAGCTTGAAGCAACTGCGCCAGAGACGATCCTGGTTGTTGACACCGTCATCACCTTCTTCCTTGAGCATGTCCCTGGTGAGGCCAAGGCGCTTCTTTGGACCCAGGAGTTGCCAAAGAGTGACCGTGTCAATCTTGACATACTTGGCCCTTGCAGTGCATAGAGGAACTATCGTGTACACGGCCGGAGGAGTGTCAAGAGCGAGCTGCTTGAGTGCCCACTTGATCCTGGATGCCAGCTTGTTGATCTTGGACTTGGTGGTGCCGAGCTCAGACTTGGCCTTGGTGAACCTCTTGTCGCCGAAGGGGATGCCTCTGGCAGTGAGCTCGTCCAGCTTGGCCTGGCGCTGCAGCTCGGTGACTCGGAAGGCGGGCATGTCGTAGTTGCTCCACACTGAGTATTCGTGAACAAACCTTATTCCATGCTCAATCTTGCATGAAAGCGTATCCTAAAGTACCACCCAAGAGGGTATTCGATCAGAGACACTGTCATGATAAGTGAATGGTACTTTTGAACAACCAAATTTTTTTTGGGGGGGGGTGAATCAAGAATTGAGGCGTTGAAGGCAGCGTGCCTTCAGAGATACTCGAGAAAGAAGTGCAAGCAAGATCATCTGGAAATCTCACGAGCGGGCCAATGATATGCAGAACAAAATGAAGGAAATGCTCTGGAGCCATGTCGGAAACTCGGAATTGCAACCTTTCCAGGGACATCAAAGACTCTGCTGAAATTACAGGAAGGAGGAGTACAAAAGCAAAATATAACCACGGTGAAGATCATCTTCCAGAAGAGTGGCGAAGGGATAAGGACTGAATCATACCGTGTATCGAGGCAACATTATCACTACAATTTCCGAAAGATATTAGTTTGGCCGGCCATGGTCCTGTGGAGAGAGACAAGATATATGTATCCGGGAGTCTTACCATATGGAAACTATCAAACCAATCAATATACCAGGAAAGAAGAACAATAGGGAGTTGTTTGAAAGATCAAATGAAGGAAAAAGGAAAAGGGGCGACGGTGACGAAAGGGTGAGTGATATATCGGTTGCTATCATTGGATGAATTAAGTGATAGAAAGGTATTGGCCGTTCTGCGTGACAAGCGGTATGCAACGACGGACGGCGAGATTGAGTTGGGCGGGGCTCAGCACAAAGCGTGGGTGTGATTATGACACCCGATCGAACGGGGGGAAAAGAGGATGCTGTATAAGTGGATTGGAGCCAAGGGTAGTCCCATCTCTCTATCGTTGGCTCGGACTCAGACAAGCTGGGTATATCAAGCTCTCGCTATTCTAAACCCTCATAGGTCCTCACGGGAGAGAAGCTTGAAGCACCGTGAAAATCCAGAAGCGGCCCATGCCGATTGGACCGATTGGACCGATTGAACCGATTGAACCGATTGAACCGATTGAGACTTCTAATTCAGTCGAAGCCGACTCAGAAACAATCTTCTGGGGCTTGACCGGCTCGAAATGCCACCTGGGCTAGAGCTAGTCTGTTTATACAAGATAATATAGTCGAGTACTGCGATGGAGATATGATTACACATACTTTAATGGTACATACTCAGATGAACAGGAGAATTTGGCAGGGACACTGCTGCTGGAGATTATATCCCATGGCGACTGCCTTTGCACGACTGCCACAGAGGCCAGCGAGTATCGATACGGACAATTAGTCAGCAGACAGACGGGTCCGGTAATCATGACTGAATCTACCAGTAGCAGAAGACAATTGTCGTATCGATAGCAGTGTCTATTAGTGGCAAGATGCGACGCTGTAAATGTAAAGTGGGTGGGGGGATATGACCCGGGAGGATGAGGAAGGCTCACAGATAGGCGTAGTGGAAAAGATCAAATATAAGGAGTATACGCGATAGAGGCGAGCCAAGGCGACAAGGATGGGGGGGGAAAGAAACCGGCACCGATATCTCGAGGACAAGTGCAGGGAGAATACGCAGCCTGGGGGCAACAAGCATGTGTATAACGCAAAGGAGCTTGGATCGTGACGAATGCGCGAGGATGAATGGAGAATGCGCAAGGGAGGGGGGACCAAGCCATCGACAAGTCCGCACAGCATGGCCAGCCTATGAAACAGCGAGAGCAGCGAAAGAGGGCGGCGAAGCGACAGCCGAGGACAGATTGATAGCTGTAACACAAGAGATATATGGAGCAACTTGTAAGAGGACGGATTGAGTTTGACGGGAGGGTTGTGGGTGGCGATTGCGGGTGGCGATTGCGGGTGGTGATTGCATGCAGCGGGAGAGGCGAGTTGCGCGACGTCGATTTGGATTCGTGTATGACTACCAAATACTCACGAAACAACGACGCCGTGTCCGAGTGGTTATGGAGCTTGACTAGAAATCAAGTAGGCTTCGCCTGCGCAGGTTCGAGTCCTGCCGGCGTCGGTGGGTTGCGAGTGATTCTCGGTCACAGCAACGACTGTGTGGCTTCTTGGTACAGTGGTAGCATACTCGCTTAGGGTGCGAGTGGTCCCGGGTTCGATTCCCGGAGAAGCCCATCCACAATGCCGCCTTAGCTCATCTGGGAGAGCGTAAGACTGAAGATCTTAAGGCACCCGGTTCGATCCCGGGAGGCGGCAAAATTTTTTGTGCTGTTTTGTTTCCCCTTGGCCCTGTGGCCCTGTGGCCCCCTCCTTGCCCTTTTGCTTCCCGTGTTCGTTCAGTCCGCCCCCAGGCAGTAACAACCTCGGTGCTCGTTCCGTTGTCATTGTTTTCCATATACTTTTATTTTTATGTTTTCCCTCGCACTTGGTGGCGATGTTGGCATGAGCACCTCCCTCGTCAAACACCAACACCAACTACCAACTACCAACTACCGACAACGACAACGACAACGACTACGACAACGACTACGACAACGACAACCACAACCACAACCACAACCACAACCACAACCACAACCACAACCACAACCACAACCACAACGACAAACAAGGGCAAACCCACAATATCCACAGAACGGGAGTTGATGCGGGTGGACAGTCTGTCTCGAAAGGCGAGAGAGATACTATGGACCGCGAGCCTTGATGGCCAGTGTGCTGCCACAGATGTGAGCGCAGAAGAAAAAAGGCAAAAAGGAAAGAAAGAAGGAATAAACGGAGGATAAAAGGAAAGAAAGATTACATCTGGAGAGGAACGAAATATGCAGAAACTCGGGGAAGATGGCCACGCAGGGACGGCAACTCCGGGGCGAACGGAGCGAACGCAGAGCGAGTACCGAGGCAGGACGGCGAGAAGGGGAAGGGAGGCAGAGGAAAAAAGGGAAAACAAGAACGCCCAACGTGGGGGTCGAACCCACAACCTTGAGATTAAGAGTCTCACGCTCTACCGATTGAGCTAGCCGGGCGAAATAATTGGAGAATCGGGGTATCGATCCCCGTGCCTCTCGCATGCTAAGCGAGCGCTCTACCATCTGAGCTAATTCCCCGTGATTTGCCACCACTTGGTTGATGCTGTTTCCGCCGGCTACCACTATAAACTATCCCAATCCAACCCGAACCCAATTCCATCAACAACCACGCCTCTCGACCCAACATTCGTCTCCCAAACCCCCACGAGCACCAACAGCAGCGCCACTCAACCCTCCAGATCCTCCAAGGGCCCATATCAGACGGAACTAACTGTACCGAGCTGAACCGAACTGAACCGAACTGACTGAGCAACTCCTGTCCAAGAAACGCACAGGCAATGGCCACGCGGCCGCCCAGCACAGAGCCTCCAGCCCAGAGTCCCCGAAGCTCAAGAGCCGGCCGAAGTGGTGATCGAGGACCTGCTTTGTCAGCCTTGTCAGCCTTGTCGGCCTTGTCCAAATCGCTGGCTATCTCCTTTCTATTCCGGACGCCTCTGTCCGGTTGACCGTAAAGGTCCTGTCAGGTGGCGAGCCGCCACTTCAGTTCCGCACCGCTTGCACGAAGCTGAACAGAGCCTTTATTCGCCGATACGACTGTGCCCGTCAAATCCGGGAATCAACCAACCAAATGAAATCGTCCCTCGCCGAGCGTCCGTAGTTCTCGGCCACTATTCACCCTGCCACCACCCTGCCACCACCATGCCACCACCATGCCACCACCCTGCCACCACCCGAAACCTCGCGTCCATCGAAAGCCGTGCCTCCATCCACACAACATCGATCCGCCAACATGCTCTCTGTCACGGTGCTGTGCGCACACAACAGGTGTATCCTCTGCGCTCTCGCAAGTATGTGAGGTGTGAGGTGTGAGGTGTGAGGTGTGGGGTGTGAGGTGTGAGGTGTGAGGTGTGGGGTGTGAGGTGTGAGGTGTGAATGCGTGCCAAGAATTTATTATTCATGGTGATTGTCAAGACTGGACAACGGGGCAAGCAGGGAAGTGCGCAAGAGTCCTAATACAAGACTCGAACGTAGGGAGAGGAGCGGGGACTGGACTGGGACACAGAGTGTCAAGTGTAAAGCCAAAGTTTTATTCTAGATCCAAGGCTTAGGATACTAAAAATACAAAGTCATTTCAAGGACAAGGCAAGATAACTAGGCAAGATACAAGGCAAGGAAACTCAGTTCATGACACTATCTCCCCCTTAAAGGCCAGATATAATGGCTCGATAGGACTGGAACATGAACGGCACCCCAGCTCCGTCTTTTCCGAAATTCAGTGTCAGCATCGGTTTCGAACCGGCAACCTCCAGACTGGTATGCAGACACCTTAAACGAACTCGGCGAACTGGGGCACTGGCAGGGGACTCGGAACGGCGGATGAAACCCTTGGACAAGTTCTCTTGGATGTAGGTGTGGAGGGCGTCCATC